TGGCAGTCAGACCGCTGTTTTGGGCAATGTCGTAAGACTGCTGGTTGAAGACTTGGCCATCGTACCACTTGCCCTTGCCGGTGCGGCGAATCTCACGGAGAGTGAGGCTCTTCTCACCAACATAGTAGACGCGGACCTGTTCATGATTCAGTTAGCAACAAGCGGATGGCTGTCAGATGCGGTTTCCTCACCTCGTCTTCCTTGGTGTTGGGGTTCTTGTAGGCAACGGCTGCGAGAATGGGCAGGCTGGAGTTGACAATGATGGGGTTTCCGTTGATCTTGAGGTTCTCAGAGTTGTACTGCTCGCCCTGAGTCTCATCAGAAGTCTTGCTGGACCAGTAGCTGATCTTGAAGTCACGAGTGACGTGGAAGACGATGTCCTGGTTCGTGACCTCGGTGACGACGGCGGTAACGTCCTATGAGATAGGCTTAGCGATGGGGACACAGGATGAAGAAAGCAAAGGGAAGTACCTGAAGAGTGTCGGTCATCTTGAATGGAGATGGGTTTGTTGAGGCCGGAGTGGTAGGTTGGGAAGTTGATTGGGAAGTAGGCTGGGATGCTGGTTGAGGAGTGAAGCGATTGTGAACTGCTTGGATGAGTTTGTGAAGGGGATCCGCGAGGCCTTTTATAGTGCTCCTGGAGTCTCCGGAGCCTGTAGAAGCTGCCTTGGGCTCTTGATGGAGGTTCAGAAGCGAAGTACCTCGGAAGGGGATGACGAGGCGGATCGTCACGACGACCAGGATCAAGCAGCTCATGCACAGGATGCAGCAGAGAAGGAGAGAGGTAGACAGGAGCAGATGCGCAGTCGATGAGTCCAGCCCCCAGGCGGGCGTCATTGCAGGCGTCATTACAAGCATCGTGTTGTTTCCTTTGGCAAAGTAGAAGCCGGCAGTGAGAAGTCTGGTTGGGGATGATTCGTGGACTTTGCAGAGTTGTTTGCATTGGTCAAACACCGGAGTGGACCTGTTATCGAATGATGCAGACTGCGCCTGGTGTCTTCATCGAGACCTCGCAGGCTCTGAACTTCAGCTCTCCACGGTCACGTCCTAGATCGACACGGACTTCAGCTCGCCACGATGCTATGTCATGCCATGCGCCAAGTTGAAGCATTCACGGACGTCAGTGACTATGATAATCACCTCGCAGGTAGCCACAATTCCCTGCCGTCCACCGAGTTCGTCCAACCAGGATCTGTAGATGCTGCAAGACTCATCACATAGTAGCTAGCCGCCGGGGTCTGTAACTCGCACCGAATAGACTGTCAATGAGGGTTGAGGCAACCGTACAGCTTCAGCCAGCCATCGCGTTCGTTTGCATTATTTACGTAAATGGAAAACTGCCGAGGTACAAGTCAACCGGTCGATCACAGTCACACCATGGGGAGTAGATACCAATTCTGGAAAGGGGCTATAAATCATGGCTGGCTAAAATGAACACGCATTCTGAGAGTACGAATTTTTATTGAGTATGAGGAATCCGAGACAGCTTTTAACAGCGCTTAAGCATCTCGCTCGTGATTAACATGGATGGCTGGAAACATGCCCGGCCTCAACCCTCACAGTGCATATATGGAAGAAGACCGACGTTCTCGGGCTACCACGGACACAAATGTCTTGATTTAGCAAGTATCTTGGCCTTTCACCCATCAGTGAACCTCCTATTGCGTGGGATTGAGCAAGTTTAAGGGGAAGGTTGGGTACTAAAGGGAAGCATGGATTTTTAGCAGATTTCCAGTGATAAACTTGAAGGAATGGGTCTCTCCCAAGCATACTGCCCGTCCCGGTGCTGCTGTAAGTCTTTAAAGTCAAACAAGTTTGCGTCAGATCAGGTAAGAACCGAAGCTGAACCAACGGTAAGCCTGTCCACCGTTGGAAGCCACTCGGTGAGAACTTGGTCGGGGTGGACGAGCTATTGGGCGTACATCCGCGCTGATCACATATTTTATGGTGTGACCAGGGCCAATCATCACGACTTCGTGTCCTGTATCGAGAGGGATGAAGTCTGCTAGTCTGCTGCGGAGATCTTTCTGACGTTTGAGGCGTCTATCACTGCCCATCTAGGAACGCCCTGCTGATGGATTGGGCAAGCTTCTTCTAGTCTAACCCCTGAGCTTCTAACAAGGCATTCCGTTCTTAGATGGACCATTTGACCATGTGTCGACCTGTGAGATCCTGTAGAGGAACTTGACTCAGCTTTTGGAATACTCATAGAGTGGGCAACTTCTGACGACAGCTCAGGATTGAGAGACATGCAGTAAACTAAAAGTACCTAGCTTAACTAGAACGGATGTCGGTTCGGAGAGTTCGCGAACTCCACCGTTCCTTGACAGGAGAAGCTTCCGCATTGTGGCGTGCGCCTCAACTGCCAGTCCAGTTTAGATCCCCTTTCCCCGCAAAGTCTCGGCAGTTAAGGAAAGCACAGAAACTTGGATCAACCTAAAGCATGTTGAAAGTTCATCACTTGGTCCTTGTCAGCATTGACAGCTTACTGATTCATCTGGTCTGTACGGCTTGGCCGTAGTGGCTATGCTGGGCGTTTAACACCACGATGTAACCCCGATGGTACGAGATTCCAACTACCAGCCGGGTACATGGCCAGTCACCTACCACGCCATGTCTGCTCAACTGAGACAATAGTAGTTTAGACATTAGCACGTGGTGATGATGCAAGCTTTAGTCTGAACGATCCAGCAGGCTCGGTTGCGTCATGCAGTAGCCCGTACTGCGCAGTAATGGATCTGGAAAACGTCAACACTTCCCGGGTGGTCCGACTGGGTGACAGAGTTTCTGGTCTTCTTGACACCTGGGGTGCGGAGAATAACTTCAAGTAGAGGCAATGGAGATGGCATTGGAGCCTGTCTTGGCTAAACTTGATAATGGAAGAGGTTTGCGAGCTCGCCCCAGGTGGACGAAAGATGTCTTTTGGGCGAAGCTGGCGACGTCTTCAAATCAACAAGTTCCTGATACCTGCATGTATCCGTGATCGCCTGATGGCTCACTACTCACTGCCTTGGAATACCGACTTGAACTCCGTAACCGGAGCTCAGAGCAGAGCCGTGGATTCTCGTGGCGAGCTGAACACCTACGTTGAGGCATAAGATGCGAAGCCACAGAGTACGTCTTTTGCCCCCAGACCCCTCCATGTCGGCAACGCAGGTCCGATCGACAGTTTCGTCAACGGGCGACAGGTCTCCCTATGGCTGATTTGCCTGGGGCTGAATAACGGTGACTGCTCGACATATGGCCGCAAGTAAGAGTCCAGTTCAGCTGATTAAATGCCTGCATGGAACGGGCCGGGCGGGCCGCACCCTGCATCCCGTAGAACTGCTCCCACTAGTGGCGTCCCTGCAGAAGCTGACGTTCCGAAAGAGGGAGACGAGGCTCACACGGGTTGTAGGGGATCCCCCCTCCCGGTCAATAAACTGGTCTTGGCCTGTGATTCGGTCTGCAGTGACGTTAGCCGTTGAGTCAAAAAAGGGATGGTGCGAGATAGAATGGGTCGAGTGCCGGACGTTGAAGGCTGATCACGCTGCAGACCATTGGGCGGCCTCAGTTTCGCAAAAAAGCTTGGCCTGCCTCTTTAACCCGTCAACATGTAGATCATGGCTTCGCCTGGGTTTGGAGGGAGCTGAGACGTCCCAAAATAGCTGAGGATCGCCGCGGTCGCAATTTACCGGTCCCAGTTGGGCAAGACCGTTGCATCCGAGACTTGAGCGCTCCGTATTCGGCTTGCCAACATGGCCCTCATCCTCTCGTAGGAGAAGTTGCTCCATCGGCGGTCTCTGTCCGCTTGGGCATTGCCTCTCCTAAGACCAAGATTGCAGTGTTGCGGGCTGTACGGAGTACACCCTCACACTGTAACTGACATACTCCACCGTACTTCCGCCTCGATACACAAGTCGAGAAAGAAGGGTAAAACCAGTAGTTTTTGATAGGTTGAACTGATGATATGGCTCTTAACTTGATAGCAAAATTCACTTGTGAGTACAAATGGAGCTGTAACTACACTAGGTAGTGTGGCATTGCGTTTCAAGTTGTGATCATGATGATAGATTGGCTGCTAAATTATGGGACAGAGGCTTGAATGTAAAGATGAAAACTTGTCAAGTATTTGGAAGATAAGGCAATGGAACTTTTACGTTGAGGTGACTGAAGACGGCGGCAGGGTAGGATGATCAAGGTTGAGGAATAGAGAAGGTTGCTAGAGGATTCGCGAGAGTGACCTAGATACGTTTAGAAGTTCATTACTCTCGAAGTAGACGCAATAATCTCCTCTGACGTTGCGCAACCCCTACCCTGGATACCGATGCAGAGCTCTCAGAGCATCATTTGGGATACACGTGACAGCGCACGCGTACCTGTTGGCAGCTATCGACTTGGGACGGGGTGGCGGACTTTTTCCCTCTGACATAGATACAGCCCTATTCGCGGGGCAGATCAATCTGCCAAGGCCCGACTTAGGCTTGCTAGAGACATCTGGGGCTTTCTACTATGACAGTTTAGAGGCCGAGAGCCAAGTGTTTAATCTGAGGGCACGACGTGGGGTATAGTGATACTCCACGTGGTAGGGCATTTTTAGATTCGTGAACCTGAATATTAATTGACTAACTAAGTTCTGATTCACGGAAAAATGATATCGCCTTCACACCGCAAGTTTACACAGCCTCTGACCGAACAACTTAAGCGGGAACACACTGGGAGTAGTAGTCGTTGTGCTTGAGGCACTTGAGGCCAGAGGCGCACTTGGTAGCACCAGTCCAGTTGTTTCCACCGCACTGGCCGTAAGCAGAAACGGAAGCACCGGAAGAGCTAGAGGGAACAGAAGTGGCAGAAGGCTTGGCGGCAGCGGTGGTCTTGACAGCAGCAAGCTTGGTGGTAGTAGGCTTGGTAGCAGCGATCTTGGTCGAAGTAGCCTTGGTGGCAGAGGGCTTGGCGGCACTGGAGACGGGAGAAGCAGAGTTGCTGCTGCTGCTACTGCTGCTACCAGTGGCCCAGCCGTTCTTCTGAGACAGGTAGTACCACCAGTTGCGGTACATCCAGCCGTCAAAGTCGGTGATCTCCATAGAAGAACCGGCAAGCATGATGAAGTTGCTGACTCCAGTAGGGGTCCAGTCGTAGAAGTCATCCAGGCCAAAGGTGTGGCCCTATAGGACTTGTTAGTATGAAGTCATACATAAACTTAGGTGATCATACCATCTCGTGCAGCAGAATGTGGACAGAATCAGAGTCAAGGTTGTTCAGCATGTACTCGGATCCAACCTGCTGTCCCCAAGACCAGCCATAACCGCCCTCAAGACCGTCGGTCAGCCAGAGAGAGTGGTCGAAGTGACGGGCAGCGCCAGCCTTGCAGCCGCTGTAGTCACCATCGAGGTGAGCATCACGAGCGCATCCGATATCGCACATGGGGATACCATCAGCATCGAGGCCAGTGTAGATATCGAGGCCTTCGGTCGAACCCTGGAGCAGACTCTTATCCTTGACAGCCCAGCCCACGATGTTGACCTTGACGTTCTCGTAGGGGAAGCCGTTGTAGCCATAGAGCCACTTGAACCACTTCTGGTACTGCTCGTTGTACTTGCTTGCGATCTTGGTTCGCTGGGCAGCAGTCACGGTCTTCTTAGAATCCCATCGAACACAGATGTTGAGGAAACTACCAGTATGTCAGTGACAACCCCCCAAGCGACTGGATGGTTAAAAATACCCCTTGTTGGCCATGATCTGGTGAAAGCCCCAGTTAATGTTGTCATCAACGCCCTTGGGTCCGTAGGTAGACTCATAGTGCTTCCAGACCTCCTCAAGAGGAGTCTTCAGGTTCGAAGGCGGGTTCCAGCCCGACTGGCGCTTGACAGGACGGTTGCTGAGGTGCTCGGGAAAGGCGCGCTTAGATTGAGGGAGACTCTCAAGGTTCTTCCAGACGGAGGGATCGAGATCGGACTGGGCCGCAGTCGAGGCGACAAGGCCAGCGAGGACGGTGGTGAAAGTAGAGACACGCATGTTGGCAAGGTGGATAGGTTACGAGTTATGAAAGAGTGAATAAGAAGTATAATGAATGTACAAAATTAGAACGGGAAAAAAACTCCGACCTTGGCAGAGTGAACGAATGAAGATGCTTGAGCTGAGACAAAAGACAAGCTTAAGGCCTATAAGCTCATGTTATATATATCAAGCAATGCGAAGCAATGCGAGGAGTGCGCGGAAAGCCACCATGTTTCACAGTGAACAGGAGATGGTGGATCTTGAAGAAATTAAGGGCGAACCATGGTGTTGGAAAACGATCGCCAAGGGGTGGAAAAATAATCCCCGGTCTAGGCCCCGGCGATGACCAGGTTCCATCAGGCGCCTTAGCTCGTGTTTCTGTAAGCATCACTCTCAGACCCTGGTAAGCTTATCCCTTGATCGGGAATTGGCGAAAAGATGGGATGAAAGAATGAATGTGATTGGGGGAACCGTAGACTGGGTTTTGGTGTCAAACGACGGGATTATTCGATGGTCGACAAACGTTCTTTCAAGTCTCGGCACATGTCCAATTCGGCGGATACGTAAAAAGAACGCCCTCCGACGCCCTAATGTAATGGCGCCCTAGTGTAACAACAGGTCGTGATCCATTTACACTGGTCTCGCAACAGAATGAAATCAGTGAAGCCCTGTCGATCTGGAACGCCATGTTGAGCTATCGTCTTATGCCAAGAGCTCAAAGCCGATGGCCCGGTGCATAAAGTTGTGACTTTGATCACATTAACTGTTCTTAAAACCCTGGTGTCGCTCGTCGGGTCGGGAGACGCTCAGACAACGTGGGAAATAGCCAGGTCTGCGATCACTGCATATCTAATGTTTAGGCATTTTCATTCTATACATTGGGAACAATGAGTCCCATAACTGAAACTCCCGATGACTCAACTCTTTGATCCACAACCTCGAAACAGTGTTGGCCCGGTGGAATATCTCCTCTGATATGCAGAGTTGTGACCGCCAAGGCATCCGGAGTCGCGGTGGGAAGGAAAGCCACGTCACATTTGAGACCGTCAATCGCGACAACGAGACTTTGCTCCTGCTCACAAGAGCTGGTGTACTGGATAGCTAATGTCAACCTAGTAGCCGTTGCCTGGGTCTCAAAGGTAGCCGCGTTCTCATTCTTATCAAGTTCATACTTGGTAGATGGGATGGCATTTCTGGTTTCGCCAGATGTAACATCTAGAACAAAGGTGTCGACATTCTCTAGCGTGACGGCCCGATCATTGATGCTGAGTGGTAGCCACACGTATGTGCTACGTGGCAGTGGAGGATACTCCCAGCGGTCTCCCATATACAGCACGGACGACCCTAAATCCAGAACAAAGGTGACCTGTGAGCCGTAGGTGGCTGTTCCCGATTCAGCAAAGAGCTTCCAAGGTTCCCAAGGTCCAGTCAATGATGTTGCGGTCGTGTACATATTGTCATTGAGTTCCCAGCCTGCCATGAAAATGAGAATCAGAGCCATGTACCGGGCGGCGACCACTAACCAGTGAGTTGAGACGCAAGCAAATAGTAGATGCCATTCCTTTTGATCATGGCGGGGCTCTCCAGATGTTCTGGGAATAGGTGAAGCATCTTGGTGACAGAGAGATAGTCGTTGGATAACTCGTAAAAACGAAGTCCATTGGGGCGCTGGGATCTCATGTCAGCGGCTACCAACTGTCGCCGGGTGCGATAACTCACATCTTCGCTCATCAAGTAAGCCTTATCATCATCGTCAACAAAAACACCAATGTCGCGGCTCTCAAAGCCTAGAGGTCGGAAGCTTCCTCTGTACTGAAAGCGACCAGTGACGGTATCGCAGGTGGCGACACCCACTTTGGCATCTTTGTACTCCTGGTCCTCAATATGCATCCACATAACATATTTCTTAGTCAATTTGTTGTAGATGACCTTCGGACGCTCCACAAGACGACCGGGGCCCAAGTCACCAGACCCCTGACGACTTAAAACAGGGCCTTCATACTTCCATTGAACAAGATCGTTGCTGCTGTAGCAGTTGATGTTCTGGAAGCATGTGCCTTCGGTCTTGTCCTCGCCGTGCCAGTACCACGTGGCTCCCACTTTGAGAAAGCCTCCGCCGTGGGCCTGGATGTGGTGCCCATTGCTGGCAGTCCAAGTAGCCCCTGAGAAATTTTGTATGTCAGTACATCATTTTGCCCAAGGAGATTCAAGTAATACGAACCTGGGAATACATGCAGACTGGTTGTTTCAGCCATGTTTGCCAATTACAGACAAGGTGTTGTTGTTTTCACAGAGAAGTGATAACATATCTTGATTGTCCAGGCCTACCTATTTCTAGACAAACATTACAGAAATGGCGCCTACTGCTGCATCTTGGCTCTTTCGTGACATGTTGTGCCGAGACAGGCGAGCGTAGGTAGTCTTGCCTGTTTCTAGAATTTACGGATTCGGTACGAATGTCCGAGCCCCAAATGCGTGAAGGCGGTCACATGGTGCAGTTTGTGGTGTCTTGCATGCAAGAGTGGCGTGTTCGATGGTGTTGACGGCTATTCCATGTTGTTAATACAGCTGGATGAATGTTTTTAGTTATCATAGGTGTCTGTATCTGTTGAGAGGCTGAATATTATCGAGACATTATAGCCTAAATATGCTGAATGTGAAACCCGTGCAAGAAACTGGGTTGCTAGCTCGGGGTAATTTATGCCGAGGGGCTTCTTGGGGCTTCTTGGGGCTTGCGGACTATCTTTCGGTCCCGAAATATGTTAGGTCTGTCAGTGCTCCAAACGAGAGATCTCTCCAGTAATGCTTCGGTAGGGGAGAGTAGTGTTGTTACATGGACCTATGAGACGTTTCCACAAATAGGAAGGATGGAAGATAGATCTAATAGTAGGGAGATGCCGTTGTTTATCTGTTCAACCATTCACAGTACAGTGGTATATGGCTTGGAGGAATGTGTAATTCCAGCAATCTACGTGCTTCATCTACGCACAGGCTAGCTCAGCTCTGCTCACTCTTACTCAAGGAATCGTGAGGGTCATGGAACTCGTAGAAACCAGAGCCAATCTCAAAAGTCTCGCCTCCACCTGGCATGACCACCCGAGCCTTCGAGTTTGGAGGAATAGTTACCTTCAAGTGAAATCCCTTTCTTCCAACCGCTTTCTCTCCCTCCATCCACCACTGGAAATTGATAGTCCCATACCCACTCACGTATCTTGTCTCGGCGCTTGTGATATTTCCTCCTGGCACTGGTGCAACTATAACCTCCTTCCACCCCGGAGTTCCCTGCCTGAGGCCACCAACCGTGCCATGGATCTAGTCTGCTACGGATCCGAACGCGTAGTGGTTGAAGCTCGTCATCCCACAGCCGTTGACACTCCCATCGGGCAAGAGACTATCCCATCTCTCCCATGTTGTCGTTGCCCCTTGAACCACTTGGTATAGCCAAGAGGGCACTCGAGTTTGCAGCAGCATTTTGTAGAAATCTTCTGTGGCGCCCACTTTCCGTAAAGAGTGATCGAGTGTCCATGTTCCTGCGAAACCGGTGCCGACAAGATATTCGTTCTTGGCAATGATCTCGCGGAGGGCGTCTGCTGCCTTCTTGCGCTCATGCTCATCCACCAAGATGTTAAAGTACAAGAGTAGAGAGTAGGCTGTCTGGGTTCGATTGCGAGGCTCGCCATCCTTCAGCCAGGTATTCGCAAAGGTCTCTCGAATTAGAATCGGCGATATGATTGACTTTGATGGTGAGCCTCGGTTTGCTCTTGATCTTATTTGGGTTTAAATTGTTGTATGATGGACTAGTTGGTTAGAGGGGCTCGTAGCCTGAATTAAGAGCAGAAGGAAGAGAATAAGGAGTTATCCCGTGAGCCCGTTACCCGAGTCTTAGACGAAGCTCCTGCGTGTAATGCCAGAGGAGGTCGCTCTTCGGACTTGGGGCTCAGGCCGCGCCAAAAACCAGTAGAGCCATTGCGAGATCTCCATTGTCGCCGGCTAAAGTCGGTGGATGAGGTTGAATTTACGGATCCAATACGAAAATGTCGAAGCTAACCCGAGAGATGACGAGGCTTGAGCTACACTGCCTGGCTTGGCACGTTTAAACCATGGCTCCCCTATTTACCCGCCCCATGGGGAAAAAAGGCTGCCCGCGGGCCGATTCAATGAGGCCTGTCTAGCTCGTTGGTCACGAGAGACACTGCATCTGCACTAACGCCTGGATCATTCCACCTTCCCAGAAACACTACCCTTTGCAGTGCCGGTTCCTCTTGGCTTTCATGACGCCTACCATGCTTGTGAAGTTATCACAACTACTGAATGTCAGCATTGTCGAGCTCGGTTCGGATATCTTTGAGTTCTCAATACGCCGTCACATGTCGGGGGAGTGACAAGTGTTCAATCTGCATTTTATCCTGTAGTAAGCGAAATATTTCTCATCTGTCAGTTCCTCTCAGAAGGTATCTCCGGTGGTATGAAATGATTTGGAATCCTTGCATCCGCTGCTGACGCCTCTCTCTTCCCGCATCCCTCCGTTTACGGATCTCTTACAAAGCTGTAAAGGGTCTCGATCTGCTCTAGATGGCAGGTTGAACCGCTCCGTGGCGCCTTGGCAATGGAGAACTATCGATGTAGGTCGGGGTATCTCACCCATCCTGGAGTCTGGGTTCGTCTGGAGCTTCCGATCTTTTCTCGGCTGACGTTATGGCGAGGTGGTTTTTGCCAGCGGAATCAAACCCTGGTCGAGTGACATCTAGCTATACGCGTAAACCCCCATTCAACCCATCTGCCCAGCAAAGAAGCTAATGCAGCCTGTCGGCCGTTCTCTCGGCGTTTCGCTGCATAATTGTACCGAGGGCCTGGAACTCTGCCTCTGATCCCCTCGTGCTGCTTACCCCCTGGGGCCCCGCGTGATTGCGGGGGGTTACCGAACACCTGTCACACTATTATCAAGGTTGTTTTTTCGTTTGTTAGAACGCGGAGAAAGTCTGGGGTTGTCCAGTGACTCCATTCCTAGCACGCCAAGCCGCTTCGTTCTGTTTTGGGGTGGCTAAACTGAGGGGCCATAAGCCGTAAAGATGCAGTTTAATGAGCGATTGGGTCGGCTTTACCGGCGTTTCTTTTCAGCTCTTCTTTGAGGGGATGAGGGAAGCGGAGTCTTCATGTAAATGATGAGGTTGTGCTGAAGGATAAGAGATGTGGTGATGGGGACGATTAATAATACGAAAATTGCCACTATACGATATGTCGTTAACGATACGATAATTATCACTCGCATGCCTCCAGTTGAAGAAAAAGTATAATAGACGTAGGAAATACCACATAAACTCCGGGTTGAAACATTCCAAGCAACTTCTTAGCTTCAATCGTCTTGGCCTTTTCTCATAGTCCATTTCACCTCCTGGGCCCAGCCCTCCACTGTCTTCAACCATGCTGCACCTCACTACGAGACAGTTATGGTAGGAAAGTCCCTTGTCTCTTCAGTCAAGGCTGCTAATAGTCCAACAGGTCCTGTTTCTATTCTACTATCGTCTTACTGGGATCTGTTGATGCCCTCTCCTCCCCCATCATAGCCAAAGGCCCCGACTGTGAGACCAAGAACGGTGCTGTTCTTGTCACCCCCGATTGCGTCGATGGTACCTACAAGACGGTCATTATCGACTCTGAGACGGACGTCACTGTCCCCGTCCCTCACCACAAGATCTCGGGCCACTTTGATGGAACCACCATCGACTTCAACATTTACTTCCCCAAGACCGGATGGGACGGCAGATTCTTCCAGCTCGTGTACCCGACACAGAATTCGACCGCTGAAGACCGAAATATAGGGTTTAGTGCTGACAGCGGCGGTTATACCAACCATGTCGCCGGAGGAGGCGGCTACCGCGCTGATGCTGCCGTGGCGAAGCTCTCGAGGAAGCTTGCAGCCGATTACTACAAGAAACCCAACACCAAAATTTACGGCTACGTCTATGGTGCAAGCGGTGGCTCCATGGTGACTGTCGGGGCCATCGAGAACACTTTTGACGTCTGGCAGGGCGCTCTCGCCATGGTCCAAGCCGTTCCAGTCTCCAACCCCAACAACTTTTGCATGCGGGCATTTGCCGGGCTCGTGTTGGAGGCCCAAAAGGACAAGCTCATATCTGCCGCTCGGCCTGGAAGTGATTTGAACCCTTTTAAGAACCTTGACTCAATGAGACGAGAGGTTCTCACTGAAGTTACCGAACTCGGCATTCCCCTTGCAGCTTGGGAAGACTGGGAGGGCGTCACGCAGAACAGAACCAACTTCCTGCGCACCTTTCGACTCCTCGTTCCTCCCACCATAGCTTCCTTCGATCCCACCTACGTAAATGACTTCTGGACCAAGAAGGGCTATCTTGGGAAGGAGAAGTCTGCTCTTGGTGACTTCTACCGGAAATCGATATACGAGTATGATGCCGTCGTCCAAAAGGTTGATGTCGATGCTGGCAACGTCCCAGTTTCCATTACTCTCAACAAAGTCCCTTCAAAGCCGCCGGCCTTCGGCCTCCAGTTCACTATCCAGTCAAAGGATGGCAAAGGAGGCATCTTCACGGCGCAGCTCGACAAGACCTCCAAGATAGCTGTCATTGACCCTGGACAGAACTCCACAATCCTTGCCTCAGTCTTCAAGGGAACCAAACTCCGTGTCGACAACCGAGCATGGCTTGCTAGCTCAGTATGCCACAGGTACCAAGTGCCTACAAGGCCCGGCTTCTATGGATATGATTATCTTCGCGCAGCTGATGGCAAGCCGAAATACCCCCAGCGCAGCCCACTCATTGCCAACACTATCTCACTCGGTGCCAGCGGTGGCGGCTTGTGGACCGGCAACGTTACTGGCAAGATGATAGTTATGGACACTCTCAAGGACTATGATGCCATGCCATGGCATGCAGACTGGTACAAGGGGCAAGTCCGCAACGCGCTTGGCAACCGCTTTGGCGATAACTATCGCCTGCATTACGCCGAAAACGCCGATCACTTTATTGAACCAGTTGAGGTGCCCCAGACCACGCGTCTTGTCAATTATATCGACATGGCCGAACAGCATCTCCGGGATCTGAGTGCCTGGGTGGAAAAGGGAACAACTCCTCCTACGGGGACTTCATATGCCGTGACGGATGGACAAGTCAAGGTTCCTACCACCGCCGCACAGCGCAAGGGCATTCAGCCTGTTGTAGAGTTGACCTCGGGCGGAAGGACTTCTGTCACGGTCAAGGCTGGACGGTCAGTCTCTTTCAAGGCACATGTTGAAGTTCCTTCCGGCACTGGATCTGTTACCGCTGTTGACTGGGACTTTGAGGGAACCGGAATATTCGTCAAGAAGGACTTTGGGAAGGCCAAGGGTGTCATGGACGTCACAGTATCGCAGACCTACAGGAAGAAGGGGACCTACTACGTCGCGGTGCGTGTGGCTTCTAACCGCAAGGGGGATGCCAAGACTCCTTATGCTCAGGTTCAGAACCTCGGCCGCATGAAGGTTGTTGTCAACTAGTGATGATGGTTCTTCTCGGCCCAACCGGTGCTTGAATGTCTTGCAGTCTGTCCCTTGGCTCTTGGTAGGGGATTAGGTAGACTCTTGGCTATCGTGAGATGGTACAACTCTTTCTCAATAGCATATTCTGCGTTCAATGTTGATATGTATTCCGAAGCTCTATTGACCCATTACACATCAACGTAGATATACAGATAGGTATACGCAAAATGATTTCCAGTCACCAAATGAAGCCCAAAGATGAAAACAAGCTTTCGCCGGCTAAATGCTGCACTGTCTCTAGCTTGCGTCAACATTGGCTTTCATCCTTGAGTTTTCGTATCCCATTCAGCCACTCATGTAGCGCTTCCCTCTTCGAGCAATGCGAACCGCTAACATGGCATGTTTCGTGCTGCGGATCGTCCTCCGCTTCCTCAAGAGCACTTATACAGAATGTTTTACAACACATGGACGGGAAGGCGAAGCTGGGGTGGCTTCCTAGGCTCCTACAGAGCATGTGAGGCTGGTAGCGTGCCAAGCAACTTGAACAACAATAGCCTTCGGGATCTTTTGCCTCTCCTGGAGATAAATACAAACTCCACGGTTCGAAGGATACGAATGTCACTTATCGTTCAGTGCGATAATGTATCAGGAACTTGAATATCTCAATACTGTCGAGAAGCATCGTCTGGCTGCTCGAAGCCAACAGGGCTTCTGCATTGCCACAGAGTGGCAAGCGGAAAGAGTCGAATCAGGACGAATGCGCTTAAACTAAGCAGATATTCTGGCGCGTAAAACTGCTTTCGGGTGAAAGCACAGCGAGTTTATACTGACCTGGTTATGGATAGGGATCTCACATGACCGACTTTTCCCTGCAAATGGTCGTCTCATTGAAACGTTGTTAGCCATTTCAAGCCATTTCCGATTCTTCGCTCTTCGAGTATGAAAGAAGAGAAGAGGATAATGAATACATGATACTATTGCTATAAACTACCGTGACCTAGATAAAATTAAGCTTCTCCGGCGGTAGCCATAGAAACTCGATAGTGGAAAAATGAGTCCCACAATGCAAGATGCCACCTGTCCTTTTCCCACATGAGTCAAAAAGGAAACCAACAGGACCGACCGTGGATCGAACACGGGACCTAGGGATCTGCAATCCCTCGCTCGTACCGCTGAGCTATCGATCCTTTGCTGGTGTAGAACAGCCGTCATTAACTTGGTTTCTGAAGACTCTCAGGATCACCAGCCGAGCAGCTTCTCTTCTTCATGATAATGTTTACCAACGATCCCACACGTTCCAGACAGGTGGTGTTGGAAATACTCCCATGATAAATCACCCTAGTTGATGTTTTTTCGGGTTTGGTTCTCAATTTGAATAGGATATTTGGTCTTTATAATGTCGTCTAGAGGTAGGCAGAAATACAAGGCTAATAATTGACAAAACAAACTGCTATGGGTATATCCTTCCTCCTTCTCGCTATAAACTCTCTTCCTTTTCACTCTGGAAATCCTTGTCTCTCGCCTGCGAGAGCACCTTTGCCTGCTTAATCATGTCCTCCCAGATCGGCGGTCTACATCGCCTCTCACTTCCAGCAGCCTCAGCATCGACCCCAAAGTCAAGCAACGCCTTCTCGCTGCACCACTCTCCAGTAGCCATAAGACCGATAGGCACCTTGCCTTCTGTCTTTTCATCTGCTTCCTCGCCCGCTCTGTCCTGTCCTTCCGGAATCACAAACCCAGCTGGAACTGAAATAGATGGCAGTCCACAGAAATTGGCCAGCCACACATAAGTCATGCTCTCTATCGTGAGATTGCCATCACTGACTCCGTACTTCAACTCGCTCTCTCCACCTCGAATTGGGGCGCCGGCACAGGCTGTAGTAGGTGTGACGATGAGCATACCAGGGTACATCTGCCACAAATGAGAGAGATGTTGCATCAAAAGACTTCGAAGCTTTTGAGCAAGAAGATAATCTGTAGCCGGCGTCGTGCGTCCAACTGCAAGCAAGATCTTTGTCGCAGCTGTGATATCCTTTGTGTCTGGCAAAAGGGAAGCCGCATCGGTCAAGACAGTCATTGCATGCGCAATCTGTCCCTCCTCCATGAAAGGAATACTGATAGGCACAATGGTATATCCATAATAGGTGCAGAGCTTGCCCACTAGACTTCTAGTCAAGTCCTGAACACCCATTGCCGCACATGAGAACCATGGCTCATAGACTCCAAGAAGTTTTGATGAAGGCCTGGACGGTTCTCGGCAGAGTTGAGGGAAGGGCGAAGAAGGATGAGGGTCTGCGATAGTCTCGTAGACGGTAGCGAGAGAGTACATGTCGGCTGCCATGGGTCCTTGAACAGAACAACTCGGTGCTGGGTTAGGTGTGGGGTATGAAGAAAGGCGGCCGTGAGTAGGCTTGAGACCAAAAACTGAACAGTATGCCGCTGGGACGCGAAGACTTCCGCCAGCGTCACCACCAAGAGCAATCGGGATCAAGCCAGCACCAACTGCATATCCAGCTCCCGATGAGCTTCCGCCAGCATAGTATCCAGCATTGAAGGGGTTGAGTGGTGTACCATGGTTGGGATTGTTGCCAGTAGTATCTTGAGATAACGTCAGAACAATCGCCTCAGTGCATCACGTGAATAGTATGTGCTTACCCATGCCGAACTCATGCATCGTAAGCTTCCCTAGAATGATAACTCCCGCTTCCTGCAGCTTGCGCACACTCCAATTGGTGATGGAGCCACTCTTCACAGCGCGTCCGGCGTAGTTCATGTTGGAGCCCATTGTCATATCATAGCCGTCAAGATCGAAATCATCCTTGATTGCCGCGGGGACGCCATCAAGAGGGCCAAGAGACCTGTTTTGGTGATAACGGATCGTGGATTCCTCGGCGGCTTTGAGAACAAGATCCACCTTGGTGTCGATCCATGCTGTCGAATGCTTCCCTTGAGGACTGATATCGCGTCGGATCAATGGTAACAGGGCACGAGCAACATCGGTCGGCGTAGCCTGTCCGGACAAGTACATGGCTCGGTAATCGGAAACTGAATAGTATGGGGCCTCGGTCATCGGCTCGGATGGTACAAGTGTTGGCGATGAAGGAGTACCGAGGTCGAACTCGTCATCTGAGGGGGTATCGCATGGGATGGGAATAACCGTCGGGTCGTTTCGTGCTTCATAGCACTCGAGTTCTTGTCGAAGTTTGCGTAATGAATCGAAGCCAGCGTTGTGCCAAACCAACTCTCGGACCAGCCGAACCCATTCAATCCTATGACAGTTAGGGAGATGATTGGTGACATGAAGGTGGTGACTTACAGAAAAGCAAAGATGACCAACAACGGCCCTCTCAAAACAGGGTTGGCTAACTTTCCTCTTTCCAGGACACTCTCAGGCCTGTTGAAGTCAGCAGAGATCCCCAAGTTGATTCCGTGTTTGACTTACCCTTGTGTGGGCTCTGGGTAGTTTAAAAACCCAGTGGGTTCCTTTGGAGTGGCTTGGATGCCCATCATTTTGTGTGACGTTGTGATCGGCAGGGGCGGCGGGGCCAAATCGGCACTTTGTAGATCGAATTGAAGATGACGCAAGAAAAGAAAGAGAAGTGATGAAACAAGTCAACCGCCAAGAACGCTCAGAACGTGATGTGAAATGAAGAGTCAAACGAACACATCTCGATGGTCTAAAGCAGATGTTTATAGGGGAGCGGTCAAGCACAGCCAGATACCAAGAGTCCATTGAGATTAAGCCAAGACAACCAATCATGACGAAAATATCCCTTGTTTACCAACAGCACACGACCAAAATGGCTAGTTCATAGATGTTGCTATTCTTTCAGATGCATCTTGACCCAGGTAATCGGGTCCAGCACGACCACGTTGGTGGGTTTCAGCCAAATCCCAACAAGCCACCACCCGACAAAGAAGCTGAAACTGGAAACATGGCAGCTTTGGTCTGACTGCGGTCTCAGCTGAGCCACTATTCGCACTAACGTTTGTGCTAAGATTCTATAACGCTTCGCTTCTGCAGCGGCTTTTCCGTTTTGGACGGTTGGATAATTGGAACGGGACGTTTAATGTGCGAAACGCGCGGCTTTGGATAAACAATTTCTTCTATTTAAGAGGTCATGATGTGGTCATTACTCTAACAGAGCAACGAGTGGGTTGGCTTGAGGCCAGAGCATGGTTGACGATGGTTATCAGATGGGGAGTCTTATCAGCACGGATCTTCTCGAGATCAAGCCCGATACCCCGGCTCACAATATTTCTGAAAATGCGCTCGATTTGTTTGTTAGCCTGGAGGCCTACTCATGCCGACCTCGTGTTTGTGTTTTTATCTCTTCATCCACTGTCTCACTGGCTGTTGGCTCTTCATCCTCCTTAGCGCGATGAAGCATTCCAATAGTCTCCCGCTATAGGCTTGGCGGCCGGTAATAGTCTCTCTTCGTTGTCCAGTCTGGACCACGAGATGCATAAGCGAACTGCTTGGCCAGTAATTCAGCGGTTGAGCCTCCACCAACAGTTGAACCATGGAGCAAAGGAAGAGGCTGGATCAGCTGAGGTTGGCATTGGATTGGAGATATGCGCAGGGTCTTCAGCCCTAACAGGCCCGGGCTGGAATGGTCAATCCAAATAGAGCGACTTTGTGGCTTGCGTAGACGGCATGGATTTCCGTCTTTGGAGCGTTTGTTCCGTTGAATCGGTAACGGGAGGCCCTTGTGGGTTACTTCCACGCGCGCCACGCGCCTCCTCCAGATAATGGCGATACGAATAGCGCAGATGACGAGATTATTGGCAGAAAGAATGGGTCTTCTTCGCGCCGGGCCAGATGTCTATAGAAAGCACCGCTCCCCCACAACAATGGTTACCTCTTAGACCCGTCTACTCGTCTAGAAGGGTCTCAAGCCCCAGCGAGGAATTCATTGGATAGCATTTCGCACATGGGTCTCTGGCACTTTACAAAAGAAATAGACTGGTGATTGATGTTTTAAAATGGACAGGATCATAAATTGACTATCGCACAAATGGAATGGGCAAGCGATGGGCCAAGAATGAATCCACCTTGACCAGCATCCATCCACTTCTCTGATAATACAGAATGTCACTTCTCATCGGCTCGAAAGCTGACCTGGTAGCCTACCTACAACATCGTTGGTCGCTGTGCCAATCGCGGCTCCCATCCAACTACCTCCCACATAGAACCCGGCGGCAGCACCAACAAGTGCTCCCGCGGTAGTCCAACCCTTTTTATTCCCTTGCTTCTACTCCTTTGGCTTTTTCGGGGTCCTCCCGGTTCACTTGTTGTGCTCGCAGGGTTGCTCTACTTTCTCTTGGGCAGGATCTGGTCCCTCTCGAGGCTTTCCACCAACCTATCAAACAACGGTTTATGCGGGCATTATGCAAATGAGCAACAGTCGACACCCTAGAGAGGTTCATAGAGAGGCGGATTTTCGTTTGGCTAGTAATGATCAAGTATCCTCTCAACCCTGCATGAGGCTTGGTAGAGTTGGCTGCGTCGACTAGGAGCCCTTTGGCTTACCAGACGCAGCTGTGGCGTCCAACAATGACAACCTGAGCTAACTTCGACAGAAGAGCCTAGGTGGTCGCTCAAAAGCTCTTTAGACGGTATCTATGGACCTGAAATCAATGAGCTTGTCTTGCCAACAGTCAAGCCAACGGAAAGCCTCTGGTAACCTCGACTACATCCATTGGCTAATCATCAGAGAGGCACAGTAGTTCTTCAGAAACAGGCAGTGCCCTAGGTGCATTCCCAATTAAGGGCGGTAAGATAGTACAAAAGTACCTTCGTATTGCGCAAGGTCTAACTATAGTACAAAATTGAATAGTAGGGAAGTGGGCAGGTAAAAAGGGCTTAAGGGAAACATTGCAAAGTAGTAGAGGAGCTAGTAACGCATGCTCATCTCTTTCGGTTGGCTTCTTTTCTGTCTTAAACGCGGACCTCAAGCATCAAGGAAGTAGACAAGTGATTCGACCCACTGCTTGGCAAACTGGAAGAGGTGCCCATGGCCGGAGTCGGGGTAGAGGTGAAGCTGAGCGTTTGGCAGTTGCTGCTGCAGCAAGAACGAGTTGATTGTAGGTGCCAAGACGTCGGTCTTGCCGTTGGTCACCAGGACGGGGGCCTTGATAGTCTTGATCTGATCGAAATAAGTCGAGTTTTGAGTGAAGTCTAGAATAGCCTTCAAGTGACGCGAGGTGCCAGGCTCCTGGATTGACGCCGTCCTGTTTTCGCCCTTGACCTGGCGCTCGCCGGCTCGAGTAATCCAGGCGACACCTGCGGCCTCGCTCGTCTCGGATGGATAGAAGAATAGGCTCAAGATGTCCTCAAGAGAGAGTTCGGGTTGCCTGGCTTTCTCAAATGTTCCCGGGGCGACCTCCCGTGTACCCGTGCCGTTTCCGATAATCGAGCCAGCCAAGACCAGCTTCTCTACGAGGTCAGGATAGTTAATGCCGACATGCTGGGCAACACCACCACCCATAGAGAAACCAAACACGTTCGCCTTCTTGACGCCAATGGCAGCGAGGAAGTCGGCAGCTGTGTCACCCTGCTTGGCGATCGAGTCGGCGACAACACCCTCGCTGTGGCCAACACCGGTATTGTCAAAGAGGATAACCTCCCGGGATTCGGCGATGTAGTTGAACAGTAGCGGGTCGGCAATGTCCATGCTGGCGCGGAAGTTGGGGAGGAAAACGACCGGCAAGGCACCTGATTTGGCACCGAAGCGACGGTAGGCGAGCTTGTCGCCGTTGACCTTGACGTATCGCGTCTTGACGGTTTGGACCAACTTGGGCGGAGGGTCGATGAGTCCGAAGCGAACATCAGGCCTAGTTCTTGTTAACGACGCCTCCGTAAAACATAGCCACATATTGGTGGTGGTTAGGGATGCGCGCGCTTACTTGGCGGCGGCAAAGGCCGTTGCGGTTACGGCGTAGAAGAGACTGGTCAGGAATTTCATGTTGCAGTAATATTGAGAGACTTGTTGATTTGGATGAGTGAGTCCATTTCCCGTTTCTCGGCATCTTGTTCGCGAGTTCTTATACACGACTTCTACAACCAAACTGATTTATCATCACAACTGATGTTCAAGTCCGCTTCAAGTCCGCTCGGCCCCAGCCGGCTAGCGTCAATGCTGGCCGAGGTTGGTGATGTGATCCGCGCATTAGAGTGAGTCGTCATTGAGAAGTAAGTTGCAAGACAACGAACGGCAGTCGTGCGAGCGGCGGACTGGATTAGTGATTAAATATTCTTGTTAGAGTTGCAACACCACGGCACTTGTGTGCACGGCTGTATTACGTACTTGTAGTCTTTGCAGACGGACCAACATCTCACCGACGGCGTAATTAAACGGGATCATCGGGGCGGCCAAATTGTTCATGCCTTCCGTCCTTGTTGCCGATGCAACTTCCCATTCGTGGAGACTCAATTAAGATTTTGCTAATACACAACCTTATTCATATCATGAGCTACAGGCAGCAGTACGCGTATATACACTTTCTCAACCTGCGGATTTCTTTGAAAAGATGAGCACTAGCTTGAATCTCGCCATTGCTCTGCTAACAGATCATCTCATATGGAGAGACCAATTGACCCATCGGGTTATTCCACGCATTAATTGCGACGACGTGGCTTCGGTCTTATTTAAAAGACCTATTAAGTATAATAGCTAGTTTTACATTATTAGTCTTGGCTCACATTTTAACTTTAACTATCATAGAGATGTTAACCCTTTCGTTGCCTTTGCCCGTTTTATTTGTGCTAGATGGGATAGAACTTCTACTTTGCCTAGGCTACCTGCCATATCAACAACCTATATATCGATATTCTCTAGTGAAATGGCCTGACCATCGATATTAAGTAGGAGCCATATGTGTATAGTTCGTGGGAGCAGTGGATACTCCCAGCGATCTCCTATATCTGTGCTACTTATGGCTCTCTGCTGCTGCGGATCCAAGGAGATCAGTCCAGTCAGCTACTCTATCGCAGGCGTTCACCTCAGCCGAGGAAACAAGACAATGGCGTATTTGTGGCTAGGTAGGCCAAATGCGAAGCGGGCCAGTAATGACGGATAGTCAAGCTCAGGGTGGTCTATGCCAAGTTTTGACGCGCTGAAGGAAGCTACATGCTTGTTCCGAGACTTGCCACGTCTGTAAGTTGATTAAATCAGAAACCTTTTGACCAACACTTGACCTTAATAGACTGAGATAACATGGGATGCTGTTAGGGGTTAATTGTCGAGTGCTCCTTGGTAGAAGCCTTGTCAGTCTATGAGAAGTTATAACCAGTATCTGCAACTAAGACCGTTTATAATCAAGAAGTGCAATTTGTTTTTCTTGACGATCAATGGGGACTGAAATGGCGTCGAGATGATGATTTTCCATTGTCAAGACCGAGCTCTCGAAAGAATGTACCAGAACAGAGCCATTGACATAATCAACAGTCTTGATAATTCAATAGCTTTCTATATGAATTCAAGTTACTATCCCGTTTCAGAGGGTTTGGGCTAGATGTACAATTGATCGATGTTGATTTTGTGGCTTTTCTAGACACAAGGCAACTGTTTTTATGTGTATCTAAGAGCAAAGAGTGCCCAAAGTAACTGTTCGAGCTCACTCGTCCTTCTTGACCAACAATATCCCCAATAGGGCGCCATGCATCCAAGGAAAGTTTGTGTGGCTATCCTTCTATCGATGTACGTTGTTAGACATTGGTGCCACCGTGCCAATGAGACCCTGACGTAACATTGCGAAACTACACCACATTCCATGGCGTGAGCGGCGCAGGCTCGCAGCGAGCAAGAGACTCGGCTGATGGTGTAGTCCTAGACAGCCGAGGCATCATTCTTCAATACTGGCCTTTTTTGCATCTACGTTTTCTATCCCTGTTTCTTGCGGGTGGCCTGACCCCTTTGTTACTTGATAAGTCAGCATTCGTGTCACATTTCGCACCTGACCACCAATTGACTTTGTATGACGTATTGGTGATCCAATCAACCCGGCAACCACACAACACGGAAGTGGTCAAATTCCTCCCAGCTCAGTGAAGAAGCACCCAAACTCACCAAACTCATGCGTATCTTATTCGTTTCCCTCTTATCCTCAATCGCTCCGACCAACATGTCAGGAACAGCGCCGTCCGATCCCTCGCCGGGGAGCCATGCCAGGGGAGTGGAGCAGACACCATCGGATGCCAATCAACATGGACAAGCCCAGTACGCGATCAGCGCGACGGTTCCCCACCCTATAGCAATGATGAACTGACAGGTAGACAGAAACATTATCGATGAGACCAAGGACACATACGGACCAACAACTGTGGACGCGAGCATCGGCTACATGATCGATGCTGGTGATGGAGATGCCGGTCTTTCGAATCGCCTTGGCAACATGTCAAATCAGCCCAAGGTGAAAGGTGGAAGTGCTGGGACTGAACGCAAACCTGCGACGTTGGATAAGCGGGGCTTTAAGGTGGGAGAGAAGGCCGATCTTCACGACTTGGCGCAACAGAAGCAACCATGATATCGTCTCAGGCACATCTACGGAGTATTCTCGAGAAAGTTAAATACACACACGTTACGTTGTCACGATCTTCGGGCTCAGTTAACCCATCAAGGGCCGGGCTGCAACTATAATAAAGAACAGATCTTCAACACATTATAACATCATGACCCGATGTTAACACAGTGGCCGTTACGTTGTCACGGTCTTCTGGCTCAGTTATCATCTAGGTTAGCCACATCCACTGAGCCTAAAACCCTATAGTCTTGATAGCCTTTATGAAGCTAGCTGAGGTATAGGGTGAGGGGGAAAGATGTTTGAGACAGTACGGTTGGTGACCGCCTCAAGTCGGGACAGTATTTTTAGATTGGGATATACAGCTTCTCTACGGCAACGGCCAAGGTGGAGCAGGTCTGTTTGTTGTGAGTGTCCGAGGCAACATTGGATCCCCCACGTGCCCTCTTCTCCCCGTGGGGGTCGGCTAGTCATCCAGATGACCATCATCTCTTGGTATTCCACTCCACGGGGTAAATCTCTTCTCCATAAACATTGTACGGGGGTGATGAAGATCGTTAGTCAAGACCCTACGGTGTGACGAATATCCTTTACAGGAATTCTGCACCCACGAGGCTACTCATCTCTATAGACGGCTTTTAAGTGGCGAGAGAGAAGTGTTCCCGTCTTTTAACATTACTGATTCTTGCACCTTGTTTATGCAAAAGGGCGGGCCAGATTGAATATGGGGCTCACGGGTAATCCTCCTTCTTCAGACCCCTGCCCTGGATCATAAATCGCTCAGCTTCGGATCCGTCTCAATTTCAGTCAGCCATGCCTCAGCTGATGAACGTGTGGTGCAACCTACATACATGCAGAAGTAGCGTGCTTCTAGAAAACACTCTGCAGAAACGGCTGGGGGAGAAGCATTCCGTAATCCGCCGTACTTCCGGTAAATGGGCGTACTCAAGACTTGGTCTTGCTTGGCTTGGGCCTCTAGAGAAAATAAACTCTGAACTAAGCATGCCACTATCCCCACATAGCTCCGCCGAGGGACCATAGACCGAGGCTCGCTTCCGTCTGGGAGGTGGATTCGCGTTTCTTGGCGTCTGGCGGTAAACAGGTTCCGCTGCGGGTGCGGGGAAAGGGGGAGAAGCTCCGGGCGGAAGTCCGTGATCGGCCTCCGCCCTCCCATCTTGAGCTGAGACCGCGTATGTTTTGTTTCATCCGACATGGTGCTTGGGAATATACGGAGAGTCAGCTTGTTACCTGGTGAGGGCTCCGGAGGGACTTGGAGCAGTCCCATAGATATAACACAGCAAAAACACAACGAAAACGTACAGTGAGCACTCCGTAAGCTCTTGTTGTTGATGGCGGGTTGTTGGCCACATCAGCATCCGACTCTTCTCGAAGGGTGCATCCTTTTGCTTGGCATATCCATATCATCAAACTCATACCCTTGAAGGTCTCATGCACTCTCCACTTGCTTTCCCCTCTTTCTCCACCGTTGTCTGTAGCAACTGCGCCTCATCAAACGGAATGACTTGAAGTCAGCATTTGAACTGGAGGATTCTGTAGGGACTCAACAGCATTTTGATGTTATATCGATGCTAATACCTCTTAGACTCTCCAAATCTTGCTACGATGCTCATAGAATACATGACTCTTCCTCATTGTCGTCATCAACAAACAATATGAGGCAGCATGAGCCTATAGACTTGGCAATACAACTTGATGGCGTGATAGTACCTTGGCATACGTGTCGGTCTTAGTTCTCGCCACCGGCGGCCTCAATTCTAATACCGCATACCTTGATTTTGGAGATCTTTCTCCAATTATGGCTCTGCTCTCCCGTCGCCAAGCGGCTACTCCCTGTTGGAGGCCGGCACAAGGTCGCTTCGGCATCCTTGCCTCGGGGAGTCCGGGCGCTTAGGGTCGTAAGATACCGCCTTTCTCGCTTCCGCTTTCCTCGCCAGAACTCCATAGTGTCTCCCCATGGGCAGCACCGTCACCACAGTTCCGCGGTGAGAGCTACGGGTTGTCGCACCGCGGCCGAGCCAAGCAGCTTGGCTGACGCGATGGATAGGAGTCATCCCGGTTTCTTCCAGTTTAAAGTCGTGACACCATTTTACTTACTGACGTGCACATTATGATCTGTAAAGGACCAGACCTCTTTTACCCCGCAAGATATCATCTCTTGGTGGTTTCTTGGCAGGGGGCTTCCCCATGGGCGCAAAAAGTCTTGTATATCAAGCGTTTATGTAACTGCCGAGAGCTGGAAAGAAATAGCCGCCGGCGGAGAAATTCAACACCGCTAGCGTACGACGTAACCTCCGTCAAGGTGAGCGTCGGCTGCCGTCGGTGAGTGCCTGTCATCGGTGAGTGGACAGGCAGCCGCGAGTGAGGCGCGCCAGGAGAGACAAGGGGCCTGCGTGAGCTGCTGGGGTAAAGAAGAATTAATTCCCGCATTCTCCAAATATGCAACGAGGCATTTACAATCATGTGGGTGGCTGGACCAACTTGGCATGGTGTTGAAATCTGCCGAAGACAACGTCCGAGAAAAAGCCACCGTTCGACACAACACCATAACAAGTTGGAGTTGTTTGTGTGTGTCTGTCACAAAAGATGACATGCTTCCCCGCTTATCTGTGCAAATTTTTGGCTTTCTCCTTGGCTTTGGCTTGGCCTCCACCTCTAGAACCTTGGCGCTTCCATCGTGGGGTAGCAACACGAGACGTGAGTCGTACGCCAAGCGCAGTTGTTCCGGATCCGCAGTCTCAAGCGGATGACCCCGTGCTGAGATTGCGGAGAAGACTTTGTCCTTGCCCCTCATATTGGTTGGATCTTGGGGTTGTCTCTTGTCTTCTCCCTTGGCTCTCCTTGGCTGGAGGCCAAGAATCTTACCACCTTCCATCATGGGGCAAGGGGCGACAGATCCTCCACAGTCTGACGAGAGGACCCTTGTAGAGAGTATTGCGGAGAAGAGACTTCATCCAACGATACCACCACGGAATAGCTATAAAGAAGAAAGTGTGTCTCATCCTGCTACATGATTCAGCACCGCACATCCTGCTGCGAACCCTCCCCCCTCCTCCTCAGTCTTGCTCTTCAAGGCGTTCTTCTCTCATAATGTCTGAAATCAGAACAACCTCTGGGGCTGACCCCAATGGTGAGAAGGAGGAGAACGGTCCTACTCTCACACAAATCCCTTCGATTACCAAAGCCGAGACTGGGGTCATCGCCGACATCAACCATGTGGCCCGCCTTGGCATGGAAAACACCAAGGAGCTAGAGAAGAGGATCGTCCGCAAGCTCGACATGTGGATGCTTCCCCAGCTCTGGATTCTTTACATGTTCAACTACCTCAACCGAAACAACATTGCCCAGGCCCGTCTCAACACCTTCAACGAGGATCTCAACCTCAAGGATGGAGACTACCAGACTGCCGTTGCCATCTTGACTGTCGGCTACATGGTTGCTCAGCTACCTTCCAACATGTTGATCACCCGAGTTCGACCTTCCATCTACCTCCCTGCTGCCGCCTTAATCTGGTCTGCCATCTCAGCCTTGACTGTCGTTTGCACGAGCGCTGGCGGCCTCTGGGCTGTTCAGTTTGTTCTTGGCATTGTCGAGGCACCTCTCTTCCCTGGTGTATGTCCAACATGCTATCCACTTGTGATGACTTACTAATCTCTTTGTCTTATAGGCCGTCTTCCTCATGTCCTGCTGGTATACCCGACGAGAATTCGCCCTTCGTGTCGCCCTTCTCTACTCGGGTCTGGTCCTTGCCCAAGCCTTCTCAGGACTGATTGCCGCTGGTGTCTTTGCCGGTCTCGATGGCCCCATGGGTCTCGCTGGCTGGAAATGGCTCTTCATCATTGAGGGTGCTGCTAGTGGCTTCTTTGCCATCACTGCCTACTTCATCCTGCCCAACTATCCTGACTCTACTTCTGGTGGCGCCATGTGGTACATGAATGCCGATATGCGAAAGGTCGCCGCTGCCCGAATTCTCGATGATAGAGTCGAATTCTCTGACAAGTCTTCTGTCTGGCATGGACTTAAGCTTGCTGTCACGGATATCAAGCTCTACATGTTCCTCTTCTTGAACATTTTCATCACCTCCTCATACGGCTTCAACAACTTCTTCCCTACTATCGTCAACGGACTTGGTACGTGACAGAAATATTCTTCTTCGTGCAATCACTAACAGAAACAGGTTTCGGAAGCCGAGTTCAAGCCTTGCTCATGACTGCTCCCCCCTATGTATGGGGAACTATTTGCACCTTTTTCGTCGCCTGGGACTCGGACCGCCGCCGTGAACGCGGTTTACACATCATCATTCCCCTTTCTTGCTCAGTGGCTGGTTTCGTTGTCACTGTTGCGACGGGCAATGCCTCAGTCCGATATGCCATGACCTTCCTCTACGCAGCTGGTTGCTTCTCCGCCAACACTCTGCAGTACACTTGGGCCGTGTCGACCCTTGGTCAGACCCCCGAGAAGCGAGCTGCTGGTGGTGCCATTGTCAACATCTTTGGCCATCTCGGCAACGTCATCTCGCCTTACTTCTTCCCTGATAAGGATGCGCCCCGTTACACCATGGCCATGATCCTGCAGATCGTCTTTGCTGGTCTTGGTATTGCTGTGGCCAGTGTGGTCAAGTGGCACTTGACCAGGAAGAACAAGAAGCTGCGTGAGGAGGCTGAGCGCTTGGGCATTGACTACAACCCTTTTACGACTTAAAGAGACTGTACGGGCTGCTTTTAAGATTGACTGGTACTATCCACAGGTGGCATACGGTTGTGAAGCGCCTAAGGATAGAACAGGACAATAGATAGGTTGTCAAGACAGTTATTCTGTCTTAAATTCCAGATTGATTCTCGTTATGACTTGACTTACGCCAACTTGGAACACCTTGACTGTTTGCAGGAGCTACGTAGTAAAAGGTGTTAGAGACATCCCGTGCCCACGAGATTCTTGTCGTTCAGCTAAAGGGCCGGGTTCTGGCGGTCGCTAGAATCCTAATCAATAACTAATACCCAGCCAAAACATGGAAAAAGATAACCTGGGTGGGATTACTGGTGCAAGCAAAAGGAGTAGTCTGTTCGCCATAATCGGCCGAGGTGCTCACATGCTTTCATCGCTGTTACTAAACCACTTGAGAGGGAAGATCATATAACTAAGACTCATGCCCTCACCGTCCTCCACCAGCTAGAATCCAAGCACCTATCACCCCCCTATCTTCCATCCCATTCAATACATCAGGTCTTTATCAGGTACGGCCAGGATTACGCAGTTGGGTGGTCGCTGACGTGGGCAGCTCTCTGCACATCGGTAACGTACTTGCGCATCTTCCGAGCAGGGACATGTTTCTCATACATTTCATCCATCTCGGCTGGATTCCGCTGCGATGGCTCAGGCACATAAAAGTAGACAACAATAGTAGTCACCAATCCAGTGCCGAAAAACAGCCATGCTGTTTTGTAGTTCCAGTCAGCGCCATTGGTATCGACTGGTTCAATGAGTTAGCGCACGTTTTCCTCCCTTCATCAGGTGACGCCAACTTACGCATGAGAGGCACTGTCGTGTTGAAGGTGAGTCCAAAAACAACCGATGACGCTGCGGCGACGCCGGCCGTTCGAGCGCGAAGCTTTTGCGACGCTACTTCGCCGACAAAAGCCCATCCGATGCTGCCAACTAGTTGAATAGGGTTAACGAATGCAAAATTAAACCATGAGGAAATGACTTACGAGCTTTGTTGAAGAACGCCCAAACGCAAGCAACGAAAATGAGGAGGTTTTGAATCGGTGTCGTCTTGTTTACGAAGCCGAGGATTCCAACCACCATCATGCTCAACGAGCAACCGATAACAGAGATGAACGTAGGACTTCTTCGTCCCGCCTTGTCGGAAACGAGGATCAAGACCAATGCGGAGACGAGCTGGATGATAGCTAGAAGGAGATCAGGTTAGCCAAGCTCTGGGAGGGGGATATCAAGATGCTCACTCAAAATGGTGGAGATGAGGAAAGGATCGTCAAAGCCACTTTGCTTGAAGAACAAGCTTGCGTAGGTGTTGAGGAAAGAAAGGCCGGTCAGTTGCTGGGCACAGGCTGGCAGAGCGGCGCCAAGGGTTCTGCGGGCATTGGACCCCTTGAAGCAAGCCGAATAGGTTGTGATAATCTCGGAAAAGGACTTGTCGTTCAGTCCTTGTTCCTCTCGCAGGCTCCGTTCCTCCAATATCGTGTTTTTGATGATGGCGTACTCTGTTTCGACGTCGTAATCCTGCACACCACCGTTGACACGCCTCAGCGTCTTCTTGCCTCGCTCGTCTTGATCCCGCTCCGCATAGTAGGCTGCAAATCGGTTAGTCTCTCAGGAAATTATCACTGGGAGGAATAAGAGGCGAGGCTTACCGGGCGTCTCTGGAAGCCAGATGAAGATTGGCAGCATCAGACCTAGGAAGCCCCACTGAGTCAATATGGGAGTTTTGTAGTCTAGAGGGTCGACGGCATGCATGATTGTGAGAATCATGGGAGCCAAAAAGTTGCCGATAGTGTTCCAGAATCCATAAGCAAGTACCATGGCGCCACGGATATTGACAGGGGACCATTCTGTGATGTAGACGGGCAATGTCGCCTGGAGTGCTCCGATGCCGGCTCCAGCCAGAAGTTTAGCTCCGGCCCAATCCTTCCAGTCACGAACGACGGTCTCGATAGCAATAGACTAGATGGAATGTCAACTTTTCTGTGCTTCGGGAATTTCGTCTTGTTAGAAACTTACTGCGGCTAGCATCACCCAGAGAACATACAATGTCTGCTTGCGTCCAATCCTATCTGAGACAGGATTGAGCGAGAGCATGCCGATGATCTGACCTAGAGACTGCAAAGCGCCCCAAAGAGCGGTGTACTGAGCCTTCAGTACATATTCTCCTTCAGCATTCTGGAATCCAACATGGTTGATAAACCCTTGGTTGGCAATAATATTTCCTGATACGTGGTTAGATCTGTCCAGGCCGTTCGTTCAACAAGTCAAGATGCTGACAACTCACCATTGAGATTGATTTGGAAGCCATCACAGGCAGCAGCAATACAAAGAAGACTGCAAACAAGAACAGCCTGCAACAGAGTCAGATCAAGCAAGCCAGACAGGGGGTTGCGGGTACAGTACCTTTCGAAATCTCCATGCAGAAGCTCGTAGGCCAAGCTTGTCGTGACTTGACTTGAGGGCAACGCCTTCATGCCTCTCGACATAGTCAAAAGAGCCTTTGGGCTTGGCGTACATGTCCTTGGAGTTGTCCAGTATGCCAGTTGTCATTGTGACGGTCAGGGTGTTGAACGCAACGAGGGCTCTGGTTAGAAGAGAAGATAAGTGGAATTGCTCAAGATGAAGACTCTGCCTGAAGACAATCGCCGTGGGAAGGAGGAAACATCCGAGTCTTTAAACTTTGGTTTCGAAGACGCCAAGAACAGCTGAGGTTCTGGACCATTCAGATGCCCATATACTTCCCCGCGTCCCCAAACATCATTTACCTCCTCTGTATCCCGGGGAATGGCTCTAACGTGGGGAAGGTCGTCCACCTGAGCCGGAATACCGATGGTTAAGCGAATCTGTGGCGCAAGTAGTGTGATACTGGCCCTGTCCTGCTCAGAACATTATTGGGCAGAACTTGTGCCTATGAAGACAGGGCGGAACAATTGTGGTACTGCCCTTGGCTAACGGCCCCACAGTTACCCCGTCCCCCGCTCCGCTCCTCGTTAGCTCAGCTTTAAACACAATTCCAGCTTCGACAACACCCAAGTCTTCCATGAGGCATTTCTCATCACTTTGGTCACACGGAGAATGGTCAGTCCACATGCATGCGATCACTGCAAGAGACGCAAAGTAAAATGCAACGGCGCGGATCCGTGCTCTCGGTGCAGCCGTTCCCGCATTACTTGCGAGCGGCGAACCAACCCTCGACGACGCGGCCCACGGGTTGCGAAACGCCCTGCCGATGCCGAGAACCATTCGCCAAAACGACCCTGTGCGGATAACCAGGAACATGGAGTATCTAGTCATGATCCTTTACTCTTGGCCCCGATGTCTGGGCGGGACGACGAGCTCAGGGACAGTTCTGCGAGTAGGATAAGCTCCGTTCCCGTAGTGATCCATACATTCGTCGATTCGCCTTGCTCCATCACATCTGCACCACAGAGTATCTTCTGGGACGAGTTTCTCCATGTTAGAGAACGCCTCATCTCTCGATTCAACTCAACACGGGGTCTTTCTGGCAACATAGAGCAAGTGGCACACGAATGTGTTGATTTGTTCATGCAATTCCTCTTTCCCAACACCCCGATCGCCCATGAACCGACCCTGAGAGCCGGTATTCTTCTTCTTGGAGACGAACTCCCAGACTGTCCGTCTACGGAGAGTCCTAACCCCGAAACGCTTACGCTCATGGCACTCTTGAGGCGCTTCACCCTCATCACGGCGCTATGCGCTCATATCATCTCGGTTGTCCCTGAGAACCTTTTCCGGAATCCGAAATCGCTGTCTGATATATTCTTCGAAGCGTCCAAGTCGATGCTGAGGACCTACGAAGCCTATGATCTCGAGCACCCCGATTCGACATCCCTTACTATCCGAATGTGGCATTCATCCTACGCCCAAAACACCACTGGCAAAGTCGGTGCTTCGTGGCATTACCACACAGAGGCCTGCTGCCTTGCACAAAGAATGCGGTTGTTCGATGAAGCCTCGGTTGCCCGCCCTTCGCAGATCGAGTCTCAGCTACTTCGTATCAACTTCTGGCATCTCTACCTCGCTGAGAAGACTCAAATCGCTTTCAAAAGTCGGCCGCCGATCATTGACGAGAGGATATGCGACGTTACCCTTCTCGAGAATGGCGATGAAGTGGTGTCGTTTCTCGATCCTTCGCGACAAGTGGGTCAAGGGGGCCTCGAATCTCGCATCTTTGTTGGATTTCACCTTCGGCGAAGAATCTCAGCCGCGGCAGCCAGCCTTATAAACGATATCGCCAGCCGCACACGATACGTCGAGACGAACTCGCCATCTACGATACGGTCGGATAGAAATAATGAGGAAATAGACTTCATGATAGAAAGATATCTCAAATTCACAGCCCTGGCCAATGAAGTACCGCCTTGGGTACGGCGACCAGACGGAGAGGGAAATCCAGAGGTTGAGGACAGTGTTCGGGCCTACCAAACCACCTGTTTCTGGGCACAGCGGAGCAATATCATGACAATCTTCCACTGCATGAGACTGTTGATCCTACAAGCATGCATCGACCACGGTCTTCTAATGATAGTTGGACTCAGCGAGAGCCCACTGTCCTGGGCAAGTCGGAAGCTTGAGATAATACGGGATTTCCTAGATGACCTACAGGGCACTCCGTTTGTTTGTATAGCGGCACAAGGAGAGACAGCGGTTTGTGGCAGTCATTTCTCCAGCTCACCCTTATGGCTAACATATTCTGGTAGGTCGACAAGGTCAGGCGCGTCGGTGCCATACTGCTCGAACTTCTTCACAGCTCAGATAACGCAACCATAAGGACACAGGCTGAACTACTATTTAACGCCTTACTCGATATTCTATCTAGGTTGGATTCAAAAGCCAGTGAGGGACTGGAGATTCCCAGTGTCTTGGTTGAAGGTACTCAAGATTGGTGCAATCCTACGACGGTTGGCTCTGGAGGATCAGTCTGAAAGTCACACAAATTCGCCATGTGGCTTTTACATTCTGGAGCTTCAAGCAGTGCTAGCAAAGACCTGTGCTAGTACTATCCGTGGTAGGTGAAGCCAATGTATGGAGCTGGACAGGCAGTGGATGGCCCAGTGCGACATGGTGCGTGATTCCAAGCATACCCACCTGCGGTGAATTTAATTCATCAAGCGTTGTCCTCTAAGAAACCAGCATACTTTTACACAAGCAAGGGAATGTCGGGGTGCCCCGGTCATACTCATCCACCACTTGCTCCATGGCCGAAGCGCTCGTGAATATTAAGATGTCTTGTGATCCAGGGAGCGCCAATTGAAAGGATATGCCGGGACTAGTAGCCATGTCGCTACTGCAGGGCACGAGGACACTACCGTGAATTACGTCTCCGACTGGCATGTCAGTTCCAGGGATGCGTACGCTCAATTCCGACTGCCTGGTCCAGGTCCGCGGCCCCATAATTCCTCCGCCTCCCCCACATCTCCGCCCCGACCTCCGCTCCCAATTGCCGGGGGACCGAGCCGGGGTTTCTGTGGGGCTGCTCATTCAGCTCGGTCCCCTTTCCCCCGCGACAGGACCGGAGGTTCCATGTCCAACCTCCACCCTCCGAGACTTAACCCCGTTTTTCATGACGGCTCCAGCAAGACATTCAAGTAGGTAGGTCACCGATACAGCCCCAGCTATAAATCAGGCCACGCTTGAACTAGAGTCTCGGAGATTATTCACACCACTTCCCATCCTTTCATCCCCCTTGTCCTTTCTTGTTTTTGCTGTTACCGGCTTTGACATTACCCTTTCCCCGTTGTCTCATTCTTTCAGTCCACAATCATGGGAGACCTCAGTCAAGACTTCCCGTCATGCACGGAAGAAATCACCATTGTCGAGCTGAGAGCTGAACACTATCAAGACGGGTTCGGGATATTCCACCCTGCACCCAGACTCTCTTGGCGATTTGCCGCAACCACCCTCCGCGACTGGAGGCAGTCATCTTATGAGATTGTCATCAAGCGGCGAGGAAAGACAGAGTCTTTCCGAGTTGAGTCGTCCAAATCTTCACTTGTGCCGTGGCCGTCAACGGCGTTGGCTTCAAGAGAAATCGTTCACGTCAGCATACAAGCCACCGGCGCGAACGGAGTGAAGACTGGCTGGGCGGAGCTTACATTGGAGGCTGCCCTCTTGAAGCGAGGCCATTGGGAGGCAGACTTGATAAGTGGTCCTCTTCAAGATGTCGACAAGCCCAAGCCGCCATTTCGCATGAGAAAGACCTTCGCATACGAGGGCGGCCCAGCCCGTTTGTATGCTACCGCCCATGGTATCTACCAAGTAGAAATCAATGGCCAGGTGGTTGGCGATCAAGTGCTTTCTCCCGGGTGGCAGTCATATCGACACCGACTCCACTACCAAACGTATGACGTTACGAGATATTTGCTTCCAGGACGCAATACGATCGGAGTGTATCTGGGCGAAGGCTGGTTTGCTGGCAGGCTCGGGCGACCAGGAGTCTCCAACATATGGGGGGACCGTCTAGGATTTCTGGGTCAGCTTGAGGTCAATGGGCAGGTTCTTTGCCGAACTGACCACACCTGGGAAGTCCTCGTCGACGGTCCTGTCCTTAGCTCCGAGATTTACAACGGCGAAGTCTATGACAGCAAACAACATGACGCATTGTGGTCTACCCCCAAGGCACCTTCCAGCAAGCTCTACCTTGCAGCCGAGGTTCTCCCATTTCCAGAGGCCGTTTTGATAGCACCTGAAGCGCCCCCTGTTCGTCGCATCCTAGAGCTACAGCCGCAAAATATCATCACAACACCCAGCGGGAAGAAAGTCCTGGACTTTGGGCAGAATCTGGCTGGTTGGCTTAGGGTGAATATTGACATCCCTGGGACGGGAACTGTTACCATTCGCCATGCAGAGGTCATGGAACATGGTGAACTAGGAACGAGGCCCCTGAGGACGGCCAAGGCAAGCACCGTGATACACCTGGGAGGTCAGACGCGTGGGTATGAACCCAAGTTTACATTCTATGGCTTTAGGTGAGATTTCGTACATCACTCGTTGTATTAGCCGCTTCTAACGACACGGTGCAGGTACGCGGAAGTGACAGGTTACGACGCCTGCAGTCTCTCCGACTTCACCGCTGTTGTGATTTCTTCAGATCTACGCAGAACTGGGACATTTGAATGCTCCCATGATCATGTGAACAAGCTTCACGAAAATACTGTATGGTCGATGCGGGGAAACTTCATCTCTGTCCCTACGGATTGCCCCCAGCGTGACGAGCGACTAGGGTGGACAGGCGATATTCAGGTCTTCACTCCCACCGCAAGCTTTCTTTACGATACCGCGGCGTTCATCGGAGGCTGGCTCCAGGACGTCGAGGCCGATCAGAAAGGCCTGGGAGGGGTCGTTCCCACTGTTGTTCCCAGCATTCCTATGCCCCCCAAGCACAATGAAAATAAGGCCATGGCGGCTTGGGGTGACACTGTGGTCCTCACACCGTGGGATCTATACCAGTTCTTTGGAGACAAACAGCATTTACGAAAGCAATGGGAGAGCATGAAACTGTGGCTCGACAAGGGGATACCTCGTGATGAACGGGGGTTTTATTCCACCGAGATGCCTCAGTTCGGCGATTGGCTTGACCCTCGGTCTCCGCCTGCTCTTCCTGGGCACACACCCACTGATCCGTACTTGGTTGCCAACGCCTATTTGGTTCATGTCACTGAAGTTGCTTCCCAAGTCGCTGATCGGTTGGGCGAGCTGGAAGATGCGAAACGCTATCGAGACGAAGCGCAGAGGCTACGCAAGTTGTTCCGAGACGAGTACATTTCGCCCAAGGGAAGGCTTTCGTCAGACACACAGACGAGCTATGTCCTGGCTCTTCACTTTAATCTCCTAGATAGCGAGGTTGAGATACAAACTGCGCGGTCCAGACTTGACTGGCTAACCCGATGGGAAGCCTTCAAGATCAACACAGGGTTTGTGGGGACGCCGCACATCCTACCTACCTTGGCCAATGTCCACATGATGGGCACAGCGTATAGGATGCTGCAGGAACGTGACAGTCCTAGCTGGCTATATCCCATCACGATGGGCGCAACCACGATTGTAAGTACCATCTCTCGCCGCAAACATGCCGCCGTTGTTTCCTGACCGTGCTTTGCAGTGGGAGCGATGGAATTCGATGCTCCCCGACGGTTCCATCAATCCGGGCCAAATGACGTCTTTCAATCACTATGCTCTGGGCGCCGTGTGCCATTTTCTTCATGCATACGTGACTGGCTTATCTTCAGCCTCACCTGGTTGGGAGTCCGCCACCATTCGTCCACGACCTGGTGGTACAATCCGATGGGCTCGGGCCACGTACGACTCCCCCATAGGGCCATACAGTGTATTTTGGACGTGTGAATCCAGCGTCATGAAGACGAGTGTATCGATTCCTCCAAACGGCGAAGCACGGGTAGTTCTGCCCGGGATTGATGTTGTCGTTGGCAGTGGAAAGTATTCTTATGAGACGGAGTGGCATGAGGATTTGACATGGCCGCCACAGGTTATCCAGGGAGCTCAGGGAGCACCTGTTGAGGCTACGTATGTTCCATGAAAGATAGTCGATATCTTGCTCTCGGCTGCTGATGGAAGAGATAAATAAACATCTTGGCGACCAAAGGTGATTATCAAGTATTTTTCCTATGTTTGGCAATAACAGTAGTGATGTAACCCACCGAAGAACGCACCGCACTTTGCTCTATGCAGTTTAAAGCATCTTCACCCACAGGATCTTGCGTAAAGCTAACCTTGTCAAGTATTGCGGCCTCTCATTATGCAGATTGTCAATTTTTCTTGGTGTGGACGAGAAGCATTGTTGAAAGCTGGGGTTGCTCTGAGCATACGGAACTACCGATGTACAGCATAACCAAGGTCGAATAGATACTTTGACTCTACCCTTAGGCTTCAGGCTTCGGATGTGTCGGATGTGACTCTGTAGTCCAATGGTTGAGTGTTTCATCATGTATGCGCGGCAAGTAGTATATGGACTGACTTGGGCTTTCCCCTCAGACGAACGCCCAATTGCACGGATCTTTGGATGTATTCGGTGAACATTTATGGGTTTTCCGAAACAAATGACTTGTAAGAATGATTACCCCTGTTTTGGAAGGGTCACGCCACTCTTCGTGGGGTGAGGGTCACTTTCTTGGCAAGACTGGTAGAATTCGTTTTGTCTCTGCTTAATCGCTCAAGCGACTATCAGATAGGTCAACAACCAGCACACATACGAAAGTGATAGGACCAGTTAAAGTTCTTCTTTCAAAACCTACAACGTAGTCTTCATCTCGAGGTCAAACATCTATCAAAGGCGAGCACGTGTGCGTATGCCATGTCGGGTTAGGGATAATCATTCGACAGAAACTCTTGGCCTACTAAACCATGACAGCTCCCCTCCCTGCAAGGTTTACGTGTGTCAGTCCAGGGGACAGTCTTGGAAGATACATTCACCTGTGCCAAGCTGATGCCAAGGAACCGGTGGGAGGTCGCCAAGATGCAACCTCGAGGGGGGTGTGAGGGTGACACTACAATACCCGGGGCAAGGGGTTGGGTGGCTTGCCAAGGGCGATTTCTGCATGGAAGGAAGGGCCAAGAGTTTATGGTGCTACATGGTGCAGGAACGGATAATCGGTGTTTTAGGAGACATGGGGATGATCCTACTCCTACTATGGTAGGATGTCGTGTGCAGCCTTGAGGAGGGCCAACGTCAGCTACACGCTGTGTGTAGGACTAATACGGTGCTACATTTCTGAACGCGATGACCGCTGCTCTAGTATTTATTTTCTGGATACTTAACTAAGTGGCTTGTTTCAAAGAACACTTGAAAGGTCAAAAACGAAAAATGACGTTGGGATGTTACTCTGTCGCTGCGTTGGTGGCTGAATTGTCAAGACGTCACAGAAGCTTCAGGCAATGTAGTTCGGGGTTTCAACTCCGTCAATTAAAGGTCTTAAAATACTGGCAACAAATTCCAACCTCGGTATCTTTCTATGCATATCAAACCCGCTTTTCTAAGTTCATATCATGTACTGTGCCATTTCTCCATGGCATTCTAAAAGAGAGACCGAGCTTCAAGCTCAAACAGTTTGAGAGGATGGTGTGTGAGTTTAAAAGTGAGGGGCGTTGAGGGCAAGACCCATGAGGCAGCCACCGATGAGACCAGCGATGGGGATGGTCATGATCCAGGAGAAGACCAAGAGGAAGACTCGCTTCCAGTTGACGGCGCTCAGGCTGCCGTTGCAGAGACCGACACCAACAGTGGCACCAGTGATGCACATGGAGGTGGAGACGGGAAGCTTGTACTGGGAGAAGACGAGGACAGTGATGGCGGCACCCATCTCCATGGAGGAGCCACGGCTGGGGGAGTGGTAGGTGATCTTGTTACCCATAACTATTGTCTGTTAGTGAATGTTCTGAGTCTTGAGTCAAAGAGGTGCTTACCCTTCATGATGTTGTATCCGTAGGTGATGAAACCAATGCAAATGGTGGCGGCGACAATACCAATCTGCCAGAGAGGGACATCGGCCTTCTTCTCGGCAGGCTTGCCAGAGTGCCAAGCAGCGTACATACCAGCCCAGACACCGACAGCGTTACCAACATCGTTGGCACCGTGAGCGAAAGAAGCAGTGCAGGCAGTGATGATCTGGACGAAAGAGTACAGATACTCGACCTCGTTGGAGTACTTGGGGGCCTTGGCGTAGACGCGAGCCATGCGCTTACCCTCGGGAGTACCCTCGATACCGATCTGAGCAGTGTGGATGTCGTAGTGGGCACCGTAGAGGAGAGCGCAGACGATCTGGGCGGGGATGCGCTTGACGATGGCGATCAGGTTGTGAGTCTCGTGGATGGAACCGGCACCGATGGGGTTGGCGTGGAGAGTGCGCATAGCCCAGCCAAGAGGACCACGGGACTTGCGGAGCTTGGCGTGGTGCTTCTCAGTGTTCTCACGGAGCATTCGCTGGTAGCCCTCCTGGGTAGACTCGGCAAGGTTGAGGGTGTGCTTCTCGTTGGTGACCTCGTGGGCAGGGTGGGCAGGGGTGATCTCATCGTCGTTGCTGCCCTTCTTGGGGTCGTACTGGGTCTCGGAGTCCTGGGTGGAGGCCTGGTCGTCCTCGGCATCGTGCTGGATGACGGCGTAGTTGGGGACACGGGCGTTCTCAGCATCAGGAGGAGAAGGACGCTTGAACAGGAGGGGTCCTTGCCAGGCATCCCACCAGCGGAGAGTGTAGTCGCGCTTGATGACGACGGCGTTGACATAGGGGACGAAGAAGATGGCAGACAGGATGAACAGACCGAAGCCGACACCCAGAGTAACGGAGGCGATGTACCAAGCGGGCTTCTCAGTAAGACCAAGGCGGGGAGAACCCTTGTAGACGATAGAGAGCGTGCAGATGGTACCGGCGATCAGGAAGAAGAAGGGAGAGGTCCAGACAGCCCAGGGGACAGGGTTCTTGCGGACGTGGACAACAAGCTTAACAAGCATGAAGATGATGGCACCGAAGCAGCCGGCGATGGCGGGAGCCATACCGAGACCAGCAAAGATGGCACCGAGACCCTGGCCGCCGTTCCAGCCCCATTCGACCTTGCTGGCACCGACAGTAGCGATACCAACACCAGCGAGCGAAGAAATGAGAGAGTATGTCGAGGAGACGTGGGCGTTGTGTCGGGTGCACCACATAACCCAGAGAGAGGCACCGGCGGAGGCACAGGCGAAGGCGAGAAGCTGGACACCGGCGTTGTCACGGAAGGCCTCCATGGGAATGATGCCGTTCTTGATGGTCGAGGCGGTTCGGGCGCCGACTGTTAGGGCACCGAGGAGTTCGAAGATACAGCAGAGTACCATAGCGCCTCGGTAGGTAACCGAGCGCGATGAGACACTGGTAGCCCAAGCGTTGGCGACATCGTCTGGAGGAGGGGATTGTTAGTGAATTGTTGCGATGGATGTGATGCGTCATAGGCGCCAGGGTGAGAGGAGGGGAAGTAGAGGGGAACTACTTACTGGCACCGTTGTTGTAGGCCTCAAGCAGGGCGAAGCAAGTGCCCAGGGCAAAGACGTAGGTGTAATCCTCGAGCACCATCTTGACTGGTTTGGCTTTTTTGTTCGAGAAGGAAGAAAGAAGGAAGCCAAGCAGTCGAATGAGAGTGTGCTGCTGCTGATGATGATGGATGGAGAAGAAAGGGATGCTCGAGCAAGAAGAAGAGGATGAAATCGAGGGTCTCAGACAGCTTCTTTTAAACTCTCGGGGGCACTGGAGCTTTGCCTTTGCCTGCAGGACCTGTCGATTGCCCACCCCCACCTCGGACGCTACCCGCAGAGAAGCAGCTGCAGTAGAGACAAAGTGCCCTTCGGTGAGACGATCTGGCTACCGATTACTTGGTGTAGACACCCAGCGCCGAAGCCACGCAGCAGTGGGAAGCGTGCTGGTTTGCCGCATTGGGCGTCCCCCTGTCAGTGTGCTCCCCGGGTGGTACAATTAAGCATAACCCTATGAGATTCGCCCAAGACCACACGTGGGCAAGATCTGAAGCTAAAGACGCTTCGTGATTGGGTCAGTGCTTGTCGGAAGCTGTGCAGGGGGGGTGTGGGTGTGGCTTCGCCACGGCGTCCACCATCAAACACCATGACAAGGGTTGAGATCCAATGGCGAGGCTTCCAGGCAGACACTCCCATCTGCCAAGTCGCGTGGAGCCGTCTTGGTCAAGTCTTGTCGATCGCCCAGAATTTGTGCTTGATCCGAGGAGCCGCAGCCCCTGCTCAGAGCAAGAGAGCGTCGCGTGCGTGAGGATACAGCACTGGGTTTTAGCTCCAGCTCCCCGAAAGAGCTTCAATTTAGGCATGATTGATGATGCGAGGCAAAAACTATGCTTAAAGTCAATGGGGAGGGGACACACACGAGAGCAATTGGAGACACGTGGGGCAAGACACTGCTCAGTCGGTGGTCTTTGCCTGGCTCCTTTTTTGTCATATTTTTTCTTAGTTGACCAAGAAACTCCATCCTTCATCTAGAAACTCGTACGTAGGTTTCGGACGTGGATTGTTTCGTGCGTGCCCAAATCTCCATCTTCTGGCTTGGCATCTTGGCATACGCACACACACACACACACACACGCAAGACCGACCTGTGTGAAAAGAAAATCTAGACTGCCCACGCCGTTACCAAACACCACCAAGAGAGATCCACCGTCGGTCTCCAAAATCGGTTAGTAGGTCCCAGGCCTCGCGCTGGCCGGGCTCCGTCCGACTCCGGGCACCAGCTGGGGTTAAGCTTACCCTGTTTAGGCGCTCCGTTGGCCCCTTCGAGCCATGCCTCCGGTGAGACGTGGGTTTTTTGAAAAGTTCCCACGAAAGCTCGGTCGCCCGAACAGCAGGGAGGCAATGGCCACTTGTAACGGCCACATGGGGCACTGCTGCGATCTTATAGGAAGATGAACCGTTCGTCCAGATCCCCCGGACCAAAGTAATAGCTGGAGAAGCCTAGGTCGAAAGATTGGGGAAAAAAGTCTCGCCACTTTTTCTGTGGAAGCACGTGAATCCTCCATTTGATCCTCGCGTTCCTCCAAGGCGCACTCCCAACGAGTCCATTCAGAGACGAGGCCTTTCACCGAGGAACCGCCACAATGAAGCCGCCCACTTGACGAACCTCTTCTCGTATACCGAGTACGATTGATTGAGGTAAATAAGCTTTGATCACGCGTTGGTTATTCCCAATAGTCGTTGTGAGGCAGCGGAAACGGTTGTTCCCCCCACTTTGTCTAGAACCTTGACCTGGTCAACGTCTCGCCTCACATTCTTGAACCATTGTCACAATCAGACAGTTTAACAATTCATTGCCACAGTCTTGAGGTCATCTTGAGATCGTTATCAAAGTCGGCAATGGTTGCCGTATGCCAAGCTGCCAAGTTCGCTAACATCGGGAACACCATTGTGCTGGGATGCCATCGGATCGCTGGCCGTCTTGGCCGGTTCGTTGATGTGACTGGCACCCGTTCAGATGGTCCATTTTGTCTTGGCCGTTCCTTGCACCCACGGGGACCAGAGGCGGCGCCTACATTGGGTGCAGCGATGCGCCCCAGACGCCAGCCGAGCTGACCTCGCATGACACCCCTAGCCAGCGGCACGACCGTCGACAGATCCCCTTGATTTGTTCTTCTCCACTTGTATCTAATTCATGACGTGCGTTATGCATGAGCTATAGCGGGATAGCCGTGCGACGAGTCGAGAGGCCACGCCGTAGCGTCGAGTTGATTGATCAGCCAACAGGTCCACCGGTTGTTGGTGAATACAGCCGTCTTGGGTGTTGTAGCGCAGGATTGGCACTCTTCTAACCCTTGTCGCATATCCAATATGAGAGATGATTGTCACAGTGACCATTCACATCGTAGTGGCCAACGGGTGCTGCCATTGTGTGTAGATCTTAGGTTGTTGGTGTTGAGGCCATCACCAAGACATCGCTGATCATGTCCATAATTGCAAGTACTCACTTCCGCCACTACAATAACCAATTTTCGATGGCGTTTTGATTTTATGTCCATCAAGATCTATGTTCTAGATACTTCATCTCAATATTGTGAGTCTCAAGATCTTTCAAGTGTCTGGATCTTGATGGTTTGAGATGCTGGCTCACCACTGTCTTATCAGCACTCTCACCCAGCAACACTACTACGCGACAATGCACAGTCAAGTAAGACCCTCATGAGTTGAAATGCGATTCGGAAAGCAAATCTGCTCACTCGTCCTCATTTTTATCACAATTCACATGCTTATCTTTGCATTGACGTGGCTCGACTGGGAGAGAATTTAATACGGCCTCGTTACCCTACACCTCGAGTGAAATCAGGCTGAAGAGACACACTCCCTTGTGGATGCCACATCCTTGCAAGCTGATATCCCATCATGCATTATTGGCCATCCCGCGTTTAAAGCTGAACAACGGCATCTCCGCTCCCTGCGACATCGCATGAACCAATCCACCAGACCCGTGGGCACCCCTAGCCTCCTGGGTCGATCTGGCATGAGAGAGGCTAGGGATAGGCTATCCTCTCCTGGGAATGGTCACCCGGACTCTCCATATTCTAGACGCATTCATTCGCCAAGGCTATTCTCAAATAACTTTTGCAGGCGCGGACCCTCGCTGTCGGCGACATCTGCACTGGTCCGTACCGACCCGAAGGGATGATAGGGGAAGAGTCTGGGCAATCTTAGTCGATGTAACATGATCTGATTGTCTCTTGCCTTACCCATATTCTGGAACAAATGTTATGACGCTGTCAGGGTCTCTCTGCGCCCTCGACTTGACGATTCGGATCCAGAGCTTCTCGAAGAAAGCACGTTCAGCTGCAAAGGCCGGATCCAGTGGCTCTGGGCACTGGGTGGACTGTGTCGTGCCAATGCGCGTATGGATGTGATACACCTATAAAACGCGTCAGAGATTTCTCGGTCAACGTAGTGGTGCACCGACATGAGGGATGACTCTGTCCAATAGTTCCTGGTCTTCTTCAGCGACGTCGAGCAGTCTCTCACAGCCAACGATCCAGTGTGAAAAGTCTCCCGTAATGCGAAGCCTGCCAAGGTGAGTCAATTGATGCGACAAACTGACAGAGAAATGTGACGGCGCGTACTCTGGCACCCTCTGGAGCACGTAGTCTGTCACATATGGGTTGAACAGCCCCCGGTTGCGATGCGTTTCGTGACAAATTCGCCCTTCAAAGCCCAATTCCTTGTCGATCGGAAGCGTCCTCTCGAAGAAGTAAGCAGCCTGCTCCCAAGACCAAAAGTCTCTTAATTAATGTCTTGTTAGTTGACAGTCACTTCTCCCGCGAAATAACAACTTACGCTCCCGACTGCGCGTTAATCTTGACTGGGTCAAGTACTTGCGCTCGCCGAAGCTCCTCCTGATATCCCTCGAGATGAACATCGGGCGTGAGGTTGCGCGGTCGCGGCCCACGATATCGATGCCACGCAGAGAAGATTCTATGAAGATCAATCGAGGGAATAATTGTCAGCGCGCTTTTGGCAGACTTACGTGATGCTGATCTTCAAACCCAGGCCATCGCAAAGCTTCCGCACCTCCCACCGTTGATCCTCGTTCAAGTCATAAGGAACCATCTCCACACCGTCTGGCAATGTCGAATTAACAATTCCAATATGTAACTCGCAAGGTCGGTGAAGAGTCTTTAGGCATTGTTGACTTACCGTAACCGAGTTTCTTCCACTCCACAAACAACGGCTTCCAGACTTCAAAATTTTCACCCGGCTCAACGCCCCAGGTAGACCTAAATCGCTCGATACGAACCATGTTGAATCCTATCCTGAAGGGGGAAGCTGGGTACTTGTGAGACTAGTGTGTTGTCGTGTTGCTTGACTCATGGCCGATGATGGTGGTCAGGCCGCATTGGGGCAATATATACTACGCTCTGTTTCCTCCGACACCGGGATCCAAGCTCTTTTGCATAGCCGGGAGCCTATGACTTTTGGCACAGATAGACATGCCCGGCATAAGACGGCCATCAGTTCGGCAATGACGGTGGGTTTTCTCTTTTGGACCCGAAGACAGGCTTCTTTGTTCCGGCATCCCTCGACGCAGTCATAGAGAGCCCGGATGGATACAGAAGTAGTCTAGAGATTAATCAGAACTAATGTGAAACGAGATTTTTGCAACAATATTAGCCCTTTTCAAGGTTAATTGCAATTACGAATCTTGAAGGATCTCTTCACGTCCTTGCTCGCCTCGCCAAGCTCCGTCTATAGCCGTCAAGTCCTGGGTGAGCTGTCTGGGCCACCAGCGGCGATACTTAGCCGCAATAGGTGGGAAGTTTCAAAACGACCGTATGCATTAATGTAACGAAACAAGAGTGGCACTAAATTATGTACAGAGAGCCTGGAGAGTGCGGCCTGATGTCATATAACCAGGGATGCATCTTTACGCTGACGCGTAGGAGGCGCCGTATGGCTCCAACCGAACTCCTTGAATATCAACGAAACCAAATTTAAAGTTGTCCTTGTTTTGCGTCATGCCTTGGCCCCATTGGGTCATAGAATCCTGGAATGCTTTCAAATGGTCCTCTCGGCTGAGGTCGAGCGGCTGCTTGTCCTTGCCCACCAAACGTATCCTTGCGCACGTCAGCCCAGACATCCATGACCCTATGAAGGCCGGTTGAAACTTACTGTGCCCCAGATGCAATGTTCGTGACTCCAAAGTTTTGCTCATCAAGGAGATAGTCAATTGCACTATTTGCTTCGCCACTCAAAATCTTGGCTGCAAGATCGAACTCGTGCGTTGCAGGTCGACCAAGGCCGACGCCGTGGACCGTATCGAGAGCGTCAACCATGGCCTTCACTGTCCTAAGGCCACCCGTGACATAGGCCTTCGTCTTTGACAGCTCCGGGATGATCTTGTCTGCGAAATCGAGGAAGAAAGCTTCTCTCTTCTTGGAGCTCTCCCTATAATAGGTAAAACCCAGGCTCTGGTAGGTTCCACCTGATAGCTCTAGAAAATCGAAACCGTGTTGCTCTAGGTTCCGGCAGAGAATTTCGCAATCCTCGGTAGAGAAACCTCCTTCCTGAAACTCGACGCTATTCACCTTGATGCCGATGATAAATGACGGATCAGTGACGCGAGTACGGATGGCGTCGGCAATCTCAAAAATAAGGCGGGAGCGATTCTCAATAGAACCACCGTATTTATCCCTCCTTTTATTAGTGGTTGGTGAAAGGAATTGAGCTAGGAGATAACCGCTATGATATTATTTAGAAGCTTCCCAGAAGGTGCAAGGAGTTAAACTTACTGTGCGCCATGTAGTTGTATGCCGTCGAAGCCTGCTTTGTAAAGGTATTCGGCGGCGTGAGCAAAACCTTCAACGACATTCTTGAAATCGTTCTCCTCCATTGCTTTAGGTTTGTTAAAATGCATGCCCATGACTTCGACTTCTAGCTGCACGTCACTGGCCGAGATGGGGTTCTTCTGAATAAGGTTGCCAACCTGACGTCCAGGATGGCTAATCTGTGCCACAGCTAAGCTGCCATGCTGCTTGGTGACAGAAGCCATCTCCTTGAATGCCTCGAAGCGCTCCCCAAAAAAGGGCGCATCACGAGATACAACGCTATTCCCGGCTGCTTCTAGTTGGTCGTATGCAATCATGATATGGCCGGTCAATATGACACCGAAGCCACCTTCCCCCTAGCGACGATAGACGTTGATGAGCTCGGGGGTAGGGACACCTCGCTCTTCCAAGTTGTTAGGATGCCAGGTCGATAAGCGTTCAGTCATGGCAGCTTTGAGCAATCGATTCTTGGCCGCCTTGCCGCTGAATTCAAAAGTCAAGGGTTTCCCCAGAGGGCTGGGATCGGTTGGGCTAGCAGGGTATCGTCGGGGGGTCATTGTGATGCTTGTGTTATTCATCGACTGCAGAGGGTCTGGTGTGAATAAAAGTCTTTCATGCTCGAGGGGAACTATCTGCTTTATATTTTGCTTGCAGATTCCGAGCAACGAGCCTCAGTTAACTTTGAGTAATATACGACCAGCGATGAAAGTCAATACCGTTATGCCTAATGTAGTTCGACAACACGATTATCCCATCAGAGTATGAGCGTAACGTTAACCAAAGTTGCGTGGCACGATTTCTAATCCAGATTTCTAATCCAGGGGCTCGGGGGCTCGAAAACCTTATGACCCCGTTGAACTGACCAGCATGGCTGAAAACCGATTGTTGCATACAGTGGGGCGCAGATCTTGCTCGTCGACTCGCTGGCTTGCTGTCTGGGAGTTTACTGATTCCTTCACCGACTCAACGAGGCCCTTCCACTTTGCCTGTTTGAAAGATTCCTTGCAGAACTTGAGACGCCCCGGCTTGGCGTGGTACTTGTTATCCTTGTATGAGCCGTTGACCGCGATGTATATAGCATGAAATTATTTGCTATACGATATATGATGCGCGGGCAGACATTTCGAGACAGCTGACAACGGCTAGCTCTGGAGAACGCTGCCATGTGGACAACCGAGACCCATATCAGCGGCAAATGAGTCCAGGAGGGTTTCGCGCCCCCCCAGTGGTTTGCACACTCCGGTGCCTTGGTGGGGTTTAACATCATTTGACGCCAGCCTCAATTCCTTCGGTACGCTAGTTCTATGAAACGTATGCTCTAAGCTTCCGACAGCCTGCCGAGGACTCTGCGTCGCCCTTTACCTCTAACTGTCGTAGGAGGGACTACAACTTTAGATAAGGGAAGGAATCAGGTTGATTAGAGAGATATTAATACGCAGCTAGCAGAGGAATCGTCGAGAGGTAGTGGTCGAGGGAGGGCAGTGATGTAGAGGGAACGGCGCTGTGGAACTTACGGAAAGGCCGGTCAGAATGCAAGAACCTGTCAGACTGTAACTACGACCTCTGAGGAAGAGCATAGAAGCTAGTTTTTATTGAAGTATCGATCTTGAGGGCTGGGAAAAGTGCGGTGCATGCTTATTATGTAACCTGAGTAGCTTATTTAGGTTCTGAGCCAACACCCCATGGATGTAAATCAACCTTCTGCGGCTCCTGCGGCTGCTCAATCAGCTGGAACCCTACCCCCTCCGGATCTTGAAAGTTTAAAACTTTGCGAGCACCGAATTCTTGCCCAAAATCCCAGACCTCTGGCTCTCCCATTTTGAAGTTGTGTTTGGGGGAGCCAGAGAGCTCACGAAGGATCTGGTAAGCAGCATCAACATCATCAACCTCGATTGCGCACCGCACAACGCCGACATGGTTGACCTCGCAATATGGAGTGGGGTGTTTAGGGGAGTCAGTCCACTGCAGCCAGTCCAAAATGTAGGAATTGTTATTGCGTATGGTGAAGAAGACGCCGGTGAGCCCAGTCTGTCCTCCATTGGGACTATAGACATTAGGAACAAGGTGCGGTGACTGCACGCTCGTCTGAACGTTGAGGCCCAGTACCTCGACATAGAAGGGCAAGTTCTTTTCAACGTTGGCGGTGTTATGGGCTACCGTGTACGGGCACGCCGGGACTATATCGAGCAAGATATCTGCTTGGGAAAACTCTACCGCGATCCCGTCCGGGTCGTGCGTCGTGAAGAACCTGTAGTCGAGAACTGGCATATTGGGGCTCAGTTGCAAAGTAGCTTCGGTCGTCTTAGTAAAGGGCTTACTACCCTGCTGCATTACTGCCTCACGGGCTGCATCAATGCTCTGGACAACAGGAACTATGCGATACCAGCCCACGTGCCCATGAGAGAGGTTGGGTTTGCCGACGGGCAATGGATTCTGCCACTCTACCAGATGGATCATGGGATATCCAGAGCCTTTGGTGCTATCGCGCAGCAAGTAGCCTTTGAAGCTGCCCCTTGTGATACCAAGGGCCGGAAAGTCCTGCGAAGCTGTTGTGCTTGCAACGACACGTTGAGTTGTTTTTTTCTCGTACCACAGCCTCGAACGCTCGAGATTGGTGACGTTTACGTCCCAATGAGACACACGGTTGATGCGGTCGTGTATACCTCGCTTGGCGGACGCCATTGTGTGTGTGAAAGGGGAAAACAAGTGATGATGCGAAGCTGAAAGTAGAGCTGAAGGAATTAATTGGGATCTAGGCCCAGGTAGTGGTAGCTCTATGAGCACGACGTGACGCATACTGCGCAGACGGGGGAGGCTTTATATACACTGGACAGATGGAGGGTTAAGGAGCACGTCTCAAGAGAAGACTCGACAAGACTGACCTTTGAATGTGAGTGCGGATACCGACTTCTCGGTATAAAAGGCTTCTATATAGATCGTCGCGAGGGTTGCCATTTCCATCCGCCGCCATCCCCATGCGTTGGCAGAGCGGGGATACGGGAACGTAACGTATCTATCTTGCCCGTGTTCCCGGATGTCACCCAAGGTCACAGAAGATTAGATCTGGAAGTTCGTCTTTCCATTGTCGAGATGGAGCATATCGCTTGGGGAAGAAGCCGATTTTCTCGCACGGTGGGTGTAGTTACTTACATTCTTAATCGTCATCCATGCTTATTCTCGGTTACTTGTCAAAACATCAGGTAGCAAACTACTAAAGAGCACAGAGGACTAATTGCAAAGGACTCAGTACCCAACTAACAATAAAAGAGTAGCATGTTACGGCTATCCACACTCCTATTTAATATCTCATCCGTGCACGTAGAAGCAATCCCCCAAGTTACGGAGCCTATACCTGCGTCGACTCCTCTCTTTGCCGGAGCTTTAAGCGGCCCCGTCCTTGGCGAGATCGTTTACTTCGCGCCTCCACTCACGGCAAGAACCTCCCCTGTAATATACGACGATTCGTCTCCGAGGAAAAACATGATGGGGCCAGCCACGTCCTCGGGCTCCCCTGCCCTGCCCATCGGATTCGACTCCTCCCAAGCCTTTGCCACAACTCCCCGCTCGTCGTCGGTATCCCGAGCAAGCATGTCGAGCTGCGTCTTTATAAGCCCTGGGGCAATCATGTTTGCCCTGATACCGTGGCGAGCGTATTCCAACGCCCATGTCCTAGTCATGCCGAGCACAGCATGCTTGCTGACAGTGTATGCCGTCATGGTAGGAAACCCTGCCAAAGCCGCCAAGGACCCGATATTGACGATGCTGATGTTGTCTCCATCTCCGCGTTGCCGAGAAAGAGTATAACGAAGCAGTTCATTGGTAACATTCCAGGTCCCGCGTGAGTTGACATCCATGATGTGATCATAGGTCGCGTCCTTCTCGATTGCGTAACCATGGCCGTCGATTTCGTAATTGCCCGACGGAGAAACGCCCGCCGCATTGACGAGGCCGTGGATAGATGGGGTGCGGCCGGATATGGCTTGAAACAGGTCTCCCACTGCGCTTCGAGAACTCACATCAACTGCTGGATAAAAGTGTAGCTGTCCGCGGCCCGCAAAAATATCTGGCGGGTTCGTGACTCTATCAACTACATGAACAGTTGCTGAAAGGTTCAGGAGATTCCGGACGGCCGCTAGACCGATACCGGCAGCTCCTCCCGTGACAATGTATGCTCTGCCTGCCAGGCTCGAAGACATGATGGATTCGACTTTTTCGTTCTTGAATGAGACAAAGTTGTTACCACCTCTGGACTCGCAACGAACAGCATCCACTATATACCCCCAGGAGCGTAGACCTGACGCATCTAATAAGCTAACCTAAGCACACGGAATCAAAACTTGTCCGGGACTGCGATCCTTTAGCCCGATAGTCCGGCAGTTAAAAGATAGGTTACATATCTATATGCCAAAAAGCCGATCACGTGGAATTAAACTTGTCCGAGACTCCGATCTTTTGGCCCGATTGTGTAGCAGTCAAAACATCGGTTGCATATCTGTATGCCAGAAAGCCGATTTAGAGCGGATGCTCTAGGTTCGTGTTCAAGGTCAATCCCTTGATAGCCTATCACATAAAAGGGTTTAACAAGGGTTGCTCAAACTTTAAGCAACCGAAGGTGGGTAGCAGGTTTTATCAATGTGACCATGTGGTCAACCTGTTCTTGCTTGTCGTTCAACTTATCCATGATCCTCGGAAAGTACGGAGAACTTGAGTGGTATTGGATAATCTCTTCCTCAAGTATGATGCATTGGAATCCGGCATCGGAGAAGTCTACAAGTCCGAGCCCTGGGTTTAAAAGATGCCTGCTTGTCCTTGACTTTAGCCTCAACTTTGGCAACTTGACTTTCACCTCGAATTTCGACCTACTGATTAACATGCCTGAAATTACGGAAAATACCCCTCCTAGTTTATTGGCCCAGCTATCGGTGCTGGCTCTCCAACCCTACGCATCGTTGTCTGGAGTTTTGGCCCTGATGATAATACTTGCCATTTTCAAGGCTGTATTTGATCAGGATGAAAAGCTCATCCCTGGGTACGCAGCTGTTGGTGTGTTCAAGGATGACACGCCTCTGCAAGCAAAGCATAGTTATGCGGAAAACTCCAGAGCCATCCTTCAGGAAGGATTGAAAAAGGCAAGTTCTCCTAAGTGATTTGGGTTTCCTTGGGGATGTTTTTTAACCATGATGGTCAACAGCATGGTGATTCCTTCCAAGTTTACACGCCGACTGGGCCAATGATTGTTCTCTCGAGAAAATACACCAATGAGATACGGAACCATAAGCTGCTCTCCTTTCAACAGAACATAAACAAAGTAAGCACTCAGTTGGCCCGGAAAGGACATGACTAATCCGTACTTAGGCATCGTTTACAAGTCTTCCAGGAGTGGGTTTAATGCCTGGCATGGCTGGATTTCTCTTTGACGTACACTCGTCGGAGGTATTCAAGGGAGTCGTGAGGACCCAGCTGACCCAATCACTGGGTGTGTACCCGTCTTCCTGATGATATGAGCTGCCACTCAGTCTTTCTATAGGCAGAATCACAGCTGCCCTCTCGTCCGAAACGGCCGCTGCTCTCGAGGAATACTTCCCACCAAGGAACGGTAAGAGATATTTTAGAGCACATTATCTAGAAGCTAACACGCATGTAGATTGGCAAGAATGCGTCTTTTACCCCACGACGGTAGACCTGGTTTTTAGGTTATCTGCTCGTGTCTTTCTGGGAGAAGGGATCTGCCGTAACAAAGGATGGCTCAAGGTCTCTGGGGCTTACGCCGTCGAGGGTATCGAGTTTACTCGTGTCTTGAGGTTCTGGAAACCAATTGTGCGACCTATTGTGCAGTTCTTCTTGTCAGAACGTCTCCAAATGATGAAATCTGAGCGAGTCGCACGGAGAATCATCAATGAGGAATTGGAACGGAGATGCCTCGAACAAACCGAAGGCGCGCGAGCCGGAAGGCCCGTGAGGAAGTATGACGACGCTTTGCAGTGGCTACAAGATTGGAGGTAAAAAAGTGGTGAGAAGTTTGATATTGTCGGTGGCCAGCTGGGTCTAGGTATCGGCGCCATACACACGACGTCGATGGCCTTGTCGCGGGTGCTATATGATCTCATCGATAACCCCGAATGGGTCCAGCCCATGCGAGATGAGGTGAAGCGAGTCCTGGAAGAAGATGGCGAATGGAAGAAGACAACACTGCACAAGCTGAAACTTATGGACAGTGTGCTGAAGGAATCACAGCGGCGCAACCCGGTTCACCTGAGTGAGTACATTTTAAGAAATCAAACTTGAGCACACTCTGACATGTTTTCTAGCCATCATGACTCGTATTGCTGAGGGGAATGTGACATTCTCCGATGGACTCAAGGTCCGCAAGGGCGATATGCTCACCGTCACTACGCCTGAAGTTATGATGGACTCGGAACTGTTCCCTGAGCTAGAGCGCTTCATTGGAGACAGGTTTTTGAAGCTTCGCTAGATCCTAGGCAATGAGAATAAGTGGCAGTACGTAGCCACGAGCACCGAGCATATTGGATTCGGCCACGGCGAGCACTCTTGTCCTGGTCGGTTCTTTGCGGGCAATGAGCTGAAAGTAGCATTGGCACACATGCTTCTGAAGTACGACTGGAAGTTTGCTGAAGGATGTGATTCGAGGAATGTCGAAATGGCGCAGGATGTTATCCCGAACCCCATAGCTAAGGTCTTGTTTAAGGAGCGGCAGCCAGAGATAGACTTGTAAGTTAGGCAAGATGCATTATGGGTGGGGAGACTTTTCTCTTTCTTATATTGAGGTGAGAGTAGTTAAATAACATATGAGAGGTTTAACCTTTTATAATTATATACCTAGGTATGTGTCAGAATGTGTGTTCATCTGCCTTGATCTCGCGACGAGCCAGCCATTGAAGCCACGTGACCACCTTTGGAGCTACAGTACAGGGCCCAACCCGACAGTATGACTCTTTGACTATAGGTAATGAAAGGTTGAAGAAAAAGCCTTTGAAGATAGTTATAGTCACTGACCGGGACCAAGCGTTTAGGACTTGAATTGAGAAATCTATTATCAAGATAACTGAAGTGGCACGTAGCCTAATGGCTTATGAGCACACGCAAAGCTTTTTTGTTGTCACAATCCAAAGGTTTGCAAGAGTCCCATTTTATCCACTAAAGCACACTCACTAGGCCATTAACAAATCCACGCGCTTTTTAAGGCTCTCGCAAGCCAATCGCTCTTCTCCCCGTCAACAACTCAGCCTCCCCATCTTCTTTGACCAAGTAAATGTCCTCGTGGCGCACGCCAAACTTGCCCTCGAGGTAGATTCCCGGCTCGTTGGTAAAAGTCATGCCTGGCTGTAGCAGCGCCTGCTTGTTGAACTTGTTCAGATACGGTGATTCGTGAGCTTTGATGCCGATTCCGTGACCCAAGCGATGGGTGAAGCCATAACCGTAACCGGCGTTCTCTATGACCGTGCGGGCCGCGATATCAACGCTGGCTGCTGTGTTGTTTGGCTGGAAAGCCTGCGCAGCGGCCGTTTGGGCGTCGAGCACGATCTGCCAAACCTTTTCCTTTTCTTCACGGAGAGGATCCTCGGTGATTTCGGCATCATTCTCTGGCGGGTCGATGAGGAAGCTGCGGCAGATGTCGGACGAGTAGCCCAAGTAATGGGCACCGACGTCGATAACGATCATGGTATAATAGGTGAGCTTCTTGCCTCCTGTGACGAAGCCTCCATGCGGCAGAGCGCCGTGCTCCTCAAAGAGAACAATGTTGAAGAAGAGGCTGAAGCCAATGGAGAGCATTGCGTTGTCCAGAATCGTCGTCACTTGGTCCTCGGTCAAGCCAGGAACCAAACAAGGACGCATCGCCCTCACGGCAACAACGGTACCCGTGTTGACGGCTCGAAGTAACTCAACTTCGGCCGCGCTCTTCTGCTGTCTGACGAGTTCAGCCTCGGGGGTAAGACCGACTGTCTCGAAGCCGACAGATTCCAGCCCGCGGGTGATGTAGTCTCGGATCTCCTCATCCATCATGAGCTTGATTCCCGTCTTGCCCTTGAACAGCCGTGACTTGAGAAGAGTTTCATAGGGGTTCCAGTGCTCCTCCCAGATCACAATGTCCAGCTCTTCGTCATGAGAAGGAATGCTGAGCATACGGACACGACCCTCTTCGAAGCTGGGCGATAGGTAGGCTGTCTTGGCCTTGACTTGGCCATCTGCCAAGGTCTCGGGGAGGATAAGCATCAAGAAGGGGCGCTCCTCGGGCTCCCAAGGCTCCCAGTCCACCTGGGAGATGTTGCCATAGTACTGGAATGTGTAACCGGGCTCCAGGACGAAGGCGTCGACGCCGTTTGTGACCAGCGCTTTCGCCAGCTTGTCCCGACGCTCTAGGAATTCTGGAGCTTCGATTGGCTTGGCATTGTCGAGGAATGAAAGATCAGCTTTGAGATTGTCAATGGCGCATTGCTGCACCTTGTCGACGTCGAGAGCGCCGTGTGCCTGAGAGCTCCTGTGCTGACAAGGGAGGGTTTTGGAGAAGAGGAGAGCTGTGCAAATCAACGCGATTGCGGCGAAACACCACGACAATCTCGACCTGAGGTTGGTCTGGTGGTGTTTGCGGTACAGTAGCACCGCGGCTGAATCGTTGTGTATCTCCGGAGAACCCATCTTGACGCGGTCGAGTGTCGATGACAAGGGAAAGCCTCTCGGAGTGTGCCTGAGTGAGAGATAGGTATCGTGTCTCGGGGCCAGTTATAGGCGCCGGCTCCACTGATAGGCCGACGTGAGATAACCCGAAGCCCAGCGTATTGAACTGACGTACTAACTGGGGACCGTTGTAACTTCACCCACTCTTTTCAGACTATCTGATTGGTGCCCCCAGCGTCAGATAGAAAACCGGCTGCTATTCCCCACCCCCGGCCGGGAACCGTCGCCGTAACGAGGAGGTCGAGGCGAAGGATCATCAGTGTCGGCCAACAGTTAGCCGATGGCCCCCGGCAAACACAGATAACAAAACTGTTAAGAGGAAGAGTCTTCATGCACTGCGACTGATGGGATCTGCATCTGTTTTCTCCATAATCCTACCCGAGGCGACTTCCAAAATGACTGCTCAGGTTCAAGGCCTGGCCGTTGAGCCACATCCAAATACCGTCGACAACCACACCGACGACAAGAAGCATGCCTCAGACACTGGAGCCGAGGTCGAGGTTGGCACTGTCGTAGACGGTCCTGAAAAGACCTACTACAGCAGACTCTCTGTCTGGTTGATGGTGCTCTTTTCGGGTCTAGCAATCGGCTCTGATGGATAGTAAGGAGCTCACTCCACCATGCTCTCGCTGCTTGATCCTCTGTTTCCCCTTTCTATCGTTCAGTGCTTACGTATGTGTTCGTGATAGTAATGCTGCCGTGATTGGAAATGTCCAGCTTATCATGAAGGTCCTTTATCCGGACGCTCTGACGAGTTCCATCTCTACGCGTCTCAGTAACGCCTTTCTGATTGGCATGATCATTGGCATGCTCTTCTTCGGTCTCATTGTGGATCAGTTTGGTCGCAAGACAGGTGCTGTCGCTACCACAATCCTTCTGGTGCTGGGAATTGCCCTGTCCGCTGGTGCGAGTGGCGGTAGTGATGCCGGTCTCTTCTGGATGCTCATCGTTTCTCGTGGTGTCGCTGGTGTCGGCGCCGGTGGCGAGTACCCAGTGTCTGGTGCAGGTGCGGCAGAGGCAACCGATGAGAGCGCCCAGTACCGGAAGCACCGAGGCTTTATGTTTGCCATGCTTGCTGATCTGTCGGCGTCCCTGGGCTACGTCTGGGCCGGTCTTACGCCTTTGCTCTTGCTTCTCTGCGTCCAACAAAAGGAGAGCAAGTACGCCATCGTCTGGCGAACCACCTTTGCACTTGGCGCATTTCCTCCTTTGGTCATCTTCTGGTTCCGAATGCGCATGTCGGTTGCCACGGCGTACCGAAAGTCGTCGATGCGCAAGCAGCGTGTGCCGTACTGGCTTGCGCTCAAGAGATATTACCGTCCCATGATCGGTGTGGCAACCTGTTGGTTTCTGTACAATTGGATCTCAATTCCCTTTGGCATCTTTAGCTCGACCATCATGTCTCGAGCCAACGTTGGTGACAGCATCGTCAAGAACTTGGGATGGGGCGTTGTTATCAACTGCTTCTATATCCCGGGTCCCTTCATTGGAGGCTACCTCTCTGACAAGATTGGCCGTCGCAAGACCATGGCATTGGGTTTTACTCTTCAGGCTGTTCTTGGATTTGTTCTCGGTGGAGCTGAGGAGCAGATTCAGAGTATCTTTCCTCTTTTCGTCGTCTTGTACGGCATCTTCCTGACGTTGGGCGAAGTTGGTCCCGGCAGGTATGACACCCTTATGCACCATCCTCATTTGATAGCTAACCAGAATTCAGTACCGTCGTCCTTGCTGCCTCTGAATGCTTCCCTACCTCTATCCGCGGCCAGATGCTGGGTTTCATCGCCGCATGGTCCAAGGCCGGCGCTGCCATTGGAACCCAGGTCTTCACGGCCATTCTCAACTCATACGCCGACGACCCTTCCAAGGGCAACCAGGTGGCTTTCTTGATTGGATCCGCATTTGCAGTACTGGGCGCCATTGTTGCATACTTTGTCATCCCTGATGTGTCGCGACGCCTGGAGGACGACGATGAGGCATGGAAGGTTTACTTGGAAGAGAACGGATGGGAGGCCACATGGGGTGATTCCGAGACCAAGGATCCTTCAGGAGTCATTATGAACAGGGCTGCTTCTTGAAGATGACGCTTATATCCCTACAGTATGTAGTCGAATCAACAATGAAGCAAGTATTGGTGTTCCCTTGGGGTGACAATTTAGATGGAAACGAGCCGGGATACACATAAGTAAAACTCTGAAGTTTGATCGGCTTTTGCTTTTCACCTTCCTTGTGGCGGCCAGCTAAGCCGATTTCCCGAATGCATGCCCGGTTAGCAGCACTGAGGGAAATGCAAATGTCTTGGACACAATCTCTGAATAGAGTCATCGGCTAAAAGAAACCCCGCCGACTTAAACGGGCGCATAAAGGTTGGGCCGATTGACCTGTGAAGAGACTTGATTGGCGCAGAAGCTTAATAAGTTTCAAGCTTCGGGTCCCGGTTGGAGATGTCTTCTTAAGGGCGTCATGGACCGAGGTCTCCGCATATGAAGCTCGGCCAAACAGCCCAAACTCAAGCATTAACAACTCAGAATTTACAATTTACCCACCATGTTTGAAGGACTCCAATCTTTTGACGTCAAAACTTCCGACGATAGTGTCACTATCAATGGATTAAGGAGCGGCGACTCATCATCATCAAAGCCTCCGTTGCTGTTACTCCACGGCTTTCCCCAGACCCTCCACATCTGGCATCGCGTTGCGCCTCAGCTCCTCGACAAATACACGCTTATTCTCATAGATATCCGTGGTTATGGACAGTCATCCAAGCCAGAAGATGTCTCAGCATACGCCAAGAGTGCCATGGCTCGTGACTGCATCGACGTGATGGACTCTCTGGGCTTTACCGACTTCTACGTCTGTGCCCACGATCGAGGAGCGAGAGTGGCTCATAAGCTATGCGTCGATTATCCGGATCGAGTGCGCAAAGTCATTCTGCTCGATATTTGCCCGACACTTTCCATGTTCACAAAGACCGACTTCGACTTTGCGAAAGCGTACTTTCACTGGTTTTTCCTCATCCAGGACGCGCCACTTCCTGAGATGATGATCGCTGGACGCTCGAGGCACTTTGCGGAGCTCTTCATGGGAGGACGACAGAAGGAAGGCCTGAAGTTATTTGACCCGACCTGTTTCGACTTTTACGCCAAGAGCCTGGAAGAGGAGGCGACTGTTCACGCAATGTGCAACGATTACCGGGCGAGCGCAACTTTGGACTTGGACGAGGCCAGGGAGGACTTGAAGCAGGGAAGGAAGATTCGCAGCCCTTTGCTTGTGCTTTGGGGCAAGCATGGAGTCATTGAGAAGTGTTTTGATGCTGTCAAAGAGTGGAAGGATGTCACTGAGCCTGGTGTGCCAGTCGAGGGCCATAGTGTTGAGTCTGGACACTACATCCCAGAACATGCGCCCGGAGAAGTTGTGTCTGCTGTTCTGAATTTTTTCAAGTAGTCAGTTAGAGTTAGATGTCTGATGGCGATCTTCTGGTTTAGTTAACCCATTAAGGGCCAGGTTTCGACTATAACAAAGAACGCATTGTCAACGCATCATAGCATCATGAACCAACACTAACACAGTGGTCTTTTTTGAACCTTCTGCTGCCGGGCGAAAGAGTCGATGGCTGATAGTGATGTGGGGGTCTTTGACTCCGGCCGATGTCATTTCGACTTGAGAGGTTCGTCTCTCACATCGTCTCTATCATAAGCCTAGCATTATTAGAAACCTCCTAGCCTTGACAAGACAGCACCTGCGAGCCCAAAACATCAGAGTTGACTCGGCCAACCCTTTGATCGGCGGTCGGCCTCCCGGGTTCCGAGGCTGCACGTCGATAATGGGGTCGACCTGCAGGCGGCCTTTTCTTTTGCCGAAGCCCCTCACCTCAGCTCCGACAAACGGTCATACTTAACGTCCTCGTCAATCCCTTGATCGTCTCAATATCTTCAAACTATACCTTTTGTTTCTCAACTATTGCAATGGCAGGAAAAACACTCAAAATCGCCGTCATACCCGGTGACGGCATCGGTGTCGAGGTGATGCCGTACGGAGTGCGATGTCTTCAAGCCGCAGCCCAAAAGTTCAACCTGTCTCTCGAATTTGAAGAGTTCGACTTTGCCAGCTGCGACTACTATGAGAAGCATGGCTCCATGTTGCCCAATGATTGGAAGGAGACACTCACCAAGTTCGATGCCATCTACTTTGGAGCTGTGGGAATGCCAGATCGGGTACCCGACAACATCAGCCTCTGGGGAAGTTTACTCAAGTTTCGACGCGAGTTTGATCAGTACATCAACTTGCGTCCTTGCCGCCTCATGCCTGGAATTCCTTCTCCCCTCGCTGGTCGCAAGCCAGGCGACATTGACTTCTGGATCGTACGGGAGAACACGGAAGGAGAGTACAGCAGCATCGGAGGTATCATGTTTGAGGGAACAGACAGGGAAACAGTCGTTCAAGAGACCGTCATGACTCGAGTCGGCGTGGATCGAGTTCTCCGATATGCCTTCGACCTCGCCCAAAGCCGCCCGCGAAAGAAGTTGACGAGCGCTACCAAGAGCAACGGCATCAGTATCACCATGCCTTATTGGGATGCTCGCGTGCGCGAGATGCAAAAGAATTACCCTGATGTTGCTGTCGACAAGTACCATATCGACATTCTCACGGCGCACTTTGTACAACGTCCCCAAATCTTTGACGTCGTGGTTGGGAGCAATCTCTTTGGAGATATCCTATCAGATCTGGGCCCAGCTTGCACCGGAACCATCGGAGTTGCGCCATCTGCAAACATTAATCCAACTGGGGGATTCCCTAGCTTGTTTGAGCCGGTTCATGGGAGCGCCCCGGATATCTTTGGCAAGGGAATTGCGAACCCGATCGGCATGATCTGGGCGGGCCAGATGATGCTCTCCCACTTTGGCTTCAATGACGCTGCGGATGCTATGTTGAAGGCCATTGAGGGTGTTCTTGCTGGGTCTGACAAGGAGGTGATGACGGCGGATATGGGAGGAAAGGGAAACACGCAGAGCTTGGGTGAGGCTATTGAGAAGGAGATTTTGTCGGGGTAGGAAACGTGATGCCCGGTTGGGACAGGTGCCCCCAATTGTACAAGTTGATAGACTTTGATGTGTAAAAATGAGAGGTTTGTTGGCCGCGTCCAGTTGCATCACTGTGGTCGTTGGCTCACTCTCACGATATGTCTTGCAGCTCAGGTGATGGGTTCGGGCAAGCACTACACGTGCCGGCTCGCGTGCATGGAAGCGAAACAATACATAAACCATCCAAGGCTTGTGTCAAAGTAATGCGATTGGTGCCAAGGCCTGAAGCCCCTGACCATCATCTGTCTGCGCCATCACTTGGGGGGGGCAAGACGGCTTAATAATGAGCCAGGAATGACCGGTTGCTGGAGAAAGCACACAGTTTTCCCCGGCTTTGGGATTCAACGTCATTGTCCCAGCTGATGGTTAAGGTATTCAGGTTATTTCTCCAGTTTCCATCCCTTAAGCTGACGCGACTCGACCATGCCGGGGTCCCCGGCCACTACCCCAAGCTCGTTTCTCAGCAACGGAATCGATCCCGAATTATTCACAATTCAAATGCAAGGGAGAAATTTTTTCCCTCATTGAAAAAATGAAGTAAGCAGGGATCAGAATGCCCGAGGTCTTGGAAAACCCTGACTCGGCCCCTGAAAAAAGAATCGGTGAAGGTAACGCAGATCATGCATTTGCGTCGGGTAGAGACTCAAGATCATGAACTTGGACGTCCCGCTTACGTTTGTAAACAAAACGTCCAATAGAGTCGTCACAAAATAATTACGCCTGTGGGCCATTGTTAGGTAATTGGTGCCATGGCTTCTCTTGGCATCCAGGCTGGGATCAATTGTTGCCAACTGTCGAAGGAGTCGTATAAAGAGCTCATCGGTCGGTTATTCTCTTGTGCTCTCGCAGGCCTTCAGATCAGTCTCCTCGTCTTGCGCTGGTTGGTGCCATAGCCTTGTAAATCACCGGCCATATGGAACCTAGAATTACTTGCCTCCTCATTCCTCGTCAAGCTGCTCTCCCTCCAGAAGAAGGATACGTCACACGCTGAGGTAGCCAAGCCAAGAGTTTCGGTCTGAAACAATGCATGTGTACATACAGGGAGCCAACTCGTGGCTTAACGAGCACGTCGAGGCCTATATCCGCAGACACGTGCCCGACGCTATCTGCTACGACAACTTTGCCTCTTTTCCTGAGGACGCGGACACAGTGTTTCAGCTGTGTGATGGATGGCACATGAATCGACACTTTGCTGCCTTGAACAAGGCTAGCAATGGACTTCTCAACGCATACCCCAACAGCGATGCGCTCGCCCGGAAGGATCATCTTGCTAGGGTCGTGGATTACTGGACTACCAAGAGGCCAGATAGCATTCTCAAGGGTCATGTGCCCGCCACTGTTCGGCTTTCCCTCGATTACAGCGAGTACGTCGATGACGCCCTGGCTGCTGCTGACGACCTCACCCTCCTGTACTCGCTCGAGGATAATGAGCAGAAAGATGCAGCAGAACGCGATTGGTGGATTCTTAAACCGGCAATGATTGACTGCGGTCACGGCATTCGCATCTTTAGCACCATTGAAGAGCTTGCCTGTAACCTCGAGCTTGCTGCCAACATTTCGGAGGAGGAAGAGGAGGAGACAGACGAGGACGCCGAGTCCATCAGCACAAAGCCCCAAGGCGATGATGAGCCCGAATTCTCGCCTAGCCTGTCGATCCCTGGCTTGAGCTCCCTGGATGCCCTGATCACGGCCACTGGAAAGCTATCTGTTGATGTAACAGAGCAGCCCAGGATCAAGGAACCCCCTCTGGTCATTGATGAGCACGAACGTATCCCGTCGGCATGGATGCGCGAATTTGTCGCTCAGCAGTACATCGTGTCGATTCCGCCGCTTGATGGCAGAAAGTGGCATGTCCGAGCCTATGTCCTTTCAATTGGACGACTCAAGGTCCATGTCTTCCGAGAGATGCTGGCCTTGCTTGCGCTGCAGGACTACGAACCTCCCTGGAAGAACCCGAGCCTTAAGTCGTCTCTGACCAACACGGCACTTCAAGACGAGGACGAGTTCACAAGCAAGGAATCGATGAGGGAGTTTTGGGAAATCTCTGACGACTTGCTCCCCGGCGACTGGAAGAACAGCATATTCAACCAAGCATGTGAGATTTCCGCTGAGCTGTTCCGCGCCGCAGCTCATACCATGGCGGACAAGTTTACACCACTGGACAAGTGCTTTGAGCTTTTTGCCATCGACTTTCTCATCGACTCTAATGGTAGTGCCTGGCTCCTCGAGGTCAACGAGACACCGGCTTTCTATCAGTATGGGTACGCCGGGGCCTTGGCTCTGCGGCTTATGGAGTCGCTTATCTGCGTGACTATGGAGCATATGGGCAAGGCGAAACTAGAGGATGAGAAGAATGCGGTTGCCAAAGAGCGGTTCATCGAGGTTCTGGATGCGACTAATGAACTGGCTAAGAGCAACATTACCGAGATCATGCCTGGAGATTGAAGAGGGTGAACAGATGGTCATAGATCGATTTTCATATTAGCAAGGAGTTCCATGATAGATGTAGAGAAAAGACGGTGCATAGATGGTTGTTATTTCCGGGAATGCGACTATTTTTACCTCGCTGAACTTTCCACATCAACTAATATATATCCTCTCATCCACTGAAGAGAACTTTAGTAGACAGATACTCACGTCGTTGAGATACGAGCTAGTTGCGCTTGTAATTAGCTCAAGAGGTCGGTTCGTGACGTTTACTCTATCACATCAAATTTAGCGTTTGGCAGAGTAGAGTTTGACCATTGATAATTCAGTTGTTTAGGCCCATCAAGTCATCTTGAAAGGGAGTAACCCTGGCACATTCCAATACACCCCAAGAGTCATTGAAACTATCAAGAAAGATGAATAGATAGTAGCACAATGACGATTGGAAGATGTAGGGACCTGAGTCGAGAACATGGGAGCCTTGTCTCAACAAGAAGCGGGCCGGCTACACATCCCTTTTTAGATGCGCCGCCATGTATTTCCTTCATCTGCCAAGTGAAAAAGAGATGCAGTCAAGAACCACCATCAAATCGATTTCATCCCTGCTACTGCTTGTAAGCAGCTTCATCTCACCCTGCATCGGTGTTAGCCCAATTTGGGTTGCCGCCGGTCAGCCCTCCTGAGGCCTTCCACTGAGGCTGAAAATGGCTTTTCTTCCCGTACCAAAATAAGATTGGCCAATAACTACCTCATATGAGAAAGAAGTTTGGAGATTGTCGAATTTTAAATCATAACCCCAATGGACGTTTGCGTTTGGCCTGGCCTGGTTAGTATTATCACTAAAATGTAGAAGAACTGTACCTACCCGGGTAGTTCTCGCGGCTAACCTCACGTGGTTGAATAGGGCTGTGACAGGCTCTCAGGGGTTGATACTCTTGTTTGACCTGCCTCGGCTTACATGGGCCTTTGTGGACTTTAACTGGCTCGGAATTCCCACATCATGAACAGTTGTGTGGCACCCGCGCTTGCACTTTTCAACCGGTAATTGGCTTGGCAACGCCATAATACACGTCAACCAGTTGAGCGCATAAAACAGAGCCTATAAGGTTTTAGAATTGGTATAACATGCCATTGATGGTCACCCAGTTTCGGTTTCCCGTTCCCTGTCACTTCAGAGCCTGCCTTGTCAGTCAACCAATAACCACGCTCCTTGTCTGTCGGTAAGACCAGGCTCGCTGTTGTTTATTTACGTGAGGATTTGCCAAGCCAATAAATTGGAAACAAGAGGCTTGCCGGGAAGTCTAGGCGCAGCAAGCTGAACACGCTTCTCAGGAGCCTCACTCTACCAGGCTGTGTGGGCAGTGGAGGCGGGTCTCCGGAGTTGAAGATGTTAAGAAACGCGGTTGTCTATACTAGTACATGATCGATCCTCTGGCTTATTTAACCCACCAAGGACCGGGCTATACTACTCGGTTAATGGACAGGAATGGACAATCCAAAGGCCCGCCTCCCAAGCACTGACGCCTTGTGTTGAGTCTAAACACCAGAACCCCACTGGTAGCACCAATGCAAGCCACGTTGCATCGTATAATCAGGCTGTCATTTTCTTGGCTCTGTCGCCGATAGGGGTTCAAAGCATTTTCAGCCTCGGCGGCAATTGCCCTGGCCGCTGCAGCTTTCTCAAGTCGGCTCTGCTCAAGTTTCATCAGGATAAATACGCCGAAGCCTGCTCATGTTTCGATCCGATACCTCATTCTTCGATCTTTCTTCACCTTAGTTCTTTCTAGCCTTGTCTTCTGTCACTCTTCACTCGTCTCATTCCTGTTTAGGATCACCATGGCACAAGACAGTATCCGCGATATCTACAGCGAGTTGGGAGACAATGAGATTCGTGTCATGCATCTGTGGCCGGGTCACGGTAAAGGCAACATCTACGTGGAGCTATCGAAGGAAAAACTGGACGATCATCTAAAGTTTGAAGCGCTGTCGTGGCAATGGGGCAAAAAGGGAGAAAAGGATAATGGATTCCAGATCCATATTCGGAACAAGCTCCAGAGTGAGACCGACAGCCCCTTTCGCCCGTGCCCTGTCAGACCCAACTTTTGGTGGGCACTGAAGCGCATCCAGAAACCAGAGAGAGAGGTCGTCCTTTGGGCGGACGCCATCTGCATCAATCAGGAGGAGGGAGCAGATGGTGAAAACTCGGAGAAGAGTACGCAAATTTCCATGATGACTGAGATCTATGGAAAGGCCGAAAGGGTCATTGTTTGGCTCGGGGAGCCTGAGCAGGGCGAGAACACCGACATCACCAATACTGAAGTAGAGCATGCGGTCAGGTATGTGGAGCAGCTCGGAAACCTCGATGATCTAAACCACATTGCAAGCATGCATTGCGGGATCTTCGACAAGGCTGGTTTACATGACCTGGAGCCTGTGTTCAAGCTTTTCAGACGCGGATGGTTCAGTCGCCGCTGGATTGTCCAGGTGAGTTTCCCAACGCGAGACTATCACTGGATCATGACCTTTAACAAGTTGAAAGGAGATTTCCGTGGCCCGGAAGGCTATACTCTTGTGCGGTGAGGAGAAACTCAGTTGGGAGAAGTTTGCCCACTCTGTGGCACTTCTGGAGAGAGTCGGTCGGGATGGTACCATCAACAGGATGTTAAAGATGCGGCCAGGCACACGCCATGTTTCGAACTACGCGGGTAATATCTCGGCCCTCCCCGCGTACCGACTGGTCCAAAACGCTTCCGAACTGAGACAAGAACGACAAGGAGTTTGGAGAAAAGAGCGCACCCTTGAGCAACTCGTCTGCTTTCTCGCCGCATTCAAGGCCAGTCGATCGCAGGATACAATTTACGCCGTCCTGGGTCTGGCGTCTGACTTTGAGCCTGTCACTACCGGCAATGAGGCAAAGTGCGAGAATCGAGAGAGTTTTGTCGTCGACTACACTCGTACACCCTTGCAGGTCTTTGGCCAGTTTCTCAAGGTTACAGTTGCCAAGTCAAAGTCCGTGGACATCCTCTGCAGGCCATGGGCCCCATTCAAACAATTTTGTGAAAACGACGAAGTCGAGAAGATCAAACTGCCGTCGTGGATTCCAAGCCTCGCTCGCAAACCTTACCAGCCCGACCAGAATGGGAAGATGTACCGCTACAATGCAGATCCCCTTGTCGGGGCGGCCATCCCACGACTCAAGTTCTTCACAGCATCTGGTCCAGAACCCGTGGAGGGGACAGATTTCTTCAATCTCAACATTGAGGATGAAAAGTGTCCCAAGATCACGCTGAAAGTGTTCCACGTGGGCACCATCGAAGAGATCTGGGACTCGGCAGTCTTTGGCAACATACCCGCCTCGTGGCTGAGAGCCGCAAAGTGGGAGGATGAGGATAAGCTGCCGCCCGACGAGGTTTGGAGGACCATGGTGGCAAACCGGACCAATCAGGGCAACCATCCCGAGCCATGGTATCCTAGGGCCTTTCACTCGGCTGTCCGGGAGAAAGGCATCCGCCATGGCATCAACACTCACCAACTCATCCATGAGAAGGACAACGCTGCGTATTCCGAGGTCTTCCGTCGTGTGCAAGCGGTTGTCTGGAACAGAAAGCTGATCAAGATGAAGAAGGAGGACAAAGCCAATCTCTCATGGTGCCCCCTCGGCCTGGCCCCAGAAGGAGCCAAGGAAGGCCACAAGATCTACATTGCGCTTGGTTGTAGCGTTCCCATTGTCATTTCGGAAAAGTCAGTCAACCAGAGGCAACCTGATCCAGGAAATCCATCAAGAAATCCATCCACGCAACATACTCTTATCGGAGAGTGTTATGTGGACGGTATGATGGATGGCCATGCTGCAAAGATGGCCAAATGGACGGATCTAACGATTGTGTAAAGGTGTGAGTAAGGACCCCATCTCATGATTTCATTGGCGTCTTATTTCGCGAGCTCGGCCCGGGTGTTTTTTTGATACGTCCGAATGCTAGTAATCATGTGTGGATGATGCATGCTTAAGCATATCACTGAGATCATGCTTGGAGATTGAAGAGGATAAGCAGATCGCTGTGTGTTTGGGTTTCTTCGAAAAAGAAGCTGTTGGGTAGCCTTGTAAGACCCAAGTGCCTCTGCGAATAGTAGAAGGCATCTTCTACTTATTGTGTTCCGTGGGGGGCTTTTTTGGGAGGGAAAAGTTGGTGCATACTCAGTCATTCAACCATCTCGGGTAGCAAGCCTGCTCGGAATTAAGGCCCGGCTTGTGATAGGGTATTGGCTAAATATAGCCCGGCTATTACCGCATGCGGTAATTTCGATTCCTTCGTAGTGGTAGTCTAATTAAGCGAAGCGCCTGAGGCCTTCATATCCAATGTTGGCAAGTAAGTGCTATTCAGAGGCCCTGAAATCTGGTTAGAGATGGTTTGTAGATATTAGAACTGGATGAGGGAACACGCCGTATTTGCAGGTTTGAGCAGACTGGTAGCCGAGGTTGGAACAGCTGCAGCCGTCCGCTTATGGATTGATTCCGCGCCACCGATCCTTCAGCAGGATTAGCAGGATTTATTTAGTTGTCCCATCGGAACCCTCGGCTCAGTGGTACAGGGCGCAGTGAGATTTTGTGGTCTCGTGCGCTGGTGTTTCAGATCTTGGTTAATCTCCAGTGGCGTGATGAAGGGATATCCCTGCAACCCATCCAGCGCTCAACACTTTTGAACACAATTGTATGTCTCGTATTAACTAATTACAAGAAATATTAAGAGTAGATAAATCTCATATCTTCTACCTGAGTTGACAGAGACAAAAACTGGGTGCTGACCTGCTGTGTTCAAGGTTGTGCCACGGCTCAGCCTCTTTCTAAACATAGTTAGCAGCTGCTGCCAGCTCACAGACCCTGCCTGCCTAGACTTCGCGTGATGCATAAGTATCCCCACAGCTGCCACTGGACATTTCCTCGAGGCTTGTGAAAACGCTGTCTTTTGTTCTCCAAAACAACCATTATTGTCCGTGGACACACTGTCGCCATGGCAGACCAAGGGTCATATGAGCTATTGCCCAAGACTCCAAGGCCTGCGGTGCAACCGGTCTCGCCTGATGATCGAGACGCGCCAATCTCGCCACTTCTGCCGACGCACCCAGCCACTCCTTTTGGCCCGGCAAAAGGCAAGACCAATAAATTTCGGATGGTCTTTTCCGTGTGGTCATTAGAGCTTGGGTCGCTTCTCCTGAGTCTGTTATCATTTGCTTGCCTGATCACTCTACTATTTGTTTACGACCAAGAGCCCATCTCAAAATGGACCAAGTTTCCACTGTCTTTGAACGCCGTCATTTCGATCCTGGGTACCATTTCTAAAGCGGCCCTAGCATTTGTCGTTAGCATGTGTCTTTCGCAATGCAAGTGGAATTGGGTTGGGAACTTTGCTGAACCGCTGGTCGACTTTGATCGGTTCGATGCTGCAAGCAGAGGGCCTTGGGGGAGTGGCCGACTTCTTATATCCATGGCACGACGTCCGTGAGTTTCATCCTCTTCGACTGCCTCGACCAGCCCATATGAGCCACACAACTGACTCTACATGTAGCCACTGGGCATCACTGGGCGCGCTCGCAGCACTCATCCTGATTGCATTCGAACCATTCCTCCAGGCCATCCTGACCTTCCAAGACCAGACGATCAGAGTTGACTTGAGCGAGTTGAACGAGGCTGAACCTACCATTGGAAGCTGTTCTGTCCTGGACGCAGGGAGTTGGACTGGCACGAACCAAATCGCCCTTCTCAACGTACCATTCACCGGCTCAAACGGTAAAAAGCTACTCTATCAGGCTACTGTTGGCCGAAGGGTACGCGTTGATATGGGAATGACAGCTAGTCTCTGGAATGGATTCTCCTATCTTGTCACAGCGGATAGTCTCTCACCATCCTTCTCGTGCAGGACAGGAAACTGCACGTGGGCAAACTATACCTCTCTGGCACTCTGCTCCAAGTGCCAGGATATTTCTCAACATGTCAAGAAAACAACAGGCGTTATCAAGGTACCCAAAGGAATCAGTTCAAGCGGATGGATCCTGGGGAAGAGCGAAGAGCTTCCAGACGTCAGCAACACCATCCCTGAGGCCAACATGCGCCAAGTTGGGAAAACTCTTGACTACACAAAGTACACGGTTCCGGGAATCAACTTGAAGATTTCAAACTATAACGGAAAGACGAAGCGAGTGTCTGAAGATGAAAATTCTGCATATCCTGACACCTACCTCACGACGACAGCTACGACAAACCCCGGGAAGACAATATTCTTCCGTGACTCCCGCACACTAGCCCTCGCTGTTCAGTATTTTGAGGCGGATGACACATGGAAAGACAACAAAACTACGTGGGAAGATACCCCAGTCACGGCAAAGGAATGCGGCCTCTACTTCTGCGTCAACCAATATGAGTCTGTAGTAGAGCAGGGAATTTTGAAGGAGAAAGTGCTCGCTTCGTGGGCGAACAAGACCGTCGACTCGTACACTAACAGCGAGGGAGCACAGAAGGAGTACATGAAGTACAAGAACAACTCCCTCGATCTGGCCCCGGGATATGTCATTGTGCCAGATCTTCAGATCTACATCCCCGACAAAGACTTTCGCGCTCGCTCAGCGAATCTTACGCAACAAACATTCAACATCTCTCAAACAACCGTTGTATCTCTTATCGAGAGTCTCAAGGAGGGATTTTGCGCTCGAAACAGGAATGGCACTGAGTGTGACTGGGAGAACCAGGTTCTCGTCTATCCATCTCTACCTGGCGATGGGCCACCGGGGTTTATGTTTGCGATGGGCGAATCGACTGATATCCCGGGAATGATCACAAATGTGGCGTCCAGTGTGACCAAGTGGATGCGCGATCGCAAGTCGAATTCGACGCCAGTGAAGGGCGAAGAGACTAGATCAATCGTCGTCACGAGGGTCCGATGGGCGTACTTGGCGTATCCCACAACGGCACTCTTTGTGGGATTCATGTTTGCAATACTGGCCATCTGGGAATCAAGTAACCTGAAGCGCCCAGTTTGGAAAGATAGTGCCCTGGCTACGCTTGCGTACTCCCCTGACGGAGAGTTTAGAGAAAGGCTCAAGGAGGCGGCAGTTTCTGGGAAATTGTCAGAGGTGGCAAGAAACACCAAAGTTAGTCTGGACTATCAAATGGGGCATGGAAAGATTGTATCGCGGGGAGAAAGGAAACAAAGTGCAGAGATTCCATGTTGAGTGTCGAGCTGGTAACATGGATCTAGTCTAGTATTGTCTGGTGAGTCCCTTGTCCACCTTTTTCGTAACCACCACACCGCTTACCGCCTTCAGCTGAGAAAGTAGGATATGATGAAGTATGATATCATTTCTCACAGAACTCGCCACCCACTTGTGGCTTGAGGGCTTTCAGTGCTGAATGTGGTAAAGATACGGTCAATTAAGACACTACCCGCACGTCGCGAGTTGATTCTCTGAGCTCTGATACATTTTTTTTTGGGAATGAAGCTTAATCTGCATTGCAAACGTCCCTACTCTGTGATTAACCAAGCGATTTGCAGTCACCATTGAATTGATTGTAGATTTAGGTTCACTCAAATAAGATCTATAATGCGTCTTTCTTCGCTAGACTCAGGCCAGTTTCTAACCACGCAGCCAACGCGTCTGTAAATTGCGCCGTCAACATGCTCCAAGACCAAGCCATGGCGGTGTTGCACCTGCAACCACCAACATGACCGCGCTTTTGAGAGACCAGCCTTGTCCCCGATGCTATAGCAATCCAACTTCAGCACAACATCAGAATTCGTACCTCGGAATGTACCTAGCAGCCAAGCCCCCGGGTTTGGAACTCTGCTCCCGTGAACCAGACAGCCTCGTGCACGCAGCCGGCCCGCAGTAACTTGGCCCAGTGGCAACAAGGCAGAGCGGGCTGTCACATCGCAGTCGATGATCTCCAGGTGCAGGCCCTTCGAGCTTTCGAGTGCACCAAGGGTCAAACCACTACTTGCGTCCGGAAAGAGAACCGGACACTCGACTGACGCCCAAGACCAGCTTGGGGCGCGGTACGGGGTGCACTGCACAGGGTGACTCTCTGTTGGAGCTGCGAACCAGATCAACTGATCAAGCAGATCATTTTCCCAGAGCCCTGCGAGGTATCTTCCAGGCCCACCTCCAGACTGGACGGACAGGTGGTGAATCTGGCTTGCCAGTGCCGAGATGGCAGGTAGCTTGTCCTCTGGAAAGGTGAGATTGCGGTGGCTATAGACGGCTACCATATTTTTCCAGGCTTCCTTATATGGATACTGGCTGCTGTGTTTGGGAAGAACCTTGGCTACTTCGCTTTGATGTTTTCGTAACCACGAGTTCCATCCCTGTATGCCTTGTTCACATCGCCAAGTCATGGTTGACGTGCCGTATGTCAAAGCCCGTCGGCAGAGAATTTGTTCTTGATAAGCCCAAGCACGGCGATCCAAGGGTTCGGGAGAGGTGCCGTTATCCCAGATGCAATACTCAGCGCTAATAACATCCACCACCTCGTCCGAGAAAGCCATTGGAAGTTGGAATCGGTATGACACAGCATCCGGTTCTAGGCAACGCGGCTGAGTGTTCGATGCTAAAAATCCTTTATCGGAGCTACCCGCGTTGGCTGCGATGATGGTGACTGAAGCATTCTGGTAGTACTGCGCCATCTGTCCAATTTCGGCGTCTTTGTCTTCAACTGAGTCCTGGATGATACAGAGTGCGTCGACCCAAAGATACTTGAGACCAATTTGCCTCGTAACCGTAATTGCGTCTTGAATGGTACGCGGAAGTGCCGAAATTTCTAGACATTTGGGGCCATCTAGAGAAGTGATTAGCAGACCTGAAGCCGGAATCGTCTGCCAAGCTGGTGGTGATATACCAGTCGGTAGAGGAGTTCCGGATTGTGAGTTACTGCCCCAGCAATAGCTCAGGGCGACATACTGGCCGTATTCGGTTTGCGCCTCGTGTATTCTAACAGTGTTTTGGTTTTGCAGATCAAGTACGCGTGTTGGCAGTGGCACTGGCGCCGGGCGTGGACAATATTGGTGGTGGGTATCACAGTCCGCCACCCACGACCTGATCTTTACAAAAGCAGCGCTGGAATGCACATTGAGGTCACAGTCCCGAGAGCTAATGTAAGCGGCTGCTCGATCGCCTAATCGGAAAAATGGAAATGTGAATTAGATATCGAACCACAAGACCGACGCGAGAAGGGGGCACTTACCGGGATGTGCATACACCTTGAATCTGAAATGGCTGTGCATAAAGTGTCCCGCCGAAATTCCAGCACCGACTATCCCTCCGTGCAGGAGTATCTCATGGATATCGCAAGCTGACGTTCTCATGCCCTCGGGTCGAAGAACGGCCTGGACGTTGAGGGTTGCAGTGGCTGTGTCATGGGCATCGAGAAACCTAGCCATGGGCCAAGTGAAGGAGCTTTCATCCTGTAGAGAATGCAGAGCCAAGCAAAGGAAGATGCTGCACATGCGGCAAAAAGAGTATTCGGCAGAATCATGTAGACTTCGGAGCGAGACTTGCAAGCTGAATCCTTCTCTGGATATGGCGTGATGCAAGCATTCCATATCTGCCATGATGCCATAGCATCTAGCGCAAATGTTGGGGCGTTTTAGGGCATATCTTATCCAGCTTTCGTGATTTCCAATACCGCAGACATCCCCAACAGTCCAGCCAGGGAGAGACATTGGGTACCTAGGTTGAGCTGGGATGGGTTGATTGAGAGGAAGTGGGTGGGTTGACCTGTGATAGGTATAGAACAGGTGGGGTAGGAGTACTTAACTATAGCAGGCGGGAGGAAAATGTAATAGGTCAAGAACCTCGCTCGGATCAGCTTCGCCGCTCGCACCTGATTGGCCAGAGTGCGACAAGAACACTAAAATACCCGCGCTCAACCAACAGCCCTACTAAGATATGATGAACAGGAGAAACAGGAAGAAAATCACATTCTACTCCTGTTCAATTAATTATTGATTTCCCTTGAATTCTTAAGACTTATATATGGTCCCCTTTACTCTGGTAGCTAGAGGTACCGATATGGGTAAGAATAGCTTATGTGGATAACTATTTATGACGGAATTAGAAGGATTAGTTTATAGTATTCGGGTTTAATGCTGTTATTTCTTAATGACTGTATCTTTTGCTATTATAGCCCACAGTATATTTAGATTTGTTATTAAATATAACAAACAGAATAATAATAGGTAGAAGAATAAGGCTCGCTTAACCTCAATCAGTACTCTTTCAACTGTAAAACGCGCCCCATTGCAATCCTGAGTTAGAACTTTCAGTACACCAGTATATGCCTTTGAGCAACACTTGAAATCTCCTAGTTCATAATGTGGTAGCTCAGAAAGATACTGTTGTGCAGTCTTGCGGCCTAAAGTATCTGGGTAACTGTTGACACACTGCCCTCAGCCCGCACTTTGGGTTCCTTAGCCTACCTAGGCTAAGCACCAGTTCATCTGAGAGCGGCAACAACTCAGTTGAGGAAAATAACATAGGCCTGGACGTACTTGGGTTTCGCCTCGCAGTCTATTGGTATGCTAGGAGTAATCGAAATTGACGAGGGGTAAATAATGCAGACAATTACACCCAGTTCTGGTAAAAGCCCAAGACCCTAGGCGTTCAACAACCACCCAATGCCCTTTATAATGTCCTTCCAATAATCCTGACACCTATCCAGCTCGGGCCAGTTGGTCCAGAACATGTGCCCATACCCCTCATACAGCTCAAGTCGGGTGGGAGCTTCCCACTCTTCTTCCAAAGCCCGCTTATAGATAAGAGCATGGTCTCGAAGAGGGTCTAGTCCCGCGATCTGGAAGAAGGTCTTGGGTAGTTTGTGCTTTGTTTCGGCTGTTGGTGGATACCACTCTTTCGCAAATGGTGAAAAAAGAGGTGAGTGGACGTCAACCTTGAGCAACGTTTCGATGAAGCTGCCGGCTGTGGAATCTTCAGGGCCCTCAAGAAGAGGTCCCAGGACAGGGTCAGATCTGTTGGACCACATGCTTGTGTAGTCTTGTCGGTACTTGTCGGGGACAATCTCAGGTGGGAGAAGGAATGGCACACAGAGCCATTGACCAGTGATTGGAGGTTGCAGCTGTTCCTTGATGGAGACATGGACCAACGCCGCTGCAATGTTTGAGCCAGCAGAAGATCCGCCCACTAAGAAGCCTTTGGTTGGGTCTGCCCCGACCTCAGAAGCATTGGCAGCAGCCCACTTGAGAACATCCCAACAATCAAGAACACCCATCGGGAAAGAATTTTCAGGTGCCAATCGATACTCTACATTGAGGCAGACAACACCGAGATCTCTCGCAAAGTGCCTAGCGTTGGAGTCTTCATCCGCAACATCACCCATGACCCATCCACCTTCATGGAAAAGCACCATGAGTGGCCTCTTCTCACCATTCGCAGCTGGGCGATAATACTTTGTGGGAAGCTTGTACCCATCTCGTGCTTCAATTACAAGGGTGCCCTCAATGACCTCCGGTATCGGGTCGGGCACCGGAAGCATATGCTTCAAGCTGTCCAGGTGCTGGCGTCGTGCTGCGCGGTTTTCGGGGACGAAGGGGAAGCCCGGGAATGGACGCTGAGCGATAGCCGCTTGCAGCTTGGAGTGTCTCTCTGGAAATCCATTGTCTGTCATGATGGTCAAATTCAAGGTTCGAGGAGATAAAATATCAGATGCCAGAACAGCAAATGTTCAAGTTGACCTTGTTGCTGCAATGAAGGGGATGTTTGGGATGATCTTCAACTGCGGAGACAAGGCCTCACTAGCGAATCATTTTGGCCCCCAAGATGCTTCGTCAGCGGGAATCATGCCAATGATGACAAAAAAGGAAATTCGGGGCCATAACATGTGTCCCTTATTGGCATTTGATAACTGAGGTGGAGTGGTGATTATCTCCTAATCTGGAAATACGCGTCACGACATGAGGTTGTTGCTAATGGACACCTAGTTTTCCAACCGCTGAATACCATACGCCAGCACATACCTCGACACCCCTCAAGGTGAAGCTTTCGCCGAACCTGTATCCATGTCAACAAGACCGATCTTCTTTTTTCCACATTCTGACTAGACAAGATCCACCATACTTCATCAGCGAGGGGATTACTACATCTTCCCGCAAGCTTCTCCCTCGATCTATGGCCCTTCCGAGCCTTTGTTTAATCTTGAGTGAAAACAGGTACCTGGACAGAACCTATATCTGGTCTCAGTACTATGATAAGAGCATATGAAGCCCTGGGTTCTTACTTACATTGCCCTAGCAGGTCCCAAGCCTACCCCATACGGGAGAGAAGCCGTTCAAAGGAAGGCAATATCGATCAAGGCTGCGGTGAGGCCGAAGATTCTGAAAGAAAAACCACGAGAACTGTAGCATATCTATGAATATTAACAAAAAAGCACATGACAATCGCGGCATATAGCTTACGTGGCTCCTGCGACAATCAGTTCGTGACTCTTCATCCTCGTGGTACTGGAGATTATCGCGATAAAGACTACCGTTGCACCCCCAATAGCGAAGAGCCGTGATGATGTGGTATCTAGGTAGGAACAAAGAATGACGGGGGCCAATAGCATGGCAACAATGATTGGCGTCATTAACGCACGCGAGACCAAGGCCGCAGATGATCTTGTTGGAATATAAATGTGAGTGCTGTCCCTTGACACGTTCGAACGATAGCTCTTCAATAGTTTCAGCATGGTGGGAAACAGGTATTAGATAAGTTGACCTACCTGGAAGAAATAATCTCGTAAACGGAGCAGATTCTCGGCTACTTTAGACTGAAGTCCAAGCATGGCGGATTCATCCTGAGGGCTGATGCTAAGTAGCTCTTCGGGTGGGTAATTCAAAAACCTGCTCTCCGCTCGTGCAATACAGCCCGTGCCATCGATCCAATTCTGTAGGTTGGTCACCGCACGGGGATCTGCTTCTTCGAGTTCCGAAATGCGGCGACTTCTTAATATGAACTTGTCTATGCGTATCAGTTCTACCGTCTCATCATTGTAGCTGGCCAAGGCCATCTTACCTAGATCCTCCATGGCTTCATCGATCTCGGCAAGAACTTTCTCTCGTTCTTTGTTTTGATCACACTCAGAACTGCCGAGAAACAGTGGCGTGTCTTCATCCCGGTCAATTTTGTTCAGCTTTCTTTCCAGCCGCACTACCCGATTTTGTTTAAGAAGTAGTAATCGAGAGCGAAGATTCAAGAATCTACGGGCGACAGAAAAAGAGTCGTGAGAGGCAATTAGAGATGAAAGCCGCGGGTATCCATTAGGGTAGTCCTCAACTTGGTAACTGTTAGCCTCAAATCCCAGCAATGAAGGATGCCAGCCAGGCTTACTCTGCGGTAATTGCATCACCGGAGCACTCCTTGTCCTGAAAAGTGATACAGGCAATGAGCAAAAGGCAGATGATGCCCGAGCCAGATTCGGCCACGTGAAATGCCGGGTTCTGCTGTTCATCTGGGCTGGCGCACATATGGCTGATGGTAGTGTGGTGTTGTACTGGCCCAACTCCATGTCGGAACTGATTTGGTTTGACATCTTGCCTTGGTCCTTGGAAGCTCAACACCACCTAGATTCTTGTTCAAACTGGGCCTGACCGCGGTGAAGTAAGATTCACGTCGAAGTGGCGAGGGGATTTTTCTCCTCCATTGCGTCGAAGCAGCTCCACAAGCAGCTGCGTTTATGATTGGACTTGGATTGTTTTGTTGCTCGCATAGCATCGGGGCGTAGTTCAGCTTGTACGCTGCGCGTTTTGCTCAGCCACAATGGCAAGAGGGATTTCCATAACCCGCGAGGCCTCCTCGACGGCACAATCTCAATTTTCTCAATCATGCCATATTCACGGTCACTCGTGCCGTGCTCTGTTCCGAAATCACCCCATGGCAACTACTGAAGAGTCTGCGGCGCGCTGGGCGCTGATGATCGGAATCAACTACTACCCCAAAGACCGGCATCTTTACGGCAGCGTGAGCGACGTTAACGACATCAAAAAGTATCTGGAACAGCACAGCACCACACCTGTTCACACGGCTGTGCTCACAGCCACTGTACCAAATGATTCCGAGTCCAGTAAGGAGCCACCACCAGAGCCATTTGAAAACAGGCCAACCAGGGCGAATGTACTCATGCATCTTCGCAGGATCATTGATTCTGCAAACCCTGGAGATCATGTTTACATCCACTTCTCGGGGCACGGCGCTCAGCTGCCGTCGGAAGGAAAAGTCGGCGAAACTGGCTTCGGCGAGCTAGGTCTGGTACTTTTCGAAAATGACGAGCACGGAGCGAGCTACTTTCGTGGGCGCTCTCTAGCCCAAGCTCTAAGAAGAATGGTTGACAAAGGTCTTGTCATCACAGTGGTTCTGGACTGCTGTTTTTCGGGTCTTGTGAGTCGAGGCGACCATGGCCGCGGTTTTGGAATCCGGACTATGGAATATGATTCCACCCTCGATGCCGACAGATCCCAACAGGATCAAGAATGCAAACTAGTACTAGGCAGCTCCGGGCGCGATGCACAAGTTGATAGAGACTGGCTTGTTGACCCCCAGGGCTACACGATTATAACAGCTTGTGGTCCCCACGAAAAGGCGCTAGAAGTTCTTGTCAACAAGCAACAGATAAGAGGTGCCCTCACTTATCACCTTCTCAAGGCGCTTACTGCTCTATCCAAGCTTCAGGAGACGGTATCGCACCAATCACTCCACGAAATGGTCGTGTCTATGATGCAATCGTCAGGTTACAGCCAGACTCCAATGCGCTACGGCAATACTCGTCTTTCGTTCTTCGGTTCGCTTCTGGATCCAGCATCCCTCACGGCTTTGGCAGTATACACAAGAGGAGCTTCCAAGCTATTCATCAAAGCAGGACAAATCCACGGAATCTCAGTGGGTGATGAGTTCACTGTTTATCGAATCCTTTTACCTGGTGCAAATGGGGCCGCCGGGGCCGCCGGGGCCGCCGATGTCAAAGGACACTTCAAAGTCCTAAATGTTTGGGCGTTTGAGTCCGAATTGACCATGCCTCAAGATAGTCGAGCACTGCCTGGAGTATTCGCACCCAACATGACAGAGCTGGGCAATTTGAAGGCCACCCAGCTGTCGAGGCTTTCTTCTCAAAGCATCAAAGTGTCTCTCCCACCAGGGTTGATGCGAGAGAAAAAGTGGAAAGACAAAGCAGGCTTGTTGCGGTATTTACAAATAGTCATGGAGAGCCAAGAAACAAGTCTGTGTATGTTTCAACTGACGATCAACAAATCCAACGGCTACGAAATCGTCAGTGAAGCGCAAGAAAACATGCTTCAGCTACCCGTCCTCGACGCCGACTTGGAAGGCTCCTTTCCAACGATGATGAGGATTCTTCATCATTTGGTAACATTCAAATACTTTGAAGGTCTGTGCAATCGGCTTCCATCTCCAGAGTTCAGAGCAACGTACACGATCAATCCAACTGTGGACTCTACGACGAATGGTATCTTTCAGGTTTCGAACGGCAGGATCTTTGGACTCATCATCGAGAACCACGCAGATCAACCTCTGTATTTGGCAATCTTTGGCTTTGATCCTTGTTGGGGTGTCAAAAATCTGGTCGCACAGTCTGGAGGCGACGATTATGTCCTCGTGCCACCAGCTCACGGCCAGAACAGTGGCAGCAAGCAGATAAAATTGAGAATGACGATTCCGACTCATTATCAGCCGCGGGCTCGGGACGACAAGGTTCGAGACGTCGTAAAGCTCTTCGTTACCAACAAGCCAGTTTCATTCCCGAGCATGGTTTTGCCGGGATTAAGGATGAATTCAAGCCGTCCCAGAGACTCGTCTGTAAACGCAGAAATGATTTCAGACTTTATCAAACTCTTGAATACAGGGGGCATGATCAGGGGTGACCGCGATACCGATGCATGGACGTCACACAATTTCATAGTTCATACATCTATTGATTGAAACGTGGCTGCCGAAAGCCTAGCCCAGAATGCAAACCAGACAAGACATTAGAAAAGATCTTCTACGAGTTCCAACTGGTCTTGGTCATATTCATGCCCCTGCCTCACCTCCTTACCCTTCTCATCGCACAGGATATATTTTCCTCCTTTTACTTCGGACACTCTGTATGTTGTTCCGCCAGGGCCGTTTGATATCACCTTGACTTGATCATTAGGTCTAAATTTGGCAATCTGAATAGTATTAGCTAGGTAGTGGTATCCTGATTGCGAGAAACCTGCCGTAGCGAAGCGCCTGATCGTCGGACGTCCTCCTTCAATCACCGTCACCTCTGGTACATCCTGGTGGCTATGGTCCGATTGGTAATCACGTGCTGCCGTTGGAGAAATTTGACCTACTCGGAGCTGATTGAGGCTTCTTGAGCATCAGACGCATTGTTCATTGTAAATTTCGAAGGGTTGACGTCTAACGATACTGAGTTCAACGAAAGATGAAAAGAGGGGTCGGTTTACGTACCTGGAACCATCCTGTAAAACGTAGATCGAAGATTTGAAATATCCAAGACTGACCCCGATGCCAAGTTGTGAGATTTTGCGAACCAGGCCGCAAATGCGGCTCAGCTGGGTACCATGAGCTTTTGCCCATCCATAGCTGTCAGCGACCAATGTTTTGATTGCTTTACCTGTCTGTGTCAGAGCACCGCCCCCTTGGCGTCGTGGAGCGTGGCAATGCTACGGGCGAAAGCGGCCTCATGCAGTCGTCTTTGGGCCGCGTACAACCTATTCGGCATCCCGATAGGTGCAATTCAGTCACCGGTGTAAAGTGCAATTCCTGCAGCTGACCAGACCAAGCTTTTAAATAAGCCTGAAGAACGTAGGACTGTGAAAAGGTGGTGTGATTGACCCGCTAGGAGGCTTTTTTGACTGGTCAAATGAACAGATACGACTGCACCTGTGTCAGCCTCACTGTCTCTGGAATGGTGCTGACCACTCAAGGCGATGTCACAAATGTGACAGCCTGCACTCTGTACATGGGGCGGTCACAAGCCATCCCGTGTACTGGTTGGGCCTCAAAATCGGCCATTCCCGTCAGTCGTCAGGACTCAGGAGGGAGGCCCCACCAAGTACAACTGCCATGACTGCATATCCAAAAACCATTCAACCTTGCTGTACCCGGCGTAACAGAAGTAGATAACGTTGCAAATGGGAATGCACTCGTAACATTCGGTTTCATGTCCGAAGAAGAGGTCCGTGACAGTCATCGAACTCTCTTGCTTGAGAGTCACAAACGTTAGGTATTACTCAAGCTCTTGGAACCATGGAGTTATGCTGATGTAGCCGGAGAGTATGGAAGGTCTTGAAAGGGCTACGGACGCCCGAAGAAAAATGCTGGAGAATGTGGTCGTCGATGACGAAGCGAGAATATCCACATTGAATCGTCTCAGCCAACACTTCAACAAACAGTTTGCAATTACCGAAGACACGAAGTATCTCGACGAGGCCGTCAAGGCCCGTAGGGAAGCACTTGCATTGGTTCATCCTGAGGATCATGTCAACAGGGCTCTCCAATCGCATCTACTCAGCAATGAGCTTGGCGACCGATTTGCAGAAACAGAAGACCTCAATGATATTGAGGAAGCCATCGATTGGGGGTTACAGGCATTGAAGTTGACACCGGAGCAACAGTATTCACCAAGGATTGAGTATCTTAGGAGACTCGAGCTGCTCTTTGAAGATATGTACGAGGAAACGAAAGATCTCGCTGATTTTGATGAGATTATTCGTTACAAAAGGCTTACAGTTGAATCGACAAGCCCCGGCGATATTGCTCTAAAAGCAGGCAGACTGACTGATTTGGGCACATGGCTCGATAAGCGGTCAGATATCACGGGACAAGTCTCGGATATGAACGAGTGTATCCGGATCATGAGACAGGTCCTTGAATTGAAACCCGGGGACGAAAGCACGCTGAAAAATCTCATGCGCTTTCTGTACAACCGGTACAGGCTCACCAGAGAGATACCGGACCTGGAAGAATGCATTCGACTGCATCGACAGACAACTGATTCATCGTGCACTGATGAATCTAGAGTTGAGTGGATGATGAGACTTGCAAATTACCTCTGTGAACTGCACGAAAGGACCGAAGAAGAAGCTGACCTCGGGGAGGCCTTTGCAATCGCAACAGAGGCACTCGCTTTGGTTCCTGAAAACCGCTGGCAACGCAGGTGGCTGCATTGTCTAGGGCGGTTGTTCGGCTGTCAATATCTCGAGACTGAAGCGCTGGCCGACCTAGAAGAAGCGATCCGGTTGGAAAGATTGGCGCTCAAACTCGCCCTCACTGACGAGAATCGAGGTGGCATCTTGACAAACCTGGGCAATCGGCTCGGCGACAAGTATGTGAGAACAGAAGCGATTGCCGACATCAACGAAGCCATTAAATGCGCTAGAGAATCACTGCTTCTGAGACCTGACAATCCCGAACGACTATACAACCTCGCAATCAAGTTGGGCGACCGGTTTACAAGAACGAACAAGATGGAAGATGTCGATGAGGCCATCGAACTCGAGAGGCAAGCATTGAAAAGAGTACCACTGGACAACTCCGAGAGAGCCGACTATTTGAACATTCTCGGCAACCAATTAGCAGATCGATTCAATCACAAGGGAGAATTGCCCAATCTCGAAGAGGCCATTCGCACTGCAGAGAAAGCCTTGGGGCTGATGTCGGAGGACCATCCCAACAGAGCAACCTGGTTGAACAGCCTTGCTGGCCGCCTCCTGGAGCTTTACGAGACGAAAGGGAACAAACTAGATTTGGAAAATTCCATCACCCAGTACCAGTTAGCCCTTCATCACGACAAGTCAGCACCGGAAGATCGCATTGAGGCTGCCCAAGCCATTATCGCCAATTGTTCGGACAACTAGCAAGTCTACGATGCTGCGAGACTTGCAGTGAGTCTTGTTCCGAAGCTTGTCTCATGGTCGCATGAGAATCTTGACCGACAGTATGTACTTGGCAAAGTGGTTGGCTTGGCCTCGGACGCGGCAGCGGCAGCATTGCAAGCAAAACAGTCACCTATGGTCGCCTTGCAGCTCCTCGAACAAGGTCGCGGCATCATCGGGACGTCGCTACAGGACATGCGCAGCGACGTGCAAGACCTTGCAAAGCACCATCCACACCTCGCCGAGAGATATCGCGCTTTACAGGTGGAGTTAGATCGGCGCGTCGAACAAAACACGACGGGTGCTGTGCGTAAGCAGCCGCAAGCATCGATCAACCGAAGGCATACTGCTGCAAAGGCGTTCACCGAGTTGACTGCTGAGATCCGCAAGTTGCCTGGATATGAAGATTTTATGCTTCCACACAGCGAAGATGAAATCTACAAAGCCTCAGAGCGCGGCCCAATCGTCGTGGTCAATGTCAGCAGGCTTCGTTGTGATGCTCTACTTGTCTCGGACAACCGAGTTCGTGCACTGGCACTGCCCAACGTAACTCTGGAAGAACTGGAGTACAGAACAACATCCTGGAGTTTTGCAAGCCCTAAAAACCTCGAGTGGCTTTGGGAAAACGTTGCGAGCCCTGTCCTGGAGACTCTAGGCTTCACTGAAACCCCGCCTCCGAACAAGTGGCCGCATATATGGTGGATTCCCACTGGCCCTTTGGTTCAACTTCCCCTCCATGCAGCAGGCTACCATGGCCAGCAGTGGCCCAATGCAGTACTCGACAGAGTTTTATCGTCGTACGGCTCTTCAATCCGCAATCTGATCAGTGGCCGTCGCAACTCCATCCAGCCTTCTGGTTCTGACCAGGCACTGCTTGTTGCCATGGAAGATACACCGGGGCATGATCTGCTTGCTTTTGCCCCCAAAGAGGTGGATTCAGTGAGCGGCATCATCCGGTCTATGAATTTGAAGCCGATTGTGCTAGGGCGAGCTAAGCAAGATGTCACCAAGCAGGATGTCACCCGGTATCTCCCAGATTGCAAGATATTTCACTTTGCTGGGCACGGCCTCGCTCATGCGGAGGATCCATTACAGAGCTGTTTGCTTCTCAAAGACTGGGAGAATAACTCGCTCAAGGTTTCTGACCTTTTGGATATCAACATTCGCCAAAAAGCACCCTTCCTCGCATACCTTTCAGCATGTGGCACAGGCCAGATCAAGGATGAGACGTCATTCGATGAGAACATCAACCTCATCAGCGCCTGCCAGATCGCTGGATTTAGGCATGTTATCGGCACGTTATGGAATGTCAAGGATGATCTATCCGTTCAAATCGCCAAGATGACCTATCAGGAGCTGAAGGACTCCGACATATCAGACGAGTCCATCTGCCGAGGGCTCCACAAGGCAACCCGTGAGCTGAGAGGAAAGTGGATAGAGCAGCACAAAAGTTGCCAGAGCCCGGCAAGCCCTACTACCACTCATTTCCAAGATACAACAAATGGGTCGCTTGTCCGTTCACTTAGAGACGCATATTTGATAGAGAGTGAGGATCTTGACCTTGGTATAGCTTACTGGGCGCCCTATGTACACTATGGGGTGTAAATACTTGTCACTATAACTAGGAGGAAATACTGGAGTGAGTCTACGTCTGTCGTAGGATTACCTTTCATTCTTGGGTTTGGGGAAGCATAAAAGCAGAAACTATATGAGACGTAGTGTGAGTCCTTGAGCACCTTGAATCAGGAAAATGGTGAGCCTATTTCCTCTATGGATCAGGTCAATCTTCCGTCAACACCTCCACCTCAAAATCATCTATCCACCATTTGAGATCCTGTATCAGCTCCGCATTTCGAACTGTACCTCCGGTACTGTGGAACTTCTGCTCCTTGATCCAGATATCGGGCATCTCCAAACTCTTCAGCGAAACATTGCTAGAATCTGTGACAACAGTCCTGAGCATATCTTTGCCAAAGCCGTTCTGGAGCTCATCTGGCAATTCAAGCTTGAAAAGGCAATCCTGGTTGCTGCCATCTGATACAACACTGCAGGAACATTGAGGAGAACCAGGGTACAGCTGCTTGACTTGGTGTCCGGGACCGAAAGACAGGACCGTGAAGTAGAGTGTTGCGTCGGACCGGTTTGTGAAGACGAGGCGGACCTTAATACAGGAAGGGACACTCTGGCCGTTGGAAAGCTCTCTTGATCGTTCCTCGTCCATGAATTTGACAGTAAAGGGAGGCTTAGTCTTGGACGCGAGTGTGCGTAGGTCAAGGATTTGTTGATAGCGGAACAAATGAACAATTGCCGAGGCCGATGGTGCGACGAGTTGCTCACATTCCTGATCGTTGGTGCACGACAATACCAACCCGGGGACTGTCTCCACTCCTCCTGGGTGTAGCTTGAGCAACTCGATTCCATCATTCGTGCGCTTCAACTCTACCGCTGACGTGCTGCGATCTGTATGCGAGCTTGCCGTGACAGCCTCGACGGACCCTTGAATATGCTGCCTGAGCGTCTTCAAGAGAGAGCTCGTGAAAGCGCTTGGCAGACCTGGGTCTACAAGCACTCGGAAAAGACAAGATGTGCTCAGTCTCGACCGATACAGCTCATCGCCTGTGTTCCACACCGACCGGTCCTCTTTAGGCATCTTAACAAGACAATAGGTGTCTTCCACCTCGTCAACGACGAGCTTGTGACCGGTGGGCTTGGACAACCTAGTGTACTCTGTACCTCTGTTCACCCCGTGGATTTCTCCTTCCGGAATGCGAACCAATCTGTCGCCAACTCTCACGTACAATAACATCGGGCAACATGGCTCTGTCGTTCCAAAGACTTGGAGCCTATCGTGTCCGTGCACTTCGGGCGTTTGTGTGATGTTCCTGGCTGGGCGGCTGAACGTAGCGTTGATCGCTGCGCAGACAGTCCGATACGTCTTCAGTGGAGTATCAGAATCGAGATGCGACACCAGGGCACTCGTGAAAACTCCATGAATTTTGCCGTCATCCTGACGACACTCCTGAGCCGGTTGATTGGGCTTGCAGGCAGCCATAAGAGTGAAGTTGTAGGGATTTATCCCCCATGAGTCGATTGGGATCGAGTTGCGGTCGGTAGAAACGACAGAACCGGCACTCGAGGCCTGTTCTTTATCTACCGGAAGGTTTACCGGGGCTTTCCAGTTCTCGTCCGTGGTTCGCTTCCTTCCGTCCGTCCGCCAAGCACCCCCGGAATAGCAACTGTCAAGGCTGACGACGACTTGGACACCCTTCCCGTGGAGCTTTTGGAGCCATTGGTTGAGCACCCATCCACGAATCGCTGGCTGCCCCTGGCAAAAGTCCATCGGCAGCAAGGAGGGGTCCTTGGCATGGCCTGTAGGTGGTCTGCGGTTGGTATTGAGCCTTGCACCGTGGCCTGAGAAGTGAAAGAAGAACAAGTCCCCTTTCTGTGCGGTGTTGGTGACCTTGTCAAAGGCCCCTTTGATGTTTTGATAGGTTGGCAGTTCTGCAGTCACAGAGGAGGATGAGATCATGACTGTCGTGTCTGTGATCCCGAATTTTGCCTCCAACATTCTCTTGACGTCGAGAGCATCGTTTTCACACCCGCAGAGATTGTCGAGGCAGACAGGATTGCCTTCTTCATCTTTCCTAGTGCCGGAATCGTCCTTCTTGATGCCGTGGCCATCCTGCTTGGTGCCATTGAGATACTTGTCCACGCCTACTACAAGGGCAATTTTGTTTCCAGAGGGTGTCTTGGTGACCATGTTATTCGATTTTAAAGAGATGTTTGAAAGGACAAGTCTTCAAACGTAAGGTGGGTAAAGTAAGGCAGGTTGGTCAAGAATGGGTTACGCTGAACGCAATGGGGTAAGAATGTAGCACGGGGAGGAGGGGGCTTTTACAGCCTTATCCAGCCTACCTAATGCGCCGTCATAACTTTCGATCAGCAGTCACCTGTATGTGTTTAAAGCGAAGCTTTGCGGCAAGGCAACAGGCAACCACGCCATTTGATGCGCCTCTGAAGGCTTGAAAAGGTGGTTTGCGGCCCTAAATGATTGGACCAGTGAGGGGATGTGACACAACAGTTGGTTGAGAGGAGGCTCATCGATAAGGCGGCAGATGTGACCCTACCGTGAAGTGGCTTGCCCAGCCGAAAGGGCTTGCAGTGCCCAGAGCTCGGTCAAGTAACCACCAAATCAGCGTCTAGAGGGCAGGTCACAGGATCCGACTCAATCAAATGCTGGTTGGTTATTAGATTATTGCCATAGCCGTGCCGGACAATGCAAATTACAATCTATTGCATGAAATCACAAATGAATTCGTAATCAGAGCTTGATCCGTTTCATGGCTGACCTGGACGAAGTAGTCTGGGTCAAATCTGCAATTGCGCAATTGTCCAAAATGTAGCTAAGTACAGCTCGTTTAGATCCAGAGGCAAGTCAAGTCATACGTGCACCGTCGGCGGTGCAAATAAGAATCCGCTTAGCCGCTCGCTTCTGCATAAGCGAGTGGGACGAACGCGCAGGAATCCCGAATAGTTGTTTTGTAAGGTTAAGGCCCATACACATTCTAGCACTGGTGTGGTAACTAGTCTTATTATTTACGTTTATATACCTAAGGCTTGCCGGCGGAATCCGGCCGAGATAGATGAGATATATAAGAAATATGTCCCCGCTCGAAAGACGCGCAAGTTTGTTTCCGATGTGCAAAGAGCTGACCACATCGGCGATAGCCCGGCCATGTAATCGAGGTGTTGGATGGAGTGGATAAGAGCTTGTTGGGTGCTTAGACTCAGCATTTGGGGTACGGTGAGGGCCAGCGCTGCGCTCAATTCAAATTCCAATCGACCTTTTGAGCTGATTCAATTGCAAAGGGTCAGACTTAAATTGTGAGGCAATTTGGGCAGTTTGAACTGAACTAATTGAATTGAATTGTTGACCACGAGGGAGGTCACGTGCTCTCTGAAGTATACCTAATCTGGAATCGCTGACCTAAGCGTTAACTGGTCATGTGATCTATCATGTGCTCTCACTTCGGCCTAAAGAGCCAAGAACATCAATTTCATATCAGAACAGAGGCATCACCAAAATTATGGCTCCGATTGAGTTAAGCCAATGAATCCGGCTATCCATAGTTGAATTGCAAAATTGAAATATTTCTGAACTTGAATTGGATTAAATTGGTTGTGATTGAATTACGCGCAGCCCCTGTGAGGGCATAGGTTTAAGGAAATGGTCTTGCACTCACCGGGAAAAAATAAGAGAGGGATGTAAACGTTTACACTCATAGGATAGCTCAGGCAAGAGAAGCTTTCTGAAAGAAAAGACCGTCTTTCTTTACACATCGTAGACCCTGGTGTTGTTTGGCCTTATCGCGGTGATCATCAAGTGGATCCGATCACTTCCGAATCGAGTAGTCCTCCACTTGCCTCATTGGGATCCTGGAGATCGGTTTCAAAAGACGACAGGGAATTACATGATCTAAACCTTTAAAGAAATTGCCTCAGTGGAAGTTACAGGCATTTGTTGCATGTCCTACACTCATAAGCGGCTATGCGGCAGTGGCTGAAAGTGCCTAATGCACCTCAACCCTGCGTAACGGGGGGAGGGTGGTCATGCCGGCCACCTTAATCAGACAGCGAAAGGCACCATGATGGGAGTCAGTTCTCATCTTGACGGCTGATTGGTGGTATTGTGAGATTGAACATGAAAATAAAGATCTGTGCCAGCACACGGGGTATTGGGGTTTGGGGTTGAAGTCTAGGTCACCACAATCCCTGAACAGCGCGGCGTACAGGAGGCAACGCGGCCTAATGAATGCCCGTCTTATTTTACCTTGAATTCATGCTTGCTTTCTGAAACCAACTTCCTCGAGTCAATGGGTGGGGATCTTGCAAGGGTCTCGTGAGCTGAGGAGATCTCTGGCTACTAGCATATAAGAGTGCGCCACCTGGTGCTTCCAATGCAGTCTGGCACGATTACTAGACATAAGTTATTGTTATCAAAATGTGGCCAATACTGCTTCTCTTTGCTTTAGGCACTTCAGCCCTACAAACAGGGACTTGTGACTATAGCAAGAACAACTGGTACCATGGCGAAACATCTTGCATCAACCCCGATCAAACAGCTTCGGTCGACTTCACCTGGCCTCCACTGTTCCCCAAAGGCGCCAAGTTTGTCTACGCAGTTGACGGGATAAATGGGACCGATATTTCCGACATTCAACCTCTGATGGACCCTAACAAGGTCAAAGACCGGAAGGCGACCTTGGTGGGATGGTGGCTTGAATACGACTCAATATCACTCAACAATACCGACCTCCTCATGCTGACCGAGATGAATGTCTTCTTTACCAACACCACAAACAAGATCGGAGGGGGATACAATGGATGCGAAGGTCTTCTTGGATCAAAGTGTCTTGATAAGATTAACAGTACCCTTCGCGAGCTGTGGGATAATGATCAGCAATTTGGAGCACCCTTGCTGAATCTGAACGATGAAGCAGATTCTATTCTTGAGGCTTGCCCGAAGGACTTTTTTTCGACCTGGGAGAAGCTGCAACCTCGAATTGACACACTCAATCAAAACACGGACTTTAACACAATGCGTAAGTTTTTTGATTTCATCACTCTGGCTCTTGATATGCTGACATCCATGCCTGTCTAGTTCTCGCATCCGAAGCACCGCCAAAAGCCAGCCCTTTTGACCAACACAGCACCGATGCTGCCTTGCCTTCTGGGAACAAGTCATTCACCTATTCGAGAACCATGTACGACAAGAGGGAGCTTTCCTTCCAGGAACGAAAGGCGGCTGTGGCAATATTGATGCGTTATCCGGCACGAGATAGTGAGACGAACGATGCACTGCGTAATACGACAACCGACGACATTACTATCGAGTTTGTCTGCACCAAGCTGAAGGAGTCGAACTTCGACGGCGATGATAAAGACGACGGAGAGACCAGTAGCAATGATTCTGACGACGAAGATGCTGCTGGTAGTGTCCGTGTACCGGGGGTTATTTTTTCAGCCATGATTCTCGGCGTGTTGCTATGGCAGATGGTTTGAGATTGCCCCACCAACAATTTCGAGGAACATATTAGAGGGACTTGATGAAAGTAAAGGAGTGGGAGTTCTACAACAATCGGCATTTTATCAATACTATCCCAGTCTTCTTAAAACAGTCTGGCCATGGTCGCGAGCTCTTCCATGTGGGGGTAAGGGCAACTCGACTCTCATCCAAGAGCGAGCGCTAGGAAAACGCATAGCTAGAGGTATAAAATAGCATCTAGTTTCCTGAGTAGGCACGAAAAATCACTAGCTGGCCTTTGAAAGACTGTTGTGCTATTATAGTTGCAGCCCGGCCCTTGATGGGTTAACTGAGCCCGAAGATCGAAAGACTGTTATGCAATCCAGTCAGGTGTGTTCTCGTTCCCAGTTGGCAAATTGCATGCAGGCCATGAAAGAAAAACAGATACATATGAAGGCATTAGATTATCCTCCCATAGGAATGGCCAAGATAAAAGGGTTTTAGCTCATTGCTGTTCCGATACGTCGTTTGTTTTCTGACTTGCGTGAATGTCATGTGTAGGGAGGCTTCATCGCTATGGGTGACGCACATGAAAAGGATGATCTTACTGAGCTTGCCCGAATATTATCGGTCCAGCACCCCGAATATTGATGCTTACATACAGTACGTCCTTTCACGCTTGGGCGATCGGTGTTTTCAAATCACATGCGCGACATGTTCATTGCAACAAAAAAGCCCATTTGACAACAGTACCGTAAAGGTATCGTGGCGTCTCGTCGATCCTCCTCTTGTCTCTGAATATGCTTCTTGGCGTTCCTCGGGTAAAGATAAAAATTCAAGGTTTGCTGGGAGCGGCAGAGACCGTCCGGCAATTCCTAAAGCTTCCCCTCTTTTCTCCATGCTCGCCAGGACGGATGTGTTAAAGATCTGCGGCAGCTGAAAGTGAGACAAAGCTCGTGAAAGACATGCTGACGTGCGGGCGCTTTGGATTGGGTCATAGACCTGAGACAAGCTCCAGAGTCGTTGGATGTGGTGAATTGATTCGCTGTGGACAAAAAAAAGTCAGCTTGTTTGGCGGCTTGGGGTTGCTCGGGTACTAAGCGACTTGTATCATCGACAGGTATAAATGAGGAAGAAGGCCCCGAGGTGATCTCACTCAAACCATCACCATCCAAACAATTCTTTTAGCACAAAACAGTCACTTCATTCATCATAACCATGACAGACCGCGTGGTAGGTTGACAACGCCTTTGCCTTCACTCGTGCTTGGTCTGATCAAATCCACAGTCAGTTCGTTACAGCTTCAAGGGCATTGAGGAGTGGGAGCAATCCAACGAACCACTCAGGGAGTAGGTATTGCCTCACAGTGTTTTCAACTGCGTCTAACACGTCTCCCAACGCAGGATCATCCAACAGGACACTGGCGAAGACAACTGGATCGAAACGAGGTCGCTGCCTCCCATTGGCTTTCCCCCGTAAGTGCCTTGACATCTGACCATAGTCGAGTACATAGGCTAACTCGAGACTACAAATAGACCCCTTAGTGCTGAGGGTGTTCAAAAGCTAAAGGAGCTTTCTGGTGTCAATATCCAGGAGATTGATGAATGATTCAGTTAATGGAGATTACTATCAATGTAGAAGATAGGTACTAGAAGGAAACTCCAGGTCTTTGACTATTTACAATGATTTCCGTGGCTCCGTTGGTTTCTAATTTGGTGATCATTACAGCATCTCAAGCTATCGACCTTCAGCTTTGGTAGGTGCCAATAAGCCCTTTTTCTTCCGTGATCATGGCGAATGTTCTCTTTCATAGATATCTCCGAGAATCTGTGATTTACAAAATGGCCTGGACATTAGAAACATTGGGCTGAAAGCAACTTTCATATCCGATGTTCTATGAAATGAGCAATTACTAGCAGAGGCAAATCTTTTCCCAGTAATTACAGCTATGCTTAGCTTCCAACACATAAAGGGTAGTCTCACTTGATCCTTTCGTTTCATCCAGAGAGCCAACTACTGCGTACAGCATGATTGAGTCCCCCAGTAATCGCGTCTAACCCTGCCTCTGTTTAACGGCATCGAGCAATTCATCCAAAGCCCTCTTGTCACCCTCTTCATTATCGTAAGCTGGATTTAACGTAGAGTCCTCATCCGCCATCTGCTCCTCCATCTCATCATCCGATTCGTCTTCGGACCAGCTCTCTGAAAATTCCAGCAACTCGCCGTTACTTTCTGCCTCGATCCACGGACTCGGCAACGTCCATTCACTAAACGCGATATACCGCTGAGGCGAAACTCCCTTGTTGAAAGCCTCGGAGTTGTTGCCCATGACCCCATATGTCTGATCGTAGAGACGAAAGTCGACGAGACTGGATAAGCTAGTCCGGATAGAGTCAAAGACAGTCTCCCAGGTGCCAGAAAAGGTAAAGACTCTAGCATCATCGGCTTCGTGGCCAAAAGCACCACGGGGCCAACTCTTCCAGTCGTCTGTCCGTAGGCCCCATTTTCCGATGCTCCCTTCTTCGACGAGAAGGTGCGAGGCAATGCGAACATCTTTCAGGTGTAGGCTCTTTAGTGTCTTTTGAGCGTAGACCCAGTCCATGTGATCATGGTGCCCGATTACAAAGTTTTCCAATGTCAAAGACTCGAGTTGAGGGAACAAAAGATTACGACCGTCGAACTGGCCTGGGACGGTACCCCATTCTTGGTCGAACTTCAAGGTGAGAGAGGTCAGATTATGAGCGATGGGTGCTAGCAGCCCTGTCTGCAAAAAGGGCTCCTGGAATCGATCAGTATCTAATATTCATCTCTGAACTTGTGCTTAGATCTTACAAAAGTCTGACGTTCGTCTTTGTAGACGTCACGGTCGGGGCCATGCTCGTTATACTCTGTCGCTATGGACAGGTGTAGCTCCTTGACGTTCTTCATGACATTACTAAAGGCATTCGACTTTGTGAAATTCGGTATCGGGAGATTTTGCAAGTTCTCAATGGTGAGAGACCGGACAGCAGAATTCTTGGGATTGGCGGCTCGCTTTTCCAATGCTCCAAAGACGGCTTTGAGCGTGTTGATGCGCGATTCGGCCTCTTCGAAATCACCCGAGAATGGATGTTTATCGGCGATTCCTTGACATCGATCGCTGAATCGAAGCTCAAGAGCTTCCAGGTGTGGGAGCTCGGCGATGCGGTTAATGGCGGTCTCAAAGGCGGGATATTGGCCGTCTTTCTCTTCCCAGCGCTGCCAGACCTTGTAGTCTAGCCTCGATGCGAGATCATCGGGAGTAGAATGAATGGTGACGTGATGGACTTGTTGTGCCGCGTTTTGCAGGTTGAGAGAATGATGCCATGATGCGAAATCTTCACCCTTTGGCTTGGTGTGCGCAAGAGTTAAACTCTTGCAGAGTGGCATTGCCAAGGTTGTGAACGCCCTCAGATGTGCGGATATAGGTTGGATGCCCGACATGTGTCTAGAGCCGTGAGTGATGAGCCTGTAGAAATGCATCTGTGAAAAAGATGGGGGTGCAACAAGATATGTAGGGTGCAGTTTAAGCTCTGACCACGGTGTTGTGTTGACTCTGGCTGAAACAGGGATGTCCCGACTTTGCGCCGGACTCGGCGTCAGAGAAGAGTCTGTAGGTTGAATTGACCAAACCCATATGACCAAATGCGCCATACCTACTTCTCGGTCTATGGATGTGCAATGGCGGTAATTTGTTGGAAATATTAGACGCTCTCTTATCCTGACAGGAATAGGAAAGGCATCATCTGCTGCGCCCAATGTGTGGCGATAGATGAAACATAGTAGAAGCTGACAAGTACAATCAATAAAAATAATATTATTCTAAGCATGGCTTCGTTGCTTTTAATCTCATCAAGTTACTGGTTAAAAGATAGCAACTCCGTTCGGTGGGCTAGCGACACCTCCAGGCACCTAAGTCAGCCAACGTTAGCAACCCTCCTCGCCATCTGGGTGCTTCTGACACGTACCTTGAGCGGCATGCTGGAGAAGAAAAAAGACCACCTACCACGTTTCTGACACTCCTGACTCAACTGTTCTAGATCAAAAAGCTCGCCAATTGGCATTCCCCATCCAGCGAGAAGCCACTCGTGCAGCCAAAAGTCTTGGTTCTGACAGGGCCATGCCTCCATGGATGGATGATCACCTGCCACAGCCGCAAACGACTGATCCCATAGCCATCGCAGTGTTTCCTCCGAGGACTCGATGCCGATGGCTGGTGGGGTTTTGTAATCTGCCAATGTCTTGCATTCGTCGTCGGATAGCTTGTCGTAGGCGCGGGTCCAACCTGTTCGGATAAAGAGGATGTCGCCTTCTTCAAAGGTGGTTCCCTGACTGCTCGCGACTTCTTTGAGTGTTGAAACTGTTATCGAGTTTGTTTCGAATGCCTTGATCTCAATGTTCTTGGCATCTGCCCATGCTGCGTAGTCTAATAGAACACCGCGACCGACGATGCCGCCCCGTTCGACCCATGCTACGCCAATCAGCACGTGTCTCTTTCAGGTTTGCTCACTCTCATACCTTGAGTCCCGTTAACACTCGTTGAGAGAATGTCATCAAGCGTCTTTCCGTTAAACCACAACTTCTCCTTCTGGTACGCATAATGACGGAATCCATCCCACTGCGAGCTACTCTGCGTGTTAAAGGTCAAAGTGTCATCATTGACAGCGCGCGGGGCCTTGTTCTTGATATTATGCTCAAAAGGTGCCCGACCAAAGCAAGGCCTTGACATCCGATTCAAAGGCCAGTCAGTAGACACCCGCACACCATCTCGAATTTCCGCCGCTGCCTTGGCCGTCTTCTCGGGAGTCAGCAAGTTAAGCATTCCGCACTCATCTTCGTCACCAAAGAGACCCCAGGCATTGCCATGTGGGCCATCTTTTCTCAACGGCAGGGAATCGAAAGACGGTTTAGTAGGCATTACGCGTATAAAGAATATTGCTCGTGCTTTGATGTTGAAATAGAGAGCTTCCAATTTGGGCTGGATTATGAATCAGTTGTAACCCCGCCTTTTGAGGGGAAGATGCGTATCATCCGATGGTTGATCTAGGAAAAGCAGGCTCCGATGATAGGACAGGAAATTGCTCCGTCTTGGCATATCCGAAGCCCATTTCCGACCAACTAACCAGTTTAATCACCGTTAATTCGTCCGTTTCGGCGTATCGTGAATCTGTCTTCGGCCTCTAAAGCCCCGAACCCCTCACTCCGCGATGATGTAACCCCCCTCAATAGAGTAACATCCCCACGCCGTCACGAAGAGTATTTTCTTAACAAGGTTTATCAACTAACGCGTGTATTGGTGCGCATGTTTATTGCACTCCAAGTCGGGCGACACGGCGTCCTCTGATTCGTGGAAGCACTCGTGTCCCTGGCCAGGTCGACTTGGTCAAGGCTTCAACTATATGCCTCCATAGTCCCCAGATCTGCAAATGCAACATAGATGATTGCCGCCCCAATGGCTCTCTTGTCTTTAACGTTTATGAGTGGGCCGGCAATACGACCTCTCGTGATCATCGGCGGGTAGCAGGCATCCCCGCGTAATGCGACTCTGGGGAGGACAAATCATATGGATATGGAGAGTTATTAAAGTCTCATTTCTGCTGGTTTGTGATTAATCTAATCTATCAGATTCACGGGCATCTGTCAATCTATTCCCCCATCATGGTCTTGATCAAACCTGCCGCCCTTTATGCGGGCGTAGCAACCATCCTTCCCTTCGTCCATGCAGCAGTCGATGTCTCTGCCAAAGCCTTCGACCTGAGCGAGGTGACTCTCACAGATAGTCGTTGGATGGACAACCAGAACCGAACCTTGACCTACCTTCTTTCCGTTGATCCCGATCGTCTCCTCTATGTCTTCCGTGCCAACCATGGTCTAGACACCAAGGGCGCCCAAAAGAACGGAGGATGGGATGCACCAGACTTTCCTTTCCGCAGTCACATCCAAGGACACTTCCTCACGGCCTGGTCGCAATGTTACGCTACTCTTCGTAATGAGGAGTGCGGCTCCAGAGCTACCTACTTTGCCAAAGAACTTGGCAAATGCCAGGCAAACAACGAAAAGGCCAATTTCACTGAGGGATATCTCTCTGGCTTCCCAGAGTCCGAGATCACTGCCGTCGAGAAGAGGACTTTGAACAATGGAAATGTCCCTTACTACGCCATTCACAAGACCCTCGCCGGACTTCTCGACGTGCATCGTCTTGTTGGAGATGAAGATGCCAAGGATGTCATGCTCGCTCTGGCTGGTTGGGTCGATACACGCACCAAGAAGTTGACCTACGATCAGATGCAAGCCATGATGCAGACTGAGTTTGGCGGTATGAACGAAGTTCTCGCCGACATCGCCTACTATATTGGAGACAAGAAGTGGCTCGAGGTCGCTCAGCGCTTCGACCATGCTACCATTTTCGACCCCCTGGAGAAGGGTCAAGACAAGTTGTCAGGCCTGCACGCCAACACTCAAGTTCCCAAGTGGATCGGTGCCATCCGCGAGTACAAGGTCTCTGGTCTTCAGAAGTACCTCGACATTGGCCGCAATGCCTGGGATTTGACTGTCCACAAGCACACCTATGCCATTGGTGGCAACAGTCAGGCCGAACACTTCCGAGCTCCTGATGCCATTGCCGAGTATCTCGACAACGACACTTGCGAAGCATGCAACACCTACAACATGCTCAAGTTGACACGGGAGCTTTGGGTCATGGATCCTAGTGACGCCTCTTTCTTTGACTTTTACGAGAATGCTCTGATGAACCATCTCTTGGGACAGCAGAACCCTGAGGATCATCACGGACACATCACGTATTTTACACCCCTCAACCCCGGTGGTCGTCGAGGCGTTGGCCCTGCCTGGGGCGGTGGTACATGGAGTACCGACTACGATTCTTTCTGGTGTTGCCAGGGATCTGGTATCGAGACAAACACCAAGTTGATGGACTCGATTTACTTCCATGATGACGAAACACTCTACGTCAACTTGTTCACTCCTTCGCAACTCGATTGGTCTGATCGCAAGATTTCTATTACTCAGAGCACGGACTTCCCTGAGAGAGATACCACCACGTTGAAGGTTGGTAACCAGGGCGAGAACAACGAGTGGACCATGGCAATTCGAGTTCCTTCTTGGACCTCCAAGGCTTCAATCAAAATCAACGGCGAAGCAGTCGAAGGTGTTGACATTGAGTCCGGCAAGTATGCCATCATCAAGCGCAAGTGGTCTTCAGGTGATGCCGTCACTGTGACACTTCCGATGAGCCTGCGCACAATCGCTGCAAATGACGATGCAGCCACGGCAGCAATTGCCTTTGGACCTGTTATTCTATCGGCCAACTATGGTGACTCAAAGCTTGATGCGGTTCCAGAAATTGATCTAGGAACTGTGAAGCGACAGGGTAAGGAGGGACTGAAGTTCGAGGCGACTGCAGATGGAGAGACTGTGAGCTTGAGCCCATTTTATGATGCTCAGGGTTACAACTATAACGTGTATTGGAAGATCAAGGGCGAGTTGTCTTGAGTGTTCGGATGCGAGCGAAGTTAGGAGTTAGTTGGTGTGCATGGTGTGCCCTTTTAAAGTCAGAGCCTAGCAAGAGATTCATTGCTGATGGAGGTTCCCCGACCAAGGCTCAATGTAGATCTTGGGGTGATGAAGGTGTTTAATAGAATTGATAGCAAGCAATAGCACGGTGTCTGCTATGCTTCAAATTTTACAAGACTTGGTTTTGATACTTCCTAGCCTGCTATTACCCAGACACAAAGGACAGGTTGCGCAGCCCAGGGTCCCTTACAAGACTGGGTTTCAATACAGGCCAAGAATGATGAGGCCAGCCACCACAGCAGCCGACAAGACAGGTACTGCTTGCTGAAAGCCAGTGTTCCCATCATCATTGCTGTTCGAATCATTGCTGTCATCATTGGAGTCGCGTCTATCCCCATCACTGCCGCTATCCTCATTATCGTCATCCTCATCGTTGTCCCCATCATTGTTCGACCCAGAACCCCCTGTAATCTCAGCAGCGAGACTACTGCACACACTCGATCCAATAGGTATAATCTCTGAAACCAGTGGCTCATCACTGCATGCTGTCCACACCTGTCGGTAATCGGGGATCTGGCCACTCTGCCACTCGGTGTAGCTAGATGCCCATGCTGTAAAAGCGCTGGCCGAGTCGCGCTCCGTGATGCTTGGGAGCTTACAAGGGTCTTCGGTGTTATACATGCGGCCTAGTGCAAAGGCCATAGCAATGTTGGAGATGGACCTGTCGGGGACGGGGGCGTCGGTCGCGTCGGCGGCGAACGACGATACAATGGTCGCGCATGCTGTGCCAATACCGAGGCTCTCTAAAGGAGGTTCTGAGATGACGCCGGTCTCGGTTGGGATTCGAGTCTGGGCGGCGGCCTGCAGGGCGGCGGTTGCGACGAGGAGAAGCTTAAACGTGTGCATTTTCCGTTGAACAGTATGTACAGTTGACAAACTTCGACAGCTCTTGTAAGCTGTGTGGAACGAATGGCTGGTGGTTAAAACATGCACGTCTGACAACGACTGTTCACCCTCTTTATGAGCATTGAGCACTTCATCGCCAAGACGTGGAGAAGAAAGTTTGAATTCCCTGTCGGGCAAGAATACATTATAGCAGGGCGCATGGCCAAGTCAATAGCCAAGAGGGTACCTGGACTTGAGGGGATAAATGTCCAATCCGAGTTGTTGCTTTCTGCCCATTGCAACCATGCCAATGCTTGGTGAACAGTTGTGGAGGCTTAGCCCGCGGTGAGAGGATTGCCAAGTGAGTAATCTCGGGGTAAGATCTCTCCGTTTCTCATTTCTTCTACTTATATAAAGGATCAAAGTGAAGGCGGCCCTGCATGACCATGGTTTGTCTCTCCTTGGCGAGGCCCGGCTCCCCGAACACATGATGTGGGGTTGGAGAGAAGCATGGACGACAGTGGAAAGTCATCATAACTCCTGGATCTTAAGCTAACATGATATACCTTCCTTATTCCCCTCAAACGAGAGGCCAGCACCATACACAATACCTTCTATATAACACTCACCTACTAACCAATCACCATTAGAGCTGATAACGAAGGGTACTGACAAACTCTGTGAGACGATGACCTCCTGGCCGATGGAGGCGTCTTGAAGCGCGAGCCCGGCATATTTTCGGCTCGTGATGCCAAAGTGCGCTTAAGAGAACCTCTTAACTAACGAGACAGCCATATGCCAGTACTCCCAAGTTTTATCGCACAGTGACTATGGCTGCTTCAGGAAATCCACCATCTACCCGATAGAGGTGACAGTAGAACGAATACCTTCGTAGTAGAGGTTGTCACACTGATACTTCTACCTCTGTCTCGCTCGCTCAACATCCTAATCATTAACTCCATCCAAACTAGTACTGAAGTCTTCGTAAGCTGTCATGCTATTAGTTGTGTCCAAGTGGTCCAGCGGGGATACGGAGTTTCAGCTCAGAAATGCTGTTTCCGGCCAAGTACGCGGTAAGGCCAGCGATGAATTGCTATGGAGCGTTGAGATAGGTGACGGCATCGTGAGTTCTTTCGCAGAGTATTTCGAGTGGGCTGACAAGATCACGCCGTGGACTGGCGCTACCCTAGGCTTGAGCCGAGCTGAGTTGTATCCGTCCTCTCACGAGGATGCATAGAAACCAAAAATAGCTCGTTCCCTTCTAGTCGACTAAGTCATCACATTAGAAAAGGCGACAATTACTTGTGCGGATTATAAGACTATTTCGTGATGAAGAACTTGTTTTCTTAGCTTTACATATGTCTCCCCGAGTCCAAACGGCCCTCTCACCATACCGACCAAATCACACCTATATCAAACTTAAGAAACGACGTTAGAATTATGTCAACTGAAGCTAAATTGGCTCGTAATTCAACCTAAGAAGTTGGATGATCTAAAGCGTACAGAAACAGACTAATACCAATGCCTCTATTCCCAGTGGCGCATGATCTGGCAGCCGTTTCACGACGCCACACAGATGGGAGTTTTTAACTTGTCACGCCACGCGGCCTCCCGCTGTGGCGCGATGATTAATTTCAGCCAAAAGGCCCAAATACGGAGCAGCGCAGTAAACTATTGGGATTAGCCTGCGTCAGTCATCGGTAGTTTGGCCCACGCTAGCGAATATAGGCATGGTAACAGCGCCACTTGAAAGTTTGACAGCAGGGGATGGACCATGAATAAAAAGGGACTCGGGTCGAGAGGAGATTTGCAGCTGCACGTTCTGTCATTGTCGCTCTTTTGGCTGTCTTTGGCCGTTACACTCGTTTCAATTGCTTGTGAATATTGACCTTGTCGCCTCGTGTCTATCCGAAATGGCCCGTCGATCTCTCTTTGCAGTGGCGACTCTCGCCTTTGGCATTCTTGGTGCCAATGCCGGCCCTTGCCGACCTTCCACGACCGTGACGAGCGTCGCCGAAACCTCTTCGACTGTTGTGGCTGAGACATCGTCGACTACCCTAGTGGAGGCTTCATCTACCACCGTGGCAGAGAGCTCGTCTACTACCGCAGTTGAGAGCTCTTCTACCACCCTGTTCGAGACTTCTACTTCTCTGGCCGAATCCTCATCCACTACTGTCGCTTCGACCTCGACGACTTCCGAAGCGCCAGACTGTGACACAACTCAGATCGTCGTCAACCCAAGCTTCGACGACGATGACGGTGCTCCCTGGACCGGCATTAGCAACCTCAGAAGCACCCAAGACCCTCACTCGGGTAGCCACAACCTGCAAGTTCAACCCCTCACACCTCTCTTGAGACCCTTCTCCTAACATCTGATACCAGGCGCCTCCGATTCACCAGCGGCGGTATTGAGTCGTACACCTTCTCTCAGTCCCTGACCGACCTCACCGGCCCCTACCGACTGTCCTACTACTACCGCGTGGCCGGCGTGTCTACGTGGTCAGGAAGCGCTGGCTTTTCCTGCCAGCTTGTGCCCAGCGTTGGAACCCGCCGATTCAATGGGGAGAGCCCCTACGACGGTGGCCCATACTCTTGGACTGGGGCCACCGAGGTCTGGACTCCCACGAGCCCCTCAGGACATGTGAACCAGGCTACCGTGTCTTTCGCCGTGAGCTGTGGTGGCGAGTTTGACGAGCTAATCATCGCAATCGACGATGTCACCTTTACAGAGATCAAGTGCGAACCTCTGCAGACCTAAGCAGGCGGATCTTGGATGCTGCTGACTGAGACTTGGACAACAAGATATGGGTCAGAGAAAGGCTTGGTTACATACTGGGGCAGTATATATTCACTTCGATATGAGGGTAGTGTACGCGTGTCTTGCCATGTGCCTAGCCCAACCCATTCTCAAATAAAGTTTCTAATACGCCCCCAGCCAAACCCCTTTTTCACATCTTCGTATGAGGCTAGCTCTAGGAAATAAAGCGTGGTTTGCTTTCCTCCCGACAAAGATACTCTTGAATGGTTCACAACAATCAAGGTAGAAATATCCAAGTGCGTTGCTATATAACCCGCAATATTCAACTTGATTTACATCCTATATACGGATATCCTATGAAAGACTTTCCAAAATGCCCTCAAGAGGCTATCCTACGCCCGGCATGCCGTAAAATCCTTCAATCCAGCATCCGGAACCTTCTCCTTTGGAAGACACAAGTCGATATCCTCACCCTTCAAGTGTTGACCGAAAACGCGAAGATGCTCTCGCTACATCTTGTCAGTTTGGCGAAATACCCAGGGCAAATCACACACGTACCTCAGTGATCTTCAAGAACTCGTTGTAGATGCCGTCAGATCGCATTCTATCACGGACGAGGTCTACGACGCCACCCAGCAGGGCAACAACAGTGGTAACCTTGCTGTCCCATGTCACAAGAGCCGAAACCAGCTCACCGTCGACCCGAGTTGACTCTGTGCTTCCGTAGGGATCTATGAAAGGTGTAAGCACATACTCCTTGTGATAATGGGATAGCACTTACTTTGCATCTTCTTGCCGACAATCATGTTTCTCCACCATGCCAACCCCACGCCCTTGTCAAACAAGACAACCGGGAATGCGCCGTAGGGGGTTATGACATCATGATACTGGTCTTTCTGGCTTGCGATGGACGGAATTCCAGCGGGAGAGATGTAGCCAATGATGGTATCAGTTTCTGGGTCAGTTGAGTTATTAACCGAGGCATATAGGCCGGGAGACTTGGTGACCACCGAGTTGCATGTGCGGGCTCGCTCTCCGTTCAAGAAGAGGCGACTACGTTGTTAGTATGCCTTCTCGAGCCTGGGCAGAGGCGCTTACCGGACAATGTCAACGTCATAGTACGGAAGCTCAAGTTGGTTCCAAATCTCGTGGCTTGAGAACCAAAAGCCTGAAGTTGTTAGCATGGGCATCACCAAAGGATCATGGCTGCATTCACGCACCCTTTCGCACCGTGATGGGGCCAACACCACCCTGGGAGTATTCAGTCTTCTCCAGCTTGGGCCTCTTGTACTCCCACAGCTTCTTCTTGTCCGCCTTTGACAACTTGCTGAAGAATTGCAGGAAATACGTGAACAGCTCGCCCTCGTATGGATCATCAAGGTAAGTCTCAGTCTCGCATTTGTAAGACTGCTTGGGGTCATCAACCGGCAAGGTTTGATCCGCGATTTCGGTTACGGCACATACTCGGCCTTTGCCGATGTAGAATATCTCGGCAGCGGTTGAGGCGACGTAGTCGAGCCAGTCTTGCCAGCCGTCTGCGATCTTGTGGAACTTGGCATTGGGCTGCTTCTGCAAGGCTTCAATGCATGCGTAGACGGCCCAAATGAGTTCTCTGTACACTGAGTTAGCCCAGCCCTTAATCTTGAGCATTTCCACTCACCCATTGTCAAGGCCAGGGACTCGGTTATCCCAGCCGTCTTGAGGCTTGATGTCCTGAATATCGGTCTTAATCCAAGGCAGATAACCACCAAAGCCCGGATAGGTTTCATTGAACTGAAGGTAAGTCTTCAACTTGGTCTCCATGATGGTGGCGGCGAACCCTGGTGCTGCACCAAGATTTTGCGGTGTTAAAAAGCGGGCTGCTTCCTTGGATCCAGAGATGGCTTGAGCATAGAGCATGATTTGGAGTGCCTAGCCCATGGTTAGAGTTGATACTGGAAAAGGCAATCCGAGCTTACCTCTTTGCTTGCAGCACTAAACGTGTGCTTCGTAGTGCGCTTTCCACTCTTCCAGTCAAGCTGGGTGCCGTCATAAGACATGCCATTGGCTGTGTTGTAGGCTACGTCGTTTTGATGGAACTTGCCCTCCCAGTACAAAAGATCCCAGATGAAATCATCTGTATGATCAAGGACGTCCTGCTGAGACCACTCGAGGCCAAAGCGGCAGGATGGTTTGTCGTTGCGCTTGTAACCTGGCCGAGCTTCGGCCAGGGACAAGGATGCTGTTGCGGCACATGCCAAAGCGAGAAAACGGCGCGTTGAATAGATCATGATGAGCTGGAGGAGATCTGATGCAATTGAGGGAACCACATTGAGGCATCAGAAAGGTTGAAAGTCTATGAGGGTTTATTATATAGGCGCCTTCTGTAGTGATAACTCCTTTTTGCTTAGCAACTCGTTCCTAGAACCAAGAATTAGCTTTCCTTCTGACAAGCTCGTTTCCCCAGACTCAAGCTCTGCCAGGGTCTTCTCCAGGATCATCCCCCGCTCGGTGCGCGCCACTAACTTTCCAGGGGCTGGATCGACACGGAGAATAGGAGAAACAAGGAATGAAAAGCGGGGTTCAATTCAAAGCCTTTTTCTATTTGACCGCTGCAAATCCCCGCCAAATCCAAAGAATCCTGCTTTACTGCACATCACCTTGTTCTCAAACACTCACAATGGATAACAGCCCCACGCCAAGTTCTCCTCATTCTCCCGAAACGAATACACCATCCCAGAAGAAGGCAACAAGTAGAGCGTGTGATCGCTGCCGTCGGCGAAAAGCCAAGGTAAGGCCCCCCCAGCATCGGAGAAACCCTCAACTGACAATCAGATCAGTGTGACTTTTCAGACTTGGCTCAACGATGCACAAACTGCCGAGAGTCAGGCACACAATGTCGCTTTGACATTCCCGTCGCAAGACGAGGACCCAAGATTAGACGGAAGAGGCCGTCATCGGCGGGAAAAGATGCTCCGTCGTCAAACCCCACAGCGGAATTAACAGCGCTCTCCAGCGCCAATTCTTCCACGCCAACAGGGACCACCTCGGCGCAATGGGACTCTTCCAGGGCCTTGAATGTCGATCTTGGGCTCTCGCCGCCGACGATCTCCGCGTCTTCGGTTTCGGTTTTGAATGATGGCGTCGCGGGTCACGGGCTGTCGGCGCTGCAGAGGTGGCAGGACTTGTCGAGAGCGTTGGCTTTCATCGCGAATGACCTTCAGAACTTGGTGACGCGATGCTTCGACTTGTTCTTTGAGTACCTGTATCCACTCACGCCTTTGGTCCATGAGCCTAGTCTTCGCGACTCGCTTTCTTACTTTACGACGAGATTCTCTACATCGGAGAGCCATGCAAACGGGACTGGTCTTATGGAAACATGGCCAGAGACGGCATTCACGGTGATAACTGCTGTCTGCGCTGAGGCGGCATTCTTACTCCCGAAGGATCTCTTTCCAGAGGGCCAGTCTGTGGGCGACTTGTTCCTCAATGCTTCACGGTCCTGTCTGAGTCATTATCTTGAAGCGGACCTTGAGAACCCGAATGCCAACTCGATCACGATACGGTATTTCCACTCAAATTGTCTCCACGCGGCAGGGAAGCCCAAGTATTCGTGGCACATATTCGGCGAGGCGACAAGGCTTGCACAGGTTATGCAGTTGAACGAAGAGACATCACTCGAAGGCTTGCTACCCATCGAGGCGGAATTACGACGCAGGGCATTCTGGATCGTATACATGGGCGACAAGTCTGCTGCAATATTGAACAATCGACCCATCACGATCCACAAATTCTCGTTCGAGTCGGGAATCACCACGGCTTACCCTACTGGGATTGAGGATGAAGCTCCGATTCTCTCCCCTGGAAACTCATCCACAAACTCGGAGGTGATACGAAAAACTTGTATCGAAGGTTTCAATGCCAACTTGCGACTTTGGCAAAATGCTTCAGATCTGTTGTTAGAGCTGAGACTGCTTCAAGACCGTGAGCAAAGGGGTATTCCTATGCCCAATCAGTCCTTGCTCACTGTCGAGGAAAGGAACCGCCTTGATACCATCTACATCCGTTTCATCACTTGTCTTGATGACTTGCCGCCATATCTTCAATCCTACACCTTTGCTTCTCTTGTAGAGGGCCCTAGGGAAACAGCCAATCAGTTTCTGATTCAATGTGCCAACCTCCAAGTTTCCGTGCACTGTCTGAGGATGGTGATAACTCAGAAATTGGAGGGTTTGCCGTATTACAGCTCAGGAATTGAGCACGCAGATATCCGCAAGACGGAAATCGCCCGAGACATGCTACGCGTGATCCAAGAGGCCCCTTTCTGGTCGCTACAGGTAAATGGAGAGCCATACGTGAGTCAAGACCTAACCAGTAGCCTGGATCATCAAACCAAGACAACTAACAAGATTAACAGGTCGAGAAAATACGGCTCATCGGAGCAAGCTTGTTGGAAATCATGCACAGAAATGGGACGTCACCCATCGCTTCTCGGGCTCGCAGTGACTTTACTGTTCTTCTTGACTTGCTTACGCGTCTTGATTCCAAGGCATCTGATGCATTGCGGAACACTTCATCGCTTGTAAATTAAAACTGCTCTCCGAGACGAAATGAACTGGAACCAGCTTATTGCCACAAGTGCATACACATCACCACGTTAGACTTCCTTTTCTCTTCCAAACTCTTGCTCCTCCTTCTTGATCTCAATCACCTTTGCCATGTCCTGCTTCGCATCCTTTCCTTCAAACAAGTACGTAAGCTCCTCCAGCGTAGGTCCCGAAGTCTCGACGAAGAAGAAATAGACCACAAGGAAGACGATGGCGACCCAAACGCAGTAGTAGATGTAAAACTTCCAGCCAATAGCCTCCAGTCCGATGGGATTGACATAGCCACCAAAGATAGAAGCGACTTGGATGGTAAGTAGCACGAACGCCCATGTCTTGGCTCGCATCTGATACGTGACAATCTCGAGAGGGTAGGTGACCACGAGATTGGTCCAGGCTGAGGAATAGAAACCCTGGAAGAGGAAGATGCAAGCCAGGACAACGCGACCGCCTGCAAGGGACCCATCGAGATACTGCTTCGCCGCAATGGTCCACATGATGAAGGTGACAAGGACACCACCGGAGCCAAAGAGGAAGAAAGTGCGTCGCCTGAATCGGTCGACGAGCATTGCCATGGTGATGGCCACGATGTACTGCCAAAGCGTCACCATTCCATTGACAAGCGTGATGTCCTTCTCCGCCTCAATGCCTGTGTCCTTCAAGATTTGTGTCAAATAGTTCGAGACAAGCAGGTTTCCAGAACTTTGACTAAAGAGAGCCGTGGCGAAGCAGAGAGAGATTCGCTTGAGGTTGGGAATCGAAGAGAAGAAATCCTTCCAGGTCATGTTCTGCTCGGCTTCCTTTGCAATGGCTTGCTGGATTTCGGTGCACTCAAACTTGACGAGTTCGCTGTCGGCGTCACATTCTCCGTGATACTTGATGAGGATATCGCGAGCCTTGTCAAGCTTGCCCTTAGCGATGAGCCAACGAGGAGACTCGGGGCAGAAGAAGATCAGGCTAAGCTGATACGCCGAGGGAACGATCTGGACCAGAGTGGGGAGCTTCCATGACCAGTCGCTCTCGATACGGAAGCAGCCGTAAGTCGCCCACGCACCGATAACGTAACCCAAGACGATGTTGGTGTTGTACAAGGTCGTGATTTGAACTCGCTCCTTGGGATGGGAAAGTTCTGTGACCAAGACTGGAGCACCCATCTGAATAAGCGAAGAGCCGATTCCGAGAACAATCTTGCCGCCGATAAACATGTTGAGCGAGGTCGCAAAGAACTGGACGATGACACCGGCGATAATTACGATCGAGCCGAGAGCTGTTGGAACACGACGACCCGCAACGTCACCGATCCAGCTGAGGAAGATGAAGGGGATGACACCGCCAATGGCGTTGGAAGCGCCGAAAAAGCCAAGTTTCGAACCGGTGGGGTGGCCGAACTTTTCTTGCCAACTTTCAAGCGTCTGAAGGGCGTTGGTCATGCTCCTATTCTTCCAATTAGCATCTTAAGTTAAGTTCTGGTTGAGGTTGAGGACATACCCATCAATGCCAAGTGCCATACTGGCGAGTAGGGAGGACGTGAGGAGGAAGTACAGTAGTACGCCATTTTTTCTTTTCCAAAATGGTGGGACCGACTTCAAGTCAATGGGAGACTGAATGTCTTCGGTAGCGCGAGCAACCTTGGGAGCCATGATGCTAGAGGAAAGATAGGCTGGTTGGAGTTGATGGTTGATCTGTGCCACAACTGGAGATGCTGTATGTTATATACATACGACATACGATCACAGAGGAACGATTCCGATTTTGCAAAAGAACCAAGGCAATGGCTGAATGGTGTACTCCACATTCTGCTTCCCCGTGGGGAATAAACGAGTCGGCTGATGGTGTGACAGAGCGGCGAAACGGAGAATTAGAGCTAGACGAAGCTGTTACCCCTCAGTTAGACGGGGAAATACCATCGGCGAATTGGTGATCACCCAACAATGGCGGTGATCGACATTGGCTCGTTCCGCTCCATTCATCCTCATGACAGATTATCAACCGGCCCGTAATTCCCCTAGTATAAAGAATCCCGGGCCTGTACGGCGTGACTGGGGGACGCCAGCAGTTGCTCTTCCTGCACCGCCCTTGTCTTTGTCTTATTCCCTTTCCGCTCCTTGGTACCACATCACAATGCCCTCACTTCCGCCAGACTTTAAGCTCGGCTTCGCTACTGCATCTTACCAGATTGAAGGTGCAGTAGCGGAAGATGGCCGAGGCCCGTCTATTTGGGATGTTTTTTGTCATCTTGAACCCACACGGACCAAAGGCGCTAGCGGCGATGTCGCTTGCGATCACTATCACCGTCTAGATGAAGACCTTGACCTCATGAAACAATACGGAGCGGACATGTATCGCTTCTCACTTTCATGGTCTCGTATTATTCCTCTTGGTGGAAGGAATGATCCCATCAACGAAGCCGGCATAGACTTCTATAATCGGGTCATTGATGGATGTCTCTCGCGGGGCATCACTCCTTGGGTTACGCTATACCATTGGGATCTCCCTCAAGCGCTTCATGAGCGGTATGGAGGCTGGTTGGATGTGGAAGAGTCTCAAAAAGACTTTGAACGATATGCAAGGCTCTGCTATGAGCGGTTTGGTGATCGCGTCAAGCATTGGATCACACTGAACGAGCCTTGGATCGTCTCGATATTTGTAAGTTTCTTATCCTTTGAGAACCATGTGCGTCTCTAACGACTCTTTCAGGGCTATGCAACAGGAGGAAATGCCCCTGGTCGAAGTAGCATCAACCCTCAATCGACAGAGGGCGACACGGCAACAGAACCGTGGATAGTTGGCCAGGCCTTGATCATGAGTCACGCTCGCGCGGTGGCAGCATACAACAAAGACTTCCGTCCTTCTCAAAAAGGTCAAATAGGGATCTCCTTGAATGGTGATTACTATGAGCCTTGGGATAGCAGTGAACCTCGAGATAGCGAAGCCGCTGAGCGACGCATGCAATTTCATATTGGATGGTTTGCAAACCCCATCTTGTAAGTCTTTCTGACGCTGCAATCCAGATTAGTTCATTCAGACTCTAACAATTAGTAGCCTAAACAAGGACTATCCCCAGTGTATGAGAGACCAACTAAAGGACCGCCTGCCCACCTTCTCAGCCGACGACATGGCTCTCCTCCGATCTGCGGAATGCGACTTTTACGGCATGAACTACTACACGTCCCAATTTGCACGACACAAGACATCCCCACCGCCGGATACAGATTACATCGGCAACCTTGATGAACTTCAGTCTAACAAAGCCGGCGATCCTGTTGGTCTCGAGAGTGGCCTGCACTGGCTTCGGTCCTGCCCTGATCTTTTTCGGAAACATCTCACACGTGTATATCGTCTCTATGGGAAGCCCATCATCATCACGGAGAATGGGTGTCCCTGTCCTGGCGAGGACAAAATGACGCGCGAAGAGTCTGTGCAAGATGATTACAGGATTAAATATTTTGATGATCACCTAGATGCTGCGGCGAAAGCTATTACAGAAGATGGTGCAGTCGTGGAAGGGTACTTTGCGTGGTCTTTGATGGACAACCTCGAGTGGTCGGATGGCTATGGTCCAAGATTTGGTGTCACGTTTACCGACTATAAGACTTTGGATAGGACACCTAAGAAGTCGGCGTTGGAGTTGAGAAGCATCGTGGATCGCAAGAAGGTCAGATCTAGAATATAGAAGGGAAAAATGTAGACAGCTTATGTCGATCAAAGAGCACACATGGCGCAACAGCTTCGATAATAGTTCCCCTCTCAACTATTTCATCTTATGCACCTTTGTTTTTGCTTCGTCAGAGTAAAATTCAATTTTAGTGCACTCTAGGTAGCATGGGAATAAATTAGCGAAATTGCCAGGGCATTGAACCCTTCTATCAGCTCGTATGGAGTACACTCTCGGCCTCTATTCGATGTGGCGGTGAGAAGAGAACAGTTTAGTGCCAACAAGGCCTGCAAAGTGGCTTGCTTGGCTTGCTGAGCAAAGAGCGCTGAGTGGCTGCGAGGAGAGGTTGTCTTACCAGCCTGCAAGGGCTGAGCCGGGTTTGGTAATCAGGCTCTACATCTCTACCCCGTGCGAGCTTTCCTGTCTGGAATAAAGAGAAATTGACTTTCCATATCGCCATTTGATGGCTTGGATATTGGTGAACTTGTGTGTGAGAAGAAGCTCGCATTCGGAGCGCGTTACTCTCAGGCACTTACCTAGTTATCTGTCATTGCTGAACACGGCAGATGTGGTCAAGGCATCGATCGGCCTTGATGACAAGGCAACCTTGGCGAACCACTCGTACTCGTGTGTTGGGCGCCCTGAAGAGGCAGCGAGGCAGTGTCTTCCAACGAAGAGGCGGATATTAAAACCCGCCACCCCATGGCTGACCTTTCCCTTAGATCCCACACCTTCCTCCGTTTAGCTTTCATGAAGGGCAGTCGACATGGACAACAACTTGTCTGATCTTATCCGTGACTACAAATTATGTACGCGCTTCGAAAAGCCTCACACCATTCACCTTTTTAATGACCCTGATGCACCTCCTTCTTCCCCGCAGCGACTCGAGCAATGGAAGAAGAATCGCACTCTTGGCCACGGCGGGCAGGGGCGCGTAGTGCTGCAAACTTGCACTAGAGGCAGTCGAGGCTATGCTCAGCGCGCTGTCAAGATGATTCCTCTCAAAGAAGGCGGACGGCGAGAATATCTCCGGGAGCTGGAAGCCATCATCAAGTTTTCTCATGATAAGGTGCGTCTGTCGATTTCACCGCTGCGAGTCTCCGCAGCTGACATTTCTTGGGCAGTATGCCAAGCACTTTGCAAAGACAATGGGATACTACACCTCAAAGCGCACTCTTTACATTGCCATGGAGTATTTCCCCAAGGGAGACTTAGGGACTTATGCTCTTGAATATGCACCCTTGCCCGAAGATGAGTGCCGGGAGATCGCCAGTCAAATCCTCCGTGGCTTGGTTACCATGCATCAAGAGCGCTTTGCACACCGAGATGTGAAGCCTCAGGTGTGTAACCCCCACTCCCAATTCCGGCTGAACAAGTATCTGATCTTTACACCAAGAATGTATTGATTCAACAATCTCCTCGATCTGTACCCCCGGCTCCATGGTGGGTCAAACTTGCAGACTTTGGCATCAGCAAGAGGCTGGAGCCAAACACAAGTGGTAGCACTAGAAGAAGCGGCACTCTGCAGTACATGGCACCCGAACTTCTCAGATCCCGGCTGTCTAATAGATCGAATTTCAATTACCCCGCCGTCGACCTGTGGGCTCTGGGTGTCACCACCTTCTTTGTCCTGACTAAGAGGCTTCCATTTCAGGATATCTCATCCGCCATCGACTACGCCAGTGATCCTGACAAACCGTTTCCTACGGCTGCCTTGAATGGCTGTCAAGTCAGTATGGATGCGCAAGCTTTTATTTGTGCTCTGATGAAACCAAAACCAACAGAGAGGCTGGATTCAGGGGCCGCCATGCGCCATGCGTGGATGCATTCTTTTCTGCCAGAGATGCAAACAACGTTGTCACATAGCGGGTAGGTTCAGCACCCGGTTGAAGATATTTGCTCATCGTATTAGGTCCTCGGCACCGTCCTCTAGGAGCAGTTCTTTCGACGAAGAAACGGCAAACGGGTTAGGCGTAACCAACCTGCATTCCCAAGCATACTCGAAATCGTGGTCCCGCGAAGTGCTTGACATCACCGAGTCGTCCTCCGAAACCCATTCCAACGGCCCGATTGAGGATGAACTCAGAAGTCTTGAGGCTGATGAAGATGGGGATAAAAATTCGGTCAGTGGGTCGTCCAAGGATGGAGCCCCTCTAACGACCGAACACGGCGATAATCCTGCACCCAATGCATCGGCTTCTCTGTCGAGAGAGGAAGCCGTTGATCCTGAGTCAAATGGCAATGATGGTCGCTCCCCGCTTATCCAGGCTGCTGCCTTCGGTCATGTAGCCAGAGTAAAGCAACTAGTGGAGAGTGATATTGACCTCGAGATGGCGAATGCCGATGGCGCTACGGCACTCTCTATGGCCGCAGAAAAAGGCCATGAGGAGGTGGTCAAGTTGTTAGTTAAGGAGGGTGCCGACCTTGAGTCAAAGGATAAAGCGCGCAATACGCCACTTACCGTGGCAGTGTTTGAGGGAAATCTGTCCGTCGTGAAACTCCTGGTCGAGGAGGGCGCTAACGTCGAGGTCAGGAATATGGATGGGTATAGGCCACTCATGCATGCTGCTATGAATGGGCATGAGGCCATAGCAAGGCTCCTGGTCGACGAAGGCGCCAACATCGAGGCCACGTGCAAAAAGGGCGAGACGCCACTCTTTCAGGCTGCTGCCGACGGACATGAGGCCGTAGTAAAGCTACTGACGAGCAGAGGTGCCAAAATTAACAAAAGAAACGACGACTACGAGACGCCGCTTTTCAAAGCTGCAGAGAACGGGCACACAGCGATAGTGAGGCACCTATCTAGGAAAGGCGCAAACATTGAGGCCAAGAGCAAGGCCTCCTGCACCCCTCTTCTGATAGCTGCATTAATGAGGAACGAGACTACAGTAAGATTTCTGATCAGTCTAGGCGCCAACGTTGAAGCACGGGACAAGGATGGGAACACAGCCCTGGGGAAAGCCGCGTTTCTAGGGCACGAGTCCGTAGCAAAGCTGCTGTTAGTGAAAGGCGCCGAGCTCGAAGCAAAAGACTTCAATGGCTCAACGCCGCTCATACAGGCTGCAATTAGAGGGCATGAAGACATGGTTAGGCTTCTGGTTGACAAGGGCGCCAAAATTACGGCAAGGAACAAGTTCGGCTCTACCCCGGTTTCGATTGCAAGCCGTCCGGGACATGGCGCCATGGCGAGGATCCTGTCTAAGAAGGCCTGCAAAAGAAGACAGTGAAGATGGTTTTTGATAGTACAAGATGGATCAATGTGATTTGTTTTTTAGAGTGGTATATGTCATACTACAGATGTTGGACAACAGACTGCATTGTTCCCTAGAGTGATTGCATGATAGCACATGATGAAAAGAGGGACTTGGAACTTCTTTCTTGATGACAAGTACAGCACATTGGGTCTACCAAGGCACTTGATGTCTAACAGTCAATAGATTTTGACCTGCCAATGTTGAATACGGCTGGGCTTTAATGAGACGAGGTCAGAATCGATAAGAAAGCCCAAAGAGAGAGTTATCGGATAACTAGCGAAGCTCGCAACAATTCTCCCCAACTTAGCCAAGAGGAAGAAGAACTAGGACGTCTTGGGTCAAAATGCTGACGTTGCATGGATGATCTGACTCAGATCGCAAAACAAGCTTACTGAACTTGCTTGGCCTTGCTTATAAAATAATTGACTCCCCTCACTCTGTGTCTTCTCCAACCATAGTCATCTCACCCCTCTTTTAGCAATACCGACGACCAAATAATTCCCACAACTCCGTGTGCATACATCATCTCCTTTGATAAAACTTCAAAATGGCAGACCAGATTCACCCGATCTACCGCGCTTGGTTCCTCTGGGTCGATCCAATCCTAACCCTCGCGGGCATGTACGGCAATTTATTCGCCCACGACCTCGCCGTCGAGGCCTTCTTCGCCAATTACCCACTCATAGAAGAGCTCAAGCCTTTCCTCTACCAAATCGGCGGCATGGGCACTTCGTACCTAGTCTTGCTCGTTCTTCTTCAGCGATACACGCAGGATGTCGTCATCTGGAAGATTTTACATTTTGCCATTCTCTGGGCGGACTTCACCATGTTGACGGCTATTTATGTAGCGATGCGACATGAGGGAACTCTTGCAATTTCCAATTGGAGGGCTTTGGACTGGTTCAGTATCGTTATTACCGGCATATGTACCGTTTTGAGGGCATTGTTTGTGTTGGGGGTGGGAGTCAAGGTGGCTGGAGGAAAGGGGAAGAGGACTTGAGGGAGGGTCGGGTCTATGCTCGTATCGGTGATGCAGTATTGGTGATGGAAGTGTGTTTTGTTCTGGCACATGTTGGAGGTATGTTGTTTAAGTAAGGTTAATACATAGTCTTCATAACATTATTCCTCTTGTTGGGTGCCTTGATCCATCATTGCATGCATAATGAGCGTAAATCCCTTATCACTACGATAAAGTCTACCCTGAGACCAGAGGAATAACTACCCAGAAACAAGGCTTTATCTGTCAAGCAAATCGGAATGCGGAGCGAGCCAAGACACCAAGGAACACTTACGCAATGCCACATCTCGCACCTCGTTCCGAACCCGAGCTCCGATTGACTCTCTGCTCCTAAACGAGGCAACCCGAGATGCACAGCCAATTATCATCGTCTATTATGCCAAGACGCCTACGATCCCCAGAACACAGCCTCAACTTGAGTTTATTTTCATGGTTATTTAGACGCCGTTTGGCAAAATTGGGCTGCATGCCCCTGAGTCTTGGACTCCAGGCATCCGGCGGTTGAGAATGGCATTTATAGAGCTGCTCTCCTCGATCAGGCCTTTTCTTTCACTCACTCGGCCATCATTCTCTTCTTATAGATTGTCTCTTCTCTACCCTTGGCCTTTTCTTTGTGTTGTCTTTGCTTTTCTTATAGTCTCTCCATCCTCAGCCGATCTCCAACCGTTCGTCTCCCACCCCCGTCTGCCTTTTATCCTCCTCAAGCAAAGCCACCCACGCCGACTCCCGACAGCCGAACCCACCACGGGCCTCGCACACCATGTCCACCAACTCGACCAACTCGACCGACGTCTTCATACCCAACTTCAAGACTTGCGATGAAGTCAACGAACAATGCCCCGTAGAGGCGCAAATGTACGGTGACTACTTTACAAAGTCAGCCTGCATCTGGTTTACCATGCTGTACTTTATGTGCTTCGGTACGCAAATGTTTTACGCCTGGCGTTCGAAGGCATGGTCTTATGCTGCGTGGCTCGGTGTTGGAACAGCCTTCGAAGGCATGGGTTACGCGGCTCGTATCGTCATGTGCGACGATCCATGGAACTTTTATGCCTTTTTGGTTCAAAACTTGGGACTTGTCCTTGCACCTACCTTTATCGCTGCGGCCATTTCGATCATTTTCAAGCATCTCATCGACTGGTATGGGTCTGAGTGGTCCTTGTTTCGCCCTGCACTGTTGCCTTGGATCCTTGTTGGCAGTGACATGGTCTCGATTATCGTGCAGGGAACTGGTGGCGCTGTATCCTCCATGGCGTCTAACAAGAACGGAAAGGAAGCCAAAGATCTCATGGATGTGGGCAATGGCTTGCTTCTTGGAGGCACGATCTTCCAAGTTGTCAACATGGTTGCCTGCGGTGGCATCATGCTCCTCTATCTCTGGAAGAGACAGCAATCTCTTGGTCGTTTCCGTTCCAGGTTGGGTTCCGGCGACCCCCAAGACAGCAGCAAGTCCTCGGGCGGTCGAGGTCAATATGACTTTGAAGCCACACTCAAGGTCTATATCTGGTCTTTGGTCGTTGCCTACAATCTGATTATCGTCCGCTGCATTTATCGGTAGGAACAACAACCCTTGAAGCCTCGCACTTTTGCTAATGGTTGTTATAGTGCCGTGGAGATGGCTTCGGGCTGGGGCAGTGATATTATGAAGACCGAGGCCATCTTAATCACGTTTGAAAGCCAGATGATCCTGACAACTGTTGCAATCTTGACCATCTTTCATCCATACGTCTTTTTCCCTGTGGCTGGTCGTGGAGGTATTGACAGAGCGCGCCGCTCCGTTCACTCCGACATCCAAGAGTTGAGGCCGATGACCTAGCATGTTAGCAATGAGGACGAGTCAGCATGTCTTAGACATGGTTAGATTGCGCATGTTTATTGCTGTTTTATTTGTACTAAGGAGAACTGGCATGTGGTCCGGAACCAATTGTTATCGTGCTCTTCTGCCCTGAGTGTCGGATCACGCTTATTGACTGGAATAACATTTATTATAGATGAGTATCAAGAGCATTTACTATTCTCGGGCTGCTCAAATTACGCGTCCTGTCCCAAAGGCGCGTCGTGACTATTAATTTCACGCGACCAGCTCACTTACCCTATATCAGTAATAGTGATGCCCAATTTGCTTGCAAATAGCCAAAAGTCTAGAAGCCTGCTATATCACATACCTACCCAGGAGATGCCTTTGATTTGCGAATTGGAATTCAGATAACGACTGTCTCACTCCACGTGGTCATGAGGCTTCACGATCCAGATCAGGAGTGGGGCTCGCGTGCATTTGCAGAGTGGGGGTTAAAATGATGCCTGACACGTCGCGTGAACGAGATCCATGAAAAGGTATATCACAATGGGTTTCTGTATTATTTAATTGAGCCCATTCATTGAAGCTCTTGAGGCTCAACTAAATCGTCTGCGCCTCATTCGTATAACCGTGTTATATGCAATTAATTGGCGCTATCGTCGATGTTCCCGTCTTGGCATGGATCGTAGTAGACTTGGCGATTTGGGGAGGCTGGTGATCAGCTCTCCAGTTTCCTTGAATCACTTGACTATTTAAACTTTGGACCGCTTCTTTTTCCACATCACCAACCGTTGCTACCGTTTCATCAGGCAGACACATTTCGTGTTGGATCGCTCCACTCCACCCTTGTTTGCTACACCATGTTTTCCTTGTTCCCCATGGAATTTCTTCGGTGAGACTCTTTCTTCTCCATGGGGACATGGTTTTGGAAAAGGCCCTTTAGTCATGCCACCCTAACAAGTGTCAACTAAATGAAACGAGTTGGCCCCAAGGGGTTTCGGCAGTGGAGAAACTAGAACAAGCCGGTCGGAGCCTCATCCGGGTTGCCACGACCAAAAGATGGTGGCCTCGTGACGTAGCAGAGATGACGTCGATCCACTTTCTCGAAAACTTCTCGAAGGGGGAGAAAAGATGGTCCGGTCATGAAGATCCTTCGGGAGTTGAGACGAGTTCTCGTTGCCGTTGTCAATTTTCACTGCTTTGATTGGGTATCATGCCGGCCCGACAGCGGAGACTCCCTGTTCCTAGTAGAGTAAATTCTTTCAGGGATCATGTCCCTTTCAAGTTGCAATGGTTCGATGACCGCTTGGAGCAACAGATCAGCGGATTGACAGACATCTGCTTTCTCCAAAGTCAGAACCGAGTCAGCAGGAACAAGTAAAAAAATGTCTCACACATCAAACTTGAACAAAGCGTGATTAGTGGCGCGTTGATGCCGCCATGATTCGACGGCGCCGACAAGGAGTGTAGCAAACCGCCATGGGGATAACCCACTAGAGCCCTCCGGACCGGCTTAAACGGCACTTGGTCGATGGGTCTCGCGGATCCGTAGAGCACTTCTCGCAATACAATCTTCGGCCAATTCCTCGGTGCTATCGTCATGCGCAACGTCTCGACGACTCCATTCGAATGCGGGCCTCCTCATTTCTGAACGCGAGAATCTCCGGAGAAGTCTAATTGTCCCGGATTCTGCCCTTTATAAAACTTGGGGCTCCGGACTCTTCCCCAGGAACCTTGTTCTTGTGCCTATCTCTTATCAGCTGCAGTCAGCTTATCTATCACCATGGCAAAGTCTGAGCGACAAAACTCGACCACCACGGTCGATCACGAAAAGGATGCCATCCACAAGGCGATGGGCCACGAAAAGGTCGAGCTCGAAGCCCTCGAGGTTGCTCGAGCCGGAGGCCACGAGGTTGATGATCTCGTTGATGAGATGGAGAGGCAGCTTGAAGCTGCTGGAGGCCTAAAGACTGGCTTCTTTCAGCTCAACTTTGCAAACCCAAAGCACTTTACCTGGCTATTGGTTGCTTTTGCCAGTATGGGTGGTCTTCTCTCTGGCCTTGATCAGAGTCTTATTTCCGGCGCCAACCTTTATCTCCCCGATGACCTGGGCCTGTCGACTCGACAGAACAGTCTAGTCAACTCGGGTATGCCTCTCGGAGCTGTTGGTGGTGCTCTTCTTCTGTCGCCTGCCAACGAATACTGCGGCCGAAAGGGCGCCATCATCATCTCTATTGTTCTCTACACTATCGGTGCTGCTTTGGAAGCTGGGTCCATGAACTTTGGTAAGTTGCAATTGAACCCTACTCAACGACCAATACTAACGAATTAGGTATGATCGTCTCTTCTCGAGTCATCCTCGGTCTTGGCGTCGGTCTTGAAGGTGGTACTGTCCCCGTCTACGTTGCCGAAACGGTCGAGCGAAAGATTCGAGGAAACCTGGTGTCTCTGTACCAGTTCAACATTGCTCTTGGAGAAGTCTTCGGATACGTTGTCGCCGCCATCTTCCTCAAGGTCCCTGGTAACTGGCGATACATCCTGGGTTCATCCCTGCTCTTCTCTACCATCATGTTCTTCGGGTACGTCCCCCTCTTTCTACTCGACAAACATGTCGCTAACTGTACTCTACAGCATGCTCTTCCTCCCCGAGAGTCCCCGATTCCTCATGCACAAGAACAAGCAGCTCGAAGCGTACAAAGTCTGGAAGCGAATTCGTGGTGTCGAGAGTCGCGACGCCCGTGAGGAGTTTTACGTCATGAGCGCTGCCGTCAGCCAGGAAGACACCGAGGTCCACGAGGGTGCTCAGAACCACCGCTTCCCTTGGATGGACTTTTTCACGTGAGTTTTACGGTCGCTTAATACTATAGCGACGAAGCTAATCTGTCTTCAGTGTCCCCCGCGCCCGACGTGCCCTTGTCTACGCCAACATCATGATCCTTCTCGGCCAGCTGACCGGTGTCAACGCCATTAGTAAGTTCAGACTCACCCATCTTGCCATCCTCTATCTAACCATTGCCAGTGTACTACATGTCCATCCTTATGAACCAGATCGGCTTCGACAAGGAGCAGTCCAATTACATGTCTCTTGTCGGTGGTGGATCTCTCCTCCTCGGCACTATCCCTGCCATCTTCCTCATGGAGCGATTCGGTCGTCGCTTCTGGGCCATCACCATGCTTCCAGGATTCTTCATCGGCCTCGTCCTCATCGGCGTCAGTTACCAGTTCGACGTAGAGAAGGACCTCAAGACTGTTGAAGGTCTATACCTCACTGGTCTCATCATCTACATGGGTTTCTTCGGTTCTTACGCCTGTTTGACCTGGGTTGTTCCGTCAGAGGTCTACCCCACCTACCTCCGAAGTTACGGCATGACCACTTCTGATGCCCTCCTCTTCCTCGCTTCCTTCGTCGTCACCTACAACTTCTCTGCCATGCAGAAGGCCATGACCAAGACCGGTTTGGCCCTTGGCTTCTACGGAGGTATTGCCTTTGTGGGAGAAATCTACCAGATCTTGTTCATGCCCGAGACCAAGAACAAGACTCTTGAGGAGATTGATCTTGTCTTCTCGCGTCCCACTATGGACATTGTGAGGGAGAACTGGGCTGGTGTCAAGGACACTACCTCGCTTCTGTGCCGCGGTCACTGGCACAAGGTCTTTGTCGAGCAGGCCATGTCTGGCGATGACCGAGACAAGACTGAGGATTCTACTGCTTAATTGAAGGGAGTAGATGATGGGCGAGATCCATGGTTCAGCCTATTGCAACGATGACAGCAATATGTTGTGTGAATAGTTACGATGATAGTAAATGAATTAAATGGTCCATGTTCATAACAACCAATTGTCAGTTGTGTGTCTTCAAAGTGAAAGCTCACTTGAGACCTATGTCTCAACATCCTAGCAGACCTAACCCTGCCAATACGTGCCAATCTCGCGCAGGTCCTCGACGAGTGCTGGCGGATTGTCCACACCAGGGAAATGACCACCGAAACCATGAACTAGTGAATTGCATATTAGCAAAAATGGAATTTTCATCTTAGATATGTTGACCTACATCGGTATTGCACGAGATTTCCCAGCTTCTCCAGCAGCTCTTTTGGCCAAAATCCGACGTTGTACTTGAAAGTGCTAAATAGCATCGGTGCATCGGTTCGGGCTTTTGTATACTCTGTTTTGAAGCCGTTCAAGTTTTGCGCATACATATACACCGAGGATACAAAAGATTTGGTGAGATAGTACAGTGAAACGCTTCGAAGGATCTCAGCATGGTCTAGCATCGATGGCGAGGTGCCTGCGCTAGGATCCGACCCTACAGAGAGTTAGTGGTAGCAGAAACCTCAGGTGGGCTTTACAAACAGTTGATAAACTTCTCTCCTATCCATGCAAGCTGGCCTACGGGGTTATCATAGAGAGCCAGGCCAATAGTGTTGGGCTGTCATCAATATTAACATCGAACCGCATTGACATGGGAAAATGTGTCTTCATACCTGGTAAGAGTGTTCCTGAAAATATCCCGCTTCAGTCGTAGCCCAGCGAACAAAGTTCTGCTCCGTAAACTCTTCCTCTGGCGACAATGTGATGTTCCACTCTACAAGCTTGTCTGGGGTTAGGGGATAGAAGGGCATAAAGACAAAGTGTGCTGCTCGTGTCGTGGTATTGAACGCGTCATAAAGATGGTATGCAATTGGAGCACCAAGATCAGTCCCATGAACGGCAAATTTCTTGTATCCGAGCACTTTGGTCATCAATGTGTTGAAAACTCGAGCTGTATCTTCGACTGTCCAGCCTTCGGGCGGCGCGGAAGAAAATGCGTAGCCTGGAAGGGAGGGAATTATGATGTCGAAGGACACGGGCTTTCCAGTAGATGTCTTTGTTTTCTTAGTGAGGCGTTCGATGATTGGGATAAATTCAAGAAACGAGCCGGGCCATCCGTGGTTTAGGAGGAGGGGAATCGCGTTTGGATCGTTTGACTTGTGGTGGACGAAATGGATATCGAGACCTTCGATTTTGGCGGTGTAGTGGTGAAGTCTATTCATGTATTAGTAATGTAATTCTTGAAAGGTATCTGTCAACTCACTTGTTTAGATTGTCTTGCTCCGTCTTCCAATCAAAGTCAGACAACCATTGCTTCCGTAGGCTCTTCAGGACATCCAAATCAATCCCCATAGATGAACCGACACCGGGATACTCAGGCTTTTCAGGCAGCCGATAGTTGCGCACCAACTCGATCATTCGAGGTACATTGTGGGAGAGATCGATATGGAAAGGGCGCAGTTGAAAGTTGTCTGGTCTGCTCGGCGGGAGAGACTTGGCTGCCGCCGCAGCAAAAAGAGCGCCGAGAACGCCCGACATGCTCAAGTGTACCATTTCGAAATGTACGTTGCCTGAGCTTGTCTGCACAGCGTTGATAGTTTTGAAAGATGCTTGATTCTACGTCTTGCTGGATATTCTCAAAACATGGAAACCGCTGGTGGTTTTATAGAGAATTCTCAATAACAATACGCCTTCAGCTTCACTGTTGCCCTCATTAATCCCGGCGAACTAGGATGCCGTCATATTTTAGTGCTTAGTTGCTTTGTGTGGGTGAGTTGCCTAGGCTCGCAAAAAGTTGCCTGTCCACTGAGGTAGTCATCATATTTCTAAGCACCACACAGAAACGATATTATGAATCGCAATCTCCTCGTCCTCTGAATAAGGCTTATAGAAATTCAAAGATATATTTATAAGCATTATTTGTGATAGATCTCACATCCTGAGGTCCGCTCACAATTTATTGACCGCCTTCTGGGAAGCTAATGGGAGGCGTATCAATGGTATTAATTGCGCGGCGGAGACTTCTGGCGGAGTCAGAAGCTTCGAAAGGTGTCCAGACCATTGGTCACGTTCATTGCTGGCTCTAAATAGACTGATCCACGGGCAAAAGAACAAACAAGACGTAGGTTAACTGAGCTAGAAGATTGTTAAACTCTTGCCCGGTCCGGTTGTTCTTGTGTTCGTAACCAACACGAAGCACATCGGTCGCAATCCGATTAAGCACCCGACGACCTGTAGCACCTGTCGATACAAAGAGACATGACCATCATTCCACGGTCCCACGATCGCGTGCTCACCGACTATACCGAGGCGTTTCTTGATGGTAGACTAGTCGTCATATTGCCAGGCCTAGGGCTTCGTGCTGCTTCATGCCACTAACTTCGGACGGCTATAAGAGCTGAAATAGTAGTGCTATTCCTCTTTGCGGCCTGGTAGAGGGAGGCGGTGAATGGGAGGTGCTTCGGCTATGGTGATGTCCTCAAAGTCAACGGGGAGGCTCCTGGACGGATCGTCGGTGATCTAGAAGCCGCCGTGTCACTATCCGCCGTTGTTGAAGTCGGGACTTGACACACCTGCATCCTTGGCGTGTTTAACGGAATTGGGTATGAGAGAGGGATAGTAGCGGTAATCGATAAACCGTCAAGGTGTCAAAGCCGCTACCAGCTAGCTAAGCGTTCTGGGTTGACTCTTACAGCATAAAACATAGAGTTGAGATTATTCTTATATATATCACAGTGTTAATACAAGACAGAAAGGCTCGCCTTCGAGAGATAGTGTTTGTGAGTTGCCTGAGTGGTGGGGCTAACCCATGCCCACATAGACGGCCTGGCCTCGGCTCCCCGTCATCAAATCTTATCTCCGCATGGTGTAGTTGGTTTATCACGTTCGGCTGTAACTGAAGAATTGCCACCGAAAGGTCCCTAGTTCGATTCTGGGTGGGGAGAAGAACATTTATTTTTGCTCAATGTGTCGCGAAATGGTTGCATCTCACCTTTCGTAACGCATAGGGCCTATACATCGGCACCCAGACACAACATCTCACGAGACCGAGTCCTCCGTCTTTTTATACACATGGCCAAGAAATATCGCAATAAGTAGCTTTTGCTTCAGAGTAAAGAAATTAGATATCAAGTCAAAAGCTAGCAGGTTGGGCATTCTCTACCAGAAGTCCTCCCCACGTAAATGGCAAGCTTCTCCAAGGCCGGCTGACAAACACGGGGCATGCCCCAAATCCGCTGAGGGTCGGAAGACAGGATCATGCAACAGGGCAGTAATAAAATGATTTGCTAGTGGTTTAGTGAAGAGATTTCTCAAGAGGTAATGGTAGATAGATATTGTCAAGTTAGTGTGGTATCAAAGCCGGCAGAGGGCCGAGGCAACCTATCGTTCTATAGCTACCGATTTGTACAGGGGTTCCAACTAGCTAAGAAGAGACAGAAAACGGGAAGCCCGCCATTATTTTAAGAGCTGCCGCCCTTAACCCAGTTGTAAGAGAACAAATGCCACAAGATGAGTATCGTTTCTTGCTCCGTCGACGCTGATGCGGGAGATGTTTGTTGGGATAAAATGAGTGCGCCATGAGATGGAATCAGCTCAGATCTCCCACGCCAGGAGAACAAGACCCAAAAGACACAGTGTTTACTGAAGCAAGCCGAGGAGAAGGTCGATCAACTGCTGCTTAGTGTCGGGTGTCGCACCGCCACCAGGAGTAGCCGCATCACCACCTGGGGTAGCCTCTTCGCTAGGAGCAGCCCCCTCACCAGCAGCGGGAGTTGCCGCAGCGTCGGGAATAAAGATACCCCATTCGCCATTCATGTTGTCAACCTTGATAAGCAGCTCGTTCTCCTCGACCTCAAACTCCAACTCACCAACGGCCGGGTCGATAACGAAGGCGCCGGCTTCGGTACAGAAGCGCCCGATAGCGCCAGTGCTGATGTCGAGGGTGCCTTGGGAAAGTTAGCATACCATCAGCCCAATGCCACGGTACAAAGCTCACTGTTGGCGTTCAAGATGTAATCGACTTTCTGAAGCGTCAAGCCCTCGGTGCCCTCGGCGAGATTGACAATGAAGGAGACGGGCTCGACGGCGCGGAAACCTGCTGGAGGAGCCGCGGGCGATGTATTCTGGGTCACGGTGAGGGTTCGGTCTTCGGCGTTCTGGAACTCGATCTCGAAGACGCCGTTTTGCTGTCAAGTCAACATATTAGACAATGTCCTTCGTTGTAAGAGACATCAATGGAGAGGGCACTTACGCCTGGAGGATACAGAGTATCGACCTTGCTTCCTCCTGGAAGGACAATGGGGACATCGAACTCTCCTGCCTGCTCGACCTCATCTTCAGCCCCCTCTTCACCGCCTTCTGCGCCTTCTCCACCTTCTGCACCTCCACCAGCCGCTGCGCTGGTCTGGCTAGGAACAATGGTTGAAGTCACCGTGGCGACTAGAGAGAAGCGAGCATGGGGAGACCGGGGTCTGACAATGGCGCGGCTGTCATGTTGGATGGCAGCGGGTGCGGCGAGGATGGCCGAAAGCTGAGTAGCCAGCAAAGTGATGGTGAAAAGCTTCATTGTGGATGACATCCTTTGGCGGTGATGCTTTGGTCTGTTGGTTGCAAGGTGAAAGATCGAGCGACAGTACGAAGAAGAAACGAAATCAGTCTGAGGCAATAAAACTTCGGACCGGCCGAAAACGGAAGAAAAGTGCAGAGAAAGAAAGGTAAGTTGACAAAGGAATACTCAAAGTATGGTTTGTAGAAGAGAATGATGATCCAAAAACAGTTTATGTGATGGCAATGAAGGCCATTTATAGACAAATTTTACTCCCTATTTCTTTCAAAGCAGCTTGATCTGTTTTACCCTCCAGCCACTCCTCATTCAGTGCCTCGAAACGCAATCTGAGGCAGCCGCAACACTGCAAGCGCTCAGTTTGAAGCTATTCCAGGACACACACAGCCAAAAGCCGCCTGGGTGCCAAGAGATGCGAACTGTTGGGGTCGGATCGCAAAGTGACATGAGACATCGCTTACCTGCACAACGATAGCTTGCGTTAATTTTGGTAGTTATTTGCAACCGACCGGAGAGCTTGGCGGTGCTTGGCAGTCAATTTGACATGACGTGAAACGGGAGGGGACTTCGAAGATTGGAGGTTTTTGGTCGTTGTTCTTGGCGATGTCGCAGGATAGCCACCTCACGGCAATTGCAATGACGGGTGACAGATAATACCATCATTGTAGCTTTATTCCATCCGGTGTGTCTCTGGTGTCATTCAATCACCATTCTTACACTGGGTGTTTATACACTGGTTCTCCCTCGAGCGCACGTCGTCCAAGTTGGAAATAAGGCACGCGACCGACTTCCTTAAAATCTCCTACAATAAAGTTAGCCGATCCTCAGATCCGTTTCTAAAACAACCTTAAAATAGGGGTGTTTCATAGGCTTAATTTAGCAGAGCGTGGATTGATAAAACGCTGTCAGGTTTCAGATGTGGCTATTTTTATCTTTAGCTCCAGGGTAGTTTTCTCTGTTTTGCTCCTCAACAATGTCGACTCTTTAGATCCGATTTATTGGCGCAGAGAATATCTGCTAATGTTTTTATACCGATTATGGATGGTATTTTGATTCTATTAATAATTCAAAAAGAGAAACCCGTGGCTGGGACATGGTCCTTTTCGTGATTACAACCAGGTATCTCGGATGAGCTCGGAAGGCCGTGTGCAGATCAATGAGGGGAATGGCTTCGAGTTGACGATAATCATCAACAAGGACAACAACACACTTTGACAGGGAAACAGGCTTTGAGTTACGTAAAAGGTGAGAATGGCTGTGGCCAAAGACAGTACCGAGAAACATGTTTGAAACCACGCCAACAATCTTGAATCTTGATGCCTCCCTCACTATCCATAGACGTCCGTTGGAGAGTTTCTTCACTCGGCTTTTCGCAATCAGTTCTTGGGCTTGCTTCCAAGGCAAAGCTGTAACGGAATCGCAATCTAAGCAGGGAGTAGTGTCTCTCTTCAAACCCGGACCACGCAAAGTACCTGGACTTGTTAAAGCTCCACGACCGAGTACTCAATGTTACAATAGGTATTCAAGGTTACACTACGCTGCTTTACAGCATTAAAGAAGGCTAGGCGAGAGCCCCGCCACTTGACCAGCGGCCCATCCGGCTTTCCCTGCATGAACCAACTCGCGCAGGGCCCTTTTGGAGACATTGATAAACAATAACGTTAAACCTCGGTATTGCATCGCGGCATTTGGTGGCAAGGAGAGGAGCCCAAGTAATCAGATCGGAGCAAGGATGATCCGTGTTGCGTGTCTTGCGACCCCTGCGTAGGATCGATCCCCGCCTTGAAGACTCGCTCTCTGACATTGTTGATGGTATAGACTAAGGGTCCAATTTATCTGTTGTAGTTGATTGGACTGCAGAGAGCGGGGGTGTAGATGGTAGGCCCCAACGAGGTCCGTTCAGATGCTCCCTTCTCACCTTCATACTTGTCATCTGTCATTCAATCTATTTGTATCGTTCAAGCCACTTCCCATAATCTTGAACGATGTCCACGCTCCCTCAAAAAGTCGACGTCCTGATCGTCGGTAGCGGCAACGCAGGCTTCGCATCTGCCATCGCCGCCGCCCAAGCCGGCGCAGGACATGTCCTGCTGATCGATAAGTGCCCCGAGGACTGGGTCGGCGGAAACTCGTACTTTACGGCTGGCGCATATCGCATAGCTCATGCTGGACTTGATGATCTGTTGCCGATTGTCAACAACGTTAGTCGAGAGCAGGCCCAAAAGATCGACCTGCCGCCGTACTCTGAGAAGGACTTTCAGAAAGACCTGGACAAGGTTTGCATGGGACGGTCTGATCCCGGACTTGCCAAGGCGCTCGTTACCGAGTCTAACTCGGCTATCAAGTGGTTGGCCGCCAACGGTATTCGGTTTCAGCTCTCTTTCAACAGACAAGCCTATGAGGTTGATGGGAGGACTAAGTTCTGGGGCGGTCTTCATCTCAAGACCCAGGACGGCGGCAAGGGTCTAATTGCCGATTATCTTGCCGCAGCTGAGAAACACTCGGTTCAGGTTTCTTGGTCCACAATGCTCAGTGGGATCCAACCTGAGCGTGTTGACGGCGCCTGGACTGTGACGGTCAAGGTTGACGGCATCGATCATACTCTCACAACCCGAGCCATCATATTGGCCGCCGGTGGTTTTGAATCCAATGCGCAGAAGAGAAGCCAGTTTCTCGGCCCGGGCTGGGATTTGGCAATGGTTCGAGGAACCCCTTACAACACCGGAGAGGTCCTGGACCTTGCTATCCAACAACTAGATGCCCAGCCCGTGGGAAATTGGTCAGGCTGTCACTCCGTGGCATGGGATGCCAATGCCAGCCCCAACATCGGGGATCGTGAAGCATCAAACGAGTATACCAAGTCTGGATATCCTCTTGGCCTGATGCTCAACGTGGACGGCCACCGCTTTGTCGACGAAGGCGTGGACATGAGGAATTACACATACGCCAAGTTCGGTTGCGCCATTCTGCAACAGCCCGAGCAACTTGCGTTCCAAGTATGGGACGCTCAGACTACGCCCTGGCTTCGATCTGAAGAGTACCGCGAGGAGCGCGTCGAGCACCTCAAGGCAGATTCACTGGAGCAGCTTGCAGACAAGTGTGTATCCCGTGGCCTCCGAGATAAAGACGCCTTTCTACGTACAATTCGCGAGTATAACGAGGCTGTGTATGCTCATCGACAAGAAGCTCCGTCGGCTAAATGGGACCCTGCCATCAAGGACGGTCTATCGACACAGTCCTCCAAGAAACGACTGGCCCTCCCAAAGTCGAACTGGGCCTTGCCACTGGAAAAGGGCCCCTATCTCGCTGTCAAGGTTACCTGCGGTATTACTTTCACCTTTGGTGGTCTCAAGGTTGATCCTCAGACGGCTCAAGTGATCCGCGCGTCGACCAATCGACCAATACCGGGAGTGTTCTGTGTTGGAGAGATGATGGGAGGACTGTTTTACTCCAACTACCCCGGTGGAAGTGGCTTGACTTCTGGCGCTGTCTTCGGTAGGAGAGCTGGAGAGGCGACGGGTCAAGTTGCCAAGGGTCATACGGATTCGCCTCGGACACCAGAGGGCACTGGGTCTACCAAGTCATCCTTTCAGGTCAAACTCTAGGTGCTTGATGTATGATCCTATTTCATTGTGGGGGAGATCAGCTCGAGAGATGGGGTTTCGTTCGTGTAGCATTCTTGAAAATTCACCATGTCTTTTGGATCCATGAGCAAGGATATCTGGCTACCTGTTGACTTTCAAATCGTGCAATGATGTAGAGCATAGAATGAAGGGTTTTGAATCACGCAATTAGGCACAGTGGTATATTTTCTCAAAACGAATTCTCCTGTGCGTTGGACTTGGTGTAGCAACTGTCTTCGTACACCCCTTAAGGGTCTGTATTATTAAAAGGTGGGAATGCTTCTACCTCGCCACTAAAAACCGGCAATATAGATGAGTACTCTCGCAGAGAAATTGCTCTAAAGGGTACTCGCCATGCGGGATGAGTTTTACATACCAAATGACATTACATACCCTTGACGGTTGTAAGGCGTTCATTGAGTTGGTAGGGTGTGTGGAGAACACACAACCTGCGGTATGTGTTGGCGTCGCCATAGATCTGCAATTACACAACATGAATCATCCCGAGTTCCTTGATACTGCACGTTATTACCCCATCACAGCAGCAAGATCCCTACTCCGTCAATCCATGTTCATCTATTGCCAAGGCATCGGGACCCGGATCTCCGTGGGCTATTGAAATCCGGGGCAAGAGGTTGACATATAAGAAATGCCCTATGCGCACTTTAAGCCAGAGCCACCATTCTTAACTACCCTCAGTTGGACTTTTCGATCTTCTGGCTCAATCAACCCATCAAAGGCCGGGCTGCAACTCTAATAAAGAAACATCGCTTGGAATTTTCATCCTATTCTTACGCCACTAAAGACATGAGCGACAAAGACGACCGCTCTCTGACGAGGCTTGAAGACGAACACTCTACTACGAATGGCGTCATGGCTACCACGCCTAGTCATCACAATGACCTGTATATTGACGAAAAGGCCGAGAAAATGCTCTTGCGCAAGCTTGACAGATGGATCATCCCGCCTGTGATGCTACTGTATCTATTCAGCTTCCTCGACTGGGTCGGTGTCGGAAATGCGAGATTATACGGTCTCGAAGAGGACTTGGGTCTCGTGGGTGATCAATATCAGCTTGCCGTATCTATCCTCTTTGTCACATACACTCTGTCCGAGGTCCCATCTAATATCGTCCTCAAAAAGTTCACCCCGTCTCGATGGCTAGCCCTAATTACCACGGGCTGGGGAGTTGTGGCTACCCTTACTGGAATTGTTCAAAGCTTCTACGGGTTGATAATCTGCCGTCTTCTTCTCGGGGCCCTCGAGGGTGGCTTATTCCCTGGGTTAGCAGTCTACCTGACATTCTTTTATACCAAACGCGAGCTAGCCCTTCGCATCGCTTATCTTTTCGTCTCTTCAGCAATCGCCGGCTCGCTCGGTGGTTTACTTGCCTATGCCTTTGGCTTTATGGATGGTATCTCAGGGATGCGGGGATGGCGGTGGATTCTTGTTCTTGAAGGAGTCCCGACCGTGATCCTTGGCATTGCTGCTTGGTTTTGGCTGGCCAATGACCCCGAGACGGCATATTTCCTCTCTTCCGATGAACGAGATTTGGCCGTGAGGCGCATGCAACGTCAGATCGGCCATACCGTCTCCTCGGGGCAACTACATAAGAAGGATGCCTACGCCGGGTTCCTCGACTGGAAGATCTGGGTATTTGCCGTAGCCCAATTCGGTGTGGACTTGGTCCTATACGGATACGCGACTTTTCTTCCAACCATCATTCAAGGTCTTGGATCTTGGTCCATTGCCCAGGTTCAAGCCCTGACCATTCCATGCTATGCATTGGGGGCCCTGACGTACCTAGTGGTTGCCTGGCTTTCGGATCGCAGCCAGCGGCGGGCTGCGTATATTGTTGGATTTGGGTTGGTCTCTGCCGCAGGTTACGCTATCCTTCTTAGCCCTTCCCTAGGAGCGGTAAAGTATTTCGGCTGTTGTGTCGTTGCTATCAGTCTTTACGTTATTGTGGGAATTCCTCTGGCATGGCTGCCAAGTAACAACCCACGGTATGGCAAGCGAACTGTAGCAGTAGGGCTGCAAGTGACGGTTGGCAATTTGGCTGGTATTCCAGCGCCGTTTGTAGGTTTCCGGAACATCCAAACGTATGGCAAATTGCTAATATCTCTGCAGCTTTATAGCTCCAAGGATGGTCCTCGTTTCATCGTCGGTCATAGCGTATCTATGGCTATGATTCTGATGGCGATGGTACTATTCCTAACAATGGGGTTATGGTTTCGCCACGCCAATGGAAGGCGCGCCTCTGGCGATGATGATCATCTAGTTGAAGGAATGACTGACGAAGAGATTGCAGAGTTGGGAGAGGATAATCCTGCGTATAGGTATACGTGGTAGGGAGGGTAGTAAGCCGTCCTTGGTATGATGGTGTTAATAGTATGAGAGGTCTGGCATGTCGAGTCTCATGGTAACAACGGCTCTGGGGACTTGAGGCACTACGGAGGTGGACGATTCGTCGGCATCAGCTAGGGTGGCTTGAGGCTCTGCTATACTACTACCAAAGGGGAAGCGGGGGATGCTAGCAAGCGCAACTCCTGGTGCACACCGACTTTGTCAAAATGAATAACATCGGTGAGCTTCAGTATCGTACCACTCTAGCAATGCATCATATCTTGGGCTTGTTGCTCTAACCAAAGCTACTCTGCTGCCGTGTGACCTCTACAAGACGAACCAGTTCGGTTCGGGCGGCACGACTTTTGCACGACCCCAATGATGCGATGCCTTGGAACTTGGTCTGGTCCTCATCTGCAATCTTGGAAAATGCCAGACCGCTGGGCTTTTGTGGTTGCATGATAATCTTGGTTTGACATGTTTGTGCGCGTAGAAGCCAATTGTTTTCAGTGGACATCAGACCGAACCAAGCTGAGATGATGCAAGAGACGTGTTAGCGCGTATGTCGAGATCCGGGTTGGGGCCACGCAATGATAATCCTTGTTGCGCATCAACGCAATGACGCAGACGACTTTGCGGGGGGACACAAATATCAGGACATGACCACACGATAGAGTGTGCCCTAGACTTCTGTCCACCATTAGCGGCGAGTGGCTGGTGTCGAGTCCTAAAATGGGGCCAAGGGCGATCGGGATGGAAATGACGAGGATGGCTTTGGTCTTGGCATTCCTCTCCCGGAATGATCGACAGGGACTTTCCAAGCTGGTTCAAGCTGAACATTCAGCTGCCACTGAATTGCTGGAAAGCTGGGGACGGTTTACGTCAAGAAGAAGATCAGGTGCAACGCATCGGTTCGATCTGTTAGCGTTAAATCAACGATGACGATGACGATGAGGCGGCCAAGCCTGTTTGCTGGTTCCGGGCAGCGGTGTGTCTGTGGTATATGAGGTCGAGTTCTCATTGCTCACTCTAAACGTCTCGTACTGAACAATACCAACACAACTCGACCTTATCCATCCCAATTCCCAAGATACCCCTATACCAATAACAAGATGAATTTGGGCGCCAAGGTCAAGGAAATCCTCCACTCCGGCGACTCGGAAGATGCCGCCAGAGGAGACGTTGATCGCAACACTCCAGGATCTTTCCCAGTCGACGACATGACATCCGCCGAATCCCAGAAGCATACGTCTTCTAGCCACGAGCACAACAAGCTACACAAGCCAAATGACCCTCGAGGATGGTCCGAGGATGATACGAGAGCTCGTGGTCATGGTTACACTGACTCTGGAATCGGTTTGACCGAACCTCATGACACCCAGACCAACACTCGAGAAGTGGCTTCTGAGAAGCCCGCCGAACCCATTCAGCGAACCGATGACTACACCGCAGACAGCCGCATTAGCGACACTACCAACCCTACGTCCCAAGAGCCAGTTGGTGACACTGCCGCACCATCCCAAAAGGAGAACCCGTATTGGGGAGACCTCCCCCGTGGTGCAGGTGTCTATAACACTATTGCTGGTCACGGCAGCCCTGAAGATGATACCCAACGCCATTGCGCAATCCACAGTGGCGAGACCAACCCCGCTACCACTTCGTCCCAAGCCGGCACTGCTGCTCCAGTGGGTGGTCAGCCACTAGACTTTGCGTCTCAGGGTTCTGATCCCTACTCTGCCCAACAAGACACTCGTGAGACTACACACGAGAGAGCGCTCGGCTCACGTTTCAATGAAGGTCTGGGTGGTGCTGCGGCTACAGGCATTGCCGGAGCCGGAGCCTATGAGCTTGGCAAGGATCGTGGAGTTGATGAGAGGGAAACCCCATCTCAATTGACTGGTACTTCCACCACCGCTGATCCCTACGATGCTCAGAGAGCCACACCTCCATCCCAGCACAACACCGCCGCTGCGACCAAAATTCCACAACAGGAGACCTCACCTGAGACCACAAACCTGTATGCATCCCAGCAAGTCCCTGAGAAGACCACCAGGGAGTCGCACTTCAAGGAGGGTCTGGCCGGAGCTGCTGCTGCCGGCACCGCAGGCGCTGGCGCTTATGAGCTGAACAAGCAGCGTCAAGACGAAGAGACCCCCAAGAAGACAGAAGTTACTCAGCCTGAGCCAGAGGAGAAGAAGCATAGGTCATTCCCTCTCATTGGCCGAAGCCACAAGGATGATACCAAGGAGGTAAAGGAGGAGAAGCACACCAAGGAGCCCAAGCCTGAGCGTGAAAGCAAGTTTGGTGGTCTCTTCCATCGAAGTGGTAAGGATGAGACCGAGCCCGCGACTGAGGAGGAGCCTGCCAAGGACAAGCACCACGGTGCCATGGCTGGTACTGCTCTTGCTGCTGCTGGAGCTGGTGGTGCCGCGTATGCTGCTACCAGGGACCGAGATGACGACAAGAAGATCCAGGAGGACACCACCACTAGCCAATATCAGGAGTCTACTGCTACTCGAGGTGCGGATCAATACTCCAACACTGGCTTGGGCGCCACTGCCACCGACACATACCAGCAGCCCGCCACAACTCAGGGCACTGGCCAGTACTCCAGTACCGGTTACGATCCTAGTAGTACCTATGGTGCCCAAACCACCCAACCTTCAGTTACCTTTGCCGGAGACCAGCCTACGCAGTCGTACCAACAGGAGGGTTCAAACCGAGATGGCAAGTTTGCCGCAGGTGCTGCCGCCGGTCTAGGTGCTGGTGCCCTCGCATCTCACCAGTTGGGAAAGAAGCATGAGAACATCCCTGCCACTACTCAGGACTCTGAGAGGGGTTTCCAACCTCAGACTACCCAGTCATACCAGCCCGCACAGTCGTACGGCATTACTGAGTCGTATGGAACTACACAGCCATATGAACCTACTCAGTCGTACCAACAAGAGGACACACACGGAGGTGACAAGCTCGCAGCAGGTACCGCGGCTGGTCTTGGAGCTGGTGCTCTCGCCTCTCATGAATTGGGAAGAAAGCACGAGAACACCCCTGCTACTACCCAAGAGACCGAACGGGGATATCAGTCCCAGTCGACTGAGCCCCATGCGACAACCACGGCGAGAACTACTGCTGTTCCTGCCTATGACACTTCCAGGAACGAGCCTGTGACCGAGTCTGACAACTTTGCCGAACGCTCGTCAGAGCCGACACTATCCATCACGCAAAAGGCCAATGAGGGCAAGTATAATACTCTCGCATCCGGCACACCATCCGGTATCAGGGTCGAGGATTATACCAAGGACCGAACAACCCAGAGGGAGCATGTCGGTACTTCGTCAAGCGAGGAGAAGCATCATGGCGCTGGAGCTGCCGCCGGATTGGGTGCTGCTGCTGGACTGGGTACAGCCGCTGCTCTGTCCCGCAGGGATGATGAGAAGAAGGAAGAGCCAATCGAGCGCGAGGACGTAGCAGAATCCAAGGTTGAGCCAGAGATTGAACGGTCGGTTGAGCCTCAGCACGACGAGAAGCCAGCTGCTTCCTCTTTTGCCCCGCAGACGGGTAGCAGCAAGCCTGTCATTCACCATTGTCAGAAGTGTGGCGAGGCCAACGACATCAGCCAGTACTTTACGTCTAAGGCATCCGACAAGATCTAATAGCATTGAGAATTTACTTACTGCTGAGCTTGTTTCTATATTTATTTAGTTAGCATGGCTGTAATATACAAATAGCCTCGCCTATTTTTCAACTGGCTCCGTCTACATTCGTCTCTCATGTACCTTCGTGATATGTTGCGCATGTAAATGGAATTGGACCCGAACGTCCCACTAATTTTCCAGCTACCCTTCGATTTCCCCTACAACCTCATTGATTCCACCCTTGAGATTCGGCCTGGAGAATTTCCTGTCATTGCTGCTTCCTGGTAACTGTTACGAACTGTACTAGTTTTAGTTTGCCCTGCAGCGCATTGATGGCCTGGTTCTTCACCTCCAACCTCTGCTTAGCGAAGCATTTCAGCTCAAGCTAACCCATCAGAATCAGATTTGCTAGAATATTGCCATATGAAACACTGCATGAGTTGTATTTCACTCACGCCCTCAGCAGGCCCCCCACTCGCCCTACAATCTTGACCAACTCACCTACCCTTCCGCTAAACCAACATCACCTTGTGAACTACAGGTTCGACATGCTGAATCTGACCCCAATCGGCCGTGCACTATCGTGGCATGGAGTCTTGACCTCATCGTGCAAGGCTGGAGAAGCAGCAGCACATGATCATTCCGTCCTCTCTGGGACATGCTGACCTTATAGATGGTTCCTACAAGCAAAGTACGGTGTTCTACATAGCATTTCAGTCTTGTAGCTTGGGCTCTGGGCGGTGCCATGTCACGGCTGGCCTGGGGATGGAGCACATCGTGTTGCTCAAGCTTCCATGAAGCTCTGTGGATGTGTCTCGTCATCATCTTGGTCGTGATATTTTCTTCCTATGCCAAATCCTAGGGCAAGGACAGGCAGTATGCATACAAGTCCAGGAGAAAGGAAAATATGGCCTTTTGATACCGCGTAGGCTTCTTCCCAACCTCTTGTTCGATGACACCCAGCTCTGGCGTAGCAAACCCTTTTAGCTGAGGACCTCACCGATTCAACGGCTGGCTGTAAAACTTTAATTGTGCTGTAAATTCGCGATTGCTAGGTATCGACCAAGACCCAAGTAGTTACCCTACCGCTTGTGCCCCCATGTCCAGGCTCAAGCTTCCATATATTCATCAAACGCTCATGAACTTGTCAACAATGTTTTCATCTCACAGCCAGTCTATTGAGAGTCGTTCAATGTAGGCAACTCTTGGGGCTGCTGCCCAAAATTAAAATGTCAACCTCCTTGTCGGTGCCCTCTTGCTTTCCTCTCAGGTACCAACGCCATCCTCATCGTCTTTAGCTTCAGCAGGTTTGGGCACTATTTTCTGTTCAAAGATGTCAAGCTGAAAGCTGGACCAACATGGCAAGGGCGGGGCTAAGGTGCAGTAGCCACCATCGTTAGCACGGCTCAGGTCATCTTGCCATCGCTGTACAGGCCATTGTCGACGCTCCTCGACCATCTTGTCAACGTCCCAAGGTGTGCCAATGTTGAAATTGCACCGGATGACCGAGGCCGGGTTATCCAGGTGGCCCATGCCGTCTAGTAAGTGATTGGGTGCCCAGTCGCCCATCCTAATGTATCCCACTGTGTGGTCGTTTTCGGCATTGCTAAGATGTTTGTCGAAGCATCGTCTAAAGGCCTGCTCCGTTGCGATACTCCGCTGAATACCATTCTGGAAGATTTCCGAACTGAGGTTGATGGCTGGGTTGCCATCAAGAATGAGGGTGAAGGAGCCGGCAGGCATGCCTGCATCCATCAAAGCCAGGGCCTCTCCAAACCAAGAGCTTAGTATGCGTCCAAGGCGTCCATCACTAATCTCGCAACGCCGCTCACCTTTTGTGAGATCATCCGCCACCTCCGGCATGTTATCTAAGGATGGGGCTTGGATATCATGGAGGATATTTCTCCATAGACCAACATAGCGCTCAACCCGAAGCCGTGGGTTCTCCCTGCAAAATCGAATGAGGCCCATGGCGTGGCATTCTGGTAGGCCTACAGAAATGTGGTCTTCGTGCAGAACGATGTGTCGTAGATTGAGGCGCTGGGCAGGACTGAGGCGCTCAAGAAATCGGATGGCAACAGCCGCCGCCGAGAAGTGGTAGGCTTCGCGATAACAAACATTTGTTGACTGATACCGTCTCGTCTCAGAGCCCCGGAGCCGCGGGTGACGCCGCCCATAAACGCGCAGGACCGCCTCCTCATCCAAGGGATATCTCCACCTCTGAAGAGCTTGCCATACTTCTTCATCGTGCAACTTACGGCCGATTCTAGCGAGCTCGGCCGACGAAGGTATGGCCCAAGGATCGAGCCGAAGGCTATCGAACTCGTGGGGCTCGAAACATCCAGGGGCTACGTCGGCCAATTCCTTAAACTTTGCAGGGTCCTTCTGGCTGAAAACGTCCAAGGCGTATGTGGTTGCTTGTTGAAACGGGGAGTGGAGTCGGTCGTCGTAGCACCTAGCCCAGAAAGGGTGATGGATGCTATACACCCCTACCAGGATGCCCCGACCGCCGCGGGGCGAGAGTTGTTGAAGGGCGGTACACGGGACGCGCGAACAAATGCTGAGGGGTAGGCCTGAGGTATATTCTTCGAAGTCATCGAAAACAGCAGAAAAGTATGGGAATTTAAGAACAATTTCGGAGTGTGTTTTCGAAGTAGCGGCTCGGCTGAGATGCCTCACCAAGTCCATCTCTATCTGAGCGTAAAGAATTGACAGGTACTGGAAGCGACCTGCTAGTGGACTCCAATCTTGGTGGTACGCAGTCGAGAATGAGACATCGTTGATTCGCAAAGGCAAGTCCTTGGCTTCAGCTGCAATCAAGCGACAGACGTACATCAAGGAGAGGTTGATAGGCTGGCCGTCGGCCATGGCGAGCTTGCCATTGTAGGGGTCCTCCCGATTGAAGACATAACCACCCTCTAGCTTGAAGTAGAAGTGGTAGATTAGGGATCGGAGTTCGCGGGGGAGGGACAAGAGGCAGGTTTGGGGAAGCGGAGGGGAAGTTGACATGGTGTGTTGTGTTTTTTTGTGTGCGTGGAGGGAGAAGGAGAGACCACCAGAAATCGAGGGATGAAGTGGGGTTTTATAGGCGTCATTCACGTTCATTCTTGTGCGGCTGGCTGCCTAATGGGCCACCTATCACAGGTAGCGCCCAAAGTTTCACCGCACAGGGCCAAGGGCCGAGACAAGGTTTTCACAGGAACAAAGGAGGCACATGTGTTTTTATGGGGTATCATAATCTATTCTATTTTTTTGATGACATCGCTGTCAGCCACAGGAGCAAAGGACACAGTTGAAGACACACGGCAGTATTAAAACCCAATACTGCAAAACACCGAAAACCTAAGGTAAGGCTCTATAGCCATAGAAACCTAATAGCTGGAAGATGAGCCTCGCAGTGCAAGATGCCACCTTTCCTTTTCCCATGGGAGGTTATATTCCCTTCTTGGTGTCAATAGAGTCAGCGTATTCATTAAATATAAATAAGCACATACCTGGCTTTTTCCTCTGGCTTGCCATCGACACTTCCATCTTCTCTATTGTCCTTCTTCCTCAAAATGTCCGCTACTTCTTGGCAATCACACGCTATCAGCATAAGCTTCTACTCAAGCGGACATATGACATGAACCTACCAATGCAAAGACTCCCGATCTGCCCGGTCAAACCGGACCTCGACGATTGGTACAACTTAGAGTGATGTAAGCAATGGATGAAATAGTAGAGAAGGCCGCAAATGGCAACATACCGACACAAGCGCCCAAGTCACACCAAAGAGTCGCAAAGATAAACGACAGTTCCGGAAGGAACTCGGACTTGCCAAGCTCCTTGTCTCTGAACGCATTCAAGTTGGCGATCTCACCAATGAACTTCGAGTCGCTGGCGAGAATATTAGCTATCATATTATCTTAAAGATAATCACAACGCTTACCCCTCGTTCAGTTCCACAATCGTCTCATCGGGCATACACAACTACGAAAAGGCCGGGTCGAATACATCAAGACACAACAAACAGCGCTCGGGAACCTAGCCAAGAGACTAGCTATAGGCGACACCCTCGAAGAAAAAGAAGTCGACTTCCTGGACGGGCTCAAACTGAGACGCGAAAAAGTCAGTGAAGGAGTACAGAATAATGGCAACAAGGCAACATGTAAAGCTTACAGATTGGAGGGCTGGCTGGAGGAACTGCTGGACTTGGTGGAGGAGCTGCGGGCTTGAAAGGATCTGCTGACGCTGACAAGTTAGATTCACGCCTGGTCGGCAAAGGTTTGCAGGGGGGCGAGGGCATACGGACGACGATTCGGACCGGGATGGGTGGCGGAGGCCTCTGGATGCTGGAAAATTAGCTTGAACCAGGAAGGGATATGTGGCAGCATACTGACGATTGTTCGTGGTGTCGGTGGCAGATGTCTGGACGGGGAATGATTTAGCCAAATCGTCATTCAATATGCAAGGAGAGAAAGAAGACGCACAAGGTTATCGGAAAAAGCTTGATCTGTCTGGACCTCGGATAAGAATCAGATAATGAGCGTACAAATAACTCAAACGGGGTAGCAAGACTCACGTACTGTTAATGGGGTTATTCACGGGTTGGAAAAGTTAAACACGATTGCAGGAAGAGACCTGACTTTGACACACAATAAATCCGAACACACGGGGGGGACGTATGTGCTGTCACACACAGCACAACATCATGCCTCGCCTCCCGAGGGTGGCAGAGGTAAAAACTGCGAAAACTGCCTGGCCGACTTGAACTGGGCCAAGCCAAAGTGCGTGATGGCCCAATCGGCAGCAATCGCCGCGTCACAAGTGAGTAGACGCGAGAAGTCGGTGTGGCCGACCTTGCTTTCCAGCGAGTCCCTCGCCTTCTGCAGCAGACGGCATTCTACAAACCTGTGGAATACCGTCTCGTCGGACTTTCCACATGGACATCGCGGAGAATCGGCACGCTGGGCAACTGTCAGATGGAAATGTTGAGGATGAGCTGCTGGGGAAAACGTACCGAAATCTTGAAGAGGTGATGGTTGAGCCCGATAAACTCTGTTCGGCAATGAAGGAGCATCGTTGACTGTGCTCGAGACAAGCCTGAGTAGTACTGCAGGCTCTGCTTCCCCCACTGCTCCTTCAGAGCCCGAGGAACCTTCCGGGGCTGGGCATCGGTGAGCGCTTTCCGACAGAGGCGTTCATCAAGGTAATCCTTCCATCTCTGGGCACACCTCTGATCAGAGATCTCTCTTGTCAAGGAACAGATTACACCCATGAGGTCAGGTGCCTTGTATCCCTTCTTGTTCTCCACTGCCTCGCCCCTTCTTTTCGCATTCGCGCTCTGCCTATGGACGAGATGCTTCAGTTTGCACTGGGCGTGAATAAACAGGTGGCCTGTGCGCCCATCAAGCATGTTGTAGGGGTGCTTCCAAGCTTCTCGGGAAATGCCCGAGTTTCTCATCCGTCGTTGCAGAATCTCCTCTGGGCTGTTGTGATTCTTTGCTCTGTGGACCGAAGACAACCGATCCAAAAGATTCTCCATGCTTTCAACATGAAACTCCTTTTCAAGGACTTGACCAGTAGTACAATGGAAAGCGCCAGATAGTTCTCTGAGACATCGTTGTTGCAGTGTTTCGAGCTTCTCAATCTGCGTCTTGGCCAACCCCCAATGGAGTTTGCGATCGGGATCAAAGATGAACCAAGCGGGACAAGCATACGTGATACTGGGCCGAATTGTAGTCGAGTATAGTCTCAGCATGGTCTTCAAGTCAGGGCCCCAGGTGGAACCCGTGGTGCGCTTCAAATAACCAAGCCGCCTTGAGACTTTGCCTTTGATGTGGGTGATGTGTGCTTGCCAGTTCAACGCACAGTCCAAAATGACTCCAAGAACCTTGAGTTGCTGACATGGCTCCTCCTCGCGATTGAGCCCTGGGATGTTGGGAAGCATCTTCCAATGGTCGTCTGGGATGTCAGGCCACTGACTCCTTGGTGGCTTGCAGTGCATGACGTGGTATTTGTGCGGGCCGAACTTGATACGGAGAGGCTTCGCCGCGTGCAGGATAACGTTGTGCGCGCGCTCCAAGAAGCTGCAGTTGCGGCGGATCGATTTGGATTCGGCAATCAAGTACATGTCATCGACAAAGGCAAACGAATTCACCTTTACCTTCCCATACTTGGCCTCGTTCACCTCCTTGAGTAGGGGCGTAGTGAAAAGGAGGAAGAGAATGGGGGACAACGGGCTACCTTGCGGGATGCCGATGGGGAGGGGGAACGTCTTGGAGACGTGACCAGGCATGTGTAACACGGTGCTGCGATCTGACAAGAAGGATACAACAAAATTGATGATCCACTACGGTATTCTCATCTCGGTGAGAATATCAATCCGTTTCTGCTGGTCCAAGTTGTCATATGCACCCGACATATCGAGAGCCACAATGGTGACAATTCTGCCAAGCAGCCAAGCGGTGAAGATGATGCTGATGAGGTACTGAAGCGCCTTGGTAGCGGACTTTCCCCCAAACTGTGTCTCGTGCAAGAGATTGTGCTCTTTGCTCCAGGCAGTGAGATGAACCGACACAATCTTTTCGAGCATCTTGCCCATGCATGATAGCAACGCGATAGGCCGCCAGCTGTTGGGGAGCTTCGCCGACTTTCCCGCCTTTCGTAGAAGAAGTGTCGTCGCGTGTTTGAAGGGCGCCGGATGGTACGAAAGCCTCAGACATGCCTGGAAGACGCGGAGCAGGTGCTCAGCGATGGCTTCACAACCCAGGATGAGGGCTTCGTTGGGGATCTCGTCGGGTCCGGCGGCCTTTCCTTTGGGAAGGCGAAGTATCATCTGGACCAAGTCTTCCTTGCATAGATTCGGACCATCATGACTCCCAGAGCTCGAATCGCCCGCGTCGGGGGGGTGTATCCAAGGCGGCGCTGAAGACGGGCCTGGATCATCGTCATGGTCGGGGTTGTGTCAGTCCGGAATCGGACTGAGTTGTGGAGGTGGTGGTGAAGGGGGGTTTGAGATGCCATCGTGGACTGCAGCCGCTCTAGTCTGAAGAGGTTCGTGTGACACATCTTGGGTAGATCCTCTCCAGATACTCTCTCAGAAGACAAGTTCTTTGTCCTCATCTGTCCGATAAGTTTTGCCGTCCACCGTCAAAGCTGGTGATTGTGCCGACTCCTGAGGCTGGACGAGCTTCTTTCCCAACTTGGCGACCTTGTAGCCGCCATTGCTTGTTTTGGCCTCTTCCGTCATGGACTGTTGCCACTTTTGGCACTCGATGGAACGCTCAAGTGTGTCACGCTGGGCGGCGAGCCTTTTCAGATGGTTCAAGCCTCCAAGGCCCTTTGTCCGCATGTATTTGTCGTGCGCGCGATGCCATTCGTCGTCCAATCGCGCCAGCTCTTCGTTGGGCGCTCGATGAAGCCTCTTCCGGAAGTGGGGGACTGTTCTGACGCACTCGTCGATGGGTGATGTTATTGCGGTGTTGATTTCGACAATATATTCATCGATTTGGTACGGTTCCTGGAGGATAAGAGCATAATCTGGCCCCAGCCTTGCCTGAATCGCTTCAAAAAACCGTTCGTGTTTCGTTTTCTTCAAAAGTCGGCGTTGGGGGTTATGTCGCCCGGGTTCTATGATGACGATGATATAGTATTAGGGTTAGGTTTAGGGTTATCTATCCTTACCCCAGAGTTATGAGGGACTGACCAAACGCCACCTAGATAGATCTGCAGAGTAAGAACTAGGCGTGTAAATAAGGATAGCAGGTGGTCTGAAAAGCACCGCCGGTACTAGCACTGAAACTGTATGCGGAGAGCGGCGATGTTTTTTTTTAATCCACCTGGATAGTACACACGACAAGAGGCCTTCAACTAGAGACATAACTAGAGACACAGTGCACCTGGTAATTGACGAAAGCAGGACCTCCACCCCCATTGCAACATAGGCGCCACGCGCAGGCTGGGACAATCCCTGGCCATGTCTGATCGACAGCGGAAAGCAATGTGCAAGGTCTTGAATAGAGTTGGTTGCGAGGGGTTTAGGTGGTTGTGGGGGAAATCGTATCATGTCACTACCCCGCAATACTACCTTTGTTTAACCACAATTGGTGCGAAATCTTGGGGCATTGTAGATCACCCCAGCTTCATGACTTGGACTCCTCGGCGAAAGATGGTCCGAGGCCAGCCAGTGTAAGTGTTGCGCTTATAGTTGCAGCTCGGCCCTCGATGGGTTAACTGACCCGAAGATCGTAAGTGCTGCGCAGATAGTAACGATATATAGAGCCAGTGGCTCCCAATGGATCGAGAACGGGCTTCATTCAAGTTCACTGCAGTGCTAGATCACGATGAAGTTGGTCAGTCTTATTCTTCTCTTTCTGGGAGTCTCTGTTGAGGCGTCGCGACGCAAAACGTGCATTGTCAAAGCGGGCGGCACCAACGCAACAGATGATGCTCCTGCAATCATTGAAGCATTCGAGAAGTGTGGGAGACGTGGAAGGGTCATCTTCCACCCTACCACATACCACATCAACTCGGTGTTGAATATCACATGGCTTGACGATGTATACATTGACCTTAAAGGCACCCTTCTGGTAATCCACAACCCTCATGGTATCATGACAAGAGTAAAAAAAGCTTACAAGATCTAGTGGAGTACCGATATTGAGTACTGGCTTCAGAACTCACTTGATGTTGGTTACCAGAACCAATCCACGGCTTTCATCCTCGGCGGCAACAAGGTTGTCCTCGATGGTCACGGCACAGGCACACTCGACGGAAATGGCGATTACTGGTACCAATGGATAAGGAAGCAGGCGAATTCGTCTAATTACCCGGGTCGGCCTCATGCAATTACTCTCAACGGCTTGACTAACTCCATCGTACGGGGGGTCAACTTCCTCAGGAGCCAAATGTGGTATGATCACCCACATGAGGATAACTTGTTGAAACCCAACTAAGCATAACAAGGACCATGTCAATCATTTACTCGCACCGAGTTAGTCTCTCCAACATCCTAGTCAACAACACCGGCAATATTTACCAGAGCTGCAAGTTTCTAACCTGCCACTACTGCCATTACTAACATATTGTGCAGCAAACACGGATGGCGCCGATACAATCCGCTCGTCGTTCATCAAGTTTGATAACTGGACTGTCTACAGCGGTGACGATAGTATCTCACTCAAGGCTAACAGTACCGATGTGAGCATCACCAACTCACGATTCTATAACGGGCTCGGCATAGCGCTGGGTAGCATCGGTCAATACAATAAGCAGTTCGAGACGATCGAGCGTCTGCACGTCGATAACTGCTCTTTCTACAATACACTGCATGCTGTCTACTTTAAAACTTGGACAGATGATCAGAACGGGTATCCGCCCAATGGCGGCGGCGGCGGTCTTGGGTGTAAGTACTATCATCTCGCGGACTAAAGTGTCTCTAACGACTTTATGATCTAGTCGCTGCGGATATGAGTTTCAAGAACCTAAAGTCTGTCGGGATGCGTGGTGCCGCAGTAGCCATCTCTCAGTGCACACGCTTCAGAGGCGCACCAGGCCAAGGTAACTGCACCAACTCCCAGTTCCAGATTCGCGACATCTCGGTCAAGGGCCTCACCGGCACAACCAAGTCCTCACGCGTAGCAAGTCTTCAGTGTAGCGCGGTTGCACCGTGCACCAACATCTCCCTTTTTGATACCGACCTTCGCTTTGACAACGGTACTGAGGCTCCGGACTACCTCTGCGGTAACGTCAAGGGGGAGCGTGGGTTCGAATGTACGGGGGAACCTTGCACGGGGCCCAGCGCTACGGGAGAGTGCTCGTGAGCTCGCACTTGAGAAAGAGGTTTCGTGTGACCTTGGCGGTCTGACTCATGGGATGAACTCTCAAGCCAACAATCATAGTAAATACCACTCATTATCTCAGGAGTACATGCAGAGTCCTAGCGAGAAAGGAAAAGAAACGTGCATAGTGAATAGTTCATACTATTGACCGGGTGTAATCACTGTAATGGTAATGGGCGACCTCCCGGTAGCGACATGAAGTCAGCAACTCAGCAGGGGCCCCCCTCAGGTCTTAACAAGTTTTCTAGCTTTTCTTTTTAAGTATATAGCTAAGAAAATAACGATGCCTGTCCTTATGATCCGCGCATGATCGTCAACTGCGATTGATGCCAAGACTTGTCGTCTCAAGTGGAACCGACTCATCGCCCAATCACTTCACCACGCAGCCCGCTTACAGCCACAGCCCTTTGTCTACCCTATAATACCTGACTCTCTCCCAGGGGCCCAACATTGCCGGGAGGATTATTTTCTTCGTTGATACATTTTGAGTGGACCTAGACCACTTGATAAGTTGTTCACTCACCCCAAAGCTCAGCACCTGCAAAAATTGCATCTCACTCAACTCAGATCCCAAGTTTGGTTTCCGTTGAGTCCACACAAATCGACGGGGGACTTGAGCTGTACCAAACGTGACCGTATTGCAAAGCACTCTATGCTCTTAAGAATGTCGGATTTCTTGGCTCAACGCTAGTATCCCATTCATTCCCAGAACAAATGCCACAAGATCAACCAACACCTTATGATTGCATTACTCTCAGCGTCCGTGCTCACAGCTCCCTGTTCGTCTCTAGAATATCGAGCATAACTTCTGTTCTGAGCGACTATGCATAAAATTGCCCAGAACGTGCTTTGTGTGCCTGACTAGCATTGGCTTTGACGTCAACTTGGTCAATTTCTCCCAGTTGCTGCCGTTGAGGGCACATTGACCTGCCCCTTGGTTAATATTCACCAAGGATTTAGATTTGCTTGATTGCAGATACGAGCTGTGGTCAATGTAAATTACTGGATTGCGTTCCTTCTGGCGTTTCATCAGTATCCTGTGCACAGATGTAGAATATTAGGAGGCGTACATCGAGACACTCCCAGCTCGCCTTGGTCTAATTACGAGCGCAACCCCCCTGAGACCCTGTTCCGGATGGGAGTAAACAGCCACTCCAATTCAATTGTTGGTCTTGATCTCGGACCGTCGCTGGTTATAATCCTTGCATACTCCAACCTCGGTTCACCGGGTCCATCTTGAGCCTCATGAACCGTGCACTCTGGACCAGTGGAGGGGCGAAAACTTTAGTGTGGAAGAGATTGATGCTAAAACAAGACTATGGAGCTAGAGAATCCGGTCTACATCTCCAGCATTTAAGCGTCATGGAGACGCAAGTGCAAGGTCTCGAAATAACCACAGTACCGCTTGCCCCTCTCCACACCACGCCCACCGCAGTCCCACTCACCCCTACTCGTAGATGTTGATGGTGATGGGCATGTTGAAGTCAATATCGCCGATGCAGATCTGGTACTAAAAATATCGTCAGTCGAAGTTGGGAATGGACGAAGTGGGATACGTACACCGTTGTTGTTGTTGCAGCAGATGACGGTCTGTTCGCAGGCGGACGAGTTGGAGCAGACGTGTCCTAAAACGCGTAAGTCTCTACAGTATCAGGAATCCTGTGGCATTACTTACCGCCCTTGCCGTCGCTGGTGCAGCAGTACGGGCTGCCAGCGGAGCAAAGGTTGGACTGCGAGACCGAGCCACCACCGGTGGAGCAATCACTGCCCCCCTGGGCCTCTTCATATGACGACTATGGTTAGAAATGTTCTGGCAAGTTCAAAGACGTCTAACTCACTTGGCTTACGGGAGGGGAAGCGGGGAAAGGGGATATCACCAGAGGTGGGGGCCCGACGCTCCATGGCTCGAGGCTCAACTTCAGGCCCCTGAGCAGGCTCAGCGACCGGGGACGTCATGGCTCCCTGGAGGAAAACCAGACCGTAGAGGAGAGTCGAGGCATGCATGATGCTGATTGGAAGCGAGTGAATTTGGGTAAAGGTAAAAGGGGTGACGTTGGTCTGAAGAAAAGAGCGAAAGCTTTTGAGTCCGTTGGATCAGAAACGAGAGAGGAGTGGTGGTGCTGAGATTCAAGAAGATGGAAATGCCACGGGCAAACGAGAAGTATTTGAAGACATTCAAGTTCCGTATTTGTCGCTTCGCCACAGCAAGTAGCACACAGACTGTGTGCCACAATGGGCAAGCCAGTTGCCTTGAAACACTAAACATCTACATCGAACAAGTATGACCAAACATTACACAACTCTGGATTATTTCTGGCCCCGAGTGATCCGAAGCAAAGCGAGGTGCGAGATCAGCTTGGACTTTGTTGTTGAAGAATGCAACTTCGTATAATCCAGTGTTGAGCTCAGAGCTCACAACGGAAGCTTTGGGCTCGGATCTCTTACTTGTGTTGCAGCCACAGTACCTGCATTTCGAGGCGGAAGCATAGGCGTTGAAGATTCCTCGCTGTCTCTCGGGCCGAAATACAGTTACAATCGTGCTTAACTTCAGGTGAAACGCCGTGCTCTCACGGAGACATTAGATTTGCAAAAGACATCAGCTCTCATGTTCGGAACATCGATGCCGGTCCTGAAAACATGCATCGTCATCTCGCCGTGATGCGGTTAAACTCTCACCGAAAAGTTGGAGGCATCTAGACCGTGCGTAGATCCTGTTTCTCACCAAGACCTCGATACGAGGACCGGATCGTGAGGTGGATGACCCAAAGAGGTGCTTTGCATGCCTTCAGAATGATGTCTGAGGTCGTCAATGAGTTCAATAACTTCAGTTGAGGCTGGATTGAGGCAAGAAATGTCCAAGTTTGGACTCGAACGTGCATACGAGATCGAAGTCGGTTTGTTTTTGCAACGTTTGTGTTGGAGCAGAGAGCGAGATCTTTGAAGATGACCAACGTAGTCTTGAATAAATCGAACCGACAAGGTCTCCTAGCATGTCGAGAAAGGATAAAAGGAGAGCTCTCTCCCACCTTGAATAACTCTCATCACTCACTCATCACAACAATCATCAGTCTACTCTCCAAACACTACACCCTCGCTTCTACAACCATCAAAATGCTCGTCACTTCCGTCGTCGGCCTTCTCATCACCGCTGTCGGTGCCATCGCTGCTCCCGGCGGTCACCACCCCCCTCCCCCTCCTCCTCCTCCTCCCCCTTCCGTGGGCCCAGTCAACCAGATCCAATCCATCTCTTGCAGCAGCGGTGCCGCCTACTGCTGCACCCCCGAGACCGACGGGTGGGGCAGCAACTACTTCCAGTGCTCCAACTACCTCAACTCCTGCAACAGCATTGTCGTCTGCTGCAACAGCCAGGCCAACCAGGTATGTGCTTATAGAGGATGATATGGGAGAAGTGGCTGTGCTAAAAATTCATATAGGGCTCCGCTTCTGTGCAGACTTGCTCTGCCTTTGGTAACACCAAGGTTATCTACGTCAACTAAGCCCGAAGCCAACACGCCAAGTCGATGGCAAGCCTGGCGGTTCCAGACCTCGCCGCAAGGTTCCCGAACGAGAACATTCATCGACTTTGACGATTCCTCACGATGGTGATACAGGGGGGTTGGGCTGATGTGGGGAATTTAGCGGATGAGAAAATGGGGAGACGGTGGTTCACTTCAGAATGGAATGTTTAACCTTGGTCAACTTACCCCTGATGTTGGTCATCCACAGTCCTTACCGAGGGATGGGGCCTGCACAGGTCATATTAAATAAAACAACGAGCTGGGTTGCTGAAATCGTGTTGTTCACCAATGCTCGTGAAACTGCTCGCCATGGTGACATCTTTGAGTTCGGAAGAGCCATGTTTTCTCGACAGTTGCGTGAAAGGTATTACGGACAGAAGTGAAATATTTTGGGGCCAAGTAACACAGCAACTGTGAGACTTGACATCTCATCGCTCTAGCGAACCATGGAGGATTCTTCCAGCAGATTGGAGGAGCAAAAGGGGACGAGTTCGGAGCTTAAATATGGCATAGAGTAGAGCAGTTCAGATTATGAAGTGATGCCCAGAGGCTGTTCTTTATTGTAATTCCAACCCAGCCCCTAATGGGATAACTAACCCAGAAGACCGTCCCTTATTCGATGGTCCCGCTATACCACAGACATGATATTCTCCACAGGCGCATTCGCGTTCGAAGAAATGACCAGCAGGCACATTACCGAATATTCGTTAACCTCAAAGGTACCGCGTACGATCAAATCTGCGACCTAAGAAACATGACTTGAAGTCCCCGACCTCTTATTCCATAATTAAGTCTCTCCAATACCACGATGCCGTCGTCTCAATTAGACTTCATCAACATCTTCCTCCCTTGTCGTCACCACAACCTCCTTCTGCCTCCATCTCTGGACCAGAGGCAACCCAACTCCCGTCCACAGCGTCAAAGCAACCACCCAAGCCAGCGCACTCCCCCAGCCGTGCGTCTTTTTAAACTCGGGAGCTTCGCCAGACGCCAGTTGGACCTGCTGGAACGGGATCACGACGGCCTGGCCGACAGACACCATGAAGCCCAAGATAAAGGCTCGCTTCTGCTGGTCGCCGCCGCAGGCCTCGTTGGCCCAGCCCGCGAGGAGGGGCGTGAAGCAGCCGTAGCAGCCGTGTATGATGAAGACTGCCATTCGGAGCTTGTGCGGAACATCCCATGCGGTGAGAATGGCGTAGTTGAATATCATGAGACTTCCAACAGCGCCACAGACAAGAGCACGGCCACCGAGTTTATCAGCGATGTAACCCGTAGAGATCATAAAGACAAAGTTGACTGCTCCGATACATGTTGGAATGTTGTTGATCTCGGGGACTGAGTACCAGCCAGTCGACTTGAGGTAGATGGCAAAGTACTGCATGACGTAGCTTTGAAAAGTTAGAACAAGAATAAAGACTGAAAGTGGTAGTATCTCACCTTCCGCAGGTCAAGGTCCAAAACGAGTATGCGGCTGTAAACGAATACACTTGCCAGGAACCAAAGACGCGACGAAGCACCGACCAGTCCATCTTTCCAGCTGGCTTGCGACCCTCTTCCTCAATACGCTGCTTGGAACGTTCCTTTTCCCATTCGTTGAGATAAAAGGCGGTGGTGGTATGGGGTGTGTCAGGGAAACAGAACTATTGTGGTCAGTTTGGATGAGCATATCTTTGCAGAAATGATGTACTCACGAATCCATAAACAGCAACTGGGAGAGCCAGGATAAAGTCAAAGATGAACAACCATCTCCATGCAGACATGCCACCTTTACCGTGCATGCCTGTGAAAAGGGCAGCCTGCAGATAGCCAGAGAACATTTGTCCAATGACTCCGCTCATGACAAACAGGCCGCTTCGACGAGACAGCTCGCTCTTTCGATACCACGAGCCGAGGCAGTACATGACACCTGGCCAAGCCGCCGACTCGAAAAGACCGATGAAGAAGCGCAGGACGTAGAACTGGTAGGCATGGTTGCACTTGAACAGGGCTAGCACAAAGACCGACCAGATGAGGAGACAGGAGGAAAGCCAGATTCGGGGTCGAAGAACAGTGATGATGAGGTTGGCAGCTGTGCCTCCAATGATGGTTCCTAGTAACGTCAGCAGAGCTTCTCATGGGAAAATTCTCACTCTTACCAATTGAAAAGTAGGTATTCATCCACGAAAGTTCATTTCCAGGACCAAAACCCAGCTCTTCCGACATTCCAGACACGTATGCGTTTGAAACATTGTTTCCATCAAGCTGGCAATATTAGCAAAGACCTTGCACCACTGAGCGTGAAACAAACCTGTTTGATGAAGAATAGCAAACACGCAAAACTCAGCAAGAACCAATCAAGCTTGAAGATGAGCTTCTTCTCCTCCTTGGACGTGCCGGGCTCGTGCCAGTGAAACCATTGATCCTTGCCCGCCGCAGGGACCGTCGTGTCATTTTTCAAGTCGACGGCTGCCGCAGATGTGATGGATGAGCGATTCTTCGCACTGGCATTTGCAGTGCTAATCGCATTGTCGCCTTCAACCGCGTGAGGAGCCATTATGACAAGCTATGTTGGAGTAAACTTGATAAGAGGCTGATTCCTGGACATCCCAGGAGCAAGAACTTATATCCAGATTTCTTCAGATGTATCGACGAGCCCACTAAATAAGAAGGCGTCTGCTCTAACCATTTCTAATTCGTCTGGCCGATTGCGTGCTTGCTCCCAGGTGGTTTGCTGCTCCGGCGCAAGTCCGGGCGTTTTTCCTAAAGAGGGAATTTCTCGACGTCGGGGTGATGCCGCGATCCATGCCACGGACTTGACCCCGGCTAGCGTAATCTGGATGCGACGGGGAATAACTCGGTGAGTCAGAAGGCAGCTGTCACTTTGTGTCTTGTTGGTTGAGCTGATAATGCAATATTATCGCGGAATACGGTGCTCGACGGCTGACAACAACACCACAAGAACAACCCTCACCACCTCCAGAGTAACTAATCCCCAACTCGTTTACACCACTCTTGTCGTTTTCAGCAGAAATGGTCGAGATCATTACAGTAAACGGAGCTGAGCTTGCTTATGAGCTCAGCGGTCCGGAAAATGCACAACTCATCATCACCCTCCACGGTGGAAGAGGCATGGGTAAGACTCCGGTACCTTTAAAAAAAAATAGAATTTCTCTAACCAACTCAGGGGATCACAGGTCTGATTACAAAGTTTACAGTCGCCTAAACGACCGTTTCCGTGTCCTTTCATTTGACTACAGGGGACACGGGCAGAGCTCTCGGACCAAACCTTATACCTTTAAGCAGCTGGTTGACGATATTGAAGGCGTGAGAAAACATTTCTTGGGGCCTGAGGAGAAGGTTATTATCTGTGGTGGTAGCTTTGGAGGGTTCCTCGCTCAGCAGTATGCCATTACGTATCCAACCCGACTTTCGCACTTGATTCTGCGAGGAACGGCACCATCTCACCATCGTACGTATCAAATACTCTGATTAATGCACAGAACTAATGATGCATCAGATGAGGAGGGCGCTATTAAAACTCTCGAGGACAGAATCAGCAAAGTTCCTAGTTTCTCAAAGGAGATGCTAAGGGACAAGGTCTTTGGGGCGTTTCAAAACGACGAAGAGTTCAGACTCGTTCACTTTGCCATGATGCCGCTATACCGAGAAGACTTTGATGCCAACGCAGGACTCAGGGGTTGTCTGGATACGGTCTATGTTGCGGAATCTCACAGTACGTCACGACTAGCGACAATAAGACGACTAGGCTGACACTTTCAGATGACCTCTACTCGCAGGAGGAAAAGTACTTTGACTACATTGAGAAACTTGACAGCATCACTGCAAAGACATTGGTCATCGTTGGTGACCAAGATTGGATCTGCCCGCCAGGTAATGTTATTGACCCTATATGCGAGCCTTGGCTAATTCGGCAAAGACAATTCAAAGATCATTTCGGAAAGAGTCAAGAATGCGGAATTATTCGTGGTTGCTGGTGCCAACCATAGTGTGCACGTTGAAAAGTCGGATCTGGTGCTTTCCAAGACAAGAGAGTTTTTAGATCAGTAGATAGTTAATCAGTATGCAACATATCCTGCATCAAGACATTCACTCGTATAAACCGCTGCAAGATAACTTCTATGTCAAGAACCTCGCCCATGCCTTCGCATTATCAAAATACCTACCCTTGATAAGGATTTACAATCGCGGGGAAAACTTGTTTCCTGACGTGATAAGATGTGATCGGCAAGCTCCTCGTCTTCTCCGCAGCACATGGTTTCAGCATGAACTGACAACCCGGAAAACCATTGCCCCAACCAAAACTCCAGCTCGATAACTGACTCGGGGAAACTCAACTCTCAGTCGGGCGGTGACATGATAGTCGGAATCGGCCCGCTTGCGACATGTCCAAGTTGAGTATAGCACCAGTGGCTAGAAATACCAAAAACAGGGGTCTTGTCGGAAACACCCCGACATGGGGATCCATCGCTAGTCGAGATTGCGCCATCGGAACTCGCTAGGTCTGTGAGTAGCCGATTCATCATTCGGCTAACTCGTCGCTTTGACTGATGGTTAAAAACCAGCATGCTATTGCGTTGAGCGAGGGTTGCGGCACGATCGAAAATGGCAGACATTCGCGTTTCAATCGACAGGGGAGGCACCTTTTGCGACGTGATCGCGACAGACGGCCAAGGGCATAGTCCTTTCATCTTTAAGCTTCTTTCAGAAGATCCTGCCAATTACCCAGATGCTCCAACTGAGTCTATTCGAAGGATTCTGGAGAGGTTTGAAGGGAGGACGATTCCAGTTGGTGAGAAGCTTGATGCGTCAAGGATAGGTTTGTTTTTCCATTCGAGCAGCAGTGTTCACTTCAACTCACATGAATAGCTTCATGTCGTATTGGAACTACCGTTGCTACAAATGCGCTTCTCACAGGAAACGGCGAAAAGTTTGCCTTTGCAACAACAAAGGGTAAGTCCTTCATCCCCGTCATCAATTGATATCTAACAAAGTGTAGGATTCAAGGATGTTTGCGTCATTGGAGATCAATCCAGGCCTGAGTTATTCAATCTCAGCATTCGAAAGGCTTCAGTCCTCCACTCAGACGTGATTGAAATCGATGAACGAATCACCATAGAGGACTACGATCTCAATCCGCACCCACTTAGCCAACAGGTCCTTGGACAAGATCCCAACCTTGTCAAAACCCCAAGCGGAGAGACTATCCGCGTCATTAAGAAACCCGACGAAGACGCCATTCGAAAACAGCTTTCAGATCTTCGAAACGATGGTTACACATCACTGGCAGTCTGTTTCATGCATGCCTACATCTTTCCTGACCACGAAAAGCTTGTAGCTCAAATCGCCAAGGATGTTGGTTTCGAATTTGTCACCATCTCGTCCCAAACAAGTCCATCCATCAACTTTCTCAACAGAAGCAACTCGACCTGCTCAGAAGCCTACCTCTACCCCATCATCCGACGATACGTCGACAACTTTGAATCTGGCTTCAAGGTGCCACCTGGGAGAGTGGAGTTTATGTGCTCTGATGGCGGACTCAAACAGGCCAACAAGTTTCGTGGCAATGAAGCCCTTTTGAGCGGACCGGCTGGTGGTGTTGTTGGCACAGCTCGATGCTTTGATGTCAGCGAAGGTAGTCCTGTCATTGGCTTTGATATGGGTGGCACAAGCACAGACGTCTCGAGGTACGATGGGAAATACGATTTTCTTCAACAAACATCCATCGCTGGCAGAACCATCAACCTATCTATGCTCAACATTGCAACCGTGGCTGCAGGAGGCGGCTCCATTCTCTTTGCAAGAAATGGACTCTTGGCTGTCGGACCAGAGTCAGCAGGTGCTCACCCAGGCCCTGCTTGCTATAGGAAAGGAGGTCCTCTGACAGTGACCGATGCGAACTTGTTTCTCGGAAGACTAGTCTTGTCCTCATTCCCAGCCATCTTTGGCGAGTCTGGGGACCAAGAACTGGACACTGAAGTCGTGAGACAAAAGTTTCAGGAGATTACCGCCGACTTCAACATTCAGACTTCACAAAATCTGACACCCGAAGAAGTGGCTTCCGGTTTTCTCAACATCGCCAATGAAACGATGAGCAGACCCATTCGAAACGCCACAGAGGCGAGAGGATACGCCCCGGAGAGCCACAACCTCGTCAGCTTTGGAGGTGCAGGTGGTCAACATGCATGCTCAATAGCCGATAAGCTAGGGATCAAGCGAGTTCTGATTCACAAGCTATCATCTCTCCTCTCTGCACATGGTATTGCACATGCCGAGCTACAGTACGAGACATACGAACCGTATGCGGCCAAGCTCAACGATGATGCCATGGACGGTGTCAATCAGCTTTTTGAAACTCTGAAGAAGAGGGTTGCTGCCGAACTCGTCTCTCAAAAGGCCTCAGAGGACAGTCTCGTGTTTGATGAGTCGCTCGTGTTAAAGTACTTTGGCACCGACACAAACCTCTCCGTGTCAAAGCCAAAAGATGGGGACTACGCCAATGCCTTCAAAGACATTCACATGCGAGAGTTTGCCTTTTCCATGAACCGACCAATCATCATTGAGTCGGTCAAGGTCCGAGGAATAGGCAGCACAGGAACTCAAGTTCGTGAGCCAACTGCCTATCAGGAGATCGCTTCTAGCAGACGAGAACTCTACTCGAGCCAGACGGCAACACAAAAGGTTTACCTGGATGGCTCTTGGCAGGATACAAGCGTCTTCAAGTTGGAAGACATTCCTGAAGGAAGTTTGATCGACGGCCCAGCCATAATTATTGATCAGACACAAACGATTCTCGTCGAGCCGCTTTTCCAGGCCCATGTTCTCTCAAACTATGTTATCCTGGACAAGACAGCCGCCGAAGATCCATCAAGCACCACGCCAGCGACGGCCGAGAACGCAACGACCGAGGCAGTCTCCACAAACCTCGACCCGATCCAACTCTCCGTTTTTGCACATCGCTTCATGGCCATCGCCGAGCAAATGGGCAACACCCTCCAACGAACTTCAATTTCAAGCAGCATCAAGGAGCGCCTCGATTTCTCTTGCGCCATCTTCTCGCCCCAGGGAAAACTTGTCGCCAACGCCCCTCACATTCCCATTCACTTGGGAAGCATGCAATTTGCAGTACAGGCACAACATCGCCATTGGCTAGGAAAGTTGAAGCCAGGTGATGTTTTGCTTACGAACCATCCCTCCTGGGGAGGTACCCATCTTCCTGATCTAACTGTCGTCACGCCTGTCTTTGTCGGCGGTGAGATTGCTTTCTATGTCGCATCCCGTGGTCATCACACAGATATCGGAGGCATGGGTATCACGAGCATGATGCCTGAATCCCGATCCCTCTGGGAGGAAGGAATCATTGTCCCCTCAATGAAGATTGTCAGTGGCGGTGAATTTCTCGAAGAAGACGTCAGAGCCACCTTCAACAAAGTAGGCACATATCCAGGATGCAGCGCCACACGCCGTATCCAAGACAACATCTCAGACCTCAAAGCCCAAACTTCAGCAAACCAGCGCGGCATCATCTTGCTTCAGAAGCTTTGCAATGAGTACACTCTTGAGGTGGTGCACAAGTACATGGAGGGAATCCAAGATAACGCCGAGTTTGCGGTTCGGCAGTTTTTCAAGGGGTTGGCTCAGAAACATCCCAAGCCTCTGACGGCAACGGACTTTTTGGATGATGGTACTGCCATGAAGGTCAAGATCACTATCGACAAAGAAACAGGTGGTGCGATCTACGACTTTGCTGGTTCTGGACCTCAGATGTGGGGAAATTACAACTGTCCCATCTCTATCACCCACTCAGCCATCATCTACACCATCAGATGCCTCGTCAACCTGGAGATCCCTCTCAACGAAGGTTGTTTAGCCCCTTGCGATATTCGCGTCCCTGTAGGCTCTGTCCTCAATCCTACTCCCGCCGTGGCCATTTGCGGCTCAACGTTAGCGAGCCAGCGTGTGATTGACCTGATCCTTCGTGCGTTTGGTCGATACGGCGCAAGCCAGGGCTGTGCCAATTCATTCGGCTGGGGCATGGGAGGAAAGAATCCGCAGACTGGCGAGATCGAACCTGGATGGAATTACGGTGAATCCATTGGTGGAGGAGTTGGCGCTGGTGAAGGTTACACCGGAGCGAATGGAGTACACGTAAGTTGTCTCATGTTAATTCTCATCAAGAAGCATTACTAACGCGGATTAGGTTCACTCCACAAACACTCGACAGACAGACAGCGAGGTAATAGAAAAGAGAACAGCAGTTCTCGTTCGCAAGTACAGCATCAGGGACGGAAGCGGAGGCTATGGTCGATGGCGCGGTGGCAACGGCATCACCCGCGAGATTGAGGCTCGTACCAACCTCAAGTTCAGTATCCTCAGTGACAGAAGAGTGTACCGTCCGTATGGCATGGCTGGAGGTCATGCAGGACAAAAGGGCGAGAACAACGTCTTCAAGTTCAGCGAGGGGGGTGAGCTGGAGAAGATGAATCTTGGAGGAAAGGCCATTGTTCATCTCAAGCCGGGTGAGTATGTGCAGATCAACACGCCGGGAGGAGGAGGATACGGGCGTCCAGATGGTGAGGAGGAGGAAGAAGGATTTGATGACTTTCATAGAGGATTCGTATAGATTGTCCCTAGACTCAATAATGCAACACAACCTTTCCCAAGTCCTGTTCCTCATCTCACCTCATCATCTACTCTCTAGCCCCTTGCAACTCGGAATACTACCTCGGGGCAGTTTTTCACCGACAGTAAAACACCTGCTCATCTCCTTTTCCTTGAAGCGAAACTCGGTCATCGATGTAGTTGTTCGGAGCTCCGCGAATGACCGGGCTCGGCCCCACCGGCCTCGGAGCTCCGACTCGGACGCCCGATGACCCCAGAAACGCGACCCCTGGAACTTGTCCAATGACGTTGTCTCAGATGGTAATGCGGGCCGCGGTTCAGACTTCGACCTATATAAAAACAAATGAGTCGGCCATTGGTTCACAGTTGTTCCCATCGTTTCTGAATCACATTACCAATCATTCGTTCTCACGTGGTACTATCAATATGAATCCGTCAGTTACACGTCATCTCGGACGATCCTTCTACCAACTTCAATCAACATCACGACACCAGCTAAGAACCATGGCATCAGCCACGAAAGACGGCTGGTCTGCCAACCAGTACGTCAAATTTCTCAACGAGCGAACGCAGCCCGCGGTTGATCTGCTCTCGCGAGTCCCCGCAACTTCACCCAAGCGAGTCGTTGATCTGGGCTGTGGTCCGGGCAACTCCACCGCTGTATTGGCGGAGCGCTACCCAAATGCGGATCTGTCGGGGATTGACTCCTCGCCCGACATGATTCGTAAGGCCAAGGAGACTCTGCCAAGCGTGGCTTTTGACGTTGCTGATCTGCAAACGTACAAGCCTGATGGACCTGTCGACGTGCTCTTCTCAAACGCTGTCCTTCAATGGATTCCAGCAGGCAGCCGAATCCAGGTGATTCGTCAACTCTTAGAGCATCTTGCACCCGGCGGCTCTTTGGCAGTCCAGGTGCCCTTCAACCTATCAGAGCCTTCGCACGTCGCCATGAAAGAAACGGCCTTTGCGCCCAACATGCCCTGGGCAGAAAAGCTCAAGGCTGCAAACCCCGTCCGAGAAGAATTCCCCGACCCATCTGAGCTCTACGACGGACTGAAGCATCTTTGTGCCGACCTGACAATCTGGAAGACGACATACTATCACACCATGGAGAACCACGAGGGCATTGTTGAATGGGTCAAGGGTACAGGCCTCCGCCCCTTCCTCGACCCTCTGACCGAACCAGAGCGCAAAGAGTACAGTGAGCAGTACTTGGCGAGGTTGAGAGACGTGTATCCTACGCAAAAGGACGGAAAGGTTGTTCTGCCGTATCCTCGACTGTTTTTGGTCGCTACCAAGGCATAGATGCAATTGTATTGTATTCATTAACGTTAGTAAAACGCCGACCCCGGTATCCTGATTGAACAATATTCTAGTGAAAACCCATGCTCCATATTCCGTTGGTAAAGAAAGTGTGCGTATTACACGCTCTCGGCGTAGTTGGCCTCCTTGGCGGGTGTCTTGTTCTTCTTCTCAAACAACTTTTGTCCCACCTTATCCGTGAGGGCATCCGCCTTTTCGCCAAGAAACGTCTTAAGGCAGCCATAAGTGCCCGAAATCAACCAAAGAATGACGCTCACAAGGTCAATCCAAACAGCGACCTTCATGGGACCAGTAGAGGCGCCCTTGTACTTGTCGTCGCTGTCGCGTCCGAGAAAAATGCCGGCAAAGATGCCGAAAACGATGAGCCAAAGGACAAAGAGAATGAGGTCCCAGGCGAAGGCGCGGTATGTCTTTAACATCTTGAGCTTGCTGCCGATGTAGGGAAGAGCGCCGAGAGGAGTGATCGCAACAAAAAGAATGGCCGTGGTAGCTGATAGACCAGCGACAGTGAGGGCAAAGTACCACTCAGGCGAGAAACCACCATTGTTATCCTTGTCATTATCGCTAACGCGATGTCCGTAAAATCCACAGGCAATGAGCGCAAAGACAAGCTGCAGGCCACGGCACACGAGGCGCGGCATAACCTCAAAAGTCTTGAGCCACGCCTTGCCCATGGTCTTGCCCGTCTCGGCGCCCTCGTTGAAGGCGTGTCGGCCGGCCTTGCGGCCAAGCTCGCCCTTGTCTGCGTTGCGGAACTCGTTGGCGGCGCCGGCGATGCCTTGGACGTTTTGACCGAGCTCGATGGCGGTCTGACCAGCCTTGATGGCGTTACTAAGCTTGCCCTTGCCCATTTTGTTGTAGTGAGTGAGATGGGTGAAGTGAAGAGAGAGTTGGTTGGTTGGTGGTTGAGTTGAACGAGTTGTGAACCAGTATTATGAAGAGAATCTGCCAGCAGTATGTGTGGAAAATGAAAGAAAAAAGGAAAAGTAAGAAATTGGAAATATCAGTGAAAGTGAAAAGCGAGAGATGGTTTGCAAAGTGAATAAGTGCAAGACAACCACCCTTATAAATACAAACCACAAAGAAACACGCGACAAAACAATCATCAACATCGAATCATCAAACAAGTCCACGCAAGACATTTTCTCAGGTTAAACCACCAACAGCCAATAGTGCCAAACGAGGCCGACGACAAAGAGGCCAGGCGTCTGAATGGCCGTCAATCAAGCCCCAATCGTTTGTGTTTTGCCGCCCTTGCAGCGCAACCTGGAGGCGCTTAGCGAAACGTGCGTTACGCGCTGCAGTTTTGTTATGAATGGGGGGATTTGATTGGTTAGCGGGTGCCGCGACAAAGCCAGGGTCTTGTTGATGTTATTCTTAGATTAGACGCTGCCTTTGTCGAATTCCATTTCTTATTTTCATGTCTTCTTTGTATTATTCTCCCCAGGGACTGACCGCTGAGGCCACTTCAGAGGCCCATGCCTGAAACAATTTTTTCCTCTTCCTTGGTGCTGATTCAAATGAAGTGATGTTGACCGATTTGCCTAAAAATAGGTAGAGAACCGATCGTTGAAGTGGGTCTGTCTCTTTTAGGTCAATCCCCCAGATTTGTGGAACAAGGCTTGGCAACCCGAGACGAGCGTACCCTAGAGCACATCAATCTGCGACTGTTTTAATCAAAAAGATAGGGTTTCTTGAGATTTTTTTTTTTAGCAGCGTACAAAAGTGTACGGCTCATTACCTTTGCTATCTAATTTTTTAATATATATATATATCTTGCCCATAGCCAAGCGAAGTTCTTAAGCAGAGATCGAGTTTTTGTTCGGCAACCATGCTGTGCAGTCGTGTCTGAAGTAACAACCACAGCCTATGTGCAACATCTTACTTCTCATCCTCATACGCGAGACAAACTCTCACTGGCATGGACTGCAACATTGTAAGGGCTTAGTTTGCTCGGAGCTGGATGCAGAAAAATGTTAAATTGCCCTGATTATGGGCATTCATTGCCAATTGAGAGACGAGCATCCCGGGCGGGGTTAAAATTGCAGTGAAAAACGTCGAGTTTAAAATTCTCCAATGACCACGGGGCGGAGGAATAAATATCCGGGCTCCGGAATGGAGTCCGGAGTTCAACATTTGTCCCCGGCTGACCCCAAAAACACGTGCACGAGACAGGCAACATGGCAGAACCAGACGAAGACACGCCTCCCTTGGAGGCCCCAGGCTCTGATGAGGGCCCGCCATCAAAAAGACAGAGAGGATTCATTGCAAGACAGGTGAGAAGCTACCAATTGTTACAGTCGGCGAGACTGACCTCTTTAGGCCTGCGAGTACTGTCGTCAGAAAAAAACAAGATGTGATGAAGATTTTCCCTGTGGCCTATGCAGGTCGCTTGGAATACCATGTCGCTTCGCCCAAAGGAAAGCTACGAGGTAATTACATGCAGGTAATCGCGCGTTTGATCGAGGCTGAGAGTTTGTTAGAAATGAAGCCTCCTTGGGCATGATTGTGAATATCCTGCGGCGCATCGAGGGAAAGATTGACGAGGATAGAGCCGTCGACAGAACTTCTCTGACTGATAACCGATTGAACGCCACACATTCGAGGACGATTCTCCCGAGGTCACCTGCAAACTCGAGCGAAATCTTAGGCGTACCATCCTTCCTGCAGCGACGCGAATCAGTTGTCGCAATACCTACCTCGGCCACAGACTCAAGCCCGCCAATATCATTCAGCGCTCACCAAGTCCTTTTCTGGCCCGCCATTCAATCAGCACTACCAGAATCCGTCAAACTCTTGTGCCAAGTCAATGGCTCTGACTATAGCACACGTTTGGAAGCATCCCGACCAAACCTGCAGCTCCCGACATCGCCAGACCTGCAATCTGATTGGCTGTCGGGCTTGAGTGTCGCGACTTTGAAGGAGCTGTCTGATGTCTACTTTTCAACATTCAACCTCGCCAACCCTATTCTGGATCAAAAGACCTACTTCCAGCGAACGTTGGGTGTCGCTATCGATGGCAACTTTGGCATCTGCATAGAAAGCTGTATAGTGCTGGTTGTGATGGCGCTGGGCGTAATCGGCCAAAAGGCGTTGGTGGAAGGAGGCTTCGCATCAGCCACGACTCCTGGAACCTCGGGGCTTGCTGGGGTCCAGGATGGAGACATGCCAGGCTTGGCATTTTTCAACGAGGCCAGAAAGCGACTGGGGTTTTTGATATGCGACCAAGGGCTTCAGGCCTGTCAATTCTACTTGCTATCTGGGTAAGTACTCGAGTTGGGTGTTCTCGATGAACAAGCTAATGGTTGGTAGTCTCTTCTATGCGGAAGCTCTCCGACCTATCGACTGGTGGTCTATGCTCAACAAGGCCAGTGCCTGCAGCGCATATTTCTGGAACAAGTGAGTTGTCTTGAACTACGAACGAACAGTTTCTAACAAATGGTAGCCTTTCCAGGGATCGTGACGAGTGGATGCTTGATATGCAGTCACGGCTTTTCTGGATCACAAGCATGTTTGAAGCCGTTCTTACCCAAGAGCTCAATCTTCCACCGAGCAACTCGCTGGAGCTTGAAGAGCACATTGCTCTGCCAAAGTTTATATCAGTCGAGGACATCCCCTCATTTGGGTCCTTCCGTTATCCGGGAGATGATCCATTCTTCCACTATCACTTTTTGTCACAGCTTGCCCATCGACTTATCCTAACGCGAGCCCGCAACAGTCTGTTTCATTCAAGTAAGTGAATGCCTGGTTTTTCTGGGCGATACTCACACCTGTAGGCCCAACCGCCGACTATCCTCCGGAACCCGTGGAAGATGAACTCATTCGACAGCTGGAGCAATGGCGTCAAAGGCTGCCCCCGATGCTACAGTTTGACCCTAAGGCCCCACTGAGCCGGGCAGATTCACCTTCAGATATTCTTGTGACTGCTTGGCTTCACTGTCGTTACTTTGTTGCAAGATATCACATCGGCCGGCCGTTGTTGTGAGTAACACCATTGGGGGCTCAGACCATCACTGACAGCATTCAGACATCGCGCTCTGCAGCGCCCATCCTCACCGACAGAAGGCCACCTTCGGAAATGCCGCGATACAATAGCCGCGGTATTGAATTGGGCCTCCATTCTCCAAGTGGCAAACTCGATGAAGAGTTGCAACCCTCTGCGATTCTTTGTCAGCGCCCAGTAAGACACCCTCCCTTGGCTATTGTTGCCGATTCTGACACATGCTAGACTCTTTGGCCAAATATGCGTCATCTTCGCCTTGAGCGTGTCTCCATATCAGCACATCCGAGATATTGTGTCGGACGTTGACTTGAAGTGGAAGTCATTTGCGCTCGGCTACCTGGAGGAGTCTGCTGCTCAGAGTCCTACTATTGAGCAGGACTATCAGATTGCCAAGATATTATGTGAAGATATATGTAAAAGTTAGATTCTTTAGGAGTAGAAAACACAAAGCTGGCATGAACTTCTGTAATTAATTTGGTTTGCAAAAATCCCACGAAACTTTGTTGCAATTAAAGCTAACGCGTTTTTAACTTGTGCAATCGAGCCGAGTCAGTTGCAATTGGGCTGAGTCAAAAAGTCCAAACCTGAGCGATATAAGACCTGCTGCAGTGAAACACTCGTTCGAATTTCACGTTAGAAACTCTTATACCTGAACATTTTCCTCCTCGGCGTATTCAAAAAATGACATCGCGAATTCCAGTTTTTCACAAAAGATGCCCCTGCTCCTATGGGAGGCCTCCTCAGCCAAGGCATCGTCGCCAATGGCTTTGTCTTCACCTCGGGCGCCATTGCACAAGATCCAACAACCGGTCAAGTTATTGATGGGGACATTGAAGAGCACACAGTACGTTAACTCTCTTGTATTGAACGCCCCTAACCGAGATTATTAGCACCGATGCATTGAGAACCTGGGCGATTTTGGAGGCGGTTGGTTCTAGTCTAAACGATGTCATTCAAGTAACGATTTACATGGCTAGCTCTGAAAAGTTTGCGCGGATGAATGAGGTTTATAAGATATATTGGGGAGATATCAAGCCTGCGAGGACGTGAGGAAATCCCCCACACGAGTATTAAGGATCCTTACTAACATGCATGCTTAGGACCGTGTTCATGTCTGAGCTACCGCCTAAGACTCTGCTTGAGATGAAGTGTGTTGGTTTGGTTACCGGACAAGAAGTTGCCAAGTCGAAGGTGTAGTGAGAGAATAGACTTCAAAAAGCAGGGCTTTGCCTTGTAGTTACTGTTGGGTTTGGGTCGCAGTCACCATTACTTTAAGATCAAAAGGAAGTACGCATATGATATATTCAAACAATTTTAAAGTATTCTGGCTAGAAACAGGCTTATACCGCGCTCCTCTGTAGATGGCTTGTTCTCGCTTGCTGCGGGTATCTTTGGATATTAAACGAAGGAGTGAGTGAACTGGGCTGATTAGTATCCACGAAAAAAGTACAAGGATAGAAGGGATAGCTCGTCTTACCTTGAGAAGCGAGAGACGAATGCCTCTATTTAGCTCATATGCACGCTCAAGCGTATCGGTGTTTCTCAGACACGTCCGGTGCCACAGCCCCAGACTCCTCAACCCTTCCAGTTCCGTAATGCGTCGTCTCCCCAGGTGCAATAGTCCCAGGTTCCCGATGAAGAGTCTCAGCTGGCCTATCACTCTCATGTACAGGTTGATTCTCCGATGCCGCAGCACCCTGCGCGGGAGTAACGCCCTTGCGCTTCCACTCGTGACGTGCAAGCATCTCGTCAGCTCCCCGCAAGTCTTTCTTGCCCTTCTCTGCAGTTGCTTCGTTTTCTGTGCGCGACTCGACTGTTGTCGGATGATCCGGGTTCTTCTCAAAGGCTTGGTCGGTGGCTTTTAGTACCTCGCCTCGTACGGCGTCACCAGCGCCCCGGATGCCCTTGAGGCCGGATTTGACGTCCTCGACAAGTTTGGACATGTTGGTGGTGGTAAATGTCTGTGAATGATATTTGTTTGGTGTGAAATTAAATGAAACTCTTGGCTTGTGCCTCGTGTTGGTTTTATATCCTTGGCTGTGGATCGGTCGGACGGGTGAGGCGGAATGACGTCGTCGAGTTGATGACGTCTTCTTTGCTGATATCGGAACTATGTGAAAGCAAGTTTTTAACTTTGGCATACTATCAGACTACAGAAAAAATGGCGAATGGAATGATAGACTCGACGCTCACCCTACTCTTTGAGCTGGATGAAATATGGCATTCAATGTCAAATTCACTCTCCCTCCATACTGCCAAGAACACGAGACTATCCCCACTGAGCTTAAACCTTAGCCGTGCGAGGAAAAGAGTATTTTATTGCTTGCTAGGTTCATACTGATGATTGTTGCCGTCACGTCATGAATGCATTTTCCCTTCCAAATCACTCAGCCAGTCGCAATCCGCGAACGGCAACCCGAGCCCTGACCGCCGAACCACCTCCGACGTCGAATTCCTGCTCGAGGCCCATTTCGGGAGCCTCGGCCACAGTTGCGTACGGAACATCATAGCTTCCAGCCTCATCCTTTCCATTCAACAGCGTCAGCTTGAAGCTTGGGGGGTTGGCAAGCGCATCAGCCGTGATGGGGAATCGGAAGGCTGAGTCAAAGGAGGGGTTGAAAATGTCCGTGCCTGGGCTGTAACTCTTTGCAGGAGTGACAAACTCCTTGTCGCCCCATGTAACCTTGACGCTGGGGTTGAGCTCGTCGCGCTGGCCAGTAAGTCCAGTGACGCCCGCAATGAGCACAGTGGCAAGTCCGCAAATTTGTCCATCCTCTTGGCTCTCGGCCGAAATGCTGTCGGTTTCACCAACAAAGTTGAAGAACTTGGCACGCAGCGTCAGCCTAGCCTCGGTAGGCTCACCCTTGTGGAGAAGACTGAGCTCCTGGGAGCCGCCGGCCAGAAGAAGCTGCCTGACAGTCGTGGTAGCGATGCCAATATCGTCGTCACCACCGAGATCGTCGTCATTAACGTCAACAGTAATGCGCTGGTCGTAATCCGTGACGAGAAAGTCGTGTGTCTCGTTCCACTCGGGATCGTGGCTGTTCTTTTGAGTAGCAGTGCGCCACTCCTCTTCCGCACCCACGGTTACATCGCAGTAGCAGTCGGGTACATCCTTGACGAGCTTCTGGAGGAGTCGCTTGGCCCCGCTCTTCTTTGGGCCTGTAATCCCGGTAGCGGTGCCAATTGTGAGGCGGATAACACCAAGGTGATGCTGGAAGGTCTTGAAGTAGTCGTTGGAAGAGTCGAGCTTGACGAGGAAGCGGTTGGGGAGAACCGCCATGGAAGAAATGATGTTGAGAATGACCTTGCGGACGGCCTTGTCGATGATGGAAAAGTCGGCGATGTTGGCGGCGTCAGTGAAGTCGAGTTCAAGAGTCGGCGGGTTGATGAATGCGACCTGGGCAGCCCCAATCTGGTGACCGATGGTATTAGTATAAGAGCATAGCACCTCGATCAAGCTGGAGCTCATACCAAAGGGATGACGTTGGTCAAGGGACAGAGCAGGACTGACAGTCTTCCCTTCAGCTTGACGTGCTCGATTCCCTACAAATTGATGCTCAGTTAGACGCCGAGAGCAACCGCGTTCATCAGTTGGTAGACACTCACAATCTTGGGCACCATGCCGCCTTCAAGCTCAAAATCGCACTTGCCGTCCCAGTTCAAGTCCATATCAAGCTTGATGCCTTGGCGCTCGGTCCTGTGAACGTCGACGTGAGAAAGATGGATGGGAGTGGGCCCAAAATCAAGCTTCACGAAGCGTAGTGAGGAGAGAGGACCAGGAAGCATGGCTTCGAGCATGGGCTCGACGATCTCCTTGATCATTTTGCCGCCGGCGACGTTGATGTTGGGCCATAGCTGGGCGATGATGTCGTTGAGGAAGCCTTGTCAATGTGAGCCAAATGATCCAGGAGCGTATGTGAAGAATTGGGCACTGGGAAATAGTAAACATGAAGACTCAGGGGGGACGTCTTACCTGCGGATTCCGTGCCTCCAGAGGCGGTCAAGGTGTCGACGAGAGTGGTCATGATGGGTGAGGGCACTGAGAGCGGATTGAGGGCGGTTCGTTCGATGGGTTTGGAAAAAGATGCAGAAGGAAGAAAGAAGAAAGAACAGGATCCCAAAAGAGAGCAGAATAAAAGCGACTGGATCAAGGTTTCGATATGAGGTCGGTGATGAGGAGTGACGATGGAGCTCGTGGTTTTGCGGGGTTCGGGCCATGTTTGGTGCCCGCTTGTCAGCTGATAAGTGTCGCGGCCTGAGGCACTGACGTCATTGTTTATTCACGGACCTGCCACGTCGCGCAGACGCGTTGACGTCACAATCGTCACTGAACATGACCTGAAACGTTCAAAATCAAGCATTGGCAGTTATATGACGGTTCAGAGAGTAACCTGCAAGCGCACAGATTATATCTTGCCAGTAGATCACATCTTACTTTCCAGGAACAATTTAACATGGCAGGTTGCGATAAGATAGCGACTAGAGTTTAAGCTAAGTCAGAAGCCAAGATCTAAAAATAGAACTCTCCAGAGAGACAAGGTCATGGATGGGAAGCGAGATAGTCGAGAAGAACAGACAAAAGCTTGATTCAACGTCTTTTAGGTTATTTTCATACCAACCATTGGCCCGCCTCTTTGTACTGGCACCTCCAATCATCAATCGGTGTAAATCACCAACATATCAACCTTAGAGGAGTCATGTTGGATAAAATTAATCACACAGATCCTATATCCATCTTGCTCTAATCACAGACCTATTCGATCTGCCACTCTACCGGGAAACCCATGTTAAACTTGCAAACCCTAGTGGGTGTAAAGAGTATGTTTGCAGCCACCCCTTCCGCTTCTCAGGATCCCGCCCTCACCAGATAGGACCGTTGCCAATATATTGCCCAACGAGGAATATATCTGACAAGACACCCATAGTACGAGTGCGCACCTTAGAGGGTATTCTCTTCACTGTTTGATTGGGCCGGGGATGTCGCCCTCTCCGAAGTATGCTCTGCCGTTTGCTCAGTGCTGCATGTTGGAAGAAGGCCATACTTCGCAAAGGCTGGCACGATCAGTGTGTAGGCTTCGTCTCGGTCATGAGCCAGGCGCTCCCTAACCACCACATCTGCGATCGTGTCAAAGACAGAGTTTTTGAAACAGCGTTTCCCAGGCCCCCTTTTGCCCTCTACCTCTTTGGTCTCTCCGAGGACTCGTTCAACTTTGGAGGCAATGGCAAGCATAAAGATAGAGAAGAGCTCCTGAGTCCATTGGAGGAGTAACCCCGAGTCACGTCGTGTTTCAATGACCAGATCTTTCGGTCTAGGATGATCTCTGTCAAGATTGAAAACGTCAGCGATTATTATTCGTCGGACAAGTGAGGTGAACTGTCACGGCAATACATACTCAGGAGGTGGCGTAAGCATTATTCCAAGATAACACTTTAACCCCTTAGAGCGAAAGAAAATATCTTTGGGGAGAACTTTTGTATCTAGCCATTCTTCAAGCATCTCCTGGTTCGATAAGCTGTCATCATTGTTGATATTGCCCACGATGCGTCCCGAACTAGAGGGATGATGGGGGGCTTGAGAATCGACGAAGAACAGGTCATCACCGATGGATAGCTTATCACCGCCCCGGGCCCGATGTAGATGCTCAAGTCTTCTTCCCAAGGCATGGGCAGACAGGGCCAGAAGAGCTGCAATTAGGCCATGATGTAATAGAGTCCATCGATATTCGGGGTGGCTGGTAGATCTTCGTAGGCGGAAAGAGGCTTTTCGCCGCACAGTTTGGTTAAAGTCTGGGCGTCGAAAGTTGCCGAAGTCGAACACCCAAGATATGTCATCAGTTACCAGCTGCTCCGAGGGCAGTCTCGACGCATCTCCCTTCCAGAGGAGCACCCCAGAAACATCAATTGCGTCCATGACGTGTCTGATGACGTTGAAAAACAAGCTCGAAAGGGTCGAAGCTTCTTTGTCGACGCTGCTCAGGGTAGACCCCATTGATATTTGGTCGTAGATTCTGAGCGGAGCAGTGTCCTCCTCATGGTCGGCTGAGTATTGAAAATTTAGAGACGTCTGCAGTGGAATATGAAACTGATGGGACTTGTAAATCGCTTCAGAGGGTAGTAGACATAGAAATATAAGTTCATACAGAGGCTTCCTCGTCATCTCGATATGATTTTGGGACCTTGATACATTGGGTATGGCACCCGGATCGTTGTGTAGGATCAACGCGAGATTGGCCAGTTCGTGACCCTCGATTAGTGGGTAACAATCTGGGTCAGAGGCAAGGCCTCTTCTCACCCAGGCCCGAATTGCAGTCATGATCAACGTGATGCCCAGCTGAGTGATAGTTGCCGACCAGTGAAGCGCTCGGAGACCGACGAATTGGACGATGTAGCCCACAAGTGCGAGAGAGGTGGAGATAGTGACCAGCAATCTCGGTCAGATTAGTATGAAATCATCTCAGACATGCCTTGGGAAAATGGGCGTATTTACTTATAGCTTTTGTTGTTGAGCCGCGAGAACTTGAGTGTCTCGCCTTTTCTTGTCATGAAAATTGTACAGGAAGGGAAGTGTTGGTCGCCCACACTGTGAGCTTTTTGGAGTGTGAGTATTCGACTGCCCTTGCCCGATGGCAACCATGTCATCTCGTCGGTGACACCCTCAATGACGTGCCCGCATCCTAGGATTGCAATTACCAAGCAAGTCGTGCCAGCACAGAAGCAAGGGTACCCATACTCCGCCACCTGAGCTCCAGCTTTTGTCCATTTCAAATGGTAAGTAATCATCCCAGAAAAGGCGATAGAAAATAGCTGGAAAACCGTTCCCAGCAGGGCCCATGCCCACAATTCCATCGTTGACGCTGCGGCGCCCTGAACGTTGAGCGTCAGATTCGGGGGGTAGTTTTGTTGTGACAGAATTCGATGCTCAGCCCACCAGTTTGAAGAATGTAAATTGGATCGATGACCATTGATGGCCGTCCGTAGGTTAGACACTACGCCATCTCTAGCGATGACAAAGGTTTCCATATCCTCCCCGTTTCCGATTAGTCGCACAATTTGTCGGCCACTGCACATCTCGCAGACGTTCTGTGAAGTTGAAGAGAGGAGCTCTTGTTCGGCAACTGAATCGCTTTCTCGTGCTCTTTGCAAACTGGTCAGAGCCCACGTATGATTAAAATTGAGAATCATACCTGCCAATGAGGGCTTTCAACCTCTTCTCCCCACCAACGCGAATGGCGCTGACGATGGTTGTAATGATACCAAGTGGGCCCATTGCGAGAAGGACATTATCCGCCCAGCCCATGCTCATGCTGAGGAATTGCTTGGTGACCTGCTCACCGAAGAGGGTGAGTAGTGGAGCAAGGTCGCTGAAGAGGTTGTTGGAGAAGTCATCGCCCTCAAACTCGTCGGAGGTGACTGGAGCCATTGTGGGGACTTGCGGGATGCCTGATGAGAAAAAGGGCTGAAAATTGCACCGCACAAGCACCCTTTTATGTAGGGCACTTCGAAATCAGGCTGTGGTGCTGAGAATCGTGGCGGAGCAGCTGAGACTGCCTGCAGCAAGAAAGGGCATCCTGGTCCAATAAGAAACATTTTGAGATAAAAGAGGCTTACACGGCATATCAGCCACAACAAAAATGCACCAGTAACAGTAGCCAGCTGGTGAAACCTAGGCCTATCAACAGAAACAGTAAGGCTTTGGCGCTTTGGCGTGCGGCGCAGCGAATGGCAAGAGTAGGTATAGTCGAATTAGTGTAAACAAGAATTTGGGGACAGGGGGGTTGAAAATCGCGATGGTGGAGAGAAGAGACATCAGCCCAATTTCGGACTTTGGGAGGTCTTTATGTGTTATAAAACCTATTTTCCCACTCGCTCAGAAACCCAAACAAAGCTGGCATAGTTATCTTAGGAGAAGCGATTTGAATTGTAGACTTGGTAAGACTGGACTCAATACAAGTACCCATCGCTCCATCGCCACATATAAATCTCTCATGGGTTTCAAACTACTCAGTAGGCACCAACAACCGGTCAACATCTGGACCCCATCCTTCCTCATCCGAGAAAACAATGGTGTTGGAACCCTGCTTCAGGTTGCAATGCAGAGAGCTGCTTCCAGCTTCGGTAGAGTGATGTCGGGTAGACAAGAAAGCCACCCGCTGCGACTGTCCATTGACAGTAACGTTGGCATGTCGTGAGGCGGTATCTCCATTGCGGAATTTGATGGTGATAGTATCGCGACCACCGGCACTCTTGACGTCATTGAAGGTGACAGTTCCGCCCTTGTCGCCTCCGATGTAACCGGCTGCCTTGCCTCCACTGCACTCACTGCAGGAGATGACGACGGCATCATTGCTGAGCGTAGCGCTCTCACCTTCAAGGCTGGTCTCACCAGATCGTTCGGACCAAGTGCCCTTGGAAACATCGGGAGCCCAGCTATCGCGCCACTCGAGGGTGACCTTGGTGCCAGAGACGGTGAGAGGCAGCCAGATGTAGGTGCTCGCAACGAGGTTGGAGGAGACCCAACGGTCACCGATGTAAATAGCGTTGTCGGTACCAAGAGGCTGGATGTAGCTGACTTGGCTTCTGAACGTGTTGGATCCGACAGGAGCAAACTCTGTCCATTCAGACCAGGGGCCAGAGAGAGACTGGGCGTAGCTGTAGACCTATGAAGAGCATGAGTGTTAGTTCAGGACGATACTTTAAATAGTGATTAAATCTTACGTTGTCGTTGGGGTTCCAGCCCGTCAAATGCGAGCCAAAGATGAAGTAGTATCCGTTCTTCTTGAGCATCGCTGGGGACTCGGCAAAATACTGCCACTCAAAGGTAATCTTGGTGACATTGAGGTAATCTTCCGAAAGGGCCATGATGCGGGTGCCGTACTCGCGCTGTCAACATTGTTAGTACGTGAACGTCCAAAAGTCCATAAAGCCACTCACATCTTCGGTCATCAGGTAGGCAGATCCATCATCATCCTTGAAGAGACCCATATCTCGGCTCTGGCGACCGAGTGGTCTGAAGCTGCCGCGATAGGAATACTTGCCGCAAACAGTATCACCCGTGGCGACTCCAACACGTGCATCCTTGTAGTCCTTGCTGTCAATGTGCAGGTACAGGACATACTTGCGGGTCTTGTCGTTGTAGATAACCTTGGGTCTCTCGACGATGCGTTCGGGGCCAAGGTCACCTGCTTCGGTAGTGCGCGAGAGGAGGGCACCTTCGTACTTCCATTCGACGAGATTCTTGGAGGAGTAGCAGTTGACATTCTGGAAGTAGGTTCCGTCTGTCTTGTCTTCGCCGATCATGTAGTAAGTTCCATCAACCTCACTGTTGAACCGTTAGCTCAGGGATCGTGCCGATTCTTTCAATTGGCATACATGAGGCCATGGCCATGAGCTTGGACATGTTCACCGGTATTGGTCTTCAATCATGTTAGCAAGGCTATCTTAGTTGTCGGTGAAGGTTTGTCTTACGGCAGTCCATGTCGCTCCTGGAATAATGTCAAGAGCCGCTTGGACTCGAAACGCAGAGAGTGTAGCCAGAAGAATTGTAGAGAACCGAGCCATTGTAATGACCTTGATGGGTTTCCTGATTTCTCAACTCATTCTTAAGTTCCACTGAAGGATCGCGTCATTACTTATACTACGCAATTACCTCTTGTTCCTTGCAAGGTGGGATTAAGGTGGTCCCACCTGAGAGAAATAAAGTCAGTCGTATTCAAGAGTAGCGCACCAATGAGCTCAACTCACGAGAAAGTCAATCATGTGCAAGCATGGATCTATCCCTCTGCCCGATTCTTGCGGGGAACGGACCTTCGGGGAAGCCGGAGCGACGACAGACTCCCCATTTAGGCATCTCGAAGATGATCATCGCCCTGCCAAGACATGGTCTTAAATCCCCGCATTTTTATCATCCAATGCCGACGGCTTTCTTACCAGAATAGTGCCCGAGCTCGGCTTTTGATGAGCGTGATTTGCGGGGTAGTGATGAATACGATCGTGGTCCGATACCTGGGCCGATGGCCGATGCACGAGTCTTTGATGCAACGCTACCATCCTGGGTCAAGTGAAGCTCTCCGGCCCGCTGCGGGCCGAGAAACGGACTGAATCGTCATGTGGATGCCGTCGACAACAACGCTGGCTAAGTGACCTTCATGCTAGTATTGTCCACGGCGTAATTTGCGGCCCGATGTATGGCACATGTTGAACGATCTACCATTTTATACCAAAACCGCAGTTGCCTTCTTGGTATACATCCCCTGGTAGAACAACGACCCTGCCGTCGTCTCCGAACCTGAAAAGTTAAAGTCCCATCCTGGTAGAATATCCACAATCCCCAGTCTCCGATACACCACATGCCCCTCGTAGCTTTCCTCCGTCGGCTCGATGATTAGTCCGCACACCTCATGCGGCTTTGCTGCTGGGTCTTTCAACCACTCTTCCTTGTCGTCTCCATCCAGATATGCCTTCAGTAGCATAATTTGTGCCATGTCTTGCTTGACAAGATCACCAGATGAACCTGAGAGCGAGTCAAGATAGAAGTCCACCTCGAGATCATCTGGTACCTCAGCCAGCAGTCCGATGGAAAAGATCCAACCCTCCACAATGAGCTTCCTCACTTTTCCATCATTGCCTGTTCCCTGTCGGATAACTTCAACAAGCCTAATATCATCAACAGAAGCCGTCCCATCTTGCCAGATCAATGGCTGATTCATACAACACCATGACCATGACGGGAACTCGGCTGATTTGATCGTTGGCCAAGACGGTTTTCCTCTCACTGGTACTCTCCTCCAAGTGAGACCGTGCCAGAGATCCGACTCCCAATGGCCATCAATGTATTTCTCATGGTTTCCAAGTAGTTGGTTGATTTTGGACGTGATGCCCGACAACGCGATGAGTTTGTCGCTCTGCTGGGTGAGACTTCGCTGCGAATACTCGCTTAAGATCTGATACCACTTGTCTCGAATCATTTCCACACTGTTCCAATCATTCGAATGTGCTGCGTATGTAGGAGACAGAGGCAAGAAATAGCTTCCAAGGGACTCCAGCGTGACTGGCGTTCGAGAAGCATGTTTTCCCCACCCAGCGCGACATCGAAACTTGACCTCATCACGGCCAATAAAGACCAGTCTTGAAGAGAGAAGTCTCTCCTGGAAGGTCCAACCACGGCTCGCCCACGGCGAAGAAGTCGCAGGTCCCGCTTCCTCGACGTTTTTGAATGAGGGAAAGTAAAATTGAAGATGGTTGAGAGGACCCTTCCACTTGATGATGTCTTCGGCCCATGGAGGTCTGTTTCTCAGGAACCCCTTCTCTGCTCCACTGGAATCAATCGGGACGATTGTGAATTGCGCCATTTCGTAGTACTGCATCATTCGAACGCTCTCGTAGATCCACTCTCCGGAGTCTTGCACGATGCAAAGTGCATCTATCCATATGTGCGAAGCCCCAAGGCGATGGGCAAGGGAAATGCTGTGTTTCAGTGTTTGTGGGAGAGTATCAGTTCTAAAGCCGCTCAATCTCTCTGGAAGATTTGCCAAGACAGTCCTAGCATCGAAAACGACCTTGGCCGGGCCCCAACAATAACTTAGGATGACATATGGAATATCCCGATTGTTGGTCTCCACTAGTCTTATAATCTTTTCGTCTGAGATGTTTAATAGTCTCAGAGGAGCAGCAATCGTGCCTGGGTATGAGCACTCCGAGTGATGGGTGTCATGGTTGCCCACACAGGTGTCCAGGTAGGTCTTTATTCTTTTAATGGACCCATCTGAAAGGGGATTCGGGTCTGGTAAGGGGGTGTAAAGGCCTGGAATATTGTGAGCTGGCTTTGGATACTTTTGGTTCGAGGAACTTACCATCTGCCCTATGCTTCGCAAACACATCTATAATGTGCACTTCCTTTGCCATGTGAAGCTCTCCAGTGATTCGATTAGGGAGCCAGTCATCCCGCGAATTTGCAAACTGAACAGTCGCCAGGTCGGGGTGAAACTCAGTAAGCTGGAGCGCAATGGGGCCGGCGTAATTATGCTCTGTCGGAAGCAATTGCAGCTGAGTTAAGATGACCTTTTTGAGAAAAAGACACATGTGGCATCCGTTGGCCTCGGATCTTCCCAGCTCCGGCAAGTCAGGTAATTCATCCTCCAACACGAAATCGAGAGGAATGATGCCATATTCATCAAGATCCAGGTCATCTCGTCCCTCATATTGTTGCGGTGGCGGTGCATCAATGATGGCGCTGTTGTCGAACGTGAGTCGCAAGCATCGCTGGCACAGCGTCTCGGCTCCCTTTGGCTCAACTATGGCTGGGGACATCGTCCAAGCTGAAAGCAAGAGAAAGAAAGGATGCAAACGAAGTGATGTTTAGTGAATGAGCTAGTCACATGGGAAATGAGGCTGTTGAGTTTGGTGTGCTGACATTGAGCTATTTTCCTGCATAGCACTGCCACTTAGGTGGGACTGTCGGCTCTGAGCAATCAAAACCCTGTCAGATGCAGCCTTGAGCAGGGCCTAGGGTAGGAGGCTGCGTTGTAAGCCTTGTTGGGTTTTCTCGTTGTGTTTATAATTGCAGTCGCCATTGGGGACACGTGCTTGATGCGAGAAGTTTACATACATAAAAGGGTTATGCGAAAGAGTAGGAGTGAACGTGTAAGCATCAACCAGCGAGGAAATGTGATGATTGGTGGCAAAATTGTACTCAAAGGAGTCTGAATATCAACGGGACATTGGAGCGAAAAAGGAGAGGATATCAGAACTGATTGACGATTTTGTTTTTCTTTGGCTCAGTTAACTCATCAAGGGCCGGGCTGCAACTATGATAAAGAACACATTAAATATTGATTGACGATTGGTACAGATACATGTTCTCCTACAATATTGAATTCGTTTCATTCTCATATTCTCAAGTCGAACTTGATGGTATTAACATACACAAGACATTTGCTTAGCATTGGGACAGGCATCACGAGGCAACAACAGCGATCTAAGAGGCACTTTTTATCCTAACTCAACCATCTCTAACATGCTACAAGGCTATAAAGCTACTTCCTACAAAATTGCAGTCACTTCGATCTCAATATCCGTCAGCCGTGGCAACTCCTTCACTGCCACACACGTTCGAACCTACCCTGTGGTCAGCAACATATTAGAGTGCACGATGGATGACATACCGGTTTTACATCCTGACTGAGGACCTGCAAGTATGCCTCATTCATGATGGCATAGTCAGACATGGATGTGAGGAAAATGTTGACCCGGATCTAATAATTGACTATGATGAGCTCTTGAATGACCAAGATCCTGGGCTTCACCTACCACTTTGTGAAGACTGCTTCCGGCAGCCTCCAGGATTCTGGAAATATTTTTGAAGATCTGAGTCTATCTTAAAGTCAGTGCGGGAAGCCCATAATGGGCGGACTAGCTCACTGTGCGATCGCCTACTGTTCCTTCAACTAGCTTCCCCGTCGCTGGGTCAACACCAGTAACACCGGACAGGAAGACCATGTTTCCAACCACCAGAGCTTGGGAGTAAAGCCCGTTGGCTGAAGCGCCCTCAACGCGGACTTGCATACTGTCGAGAAGAGACATTGTGGGAAGCTGGTGAGAAGAGCCGAAGTGGGTGGTATGTTGATGAGAGGCGGGTATGCCGAATGGCCAACAGCAATATGCGTATAAAGCTTTATTGATACATGAGGTCCTTCAAGAACAGGAAACCGGATCTGGCTCGGCAAACCGCCCATGTCGAACTTTCCTATCCTCGGCTGGACTTGTCGGGCCTTGCGATCCGCGAAAAAGGACGTGCCAAGAGATATGATGGCCAGGGCCGGAACGAGAACCAATATCTGTCGGTGTAGGCATGACAAGCTGATCGGGTTGTGGGTCCCGAAATCTCAATCGATGTAAGTTGGTTGGGTGATAGTACCCTGTGTGGCGACTATCATTTCCCAGGAGCACACCACAAGTTCCGTAACCCTTGCCGAATCATGTAAATCTTGTGCTCTTAAGATATTGCAATGGAGGAGTCAGTGATTTTGTGCAAGGAATACCGGGCCTGAATACGCGACTGCCTCTATGGCCTCCTTAAGCTTGGGATTATTTTGCTTTCATGGCAATGTTCACATTGAAAGTGAGATGTCATTCTACTATCGACACATTTTTGTAGACCTCTTCTTGGTAAAATCCTCAATGCACACATAGTTTATACTACAGATATTCTCGTATCCATTCAAACACCCTTCTACCTACACCCCATTTTGAGCAACCCTAGGCCTAATCTTCATCGGGACAGGAGGTGGATACTTGACTGCACTGACTCGAATACCGTCTCTCACATCCTGGGAAGGATTGACAAGGTCCATCTTGAACCTAAGTTAGTCTTGACCACTGAAAGTATCGTGTTTGGTTGGGTACTCACCTCGAAATTCATCAACAACAGTGGCAACGTCTTCTTCATTTCCAGCCACGCAATATGAACACCAGTGCATGTCCTCTTGCCAGCACTGAATGCGAGAAACGCCCGATCCATCTGTCGGCGTTGATCTTCTCCCGTTTCTAACCATCGTTCTGGCCTGAAGGTGGCCGAGTCCTTGCCATAGACATGCTGGTCCTGATGCACGGCATCGATCTGGCATCCAACGATGGTTCCTCCGGGAATGAACTCGCCAGCGATTGTGGCTCCAGCTGGTGGCACCACACGATCGAGTCCCCAAGACGCAATGGGAAGAAGTCTCATAGACTCTTTGAGCACTGCATCGAGGTATGGCATCCTGTTGACCTCTGCCCACTTCGGCATTCGAGACAGCATGCCGGCGTTGAGGTTCTCATCGATCTCTTGCACAAGCTTCTCTCGCACGTCAGGATGCTTGGAGAGAAAGTACAAAGTGTATGTAAGGGTACCAGCGGTAGTATCAGCGCCGGCTCCGATAGTTGACATGATGATCCCCAGGATCTCGTCGTGCTGGACCAGCTGGGGGTACTTGGCCTGGCCCTCGAGGAACTTGGCACAGAGGTCCTTGTAAGAAAGCTTGTTGGTGTCTCTCTTGCGAGCCTCGAGCATGCGGTTTGCAACTCTGGCTAGCGGACTGTCGCCTACTCCCTTCAGCATGGTAGCAAGTCGACTTTTGTTGAAGAGGTAGTCAGCACTTGGGACGGCACCCCAGTGACCCCAATGATCGAAGCGACCCATGACAGCTGCGAGTGTGCCGTCAATATCGTTACCACTAGCCAGCAGCTCAAGGGAATCGCTGAAAGCAATCCGGATCAACATGTCCATGGCAAAGAACTGCAGCCACTCGCCAATGTCGGTTTCCTGAAGTCGGGATAGAACCTTGATGAGGTCTTGTCCAGTCGCCTCGATTGAGTCTTCATAGTCGAGAAGAGAATTCGTGGTGAAGGCTCGGCCGACCGACTTACGCACCGCCGTGTGCTGCGCCTCCCCCATACCAATGATGCTTGGGACAGCGCGGTTCTTGCTGACGGGGATGGCGCCGTAGTAGGATGGTCCCTTGTGCCAGGTTGGGTTTGTGCTGTAGACAATGGGTACTGCGGCTGGGTCGCTGATGCTAACATGGTTGGGTCCGATGCGTACGAGCTTGCCGTGCTTTTGATGCAATGCCAGAAGCCTCTGAGTATGGCCTTTGGCATTTTGAGACCGAAATCTCCAAAAGTCCGTGAACTTGGCAGCGAAGGGACCGGGGATGCTCGACAGGCGAAGATATGTGGTGAAAAGGTGAACCAGTAAGAGGCAGCTCCCCAGCCCGAGGGCGAAGACGATCATGACGGGCATTTTTAGCTGGGACAACTCGCAGTTGGCTTCATGGGAATTGAACAGTTGAAACTGCCTAGATATTGATAACAGTCTTGACCATCTCGAGCCCTTTATCAAGACATGGCTAAGTCATTCAGCGCTTCGCCCAACGACACTCATCACACCCCCTGGCGTGGTCGGGCCTCTCGTCCCGACATCATGCTCCCTTCCCGCAGATGGCGACAGGGACTGGTGAGACCCATCGGGATGTGGAACCCGATGATAACGGCGTCAGACGCAGCCACGATAACGTCCAGTGACGCGCAGCGAATGCGGGGTAATCAATCAACCTTATCTCTACAACCCGTGTTAAATCCGGGCGTCATTCTGTTTTGGGAAATAGGGCCAAGAACAGCCGAGTATCGTGGTTCAACTGTCCCGAGGGACTTCTCCGCAGGGACTTCGTTTCTCCTCGTCATCTCCCATCCTAGGCCCATCTCGTCACTCCGCGCCAAGATGATCACATCAAGACATCGTTCATCGCTGGATGTACTCAAGAGGTCGGCCAAGGCCTGCAACAGATGTCGGAAGAGACGAACCAAGTGTATCGGGGATCCGCCGTATCCGTGCATCGCGTGCAGTGACTCAGGCCATGTCTGCGTTTACACAGAGTCTGAGAAGAGGGTGACAGTGACGGAGAGTTACTTGCTCGAACTTCAGGCTCAGGCGCGCGGGGGACCCACGAGCCGCGATGCCGTCACCGACATGACTGACGCGTCCAGTCAGGACATTGAGCTGGGGTTCACCGGCACTGATAACTGGGTCCTCGGGAGTTCTGGGCAATATCGTATGTTTTGCCGCGTCGCCAGCACGTGGAATATTTGGAGCAAGGCTGATATAGTGGCCAGACTTTATGGGTAATTCGTCGTCGACGTATATCGCCAACCGACTGAACCCAACGGCTGAGACGTTAGCATGGCACAAGTACCCTCATCATGAGGACACCGCCTGGCTCCGGCGCTCAAACAGTCCACAAACACCACCTCTGCCGCCATTCGAGATTGCAGAACGACTCTACCGCGCGCAGCATGCCTACATCGGCACGATATTTGCCTTCCTCAGCGATGCCGCCTTCCATGAGCGGCTTGAGCAGGTGTATACCCGAGGTCCGGACCACAACGATCGCGAGGAGCGCCTCGTCTACTGCCAAATCCTCCTCGTATTGGCATTTGGGCAGATGTACTCGATCAATCAGTGGGTTGACAAGCAAGGACCTCCCGGGTTTGACTACTTTAAGCATGCTCTGGACTTTCTACCGAATGTGTACGAAGAAGGCTCTATACTCTTTATCGAAGTGTTGAGTTACGTTGCCTACTTTATGCAGACCATCAATAGGCGAGATGCCGCTTACATCATGATTGGCATTGCACTGAGGATGGCCATCTCTCTTGGTCTACACCAGGAGGTCTCGGATCAGGATATTGATAGCGATACTAGAGAGCACAGGAGACGTGTCTGGTGGTCGACGTACAGTATGGAGAGGCTCCTCTGTGTCACCTCCGGTCATCCACTATCTATCCAAGACGAGGACATTGACCTTCTTCTCCCAAGCCCGATGGCCGGTGAGGATGAGTATACCTCGTCTATCCTCAAATCCTACACGGAGCTGTCTCAGATACAAGGCATCATCGGAGAGAAGATCTACCGCAAGAAGCAAAAGTCTGGCCTTGACTTGTCGACTTGCGTGCAGCATATCATGAAGAGGCTGTCGGCCTGGTTCGACCAGTTGCCCTCGGCCATGCGTTCGAATCCACCTGACTCGGGAGCACCTCCAAGCCGAGAGATTGTCTCAACATATCTCCACTATCACCACTGCATCAACATGACGGCCCGCCCTATTCTGTTGTATGCAGTTCAGAGGAAGTTGGCCCCCGGCACGCAGAACCCTAACATGGCTCGGTGGGAGGACGGCTTGCCACCAGACATTGTCCATGTTATTGACCGGGCGATCTCTGCTGCGAGATCTAGTGCATCAATACTCAGTGCTGCGGCCAAGTATAACCTTGTTGGTAAGTCATCGAGCGAAGCAAACTTTGTGGTGGAAGGGTGCGACTAACTGGCGATAGCAACATATGGCTTCATCGACGGCGAGCAGGCCTTCTCAGCCGCCTTGCTCCTTGTCATGGTGAACATTGCCTTTCCGTACAAGGAAGTAGACGCCTCTGCGATGGAAATGGCCCTAGACGTACTGCAAATGATGGCTGAGAAGGGAAATGCTTACATCAGAGCCTGTCACTCCCTACTGACCAAAATACGAAGCACTATTAAGCCCAAGGATCATTCGAGGGCGGGGAATGCGGATGAGGTCGGTGAGCAACAGGTTCCCGAGTCAGACGCCATTCTGCCAGGATTGCCTGAGGATGAGAATCAGCCGTTTAGCTTCGACTTTGAAGGGGATCCTGCGCTGTGGGCTGAAGTCCTCGAGTCAATTGACATTGATATGGATAGGCAATGGGTTGAGACGGCTTTACGTAGGGGGCAGCGGTTGGATACGTGAGATATAGTAGCCTACAGTAATGAATGAATTGACGACGGATTGGCCAGTGAGATAGCTACCCTACTAGTTGGAGTTGAAGCTCTTGTTTGTATTGCTTACTAGCGGACACGCTGTGGTACAAACCCCACTTGATACCGACTGGTGATGTGTCAGTTTTTGTGGGATAATGTTTTTATGACTGGTGTTGTTTTGGTTCCCAGCTTGGACGCCGCTACTATGTGCCCAACTTCTGTTCTTCTAGATATTCTTGAGAATTAGTGTTCCCAAGAATGGAGTGCAGTATAACTTAATAAAAGTAACAAAGTTTTAATCACATTCTAAGATCATAAGTAAGATAAAGATTCAGTCCATATAATAAAAGAACAAAAATTGACTTGAACTCCTTGTAACTGTAACTAGGCCTCCTTAGTTCCATAACCGCCACCACCCGGCGTCATGATAACAACCCTATCCCCAACCTTCATAGGCACACTGCCCTTTCCACCCATGTTGACCTTCCGGGCCTGGCCGGTATACTTATCCGTTGTAAGCCAAAGGTTCAAGCCAGCAGCACCCGCCTCTCCGCCCTCCATGCCGTAGGGCCGATGCACACGTCGCTCTGAGAGAATGGAGCACTGCACGGGAGCGAGGAACTCGATTTCTCGGGCAACACCGTCTCCTCCTCTGTTGCGTCCCTCTCCGCCTGTCGCTTCCCGGAGTTCGAAGCGGCGGAGGATACAAGGGTACCTCTTCTCCAGAATCTCGGGATCCGTGATGCGCGTGTTTGTCATGTGAACATGCACGCCACTCTCGCCGACCCAGTTGTCGCCGGCACCGGCACCACCAGCAATGGTCTCGTAGTATCCGAAGCCCGGGGCAAACTCACCAGTCTCCTCGTCGACCTTTCCGTCAATACCGAAGGTCAGGTTGTTGAGACAGCCCTGTGATGCGGCGCAAGCGTGCAGAGCCTTCAGTACGACGTCGGTGACACGTTGGCTGGTCGTTACGTTGCCACCCACGACGGCAGCGGCGCCAGTTGGGCTAAGGATGCTGGGCTTGGGGATTCTGATGTCCACGGGGCTTAGGCAACCTTGGTTCAAGGGGATGTCTGACTTGATCATACAACGCAGAGCGTAGATGATGGCCGAGTTGGTGATTGCCTCAGGCGCGTTGATGTTGCCTCGGACCTCAGGGCCAGTACCGGCAAAGTCAAAAACAGCCGAGCCCTCCTCATCGATGGTTATCTTGAGCTTGATAGGAGTGCCGTCGTCCATGAAGTCCAGCGCCTCCAGAGGCTTGCCTCCGTAGCGATGGTACATGTCTTTGAGAAGATTCCGCACGGCCAGTTCAGCAGTCCTCTGAATCTCAAACATGTACATCTGGACTGTCTCGAGGCCGTACTCGTCGATCAGGTTCTGGATCAGTGCGATGCCACGTGCATTGGCGGCGATCTGAGCCTTGAGGTCCGAGATATTGTCGCTGATGTTTCGGCTCCCCGAGCAGCCCTCATACTGAGAGGGGATATCCAGGAACAGCTCGCGCATGCGAGCCTCGTTGAAGACGCTGTCCGAGACAACCTTTTCGGACTCGATGGCAGCTCCCTCTTGCCACAGCTCCGTTGAGTTGGGAGGCATGGACCCGGGAAGAATTCCACCGACTAGACACTTGTTAGCAGTCATGAACCAAGTGAGACAAGAGGGGGCAACTTACTGTCAGCGTGATGACCACGGGAGGCGACATAAAAGATGATCTCATCAGTGCCCTTCTTGAACACAGGTGTTACGACCGTGACGTCGGGCAAATGAGTGCCTCCAGACACGGGGTGGTTCGAGACCAAGACGTCGCCGTCCTTGAGCTTTCCCAGCCACCGCTTATGTTGATAGCGAACAGCAAACTGCATAGACCCGAGATGGACGGGAACGTGGGGCGCATTGGCGACAAGGCCGCCGTCAGGGGAGAACAGGGCACAGGAAAAATCGAGTCTCTCCTTGATGTTGGTCGAAACGGCTGTCTTCTGGAGGGTCCTGCCCATCTGCTCCGCCACTGACATGAACCGATGGCCGAAGATGGACAATCGAACAGGGTCGACCTGTGAAGAGTATGTAGCCTCTCGTGGAGCTGACTCCAGGTCGATGAGAACACAAGTGTCGAGCACGTGGACAACAGCATTGGGGGATACAACGATGGTCTGTGTTTCATCGATGATGATGGCAGGTCCGTGGAGCTTGACGTTAGACCCAAGCTCTCGCAGCTGATGCACGGGGGTCTTGATAAAACCCGACTCTGAGTCGAAGTAGACATCGGTGAACTGTGAGGGAGTCGGGGCATCCTTGATCTTGGCTTCCTTCAGCTGCTTCAGGGGACTCTTCTCGGATGCCTTGTTGGCCGAGGCGATAGTCCGAACACGAACGTCATCAACAAGAATCGGCCGCTCGAAGGTAAAGTTGAACTCGCGTCGATGCCTCTCGACAAAAGCTGAGGCAAAATCGCCGTCGTCAGGCTTAAGGACCATCAGGCTCGTATCAGATCCTTCGTACCTCATGTTGAGGAAGACCTCATGCCGGAGCTGGCCCTTGGTGAAGCCCTGGGTGCTCAGCTGCTCAGTGGAGCGGTCCATCAGGCCCTGCAGTTTAAGGTCGATGATCTTCTCAGAGCCGATGTACTGGGCTGCCATTGGCTCCTGCGCCTCTTGAACGATCTCGGCAAGTGCAAGTCCGTACGCCGATAGGATGGAAGAGTACTTGTGGATAATGATACGAGAGATACCGAGAGAGGCTGCCACATTACAGGCATGCTGGCCACCAGCGCCACCGAAGCAGGCTAAGTGATGCGAGGATGTCTCAAAGCCGCGTGCCTCGGTGAGGTTGCGGATGGGTCGGGTCATGGACTCGTCTGCAACCTTGAGGAAGCCCAAAGCTACCTGCTCCGGGGTTAGACGGGCCTGGCCATGCTCGGTATTGATCTTGTCCGTCAGCTCCCTGAAGAGCTTCTTGGTGATGTCGCGGTCGAGGGGCTGATCCTCATTGGGGCCGAAGATCTTGGGGAAGTACTCGGGAAGGAGGCGACCAAGGAACAGGTTCGCATCAGTGACAGTCAGAGGACCACCCTTGCGGTAGCAAGCTGGGCCGGGATGGGCAGAGGCTGACTCGGGACCAACCATAAAGAGGCCGTTTCTCCAAGATAGGATGGATCCACCACCAGCAGCGACCGTGTTGATGTCAAGTTGCGGGGCCTGGATGCTAACACCCGAAATGCTAGAGGAAAATGTGTGGTCGAGATGGCCGTCAAAGCGCGACACGTCTGTTGAGGTACCACCCATGTCGAAGCCAATGATGGGAACCCGAGCCTCTTCATCCCAGCTCGTCGAGGCATAGCCGACAACGCCGGCAGCAGGACCCGAGAGAATGGCCTTCAGACCGCTGAACTTGCGAAAGTCAACTAGACCGCCGTCAGACTGCATGAACTCGACACGACAGCCATGTGATCCGGCCAGACCCTCCTCAAAGTTGGCGGAGATTGAGTCGATGTAGGACTTGATGACAGGGGTGAGGTAGGCATCTGCCGTGGCTGACATGCCTCGGGGGACAACCTTGATCATTGGCTGGAGTTGTGATGAGAGCGCCACCGAGAAGCCCATCTTACTGGCTATCTCGCCAACTTTGAGCTCATGGTCGGGACAGGCGAAAGAATTGATGAGGGCGACAGCAATGGAGCCATAGCCTTGGTCCTTGAGGACCTGCAGATTGGCCGCTAGACTCTCTGTGTCGAGCTCTTGGGCGACATGGTATTTCTCGCCGGTGATACCGTCGATCTCGCGCAGGGTTGACAGAGCCTCTTGGGACGACCGGGGATGAGATGGGATGATGCGCTCATCCACTTCGACCACGGTCTCGAACAAGACATCGGGTCGCCTGGCAGAGAGGTCAAAGATATCCGGGCGGGCCTGGTTGCCAATGCGCAGGAGGTCCTTGAACCCCCTAGTCGTCAAGAGAGCCGACTTCATGCCCTTGCGCTCAAGCAGCGCGTTGGTGGCAACAGTAGTGCCCATGCGCAGACACTCGATATTGTCTAGCCGCAGCGGCTGACCCCGGGGAAGAGATGCACCTGTGGCAGCCTCAAGCACCCTACGGATACCCTCGGTTGGGGCATCCTTGTAGTTGGCAGGGTCGACTGATAGGAGCTTGAGGACAATGTCGGATCTACCGGGGACGATGGCGTGGACATCTGTAAAGGTGCCACCACGATCGATTGAGATGGTGATTTTTCTGTCTGAGATTGACCCCATGATGTAGTTCTGTGAAAGAGCTTGTGTGTTGATGTTGTATGATGCTCTTCTGAAGCCAGATCCTTTGACAAGAAACACGTTTCTAAATACCCTTCTGAGCCGTCTTTTGCGGAGGCTCAAGTCCGTGGTTGATGGGCGTTATTGCGGATTTCCAACGCCCTCTGAGATCTAGAGTTCGAATGTATCATGCTCTAGGTTCCCCGGAGTTACGGATCTCGCTGCGCGTTGTGTCATGTTCATCTGCCGAGGCTGCACCTTGTCGATAGGAGTGAGATCCCGGGGGCGCTATGAGATATCGGGACCCACTATCCGATGGGGACGACCGTCGGGGGCCCGCCACCACCCGGAACGACTCCAAGTCAGCGCCAAGCCCTCGTAGGAGCTAGGGATTGATCTGGCTATCTAATCTTATCCCCGCAGTGCAAGGCAAACCGTGTAATTGGGAGAGCCAGTCTTATCTCTCGACCCCAGACTTCCCAGTCCCGGGTAGCTATCTCTCGTGGCTGGTATCTACGCGAGCTTGGCAATGCGCCTTGTGACAGCTGGGTAACATAGCCGACTGGTAGAATGGCTGTTGTGTAGTTAAAAGCATCAATCCCAACCAGGGACAAGGAATTACTGTTCCTCTTTGGCTTTGCTGATTGCAACCCCCATCCCCCAAGTTTCCATCACCAACTCAACATTCTGCTTGGATTAAGACGACCGACAAGATGCAGTTCAAAGATGAACTCCAGACTCCAACTTCTGACATCGCCAATGGGTCTATCATCGGAAGAGATGTTGACTGGACGCCCGAGGAAGAGGCTGCTGTTAGGCGCAAGTTTGACTTTACCATCACGCCCTTGGTGACTCTGCTGTATATGCTCTGTGCTATTGACAGGTAGTGTAATCGCTGTCTCACAGGGCGACATGACATCGCTAACAGTACCCAGGGCCAATGTAGGGTTGGTTATCCTCAGCTATTTCCACACGAATGGCAGAGAACTGACACGCACACAAGCAATGCTCGCATTGAGGGCATGAGTGATGAACTGAACCTCGTCGGCTACCGATACAACATTCTCTTGACTGTCTTCTTCATCTTCTACTTGGCGTACGTCACTTGATTCTCGCCATTTCCAGTGGCCTGAACATACTAACACCGGCTAGCGTGGAGATACCCAGCAACGTCATCCTCAAGAACGTTGGACCTCGATTGTATTGTAAGCAAACCCCAATCGACTCATCAAGAGTTGAAGATCTAATATAGAGGCAGTGCCCGCACTTGTCTTTTGCTTCGGATTGGTGTCCCTTTGCACCGCCTTTGTCGAGTCCTACGCTTCGATGCTTGTCGTCAGAGCCATCCTGGGTATCTTTGAAGGTGGTGCTATGCCTGGAACGGCCTTTTTCCTGAGCTGCTTCTACAAGAAGACGGAGCTTTTCTTCCGTATGAGTATCTTCATCGCGTCTAGTTCTCTGGCTAGTTCCTTCGGCGGCCTCCTGGCTGCGGGACTCTCGTAGGTCGTCCTTTTTTTTTCACCTTATGTGGAGCTAACCGTTGGAAAGCAAGATTCCGCCCTGGGGAGCTAGTGCCATGCTCATCCACCGATGGAGGAACATCTTCTTCTTTGAAGGCTTGGTTAGTTGCTGTCACGGAAGTTGAGCCACTCTCTGACCGTGTGAACCACTAGATCACCGTCCTCGTTGCCATGGCCGCTCCATTTTTGATGCCCCAGAGCCCCGGAACATACAAGTTCTTGACTGACCGACAACGTTACATCGCCGCTGAGCGTCTACTCCGCGAAAACGCACACGTATGTACGCATGAAAGCTAGTAAAGACCGGATCTGACTTTCCATAGGTCCGTGAAGAAAAGGTCACCTGGAAGCACGTCCGGCGAGCCATCTTTAACATCCACACCAACGTCTGTGCTTGGTGCTTCTTCTGCACCAACAGTGCTGTCCAGGGTTTTGGTGCCTTCATCCCAACAATCCTCCGCGAGTTTGGCTGGACCTCGACCGAGGCACAGCTCAAGTCGGTCCCTCCGTATCTGGTGGCATGCGTCGTTACCATTGCCCTCGGCTACCTGAGCGACCGAACCAACAAGCGAGGTATTTTCATGGCTGGCATTTTGCCCTGCTCTATCATTGGTTTCTCTATCCTGAGGTTCTCGACCAACACGGACGCCAAGTATGCCGCTGTCTTTCTCAACGCCATCGCGTGCTTCGGAGCTAGCAGTGGATTCCTCAGCTGGGGCATCAACAATGCCGGCAGTCCTGCCGTGGCGGCTGTTGCCGGTGGCTACATGGTCATGGTGGGAAGTATGGGAGGTGTCTTGTCTACGTAAGTGAATCCCGCATCTCTAAATGTTCCTGAACTGACCCGCCCTGTCAAGTTGGACTTATCTGTCGCGTGACTCCCCGCTCTTCCACACCGGTCACACCATCAACCTGTCTCTTCAGTGCTTCTGCTTCTGTCTGGCTTGCTTCGGCCTTGCCCACTGCATCTACGACAACAAGCTTCGTGCTAGGGGTGGAAGGGGCGACAGGATCCAGGGGCTCACCGAGGAGGAGAAGCTGGCACTTGGTCACCGAAACCCGGAGTTCCGCTATATGGAGTGAGGGGATGGCTTGCTCTGATTCGTCATGTGCAATCGAGAGGGGAGGACCTTTGGTATCATATCAGCCTGTATAATCGGGCCTGAGACCGCATGTGATGCCTATCAGCCGCCGTTGAACTCTCTAGGCATATTCTATTTTTAACCAAACTTTATATAAAACACTCTACGTGCGTTTTTCATCCTTCTCTAGCCATCGTGACTCAAAAAGGTACATATCGCAATCGGTCTTCTGGCTCAGCTATCCCATCAAAGGCTGTGCTTCAACCATGATGAAGAACACATTATCACATATTGTACTTGCGGCCCTGACATTTTTGGTCTTCTCAAGCCATCCGGTTAGGATCCAGCATTGTTTCGCAGATGGTATCATTCCATTCTAACCCATACCAACAACTAGACACAGAATCAAGCGACCCCAACCATACGATGCATGTACTTCAACTTGGCGAGCGAGCCATATCTCCTTGTTGGACGGAAGTTGTACCCGAGGCCATACCGGTTCCTTGAAACAGCCTGGCTATTCGATTTGCCTCGGTTCTTCAACTCTTGATCGGCCATAGCAATTGGCTTTGTTGATCGGGTCGTTCTTGGCTATCGGTAAGAGTCCCTCTCGGGTCCCACAACCCGGACCAGTGACAGTACGCCACTCTCCGAAAAGGGCTCATCCTGTTCCGAATTCCGAGGCGATGACGGCAAACTTTGTGCAGGTATGGTACATAGTGTGTTTGGGGCCGCGCTGGGGAATTCCCGGCATTCTCTGATCAAGACATGCGGCTTCGGCTGTCCGTCTCTTGCAATGCCGTCGTCCGACTTCAGGATCTACATATTCGTACGTCAGTGAGGCTCTTCTGGCAACAGTCTTGGTCAGAAAGTTCAAGGACTGGCACAATCCAACACCCGCGGCATCAACTCGCTCTTTGACCTATTCGATCTTCTCCTTGTTCTCAAAGCCCGACAGGGGCACTTTGTCTCTAAAATGAATTCTCACAGTCTTGACTATGCTCTGCGAGAGTCGGCCAATTCGATACGCTTGATGTACAATGCGGCTCTCCTCGAACCACTTTCCACCATTTTTTCTATCCTCATTCTCATCGGGACTGCGAGCTACCTCACAGGATGGAAGCCTTGGGTTGGGAGCAAAAAACACGGTGCCGACACTCTCCCTACCGTGGTGGAAGGAAATGCGAGAGATATCATCGCCACCATGGAAAAGACAGGCAAGAACTGCGTCGTCTTTTATGGGTCACAGTCCGGCAATGCTGAAGACTACGCCACTCGACTGTCCCAGGAAGGGAAGAGCTGCTACGGATTAGAGACGATGGTTGCCGACCTCGAGGACTACGACTACGACAATCTGGACATGTTCCCTAGGGACAGCGTGGCCATCTTTGTCCTCGCAACATACGGGGAGGGCGAGCCCACGGACAACGCCGTCGACTTCTATAGATCCATCACCGAAGCTACCTTCTCCGACGATCGAAGCCCACCACTGGGTAACCTCCAGTACATGATATTTGGCCTTGGCAACAGCACGTACGAGCACTATAACCTCATGGGCCGATGCGTCAACAAGATGCTCCAGAGTCTGGGGGCTCAGAGAATCGGCCCAACCGGAGAGGGCGATGATGGTATGGGAACTCTGGAGGAGGCCTTTCTCACATGGAAGGACAGCATGTGGGCTGCCCTTGCTAGCCACATGGGTCTGAAAAAGCGGGAAGCGGTCTATGAGCCCATATTTGAGCTTTTCAAGGAGCCTGCACTAAGCAGTGCCTCCCCTGGAGTCTACACGGGCGAGCCCAACGACGTACATCTCAAGGGAGACATCAAAGGGCCTTTCAACGCTCAGAACCCATACATTGCGTCCGCTACCGAGTCAAGGGAGCTCCTTTCCGGCGGAAGTAGAAACTGTCTGCATCTAGAAATCGACGTCAGGGGCTCTGGTCTCACGTACCAGACCGGTGACCATATCGCCGTCTGGCCGATGAACGCCACCGACGAAGTTGACGAATTCCTACGTGTCATTGGTCTTGAGGGACAGAAAGACACTGTTGTTCGCATTGAACCAATCGACTCAACAACCAAAGTTCCTTTCCCCACGCCCACCACCTTCCACGCCATCGCTCGTTACAAGCTTGAGATTTGTGCGCCAGTGTCTCGCCAGTTCCTCGGCAGGCTAGTTGCTTTTGCGCCAAGCAAAGAAGCAGAGACAGAGCTATCCAAGCTCGTCCAAGACAGGACCTACTTCTATGAGAAAGTCGGCAAGATGCAATACAATCTATCCAGGACGCTCAACATGGCCAGCGGGGGTGAAAAGTGGGATAAGATACCATTCTCACTCTTGATCGAGGGCCTCCCAAAACTCCAACCTCGCTACTACTCCATCTCCTCGTCTTCTCTAGTGCAGCCAGACACTATCTCAATTACGGCAGTGGTGGAGAACCAAGTTATCCCCGGCCGAGAAGATCCCTTTAAAGGAGTCGCAACCAACTACCTCCTTGCACTAAAGAATCATCAGGCTGGAGACGCAAAGGCAGGTTCGCGATACGACCTAATGGGTCCAAAGAGAAGATACGGCGGTGTGTGCTTGCCTATTCACCTTCGCTCATCCAACTTTAGGTTGCCTTGTGATCCCTCAAAGCCAGTCATCTTGATTGGTCCAGGCACAGGCATCGCCCCGATGCGTGGGTTCGTCCATGACCGGGCCAGATTGGCAGGACAAGGCCAAGCGGTTGGGCGTACGCTTCTTTTCTTTGGGTGCAGGCGGCGGGGCGAGGACTACCTCTACGAGTCCGAGTGGGAGGTACGCGGAACTCCGATTATCCTGTTAAGCAGATGCTAACAATGTTGTAGGAGTTTATGAAGATACCGGAATTCGACTTTGAGGTTGTCACGGCATTCTCTCGAGAAGGGCCTGGAAAGATTTATGTCCAGCATCGGCTGAAGGAGAGGGCATCCGAGGTCAACAAGCTACTGGAGAAGGACGCAAGCGTCTATGTGTGTGGCGACGCCGGAAACATGGCCATTGCAGTGAAGCAAACCCTGGTCCAGGTCGTTTCTGAGGAACGGCAAGTCTCCAAGGCCACGGCTGAGAACATTTTCAAGGCTATGAAGGCTTCCAGAAGATATCAGGTGCGTATTCGTGTCCTCTGCGTTCTCAAACATCCCAGACTGATCGATATTACAGGAAGATGTATGGTAAGTAGTTAAAGGTGACTTATCAGGTAGCTTCTGAGAGTAGTCCTTTGACCCAGGGCACCGTAAGTTGTATCTTAAACGACTTCATAGATGGTAGTAGTGTTTTTGCACAGGAGAAATAGTAGGAGATTAACTACAATGCGAGAAGCGAACCCTATGTACAATATGACAGTCCTAAAAGGACAGTACTTGATGCCCCAGTAGATCCTTGACATATTAACGTACCTTTGGTACACAAGGTATCAGTTGAAGACTCTCTTGAGCGCACTGGTGATTCGATTCGAGCTTTCCTTAGGTCTTGTCTCCAAGTCAATTGACTCCAGGACAAGAATGTAGTCAAGGCCAGTCGTGAGATCCACTTGATACGGAGATATAATCCACGCATCCTTTCTCTTCCAAATCCCGTGCCCAGAGTAAATGACGATGAAGATGGGAAAGCCGATATAGGACGTAAGAAAGGCCAGAAGTCCGAATAGGGAGCTCGCCATGACAGCGTAAATGGGAAGACCCCAGGACGTATAATGCTTGAAGATGAAGGGCGCATTACCTGCCATGGCGAGTGAATACAAGGATCGACTTGACATGTAAAGATACGAGTTCCCAGAAGACCACGCTGAGATGATGATTCCAGCGTTGATAATGCTGTCGAGTGTATGGATTCCTGCGTCTTTGATGGCAATGACCCAAGGCGAGGCAGCGGCGCCGTTACCACCACTAAGAGGACCTGGTGCATCGCTGCGACAGATGATTCCAATTGCCAAAGCGCCCAGAATGTAGAAGGTGATCAGCCGATACACAAAGGCCTTGGCTGCCCGTGGGAGGTTCTTGCGAGGTGCGCGCATTTCCCCTCCCGTGATGACGATCAGCTCAGGGCCAAAGTTGAAGGAAAAGACGGAAAATGCCAAAGCGTAGATAAAGGCGCAGAATCTTCCGGCAGCCCCGCCGACGAGATACATAGCACCCGGGTCTTTCCAGTATGTAAAGCCAAGTCGGCCATCTTTTGCCGGGGCTCCGCCGAAGCAGAGAACGACGAAGAGGATCTGCAAGCCGAGGATCATAAAGAACTTTGTTGATGCGAACCAGAACTTTGTTTCTGCGTATGCACCGATAGGAGCAAAACTGAGCGCGACGACGAGCATGACGGTGATCCAGATCCCGATGTGGACCTAGTTCGGCCAGTAGTCGATGACAAGAGCTGCGGCCGTGATCTCGTAGGCGACGAGGATGCCGAAAGAGTAGAGCTGATCTCGGTCGTTGCCGTCATGATGCAGTAGATGAAGAAGAAGATGGTGACGTAGGCTAGGAGAAGGTTGAGAGGACCCGAGATGGCGAGGGCTTGGTCAATACCAACAAACTCAATTCTATCAAGACCATAATTCCATCGGCGTATTCAATGAATTGCATAGTAGACATGGTAAAGTTCTAGTATTGTCTGAACTAGCGCTCGCGGCTAGAAAATAGGCACCTTGAAGGCATCAAACTCATACATCCAAGTATCCAGTGACTTCTAGTCATAGGTACACTACAACGGCTGCAAAGGCTAACGGCAAACCTATTCAATCCCACCCGTGCTGTTCAGCCTCTGAGGTGCTTCTCCATTCTCGACCCAGTCAATCACCGTCTGTAGAGTATCCTGTGGCCATATGCCTCCTGGCTGGTTAGGATTCGGGCTGCAATGAGTTCCACCGGGGATCAAGAACAAGCGATAGAAGTTATCAATCTTGGATACGCTCTCATTTGTACCCGAGTGATGGGTACATGAGCTTTCGGACAGCCTCGTAATAGTAGACCGACGAGCCCGAGGGAATGCCAGGGTCGCTCTCGCCATGCAGACGGAGAATCTTGCCCCCCGCTGATTGAAACGGGCTTATATCAGGCCAGTTAGTCTGTAAAGCATCAGAGTACTCTGCAGCCCAGGCGTGATCAAGTCCCTCAAGTCGTCATATGTGACATTGTTAAAGTCGCTCAGCAGGGCCGTGTCTTGGGGTTTCAAAAAACGAGCCACTCACTCAGAACCCAGTGAGACCAAGGCCAATTCCTAGCCCTTGGTGTCCTTGTTGAACTGTGGGTACGCATTGGTAAGGTCAGAGCCGAATTGAGAGGTGAGATAGATACGGCGGCCATCCGAGTCATGTAGTCCATCCAAATACGTTTTGACCAGCTTTGCAGCTTGAGCCGTGACCTTTCCACTCTGCGCCGGTGTGGCAGCACTCTTGACAACGTGGTTTCGAAGTCCGATGTTGGACTCAGTCGCGTCGCACGAGGAAGGCTCCCCAACGACGTCGCCAATGTTGAAATGCAGCTTGCAGAGATCGGTCCGTGAGACGACGCCGTCCGACTTTCCATCTAAGTCGTTAGAAGCCTCGGTCGTCAGGTTTATGATCTTATCGACCTCGTAGGTTGGGGGGAAGTAGTCGATTGTTTGCTCGATGGTGTTTGCAAACAGGAGATTGACCTGCTGCTGGTTGTAGTGGAAAGCAGGGGCACCGACAACCACACCATCAAACTGATCAGCGTATCGCTAGACTTGACTCCAGCCTTCGCGACCTCCCTCCGAGCAGCCTTGGTAGTATGAGTAGATTTTTTCATCGGCAGGGACTTTGTAAAAGTTTCGAGCGAATTCCTTTCCAATGAGAGCAAGCTCGTGATGGGCTGGATAACCACAGGATCCAGGACATGACGACCGTGACTAGTAAAGGTTGGATAGGCGATCTTGTGGGTGAGATGTATGCGAACGCTTTTCTTGGCCTTACTACTTATAGGGCGACCTCTAGTGTACTGATCCCTTCCATCGGCATCCAACCCGATCACAACCAGGGGACCGAGTCACTCACACCCGCTCATCCTAGGGATACTTCACCGAGTGCCAAGGTTCCCCGATGGGATGAGTCCTTTCAACGTGGGATTGTGATAGATCAAATACTAATTGTCTTATCATCAAACCCTGACTAGGGTAATGGCATGAAGAATCGGCCAGGAACAGCTGCCAACTGGTGAGATATACATGAGATATATCCTCCCAACGCATATGACCGAGGCCACCCAAGGGAAGTAATAAGCGAGCAACTAAATTGCACCTATTGTGATCCCGTCTCTTAATGCTGAGCTTTGCTATCTCTGGAAGGTGATGACGAATGCTGTCAAATCCGACGCCGCAGAAACCGCGGGGAGGTTAAACCAGGGTGGAATAAAGGCACAGGAGAACACTTTACCGACTAATCCGTCCCCTGATTAGCTATTTCCGACGTTATATGTGGTATAGTCGGAGAAGATTCCGATGACGGTGCGTTTCTAGTTAAAGGACGATTGACCCACGTCTCCTGGATCAAGAAACACGGCTCGCACTACACTCTTGATAAAGTGTCCCCTACTGACCCGTCTGATTATATTCCGACTTGATCAGTCAATCTCCCCGTGAAGCTAACATCACGAATCAGCTTGGTCCTTCCCTCCCAGGATCAAGGTCTAGGTCTGTGGCATTAGAGATATCTGCCACGCCGCCGGCAACCCTTTTCCTTCTTAGTCCCGGCAGGGGGAGGCCCGCACGACGTTGCGAAACTCCAAACGGAGAGTGAATAGAAGACAACTTCCGTCGATACACCGAGCTATCGTAATCGGGGGTCGGTGAAAAGGCTCTTTCGCGAGCAGAAAATAGGATGGTTGAAAAGCGATGCGTACGCCTACTACGGCTTTCAAGAGGTCAGTTCTAACACGGAAGTTTGCCTTTTGATCTCATTTGAAACGAAAACAGACCAGAGCCACCGACATTTTGGAAGCCAGAATTGTCTATGCTGGATGCCCTTGATATGCTCGCCCAGCTACCTTGCAGAACTTTGCGGAACCCTACCCATATGATATGTGAGAACTTCTCTATGAGATTCGCTACTGTTTTTCTCAGATGCCACGAAGCCACTTTGTCATTTTCTCCAACGACTGTGATGCCACTTATACAGTCTTGAGCCTATAATGGAGGTCACGTCTCCATTTCCCGAGGCTTCATTCATGATCCGCTAGCTACTAGGGGGAAGCGATGATTCAGCGAAAGGTAGATGGCATGTAGTTGAATTATTAACTGCTAATTACTAATAACGCGGCCGGTTGCGTCATTAGCCTCTTAGAAAAATCTAGAGGTAAACGTAGAATTTGATCCGGAATATCCGCCACAGAAGGTTCCGTGCAATTGTCGTGGGCGCATTTGTCAAAGTGCCAAAAACCAACCTATCAACGACGCTGCGGATCATGTGCATCTTACCTTGGGACTTCCAAGTTTCTCTGCAGCCGGCGACAGCGAGGCGTTATGTCATAGGCCAGTTAGGGAATGTAGCGTCAACCTTTCGGAACGGGCGGAAGCTTCGCGTCCCGTATAAAGGCGGGCATGGCCACGCAAGCTCTTGATGCATCAATTTTCACACGATCATACCATCATTCACGATGCAGAAAGTCACTTCAAAGTTGCCGTCTTGGGACAAGACCAAGACACAGAGCAAGAAGGGGTTCGACAAGGTATGGGGATGGGCTGATAAGCTTGGTGCGCCCGTGAATAGGCTGTCAAATCGGATTGGAAGTGAGGCTTTTTGGCCTACGACTTTGGATAAGGAGAGCGACAAGGCAGCGAGAATTTTGAGATCATTCTGCAGTGAGTATCCCTCATCCGAGTCTCATGAAGCTTGATGTCAGAGCTGAGCTGACAATGACGACAGAGGATGGCTTCTACACTGAAGAAGAAAAACCAGCAGACCAAGCAGGTCCCAAGCAAAAACAAAGAGTCCTTAAAAAGATTCCCCAAAAAGTCATAGAAAACGCTGTCGGCCTCGCAATCTTTACAACAATGCGCACCGGCCTCTGGGTTTCCGGAGCCGGCGGATCCGGCGTCCTCGTAGCCCGCAAAGAAGACGGCACCTGGTCTCCCCCATCGGGCATCATGCTCCACACAGCCGGACTTGGCTTCCTCGTCGGAGTCGACATTTACGATTGTGTTGTGGTGATTAACAATCGTAAAGCGCTCGAGGCGTTTACAAAGATTCGGGCGACGTTGGGTGGCGAGATCAGCGCCGTTGCCGGACCCGTCGGAGCTGGTGGCGTTTTGGAGAATGATGGCAAGTGGAAGCAGGCCAACAGACCTGTTTTCACTTATCTCAAGTCGCGAGGGTTTTATGCTGGTGTTCAAGTTGATGGAACCATCATTATTGAACGGACGGATGAGAATGCGCGCTTTTATGGCGAGGAGATACGTGTCGCTGACATCTTGGCTGGAAAGGCGCGTCATCCACCACCAGAGATCAAGATGTTGATGGAGACTTTGAAGGCTGCAGAGGGTCGAACAGATATTGACGAGGAGCTCATGGATGAGCTAGAAGGACAACCTGCACCCGGCGACGTCGACGTCGACGCCCCAGGTGAGGGCAAGATCTTTGGCATCCCAGACCCTGAGGATCCAGATCCATACGGTGTGCTCGCCTTGGAGAAGGAAGGTCTCGAGATCCGTGAGGCTGCAACACACTCAAGAGCATCAAGTCAACACTTCGAGTATAACCCCAGCCCAACAAGTCCAGTCTACAACAAATTCTTTCGACGAAGCATGGAGACAGCAGTCAAGAGCAATCGCGACAGCTTCGCCTCTTCACCAAAGTCAAGATTAAGCACGGAAGTAAGCTACACAACGTCCGAGGCTGGAACACAGACAGATCCTGTCATCGTCACTTCAATCGCAAGTACCCCCGACAGCCTCAAGTATGGGGCACAAGACGACGAGCGGAGCATTTACGAAGATGTTGCCGAGATGGACTACGCCGACAGTCCATATCACCACACCAACGGAAATCCATGGAGTTCCCAACAAGAAACTGGCATTATTCACCATGAAGGAGAATACAACTTCTCAGGAGGCAATGATGAAAAGACCCAACCTCGGAGCGCAACTCCAACAAGGGTACCACCGCCACTACCACCAAGAGCCTCCACAACCAACCTCGAGTTTGAGGATGTGAGTCTCAAAGACACTGAAGCGAAATGATTTCATTGATGAATTTTGGTTGTTTTTCGGGTCGATGATATTATTGAGACAAATGGAAGAGGCGAATGGAACGGTGTTAGGGTCGGTTACAGGTCGCTTCCAAGACTTGCGCTTTGGTCATGATATTACTATAGTTATAGATGGAATCAACATATACGGATATTACCTTTGCAGTACGACGCGTCCAATCATAGATACGAAGTGCTGTTTTGATTCTCGCTTGTTTTCACCCGCTTTGATGAAACGAAGGGGTTGTCCCATCAACGTTTCAGGCCGCCAAGAATCCAGCCTCTGATATTGTCCAGCTGTCAAAATAATGTCAAGAAAAAAGGTATATAAAGTCAAATGATTGCGCTCAAAAGTTTAAATCTTCAGTTCGGTGTAGATCACTTAGCTCATCATCAAATTCTTTTAGGCCGGTCCTACTCTATTCCATCACCGTCTTTCATTCAAGTTCACCTTTACCCACAACCTCAACACCAACACCAACCAACACCAATCTCGACAAAATGAAGTTCTCTTCCATCCTCTATTTCACATTTTCCTCCCTGGTCCTGGCCGCGCCAACCCCTCAATCCCGCGATCAGAGTCTTGAGGAATTCGGTCGTCAGCGGGTCGAAAACTCGCGATGCAGCCCGGTCCAGGGTAGACTTGTCTGCGACGATGGTGTCGGAAACACCTTGTAAGCCATGCATTATCCCCGAGCAGTGCGGCAAATGCCCTTCTAACACCGATTTAACTAGCTTCGCCGACGATCCTTTGTCGTCCTAGGGTAGCTGTGAGATGGGGATGAACGAATCAGTGTGCGGTGTAGGAGGAGATGGAGACGGGCGATCAAACTAATAGAGTAATATTGTCCGATTGGCCCTGGTCATTTCTGCTGCACATTGTGACTTCTTGGCTTTGGTTTCGACGCCAAATATAGCCCTACCGGTGATTCAACTGAAAGTAGACATGGTTCGTCCGTCCCCCAAGCACACCCATTGATTGCTCAACGGTATCTCTCGGTGGGCATTGTGACCGGTACCCTCTCTTGGCGCTGTCATAATGATATCCCAAAAAGATCACTCACATCAGGTCATACAGAGTGTGGTTGCGGAACCCTTGTCGTGCCTGTCTCACTCCTTTTGCATTGGTCTCAAAGTATAACCTCAACCTGATACCAGTTCGAGCAGGGGGGGTTTCTCATCAACCCCCGCCTTGTCACGGGCCAGCCGATACGAGTCTAGACCGAACCTTGTCCTGAATCATGAGTGAGCAACGTCCCACACGCACTGATATCGTCGCGTAGTGGGATCCCTGTCGGTGTGTGTTGCCACCAGCAGCCACCAACAATACAACCAACGGCCAACAGAAGTGCCGTAAGATGGGGTGATTGCTGACATTGAGCAGTGCTGAGAGCTTCAAAGGAGAGAGATATCTTCAAATTCCACGTTTTATCTCCCCATTTGTTCCATTACCTTACTACAGCTTCTTCTCTCCTACCGCCCTCATACGTATCACAATTAATTCGCCGAATTGACGGCCAAGTTCGCTCAACGACCCTGTCAGACCAGGGGTCCCCTGATGCCATCCCTAGTCATTGGACCCATCTCACACATGACATTGGTTACCTGCAGCGCGATGATCTGCCCCGCAAAGGGGCAGCTCGCCCAATAGCAAGGCCCTGGCGGTCCAAGATGTTGTTGGTTGTGTGATGGCGAAGCAGCAAGTCCCCAACCCTCGTTTAAGCAAGGGTGATGAGTTAATTACGAACCATGATGAACATGACAAGCCTATGATGAATCAACTTTTGGAATAATTTTCTTAGTCGGGTTCTCCGGGCTGGGCTTGGTGTGATAAAGATAATGCTCCTCCCCCGTCTCGATGAGACGTGTAATCCACACCTTTTCACTTCCATCGACATGGCGCTTGATGCCTGCTCAGACCATGCCGCCGAGAAAATGACGCTCCTGGACCGCCCTGGCCGCCGACCAACAGTCCCAATTTCTCCCATTTCCCCGGGTCTCGCCCAGGATCCGATTCCCCAACAGAAAAGCGAGATAACACCAGTTCCGCCAAGTCCAACACCACCATCCGACGCATCCGATTCTCACGTGGAGGACACGATTGTCTGTGCTCCTGTAGGAGTAAGTTTGTCGCGATCACGTTGGTGACTATTCTGACGAGGGAAGCGTAACTTGCGTCCGCGGAGGCCGCAATCACATGCAAAGAGACGCGTAACTTTTGATGAGGTATTTCAAGATGGAAATGCCGCGGTTAAACATTTCATCGTGCAGGTTCCATCTTCTGATGGACTGTGGTATATTCTGCACTGTGATGAGCATCAGAAGGCATTTCAGCACCCTGCGTTAAGAGGTGCAGCGGCGCATCTTAAAGGTAGCAAGCATGGGCTGCCATGGTATCCGACAAGCCTGGAAGTCATCAAGCATTTTGGCGTCGAGGTTATAGATTGCGATGCCGAGTTGGCCGATAAGAACAACACGGTTGCTCTAGCCGTCAGCCAGGCCAGCAAGAAAGCATCCGAATGCAAAGCGGAGGAGAAAACAAGCCCGAAGAAACGACTACACGAATCGAATGATGAATCCGAGGTCAAAGAAAAGGAAGTCTCTAAACGGCAGTCGAAGCAACGGAGGATTAGCGGGATCACGAGGCCAACTCCAGGTCGAATTTACCTGGCCTACTGGGAAACGACAAAAGACTGGTTTCCTGCCCTGGTCCTCCCTCACATAGGCCTCGAAGCCTTTGGAATTCCAAGTACCCTTGAGAAGCTCGGCTTGATGAATAGCACGCCAGACTGCTTGAGATGTGAATCTGATACTCAAAATCTCAAGTGGCGGGAAGGATATGAGCATGACGGGCCTTATGCTATGGACCGAGAGTTCCCAATCCTGTTTTTCGACAGACGCGACTTTCCTGAGCAAGCCTCTGCTGGTTGGGTCAAGGCGAGTGATTTGCAGGAGTTGAGCGTCTTTAAGAGTTCTTCACGGCTCGTGCCGAATTTGAAGTTTGCGAAAAAGTATTTGCGGAAGCGATTACAGCAAGAGACGGAGTTTTCGGATGAAGACTCATGGGCTTCTTCGGGTGAGTTCTCTATAAAACAGATCTGTTACCAGGTTGCTAACAATGCTATCTTAGAAGAAAGCGACTCGGAGACGCCGCCTTTATGCACCGCAGGTAACGAGAGTCAACCGGAGCAAGCTTTCACTTCTGTTCGCTTAGAGCCCGAGCAGCCAGCGGCTGATGCTCCCACAAACACCGCAGTGGAAGACAAAGTACCATTATCCGCAAACAATGAACCAGAATCTGGAAATGCAGCTTCCGTGCCACTGACACCTGGGGAAAGCCGCCCCGGAACTTCTTCAAATCCACAGGTTGAGGCAGCCCCAACAAACACCATTACGCATTCCATCAGGGATGACATTACAATAATTTCCATATCTAGCTCCGATGACGAAATGGAGAATCAAGATCAGCCCGCAAAGTCAAGTCAACCACCAACTGCAGACAACAGGATGGCGGTAGACCCCCGGCATTCTGTTGTCACCGAGATGAAGGATGTCAGACCCAACACTTCCATTTCCTCAGGGCAAAGCTTCGACTTAAAACCTACAATACTACTAAACGGTCCTATCACCGGTTATACGACGCAGGGTGTCGCCCCAGCACCACCTTTAAGAAACGGACAACAACCTCAAGTCCAACTACCTACTCCTGTTCATGTCCATCATATCCAACACACATTACCCAACAACGCAACAATAGATCTTCGCAACTTGATGACAAGGTCAACTTATATGGCATTCCCCGGAGCACTCCCGGGGTCAGAGGCGCCACAATCTCAGCTACCGCCATACCAACCTCCAACTAACCGGCGGCCGCTTCAGGTTCCTCCTCAGGTTCCTTACCCTCAGGGCCCTGTAACAACCGGCTTCCACCACCACCGATTACCTCCATCCCAGGATCAACAGGCTCATTCAAATCCAGCGATCAGCCCTTCTCGACCTGAAATATCTCATGTGTCGCCCAGACCCCCGATCCCAGCGGAAACCCGGGCACCAGCAACACGGCCACCAGCAGCTCGGCCACTTCAACCTAAAGCAACTTCTGCACCCCCACCTCCCCCTCCACCTCCACCTCGACAGCCCGAGAGTAGACCTCAGGTTCCTAAAGTTCCTATTCCACCAGCACCCAAGCCCAATTCATACCAAGCACCGGTGCCAACTGGAAATCCCACACCCCCTCCTTCCAAACCCTACCTTTCAACACCAACCCCCTGGCAACCCGTGTATATAGGCAAAGCCTTGCAGTTGGAGACGACGAACCCTCGGTTCGGCGTGCCACCTAACGAAGTTCCCCCACCCTTTCTCGATCGGCTTAAGAAACTGGCAGGAACCCGGGATAACTTTCCAAAGATGGCCAAATTCCTTGATGGGGAAGGCTTTTACTTTTGTCCTTGGTGTGAGAAACGATATCGGCGTCCGGTCAAGTTTACGGATCACTTGGTTTTGAATCACAGCAGGTAATATGGCGTACGTCAGGAATAATTGTTTCTGGGCAATCTTTGTTGGACATTGGTTCATGATGATCAATAACGACAGGAAATCTATTCTCCTGATGCAACCAGAAACAGCCTGTGAATGAATAAAATTTGCCCAATATCTACTCGATTGTTATCTTCAGTTGTATCCCAAGCTAAATAATCTCGTCGATGCAACGACTCGCGCCGAGCTCGGGAAACGAAAAGTTCTTGCGCGCGTATATGTACCAAAAGAAGACAATCAAAACACCAACAATAGCGAGAACTACCGAGATGTAGTTCATGGACGCGGCCTCGACTGGCAGGGCGTATGGAAAGCAATAAAACACCAAGGCGATCGGGGCCCAGCACAGAAAGATGATGTTGGATAGCAAACCGAGCCGAGGATACCAGAATGGACCATGTTGAAGCCGCGATCGCCCATGTTTCAAGAGCAGAACGATTGGGATGGCGTAACTAGCATACTGGAGTAGAATGCCAGCTGAGACCAGCGAATTGAAGGCGGTCTGGGATCCAAGGTAGAGGAAGCCCAGCAGACTTGTGAATGCAGCCGACCAGATCAAAGCATAGATAGGTGTGTGAAAAGGTGCACCCATCACTTGGCCGATATGCTTCGAAAAGGGGAAGCCCTTGTTGAGAGCAATGGTCCACGCAAGGCGAGACTGCCAGACGTGAATCCCCCACATTGCCCCGACAGCTGAGATGAAGATGGCGATCTGGAAGGCAATGGCAGCAGCCTTGCTTTCCCCAAAGGCTACATACACGGTTGCCATGGTCGAAGTTTGAGTTTCGTAATTGACCTGGTTGACGCAGAAAGCCAGGACGATAGGCAGTCCAGTGACGAACCCAACAATGATTGTCAAGATCAGAGCCTTTGGCACATTGGTGCTGGGATCCGGGATCTCCTCGGCGATGTGGACAATGGCATCTAGACATGAGAAACCCCAGTTCAAGCCGTTTTGTCCAATCAGGAATGCCACGCCGGTCGACCAGCCCGAGACGTTGTAGAAATCGGTAAAGATGTCTTTGGCGGAGCGTCTCTCATCGGATGCAGCAAAGAGACCAACAAAGAGCGCGACCAAGAGACACATGGTAAAGGCCAAAATGCCCTTTGTGATTCTCGGCAGTAAATGCTCAAACGCACTCAGAGCGAGCGTTATAATGTTGGTCAACTGATACGCGACGAAGCCCATCCAGGGATCTTGTTGAAAGCTGGGATTGAGAAGACTTCCTAGTGAAAAGAGCAAGCTGGGACCAACGACACAGACCGAGGCACCGGTACACACAGCTCCAGCCCAGCTGAGGAGAGCCGTGACGTATGAGAGGAATCGACGAGGTCCGGGGGGAGAAAGGGCTGCAACCCATATGTACTGTCCTCCGGCATCGGGAAGAGCAGACGCCAGTTCAGACAGGCTTGTTGCACATGCGAGTCCGATAATTGCCATGAAGAGAAAGCCCCAGAAAAGAGTGACGGAGCCGCCACTGGCGGTAATGGATCCAATGGTGAGGATGATGCCGATTGCCGTGTTGGTTGTTGACGCGCCAATGGCCATGGCAGACCAGACACTGAAGGGTTTCTCCATAACGATGACATCCCCAATGATAGATTCTGGCTTGGGCTCAGGCACAGAGTCTTGACCCGGTGCCTGTTTCTCTTTTTTGCTCATGGTGGGTGATGTCGAGGTGTGTTTGAAGAGGGAATATTGAAGAGATGTGATGCTAAGCCGTCTATGGCCCAGGAAAGCTGCCCTTTTCAAGTAGACCACAAACTCATATGTCGTCCTTGAAATTTTCGGAACACACGGCCAACGCGGGGAAAGGGGGGCCAGACCATGTGGACTTGGTTTAGTGTGGCGACTAGCAGCGGTAGCGAGGGTTGTGAGCATGAGATTTTTATCAACGGGCTAATAAGAGTGAAGCTCACTGAGTGGCGGTTTGTTTCCTGATTCGGCTAATAGGCGAACGCTATCCTGCGCCCACCTTCATGATTGACTTGGGGTAGGTATCTTGTCAACAGGGATCAGGTTGTGACCTAGTAAGCTGAGACTGCGATAACATATCCATGCGTTGCTTATGCAAGGCTCTTGTCACGATGCCGTACGTCCCGAAGAAGGCGTCTTGAATCCGAGTCGTTTCCGAATGGCTTGTGTTTATGAAAGATCGGTCGGTAGGAATTTCCCTACGAGGCAATGTTGACGGATTGTCAACATCATGTATCGAGGAGGAAAAGCCTAAAGAGTCATAAGTTAAGTAGATCAATTTAATGCCTTGAACCTTGTCTAGTTGGATTTACATCGGCTATTTACTCGGAGGGAAGCGTGATTCCCCTGTCTGATAAGTCTTGACTTCGGAAGCACGCAGGCAGTATCTGGTAATGGTCATGGTTTGGTGTAGTGTGTTGGGCAGATACTTAGTTAGACTCAAAGTGATAAAAAGCCTAACTTGCTTCTACTGTGTCACTTGGGCACTTGAACAGCGCTCCATTGGCAATTGTAGAGCAACTGAATTCATTCAGTCACAATGCACAGAATATCTAGTCCAACGTGATAAAAACAGTCTTGATGTTGGTGTAAGCCTCGATTCCAGCTTGCCCACACTCACGACCGATCCCCGATTGCTTGAATCCTCCAAACGGAGCTCGGATATCCGAGTTGTTACTACTGTTGACCCACACAGCTATTGAGACGAGATCAGTTGGGAGTTCATCATAGGAGAGAAGGGGAGGACTCACTGCCGCTTTGTATCTTGCGCGAGATTCGATGGACCCGGCTCACATCTTTAGTAAAAAGGGCGGCACCGAGACCAAAGAAGGTGTCATTTGCTCGTCTGACAACTTCGTCTTCTGTCTTGAATGAGAGGACCGCGGCGACAGGACCAAAGATCTCTTCGCGATAAATTGTCATGTCGTCGTTGACATCTGTAAAGACTGTCGGTTCAACAAAATAACCTTTGCCGTTACCGGCGGTTTCGTGCACTTTGCCTCCAAGAGCGAGCGTTGCCCCTTCAGACTTTCCAAGTTCAATGTAGTGGAGGATTCTGTCCCGCTGCGCCTTGCTGACCTGAGGGCCTTGGAACGTGTCAGCGGCAAAAGGGTCACCGACCTTGGCCGAGGCAGCCTTTTCTAGGAACCGGCGGAGGAAATCGTTGTAGATGCTTTCATGCACAAAGATTCGGCTGTTGGCGGTGCAGACCTGGCCGGCGTTCGACATGATGCCAACATGTCCCCAGTATGCTGCCTTGTCCAGGTCGGCATCGTCAAACACGACTAGCGGTGACTTGCCACCTTTCCAACCATTAGGTCAGCTCATTTTCTCGTGATACTTGTAAGACTGTACGTACCTGTTTCCAGTGTGAGACTCTTGAGGTTCCCTGACGCGAGCTTCATGATCTCTCGGCCTGTCTGGGTTGAACCGGTAAAAGCAATCTTGTCAACACCCATGTGCGACGCAAGGGCGGCGCCTGCATCTCTACCATAGCCGTTGATGACGTTGACGACACCCTTTGGATAACCAGCTTCCTTGAAAAGGGTGGCTAGGTAAAGGATGGATAGTGGTGTTTGCTCGGCTGCTTTGATGACGACGCAGTTGCCAGTCGCGATGGCAGGGCCCAGCTTCCAGGCTGCCATGCTGAGGGGATAGTTCCATGGGATGATTTGGCCACAGACGCCGATGGGTTCGCGGGTGGTGAAGACGTGTTGGTTCTTTTCCGTCTCGATCACTAACAAGGAGTTAGCCAGCGCTAGAAAGCTGGATCAGAGGGGAACCATTACCTTGGCCATGCAGTTTATCTGAATAGCCTGCATAGTATCTGAAGACGGCGACGACCTCCTGCACGTCCTCTTGCAGGGCAACATGGAATGGTTTGCCTGAAGCCCGTGTCCGGTCAGAGTCTCGAGAAGCAGCAGTCATCATAATCTTAGATCTTACCACCGTCCCACGACTCAATGGTCGCTAGCGTCTCAGCCTGAGCCTCGACAAGATCAGCCAGGCGGCTCAAGAGACGACCCCTCTCCGTGGACGTCACGTCTCCCCAGAGCCCGTTGAAAGCGTCACGAGCAGCCTGCACGGCATTATCAACATCCTGGGTCCCGGCGGCATGGACTTGTGCAATGTCGGATTCGTCACTGTGAAGAACCAAGGTCAGCACCTGCAACACTGGAGCATAGACCTATACTGACAATGGGTTGACAGCTGCAATCGTTTGGCCAGACTGAGCTGCAACAAATTCATTGTTGATGAACAAGCCGAGGGGCTGCTTGTAGGCAACACCATTGGGGGCCGTCAACTGGGCAAACAGGGGAGAGGATGCCATGACGGATTGAGTGACGTGAAGTGTGCTGAGGTGGATGGGAGAAGGGACAACGAGTCTACATTGCGATAGCTATATGATGTATGCCGAAAGGGAAGGTATTAACTGGCTGACAAGACTTGCAACGCTAATCAATCGCTACATACTTGGTAAGCTTTCGTCGGGATTCGATTGTTGTCCTTCGCTTGATGTCCGAATTCGTCAAAATGCCTCGGATGTACAAAAGTACATGATATTGACAACGTGGCGGCCTCAGCAGATCAGCCTCCTATTTTCTTGTGGCCACGAGGCGAGGGATTCATGCCGTGCTTCAAGGTCGAATTCAACCCCGCCGATGTCCAGGCCTTCGATTTCTTTCCAAATTGGGAAGGTATGGATGCGGGGTTGTTGGAGACGCGACCCCGGCTCGGATCTGCCGTATCTACGACCCGACGCCTCCGGCCTGCGGGGTTCAATGGCGCGTGAGAAGCACGCAGAATTGTTAAAGGGTACTTTGGCGAAGGGGTTATTTTCGCAGCTAGACAGGTCCATGCTATCAGGCCGGAACAAGTAATTGAACCCAAGCCTCAAACGAAGTCAACAGGCGAATCAAGAGCTTGGAAATAGAGGTAGACGCTAGCAAGGGATAAGGCACCTGCCATCGCTTGCCACTTTGTTGAGTCGATACGGCATGGTCACGTCGAGACCTCCGTGTTCTCGGCTTAGATGGCCTGAAAGATATCATCATTGTCAACAAAGCACCGTGATGGGGTCAATCGCGACATTTCTTCTTCTGGAAGGAATGCAAATATTTGACGATGGGCTGAGCATGCCCTCATTCTTTTGCCCATCGTGTTGTTGGATGACGAAGCCCTCTACAAATACAGCCTCTTGAATTCTTCAACCCGATCATCCTCACGAAAATTGTCACTTTTCCTTGTGAAGCATCCCTTTGACCTCGTTCCTGATCTATCCCTCAGCCATGTCGACAGTCACAAACCTCAGCAATCTCAACTTTGACTATGTCATTGTTGGAGGAGGCACAGCTGGCTGCGTCATAGCCAGTCGGCTGGCTGAGTCTCTCCCTGACCACAAGATCCTCATGATTGAGGCCGGACCCAGCGATCTGGACGAGAAGCAAATCCTTGACTTGCGAAACATGTACAACCTGATGGGAAGCGAGTTTGACTACAGCTACAAGTCGGTTGAGCAGCCAAATGGTGAGTCTTGCACCGTAGTCTCTGAGCTATTTGTTATACTAACTCCTATCTAGGCAACAGCAACATCCTTCACTCGCGCGCGAAAGTTCTCGGTGGCTGCTCGAGCCACAACGGGAGCCTTGCCGTGCACCCATTCGAGTACGACTGCAAGAAGTGGGAGGAGGCTGGCGCCGTTGGATGGGACTGGGAGACGATGAAGCGACTGATTCGAAAGCTGCGGACGCCCATTGTGCCCATCCACGACCGACACCGAAATCCCATCGTTTACGACTTCATGGAGGCCACCAACAAGGCTCTCGACATTCCGATTGTTGACAGCGTCAACCACGAGATCACCTCGGCGAGTGGCCTCTCAAAGGGCGGCGTGTCATTCTGCTCTCTGACATACGACCAAAACACTGGCTATCGAGTTAGTGCAAGCGTTGCCTACATCCACCCGATCCTCAAGGGCAAAGAGAAGCGCCCCAATCTCACCATCCTTACCAACGGCTGGGTGGACCGCATCAACGTCGTCAATGGAACGGCTACAGGAGTCAACTTGACCCTTAAATCTGGGAGAAAGGTCAAGGTTAGCGCCAAGAAGGAGACCATTCTGTGCGCCGGTACCATCGACACGCCAAGACTAATGCTCCTCTCTGGCATCGGTCCCCGCAATGAGCTTGAGAAGCTCAACATTCCAGTGGTCAATGACCTGCCTGGCGTCGGAGAGAACCTCATGGACCACCCCGAAGCTATCATCACCTGGGAGCTCCACGAGCCCCTCGAAGACAAGACGGTCATGTGGGCTGATGCTGCTCTCCTTGCGCGACGCGAGCCTGCCAACATCCACGGAGATGACGGCACCGTTCCTGATGCCATGATGCATATCTACACCATGCCGTTTGACGTGCATCAGGCCGCTCTGGGTTACGACATGCCCAAGAACGTCTTTTCCCTGACACCCAACGTCCCCAGATCCCGTTCGCGAGGAAAGGTGTGGCTGAAGTCTGCCGATCCCAAAGAGCATCCCGCCATTGACTTTCGATACTACACCGACCCCGAGGGATATGATGAAAAGACCATCGTGTGGTCCTTCAGAGCTGCTCGCGCCATCGTGAACCAGCAGCCACTGAAGAAGTGGATCAAGCGAGAAGTTGCACCAGGTCCTGGCTGCCAGACTGACCAGGAGCTTTCTGAGTACGGACGAAAGACTGGAAACACGGTGTACCATCCTTGCGGCACGGCTAAGATGGGAGACGTTGTCCATGACCCGATGGCTGTCGTGGATCCTCACCTAAGGGTCAAGGGCATCAAGAAGTTGCGCGTTGCTGACGCCAGCGTGTTTCCCTTGATTCCTACCATTAACCTCATGTTGACTGTGCTGGCTGTCGGAGAACGCTGTGCCGAGTTTATCGTTGCGGACGCGAATAGAAGCGTCGCAAACCTATAATATGACATGCACGGAATGCGTTGTTTGATCAACGGTTAGCTTTTTTACATTCATTGGTGAGATGTAGAACAAATCAACGAAAAAAAGTGTGAATAGAACAATTTGGCTCCTTGAACACCAAGTCCAAAACATGCATCATTAAGTACATTACACATTCCATCTACTCAGGCAAGTGGAAATACCTGGCCTCTCTCAAGCAAAATGACAAGCCACGTAGTTGTGATCCCCAGACGCCTAAGCTCCCATATTTCCTCGAGAAGGGTAATGGCGTCCAACATGACTGGAAGACGCGTCAAAGAGTATATGGCCTTGAATCGAATCTTCACCTCCTCTCGCTGCTGAAGCTTGTCGGCCGGTATCTCAGAAGCGGCAGACATGAGGGGGATAGGCTGAAAGTTGAGATACGGCGAGGTTGGGGGTATTCGCAGCAAACCCTCCATGGCCTCGCTAGCCCATTGTTGTATCATAGTTTCGCCGCCCACATCAAAAAGCTCCGTATCACGACCGCATATTCGGTAGAGTTGAATCAGACCGTGTTTTCGATATGCATCGCTCAAAAGGAAGAGCAGCTCATTGTCTTGGCTGGGGGTCCATGCCAGCATTTCGTCCTCCAGGATTGCCTCGAGCGCAAGATCGCGAGACTGCCCATCTACCACTCCACGGCAGTAATGCGTCACTTTAGCAACGGCGTAGAACATGCCTAAAGAATATCCTGCCATGGGATGGTACTCTCGCTGGCTAGCCTCGACAGCTTTGGAGATGAAGTCGACGGATAGTGGCCGGTGTAATCGATGTTCCAGATTGAACGATGCTGCCATCTCCCACCAGATGTAATTGCCCACGATGAGCTGTATGGCAGGATCGGAAGGGTCGGCTGTAGGGTCGCCCAAGATGGAGTCGATGAGGGCTCGAGCGCCCACCAGGTGTTCAAGGCCAGTAGTTCCTTCGATCCAGGGTGACGAAATGCCCAGTAAGAAGATGGCAAGAAATGTGGCGATTGCCTTCTTTCGAGTCTGCAGAAGCTCTTGTTGGATGCATAGCAATGTCTGCCCACGCTCAACGAGGCAGTCGCTCGTATTGGCATCGCGGAAACCTTTCATGTGTGCAGCGGCAATACTCTGTACAACATGCAAGAGAGCTGACGACTCCTTGAAGAGGTCCAGGATAGGCAAGGCTAGCGGGTTGATGTCAGGGTCAAGCACCATGATGTGGCAGACCTGCTCAAAGTAGTACTGCAGCAGCATAGACGGCGTCAACCCATCTCCGCAGGATGCCTGTTGGATGAGGAGTGGCAGCTCCAGTTTCCACATGGTCTTGCGGGGCGCCGGGGTGCAGACAGTTCCCCGTCGGGCGCAGTGTCGACACACAGGGTATGTCTCGTCGCATTTCACCCTCCGCAACCTGCACTCTCGACAGGCTGACTTGCTCTTCGGCTGTCGGCGGAGAACAGTGGAGTCGAGGGATGTGTCTTTCGGGGGGCCATGGATCGGGGGTGTGGCCTTGGAAGAAGGAGCAAAGCGGACACGCCAGGCTTTGGAAACCATTATGCCGGTATAGAAGATGGTTGATTGATGTTCTGGGGAGGAGAGGCATTGCCCAGACAGAAGATGGCTGGAAGAGTTCAAGTGCGAGATGCCGACTCCGCATCCTCGGCCCCACCGCTGACTCTTGATAGCGCTATGTACGCAGCTAGCGTCTAAGATGCCGGCGATGACATTTCCCTTTGCCCCCGACAGGTTCTTACAGCAAGGTACAGTACAGTACATGGGATTGGTTCAAACTCTGCTACGGTAAGATATCTTGGGGGTTTATGATTCTCTTGGCCGCGTGGCCGCTCCCTTCAGCCAAGACTCCCGGGCAAAATAAGGTGTCCCCTGAGTGCGTGGTGGACCAGACAAATCGTGGGGTAGAATGCCCTGAACGCTTAGCCCAATCACTCGACACCACGATATCAGCTTATCATAATTCCAGTATGCACTGTACCAGAAACGCAGCCAAGGTCATGATCCATAGACTTTTCCTTTCCAGGACAAAAGGCGAGGCAGGGTCCAGAGCCCACGCAAAGGGCCTAGCATGGTTCCAGGGCCGTGACGCACGATGCAAGAGGCTAGCTAGAAGAACTAGGGTCCGATCTCCCGCCAACAACCCCGAATAGGAAGGAATGTGTGAGCGAGTACGTACGGATAGCTATAAAGCGAGCTCCATATTCTACCAAACTCCAAGGTCAAGTCAAGGCACTTGCTACTGTCTCATATCATATCTGTTGACACCCTATCTATTCCAACATGACGACACAGACACTTCCCGCTGGCTCCACCAACAGCTATGACTACCTGATCGTTGGTGGAGGAACAGCCGGTTGTGTGGTTGCGAGCCGACTATCCGCATATCTACCAAAGAAACGTATCCTGCTTATCGAAGGCGGACCTTTTGATGTCGGAGACGACCGTGTCTTGGTCTTGAAAGATCGTATTCAGACCATCGGCACAGACCTCGACTATGGCTATACCAGCGTTCCTCAGCCAAATGGTTAGTACCTGAGATCAACCTTCTCACCCATGATGTGAGTCATCTAATCAGAGTCTGCAATAACTAGGCAATAGTCACATCCTACATTCGCGTGCCAAGGTGCTGGGAGGATGCTCCAGTCACAACGACATGATTTCGTTCCGCACGACTGAGTACGACGCATACCTCTGGCAGAAGCTGGGGTGCAAAGGTTGGACCTTTGATCTGTTCAATCGCCTTCTGGACAAGCTGCGGACCACCGTAAGACTACCTCACCCGCGAGATCGGAATGAGATGTGCATCGATTGGATAGAGTCTGCGAGAGCTGCTTTGGGCGTCGACAAAGTTCAGGATTTCAACCACATGATATCGTCAAAAGCCGGGCTCCAGGAAGGTGTCGGGTGGTGCAACGTCTCATATAATCCGGATACGGGCCATCGCAACAGCGCCAGCATTGCATACTTGCATCCAACGTTTCGAGGGGAAGAGAAGCGTCCGGGTTTGACAGTGCTTACCGATGCTTGGGTTTCAAAAGTACACGTTGAGGGAGATACTGCAGCCGGCATTGATGTGACTCTCAAGTCAGAAGAGAAGCATACTTTACGCGCCAAACATGAAATCATCCTCTGTGCTGGTGCTATAGATACTCCCCGGCTACTCCTACTATCAGGGATCGGACCCCGAGAGCACCTGGAATCAGTCGGTATTCAAGTCACCAGCGACATCCCCGGCGTTGGAGAGAACCTGATGGACCACCCTCTAACAACAATGCTCTACGAGCTGAACCGTACGCCTCCCCAAAACACAGTCGCCAACTCGGACACGGCACTATTCTTGCGATCCAAGCCTTTCAACCACAACGGAGACGACGGGCACATCCCCGATGTCATGGTCCACATCTTCACCATCCCCTTCGTTGATGACCTCCGGCGTCTCGGCTACGAGATCCCAGAGCCAGAGCGTTGCTTCCACTTCATGCCACTCATTCCTCGCCCTAAATCCGTTGGGCGACTCTATCTCAAGTCCAGCAACCCGAACGAGAAGCCAGCTCTGGATTTCCAATACTTCACTGACAAGGAAGGCTACGATGCTTCCATTCTCGTCGACGGCATCAAAGCATGCCGCAAGATAGCCGAGCAAGAGCCCTTCAAGTCGTGGATCAAGCGAGAGATCGCGCCCGGGCCACATCTCACCATGGATGCGCAACTAGACGAGTTTGCTCGTGTGGCATCGGGAACCGTATACCACCCCGCGTGCACGACAAAGATGGGTGACATCAAGACAGACCCTATGGCTGTGGTGGACACAGAACTGAGAGTTCGCGGGATTAAGGGACTACGGGTTGCTGATGCGGGCGTATTCCCAACTATGCTCTCTGTAAACCCAATGCTAACGGTACTTGCCATCGGTGAACGTTGTGCGGAGCTAGTTGCACTTGATGCCGGCTGGAAGGAGGATATGCCAAAGCTATAGGAGAGTGATATAGGAGAGCGAGGTCATTGTCATAGTCTTTTCCGTCGATTTCTTTGCTGAGAATCAGCATCATGAACTGTAGGATAGCGTGAAATGCAGGTATTGGTGAGAGTTGATTAAGCCAATGACCTTTATATCGTCACATTCCTACGTGATGAAGTTGCGTCCCAGTGCTCAAGAACTATGCCCAGCGATGTGACAACTTTGTGTGTAGGCCTCGCCGTTAAATAAAGCGGATAGAGTTTAACACCCACCCGTACTTTCAAGTCAGAGTTTGCAACTATTGCACGGTTGTTCGTATTGTCGTGGTGATTCTACAAGTTGAAGGCTGGGATCTGGATCCCTGTCCTTAATTGCTAGAGAGTACTTCTATCTAGGAGGCAAACTCTCAGAAGCCGAGGTACTTTTTATCGGTCGCTGCTCTCCTTGTTTGGAGCTCCACCAACTTCACCGATCTAGACATTCGCTTAATTACGTGCATGAGACTGCACATGTGAAGCTGACGGGCACCCGTCGATGGTTTTTCACCCGAGTTCTGTCACTTTTCTTGCTCCAAACTTCAATCTGTTAAGCCATCTGGTGCGTTGCGATCCATCATTCGACGATGAATCGCTGGCACGAAGTCAGCTGCGTCAAACCTGACGTTCAAGTCTTGCCAGACGGGACAATCCGCTGCTTTTCCTGTCATCAAACCCCTCACACCACCCAGCTCATTGCCGAGAGGGCCACAGTCAGCTCGGTTCCGCTCGTGCCACCGGACAAACCTCTAGGGCAACTAAAGCTCTGGTGGCCGCGATCTGTCCCTTACTTGGTATCGACACCGCCAGCAAGCGATGATGCAGGAATTGGCCAACATGAAATGGACCTGGATCAGCCTTCGGAAGCGGCTTTGATGTCAGGGCCATACCCGTCGACTCTCGGGCAAAGCGAGCTCCGCCTCATCTGCATCGAAGCCGCCCCCTCTCCCGACTATCCTTTACACCTAAGCCTGGAGGTCTACGACTTGGACAACTGTCCGGAATACGAAGCCGTCTCATATACATGGGCCGGCGAGGATGGCGACAGTACACTTTCCAAGCCCATCTACGTGGGCCCATTCTGGGACTGTTTAGTTCAGACAAACAATTGCTGGGAAATGCTGCGCTTCGTACGGCCATGGCGTGGCATTCGGATGCTCTGGGTCGACGCCATCTGCATTAATCAGAACAACATCCCGGAACGAAGCAGCCAAGTTGCCAACATGGATCGTATCTACTCTTCTTGCAGTCGTGTCGTTGTCTATCTTGGACCTGACCTGGCCACTTCTCTCCATGGGAGATATGCTCGTCGTGGAAGGCTGCACGAGCTGGAGACAGGCGTCATCAAGCCTGCATTCCCTGCTCAAACGCAGCAGCCTCAGCCCTATCGGCTCGAAGATCTTCTAAGTCGGCGGTACTTTTCTCGGATCTGGGTTGTACAAGAACTGCTCCTTTCTAAAGGCGCTGTTATAAGAGTCGGCGACGTCGACTTCTGGGCCGATGCTTCAATGTCGAGCCGTCTCTCTTCAAGCATGCCAACGTGGACGTGGGGACAAACACATGCTGCATGGGCACGGTACATATCGCAGGGGGCTTCAAGTATCGGTGATCTTAAGGAGCTGCTTCAGACCACGGCTCTTTCTCTGGCAACCGACCCCCGCGATCGACTCTTTGGACTTCTTGGCATCATGCCTGAGCTATCGGTCTTGAGCGACCCGCCAACTTCGGATTCCCACACTCACCCTCTACAGCTTGGAGGTCTTCAGGCCGACTACACGCTTTCTTGTCAACACATCTTCATTGGACTGTTCGGATACTGCATTCTGAACCTGCAGCGGCCAGATGTCCTCTACCACGCGTCGTCCGCCTCGCCTGTTCCCGGCTACCCATCATGGGTCCCCAACTGGACCTCCCCGGAAACCTGGAGGTTGCTGTTTCAATCACCAAAGACCGATGATGAGAGGATACTCAGTCTGGTTCGGCGTAGAGTACCCCCAGACACCATGAACCTCTCAGACGCATCAGAATCCGAGGATGACGAAGATCCCGTTCGGCATCACGACCTTGAGGGCCCTGCTCATGCCTACATCCAAGCAGAACGGCGATGGAATCAGAATGCTAGCATCGACACCTCTACTGGAGCCTTGTCCATCAACTTGACACACTGCATGCCGTTATCTGAGACGCCTGAGAAGGTTGAAGAGGCCGACGGCTTCTTCCTTTTTTATCTTGACGCTGAGCCGTGCGGCCTCTACCTGGTTTCTGAGCACAGACTTGATAAACTCATCACAGGTTCAGACAACGACCAGTTATTCATCCTCGACGCAGGTGATGACTGCAGGGTTTATCTGATTCTGCGGCCAAGAAACCTCACGAATACGTTCAAACTAGTTGCAGTTTGCCCGTATATCGTGATCAAAACCCGTTGGGGGGGTTACCCGGAGATAGGGCTCAGCAACCTCCAGTACAGCCTCTATGATGCCTTGCCGGAAGTTCAACCAAAATTAGACCAAGAGCTGGATCTAGAAGAGGAGTTCGCACCCCTCTGCTCTGGGGTTAAGTCCTACCGCGATTTGCTACCCACGCTGGTAAAACGGCACAGGGAAGGGCCGGGAGACGTCTGGGAACTTGCGAGTGCCATCTACGATGCGTGTGTGGAACGAATCGACCCAAGGTTCTTACCACGGATCAGCGACGATGGACATGTTGAAATAACCATATCCAGTTTGGATAAAGAGTTTCCCATCTATACGAGAAGAATCATAAACCACGATCACGGCCCTGACTTTAGGTACCGCATCAAGGGCGAAGAGGAGTGGAGAGATGTTCCCCTTTCTTTGACCACCTACAACAACATGGTTCAAGCTGGGGAACAGTGGATTGATGTCCAATTTGCAGAGATTACGGATCCGAGATACTTTAGGCCCGACGCACATCAGATTTCTAAAAGTCTTTTCCGCGATCTGGATCGATTTGCCCAAGTGAGCAAGCATACAGGAGAGGACATTTTGTCTATGCTGACGAGGGATCGGACGGATGAGGACAAGTTTGTAGGGTGTGAGAGTGCGTTTTTCCATGACCTCTTTTGGCAAGATGGTCCTTGGGATAAGCTACAGTTGGTTGGGAGCACTTTCATGGTTCACATAGAATAGCGTCCGGCCTGAAGTAGCCTGGTTTCGAGATATGAAGAGGTTCTGTTTAGCTTACTCCCTCTGAGACACAAACACGGGCAACAATTTGACAATCCCCCCAGATAAACAATGCCATTTATCAAGGGCTAGGGGTGCGCTCAGGTGCCGTCTCTGGCTTCCTGCCGTACACAACATACCTTTGGTTTTCCCGTTAGTTATCTCACCTGCACAGTAAGAATCAGGATCGGACTTACACTGGAATGTAGGCATGAATCGAAGTATCTCGGAGTTGCTTCCTGACCAAAGTGCAGAACGCAATGACCTCTTCAGATTTCCAGTCAAGAAACCTCGTAAGCAAAGCAAGAAGCAAGCCTTCAAGTCCACTAGTGAGGTTCTCGCATGTCCAAACTCCGATTTCCTTGTACTTCTTTTCCTTTGGCCAGCGGTTGAGAGGCCACTTGAGCTTCTTCTCAACCACGTCGATGAAGCCTGCCTTTTCGAGGTATTCTTTGTACTTGGGTGCAGTGTTGTTGGGGCGCCCGGCTTTGTTGCTCGCCTCGACCAACAGATGACCAAGTCGATACAGTTCGAGGCCTTCGTGCAGGGTGCCGTCATCACATGCGAGAGGGTTTGTCAGGTCTTGCATTTCCAAGTAGCCACCGGGCTCTAGGTGCCTAAGCAAGGAAACTTGAGTAAAGAATGAATGCTGTTTGAGGGTAGTGAGGGCTTACGCATATGCTTTGTGGACAAACTCTTGCATATCAACGAAGCATCCCGTCATGACGCGAGACAAGACCAGATCGAATTTCTGAGACCAAGTCCATTCTTTCTCCAGATCGTCGACCTCGAAGGTGCAGTTGGGAGGGACCCTGTCTACGCTTAGCGCAAGTAACATATTTGGCAGGTATGTCGCTTACAGTGAAGGTTGAATCGGGCTAAGGTCAACGCCGATTACCTATATGGGATTCTAGGATTAGAATTAAGAGTCATTTCGCGTTACTGTCACTATTACCTCTGATTCAGGGTGGAGGTCGGCTTGAGAGTGGGTCAGAGTCGCATCTCGTGCTGGATCAAACTTAAAGGGGTACCATACCATACTCGACAGCCCAGATACCAGTTCCGGTGCCAGCATCAAGAACGCGCTTCGCCGGCCCGCGTATCTTGGGCGACAACCCAAGCTCACCATCGAGAGTGAGGAGCCAGACATTATGTTGAATGTCTGGGTCGCGTCAACCCAGGTTCTCCAGGTATCTATGTGGAGGATTAAGCTCACCAAGCCGATCATTTTCTCTGTCATCGTTGGGATAATTGTATTCTATGACCCTCAGTTACAAGCACATCATCAACGTTATGTGTGAGGCACTTACTGCCGGAGCTCATAGAATGATAGGTTCTCCCGTTTTCCTCTTGGACTCTGAGCACGCTGGATCGAAGGGACGTAAGACTCGAAGTGTTTAGCTAACCCCAGTCAGCCACCGGGCATAAAAAAGGCCTGTGGATTCATACAGTCGAAATAGCGGAGTCATCGTCGTCAAAGGTATCAACGGCCTGTGGGGAGATCCATTAGCATACCACTAAGAGCCTGGGTCATCCCTGCAAGCCTACCAAAGCCCCGTGTGGCTCTTCAATGGGGTTAGCCATGGCGTTAAATCGGAAACCAACAGCGCTAAGTGATAGACACACACTACAGACACAGGCAAATGAGGAGTAGAGAGATTGATCAGGAAACAATTGAGAATGCCTCAAAAGCTCACGTACAGGCGATAACCCCGCGTTTCCAGCACGTGATGGCATGCATCTCTTTCTTCTTGGTAATGATAATCGTATGACCTTATCCTTGTCTCCATTCCTTGTCGAGATGCAGCCGAGTGGCACTCTTCCTTCCAGCCTCCTTCAAATTGTCGCCAAAACTGCGCCACATCCTTGGCGGTTATCATCAAGGTAACCTATAATATTTATGAAGAGATTATGACACGCCTTGGCTAATTTTAGGTTAAGTTATGTCGCTTTTTTATGAAAGTTATGGTAATATTCATCGAAACATTAGGACAAATCGTCACGTACTTTAGGTTAGCTAAACGACAAACAACCAGAATGCTCCCCCTTGCCACCAGGATGGATACACCACCCCTCAGACCCAAAGGTCATGTTGCCAATAGGGTTCCGCTTGATAGACTTGACCTCGTTGGCGATACTGATTAAAAGATCTTATTCGTCATATATGTAAAGCGCCAAACCCATCATCATAACGTTTAATTTTACACGAAGGTGACCGCAAAATTAACCGAAACACACTCTACCCTGCAGGATGTCTATCAAATACAGCACCTTCGTCTTACCGAACCTCACTTCCTCCTCAAGCCAACTCAACATCCAGACCCGATTGTTCACGGATATCTTGAAGTAGCCACTCGATTGGGGTAGCATACGACACGTCGAAGCTCCCATTCCCGCCATCGAGCCCACCAGTCAACATACCGCCAATTCGGCCATCCATATCCCACACACAGGATCCTGAATCGCCCCGCTCAGAGAACACCCCTCTGCCAGAGCCGCTTCTCCATTTGACGCCAAGAATGCACCACTCCTCGGACACGAAGGTCGTGCCGCCAATCAGGTTCCGCTTAACAGACTTGACCTCGTTGGCGACACCGACTGAAAGGCCCGTGGTGCTGCCGTATAGTGCAACCACCAAAGCCGGGTCTTGCAGCGATGCTGATTCCGTAGGGAGGGTCGCCACGGTATCCTTAGTAACGGTTCCCCTCAGCTCTACAGTGTGCGTCTGGTCGTCAAATTGTAGATTGTAGTGTTGTGCTGGATTGCACCCCTCGAGTTCGGCCTTGGTTACCCTCCAAGTGTCGTTCTTCCCTGTCATGCCGCAGAAAACTCGGTTCGTCAAGGTTGCCAGGACTGATACATGCTTCTCTTGGTTCAGTTCGACCAAGGCCCAGTCTCTGCAACGTTTCTCACCCGACGGGGATCGACCCTCACTAATCTTCGGTGAGAACAGGACGTGACCAATGGTTCGGTTGGAGGGTTCCTCAAGGGCACTCAGCCTCTGTTCCAGGGCTTCTCCGGCCACCTTTTCGGCCGCTGCTTTGTCGAATTCACGTATCGCTGACGCCCAAGGAAGGTCTCTATTTGTCTCCATATCCCGCTCGGAGAGTCGAATATCGGCCTGCACAAGCCTACGGGCTTCCTCAAGCGTGCCGGTGCCAGGTTGAATTATGGCCCTTGGGGCATCACCGGAGTGGAAGAAGTCCTTGTTATCGTCTGACCCAGCGAAAGCAACGTGGCGGCAGGTCAAGAGCAACTTCCTTGTCGTACCGCGGATGCGAAGATAGAGGCCCTTGGTACCTTCATGGTAAGGCGAATCCAATGGGGCGATCGAGAGGCCCAAGAACTCGGAAAATAGTGCGTTCGACTCCTCGGGTTGGGCTACGGGGCCTGATGTTAGCTTTTGTGGTTCCTGGACAGGCTTGGCGCCAAGGTTGCATTGCGAGATCTTGGACTCCTTCATCTCAACTTCAACGTCATGGATCCCGTGCTGCCGTAAGATATCACGGCATCTTAACACAACGTCGACGCCTACGTTCCAGGTGGTGGTGTTAGGCGCAACAGACACAAGAACCGTTACCGGATTGAGTGGTGTCTCGTCAAGGGTACCTCTCACGTTCTGGTATCCGAGTCGTAGAATATCAATCGCGACCCATTGTATTCTGTCAAGGGCCTCCAAGAAATCTTGTCGCAGTCGCCCAGCCGAATCATTCCAGAGTGCGACAATCGGATGTTGCGGATCAACGGGATCCAGGGTCTTTCCACGGGTCCAGCCGAGGTCTGTTTGGGGACCAGTCCACGAATCAGAGCTTGATCTAGCCACGAGCCTTGGCTTTCCTGGGAGCCCGACATAGTAGCATCGGACCTCTTCATCACTTGGTGGGGACGGCCTAGGCATTGTCGAACCCATCTGTGCCTTCGGATGGCTGCAACCGGATTCACACCAGCGTTGATGAGGACCTCGATTGATGGTGGTGAGGGGGTTGAGTCCAGATGCAGGCTGCTTTGAGGCATGGTGACTATTTATATTAGCGGAACCCCAACAAGGGGGATAAAGTTCGTGAATCACGAACCTTATTTCAGTAATACAGCAACGTTTAGGTGTTGTTCAGTTTTCGGCACCCGACCGAACGGCAAAATACAGTCTAAGGATCGTCTAAGGGAACGGTATTGAATCTCAAAAGACAGTCTACAGAGGATAGAACACTAGGATTAACGGATCCTAAGGGCAACCTAAGGCAATGTTACTCGGCGCCGGAACTTTGTCTATGAAAGGTAGGGATTTAGTGTCGGCGGATTCAAAGGGCGGCCTAAGAGAACAGAACCACGAGGTTCGGCGTGAGCTTAAGCTCGGTTGGGGTTGGAGGGAACGGTTTTGGTACCGGGCGCTCAAACGCAGAGGAAAACGTTGAGTTCACTGACGGGATCGAGATCGGAGGCTTGAGCTCGATGCGATCGAAGGGAACGACACGAGACGCTTGACGCAAATGAAACCTTGAACTCGGCGATCAAATATCGGATCGAAGAGAATGGTGGCCGCTGGAAAACGGGGGAGCGACTTCAACTACCGAGATGAGAAGAGAACTTTGGACTCGGGGGAGCTTGAAGAGAAAGGTGTCGGATGCCGGAACGAGGAACAGAATTGAGTGCGCCGGCCACGAAGGAGATTGATTGTGGCTGAATCACAGGAAGGCACTGGGTACCAGAACGCGGAGGAAATGGTTGAACTGAATGGATCGGGAGCTCGGGGTCTGCGACGTGATCCGAGGCTTGAACGCAAAGTCTAGAAGCCGAGTCGAGGGAACAGTGCCCAATTGCGGAATGACGAATGGAGTCTGATGGGATCGAAGATAATGGTGGGCGCCGGAACGCGAAGGGAAAAGCTTGAATCGGTGAAGGGGTTGACTCCGTGCTGCTTTCTACGAAGCGAGGTATGGCTGTAAGAGGGCTCATGAGCCACTGGGACGGCGAAAATATACAGATGGTCGACGCAGAAAAGAAGTTGGTTCTGTTGAAGGTTGGATGAGATGTTGGGAACCCAACGGGCAAAGGTCTGTGCATCCTAAAATCGGAAAGAGCGAACCGACTCAAAGAGGAAAGAGCTGAAGACATGCCACGGAGAGCAATGATCTGGTATGTATGTACGAACAGGAAAACGGACAAACCCGGCTCGTCGCGAGAGGATCAAAACACACCAAATCCAGCTCTAGGGGTTAAGAGTTCAAATTGATGGAATCCCAACAGCCCGGATCAAGCAAACTTTTTCTCAACAAGTTCACAATCCGGGCTTAGGAAAGTAATATCAAATACCTAGCTGAAGGTAGTCTAGTAAAGATATGATTTTAGATTGAACGGTGTCTAAAGATGGTCTAAGGATTTATGAATGGAACACCGAGCACCCCAGAGCACCTCATCTACAAAGGAGAAAAGGGGAGTAAGCGTAGGTAAACACGGTGGGATCAAGACTGGACTATGACCAAAGAAGCTGTGTACTTTTGATCTTGGACGAATGCAGATGGTTGACCTGATTACCGAGATTATTCCCATAAAATACATCATAATCCGGTAATGCCGTCAATTGGACCCCGTCCACCATGCGAGACGTGCGTGCGACAGGCTGGAACAAGGGGCAATTCGCTTTGACAGAAATAGTAAGAAGAAAAATCTCGATAGCGGCAGTTCATCCGAAATCCAAGACGCGATGCAACCGTCGCAACAAAGATGCGACGGACAAGGTCACCCCCTTGTTTTGGGTCGGCCGAGTAGCGGTTTGACAGGGGTTGCTCTAAGCGATGTCCAACCTCCAACAATACACTGTCGGACCTATCAACTCGCGAGAACATCTTGGGTATATGCCATCTGATCTAATTGTTGCATTGAAAACTTGGCGCTTAAGCTTGTCTGTAAATAGACTCGGGGCGTTTGAGCTGGTTGGCCTGAAGCTCATTCTCGGAGACGAGGTCGCATCTCGGTGACGATGTCTCAGAGGCCTGGCAGGAGTCATCTCAATTGAACTATTAAAGAGAGATGAAATCCAGCTCAATGTTGTTTCTCTTTCTTCATCCCAACACAATCATTTCATCCCATCTCATCTGTACTCGACATCTTCCCCTTCTTCCACAGCTGGACTGTACATATTGACTCAACAGCTGCGCTGTACAAATCAATACTCTTTTTCACTTTACCCTTCAAACTCAACAAACAAAAGAAACACTTCGAAAAACCGCCAACATGAAGTTCTCCACTGTCCTCCTCAGCTTCGCCGCCACCGCCTTCGCTGCTCCTCTTAGCAAGCGCGCCGTCTTTAGCACATCCACCTACAACGACCTTTCCATCAGCGGCGGCACTGCCGGAAACGCTGCTCAGGAGGCTCTCCAGAAGCTTGGTGGTCTTCCCAATGATTTGACAACTGTTGAGCAGTCGGACATCGACTTTCTCAACAGCGTCAACCAGATCGCCAACGACGCCGAGAAGGAGGCTTTCAACACTGCCATTGATGCTGCTTCCGGTGAGGAGGCCGACGCTCTCCAGGTGAGTGCCAACAAGTCCAATTTTGAAAGCATGATCTAACAGTTTACAGCGCGGCAAGATCAAGAACAAGGTCCTGAAGCTCACCGCCACCATGCTCAAGCTTCAAATCCAGCAAGCCCAGGGTGAAGACGTGGCCGACAAGATGGAGACGGAGAACCAGAAGCTGCAGAACAACATTTCACAGGACGAAGAGGCCGCCGGACAAGCTTCGACTTTCTTGTCTTTTGACGCGACTACGGACTAAAGGAATGGAAGTAATACAAAGCATTAATGGATATGGCTTGGTGGACAGGGAATCTTGAGTGCGGGATACTCGACCTGTTTCTTTTATGAGTTTGAAGCTTTTGATAAGCGCAATAATAATGCCCTTGCCTGATGTCATTTTATTGTGTTCTTTTCTGCTGTGAATTGACCTTGTTGCTGTGATGTGGAGTAGGCATCTTGGCGCAGGGCACCCTCGGCCGAGTATCACCAGTCGCTGTATTTTGCATATGCCCAACCAGTTCCACGGCATCAAGACCCAATCATTCAACCAAGGCATGCAATTCCACTACAAATTCTTCCTATTCAACCGGGCGCCAGCCAGGGACAGGCCCTGCTACCCAAGTGGCGACAAGGCACGAATGAGGCCAGCCTGACAGCAGCACGGCCGCGTCACGACCAAGTTTACTGCCAAATCGCCATGGATCAAGCCTGCATATTGTCATTTTCCCATCTACGGGCCCCATCCTCAGCGTCAGCAATTGGGCGGCATTCAACGACGATAACCCCATGAACACGTCGTTGTGCAGCAAAACCTGTGCCATTTGGCGCCCGACAGCCCTGCCTTTGCAGCGGAAACATGGAAAATAAAAGGCCTGGTTCTCCCACTGCGCAATTGAGGACAAAGGTCAGGTCAGCCAATTGCTAGCGACTGTAGAAGCCATGTCTTCGCAAAACAGTGGACAGGATTTGTTTCCCGCCTTGGAGACGCTCTCGAGGCTCATTGCGCCTCACGTCAAGAGTAAGAGACGCTCAATTGAGCTCTGTCGGTTTCGCTAACGGGGTATTTCAGGCGTCATTTTCCTTGCTCTCATTCTCAATCATTTCCCGCTTCTCCCGGATCTGTATACCTTGCTCACCTCGCAGACTTCGGCTCCACTTATTCTCATCGCCGCGCTGTATTTTGGTGGTGTCTGGGCGCTGCCAAGTGGTGATGGAGAGAACAACAACAATACGTCTTGGGCTTCTTTTCTTGGACCTTTCTTTGCTCTTCAGACCGTCTCCAACAGAATCGGCACTTACTTTAAGAGTAAGTTGACTCAGATTTAGCACCCTCACGTCTAATTGCAATGCAGTTGGATCCTTAATCTCGCTGGGTTATTACTTGCCCATCTACTACAGCATCCCGTTCCCATTCCCAACCTGGGTTCGATTTTTGTTCATGACCATTGTCGTCGCCGTCTGCACTGTTCTCTACCTTTTCGCCCCGGTCACAAAGATTTACGGCCCTCTTCGGTTCTGCTACCTTGAGCATGCGCAGACTTATTGGGTCCTCCTCAATTGGTGGTCGCTAACAGCCGTCTTCATCTTCTTTTCGCCCACCCTTCTCCCATTCTTTGGCTTCGGTCTCGTTGGCGTGTCTGTCGGCACTTGGGTCTATATTTACTACGCCTACCAGGAGCAGCTCCGTACCATCTCGAACCAGGTCACGCAGGAAATCTCACGAGCCAAGGTTTCGGCTGCCGCAGCTCAACAATATGGTGTCTCAGCCAGACAGTATGAGCAGGAGATGCTAACTGCTGCTGCTGCCGCCCGACGCGACGCCGTTCTCGCAAACACGGTTAGACTCTCCGACTTTTTCGACGTCGCATCTCGTGCTTGGTCTGCCCTGGGAGAGACGACCGCTCCTGCCGAGGATGCCATTATTAAGGCTCACCGACTTGTTGACGCCGCGAGTGCTTGCGAGGAAGCCGAGAAGCCAGACAGCCAAAAGAAGGGAGATGCTCAGACGGAGCGACTGGCCCGATATTTGCGACAAACAGCCGAGAGCGCCCAAGAGAGAGCTAGAGAGGCTGTTGCACTTCTCCGAGCAGCCCAATCTGCCGTCCGCGCATCCGAGAACGCAACCCGACAAGACGCAGTAGCTCGACGAAACGCCGAGTACAGCGCCGAGCATGCCGCCGGTACCGCCAAGACTATCAGCGAGAAGATTGCGGGTATCCCAGACGCTGAGCTGGCGGCTGCAAAGGGCGCCGAAGATGTGGCGAGACTAGGCGAGCAGGCCAACGCGGCGGCTTTGAACGGAGAGCTTAAGACGGCTCGTGAGTTGATCGAGTCAGCCAAAACCGCTGCCGATGGCGTTGAGACGTCTACGCAGACTGTTCGCGATGGACTTGAGTCTGTGCAGAAGAGTCTGCAGCAGTGGTTGCAGAGCAGCCGGAAGGGCATGTAACTAATGTCCACGCAATGCTCTAGGTATGAGAGGGACGGTGGGGAGGACTGGAAGAAAACCTCTTTTCTCTACAGTTAGTATTAATACCTCGGGGAAAAGTGTACGCAAGCTTTGCTTGTTATGGGAAGTATCTGGGCTGGCGACTACCAGTGTATGAGAAGGTGTGTACAAGAGTAGAGCGTTTATGAGACTATGACTATATCGAATTACTTGCATGCTAAATCATAGCCTCTGTGTGCTACAGGTATGGTGCACCATTTAGCCGGGTAGGGTGTGATTCTCTTGGGCGTGAGTGGCACCACCAAAATGCTTTTCTCCCATTTAATCATAATACTTGGCCTTGACACCCTTGATAATCTCCTGCTCCGATACCTCACTCCTTGCCTTCTCACCTCTGTCCACTCCAGCCTTGACCCTCGCCTTGACCCACTCTCCTGCTGTAATTCCTGCGCCCAACTGCGAACTCTCATCTGGCTTGTAGCCCAACCTCTCCAAAACAGGACTCTCCACTGGCTTGAGCTCGAGGTCATTCTCCGGTCTCACAAAGTATAAGACACCAAGACGAGTGATCCCGGCCTGGTCAGGTGGAGGCGCGACCACGCGATGAACCGAGCTCTTCAAGAATCCATTCGCCAAGAATTGCAGAGCATCGGCCACGTTCACTGTGATGCTTCCATCGTACGGCTTCACCCACTTCCAGTTACCGCTTGGGGTGAGAACTTGCAGCGCTGCGACGGGTTGGCGAAAAAGAAGCGTAAGGCTCCCGTAGTCAGTGTGTCCTTTGACCCAGACGTTATCAAGCTTGGCGTTGATGGCGTCGTCGCGAGGATGATACTTCATGTATCGAAGGTGACAGTCCGAGACAGCTTCGTCATAGCGGTGAGACTTGGTGAAATGGTCCTCTGGGAGTTCTAGGATGATGGCGAAGAGAGTGAGCAGCTTCAGGGCAATGTTGGAGTGGATGTGACGAGCGAAGCGCTCAATATCTGGCTTGTTTGCGTTGATGACATCGGGCTGCGGTCGTTCAAGTTCTGGAATAAACTTGGGGATGTTGTAAATCTCTGTGTTATCAAAGATGCCAGGCTTGATCTCCTAGTCCTTGTCAGCGAGTCCGCTAGTAGTAGGACACATGGGAACTGACACGCAGTCCGAGTGGTTTGTAACCATTGTAGCCGCCATTGGCTAGATCGGCACGGTACTTGAGCTTCTCCTCGGTAGATAGCTCGAAAAAAGACTTGCCAATCGCGAACTGGCGGTCGACTTCTTCTTGAGAAAGGCCGAAGTTGATGACGTAGAAGAAGCCAATGTTTTGAATGGCGTCAAATAGTTGCTTCGCCAGAGCCTCTTTGCCTCCGGGTTGGTCGAACGTGGAGAGATCCAATGTGACCAGGTCTGCCCAATCAACTAAACATCAATTAGGTTTGTACCTGTTTGAGATTTCATTTTGACTTACGATCATACTTGGTCTCGTCGACCTGCTTGTATGCTGGCAGGGCAGTATGCTGGCCTGGGTGGGCGAGTATTGTGGTCATGATGGATGCAGCCGCTTCGATTTGAGGTTATCAGAGTGTCTTCACTACCTCATCAGCCTTGCAGCAAAGTCGCAGAGGAGACGTTGAGTACTGAATGCATGATGCAACTGCGCTTCTTTAATGACGCCCTGATCCAACGTTGGATTTCACGGCCGGATAAATGCATCGGGATCTCGCCATCAGCAACCCCAATTGCGTACGCCTCTCACTGCAACCATGTAGTATTCAGTCTATCTGATCTGCATCTCTCATGCACTGACTTGCCAAAGGTCCTGCATCATTGGCTAGCCACTACTCTTTAGTCAACCGTCCGTTTAAGAGATACTCTCCAATCACGGCGATCCCACCATTCTCTCCTCTATCCTTCACCACCCCCTCCATAACCGTCGTCAAGTTCTTGAGAAACCCATCATCCATCCCATCATCACGACAAGCCTCCAGAATATTCCTCAACGCCTGTACCTGCATCCCGATCGGATTTCCCAGGTTATCATCCCACGCCTTGTCGTCCCAAGACCGGGCAAGAAGCCCATTATACGGGATCAATGCACCCAAGAACGGGTTCAGGCTGCCTGACACCACAGGTTCAAGCTTCTCGTCGGTTTTAGTGTGACCCTTCTTGAGCAGTGCCATGGCGACAAACATTCCGCTGAACATGCCGAACATTGATGACAAAGCAGCAAGGTCATACCGAGCAGCAGCATCGATGGCAGTGCCGAGATACTCTGGCCTTCCGATCGGTTCGAGGAGAGAGGCGATGGGCTTGAATGCTTCGGAGGTTTGTCCACTGACGACAAAAAATGACTGGGGCCCGCCGATCATCTGAGGCGTTACCATGACCGCCCCGTCAAAGTAGTGTTTGGCAGAGTGGGAGGCGGTCCAAGCTGCCATCTCTCGTGCTTGTTTCGGCGTACCGTTGGTAAGGTTGACAATGGTCTTTCCATCGAGAGCAGAGGCTGAGATTCCAGCTAGTGCAGTCTTGATGCTGGAGTAGTCGAGGAGACAGATGACGATGATATTGTTCCTTGAGATGGCAGTCTGGACGTCCACTTCGAGGATAGCTCCAGCCTCAACAGCAGCTTTGACCTGAGGTCGATCGACAGTGCGGTTCCAGATGGTCACTCTGTGAGATGCCTTCAGAAGAGTTTGTACAAGGGCGGAACCCATGTTGCCGAGGCCGAGAAACGTGAGAGCTTGGGGAGTGGCCATTCTGAGCGTTGCAAGTATAATGATTGATGAATGCTGAGTTTTATTTGTTGAGGATCTTGATGTTTGTTGATTCAAAACTGTTACGGAAAGCTTATCGGCTCTTTATACCACATTTCAGGCAATGAATATCTTCACATGCCGGCCTCACCTCCGTTTGAGCTACGCAATCTAACGTCTAACAGGCGGTTCACGATGGTTGAAGGTCGGGTCATCTATCTGAGTCGTGACTCACGCCGAGTAAATAAGCTGGCATGGATCAATTGAATCATTTGGTATGGCTCGGATGAATTCGAGGCCATCAAGGCACGTCGAAGCTTAGAAATCGAGATGTGGAGGTGTTGATTGATCAGCACCCACACCGAAACCACAGGTAAGCTTAAATTTCCGCTCGACGACCAAGCCAGAATAGGAAAGACCAGACGAACACATCGCTGGTGTCGTGCAGAAATAAGGCGCTTCATGCCATGGCGCCTGTTGAAATGTATCTTTTACTTTGTCATTGGCCTGGAGGCGGACTGGGTTGGGCTGCTGGGCGAGTGTGGGTTGCGGGACACTTCCCTTTGGGCTTCAATAAATCAGTCGCGTTAAAGAATTGACCAAAAGAGTAGAGTACGTGAAATATCATGCCACATATTAGAGAGACAGTGCGAGTAATGTGGGCTACCGAATGCATATGTGCTGCCCGTTGTTGGTTGACTGCGCCTCACTAAGAATTTTAGCCTCAGCCATGTGAGCCCTCTAAAGATCCTCCCCTTAACAACAACCGGCCATGGCATCGTGTCGCATGGCATTCGCCCGACTGCCCTTCTCATCATCAAGGATATATTCTCACTCAATACCATCTCTTCACGCTCATCTACTTGCCGCCAGATCGCCGTCATGGCCACTCAGCCGCCTCGGTACGAGCCTGGCCCTGTTTTCAACGGCACGTCCGCGATCGGAACCGCGGACGTTTCCCACTCAAGGGTTTGATGTGATCGACAAAGACCAATCCATAGAAGAAGAGGACATGCCAGAGTACAACCCCGATCACTTCTATCCAGTGCGCTTAGGCGAGGTCTTCAATGGTAGGTTTCAGATAGTGGCCAAATTGGGCTTTGGTTCATCCTCGACCATCTGGCTTACCCGCGATCTTGAGTGAGTCCCTCGTGAAAAAGCGTGACGCGCCTAACAGTCAGTGAAAGGGATCATCAGTACGTAGCTCTCAAAGTCTACATCCACAACTCTGTCGAGCATCGGGAGCTACCATTCTACGAACGCTTGAATGCTGTCCTACTCACTAGCAAACACGTGGGAGCCGATAACGTCAGAAGGCTCATGGCTTCCTTTCAGGTCTCTGGCCCTCATGGAAGCCACATCGTTCTAGCTCTGCAGGTCTCTCAAATGAGCCTCCGTGATATGGACACTGTGTTTATGAAGGGTCGTGGTTTTGACGAGGACTTCGTCAAAAGCGCCATCAAGGAGCTTCTCCAGGCCGTCGATTTCCTTCATACAGAGGCTCAGGTCGTCCATACTGGTATGCAATTCTCTTTCTCCTCCTATTACTTCTTATCCTTTTCTTCCTTCCCTTCTCCTTCCTCTGGATCGTATTGACTAATTGAGCCATTAGACATCCACCCTGGCAATCTTCTCCTTGGTCTAGAGGACAATTCCCTCTTCAAGAAGCTCGAAGACAACGAATTCTCAAATCCCGTTCCTCGCAAGGAACTACCAGACCGAAACATTTATTTTTCCCGCCTGATGAAGCCCAAGGTTGGGCCGCTTCTTCTCTCTGACTTTGGAGAAGTCAGACTCGGCGCAGGGCCTCACGCTGGTGATATCATGCCCATCATGTACAGAGCCCCAGAAACCCTTCTATATATCCAATGGAGTTATCCTGTTGATATATGGAGTGTTGGCCTCACAGTCAGTTTACCACCTTACTCTGTTTCCCGATTTCGCAAGCTTATTCCTATTAGGCGTGGGATCTCCTCGAGGGTCGGACCCTCTTCAGCGCCCGCAAAGAAGACGGCAGCTTTTCGGATGGCGTTCACCTCTCTGAACTCATCGCTGCCTTGGGCCCCCCGCCCGCCGATCTCCTCAACCGGCATCGCAAGAGGGCGCTCGAGTATTGGAATGAAGATTGTATGTCTGTCGATGTCAACTCGCTGCGTAATATGACTAACCGTGTCTTCTCGCTTAGATAAGTGGGATGAGTTCGTTCCCATCCCGAAAGAAAAGACCTTGGAGGCGGCTGAAACCAAGTTAGAGGACAAAACCAAGTTCCTTGCGTTTATGAGAAGAGCTCTTGCGTGGGATCCTAATGATCGTCCGACAGCAAAAGAGCTACTAAAGGATCCGTGGCTATCAAGCTAGACGTGTTGAGCGGTTGGAGCACTTGCTTGACAGTGCCACGCCTGACTTTAATATAAATATGTAGAAACTGCATGCTACTGAGTATGTATGTGGATGATTGTATTGAGAAATTTACTCTATGAACGCCTCTAAACTAGCAATCTATGTATTCCCCGCTGCGGTCTGTTCACAGACGGCTTGTGAAAGAGCGGATGTTCCTGAAGGCGCCCTCCCCAAAGATGTCTGCGTGATCAGACTTGATCATGTCGGCAGCCTGAGCCATGGGTTAGTATGATTTTGAGAACTAGAATGATTTCTTCTTACCTTCTCTCCAATCATGTAGACAGAGTTTTGGATACGGCAATCGGGGATGACCGGGATGACAGAAGCATCAACGACACGGAGGTTCTTGACGCCGTGGACGCGAAGACGGGAATCAACAACGCCCTGCTGGATGCTCTTGGAAAGACGAGCAGTACCACAAGGGTCTGTCAGATATGTTAGCGGTGTCTTTTACGCTTGCACCAAGTATACTCACGGAAACCAGTCTGGCTACGGTCAAGAACGGCCCTCTTCATTTCGGCGTCTGACTCGAGGGGCATTCGCCAAGGATACTCGCCGACAACGACATCCTTGAAGCCCGCTCCGGTAGTGAGGACATCGTAGGTCCAGCGGACACCCTCTCGCATGGCCAGAATATCCAAATCATTACCAAAGAAGTTGAGGTTGATGTTGGGCTGAACCAGGGGGTCAGCGCTGTTCAGGGTGACCTCGCCCTCAGACAGCGGGCGCAGCAGGTCAACAATAACAGTCATGTAGTTGCCCTGCTCAGGAAGAGGGTAGTGCCACTGGAAAGCGGTGCTGAACATGCCGACAAAGTCAAGCTCAAAATGAGGCTGACCAGCAGGGCCAAATGGATCGAGGCCACCATTGGCAGCCTTGGCCTCACGGTAAGCCTGGTGCTTCTCGAGGCGCTCATCAATTCGAGGGAATCCAACAAGCTCAAGAAGACCAGAGCCGATAGGACCAGTCTTGTCACGCTTGTACTGAGCAACAGCAGCGCTGTTGGCAGTACCGTTGCGGAGAATATAATCCTCCATACCGAAGCCATCCTTGACCTTGAGAACGAAGGGAACAATGGGATGGTCTAGGAGATGCTGGCCAACATGAGGAGAGTCAACCTTGACTTCAACCCCGTTCTTGGCCAGCTCCTTGGCGGGACCAACACCAGAGAGCATCAGGAGCTTAGGAGTCTCGAAAACACCCTGAGATACGATGACCTCGCGGCTAGCGTAGACGCTGAGCTCATGGTTATTGGTAGGGTTGATGACAGTAACACCAAGACAGGCATTGGTGTGAGGGTCAAGGATCAACTGCTTAGATTGGACTCCGTAGAGGATGCTGACGTTGGGCTTGTTCTTGAGGTATAGGAAGCTGCCCTGGCGCTGACCGCCGTGGATGGTATCGACGCAGTGAGTCAGGCCTCGCATCTCGCCATCATAAATGTTTTCGGTGAGGACCTCGCCCTTGGAGACCCAGGCCTGAGTCAGAGCGTCTCGCCAGGGTTGCATCTCCGGGACCAGATCAGCGTGGGCAATCTGGATAGGGCCGCCAGTGCCAATCTTCTTCAGCTCAGCAGGGTAGAGCTTCTCCTCGTCGTGATAGGTTGCACACTTGCGAAGGTAGTCAACGCAGCCGTCCCAGTTCCACTCAGGACCGCCAAACTCCTCCCAGTCGTCGAAAGTAGGCTTTGAGCCGGGAATCCATGTGAAGTAGTTGGCGCAGGATGATCCGCCGAGAGCCTTGCCACGGGTGTTGGGCTTCTCAATTCGCTCATAGTCATCCCGCTTGATCATTGTCGACTTGTATGCCCAGTCATGCTTGCTGCCGCGCAGGTTGAAGGCTTGAGAGGGGGTGGTGATCTCGGGAACCTGGTGGGGGTTGGGAATACCGGCCTCGATGACTAGGATGCGGACATGAGGGTTTTCGGCGAGGCGACCAGCAACGGCGTTGCCAGCGGTGCCACCACCAACGACGATGAAGTCGTACTCGTTTCCGTTGGCGACGAAAGCCATGATTGGATGTATGATAAAATGTGGTGTAAGAGGTCGGGGGAGTTGAAGAAGACTTGAGAGTGGTAAAGTTGTGAGAGTAGTTGAGTTGTAGTAGTTAGGAGTTGTAAGGTAATTGAGTTGTAGAAGTGATGATGTTGTAGAAGCTTGAGAAGCTGTGGATGATGGCCAAGTTGAAAAGCACTGGCAATGTGAGATGCTATATACCTACTCGAAATGCCATCGATGTCATCTTTTGCAGGATGAATCTCAATTCAACTCAGTGTTTCTGGTATTACGCGCAATTCGGCATCGCCATCCGTCAAACCCCGGTCAATCCAAACCATCTGTCATGGTGTTTTCGACTTTCACGGCAGCGAAAAGACTCGCCGAGCCAAGTCCGAACTCCAATGCCGGCAAGAAATTCTCCGTAGTCTTTTTTAGTCGGGTCATCGGCATCTGTACGTACCGACCTTAATGGAGCTTCTGACGTCAGGGCAGACGAAATGGGTAGCACTATGAAGGGTCCATTGTGAGCTTATTGGACGGGTAGTGTTACTAAGGGCAGCCATCGTGCATCAACCCTACCGGCCTACCCGGCAGTTCCACACAACTCCGGACTGACATTGCCGGCTTGTGCTGTAGAAAAGTTCCAGAAGCGCTTCTTCCATTCAAAGTGACAGTTATCTGAGCCGTGAAAGCGAAAAACTCTTGGCTTATCGTATCTTGCCGAACTCCGGGTGATCCATTATCTGCTGCGCAAGCTGAAGCGTCTCGCTCGCGGTTAGCTCGGCATTCAACTCTGAATCATCCAGTCAGCTTGAAAACCTCTTTCATTACTGGTCGGAGAAGACTTCAAACAGCACAATAATAATCACTTTTAAAAGTACAATGACTTCCAATGCTGGCATCAGAGTCTTTACCAGAGTGGTTCTCCCATTATTCCAAGAACACAGGCAGACAAATCTTTGACGTCCAGACACTTCTTACAAATCCTGAGTTTACCATTTAGAAATAACCACAATGTCGAGGCCCGTGTATACCTTGGCTGAAGGTGCGTGCAATACCTGCTCAAATACTGGATTTCTAACTCTCTTCAAGGCCAGCCACTTCGGGATCCCTCCGTCAGTACCACTTTGCCAGTTTTTGGTGGTGGAGGCATCACCACTCTAGGAGACACCCTCCTCCTCGAGACTCTGGCGCATTTCAGCCGAGAGCGCATCCCGGAGAGGTACGCAAATGATACATTTATCTATTGGTCTATCTAACGCCCTATAGAGTCGTGCATGCCAAGGCGTCAGGCGCCTGGGGTGAATTCGAAGTCACCAACAAGGACATTGCTCAGTTGACTTGCGCCAAGTTCCTAGACACTGTCGGCAAGAAGACGCGAGTCCTCTTCCGTCTGAGCTCCACTGGTGGTGAGAAGGGCAGTGCAGATACAGTTCGAGATGTGCGAGGCTTCTCTGTAAAGTTCTACACAGAGGAGGGCAACCATGACATCGTTGGAAACCATATCGTACGTTTTGTGTGCTCCCCTACCACAGCATCCCATTCTAATCTGAAAAGCCCGTGTTCTTCATCCGCGACCCGATGCGCTTTCCATCCCTTAACCGCAGCCACAAGAAGCATCCCGCTACTAATAGGCCCGATGCAACTATGGTGAGTTTTTCTTCAGATCCTTCTACTCTCGACCGGTCTAATTCCTATTCCCAGTTTTGGGACTTTCACGTCAACCAACCCGAAAGTGTCCACGCACTGATGCACCTCTTTGGCACCCGCGGTCTCCCAGACTCGATCCGTCGCGTTACTGGGTTTGGAGTCCACACCTTTAAGCTGGTGGATAGTCAAGGCCGCTTCCGATACTGCAAGTTCCACTTCCGTCCTGAAGGTGGCCACACCCATTTTGCTTCGGCCGAGGATGCTGAGAAGGAGGCCGGTGCCAACCCCGACCACCACAATCAAGATCTCTGGGAAGCCATTGCTCGTGGGGAATACCCTGTCTGGAAGCTGTACGTTCAGATCATGGAACCCGAGCAAGCCGAAGCTTTCGGCCGAGCTTTGTTCGACATTACCAAGGTCTGGTCACACAAGGACTTTCCCTTGATTGAAGTTGGAAAAATGACGCTGAATAAAAACGTAAGACATGGCCCCTCAAAGAAGAATGATAGCTGCTGACACTGACGGTTAGCCCGACAACTACTTCGCCGACATTGAGCAAGCCGCATTTTCCCCCTCCAACATAGTTCCAGGCATCGCCATGACGCCAGACCCTAGTAAGAATTGCCCCTCACTTTTCGACCACCAGAACTAACCATCCGCAGTGCTACAAGCTCGAATGTTTGCCTACCCCGACGCCCAGAGGTACCGCCTCGGAGTCAACTATACCCAGCTGCCCTCTAACCGCCCCATCGCCCCGGTCTACGCACCGTACGAACGCGACGGTATCACCGTCACCAAGAACTACGGAGGAGATCCAAACTATGTTCGAAGTACCCTGAGCCCCGGGATATCCTCTACAGCCATGGCCCAGATATCACACCATGAGCGTGTGTCGCCCACCGCGGTCCTCGGCTTGAATGAGATTCCGGTTGATGAGCAAGACTATGTTCAACCTCGAGAGCTGTGGAGGAGGGTGTTTGACGAAGAGGAGAGGGCCCAGTGGATTCAAACGGTGACCGGTGCATTGGAGGGTGTGCCAGCTCCGTTGAGGCAGGCTGTTGTCGAGATGTTTTCTAAGGTTGATCCCGTGATTGGACAGCGAATGATGGCCAAATTCAACGAGAACGCCACTCACTTGTAGGTTCTTTTAGACGAAGGAGACGAGGGAAGGAGGCGTTAATTAATAGACTTGCTGTTTCCTAGAAGTCAACCATTGTGTCTGCCAGACCGAGGTCTATCAGGGTTCCACATCCAATGAGACATTATCTGCGCTCCCCAAAAGCAATTAATCTGACCCTGTCCCCCGTCAGCCAGAGATAGCCATCTTGATCTTGTATCTTGCTAGAAGCAAAGGAGTAAAGCTGATTGATAAGACTTCGACAACTCCTCGAGATCAGTAAACTTGCAGCCCGCGTCACGCCATCAACTCTCCTTCCCACCACTGTCAGCTAGCCGACGGATCAAGTCAAGTGTCAACCATCTCCAACTGACGCTAACCGGTTCAAGTGGAAGCCCCGTTTACCCGCCCGGGAATTCACGACACCCCCTGGGCTCTGCATCGCATATGCTTCGGCGGAGCCGGACCAACTGTGCCGGGGGCTTCTGTTCCAATGTTATCGTTCAGATCGTGTTACTAAGGCGTCTTTATGTGGAAGGTGACTGGCCCATGGGAACTGGTTGCATTAGTCTAAAGCAAAGCTGAGTATAATAAACCAACAATAGGTCGCCCAAGCCACCCAAACGTCTGGACTTCAAACACGGTTACATTCCTAAAATCATGCTTTCTTTGTTAATCTCAGTTGTTCTCAGCTTCACAGCTTTAGCTGTGCTGCTCCTAGCCAAGCTCTCCAAGATCGGCCAGCGGCCTCCAGGCCTTCCGCCCGGTCCGCCAACACTGCCGCTCCTGGGCAATTTACACCTGGTCCGTCTATGAGAAACTGGCAGTTTGGACATCCATCTAACCGGTTCAGATGCCAACAAAAAGGCCGCATCTACAGTTTGAAAAATGGGCCAAACAGTACGGGTGAGCATCTGACCCATGCCCCGATCCCACCCCCGCTAATATCGCTCAAGACCGATATACTCACTCATCCTGGGAACCAAAATCATGATTGTCCTGTCATCGGATGAGGCAGTAAAGGATTTGTTGGACAAGAGGAGCGCGATATACTCGGACAGACCTGATATGTACATTGGCCAGCGCATCGCGAGTGGCGGCCTCAGACTTGTTCTCATGGTGAGGCGTCCTTGTCTTCTACTGTCCATCCTAACATTAGTTGTAGAGGTACGGGAGCAACTGGCGGATGATTCATCGCATGATACACAAGGCCTTGAATATCACGGTCGCTGCGACCTATTTGCCCTACCAGGACCTTGAGAACAAAGTTCTTTTGACCAATCTCCTAGATACGCCTGACGACCTCTTGCCTCACATTAGGCGTGCTTCATACTCCCTTTCCACTCAGATGATATTCGGGTTTCGGTGCATCAGCAACCAGGACCCAAAGCTGCTCCAACTTTTCCATGTATGCCACATCCCGCCAAGTCAGTGTATTGACGCTAACAAGTCGTAGGGCTTCGATAAATGGAGCGCCTTATCTGGAAGTGCCAGCGCCCAGCTTGCCGATCTCTATCCTGCTCTCCAGAATCTCCCTGATTTCATCGCTCCCAACGTCAGCTACGCAAGAAAGCTGCACCAAGCTGAGAAGAAGATGTATCTGGGTCATTGGGCGAGGACAAAGCAGGCGATCGTGGACGGTCGCGGACTCGTATGCCCATCGTCAATCTCGCTCTCTCGGGGTACTTACAGCTAACGTTGTCTCACTCAGCCATGCTTCTGTAACGATATCTACCGCGCGCAGTTGACCGAGGGATTTTCCGATGATGCTGCAGGTTATATCAGTGGGTCGTTGCTAGATGCTGGGTCAGATTCCACCGCCTCGACCCTCTACGGCTTCATCTTGGCAATGCTCATCTGGCCCAATGTTCAAAAGAGAGGCCAGGAAGAAGTTGATCGCGTGGTTGGGCCAGATCGCCTGCCCACCATGGAAGACTATGACCAGCTGCCCTTTATTCGTTGTTGCATCAAGGAGACTCTGCGGTGGATGCCCACGGTCGTTCTTGGGGTGCCGCACAACGTGACCAAGGATGATAGTTATCTAGGCTATCAAATCCCCAAGAACTCTTCAATCATCAACAACGTCTGGTAAGTACTTGGAACATTCTCCACATCATGATCTTCACATCTAATCGTACCAACTAGGGCAATTCACATGGATGAAACGCGATGCCCGGAGCCGCGAGTCTTCAACCCAGATCGTTTCAAAGACATTCCATCAACCCTCTACCAATCCGTCATTGGAGATGTTGCGAAGCGCGACAATTTCGTCTTTGGTGCCGGACGTCGCCTCTGCCAGGGCATCCATATCGCTGAGCGAAGTCTCTTCTTGGCCATCTCACGATTTTTCTGGGGGTTTAATTTTCTCCCAACCAAAGATGAATACGGACACCCTGTCCAGTACGATGCTGAAGATTTGGTTGGGGGTATCACTGTCCAACCTGCAGACTTTCCTGCCGTCATTGAAGCACGATCTAAGCGCAGAGCAGACATCATCAGGAAAGAGGCACAGGAGAGTGAGAAATCGCTTGATCCCGAGACTTTACAGTGGATCAAGGTGCCAGAGGGAATGGTGTTTAACAACGAATAAGTGGTAAGTGTGATGTGTACGGGTATTCATATGTATGCTTGGAGTATGATGCATGTATTTCTCATGCTAGGCTGCCTTGATCTACCAGGCATGTCAAAGGTGGAATTACACAAGTCCATGCTCTTGAGTATGTTTTCGTGCTTAGACCGAGCTTACTTGGCTGGGTCCATACCGATCAAGCGATGGAGTCCTTAGGCCGGCTTGGGAAGATGTGTCAATATCCCACTCCGTCCCCTTGGCCAGTCTTCTTTGCGATGATTCTGAAAAGGGCACCCTTCAAGCGTCACAAAGCCCCCAATGGTCGAGTCTCCGGCGGCGTTTGCACACTCCCTGCAAATGACATGACCACATGTTAGGCTGTGTTCTGGGACACCATCCAGGCAAACTAGACAGGGTAAGTGGCTAATGAGCTTATCGATACCGCCAATAAGCTGGTAAAAGTTCCTTGTTTGACCCAGGTGAATCGTGGATGCCCCTTTAAGCCGCTCGTGGTCGTCACTGAGGTGTTTGAGCCTGGCCTTTAGCTCATTGAAAGCGTTTTCAATGCGATGGCGGAAGTAATTTTTCAGCTCCTCGAGTGAATGACTTGTTGAATGATCGCCTTTCTCGACACTCTTACCTCCTTGGTGGTGTGGGTGTCCGGAGGGGCCATTAACGCACTGCTGATATCCCTCCGGTGTCTGGATGCGGTGGTTACAAGGCCAGAATTTCATCCAATAATGTTCCATGGCCTCGTCACTTTGCTTCCAGATCTTCTCTGCGACTCTGCAGTCTATGGAAAACTCAGCTAGGGTCTCACGGGAATTTCAATCTCGAGTCGACAAGGGGCAGAGTTCTTACCGGCCTGTTTTGCTCTCGCACACTTCAGAAACAAACAAGAGGCAACAAAGCCGCTGAGGTCGACCCAGAGGTCTATACCAGCGTGAGACAGATCTAGGCGCCCTCGAGCCATTCTCGCAAGGTTAAATAGCGACCAATTAAATTCGGCCGAGAAATTTTGAATATCGACCCATGCATTGGAGAAGTTGAATGAAGTTTCGTACTTGGATGCAAAATGTGTGAATGCCTTGCGGACAAAGAGAGGGAAAGTGGTGGTATTCCACTTCATGCAAGACGCTTGTCTTTGCTTCTGCGACTTGAAGCACACTTGACTGATTTTGCCATAGAGCTTCCTTACCTGCTCGTGCATCATGGTCGGACTTTGGCCGCTGGGAAAGTGCACAACACTCACCGAGGAATAGTAACAACTGAGAAGCTCCTCTGCCGACCCAATGTGTTGCCCGTTGGACTTCTAATACTGGATATAAGGCTGTAGTTCCTTGTCCCCGGAAACCCATTGGAGGCTGGGCTTTTTGAAAAATGACATTTTGGTAGCGGTAAGGCCGTATTTGAGAGAGTCGTCTCGAATATCCCGGTTGAAGAAGGCAATAATAGCACTTGGAAGAATTGGCTTGTTGTACGAGTGCATTATAGCGCTGTGCCCCCATTTCACTAACTGTGAGATCGTGTCACCAAGCGGACTGGTGGGATGGTTTAGACTTCATCCAACAGAGGCGAGGGTTACTTACGGCCCAATGAACGGAAAGACGACCACATCCGAGAATATGTAGAGAACCCTCGAGAATAGAATCCTTGCAATCTCTTTTCTAGTCCAGGCACCATCGTTCCTGGGCATCTTACTCCAGATGATGTCCTGCGAATCAAGCTCGGGAATTTGGGAGGAGGGGGGTAGAAGATCGCTGGAAGCTGAAGCACCAGCCATGGACTTGCTCATCTGGGCAGGGATCTCATATCCATCCACTTCTTCGCATTCGGCATACAGAATATGACTTTTACTCATAAAAGTTCGGGAATCGGCGTACAGGTGGACGTTCGGCGTGGTTGGCTGGCGGGATTCTGAGTCACCCACGACCGGAGTCTTGAAGTGATTCGCAGAAAAACGGCCGGAAGACTGCAAACATGTGAGAATTATTAAGGCACAAGTACTTCCGATCAAGCCATTGAGGGAACATACCTTGCACAACAGGCCGATCAACGTGCTCTTTCCCGACCCTAGTAAAAATTAGCCCAGGCCATTAGGAGTCAAGGAGCATGCAACACGCACCTGTTTCGCCAACAAAGGAGACCAAGCCCGGGTAAATATCAGAGGTAAGCGTCCTAGAGGAGCCCATCATCAGATCATATGTACGGCCCTCGACCAACAAGTAGTCTCCTGCTTTGCTCTTGCTTCTAACGCCAAACCACTCGCTGCTGTCGCCAATCTGGCTCGATCTCCGGGCCCTGTATCGGCTTATTGCATCTTCCAAAAGGGGCCACTCATCGAGATTAACCTTTAGTGTGGAATACACAATGATGGCGTCGTTCGGGATGGTCTTCTCATGTCCTGGTTCTGATTTTACGTGCTTTTTTCTCTTGAACCAGCAATTGTCGCACAACATCTCATCGCATCGCATGCAATAATGGTATGGCTCTTTATGTTCCCCATTCTTGGAACACTGAGCCCCCTCCCACAAAAATGCGTCGGATGACATCGAAAATATTGAAGAGCCCGAGGCAATGCTTCTTTATGATTAGCTCTTGGCCTTTACCTACACAAAATTCGACCTAATTACCTAGGTAATGGATGCAGATTCTGTTGGGGCGCCCTTTGGTTGCTGTGAATGATCTTCGGGGCAACGGTCACTGAGAAGGTGCTGCTTGTGAAAGCAGTGACAGTCAGGTGAAGAAACCAAGACGAAATGGCCCAGTAGGGGAGGGGAATATTTATAGACCCCGTCTGCAAGCGCCAAGGTTATGCACTCGGCAAATTAGCAGGCTGGCTGTAGCAGGCTGTAGAAGGCTGATTGCAGCAGCCTCGGATTCCCCTATCAACGAGGTCCGATGCCTAATCAGCGAAGCGACAGTTACCGACTCTTCCGACACGTTAGAAGCTATATTATGTCAATGGCGAATCGCGGCTCTCTCTGGCTGTGCTTGACGCCCTGGGCAAGACGACACAATTTGAGGCAAGGGGACACAAACGTGTGGTGCACATTCAGAGCCTGATTCTCAGCCCCAGCTCAGCTGAACCAAGTTGGATCCAATCAAACCCACTTGGTGGTCACACTGCATTTTAAGATGAGGTCTCCCCCCATTTTAGTAGTTCTCATGCGATGCAGGTGCATTTCCGGCGCTTAGGGGGACTGGCCAGGCGACCGAGACATACAGACAAAAGCAAAGGGGCATTTTCTCACCCAACCAGTAGCCCAAGGATGTACCGATATAAAGGGTGTTTTTTATGTTTAAGTCAATCCACCGCAACGGCCTTGTCAGTCTTTCTGGAAAGTGCAGGACAATGGGGAGTACAAAAAGAATGGGAGAAAAAGGAAAGACATCAGTTGACCGCATCACCACTGTAAAAAGCACCCAGAGTCATTGGGTAGTTGATCTGGCACGTGGTGAAGTTATCGGGAAGAATATACCGGGAGTTATCCTCCATACCGGTCTCATTGCTATCTCGCCCAGCACCGTTAACCGTATAACAACATCAAGGGCAGCACCACTACCAAGTGGACATAGAGACTGTGAAGTTATATGTAATGATAAAACACGTTGAAAATTATAATACATAAATAGAAAGTAAGATGACAAAAAAAGAAAACCCTTCACAGCGCTCAGCCTCAGGCATCCCAGTCAGGAATGTCCCAGTCAATAACCTCGTTGCACGGAAAGTAGTACTTTCTGTCCTTCTTGCTGGTTTCGCCTTCACCCTCGAGCTTGTAGTTAAGAAAGGCATCGACGGCATTGCAGACGGGAAGGTCAAAGAAGTAAGGGGCTCTGATGTCATTGTCGACCAAAGCATCGAGCGTATCCTCCCACTGGTCAAGGCTGTTCCATTCCGCACGTGGCTTTGACTCGGGGGTGTTTTTATAACCATTTGCCTTGAAGGTCGCGAGGGATCTAGGCGACGGGTTAGCAGCGGTACAGACGGCGAGGCAAAAGACTGGAAACTTACCCAAACACAATATCCTCGGCCGACAAAAGTCCCCAATCTTTGGAAGAACTATCCGCATCCTCGTCACTCAGACCGACACGAGTGCCCAGCTCAGCAAAACCAGGGAGATCTTCAAAGTCCTTGCACTCGGCGGTTTCCTCATCCCACCCAGCTTTTTTGCAGTTCTGGGAGGGGTCCACGGCGCCGACAAGATAATAAGCCCTGTTTTTGCCCTTGTCACAAATCATCCTATCGTTGCGAGTGTCTTTGCCGAGTACATTCTGGATCCACTCGTCGTTGGGCGCGTCCTGGCAACTCCGTCCGCTGTCCAAGATGCTGTGTCGAGAAAGAGTCAGCTTGCCCCCGAGGTGGTTTTAGGGGTGGTACGTACAATGGATTCAAATCTCGACCGGCCACCCTCCACGCCATGGGAATGAGCATACCGTAGAGCGTCTTCTTGAGCTCAAGGTTGATAGCTCCAACGTTGTCCAGCTGCGATCCTGGATCAATCAATTTGCCACTGGCCATGAGCTTGGACATCCTTTTTATGCTCGCCTCGGATCCGTTGAATAGGGTCTTGGCGTAGGACTCCATCCCACCTCTCCATGCTCTTGTGATGCCGCTAACCTGGTCTTCCAGCAGAGCCTCCGGGTCTATGCCTTTGTCCTCTTGGGTGATGAGATCCTTGGCCAGTGTGATGCCCTGATATGTCATGTCGTTGACGAGATCTTTGATCGTGTCAAAGTCATCCGAGTTGCGCCTCGACCAGTCCAGGTTCCGGGCCCAGCGGTTCCAGAAAGGTGCCATGATACTGGCGTAGCCCATGGCAACAATGTCAAGGATGACATACAGGCCTACGCCATCCTCCCTCTCGGGTGGAGCGAAGGTCTTGGCAAAGACCCCAATGCTTCCCTTGACATCAGTCGCTGCGTCCCCGAACAGGTTGATGATGTTCCAGAAGGTCTTTTCTCGAATTATTCCACAATCAGCTCACTGCTGCAATAGGGAGATAAGGGAGAGAAGCACATACCTGAGACAAGACGATGAAAGAGTTCAGAATCAAGAAGGGTGCCGCGCCGCCATAGTCTTCATCACAATCTACGGTCTGATAGCAGTTGTTTTCTTCCATCATATTCCCACAGTTCCTGAGATCGCTCGCATGAAAGTAATCGCTGATAATGATACTAAAGTTGAGGTTAGTACTTCCCCTGGATGCCCTCCAATCGTCCAGGGCGTCTTCCCAGGCCTCGGAGGCACGTAGTGTGTTCCAGCGGAAGGAAGGTTCAACAGTCGCATCGTTAGCCCCAGGACTTGTGCAGTCAATGTCCCTCCAGGTAACTTCATCAGATCCCCCGGAGGATCCGTCGCCGGAAGATTCAAGCGGCCAGCAGCGGTTGTGCCAAAGGTTGAGTCGCCCGTTGTTTGGGTCCATGGACACGTAGTCGGCACGTCCATCTCCTGTCATCTGCATACGATATAGATGGTTAGAAGACGCTCTGTGTCAAGAGAGAGCAGGTCAGTCAAACTTACGTCAGCAATCCTGATGGCGGGGCCCCTCATACATGTACGCTCGAGCGTACAAATAAGGTCACGTGATATACTGTACGCTCGAGGCGTATAAATAAGATCGGTTATGTAAGAGGCATATGTGTGTGTGTGCCACAGCGATCCCTTTTCAATCAATAACAACACCATTTACGCATATAATTAAAGGAAGGGGATAATTCTTCATATATGCACTTATTCAATGCACGATATATCATCCATTGGCAAGGCACGAGTCTGCCCGTGGCCGTGAAGAACAGATAATGCCCCCTCACGTCACTGTAGCTACCGCGGTGTAAGTGAATCGCCTCAATGCGTGCGGTATATAAAGCAGAGCCTTTTCCTTTGGTAAGAGTTCTCTATTTCCACATCAAATACTATCGTGAAGATATATAATGTACTTCAAGATCCCTCTCGGCGGCATCCCAGATATCTTGCATGCCTCGCCGCCTAGAGAAGGGCTGCTCTGCCATCTCTATCCCTACATTCTGCTCGACGCGCTCGTTCTCAGCCTTATCCCAGTCAAGATAACTCATCATCTCCTCCTTAGTCCACTCTCTCATGCTAGTTCCGGCCCTGCAACGCCTCCCCATTTGCTTGTAATCAAGGCACCAGTCATATTCCGCTTTGCTATAGCGTTGAGGCAACCCCATAGCCCTCCGATACTGCTGGTTGGTCTTGAGGCCTCCCTGAGGCAGTGTAGCATACCAAGCTTCTCGTGCTTCCTTATATCTTTGGAAAATAGCACGGGGGTCATCGGGCCGTAATACAGGCACATGTGGTGTAGTAATAGCTGCCGATTTGGCTGCTGGAGGAGATACCACACGGGTTGTTGTGTGCGTCGTCGTATGCGTTGTTGTATAGGCCACAGTCTCGGATACAACGGAGACTCCTGATGGGGATGATGGGGATAGCGAGCGGGTTACGGAGCGAGTGGCTGTATGTGTTACTGTGTGCGTTGTCGTGGTGGTCGGAGGGGGGGGCTCCAATAGATCTTCGTATCGCAATGGGCACGCTTTCGATGTCATCTTATGGCCATAGTTATGGCATCTCGAACATTTTGGCAGTGCCCTTGGCTGTGATGCCTTCTCAACGGCCTCGAATGCAGAAGGCTCACGCTGCGTGCTTGACGGTGGCAGTGTCGAATCAGCTGCTGGGCGATCAAACAGCTTGCGAGGCTCGACAATAAGCTGGGGGGTTCCTGAGCGTTGGAGGTGCCAATGTGAATGGAAATGGTATAGTTGAAGGGGCAGACCTTGCGCCAGTAAAGGCTGAAGGTTATGAGCGCAAGGTAGACTGAGAGTCTTCGCGAAGACCCCTGTACACGCGGGAAGCTCCTTCAATAGCCGTGCCCGTTGGCCATCAACCTTCCGCAGGGCTTCGTGTGAGATCCAGCCGCGGATATTGCCATATAACACCCCAGATATATCGAGAGGTGTGGTGATCTGCTGCTTGGCCTGGTTGGCCTTGAGCTCGGAAAGCTGATTCGATAGAACAAGCTTGATGATCCTCCAGGCCTCAAAGAGGTCAACTTGAGAGTGTTTCAAATGACTCTTAATGAGCTGATGAATGCCCTCGGCCCGAGAGGTAACAAATTGCTCGAAGTGAAGATGTTGGTGAACCCAAGCCTTGACGAATCTCTGCTTATGGGGATCTAGCCAGGTCTCCATGATATAGCCCACCTCTTCAACGTGCATGGGAAGGTAATGCTTCTTCCACTTCTCGAGTCTCTCGTTGTATGTATCTTCGGTTGGCGAGGCAACGATCTCATGCCATAGGTCATAGAATTGCTTCCACTCTTCTTGCCCCTTAGGGTTGCCCTTATCTCGAGTGAATGCAGGCATACAATGTGTCAGGACGGCCTTATTAATATGCCATAGGCACAAGAGTAAGGCTGACTCAGGGAAGCAAGAAGAAGAGGAAATAGCATTCATACAAGCAAGGCAGCGATCTGTGAGTATCACAGAAGGAATAGCTACCCCGTGAAGCTCATATATATGCCTCAACCGTTCAAGAGCCCAGATGAAGTCATTCTCTTCCTCGCCGCTAAGGAAGGCAAATGCAATACAGAAGGATCGTTGACAAGCATCAATACCAACTATATCGAGAAGGGGCATCTTGTACTTATTGGTCTTGTACGTACAATCCAATAGAAGCACTTCGGGATATAATTTGAGGTATTCCAGTGACTGCGGATGTGCAAATAATACTGCTATAACCCTGCCACCTTCGTCGAGGCGAATCTCGCTCCAGAAGCCCTCGCTGTTGAGCTGATCAGCAAGGGCATGTATGTTGCTCTGACCCTTGGCAAGATCTCGCTTGCCCCGTGCAATGCAGTTGTAGATATCTTGCTGTGTGGCAAGTGTATCTGAAGTCGTGCGTAAATAGGATCTGATCTCCTTAGGCGCAATACCGGCGTTGGCGAGCTGGTGGACTGTTGATTCATCTGAGCGCGATAATTGACGATGTACTGGATGTGCCACTTGGTGGAAACTTGGTTCGTGATTGTGTTGATCAAAGCCAGGGCCGGGACGATGCCTCAGACTCCATTGAGTCCCGCACAGGCTCTCCTTTGCTATCACAGAGAAGAGGCATCCCGTACGACGTGATGCGGTCTTGCGTATCCGTTTCTTAGGGAATGTAGAAGGGGCACGCCCTCCTCCGCGGTCACATATAAAGGTAACCCTAACTCTCCCATTGGTAGTCTTACAAGACCTTTGGGAGATAAAGGCGTAGCCTCGTGGCGCTGCCCAGGCGTTAATTGCTGTTACCAGTTCCTCTCGTGAGCTAAAGTCGCCTTCAGGAGGAAGAACATCCCTGGGGAAGCCATGAGAGTCACCAATTGGATCCATTATAGCAGAAACAAGGCGCGGCAACGAGAATTAATACCGTAGAAGCTGTTGATCGCTAAATAAGGGGCTAATCTGCGGTGTGTGGCCTCTTTGCAATCAGGCCACATATGCCTCTTACATAACCGATCTTATTTATACGCCTCGAGCGTACAGTATATCACGTGACCTTATTTGTACGCTCGAGCGTACATGTATGAGGGGCCTGATGGCGGATCCAGTAGAGCCTGTTCTATCGGCAAAGCTCCGTGGCGTGTCCCATCGAATCGAGCCATCGTCGCGCCAGCCCAGGTGATGCCAGGTCCGTGTTTGCCCGTTCACTCGGCCGACCACAACGTAGTCTAGTTTGCCGTCGCCATTAGTATCGGCAAAGTGAACATCTTGAGGAATAACCCCTGCTGGTCCGTCAGCAACCAATGTGGCAGGCCCCCAGGTAATCGGTAGAGTGTTCAGGTTCTTCCACCACACGGTAGCTCCATTGTTGTTCATGTAAACGTAGTCATCAAGGCCGTCTCCGTCCAAGCTATATCGCGGTTGTCTATTAGCAGATGAAGGAACTTGGTCAAGGGGGGTCAACCTACTCAGCGAAGCGCACATTTCGTGGATAGAACTCTTCCCATCCAAATTTCTTCCTGAGGGTTTCTTTGGGGCCTGCGGCACACTCTGACTGGCCGCCCCAAGACCATCCGGCCTCTGGACCCAGGTTCCGCCAGAACCAGGCCTGTCCTTTGTCCTTGTCGACGACAATGTAGTCTGCGCGGCCGCTCTTTGTCAAGACTCCCATCCGGATCGACTCTCTGTCATGAGGGTTGTTCTTCATGATCTGACCCAAATCGTTCCAGACGTTGGATCCTTTTCCCTTGTTCAGGTAGCCCCAGCCTGCGCCTTCATGGTCGACCCAGAAGTAGTCTTTTGCACCATCACCGTCCACTGCATGATGCGCGTTAGTATATGGAAACAAAATAAACTGATGAGACTCACGGTCGCAGAGAAAGACTCCTTCTCCAGGCTGATACTTGCCGCCTGTGCTCATGTTCTCCCACAGCGTAACTTTTCCGCTCTTCTTCTCAATACGCAGGTAGTCGGCTTTACCGTCGCCAGTGATGTCAACCAATCGAACTTCGTCTCGCTCAGTATCGGCCGGTCCCTCAGCAACCACTACAGACCCTAACCATCTCGGTAGTATAGTCTCCTCTTGCAGACGGTTGATAAACCCAACCACCTTGCCTTTAGCACCAACCATCATGTAGTCGGCCCTGCCTTCGCCGGTGAAATCTCCAAGGATGACGGAATCGTCTGGGGCCTTGGAGGCTCCCGTCGCGATGGTGTCAAGCCTATACCAGTCAGGCACGATGCTGCCCCCGTTGTTGATCCAGGCCTTCACTTCGCCGCTGTCCTGGTTGACGAGGCAGAGATCGGCTCGGTGATCGCCTATAAAATGGCGTCGTTAGTGAATGTCAACAAGGGAGTAGTTTTCGAGGGCTATACTTACCATTGAGGTCCACAAATTGGAGATTCTTGTTTGTTGCCCCGATTCCACTAGCAATCACACTGAGGGGCTGCCACTGCCATGGTGCGCCATCAGTACCTTCGCCTCTGTTAATCCATGCAGTAATATCACCCGTGACTGGGTGGACGTAGATGTAGTCATCTCTGCCATCTCCGTTGAGACTACGCAACAGTCAGCCAGCAGACAAAGAAACAGCAGAACGGTAAATGTACTCACTCGGCAAACCTGACTCCTGAGCCGAGACGGCCCTTGTTCCCCGAGGCAATAGTCTTTGCTTCTCCCCAATTGCCCGACCATTTGCCATTGCTGCCTGGGATGTTAAGCATGACCTTTGTCTTTCCAGTGTCTGCGTCAACACAAGCATAGTCCTTCAAACCATCCCCATCAAGATCCATGAAGTGAAGACGATCACGAGGGCAGTCACCGTCATGTACAACACCCCTTGAGGCCCATGCTTGGCTGAATGAGGGATCAGCATAAGCCCTATAGAGTGTCAGCATCAACCCTGCACAAAAGTGAAACTGGGATGGCGTCCATACACCTTGGCGCCAGCCGCGATGGTGCCAACATTGGTCCACGATGGGGTTGGTTGGCACTGGGTCGCCGTTGATCCCGTGGGGGTTACTGGAGTGCCCGGATCGGTTATCCAACCCATGCTAGAAGCAAGCTGAATGGCATCATAGAATTCGTTCGACATTTTCTGATAACCCCTGTCATTGGGGTGTAGGTCATCGGCAATGTCGGAAAGTTGGACGGCCTCGTTCATGGCAACCACAAGCGCTTTCTTCCCCTCGGACCTGAGATCACTCACAAGTCCGGGGATAGCAGCATTGAACGTTTCGATGCGCGGTTGCGTTGTCTGGGCTTTGGTTGACGGAACAATCTGACACACCAAAACGACGGCCTTGGGGGACACCTTCAAGATCTTGTCGATCAGCTTCTTGAGGCGTGCAGGGGCCTCTCCAGTTTTAAGGTCCTTGTTCATATCGTTGGTTCCAGCATGGAGGAGAACGATATTGGGGGCTGCGCTTATACCAATACTAGCCAAATCCGAGATCTCGTCGATGACCTTGCCTCGATGTCCCTCGTGGTCTGGGTCAGACATGCCGACGTTATCAGCTCTTCTCCCAACAAAGTCGAGTTTGTTCTCGAGCTTAGCTAGCCTGTCCCAGAGATACTTGCGGTAGCCATTGCTATCTGAGCTCTGAGCGCCCCAGGTGATGGAACTAGGATGCTGTTAGAATTGTTGATGATGGTGAGTAAAGACAATGTCCCCGCGATACTTACTCTCCTATAGGAAGCACCCTCAAATCAACACCATCGGCAATTGATTCTCGGCGATGCAGGTGTCGTGGGGATCGTATCGAGGCATTGGAAACTGGAACCCAGGAACTCAAGGTCACCAACACAAACATCAACGCTGTCCAGGCATTCCACCGTTGACCGGCGGAACGCCGCTGGTGCTGCGCAGACAATGCCATGTTTCTTTACTCAAAATGGGTAGAAGAACTGACTGAACAACGAAAGACAAGGAGAATTGAGAGTCCCAAGGTCATCTTTCTATCTTTCTTTCTCTTGGCAGACCCTCGTTATCTCCGAAGCCCCTGTCACTATGGGAAAACTTGAAAGATATATCCCGCGGCTAATGCAAGGGACAGGGTGAAACAGGAAGGTGATAACTCTGATCTTAAGCTTAACTGACAAGGGCTTGTTCCTGCAACGTATGGTGAGTGTCATGATTGGAAAGATATACAGCTATCTCCGCCACGGCCGACGTTGGTGCCGTGATCTAAGAGCCGAGATCGGTCGAGATGGGACCATGGGAATTTGAAAGTCAATGTGCTAATGCACGGGGCCTACCCATCACATAAATCTAGCCAGTCCGCGTGTTGGATCTTGTCAGTCAAATTTCGCACAGGTTGCTCAATTAGGTATTTGGCTCAAGGGTTTGGCTTGGCAAAACCCACCTTGCTCTGGATGAATCCTAGCTTCGCGATTAGGATGGCCCAATTGGCTCAGATGGAATCATTTGTTGGCGAAGAAGCGGATGACGCGGGTAACTTTCATCATATCAACAGGCGAGACTGTGGGAGAGACAAGGGGCGAGGCGCGTAAACTGCCGGCCGGCAACTGGAATTCACGACTGTGCGCAACGGCTTCCCCGTCAATGGACAAGGGGTTCGGCGCTTTCAGCCAACGCAGTTTCAGGTTCGGGCTATGGTGTATTACAGCTGGGACTCTGATATCACCAGGCGCTCGGTTTCCCAATGTTACGTTTGCGTTCTGACCTCGATGCTATGTCTTGGCTTTTGCATCGTTCGTCGATGCCAATTACGCGGTTCGACTTAGAGTCTCATGTTCTAGACCTAGGTAGTGAAGAGGTCATGGAACACTACCTTTCGTCGGATGGTAATATATTGGCTGTATCTTTCGATCGTTACGCGCGCCTGTTGGATCCTATGTGTACTCAGAGGGCTCCCTCCACGAGGTATACTAATATGACTTCCGTCTCTCCTGACAGAGCAAGAATTGCTGTGTCTTACGAGAAGTATATGCTAATTATATTAGAGTATGTGCTTAATAATTACAGCTATTATCTTTTAGTGAGATGGTTGCTGCCTCGACGATTGGCGGTGCCCTTAGTTGCCGGAACTCACCCTTCGAGGCAAGTTAATATCTATTTATTCCCCGGTTTTCTCTTCCTGCTTACGTGAGACTCGTGCAGGTGGCGAGGATATGAGATGCAGTCGTTGAAGGCGGATCCAAGCAGACCAGCCTCTCCACTCATGGTCAACACAGTCAAGCATAGTTTAGCAACTTCGGGACCACTAGGATTCTTTCGTAGTATCGTGCCGCGTATCTGTGTAGCTTCTTGGGCGACTCCATGGATGGTTGGTCTCGGGGATATTGCAAAGGAGGCTTTGGCAAATCGAGGACACGCGAAGAAGTGATCAACAGCAAAAGACACAGTCATTACTATGTGACTGCATCAACCCCAATACCGTAAAGCGTGAGCCTAGCCCGTCGTCTCAACTCCCAAGGCTAGCCGATGCGCCTTCTTATCCTCGTAGACCTTTCTCATCACCCGTCTGATTGTGTGAACTGCATGCAAGCAAACATTTGCCTCTGAGGTCGTTAGCAAGCCCCTGATCTGATCTGGTGTCCACATGAGATTGTACGACGTAGAAAAAGACGCCGTCTGTTAGAGTTGGTCAGTATAATAATCAGCACCATGGGAGCAGAACTTACCGAAGGATCGAAACCTAGATTTACGTCGTTTGGCAAAAGTGGACAGTAAATGACATAAATGTTCTGGCCGTTTCGCCTTGTTCCCCGAAAGACTTTGGCGTAGTGGTTCATTTGTCTCGAGTCTATCTCCGAGCCATGACTGGTGATGCCCTCTGAGCTAGAATCAATATCTTGCTCTGGCTTATGGAATATTTCTGTTTCCTCTCCAAGCTCAATGTGAAAGTCGGCTGCAAATTGATGCAAGCGTTGAATCGCTGCTCCTGTACGAACATCCGATGAAGCATCAAAGGCAATAAAGATGTCGACACCTCGCTCTTCTCGAGCCAAGACGTGATTAGGAAGGTTATTCGACATGCCGCTATCCATCAGTCGAGTGCGTCCTTGGGCCTCCCATGGTACGTCAGCGATTGAGTGTTCTACCGCTGGGACATCAGCCATTGAGCGAACACCATCACAAACAACGTCCTTCTCATGATGAAGCTTTGCCCTTTCTGGACCGTGCAGAGACCCCTGGGGAGTGTGGACCCTTGCTCGAATTGGCCGTTCAAGGCCATAAAAGGGGTTTGGGTCGTGACCTGCTCGGATCGGATTTCCCCAAAGGCCCTCCCATCTCTTCATGCTCAGAAAGCTGTTGAGAAGGGACAGCAGTCTCGCCATTATGGTCCCTTTTGCCATAGTCGCTAGCAGAGTCGATATATATCCCGTCAAGGGCCCTGCAGGGGCACTTGTGCATTGACCTAGCAGCAGAGAGAACGACTGCTCCGGGCGTCGATCGATCGAGTGGCCTGATATGAACGTGCGGCCCCATGCCCATGTGGGGATGTATCGATTGAGATCTGGGCTTCCGATCTCGAGAGGTGAAATCTCGAACCACTGAAATTGTCGTTTAGGTTGGGGCTTAAGATCAACAGCCATCTCTGCTGGTGAAGGAGCAGTAGCCGCGGAGCTCTCTTGACTCTTTTTTATCCTCCCCTTGGCACGGAATGTCTTGACAGAACAGGTCGAGTAAACATCCTGTTTCGACCCGTATGAGAACCTCGGCACGCGTCTGACAGCTGTGAGAATGGGCATGGGCTCGAGTCCCTGGTCGATTCCAGAACGATGCCAGATTTTTGACCATTGGAAGGTAGCCCGACTCAGCCTCCCCTTGGGTTCTCGAGACAGCAGCTGGTAGGTCGTCGTCAACGTGGCATAGAGGTCCATGATGCCCAGTCCGATGATGCTGGTCTGGGCTTTTCTTGCCAGGGGTCCAATGAGAAAGTAAACACCCCTCTTGCTCCGAGCAACCATGTCAAGGGCACGGATACTCATCGGATGTGCCAGTTCGCGTGCAACAGTGAGATAGTGTTGCACAAGCCTTGAGATATCATGGCGAGCAATAGTGTAGTAGGCCGCAAGCGTCCAGCAACTCCCGCTTACTCCTGCAACCCAGGTAATGCAGTCCCATAGTCCAAGTTTTTTCGCTGCCGAGATGAAGCCAGTGAGTCCGTACATGGCTCGATAGCCTCCTCCAGAGCCGCCAAGGGCCACAAGGGGAACATCTCTGGGGTCAACTCTCTCGCCTGCAGGGAGGGCGAGAAAGCGATGAAGTGAGTCGTCGCCTGCCGATGATATCTTTCGCTTGCGTAATTCGATAAAACCCCGCTCTCTGTGATGCAGAGAAGACCCATTTCGGACTTGGGCCTCCCATTGAAGTTCCGGGTATGTTTTTAGATCTTGATCATCCCGCTTCAGAAGTGCCTTGACCTGAGCGAGGTCAACTGCTCTGCCATACCATCTTTCGACTATATGAGCGGCTCGTCTCCAAGAACTTCTTGTAACTGAAGACTTGGCACTGCTGTGAACAATATTCCCAGCTTGGTCTCGATATCTGGGTATGCGATGCGGGCTTGGCTTTGTTGTCAAGATACCGTGGCTACGAAGCCGAGGTGCTTGATTGGCGAGATGCAACCTTGAAGTAACTGGCGTGGCTTGGAATAAAGTGACCAGAGCACACAGACAATAAGTCTTGACGTACAAGTAAGTAGGAGATTGACGAAAGGACGTCAGGATGACCATCTTGAGGGCGCACAGTATCCTTTACATGGGAGAAATGCAAATAAGAAAGAAAAGAGTGAGCCATTTGTAAAAGAAGGGCCAACATTCGCCGGCGCTGACGAAATCGAGGGTGTTGATGCAGCCAGAGATGGTTGCACATGGCGCCCACGTGGGAGTTGATTGGCGTTTTCATTCCCGTCTCGTTTCCATATTTGCCTCACCCTTCACAACAAGTAGGCAGACGGTGATGGGGATGTCTTGATGAGATAATTGTGAAATGAAAATATGGATAAAGATGGATGAGCTTTCAATAAAAACAAATTCACTTACTATTAATCTACCTATATAAAGAAGGAGCTTCCGGCGACTGTCAAACTGTCGTCTTCACGCAGCGATTGCCGAGTTCTCATCTCAGCCCTACAGTGAACATCCAATCACATTCTTCATCGGTAAGAACTGATCGAGACGTGAGTGGGCATTGCATTTCCCTATAAAATGCCCACTTACACTGACGTGCGAAAGAACTGAGGTGAAGACTGAAAGAGTTGTCTGAGACGGACGAATACCTGAGTCGCGCCCATCTTATCAAGCACCAGGCTAACCAAATGCATCACTGACAGTCCAGAATTTTACCGCTTACAAGTCCTCTCATCTTAGTTTTTGCGCCGCCAGGCTAAAACGGCATCTTAGCCTGGCGCTTCGGCCGAGTCCCAGGTCCGAAATAGCTGCACTATCGATTTTAATGGATAACGCCCCTTGGTCGCCTCAATCAAGTGTTAGACTAGAAGAGTAGTAGAACAATAGTCTCAAGCCACCCCCTAGCTGACGACTGCCCATTTCAGCTCTCGTGAATAAATGCAAAGACTGTTCCAGTCTCATTTGCAGAATCTTTCCGGCTTCATCGAAACCTCTTGACGCCATGGCTCTTCGCAAAGCCCTCGCTGCTTGTGCAGCTCTTGCTCTGGTGGGTGTCGACGCCAGCGTCTGTAGGCCTCAATCGAGCGACGCCATCTCTTCTTCAACAGTGATCGAATCATCAACCATTGTCGCCACGTCTTCTACCACCGAATCGTCAACTGTCGCTTCCTCAACGACTATATCTGAGCAAGTCTCTTCATCGGCAACCGTGTCCGAAGAAGCATCATCGTCAACAACTGAGAGCAGCGAAGCCTCTTCTTCAACTGTCGAGACCAGCACCACCAGCACCACTGCCGCTCCCACGTCGACCGGCTATCTTTCCAACCCCGGTTTCGTCGATAATGGAGCTGGCTGGACATTTGCTGGACAGGCCTCAGCCAGCGACCAGTACTGGTATCACGATGCTGTCGGCGCGGCGTAAGTTTCTGCAAAGCTTCCTACATGTCAACAATTTGTTAACAAAAAAATGTAGTTATCTATCTGTTACGGCAACCGGACAAGACGCAGGGGCCTCCATCTCCACCCCTCTCAGGAACCTCGTGCCCGGACAAGACTACGTGGTTTCCATGTACTGGAGGCTCAACTGGTGGGCCTATGCCGACGTGTGCTCCTATGTCTTCTTCATCGACGACCAAGAGCACACAAATACGGTTCAGATGATGAACGGCTGGCAGCAGCTGTCGGCAAGTTTTACGGCGCCCAAGGCTGATCCGGAGCTGAAGATTCAGCTTTGGTGCTCAGCCATTCCTGATAATGGAGAGTCTGACTGGGAGCCGTTAGTGAACGCCTACGTCGACGACGTGGCTATCGCCGAGTCTAATTAGAAGGGGATGATAAGATATCTCGAATAATCATTGGCTTCGAGAGTCGTAATGACACTGAATTATACCTATAGCGAGCAATATTATTACAAAGAACGTCATCATGTGACGAGTAGTTCCAGAGATGGCAACCCACCACCAAGCCCAGCAGTGATAAGTTATCATGACAGTTACCAAGATAACAACATTATGCAAGATATGCCGTACCTAGCCGTTAAATACGTAAGATATGCTCAACAAAAAACTTGCCAAGAAACCGTGCCACCAAGCTTTCTTGGCTTGTGGAAACCCCCAAGAGAAATCTCGGCAAAAAACGACGGCAGTGGCCAATATCTTGGCAAGACCCGCGTGCCAGCGTAGGATTTGTAATGCAGATCCGGGCCTTGGCTGGTAGTATTCTTTCATCACTGTAATGCATAATGCAGCCTTTATTGGGAAATACTTCCGAAGGCCGATATCTCGGTGGAACCTCACGACATTTTGGAAAGAAAAGCGAAATGCTGTGTCATCTCGGATGTCCCCCTACAATCTCACTTCCCCTGAATCACAACAGACATGAAAACGGTTTTTCGGGTGACAGTGGAAATTTATGACGATCTAGTCCATCTGATATGTACAACATCCAGCTCCCGAGTTTCAATATCAAATTCCGTCGATAACGTTGAGAGCCGATATGTACAAGAATGCGTTATAAAAAGAATACCCAAATCCCAGTTCTCCATCCCATGCATATCCCTGTATCCCTCGCCAACTCCACTAGCAATCATGATAAAGGACCGACGAGAGCTTCATTGCGTACGCGCGTGTGTATCGCTTAGATGGTAAAGCGGAATCGGGGGCTGCGCTCACCCATCATGTCAATCTCATCGTCAGTCTTGCCCTCCATGAGGTGATCCTGCTTGCCCTCATCACGGAGCTTGTTCTGGCGCTTGAAGTGGAGGTGCAGGATGACGTTGAGGAGGAGAGAGAAGGCGAGCATGCCGATACTGGCACCGTAGCCGGGGCGGAAGTGAGGCTTGTCCTTGTTCGAGAAGAGGAAAGGAGAGGCCACACCAGAGGCGTTACCGACAGTCAGATGCATGCCGGTAGAGAAGGCTCGCTTGCCGTAGCGGGGGTTGTTGGAGGGCACCCAGGCGAAGGAGATGCCCGAGGAGAGGAAGATGCCGATAGAGACAAAGCAGCAACCAGCATAAGAGACACCGTTGCCCTTGCCAGAGATGAGCATGGCATAGCCGATGATGGCAGAAGAGATACCGCCCATGACAAAGTAACCTCGGCGCTGGGTCTTGTCGCTGAAGTAAGCGCAGACGAGGTAGACGATGGCACCGACAGCGTAGATAGGGACAGTCATGGCTTGAACCTCAGCAGAGTTCCACTCGCCCATTCCGAGGATGATGGTGGGAAGGAAGACAACGAAGGAGTAGAGCATAGCAAGGCAGGGGAAGAGAGCGAAGCAATAACCCCAGGTAGTCCAGTCCTTGACAGCATCAATGACGTCCTCCTTGAGAAGCTCGCGGCTGTTGCGGGCACGGCCGACCTGCTCCTCGTGGATCTTGCGGAGGTTCTCACGGTCCTCGTCGGTGAGGAACTTGGCAGTCTCGGGGCTGTTGGGGAGGACGAAGGGGATGATGATACCGGTGATGATGGTGGGGATACCGTTGATGAGGATGACCCATCGCCAGGCGCGCCAGCCAAGAGTGTGGTCCATGAAGCTGATGCCATAGGCGACGAGACCACCAGCGACACCAGAGGCGGCAGCGGTGGAGAAGAAGTAGGCGATGCGCAGGGCGAGGCTGTGGCGGCCGTAGAACATGGACAGGTACAGCACGACACCGGGGAAGAAACCAGCCTCAAAGATACCGAGGAGGAGACGGCAGGCGATCAGGGCACCAGTACTACTAACCCAGGCGCTGAAGGTGGCGGTGATACCCCAGCACAGAGTGAGACCGGCAAGGTAGCGAGCGGGTTGGAGCTTCTTGATGATGAGGTTGGAGGGGGACTCGAAGAGCTGCAAAGTTGTTAGCTTCAATGTCTAAAGATGTGTATGGGATATGACGTACACAGTAGGTGACGAAGAGGACGGACACTGTAAGCTGGAAGTCGTTGCCCTTCATGCCGAGCTCGTCTTCCATGCCAAAGAGACGAGCATTGCCAATGTTGACTATGAATTGATGAGCAAGCGTCTTTGGTGAGTGATGTCAGACACATACCTCGATCCATCATGTTCATGAGGTACACCCACATCACCGTGGGGATGATGCGGAGGTCAAGCTTCCGGAGAACGGCCTTCTCAGTGGCCTTGTCGACAAACTCAATGTTCTCACCGCGCGCCTCCTCAATGCCCTCGACCTTGCCCTTGCCATCGGAAGAGTCAGAGGTCTTGGGCCTGGGAGGTTCATGGACCTCGTGCTGAGTATATGACAGGTTATCGTGTGCCGTCATTCTGAAAGAGATTGTGCTCAAGCTGAAGATGGACTAGTGTGGGAGACTAGTAAAAAGAAGATCCTGAAGCTTCGAGAAGCTCAAGATTAGAAGAGAGAGAAGGGAGGAGGAGGGGGAGAGTGGGACTTGGGAATGCGATTGCTTGCTGAGGAGAGAGTGGGATCGGCGAGAGAATGGCAGGACGGACTGAGTGTTTTATAGAAAAGCCAAGATGTTAATCCACGTGGGTTAAGACAAGACCATCTGGGGCCTTTCTCTCCTCCTCCTCCACAACCCCAAAGCTCATCATTTTCCCGCCCCATATTCCATCAGACCTCTGTGCGTTATTGCCAAGGCATGCAAGCTTTGCTCAAAACTTGCCACGCGAGGTATTTGCTTGGCAAGCGACCCCGTATCTCTTCATCTGTAGGCCAAGCGACTGCAACGCATCCGCTGGCCCTTTTTCGCCTTCAGGCTGAACAGACCAGAAATCCTCACTGGACGGATTCTCTCCCCATGCCTTGCCCCATCTCCGAGATGATCTTGTCAAAACCCCATGATCCTAGATCCCCCGCAGCACAGATTCTTCCTCCCCGCATGCCAAGACTCCCCGACGACTCCGCTATCAGGCTATTCCCGCGCTGGCGGGTGCGCCCTCCGTCTGGGGGAGGGCGGATGAGGCCATGGATCCCGTGTCGGAGCATGCGCGCATAAGAAAAACAACAAGAGATGGCTATAGAGACAATGTCAAGCGTCGAGGGCGGTTTTGCTCGACGAGGCAGCACCGCACAACACGCGCGGAGATAGGTGACCATTTCCCTTCTCCAAATGCAATGCCGGGCGAGCGGAAGTCCCTCACAACCCCCAATCCTATTGCTAATAACTCGGAGCTTGGCCCTGCATGGCCCTGATAAGGGGCGGTTAAGGTGGTGGGCGGGCGCCCTCCCTCCCTCTCCTCTCCTCTCTCTTCGAGACCGCAACTTGGCTGACGTAATCTATGTGCATTATTCCGCTACCACACGCAATTCGTATCGGAGTTTCCATTTTGTGAAGCGCTCCGCCCCTGTCGTGAAAAAAATCTGCACATCTTCCGCGCACCACACAGCGCGCGTCGTCTCTCTCTTCCCCCCCCCTACTCCGCCTTTTTGCGCCCCAACTTTTTTCATGCTTAAAAATATGCATAGGCCAATCACCAAGAGGGGAAATAACTAGACTTTACCACAGTAGGAGTAAGCCCGTCTCATCGCTCCCTCAACCGTTTTCCCCCTTCTTTCCCCCCCCCTCCTCATTACTCTTACCAACAAACTCCACCCATATTGGCCTTCGGTCTTGTCTTTTGCTCGGCGCCAAGTGAACTGAGCCCGAATGTTCAGGCCCGCAGGAAAGCACAGACGGGGCAAGAGAGGACTCGCGTAGACCCCAAGATCAGATCAGATCAGATCACCGTATGACTTTTTCTTGCTGCATTCCAACATCTACCCGAGGGCATGGGATCTTGGGGAGCAAGGCAGAGAAAGCGGGGAGGACGAGAGTACCTTGACCCCATGGGGACCCCATAAACAAGGAGGTGAGGAAATATGGAGAACTTGGAGAATGCGGCCGTTCAAGCGCGCCGGCCAAGGCTTTGCCAAGCGCCAACCAAGCGCGCCAAGCCTGCCAAGCGCGAGTTGCCTTTGGACAAGTCGAACGAGCTGGTTGTTTGGTGGATCGATCAACCCTGACGTCGTCATGCCCTGCTCCCTGTCATTGTTTTGGCTTTACCCTGCCCCGGCTGGCCCCCCCGCCAATGCTTCCCTTCCTTCAGGGCCCAATCTCTGGCCCATCTCTTGTCATCTCTTGTCATCTCTCTCTTTCTCCCTCTCTCTTGTGTGTTTCCAACTCTCCCTCGGTTATCCGGTAGTCCGCTGAGGTGCTTGGACTCTTGTCGAACCACCGCGGGGAAATACCTTGAGGATAAGATATCAGGGATGTGTCGACTACACGTGGCGGAGGTGGCATGAAATGTGAAAATGCCGCGGCTGAAAAGCTGAAGCAAGCTGCATCTTTCCCATGGCACCATTCTGTGACTGTTGACGAGCGGTCTAGTTATGATTTTGTTCAAGATCTACATCGTGGTGCCACTCTGCTACGTTTCTCAGTGAGTCTGGAAGAGGTGTCGGCAAACGAGGGAAATAATCACATTGCCGACCAGGCTGAGCAGTTGTCCCAGTAAGTGATCCGATCCCGTATCATCCTCAATTTTGACTCAACGCCCAGAACATCACCATGGCACAAACTTTTCAACCACCCCCTGGTCGCTACTCGTCTCTGTGCGTTCAAGTTCGCCTCGTTCTCGCGTGGAAGACGCGCAGAAGATGGCGTTGAACACCATCTTCATGCAAAATGCGCCCTTCTCGCGTGGCAGCCACGAGGGCCTTTCCCGTCTGCAGTCATCTCGCTGATCCCCTCGTGTGTGTGATGTGTGTGATGTGTGTGTTGCGTCGTGCCGCCTTACCCGCGCTCCTACCGAGCAAGGTCGACGCCGATCCTCCAAACACTAGCGGGTTTTTTCTTCCCTTCTCCGAGTTTTGTTAACCTCGGTTACATCGTGTTTCTCCTCTCTTTCCCCAATCCCCAACAGCTGGAGTTTAGAGTCTGTCTTGTCTCCTCCTCTCCGAAGGATTCGAAATTGGGGAAACACTCGCGTTGGAGGTTTGGAGTTAAAAAAAAGTTTAAACTCACGAATTCGACGATATCTCGTAGCTCCGCAAACCATGGTGTTTTCAAAAAAGAAACCAAGATATCAAGACAGGAAAAAAGTCCCTCAAAATCCGGGGAAGAGCTGATGAATCGTCTCTTGGCAGATATTGATTTGAAAGAGGCAATATTGATTCGCTCCCCCGGCTCGCCTCCCACTTTATCTTGGCGGCCCCAGTTCTCCGCTTTGAGCGCTGAGGCCAAGAACTGGTGATTGGGGCGAGAGACCCTTGTCGTGTCTGTTACCGCCGTGAAATTGGCTCACTGAGGCTATTCAGACTGAGCTGAAAGCCACGTAGCTAGGTTTGTGCAGTCTCTTTATCGCTGCCGTTTGTAATCCCATCACAACTCGCAATGTTGAATTTCAAATTTCAGTATGAGATATCGAGTCTGAAGCTCAAACGAATTTCTGAGGCCCAGATAATGCGCATGAATCAGGATGCGACGGACATGATGCCGTTGCCACCTCTACCCTACACAACCAGGTGTAACATCGTTCAGCTCTAGATAACCGTTCACGAACGAAACAAAGCCGGCCTATCCCCGTCATTTAGCGTTCATGTGCAGGGATTCGCAGCCGTTCGGGCTGAAGCCGTAGCCTTCCAACAACCTCGGTAATAGTTTGCTGCTCTTCTGAAACACACGCAACACACTTGGATGTGAGTGAGTATAAGGTATGAGGGCACAGATCATCAAGGACAAGGGTTAAAAATAGCAGTTGGTGCCCGACCGGAAATAAGGAGGGTTGACCCTGTCAATCTTGAGAGCGTGCATGACGGAATGGCCTGAGATTGCTATCAAGATGTGAAAGCTGCACAAATTGAGAGATGCTCTGAAAACTCATCGGCCTAAAGGTTACTTGTTTGCTACTGGCTACATGTTATTCATGTTCATACAGTCTTATTTTTCACGCTAGATCCAAGTTCTCATGTTTTTCTTGGATATGCTACCTGCAGGAATAAAACCTCTCAGCCCTATTACTTCACTGGAGGTCCGCCCCCGACACTTCGCTTTCCACTCCCCGAATCATGCCGCTCAGTCTGAATATCCCAAAGCCTGTGTAAGGAGGAGCCCACAGACGAAGATCAATGTCGACATGTTTGGTGTCCTGGAAACCACGATTCTTATAAAAGGTGTATGCTGCAGGCTCAGAGCAAAGCGCAAGAGGAACATGAGCGGCATCCGCCCTGCTGAACGCCTCCTGTAGCAACAGTGAGCCGATCCCTTTCTGGCGATGCGATGGCTTTACGTAGATGTAAGTCAACTCTAAACTTCTTGTTAATCTTCAGGGTCCCAGTTTGCTACTAGGGGTCTGCATACCCAAATGGTCAAGGCTATCCGTCTCTCGATTTATCTCAGCCGCGGCGCTATTCACTGCCGACAAAACACCCGCATGCATCCCCTCTGGCACGCTTTGTTCCTCGACATCGCTGCCAATCTCGCTATCTTTTCTCGCTTCAACGGGAGTCTTTGGCGTCAACACAAGATAACCGACAAGCTCATTCGATTCTTCGTCCACGGCTTTGAGACATTGAACATTGTCGTTGTTGAATGAAGATTCAACAGCACGTCTGTACTGGGGCTTCTGGGCAGCATCATTAGGCCAGTTGAGATACAGCAGCCGATTGATGGTGAGGCAGAGCTTGGAGGAGTGCACAAACTCGGAGAGCATAGGCAGATCAGAGCTAGCGACGGGGAGGATGGAGATGCCCATGATGTTTTGGTTATGCTTTTCTGCAAAAGGAATCATCGGGTTGGAGCAGGTGTACCCTATATAGCCGCTATCTAGGCTCCAATATTAGTTCCTAAGCTAGGCACCTACGACCTAATTTGTTGTCAACATTTCTTTCGTCTTCTAGATGTAAACGACGAAGAAGTGACGCGTCGCGCCATTCATCAGGCAGCAGATTATGGTGGGAAATTCTCTTTACATCTCCACGGAAACCAGCCGAAAACGATCCGATATTCCATAGATAGTAAAGAAAATTGCGAATTGTTGTCTCCTGCTTGTATCCTAGACACTAAACGTAAATATCTAACCCCAAAGGTTACCTTGCCTAACTTCACATCAACAGGATCCTACTACAATAAGCACCCTTCGGGCAAGTTCTACCACCATGCACATCGACAACTCATTGACGAAAGAGACAGCTTTCCTACCTGATTGTTATAAGAGACTAGAAAGTTCGGTGGCGAACAGGGCAAGAATCATATTTGGCAAGTTAGCAACACCATGTTAGCTACTTTGTCCCTCCTCCTCTTGCTCGCATAATTGTACCAACTCCACACTCCCAGAGACGCAACCCAGAATCAGCAAGTCATTCACCAAAAATGCGTTCCCTGCCCTCATGTCAGGCGGCAGCCATAATATCCTATCCTGGCCTCTCACAATCCACTCGCCATCGACATAGAATCCACGCTGGGAACAGTTGTGCCCAATGTCCACTACCCCCCGCTCCGTAGTCAGGTAATTGCCACAGTCTGACAGAGCAAGCCTGGAGAAAGCATTGGTGACCCAAGCTGTGTCAGTGCAAGTGCCGTCGCCCAGTTTCCAAATCGTAACTGGGCCTTCGGATACGGACATCATCAGCTGGCTGTTGTCAGGTGAGAAACCCATGGCTGCCACCGGACTAAGAGGGCTCTCGATCTTCGTATCAAGCCGCCCTGTCTCCGTGTCCCAGACCCGTATTATGCGGGAATCTGCTCGATAAGACACAGCGATTTTTGCTCCATCAGGAGAGAAAGAAACTCCACAAATGTGCCCAGTGGAGTCTTCCAAGTGTACACGAGGTCCGCCAGTTGACGCAGAATGCCAAATCTCGATTGCCTGTTCCCTGTGTTGACTTATAGGGTAAGCGATCGATCCTGTCTTGGGGCAAAAGGATAAAAAATTGAAGGGGTCATTCATGTGAAGGAGGGCCAGTCTGTTGCCAGCAGGTGATTCCAATATTTGTCGTGTCGCGCCAGTGGCAGGATCCAACAGGTGCACCGAGAAACTCAGCAGTACAGCCAGTGTATTACCATCTGACGAAAAGCTCAGTTCTTCGACATCGTAACCAATCTTTTCCACAGCATAAGTCTTTTCTCCTTCGGTCAAGTTCCAGATTTGAATTCTTGGATCCGATTCGGCCGTTGTGAAAGCCAAGACATCGCATCGAGGTGAGAACGCAAACTTTTCAATAGCGGGAAAGCGAGCGCCTTGTGGTATCAGGGTCCCAGCTTCCAATTTCCAGATATTCATCGTCTTGCCTTCAGATAAATCGGCCAGTATCTTCCTGTCTGAAGATAGAACCATCCGCCTCATGTTGTCTCGGGGCTTCTTCAGCTCGAGCAGTTGCTCGGACGGTAGAGAGCAAGACTTCAAATCCCATAAACGGATACTGCAATCGTAGCTCGATGCAACCATTGTGCCATCGGGCGAGAAAGCCACTGTCCTCGTTGTGGAACTATGCTTTAGAAGCTCTTTGGAAGGTTTGCCTGTCTCTGGATCCCACAGCTGCAATGAACCATGGCCCGAACCCGAGACTTTGGCTGAACCGTTGGCCGAAAACGCTAGTGAATCCAGCCGGGCACCCTGTCCAGGGTGCCAATGCTCATTGCTGAGAAAGTCGTCGCGCTCAATGGTGAATTTCTGTTGCTCTGTCTTGACGTCCCAAACTATGATTCGCTCAGAACTTGAAGCAATCAAATATCCGTCTGGAGAGAAGGCCATTGAGTCCATGGGCTCCTCAATCGTTTCGAGAACGCTCCTTATTGTTTCCGTCTCAAGATGCCAGAGCTCGATCGAAGTCGTAGTAGTGTCGAGGATATCATCGTCAGGAGGGCGGGCAATGGCAAGGACATCGCCGTCAGGAGAGCAGGCAATGGCAAGAGGAGAAAAATAATCGTCCAACACATCGTCAGAATCATAGTCAGAGTCATCGTCAGAATCATCGTCCAACTCATCGTCCAACTCATCTTCCCACTCATCGTCAGAATCATCATCGGAATCATCATCGGAATCATCATCGGAATCATCGTCAGAATCATCGTCAGAATCATCGTCAGAATCATCGTCGCGAGGACGAAACCCAATGTCGATGGTCTTGACCAGTTCGCCCGTTTGTTCATCCCAGACCCATATCATATCCTTGAATTCGTCTGCACTTTCATACGAACCAGAAGCAATCAACTGGCCACGAGGCGAGAAGGCAGTGTTCTCCAGGGAGGCATTCTCGATTCTCAGCCTCCTCTTTAAGCTGCCCGTTTCTGTATCCCAGAGGCAAATCTTGTCATCGGCCGAAGCCGAAGCGATCAGCTTTCCATCGTTGGAAAATGCGACAGAAGTGACATCGTATTTATGACCCTCTAGAACTTGCAGTATGGGGCTCCAGTCATCGTGGGGGTACTTGATCCTCTTCGCGAATGGTAATACTCGGTCCCGAAAGGTTGACTTCACAGGGCTATTGTTCGGGCAGAACGCCAGAGCCGCGCCGTAAACCTGAAACGGAGCGCGTTCAATGATGGGGATGAACTGCATTATGAATCTCTCTGCATCCTTGAGAAATGGTCCAAGCTCTTGATTGCCACCCTGTCGATTCTTGAGGATATTAGTGCAAGAACGAAGGGTTAAGGGACCAGCCCTTTCTTACCTTGAAGATCCGAACGAGCCTCTTCATAGATAGTACACCATCCCTGAGAGTATGCTGCAAAGACAAGCTCCTAAGCCAATCAAGAAGATGATTCTCGAGGAACTTGAAAACGAGCTCCCCGTGAGACATCTCCTCCCTTGGTGTCCAATTGACCTCGTATAGGCCGTAAAAGTGATCGGCCCAGAAGCGACAAGCGTATCGACCGAACGGAGCAAGGTCGGCATTCACACTCTTAGGCATTTCGGCAGACAGGGCACCTTTTGCATCAAGGTTTTCCATCGTTTCCCTCTGTAGGCCGGACTCTTTGTCCATCAGGAAGGCAAGGGACCTCAGAAACAGATCTCTGTGACAGCTTCGCTCTGAGGCGGCAAAAATCCCCAAGACACAATGGTCAAGTAAAAACTCAACGACCCTCGAAATCAACTGAATCACCCATGAGCTTTCTTGTCTCCATCGATTCCAGAGACCACGGGCGAAAAGCGCAACCAGAACGAAACCGACTGCTGGGTGGTGTTTGAGAATCTCATTCAGCCAGAGGAAGACAGCGCCAAACAATATGTGATCCAGGTAGTAGAAGCTGTGCGCCGCGGGTCGCAGAGCATCAACAGTTGACGACAAGTATGGCCAGAGAGATAGTCCCAGCGATGCGGGGATCGTGAACCTCCGTGATTGTTGTAGATACTGCTTCAAGGACAGATGGACCAGCTGAAACGTCTTCACGTCGTCCTTCTCCTCACCGCCCTTCTCCTTGTCAATTTCCTCGGGCTTCTCCCCAATGTTGTCTTTTGTGACCTTTTCACTGCACTCGACGAGCATATGTGTGCAATAGCGGATAGCTATGGAGGTTTCCGAAGGAACATCAACCACGCCTTGTAACTCGGCCAGCGTCAAGGGCCGAAATGCGACACAGATGAACTGCATAATCTTGACGCAAGGTCCTGGGTCGAAATTCCCTTGGCCCTCATACTTTCCTCGAAGGGCCTCGAGAAGCATGCGGTTGTACATGGATGGTAGACCAACAGGGAGGAGGCGGTTCAATGCATTTTGATCTCGGCCTGTCACAATGGCTTCCAGGTCGCGCCGGTGAGACTTCAAGAGCTTCAATGCCAATGATACCCAGAGAAAGGTTTTGTTGGATCGTTCAGACAGCGTCTCCTTCAAGTACTCGAGCCGGCCCTCATGTTTGCCCAAGATGGGCCACATCTCGTCGTCGATGAACAAGCCAATTTCGTGTAGGATCTGTTTGCCATACAGTCCATCATTATCAAGGTCAATGTGAAGATCCCTGTCGTGGATGCTGGCTAGCGGGCGGCTAAGCAGAATTGCTTTGAAATGGGGGTTCCCCTGTCGATTCTCGGGGGAGCATATCGCACGCAGCTTCTTGATCAGGTCCTCGATTGATTCAGCGTCACATTCATCGAGTCCGTCTAGGATGAAGTATGTCAAGCGGCCATGGTGAGTGTGATCGGGGTTCCTGTTTTCGTGGTTGATAAACCCTTCGATAACTGCCCAAAGATCGTCCCGAGGAAGTTTGGCATCGAATCTCGTGTGTGCATCTTTCAGGATTGACGAGGTTTTATCGTGGAGGACTGGGTCAAAATTTTGAAGCTCCAGGATCTGGTGTAGAACGTTCAGATGCACAGCAAGAGATGTGTTACGTCGAGTGTCCAGGTTATCACAGGAGAACTTGAGAACAAGCGGGGAACTTGAAGATTCCTCGGGTTTTCGGGTCAATCGTTTGCCAAGAAAGGCTGCGACATGACTCTTGCCCTTTCCGGGGCGGCCAGAAATCCACAGAAGGTGGTGGGCAGAGCTTGTGCGCCAACATTTGAACTTGTCGTCGTTCAAGACCCATTCGCACGTGCCTTGGGTAGGTTTCGGCTCAGTATCTGGGAGCTTAATCTTGGCCCGTAGTTCATGGCGAACTCTCTTCCGCTCTGTCTCTGGGTCTGGGTTTCCGACTGGGTTCCAGATAGGTAGTAAGTAATAAGCCTAAATATAGTGACGGGAGAAGACATTGGCACCGATTGAACTTACAAGTTATAGGCGCATTGTTCTGGATTGAGAAAGGTCTCGACGTGTTGTTGGAAATATTAACTGCTCGTGGTACAGAGCCTGCCATGTTGCTGGCATCAGGAAAAGAGGATGGATGGGATGCTTGAGGTCAGGGTCCATCAACGCTTGAGCGAACGAAGAGCAGATGGGAGAAAAAGAAGACGGCTAGGCAGCCATGTCTTGAGCAACCCCAGAGGTCTTGAGCTCTAAGCGCTGCCAAGCATTCCTAGAGCCTGATTCATGCATGTCCTAGGAGGCTTGCACTCTAGCCAATGGTGCTTGGTCATCAATCACCTGTGACATCTCCCTTCCCTGGTCTTTTTTTTCAGCTTAACGCACGAGTGTAAGCGAGGCGAATCACGAAATGCGTAGACAAGGATATCGTCAGCCACTTAGGAGACATGAGGGTCCCATCCAATAGCTCAGCGAATGCAATTGCACTTCATCCCTCCTAATTCCCATAATGGAACATCGGGAAACGCAGATGCTGTGGCAGTGCACAGAGAGGGTTGATAACGCATCTCCCTGGCCTCCTGGTTGGTCGGCCGGTTGACAGGAGGCTGCTCTTGGAGTGACCATAAGCAAAGGCCTTATGCAGACCTGCAGCCAATACTTCAACAGGAAGGAAAGGGGTTGAAAATGAGGCTGACCTGCCTTTTGCTGGGCTGTTTTATGTTGCCCAGTTTGAGCCTGACCTCCCCAACAAATAAGGAATGCTCTGGCCAGATCACAAAGGCTCACAGTAATGTCCATTTCTCCTTCATATCCCCATGACTCCTTTTCAAGATAGAAATGGTCGGTTAGCCGTCCCCCTGTCTCGAAGCCTACTAACACGTCTCCTAGTCTGGACTAGAACTAGCCGTCTCTGTCTTGGCGTTGGTAGAGGCCGCGATCTCCACCACCAAAAGCCTTCATGGAGCATACAGACAACAGAAGGACCTGCCCAACGTCTGCAGGCGCCTTGAAGACAAGCTAATAAGCATTCGGGACATTGTCAAGATAGTGAAAGATGAAGAGGTCTTGTGCACTCCAAAAGTCATTTCTCAGTTGAAGCAGCTTGAACGAAGGGGTAAACAGGTTAAACTCCTTCTGTGTTCCATCCATCCTGCTGGCAAGAACTCAGCGCGTCTCTTTCTTCATCAACTTTTCAGCGGATCTGAAGATGAGCAAAAACTGGTCGAGATCATTAGCGACCTCGAAGGAGACAAGACTTCGCTCATTGTCGCCATTCAGGTCGTCGGCGTTGGCCTGAGGAAGGATCATGAACGTGACATTGCTTTTGTCACCACGGCCTCTGCCAAACGCATTGACAAAATTCTCCGCGAGAGGCTACATCTCCCAGATGGACTCAGAATCATGAGGGTTATCGAGGATCGGAAATCAGGTGCGTCTTGGGCCAGAAGAATGCCACGATATACGCTAACACGTTCAAGATGGCAAGGTCACGCTGACAGAAGAGGACCTCGAGTCTCTGCGAGCCTGCATGGAGCCAACTGCCGACGGCAAGAAGCCAGCCACTGAACGGATCATCCTCAACAATGTTGCAAAGTTCCAAGCAACCCAGATCAACGCGCCGCTTGGGGAGGACATTTGGGCACACATCGATCGCTTGGTGGTGGAGAACAACCAAGCCGATGCTCTCAGCACCCAGATCAACTATCCAATGACTCTAGGTGCCTTCTACAGTGGCGTTATGCCGCAGCTGGTGTTTTTCATTTTTCTCTCGTTCTTGTTGTATTTCCCACTGTCTTATACTTTCCAGAAAGACTGATCGAGTCGTGTGGTAGATTGATGGTGGACAGTGACCCCACTGATGATCCAAGGATAGTAATGGGTTCGAGCTTCAATTAAACCAGTGCGGCTTTCGTTTCCTCGATATTATTTCTCATCTCGGCCTTGCGTGACTGTCAATAACTAGGGATGCCTGTGTCGGCCCGGTGGCTTGGCGCAAGAAGCAGCACTCTCACTGCCTCCTGTAGTCGACGTAGTTGGCGGGCAGTTTGTGTCGGTTCAGGGGAGGCATGGCTTTAGGTCATATAATCTATTATAAACCTAAAAAGAAAACACCCTTTATATGGGTTCGTAACGCTTACAGATAAAATGCTATGCAACTCAGGACCCCAATGCCAGCTTTAACCAGTAACATGCTCATAATAAAGGTGAAATGATTAGCTTTCCTCCGCTTAAAGCACTGCTGTTATCAATGAACCTCATCGATAACAACAAGATCTCCAGCGGGCTCCAGCCTGTGACGAGCCTGTCTAGATCCAACAAGACCCGTATCTCTCCTGATCATTGACGCGTTCTTACGCAATTTCATCAGGGAACCGGATCTCCCGGTCTCGTCGTGGAGTGCTCGTCCCCGACATGTCACGGTTTGCCAGCGTTGGCCGCATCGGACGCGCACTGGCAATGACGATTGGACCTCGGATAGGTCTCGGCTCAGGCTCTCCCTTACTGAGCCCAGCGAGCCATGATCCGATCAGGGGGACCTTTCGGCGGCGTTCCACCACGCGTGCGTCGTCGCTCATGTTCTCACTGACGACACGGCTGAGGGTGCGAGGGGCGAGGTAGCCCAGCTTTCCAAGCGGGATGCTGAGTCCGTGAACGACCTAATTGAGTCAGTAAACAATATTTTTGGGAGAATACTATGAGTGGCACTTACAACGCTGCAAACTGCAAGGAACCAGACAACAATCCGAATAGTCTCTCCCAATTTCTGAACATCCTCACGAGGCCTGTCTTCCCCATCGCTCAGGTGCTCCTGAATGAACTCCAGGCTGATGAACAAGTAGAAGATGGCTGAAACGCCAATGGGGCCAAAGAAGCCAACAAAGACAGCCTGCTTGGCCTCCTCAATCTGAGGAATCCACTTGTGCATGGCAAACACCCAGGGAAGCCTTCGCAAGATAAGAACGAGGATGCCAAGGACCACCAGCTTCCAGATCGGCATGACCGAGTTGTTGTTGAAAAGCTCCCAGGGGATGACTGCGCCGTACCACAAGAAAATTGTGACATTGAGAAGCATGTCGATGGTCGGCTGCAGAGAATCATCTTTCGTTTCGAGGCGGAACCAATCATCCCAAGTAAACGTATTGCCGGCGATGAAGCAAGCAAGAACGTCGTCGGTTCCAATCAATCCGCAAGTTCCCAGAACAAACAAAGCGAGCGAGATGGCGAAAACGAGGAAGCTCTCGCGATCGACGTAATTGCGCTCCTCAGCCCAGTGAAGCATCTCTTTGGCAACCCATCCAACAACAGCACCATAGATGATGCTCAGAATGATGGTGTATCCCCAAGTAAAACCGAACCAAAGACCCATGGCATCTCCGGCACCTCCGGATGTAGCGCCCGAGCCCACGTACTTGATGAGGTAGAGGGCGAAGAAGAGGAACGGATAGCCGAGGCCATCGTTGGTGCCCGACTCGGCGACAATGAGATTCTGAAGATCCTTGGGAATGTTATGATCTGCAAACTTTCCCTTGACAATGACAGCCGAAAGGACAGGATCGGTAGGCGTCACGCAGGCTCCCACAGCAAGCGCATGAAGAAAGCTAGGTCGCCCAGTGAAGCCCCAAACAAGAACGCTCGTAGCCAGCCACATTGCCGTCATTCCAGGGCCAACAAGCAAGAAAACGGCCTTCCATTCTTTCCAGAGATATTTGCTCGGAAGTTGCACGCCCGCAAGGACAAGCTGCACGCCCAAAACAAGTCGCGAAAAGTTGAGCGTGATGGAATGGAGGTTGTCCGAACAATCTCTCTCTGTCACACCATGATGCTCACACTGCGCATAATCATTCGGACGAATAAAATTGGCACCATTCGGACCAAAAGCGACGCCCGCCAAGAGCGCAATGACTAGAATAAAGAGTCGTCAGTGGATGCTTCAATGCCGCCAAGCGTATGCCAAGACGTACGGGCCTCTGAGAGGTAGTAATTCTCCTTTAGCAGATACGACACCAACCCAAACAGAGATATAAAGCCACCGAGGACGGCAACGACGAGGTTGAAGTTTGTCAGTTGGAGCGGAATCGCCCAGATGTTGTGCGTCATGTCGGGTGAAGCCAAGGCCAAGACGGTCTGAGGAGGATCATGATGGAAAAATGGCTCAGCAGCGTCTGGAGGGTAGAGAATTTTACCCATCATATGACGTAGGTGGACGAAACGGGATTGGTGGAGCAAGGGCAGTTCCGTATCGATAATGCTCGCTCTCAACGAGAGATGCGGGAGTGATCAGAGGCAGATCAAAAGCATTTTATTTCGTTTCTTCAGAGCCTGAATTTTGCGCTCTTTGTTGATCATAAAACCTCCTCTTCTGTTTAAACGCGCATGACCCCTATCAGCAGGGCCTTTGTTATCTCTCATCAAGGGGGGCGGTGTAAATCGTCTTGTGACTGAACCCCTCACGAATACCGCGGCCCCGGAGCTGTCACTGTGACCTATCAGTGTCAAGAGATAGGCTACGGAGGACGAACATGTTTCTTGAGTGAGACTAGTGCAAGGCCAAAAGCCACTGGAGGGAGAATGCCGCCCTCCTTGTCCGGCTGTTGGTGCGGATCAAAAGACGCCAAAGGTGTCACTTTCTCCGCACCTCTCCGGCATTTCAATTCCCCGGGTTCCGACGGTGATGGTCTTCAAAGTCGGAGCCGAATCACGAAATGCCCACAGCTCGCGCTCCGTTCCGCTCCGCCCCGCCTCGAATCCCGCTCCGTGTCCGTGTGAATATCCCGGCCCCCGCGGGTCCCACCCCGGCGTCCCTACCTCGCTCCTACTGGCTCCCTCGGAAACGATCACTCCCCCATGTTCGTTTCCTCGCCAATGAATTGCGCACGACGTCTCGGCTACGCGAATGAATCTCACTGTGGCTGAAAGAGTGAGAAATTAGCCTGTTCCCGGCGTCTCGTCTTAGGCTGCCTGCCTCCTGCGCATGGTTTTTCTACTTGTGGTGAGCAATTAAACCCAGAGGCGCTTAGAGTCGATCTTGCGTCAGCCCATGGCCTGTTTTGGTAATAAATGCTCCAACGTCGACCTCATTGCGTGTCATTTTTCTCCTTCTTGTTTTTTTCTCACAGTAATACATAATATTGGTAATAATAATCAACCCGCTTGAACCAGAGAAGCCATCATGTCGAAATCTGCATCTTCAAGCGCGAAGCCGCGCGTCCTTCGCAAGTTGGGTCATTTGTAAGTCTCCGAAACCTTGACTCAATCTCAAATCTAATTATTTCTTAGCGAGCGCTTCCAAACATCATTGATGACGATGGAATTAGCCTGCGGCACAATCGTCACTAGCCAATACCGCATCCCCGAGCATCTCCAAGATTCGCACGACAAGCAAGTCGACGCATTGGAAGCCGCCGTCGCAGACACAATCCGCAAGCATCCTCTCCTGCAAGTCGGTGTGATTGGCGAAAAGACGAAGCGACCTTCTTGGATTCAACTCGACGAGATCAATCTCAAGAACCACATTGTTTGGACAACTGCTGATCCCAACGATGAATACGGCGCCAAACTCAATGAAATCACTATTCGAGAACTCGATGCCAAGCTCGGCAATTTCGCAACACGACCACTCTGGCGGCTACTGGTCCTGGAACTCGAGGGTCAGAATCTTCTTGAAGTCATGTTTATCTGGAATCACATGTGCACAGATGGAAATGGAGGCAAAATCTTTCACGAGTCGTTGCTGGAATCCTTGAACACGCCCAATCTCCCTCCTCTTGAGAATCACGCCTTCAAGACTACAACAACAGCTGAAAACATGCTCCCGCCGCAAAACGTCATCGCCAAGTTCAAAATCACGCCCAAGTTTGCTGCCACCAACGCCTGGCAAGAGCTCAAGCCTCCTATGCTTGAGTCCAAGACCGCGTATGTTTCATGGGCCGGCATCAGAAGGACTCCTCGCAAAACGCAAATCAGGAGCTTCAACATCGACAATGAATCTACCCAGAAGATCCTCTCAGCTTGTCGATCGCATAAGACAACTCTTACGGGTCTCATTCACGCCGCTGCATTCATATCTCTTGCGCACCAAGTGCCCGAGGAAAAACTAGCCTCCATCATTTGCGAAACTCCTCTGAACTTAAGGCGTTTTATTAAACCCAACCCCAAAGCGCATTCTGGACTTCAGCCTGAGCAGCTCATCGCAAACTACGTGACCATGATGGACCACGTTTTCAAGAAGAGCCTTGTCCAAAAAGTTCGCCAGCAGTCCAGAAGCGTGGGTGATGAGGAAAGATTCTCTGCCCTTGAGGAAGAGATGTGGTCTGCAGCAGCCTTCATCCGAGGAGAAATCAAAGACAAGCTTGACCTCGGATTGAAGAATGACTTGGTCGGTTTGATGGGCCTTGTTGGTGACTGGGACAAGTACCACAAGGATGAATTGAAGAAGCCCAGAAAACATTCCTGGCTGGTCTCCAATGTGGGTGTCATCAACGGGCATAACGATGGGGATGAGGCTTCACTCTGGACCATTAAGAGAAGCAAATTCTCTCTCTCCGCCTGTGTTAGGGGATGCATATTCAACATTGGCGTGATCAGCGTCAAGGGCAAAGATCTATTTATCGACCTCTCATGGCAAGACGGAATTGTTGATGCTACTATTGCTGACAGGTTGGTTGCTGATCTTGAGAAATGGCTACGTCACGTTGCGGAAAAGGCTTAATACTCTATGACTTTTGTACGATTAAAACTATATACAACGTCTAAGGAAATACCTTAGTGTAGAAAGATACCAACACGCCTCTCATAGCATGTCGTCTAGGCCTTGCAGGTAGCAACGCTGGGAACGTTCTGGCAGCTGCCGTAGTCCTTGCCACCGTTGACCTTGACGTTGGACCAGGTCCAGTTGGAGCAGCCGGTCTTGCCACAGACAATGGCAATGTTGGTGCCCTTGGCGTCAACGGCACCGGAGCCAGAGATGTTCTTGAGGGTGAGGCCGGTGATGGGGAGGCCGCTGGTGGGGTCACCGTGGAGGTCACCACCGTCGTAGTTCTGCTCAATCAGGATACCGTACCTATGACTTATTAGTCATGTGTCTCTTTAAGGGTAATGGTTAACTCACTTGGAGATCTTGGACAGGGTAATGTCAGAGTAGGTGACGCCCTTGACCTGGCCACTGGTGTTTTTCATGGTCTTGACACGGAGACCGTTGGTGGACTTGGTAACCTGGCTGTTCAGGAACTTGACAGTGTCAACGACATTGTTGGATCGGCCGCCAACGCTGCCGATGGACAGACCGTGGCCACCAGAGCAGAGACCACCGCTGAAGGTGATGTCCTTGCCGGAGTTGATAGCAACACAGTCGTCCTGGTTGTAAACCTTGGCACCGTTGATGGTGACGCCAGTGCTCTCGCCAATGTCGAAGCCATCGGTGTTGTGTCCGCCCTTGGAGTCACCCTCAGCATCGTCAATGGTCATCTTGTTGATGGTAAGTCCGTTGACGGTGTTGATGCTGACAGCCTGGACAGGGGTGTTCTTGATGTACAGGTCGTTGAAGACAGAGTCGGTCAAGCTGTGAGCAGCGAAGAACTTGGGCTTCTTCTTGCCACCGTTTCCGCCCTTGCCGTCCCACCAACGGGCACCGTCAGCGTTGAGGGTAGCACCGGCACCGTCGACGGTGATCTTCTTTCCAGAGATCTTCAGCAGAGGGCCAGTCCACTCCTTGTAGCCCCAGGTGGTGGTACCCTTGAAGACGACCTATAAAATTGTTAGCCAGACACACAGAGCTAAAAGCTCGGGCTACCAACGTGAGCGCCATCCTTGAGCTTGCTAAGGTCAAGGGTCGTGCCAGCGGGAACGGCAACGTTGTTGAGAGTGAGGGTGGTGCAAGAAGACTGAGCCTTCATGGCAGCGGCAGCACCGCTGGAGCCGGAAAAGGTGCAGCTGTCGGCACGCTTGAAGTGCTCAGGCGCATCAATGAGAGGAACGGAGGGAGCGGCAATGGCGCTGCCAGCCAGGGCAGCAAGGAGGAAGTTGATCTTAGTCATGTTGTCGGTGGTAAAAGGTTGGTGGTAAAAGAGTGTATGTACTTTGTAAAAACAGATAAAAACGAGAGTAAAGGGAATGAGGTGTTCCTTGTCCGGCAAGACGATGTTGTGTATGGTTTCTTCTTTTCTCCAAATCACGGCTGCACCATAGTCTTATGTACACTCCAAACCTGTCCAAGTTCCGCGTACCAATGCCAACACCGCTAGATCCGAACTCTACCCCATCTGTCAAACAAATTGTTCCCGTCCCAAGCCCGCGGGACCTTGTTTCTCCTCCAATGCGAGATCCGCAAACCTTCTAGAACGGCCCGAGTTAAATGAAGACGGGGGTGGTTCCTTTACGAACCGGTCATGGCCAGGCTGCTCAGCCTCTTTCGAACGAGGCCGGCGCCGTGGTTGACCCCCGTGCGGTCGGCACGAGATGCCGAGAGACCCCTGTTTAATAGGTGGACTGTTTCAGGTCCGCGCGAGCCGGCTAGTCGGCACATCGATGGACGTTATCGTTATCGGTGGAGCATGGATTTTGGTAAACAGCTGATGTTTATTGGACCTGTTCCACTTGTCAAAGTCTAGACCTGCCGTAAAACTGTCAGTCTGAACTCCTGAATTCTGACTTCATTTCTTTAGCCTTTAACAAAGAGCGGCTTGGCAGATGCCAAGACGTAGGTTTCTAGTAGAGAAAAAACAAAAGATCCAAGAGAATTGCAATACACGTGAAGAGGCGTCTCGTTGAAGCACAAGTGTCGGCAGCAACGAAGAGGATATCGACAGTATGAGCTGATGATCTCTTCATTTAAACTGAGCCTAAGAGACTAAGGTTTACGCTTGCACCCGTGCATCAAGATTACAACGATCGAATCACCGCTAGTAATAAATTCCGAACACTTAAATGCCGATTGAAATCAGACTATTGAACACAGGGTAGGGTATAAGCTTATGATTTTGCTACCAGCTAACAGCCTGGTTATCTTCTGTGGCGTAGAACCTTAAGTTAAGAGTGCAGTAGCTTACAGTAGGGTACCTCGCCTTGACCAGGTAGGTAAGAAGGAGAAATTTTGATGTATTCTTGTGTTTGCTCAAAAGCATTCATTCTCTGAGTTCGGACTCGCCTAAAGTCTCTTGATAATATATTGGGACCTCGTCCAACTTTGGACCGGTAAGTCCGCACTGAGCCAGCCAGGTAAATCCCACCACAAGCCCCTGCAAAGGAACAACATGTCATCCTTCCAAAGCTATTCCACCAATGGTGTCTCTTCAATTTGAGAAGTAAAAGGTAACATATCCCGCTGACATAAGGGCCAACCTGTAATTCATCCGCGGCAATCAGTGCCGCAACACGATACCCTTTCATGACATGCCACACGAGCCAGGATACTAGATCATTAGAGCCTTGGTTTATACTAGCGTAATGTTAAGGCCTCTCTCTATTCTTTGCTGTGGTTGCTAATGTCTTCTTGACAGGGGTCATGAATCAACAATACTACATCATTTACCGACGGAAATGTGTTGCAAATATGAACCTGTAAGCCTTACAAAGCAGCAAGTCTCTGAGTATAACTATTCATAGTTTCTTTCGCACACCACCAATTAAACAACCAAAAGAACTCTCTTTTCAGCCGCGTAAACACAAAGAATAGACCACCAGGAAATCCCAATAATCGAGTTTATGCTGTTGGTTCGAACGCAAAGGATCAGCTTGGCTGCCCCGGATTAATTACATCCCCGCTGTTGCCTGAGCATATTTTTTTCCCTATGCCAATTGTCAGAATGCGGTGAAGAAAACATCAAACGCAAATCGTGAAAAATTCTCCAACCTGGGTCTCAACTCAGTGCTTTCCTCTTTGTGTCCAGGTTTTCTCGACCAGACTGCCATGCACAAAAATGCCAGACTTTGAATATCCCGGTGTTAATGTCCCCCTGAGGCATGGCTTTGATCGTAGCTGGAGACCTGATTCGGACCCAAACTATCCGGTCGGCTTCCCAGAGTACAGCGCAGAGGGATGGACCGACATCCTCCCAGTTAGAGAAGTCGCCATGATGGTTCTCATGGATAATCTGACGGATAAGCTAAATTGACATGAAAAGGTCATTGACGAGGACATTGTTCAAAAGTGGCGAGATGAGGCTCTCCAACAACCCGAGGATGGCCTTTTTGCAAGCATCATGCAGGATAAAGCATCCAGATTTATCCCAAAGCCAATGTCTAGAATCATTTCTGAGCAAACTTTTGACTTTTTAAGAGCATGTTTACTGTTGAGTATCCAAGTTGTGACAACCTCCAATAGTACATCACCGAGTTGCGCAACAAGGCCAAGTACTTTGCTACTTCAGGTCTCATCCCCATGTTTGATTCAGCCGGCAATTCCATCATCAAGTCGGATTCATACATTGGAAAGTCTCTCCACGACAAGTTGATGCAGGCTTTTTTACGCTCTGAGCACCGACCAAGGAGATAATGTGGATTGGCACCCAAGAAGCAACGACATGGTGCAGGACCTGGTCCATCCATCAATGTATCCCTTCGTTTATGGTATGAGATGGAAGCCAGAGCTTGCAAATCACACTAACCATCGTCAGGCCGCTCCAACTTCATCCAAGAGGAAACTGTTGGTGTCTATGACGCCTTGGACCACGTTGGGAAAGGCGCAGCTGTTCCTAAAGACGATCAGCCCGAAAGCGACCATGTCTTTTGGTCCACCACGTATCAATGGCTCCCCGCTAATATCTCTTTCCGGGATGATGGCACCGTCAAGTTCACAAGCTATGTCAAGACCTTGAACCCAGAGAAGTTCCCCGAGATCTACGAAACTCTCGAGCGTATCATTGATAAGACAATTTCCGCTTGGGATCAATGTCTTCATGAGTATACTAATTGGAAAGAGGGCCCTGTTGCCGGAAGAGTTGACTCACGATTCTACAAGACTACTGAAGCCTCGTAAGTGCAACCCAATCCAGGTTTGAATGGTGGAAAAGCGACAGTTTACCTTGGCCAAGTGACTCAGATGACAGCATCTGGGCTCCAGAACTCGATGTCGCAAAGCTCAAAGACATAGATGTCAACCTCACGCATGAGGAACTAGAACAGCTCGAGGATATGGCATGTTTTGAAAATGGCAACACCCAGATAGGCTGGAAAACGCAGCACGAGAGGATGAGAAACGGTCTACCTCCCCTAACCCCCAACGTCGAGGACAGTCACATCGCGAGGGCCAAATGGGAAAAGGTCAGAGAGGCCAAACTCCCTGAGCCACGAGACTTTGAGGAGATTGACTACGCACCTGAGCAAATCCTTCGTGAAAAGTTCAAAGAGAACGGGCTGCAGGTTATCGTCAATATGGCAAATATTGAACTGACGCCCGAAAAGCCCGAGTTTCCAGCCGGAGGATGGTGCGTAAGTATTGAGCTTTGGTCACTTTGTAAGCATGCGCTAACTGGCTTCATGGCTTGAGTGCCAGGTGAGCGAAAAGATCTGTGCAACAGCCCTCTACTACCTCGACAGCGACATCGTCACTCCCAGTCATCTATCGTTCCGCACGCAGACAGACTCGTACCTCAGTGATAGGATACACGCCAAACAAGACGAGTACAACTGGCTTGAGAGAGTCTATGGCACTGCCTTGCGCGGGTATGGATTCTCAACCTGTGTACAGAACTTTAGAGATGGCCAGACGAAGCAGGGACGACTTCTAGCGTTTCCCAACATGTTGTAGGTCTACTCCGATCCGCTTTAGCTTCATTCTACTGGTTTTGAGCTTCTTACTTTGATTCAGCCAACACCGACTATATTCGTTCCGTCTAAAAGACCCTACCAAGACCGGCCACAGGCGTTTCATCACGCTCTGGCTCGTCGACCCTCACCGGTGCATCATATCTACCGCCAACGTGCCTCCTCCGCAGCAACAAGACTGGTGGAATCACAATCTGGGTCTGAGGGGTTGATGAGTGTAGAGGAGGCACGAGAGCATCGACTCAAATTGATGGACCAGCGGACAAGGAAGGATGAGGCCAAAAGCGGGGAGAAGTGGTATTACAGCTTTTGCGAGCGCTGAATAGCTACGATCTGTGATTTTTCATTTAATACAGTTAGTCTTCCAATATTATACTAAAGATGGCATTACGTATCTGTGTTCCTATGAAAGGACAAGTCCCTCTCTGGGTCAACAGTGACTACCCACTGATACCGACTGTAAACTTGGTGGCGCTTCCAAAAGAAGCCATCAGCCGCAATTCTCCTGTAAATGTACGCCCCGTCTCATTGGCTCAACCATATCAGCATGGGTGCAAGCGGGGTCTTTGTTGTTGGGCACCTACCAAAGGGTGCCTAGTGTAACATGACAACCTAAACTCCCCTCTTTCCACCATCTTTCAACATCATGAAGTCCCAATTATGCCCGAAGTGCCAGGAAGTCTTTGCCGACGATACACTGGTCCAAGCCTATATACCCCACCATCAATCCAGGGAGAGTATCTTGACAGCGGTCGGCAACGGATGCAGGCTATGTTCGCGAATCGTCAAGAGCTGCGAGTTTGCGAAGCTGGATCCCAGCATCTCCTTCATAACAACCGGCAACATTCAGAGACACCCTCACGGGAGTGTTGCCCCTACGAGTTCGGTCAGGTTGGAGATCTGGTTACACCCTTCTAGTCATTCTGAAGCCTACCAACATGTCAGCGAGGCGGACGGGGACCGGGTTTCGGCCCATGACGAGGTTTTGATCCCTCAATCTGGGAGAGATTTTAAATTTGAACACTACAATGGACCAGGGAGTGGCATCCTAGAATGGACATTCATCTTCAAACCGAAAACGGGTGAGCACATCTCAAAGGGTTCCAGTCATCTATCCTAATGAGCATGTTAAGATATTCCGTCCCAATACATACAGCATGGGTCTCTTATCGAGGTTGGGTGTGAAAGCAGCATGTGGTCCCTGGCCAGGAGCTGGCTGGATGAATGCTTCCAGGGTCACAACAAGTGTTCAGCACCGCAGAGTCCAGACTTTTCCCCTACAAGGCTCGTTGAGATCGTAGACAGCACAACTTTCCGAGTGATCGAATGCAGAAGCATCAAGACTTCACAACGTTATGTCGCATTCTCGCATTGTTGGGGCGAAGTCGAGACCCTCAAGCTACTGAAAGTCAACAAACCCCGTCTTGAAACGGGCATCAGTATTTCAGAACTACCTCAGAGTTACAGGGAGGCAATTGATGCTTGCATACGCCTAAATTTCAAGTTCATCTGGATTGATTCACTCTGCATCATCCAAGACTCAACCGACGATTGGAGAGCTGAATCAGCGACCATGATGCACGTCTACGGCAACGCCCTCCTCACAATAGCAGCGGCAGCGGCAGCAGAAAGCTCCGAGTCAAGCCTGGCTCACAGAGATCCTCTCAATATTCAACCTACTACGATCATGGTTCCCCAGGAAGGACCAGGAGAGATACCGGACGTTCCATACACTTTGACGCTATGGAGGCCCTTTAATGAGATCAGGAACTCCCCGTTGCGTCGTCGAGCATGGGTCCTTCAGGAATCTTATATTTCAAATCGCATTCTGTTCCTCGCTGATACTCAGCTCTGGTGGGAGTGTCGCGAGGCACTCTACTGCGAGTCTTGGCCAAGAGGAATTCCAAAAGAGGTGATGGATGAAGCAGCGTACCATCAAGACAGGAAAAAAGGAGACAACGTCCGATCAGCCCATTCTCTCTGGCGTAATCTAGTTCAACAGTACGCACGCTGTAGACTGACCAACTTTTCCGACAAGTTGATCGCCATGGCTGGACTGGCAAGCCACCTACAACTTAGCATTGGGGTCGACGATTACGTCGCCGGATTCTGGCGATCTCAGTTACCCCATTCTTTATGCTGGGGACAGTATTTCAAGCCTATCGAGGGATTCCGACCATCTCAGTACAGAGCGCCTTCATGGTCCTGGGCTTCTCTCGAAGGCGTCGAGTTCCCTCGAAACTACGACACCGACCATTTTGTCACGGATACTTGTCAAATACTCGATATTCATCTCGTAAAGGCTGGTACGAACCCATATGGGGATCTCAAAGGAGGCTACATGCTTCTACGAGGCCGATTATTCCCGGTAGGGGGCGAGGGAAGTTTTACCAGTAGCTTCCAATTTCTGGAGTTCCCATACCACACACAAGGTCCACACAGAGCCATGTACGCTCGGTGGGACGAAGCAATTTCAAGAAAGCCTCTTTTCTCCCATCTCGATACTACTGGTGTCAACCTTCTGGAAGATGCCTCGCTGATCTCGGCAAAACGGATTACCAAGATTGCAGAGCACTGGGAGGGTGATCTCTTCTACTTCCCAGTGTTCGAATCTAGTGATGGTGGAGAGCCTAAAACCTTTGGCTTGATCCTAGGTCGTGCCAAAGGAGAGCCTAGTGATCGGCTCCAGAGACTCGGGTGGTCCAGTTGTGCGGGTGAAGGGTCATGTTCTTACTTTAGGAGAGAGAAGTCTCAGGAGTTTTTCATAGTTTAGGCAGCGGCTGTTCGGGTTGGCGATGGATCTTGACCATCTTTTAGTCATGTCAACCAACAGGCTTTGGCCTCCGCATGGATGGGCGATGTTGGGCGATGGCCAATCGGAGCTCTCTGAATCTAGGAGCAACGACGCTCTTAAAGGCAGATACTCCAATTGGGAGATTCCTTTGTAAGAGTTAAATATAGCCTTAAATCAAGGAAGGCGGCATGAACAAGTGGATGGATTGAGGACTGTATCTGTGAAGGAGTTGTTTCATGTCTAATAGGCTTGCGAGATGAGCTGGGCTTGGCAAAAGAGACTCGTCGCTCTTCGGTAGGTCCATCTCCCCTTGCCATCGGAAGTTTAATTTGTAGGGAGGCAAACTACTGTTTCCCGGCCTCCTTGTCGTCTCTGTTTGCTACACCCATGCATCAATGCTCACAGAAACTATACCCAACATTTTGCCACTCATTACGCGCCACTTTCTGAAAGGCACTCCGAGCCTCCATGAGCCTCAACCGATGCTCCTTGGCCTCCTGCAGAGACATAGGCACCGGATCTCCAACATTATCCCGAACCATTTCCATCAGCTCCGCCGGAAGCGGCTCCCCCCTCTTGACGACCTCCTCCAGCCCCGGGTGGCTGGGCGTCTTATCAAGGACAATCTCCGCAATCGTTCGTGGTACTTTTCCGGCGTTGTCGCTGCCAAGATTGCCGAATGCGCTGTCCATCCACCAACTCTGCTGCTGAGGTGGCACGTTTCCGGTGTTGATGACGCGCGTGAGAGGATCCACAAGCCACAGAGCGATGAATCGGCGGTGGCCAGGCTTTGTCTTGTCCTTGAGTTCAAAGGGCGAGACTCGGTGGTGGAAGACGTTGGGAAAGGCGAGCAGTCTGCCCTGCTTGGTCTCGACACTGCCATAATTCTGGAGGCACGCGTGGTCAGCGCCACCGTTGCGGCCCCGGAGCTTGGTGCCGTAAACTTGCTCCAACCACCTGAACTGGTCTTGGCCAACTTCAAAGTTCTCTTCCTGATAGGCCGAAGTTTGCATGCGGAACTGAAGGAAGCTGGGCGTGACGTTCTCAGAGTCCAGGTAGTACAGAGCTGTAGCGACAATATGCTCGTTCATCAGGCCCTCAACGTGCCAGCCACCTGCGGGGAATTTAGGCTTCTGAGGGGTGAGCTCGATGGAGGCCATCTTGACAATGATCTGCAGGTCATCGAATCGCTCACGTAAGGAATCGCCAGGCTGGATCCCGTACTTCCATGCCTCAAAGTCAGGAGCTTCTGGCTGAGCGGGTTTCCGGACCTTCTGCCAGGCGATCTCTCTGCGAGTTCCGGACCAGCTTTTACCATTTTCGTCCCTTTCTTCAATGTATTCATCAGGATCGTCTGAATCTGACTCGTCGGATGATGCAGGATTCGAGGCCGATTCCTCCACTTCAGCTTCTTCAGGCTTGGGACGCGGTGGAGGAGTCGGGATGTCCCTGAAAGGAGGCGACCAATTGTCCTCATTATCATCGCTGGAATTCTGCATCAGCCATTTTCTTCATAAAGAGCACTCTGAGACTTACTCGGGATCTTCTGAGAGCGGGAAGCGAGGCTCAGTTCTCCCAGCCCCTTTGAATGATCGACCGCCATGACGAAGATGAAGCTTGAGGCAAAAGTCCCATGCTGGAAGGGCCTTTTCGACAAGCTTCTCAATAGTTCCGTATACGTCCCGGTGCTTGACAGGGTGCAGGTTGTTAATGTAGCTCGTGAACTTGACACTCCCATCTTCTCGAAGCTCAACGTTGGAAGGCAGCCACTGGTACTTGGTTGACCAAAAGTAGCTACTGACGTGGCTACCACCAGTGTCGGTGTTGGATGTTCTGTCTGTTTCCCACCAATGCCGCCATTCTTCAGGGTCCTGCTCATCAGGTCCCTGTTCAGGGATAACTTCTCCCTTGCCTGCCCATTTATCAATAGCATCCTCAACGCCAACCACCTCATCTTCAAAGACTCGTGTTCTGCCGTAGACGAGAGGGTAGAGGGAAGGGTGAACAAGATCCAGCACCTTGCCCTTCGTGAGGGGGTGCCAGTCGGGGTTGTGCTTTTGCTCCTCTATGAGCTTGACAAATGCAGCGCGAAGGGAGTCGTGCAGCGAGTTGTCGATCAAGCTGTCAGACTTGACCACGGTAGACGAAGCATCCAGCGTAGGAATCAGGTCTGATTTTAAGAAGAATTCAGCTTTCGCGCGCAGCTCTTTGATACACTAATCACGTTGTGAGCGACGAAGCAGATCAAGGCAATGGTGATAAGGCTCACGTATTCGAGACATCCCCTATCGAGAATAGTGTCAAGCACCACAGCATAAAAAGCATCACTGGAAGCAATGCTAGGCGACCCAGCTGGATCATCCGACTCTTCGATAGGTTTCCCATCTCTGGCGATTTCGTTATACAATGGCCGAACTGGTAATGCGAGGCCCTCCTCGATCCACTTCTCAGTGATGGTGTCGTCAAAGACCTTGATGTGCCAGTCTGGCTTGTCGGTTAATCGGTCCATGACGATCATCATGGCCACTTCTCGAACGAGGAGCATTTCAGATTCGGAGCCCCAGCAATTGGTGTGAATTCCCACAGGATACCACTCTTCCCTTCCTTTATTCTGGTCATGGAACCGGAGGTCAAGGCCGAGGCCTGGGTATTGATACTTGGGCATTGCGACTGGCTGCAATGGAAGGCAAATACGGATAAAGACGATGTCTGCTCAGTTTGATGTTTCTTGGACAGTGAGAAGCCGCAGATGAAAATTCGCAGCAGGCCTTGGCATATAAGCGGTGTCGATTGGATCTTACGCTGTGGCAGGGGTCAGATCCAACACGCCGCAAGACGATAACGCGACGGAAGGATTCGCCAAGTCACATGACAACGCGACATGGTGAAGCAGGCAGCGAATGGAAGATTTGGTAGAAATTCCAGGCACCAGTGACGAATTGGTAAATGATCCATATTTGATGCTATCGCCAAGTTCAATTGATGGAGTGCAAGCGTTCATGGTGCTGTTGCTGCCTTGGAGGATGCCTGAGGGTGCCTGCAAGTGCTTGCCTCGGCAAGGAAGCGAGGTGAGTTGATGCCTGAATCCCGAGGCATCAAAAATGAAAGTCAACCCGACCCAAGCAGACGGATGCCCATCCGAACGAGAGAATTGAGGTAACAAAGTTAATTGTTACCTGTTGTTTGTGTTTGTGTTTGTGTCTGTCCAAAACGTAACATATCAAGTAGTGTGCGATTCTTTCACGGTCGAGGCCTTTGATCGACGTGACAATTGCTTCTGTGGCGGTATCACGAACAAACGTGCTCGGATGGTGCCACGCCCACACAGTGACGGAACACAACATCAATGATGCAACAAAAGATCCCAAGAAAACCGAGCGCAAAAATGCATCAAGATCTATGATGAAAGGATTCATCGCGAGAACGGGTATCTCGTAAAAAAGATGCCAAGTTTCTAGAAGCAAGGATGAAGCTATTCGTCTTACCCTACATTCATTCTCGCAAAATGCAATGCGGAAATCAAGGATGGAAGCATGGATCCGAGCTCCCCTGCGCCAATCAGCCGTGACCCAGAATATCGAGGGCAAAAAAAAGGGACCTCGGCCGACCCGACGTGTTGGTGCACAGAGATCCTATCATGTCGCGTGCTCGTTTCAAGGAGCTTGGCCAACGGTCTGGCCCACAGTAGTCATCACTTGGCATGTCGCGAATCGCTGTCATTCCAGGTCCCAGGGAACAAAAGGGCGGCAGTTGGTATTTTTTGCTTCTCGTATTTAAAATGAAGAGAGGGCCTTGATTCATGTAGGTGCCGTCTACCGAGAAGAGCCAGACCAGGTTTGGATGGAGATCACGAGGGCAAAAATAGCCGGAGGGTCAGTTCCATTGAAATCCGAGCACCGGACAGCACCGAGCGTTCGGCGACCCAGTCTCGCTAAGGAATGCTGACAAAGCTTATTTTTTGGGAGGGAACAACGCTAGAATTTCGGTGCCTGTGGGGCACGGTCGGAAAAGGGCCCGCCTTGGCATAAAAATTGTGCATCCTTTCTTCATTCCCTTCCCCCCCTCCCTCCACACCCATGACCATGCCGCATTTGAGACAATCTCGTTCGTCGGTGAGAAAAAGGGAGGGATCGAGTTCAAAGGCGTTAGATGTCATTTTTGGCGCCGAGACCCTGACGCAGAATGAGAAACAGTGAAGAACCAACACGTCCTGCAGCAGAAAGAGACAGGCACCGCAGCCATGTATCAGCGCCAATGCGGGACAGCCCGTGATGGAACCCTGAGCCAAGACTGGGAAAGAAGAAGGAAAAGAACACCAAGGATGGATCCCGGTCATCGAGATGGAGATGCACTGCTTCACTCAAATCACTGCCGAAAGGGATCTATTTGCATCCATCGCGGTCCGCCCATCACTGATCATCAGCGGAAACACCTCACACAGCCCCACCAACACCAGCCCAGGTGCGGCGTCGCAAGAACAAGCCTTTTTACGCGGGATCCAATGGATGCGCCTCTCTCTGCGTCTGTGTGGCGATGCACAGCGATGCACAGCAACTTGATGCACTTTACAGCATAGCTCGGCGGTGATGCAATGACACTCCAGAGCCCTACCGCGGTCCGCAGCGCAGCGCAGGTTTTAGATACAGTGGTGTCATTCGGCCAACTTCTACAACGAGTCAACACCCCCGAGCCAACCCAAGTTCCCCGGCCGCCGCCCTACACCTGACAAGGAAGCCAAGAGTAAAGGACGGCAGCTGGAGGACAAACGTTTTGCCAGCCCCCGTCTGGTAATGGCATGGGCGATGGGGTCATGATTTGCTCGTATTCCGCCTCTAGCCTGGGCGTTAGCCGTGGCGTTCTGCGGGCTGACCCTCTTCTGAGGGTGCTGCATTGGAACTCATTGTTCGACAGAGCGCGCCGAACCCTTCTCTTGGGGCTGCCGATCAGCCGACCCAGCCCAGGGAAATTAGTCAAGCTATACGGCAGTGAAGGAGGGAGGTCAAGGAGGCAGTGGTCCATGGTTAGCATTTATTGTTACCGTATCACCACTAGACCCCTGGACACGCGACCCCTTTCTCGTTTGGCCCGTTTACCCCACATTGTAGAGAGAATCCAGATCTTTTGCTTGCTGGGCTGGTTCCTTTTTCAGCCTCTTCTGACCCCTTCTTCTTCCGTTCCTTTTTTTCCTCTTCTCTCTTTTTGCTGCTCTCGAGTTTGTCTTTGGGAATACCTCCCCTCCCCCTCCCTCCCCCTTCAACCCTCCTTCTCTGTGTCTGCCCATTCAACCTCGCAGGCGCAAAACCCCAATCATGTGCTTCTTCTTCTCCGTCTCGTTCGTCTTTGGCGTTTTCTTCGTGTCGGTCATTTCCAGCAAGCTCCTTCACCTATGGACGCACTTTTCCACGGTCCCTACCTCGGCATTTTTACTCTATCTGCCGACATTCTTCCTCTTCGACCTGATAGCGATATGCATTGCGAGACTTCTTTTGTGCCAGGGGAGAAGTCCTCTGGCTTGGGGCGGCTGCATCCTCGGTAGCCTTGCGACGTATGCGCGCATCCTTTCCTTGGCAGCAGATGAGCGACGACAGCTGACTTGGCATCTTACTCTTACAGACTTCTAGCCATCGGCGGTTCCTCGTCGCAACTTGGATTCTACGCAAAGACTGGAGGAGAGCTTGAGTGGCGTGACGCGACGGCGTATGCCACCAGCAAGGAGGGACTCAAGGTTTTGATGACGGGCAGCTGGGCTGTTTTGGCTTCGGGCTTTGTGCTCATCATCATCGCCTGCTTTGCCCATGGCATCTTTTACAGAGCGATTGGATCCTTGATGGGCTCAATCGGCGACGACATTGCCTCTGGTCAGTACCAATTACCCCCTTGTGAAGCCAGTGATCGCGTGCTGACATGGCTATTTTACCCCGGTCTAGTCTATGGTTACTTCAAGCGACTGCGATTCTTGCGCCGAGGTCGATATTCCGCTCTCAAAAACGCCGACACCGACCTCGAATCGACCGAGACATTCTCCCTCGACGGGCGTTCAAGCCACGATCACCTCGACGGTCGTCATGGCGACCCCCACGCCCCAGAGAAGCCTTTGACGCCACGAGGCAAGTTCATGAGGCTCATGTCCTTCATTCCATCCTGGGTCTACAAGATCATCGTGTCCGTCTTTATCGCCGTCGCCCTCATTCTGCGACCCGCCAAGCCCTACGATTACATGTCCATCACCCTGCCCGTGTCGCTGCTCGACGTTTTCAAGTCGGAACCCGATTTCTGCACCGAGCAGCGCAAGCTCGTCGACAACCCTTTCCCCTTCCCCGAGCTCATTACAAACTCTACCTGGAGAGATGCCGACGGCGAATTCGACAAGGGTTGGTCTCCCAGCTGGGACCCCCGCTGGCGCAGCGATGATTCTCTGCGCTACGAGAACCGAACTGTTGATTGGCTTCCCGAGAATCTGCCCCGTGGTTTCTTTAGGTGGGATCCCTTGAGGACCAAGAACGGTTACTATGGATCTCTGGGTGACAAGAAGGATGCGCTGTCCAACAAGTGCCCTCACATTAAGGAGCACAGCCCTTATTACAACCCCGTCAACGATCCGTTGAAGATTACCAACCTCGATACCGAAATTCTTCCCACTCTGCAGGAGGCTCTCGGCGATGGATCCGTCAAGATCAAGCACGTCATGTTTATTCTCATGGAGAGTTTGCGACAGGAATTCTGGCCCCTCCAGCAGGGCTCCCACATCCACAACCTGATCCTGGACGCCAGCGACGAGAAGGACCGAGAGGCTGTCAACGAGCGCTTGTCGCAGCTGTCGCCACACATCGAGAAGCTCACGGGACGATCCATGGGCTTCACCGACGCCAATGGCAAGGCCTACAAGACCCCCGAGTTCAAGTGGCACGACACAGCAAAGGAAGGATATGGTGGCGTCAACGTCATCGGCGGCTACACCGCAGCCACAATGTCCACCAAGAGTTACTGCGCCAACCACTGCGGTTCTTATCCTATGCCCGTCGAGAAGTTTGACGAAGCCGATACCGACGCCTACCAGCCTTGTATCCCCCAGATCCTCGAGCTCCTTAACCGCGCCAAGGAGAATGTATCCTCGGACGATGACGATTTCAGAGATCTGCAGTGGAGGACCGCTCTTTTTGAGGCCGAGGTGGAGGAGTACGACCGACAGGAAAAGTTTGATGCTAAGCTGGGTTTCCAACACATCATCACCAGGCGACAGCTTGAGGAGGATTGGCGCTTCAACAAGTCGGACATTCTTTACCAGAAGGTCAACTACTTTGCCTATCCCGAGCCCGTCCTTATGCCGTACCTCCGCGAGTTCATCGCCAACACCACCGCCAACAACCAGCGCATGTGGATGTCTCACTTTACGAGCACCACCCACCATGCCTGGGATACACCCAAGGATTTCCCTCACCAGGACTACTTGCCCCATGGAAACATGGATAACAAGTGGCATGGAAACTTTAACAAGTACATCAACACTATTCGGTATCACGACGGTTGGATGGCTCAGCTTATGAACCTCCTCGAGGAGACGGGTATTGCCAACGAGACCCTTGTCGTCTTTGCTGGTGATCACGGCCATGGTTTCCACGAGGACTTTAACAAGGAGGGCACTTACGAGAGTGCCCACGTCAGCAATTTCCGCGTCCCAATCACTTTCCGCCATCCCAACCTCCCTCGGGTACAGTACGAGGCCAACACCACCACTATCTCCATCTTGCCCACCATTCTCGACCTCCTCATCAACAGCGGCTCCCTCAATAAGAAGGATACCACTATCGCCTCTGATCTCGTTCAGGACTACGAGGGCCAGTCTCTCATTCGGCCTTATATCAAGAAGCAGAATGACCGACGCGCATGGACCTTTTCTGTCGTCAACTCGGGCGCCGGCATGATCGGTATCACATCAGCCGATGTACCATGGCGGTTGACCATTCCCTGGACAAAGGTGTTTGAGTACCGCATCACCAACGCCATCACAGATCCTCTAGAGCTCAGCCCCGTGTCAGCGTGGTCGAGCGAGCAACTCATCGAGGACGCTAAAGTAGCCTTTGGCGAAGAGGCCGGCGCGTGGGTGGCCGAAGCGGTACCCATAGCCCAATGGTGGGCATACGAGCGACAACGACTCTGGCGACATCACTCCCTAGCCTAAGAAGCTGAATTTTTCCCTTGCATTATATACCAGGCGTCTCGGAGAATCTGTTAATTCTACCCACGACATAACAAGCAGAGTGGTAAAACATCCCAGGATGGATGGAACACAAACCTCATCTCTGCTTGGCAACGTTAATAATCTCATTATTATTTTTATTTGTGTATGGAAAAAGCTCAAGGCGAGGCGGGTTGGATGTGAAGACTAGATGGGAAATTTGGGGGCTTCTTCTTTCGTCCCTTCGCTTTAGGAGTTTTGAAAGGGATTTGCTACGTCATGAAATTTTTTGGGCATTTTTTACCAATAACCCCTGCAGTGTTACAGCGACAGTGAAGATGTCTTTTTTGTTGTTTTTGAAGATGCATATTTGGAACTTTTTGAGCATATGTTTGTGGTTTGCTGAGCGATGTGTCTTGTACGGGAGTCATGGAGCGTGCGTGACAGTTGAAACCCACAAGATGTGATTTTTCTGGTGACTTGAGCAAAGCATTGCATTTGAATTGATTACTTTGTTTTTATCTGCGAGATGTGCAGTAGAATGCTAGAATGACTGCCGAGGTAGCTTTACATGGTTTCTTTTTGCCCTTCCACCAACGTCAAAGCGCGGCACTCACTGCCGAACGTCGATCGTCATCGTGTTGGTTCGCATTCATATTCCTTCGGGAATGGCTTGCAGCTCGGCCCGAGACACCACGAGGCGTTCCCCCCCCTTTTTTTTTTTGCGGTGCGGTTTCTGCAAGGAGATGTTCGAGACAAGAAAGATGCATGATGTCACTACGCACAAAAAGATGTCTGACCCCGAGATCTTGGGAAAAAGTTATTGGTGGCGTAGGCGAATATGTGACGGAGATGGCTGAGACTTGAGGTGGTAAATGTATCAGGAAGTCTTGGATTTTTTGTGGGATGGTGGTTCTGAGATTGGTTATTGTCACGAAGTTGGTGATACAAGGTGTGCATGGACTTTTTGATGGTCACTTGACCTGGTGCTTGGCTTTCGGGAGCATAGACATGATGCAAATAACGGAAAGATAACATGTGTGTTTAGTTGAGAGCTGCCACGCACTCAATCTCCAACTCTGCACCAAGTGGTAGTGCTGCAGCCGCCACGCATGTCCGTGCCTAACATCACTGTTAGTAATTGTAATACACAGAGGAATAAGGTATCTCACTGGCTTAGGATCAGAGGTAAAAAACTTGACATAGGCCTCGTTGACCTTGGCGAGGTGATCCATGTCAGACAAGAAGATGTTAATCTTGACAGCTTTTGCCAAGCCAGTACCCGCAGCTTCTAGAATGACATCGAGGTTCTTGAGAGCCTGGGTCTATAGAGCTCAGAGGTTAGCACGATAGACATAGTGCGGACAAGTTTAGGAGTACCCACCGCTCGATCGGAAACGTCGCCTTCTACAAACTTTCCAGTTGTAGGGTCAAGACCTAGGGAGCCAGAGCAAAAGACAAGGCCGTTGGAGATGATGGCTTGGGACATGAAAGGGGCTGGAGGTGGAGCGTTGGGGGTGACGACGGCGGTTCTTGAGGCCATTGTGATGAGGTGTATGTTGGCTGTTTGCAGAATGACGGATTTGTGCTTTGTTATCAAACTCTAGTAAGTGGACTCAAGAGAAGACTTTTGGGTGCTTTATATATGCAAGACTTATAGATACATTCACTTCGTGGTCGTTGTGTGTGATGGGTAATTATGAGCGAAAGCGGAGCAGTGCGCCGAACGGGAAGGCCATAGCGAAAACACCAAGACGAGACATCGGTTCGCTATGGCCTGCCCCTCAACGGCTTGGCTTGCATTTACCCCATTTTTTGCAGATCAAGGTCATTGAAAGATAAACCACAGTTCATCTAAGGATAAGAAAACGAGAGAGAAGGCAGTTGTACGGATCGGCGAGGTTGTTCAAAATGCCGAGACTTCTCCGGTAGTTCCCCGTCAACTATTTTTTGGGGCCGAGGCTGCCTGATTGGATATTGCTTTCGCCAATGGGATCTGAAGTCGTCTTTCATTCTTGTAAGAGTATGTGGAATCAATATGAGATGCCCTGAAGAGGATTGCTTGCTTCACAGTTGAACCAGCCGCAACAGTACCCTCATGCAGGGAAGGGAATCAATCAATCCACGGACGCCCGTCGTGGACGCTAAGTACGTTTTCAGGTAGCTAAGCGATGATGTAAGGTTGGCACGGCTCGTTTGAAGGGACGTGCCATCCTAGTCGTCAATCCACGAACGTCCTTCGTGGATTGATTCCCTTCCCTGCCCTCATGTTTGGAAAAGGTGATTGATTGGTGGAAGAATACTGCCGTTCTTTGAATATCCTTCGTGGTATTCTTTCCTTGTTTCTCAGCCTTCTAATTCCCTCAATACCACCGCGTTATTGGCCATCGCGTTCTTGCACCTATCAGGTTCGAATCTGGCCCACCATCTCAGCAAGCTCGAGGTTGATAGAAGCGCATTGACTCTGGGACGCTGAACCCTGCCAAGAGACGGCTGAGTAAACTCATGGAGCACGCATGAAAGGCCTGACTTGGCAACTGCAGCGGTGAGATTGCTGTGCTCAAGATTCTAATTTTATCTTTCTGTGATACTGTCAAACGGTGCCAAGCGCTTGTCCCAATGTCTTCGGCTTCCAGAAGACCAACAGAAGTGAGGCAATCACGTGCACCGTATTCATTGACCAATAAAGACTCTTCCCAAGAGAGGCTAACGTGGCGGATGGCGTGGGGCATGAGATCGCCAGCCGGGTTCATCCAACCACCCAAACCCATACTCATTTGAAGAAATTGCCGCCCATAAACCCTTTTTAGTCAAGCATGATGCCATTTCAAGTGAGCAGTGCCCCAGAGACAAGGCCGTGAGCGGTCCTGCGTCGGCCTTGATCGACGGTCTGGTGGAGTTGAGTTGAACGGAGTTTAAGCTCGATTCTGCAGTTTACAGGGATAACACCGTCCATCGCCTGAAGGTTGCTCGTGGGCTTGCTGTTGTAAAAGTCTGGTGGGAAATCTGGCAAAACTGTAGAGAAACCTCCATTTATTGAGCAAGGAACCGAATGCCTGTAGATGCTCAGCTCAATATAGACAGTTCCGTGTTAAGCTTCAGCAGGCGCCACGGCCGCTGAAGATGGACCCCAAGCCACCCTTGAGCTCCCCATGTGCTACCATTACCGCGTCGAGGCTATGGGGCGAGGCACAGGCTGATGGTAAGCCCCAGCACTAGTAATGCTGGCTTGCCAAGGTGAACAGGGTTACACCATCTGATATGTACCGGCGGATCAAGCCTTGTCTTGTGTCCTGGATAAATAACTTGTTGCTTTCCTTTGAGATTCATCGTTGGGACTTCTCTATCAAAAAATGACATTCCATTCATCTGATAAACTCATCTTATAACTACTCACCTACGAAAACACGATGAAAGACATCGTCATACTCGGTGCCGGCCTAGCGGCAGCCCCCCTGATCCGCCAAATCATGCTCAAGTCAGTCTTGCGACAGGACAATCTCAGACTGACGGTCGTCGCACCAAACACCCACTTCCACTGGCCCATTGCCATGCCTCGAGTCATTCTCCCCGACCACTGGTCTGAGCACAAGGCCATGTTCGAACTCTACCCCTTCTTCAAGGACTACCCCCCTGAGAGGTTTGAGTTTGTCCTTGGAGCCGCCAGTAGTATGGACCTGGAGGGAAAGCACATCACGGTTGCTTTGAATCGAGGGGGAGTTTATACGGTACATTACGACACTCTTGTCATTGCCACCGGCTCGTCTGCCCAGGATCATGTACCATGGACGGTCTTGGGCACAACAGAAGAGACCAAGGAGAAGCTTCATGCACTATGGGACGATATCAGAAGAGCTGAGACGATTGTTATTGCGGGAGGTGGCCCGACTGGTACAGAAACGGCTGGAGAGATTGCTTACGAATACCGTGACGAAAAGGAGGTGTACTTTATCTACGACGACGCCCTTCCGCTTGGACCGTCAACTCTGGACAGCGTGAGGAAACAAGTCATTAAGGAACTTTCAAAGCTCAAAGTCAACATGCTGCCCAAGACCCGCGTCACAGAAGTCACCAAGGACGGAAAAGACACCATCCTCCAACTCCGCCGAGCCGACGGCAGCTTTCAGACTCTGAGAACTCAGGCCTACATTCCCGCTACCGGGACAAAGCCCAACACGGCGTTTGCGCCAAATGAGATTTTGGACAATCGCGGTTTCATAAAGCAGACAGGTTATCTTCAAGTGGAGGGCCACTCGGATATTTTTGTGCTTGGCGACGCTGGAAATTTGGAGAGCAACAGGGCAATGTATGCTGATTCTCAGTGCCTACACCTCATCAAGAACCTTCCCATATACCTCAGTGGGGGTAAAATGACACCGTATAAAAAGAAGCAGAAGGAGATGATTGCCATCACGCTTGGAAGAAAACGAGCTACGGGGCAGCTGGGGAACATCAAGATCTTGAGTCTGTTGCTGTGGTATGCCAAGGGACGTTGGATGGGTACGGATTATGCGTATGATCTCGCGGCCGGGAGAAGGTCACTTTCGACGGTACTAGAGAAGCGGAGGCGGTAGTGAGTGTGGGTGTTTTTGATGTTTGCCAAATGCCTCCTGGTCCATTTCTACATACCGCCATTTCCGTAATCATGATTATTGCTATAAAAAAACCAGGCATAAACTTTCTCTCGTCTTGAAATTGGCATCTTGCAGGCAAACTTGAGCTTCCTGTTGCTGCCTTCATACGAAGGATGTCTGGTCCTTCCCTGCGTTGGTCAACCTAGTAAAAAACTGCCCAAGAGTCTCGGCCGTATCTGAATCCTCCTCTTCATCGCTAAATTCAAATAGATCTTGACCAACGATTTCCACGTTGGTCGTCTCTAGCTTATGGAGCTTAGTATCACCTTTTTAATATAAATACTACATAGTGACTAATTACTACTAGTACTCATACTATTGCTACCCCTACAAAGGTGTGCTTCTAAGAGCTTGGTTAGCATCTTATAGTTATTAGCCCTCGCTAGGTCGAGCGGCGTCTTCCCGTCCTTGTCCCCTAAGCGGACGATGTCGTCGTTGCCGCAGCAGCGCTCTAATAGGGCACCGGCTAGGGCTATGAACCCGGCGGCGGCGGCGAGGTGGAGCGCCGTCTGGTGGTCTTCGCCCGAGTACCGGATGTCAGCCCCGCGATCCAGGAGCAGCTTCGCTACCGCCCCGTTTCCATGCCTGGCCGCAACCAGGAGCGGTGTGTGCCCATCGTTGGTCAAGGAGTCGGTTTGGGCGCCGTTTTCCAACAGCAGTCGCGTGGCCCCCTGACAGCCCTTCTTCGCGGCCCAGTGCAGAGGCGTCGAACCATCCTTGCTGTCTCGCGACTCCACGTCGGCCTCTTTTTCCAGCAGCAGCCTAACGATCGAGTCGTGACCGAATTCAGCCGCTAAAGAGAGGGCGCTCTGGCCGGAGTCGCCGTTGCGCACATCCGGGTCTGCTCCATGTTCCAGCAGCAGCCGGACCACGGGCAGCTTTCCTCTTACGGCGGCGTTGTAGATGGGCCGCTTCCCGTTCGTCTCCAGATTTGGGTCGATGCCCTTGTCAAGCAGGAGCCGAAGGACCCTCTCATAGCCTAGGCCAGACGCAACAGCTAGGAGTTCCCCGTCACCTTCGCAGACCTCTCGAACATCGCGCGTAGACCCGATCTCGGCGAGCAACTTGGCGACACGCTCGTGCCACAGGCCTGGCGCGAGCATCTTCACAAGCTGCGAGGAATCCGCTGCTCCCTTCATCTGCTTTCGTAGAAGCTCTACGCTCCTCATGTGGCCCTCCTGAGCGGCGTAGGAGAGCGCAGTCCGGCTCGAAACAGAGTCTTCGGTGTCGGGGTCCGCACCCAGTTCAAGGAGTCGCCGAACCATATCCTCGTAACCTTTCTCTGCCGCTCTTCCCAGCAGTGTCCGGCCTTCTACCTCTTCCCCTACATGCACACCTTCCAGGGAGGACAGCAGCGCCCGAGCCGTAGCCAGCAGCCCTAGTTGGAGCGCAGCGTGCAGCGCCGCCATAACATTGCTGCGCACTCCTGCGTCTAGCAGTGCCTTGATAGTATCCTCATCTCCCGCTTGAACGGTGAGAACGAGCGGTTTGCTGTCCATTCCGTCCAGTGAGATGTCTTTACGAAGCACCGACTGGACAATGTACAAATGATGGGTTTGCACTGCCAAGGTAAGCGCCTTGGAGAGGTGCTGCCGCGTTGCACCAACACCGGCTCCAAGCAGAGCCTGCGCCGCTTCGTACTCTCCGCCTCGAGCCGACCATACCAGCAATGAGGGCCGACCGGAATCACCCAAAGATTCATCCCTTGCATCGGCGTTCCTGCGTAGAAGCTCTTGGATGACTTCCGTCTGTCGTCCCTTCACCGCTAGCATGAGGGGCGAGGATTCATCCTTGATACCCTTCCCGGCAACGTTGGCTCCAGCGTCGGCGAGCAGCCGCACTACAGCGACATGTCCTCTGCTGGCTGCCAGAGACAGCGGGGTCAATTGGCCGTCCTGGACGCTGCCGTCTGTATTCGCTCCCTTCTTGAGCAGGAGGCGTACCACGGCATCGTGCCCATTTTCGGCCGCCCACGAGACCGGCGTGCGTCCGTCAAAGTCCTCCGCGTCCACGCCGATACCACGATCGAGGAGCAGTCCCACTACCGTTTTCATTCCCTGCCCCGCTGCCCACGAGAGTATGCTACGGCCCGTCTCCTTGTCCGCCTGGTCAGGCCTGGCGCCCATTCCCAGAAGAAGCTCCGTCGCCGACTCGTGGCCCCCAATCGCCGCCAACAAGACCGGCGTCCTTTCCGTGTCCATCTCCGGCGTCTCCAGCTGCGCACCGTGCTCCACTAGGAGACGAATCACCGACTCGTGGCCTGCTCTGGCCGCTCCGGTCATGGCTGTGCTGCCGTCTTCAACGGTCTCAATGTCCTCTCCAGCATCTAGGAGGGTCCGGACAATGCTCTCGACTCCCGTTCCGGCTGCTGTGACCAGAACCTTGGGCCTGATACCGCTAGACTCGCTGACCTCGGCCCCGTTATCGAGCAGCATCTGTGCCACTTCTTCGCTACCGCCACACGCGGCACCGTACAACGGGCTTACCCCTACGTCAACGCGTGCTCCGGCATCTAGGAGCAACCGCAACGTCGACAGATGGACGTATCTTGCGGCTTTAGACAGTGGTGTCTCGTCTACCGTGTCAGTTGCGTTGATGTCAGCCCCGTTGGCTAGTAGCAACGCTGCGATCCGCTCGTGACCACCCCTTGAAGCGACATGCAGTGCTGTCTCCATCCGAGAACCTGGGCTGGAGACGTCTGCACCCGCCTGAACGAGTGAATGCACTATCGCCTCAAACTTCTGGCAGACGACCTCGAATTCTTTCGCAGGCTTGGGCTCGTCGCGGTTGTTTCCTCGGGGTTCTCCCGCGAACTTGTAGACCGCAGAGGATACTGCTTCGATTGCTTTATACAGGATTGGAGAGTCCTGCGACTTGGAGTTTGGGTCGGCCCCGCTGGCAAGTAGCTCACTAACTGTTGTCAAACTTCCTGCCTCAATCGCAGCGTGCAACACCGTCTGTGGAGAGAAGGTCTTGCACTCGGCCCAGTTCGGGTCCGCCCCATGATGCAGAAGCAGCTTCGCTACTTCGGCGTGGTCGTTAACTGCCGCCAGCCAGAGCGGTGTGAACGACTCGCCCCTGTCATCCTTCCCTAGAATCGAGTGTATTGTTCCCACGGCCCCTACTCCCGTGACCTGATCGGATTCACGGTCTAGCAGCAGCTGCACCATAGCAGCATCCCCTGTTTCGGCGGCGACGGCGAGCGCCGTGTAGCCCGTACCCTCGCTCTTCCAATTGACCTCGGCCCCCCAATCGAGAAGCAGATCGACCACTCCATGGTGTCCACCCTTCGTGGCCAGGCACAATGGTGTGATTCCGTCCAAGCCTCTCTCCCGGTTGGCATCGGCGCCAGCTTTGAGCAGGAGTATGGCGACGGCCTCGTGCCCGTTCTCGGCTGCTTCGTGGAGAGCAGTGCCGTCGAAACTGTCCATCGACCTCTGCCCAGACTGGTCGACGTTAGCCCCGCCGTCCAGTAACACGCCCACGACATTGGCGTGTCCGTTCCTAGCTGCCCCCTGTAAAGCGTTATAGCCGTATTCTCCTGATAGGTTCGGATCGGCACCTCTTGCCAAGAGGAGGCGTACCGCTTTTTCGTGCCCGTTCGTTGCAGCTTCGTCTAGGGCCGTGGCCCCGAGCATGGCATCGAAGTTGAACTCGTCCGGGGTCCAACGGTAGACGGAGCCGTTGTGAGACTGCTTCGACTTCATCGAGATCAACTCCTTAGCCAGGGTTCCGTAGTGACAGCCGCTATCTATAAACGCGCCCCTATCCAAAAGTAGACTGATGATAGCCTCGTGCCCGTTCCTGGCCGCCCGGTGCAGGGCAGTGCCGCCAAAGTTGTCCAAGGCGTCAATCTCGGCACCTCCCTCTTCTAGCAGCAACTGGGCGAGGCCGATGCCAGAGGAGCCAGCGCCGGCCGCTTCGTGCAGCGCGGTACCCCCCCGCAGACGCTCCCTCGCCGCGAGCTCTGCCTTGATCCGCAGGACGGCTTCGTCCTTGGCCTCCCAGTGGGCAAAGAACTGGAAGGTCTCAGACACGACCTGGGCCATTATGGTGCCGTTCTCCATCATGAGCTGCAGTGTCGCTTCGAAATTGTAGGGCTGGTTGGCGTCCGCACCCTGGCTGAGCAGCAGCCTAGCAACCGCCTCGCATCTATGTCTGGCCGCGCGGTGCAGTGGTGTCCCTCCATAGTTGTCCTCGGCGTCAGTCCGCGCGGCGCCGACCAGAAGCAGAAGCCGCGCGACCTCCACGTGGCCATTCTTGGCGGCTCTGTGTAACGCGGTGCCGCCGAACTGGGCCGCGCTGTTGGCATCACAGCCCTTCTCTAAGAGGAGCCGTACCATGTTGACGTGGCCGTTTTCGGCAGCGCGATGGAGTGCCGTCCAACCAAAGCTATCCTTCGCCTCGAGGTCCGCTGCGCTGCCGCTGGTAACCAAGGACTTGGCAAATTCGTACAGCCCATAGTGTGCGGCTATGTGGAGCGGGTTGACTTGTCTGGGATAGAGTTGGCTGTAGTCTGGGAATCTGAACCTCGACAGGTGGGACACTTGGGTGATGGACATAACGCGGGCCTTGTTTTTGAATAACGCCAGGACCACAGCCTGCAGGCGATTGCTTCCTACCTTGTGCAGATGCCAGCCCCAAAACCGAGCCGAGTAGTCGAGAAAGGGGAACTCGGTGAGCCTGCGTTCCAGCTCCTTGTCAGACGAGCTGGGGCCTTGGGCAAATTCATCCAACCCCAGATAGGTCAGACATGACCTAGAGATGCTCTCGTCGGCCAGGGAAAAGTGGTCGTCGTCGAGCTGATCGAAGTATTCCTGGGCAGTGGCGTGCACCAGCCGGACTACCTTACTATTGGGGTCAATGGCAACAAGACCGGCGCACACGTCGACGATGACCTTTGGCTGCACCAGTCCGCTCTTGTCCAGCTGCGGCAGGTGCGGCTTATCCTCGTCTGCCTCTTCGACCACGAGAGCATGGAGGAGCTCGTCGACCAGCAAGGGGCGCTTGACGCGAGAAACCCAGGCCAGAACCCTCAACCCTCGCTCGTACCGTGTTACGGGTTGCTTAGCCATCCTTTCGAGGCTCTCGGCATACATGTCGAAAAGATCCGTCGGCATGCTGACGAGGGCGTCGTTGATCTCCTTGACACTATCCGAGACGCGGATCCGTTCCATCTGCAACACCGCCATGAGGAACCTAATTGGCCGAGTTGGTCAGCAAAACTGTCAAGTGGCTGTCGAACTTGAGTGGGTGCGAGCTCACATCCCAGACGCTTGGCTTGCGGTTATGGACACAATCCTCTCTTGGAGCGGGGTCTCCTCGTCCGCCCCAACTAGATCAAGGAGCTCATCGTTGTTCTCTAGTTGATTTCTCACAAATACCTCAATATCCGTCTTTGTTGCCACAATATCCAGACGCGCAAATGACTTGAACGCCTGCTGAATGTCTTGTGCGTGCGGGCGGCTGGTCACGAAGACACGGACCCGGCTACCCCTCAAATTTGCCAGGTCCTTCAGCGTTGAGAGGAGCATGGACCTATCTCTCTTCTCGCATTCATCGATTCCGTCGACCAGCACGTAAGTTTTGTCGAAGCTTGAGGCGAGCGCCAGGAGAAGGCTTTGCAGTTCCTTTGGGCGAGGCCTTGTTGACTTGTTGCCCCTCGTCAGCTTGCGGTAGAGCTCATCGACCTTGCGATGCAGCCTGTTGCCTCGCAAGGCTAGCTGTCTCGTCAGGCTGGCGACGATGGAGGCGCTCGTATTCGCGTCGGGGTCGTTGTAGTGGCAGTAGGCAAAGGCGACGCCCACTTCTTCGCTTTCGAAATTGACTCTCACTTGCTCAACCGCCACCGAACTACGTCTTGAATCAGCTTACGGCACTCGCCCGGGTGAAGTTGCACGATAAGGGACACCCGCTCACGTCATGACTGTCTTTCCAGCACCGGCTATAAGTGCGATCATGTTAGCGACGAAAAGGGGGGTTCCACATTGACACAACTCACGATCGCCCGGGCACCAGAGAAGAGGATCAACCTGGTCATTCTCCAGCCAACCAGTGAACTCTCCCGACTGTGAGAACCAGGAGCACGTGTTCTCCTGGTGCAAGGAGAATATGTCTTGGTGTTTCTGCTCCATGTCTGTGGTTGACAACCAGTCCAAGATGCGACGGCATTCTTCCCCTAAAATGCCCACGTTGTCAGGAACTGCTCAGCTCACGACAAGGCGATATCATAATCTCGTACCGTCTTGGGCCAGTCGCAGCCACTCAACTGCGCCAGATAGCTTGTCAATGGCTGATTTTGTTGTCTTGGACAGATCGCTTGCTCAGAGATTTAGCGGCAAAACCTAGAAAAGTCGCATTCTCTGGTGGCTCATACAAATGATCTGATTGTAGGGCGAGGATGAAGTAGCTCTTCAGTCGCTCCAACGATTGCAAAATGCTGTTTATCTCTCCCTTGTCGAAGGGCCAAGTCACTACCCGCCCGAGCTTCTTCAGTGCTCCCACCGGGGAGAACTTGGAGGCGAGTGTCTCCAGCGCAATTTGGTACTGTTCCAGCGGCCCTTTCGGTACGCTCAAGGACCGAAGGGAGCTTGGTGTCGTGCTCTCTCGATCGGCTTGGTCCTTGACCAGGAATAGAACGCCGGTAATGCTGCTGATCTCCTTGATGACATTTTCGCGTTCTTTCGGGGCGTTCTTGACCGAGTTTAGATAACCCACCACCTTACCGGCCATTTGCAGGACGGTGAGGATGTTCACCGCTGCGCTAAGAGGTTCCATGGCCGCGGGAGGGCGTTGTTATGCCAGCCGGACTGTCGTAATTATTAGCGGGCGTTGAAGAGAGACGAATATTATTTTTATGGATAATTAGGATGGCTACGAGATGGAGTTTCCGCCAGATTCCCCTTGGGCTGATGGGCGAAGATTCGTCAAACGTGGTAGGGAGGCTTGGTTCAGCTCGTCTGAGTTGGCCATGCAGAAGTCGACTGCTCCTAGCCTATGAAGGCTGCGGCACGCCTCACTATTGTCTGTAAGCACATGCACTCCGCTTATCCAGACCAATCAGTGAACAAAGGGCCTTTGCGCAGGCTGTTTTCTCGCGAAAGAACTTTGTGATCTGTCGTTCCCCTCAGGCTTGGCAAGTCTGCCTGGGATAAGGCAGCACGGTGCTACCTCTCTCCGTTCGATTATGAGCATGAGAAGATCTAGACATGTTGGAATTGCTCGAAAGGGAATGCGTGGATGGGCTAGACACGTCGGCATGCTAGAACGATGTTGGCGATTCCAGTATGTTTGCACTCAACTCGGTGACCAGAGGCTGCCGGCTCGAAAAGCGACGGAGCATGTCCTGGAGCTGCTTAGGCGCTGACACTGTGGAAGCGACATCGAACGAGAGCTCTTGTAGGCGGCCCTCGACATCTACCACACCTTCGACATAGATCTGTAATGTTGTCGCCAACTGTAGCCCAAGACCTACCACGCCAACAACTAGACCAGCCGCTTCCATGTCTTGATGTGAATGATGATGGCGAGACCTGAAATGTCACAACGTGCCCTGGGTGGGGGAGGAGATATTTCCCCCGAGGCTGAGCAGCAGCCCCGTTGACCAATGAGGATGGGGAGCCAATCAGTAGGGATATGTATTTTCAACCCCCTTGATCAAGTCAGCTGGGCTGTCATGTACCGAGCTCTCACAATTCCAAGTGTACATCCGGGTATTCGACGAGTTGGCTAACTAGCTTGTACATGGGCTGCTAAATCACAGCCTCAAACTGACGGATAAATACAGTAAGAAAAAGCCATATTCGAGTCTTACTATGCACCGGGATATCTCGGAAAGAATAAATCCTCCAACCGACCAACCGCAAGGATCATACACCGCTTAGAGCATCTCGCCCCTTCTTGTAACGCCCATCTCCGCTCACCACCCTCAGCTGGAGCCAGGAAAATAATACTTGTCGACCTCATCGGCCTCGTCGTCACTAATAGGTGGCCCTACCCCCTCAATGAGAAGAGACGATTTTGTGTCTCTTTCCGCTCCGTACGCAGCATCAAATCTGGCTCTGGCCTCATTGAGCTTTGACACCCAGAGATTCATCTGAGCCTCAGCGGCGAACTCGAATGAAAAGTATTCTTGCTCCCTTTCCGCATCTGCTGCAAACCACAACACGTCACATGTGTAAGACCCTAAATAAGTCAGTAAAAGCTCCTCTGGGTGGCGGGGATGGGGCATACCGGGGTTTGGGCGGATTATGACGGATTCGATATTGTTGATAAATATACGGCCTTTGAGAAGCAGTTTTGTCTGCTTGTCGTTGTGCAGCCGTCTGCTTCTCCAGAACTGAAAGCTTCTCTGTTTTTGTTGGAGGTCCAGCTCCTTGCATATCAGGAGGATGTTCCTGAAGAGGTATGCACGGTACTACTACAGTCAGCACTCGAAGGTGACCGCGTGTCGAGAGATAACTTACAGATCCTCTGATTTTATCATTCGTAATGATTACAGAGCCATACAATAGCAACGTGCCGAATCGGGTAGGGTTGAGGTTTTTCCAGTCCTCAACACAATATTTTAGTTCTGTAAACGCCTCACTGGTTTCTTCAGATCTGACCCTATCGTTGACAATGTTCATTGCTTGTCTAAGTTTTGCTCGTGCCAACTTCAGGTCAGGCTCTGGGGAGATCGACATGCTCTCTATCCTGCTCAAGTCCTTCGCATGGTCAGTAGTAATCTTGCATTTAAACGTCTTCGACTGTTCACTCACCTTGAGAAATGAACTGTATTTAGAGAGACGTTGAGCTGGAAGTGGTAATATTCTCAAACATCTTGTCAGCGTCATGCTCAGCGGGTTCCCGGCAGAATTGTTCTCTTGGCCAATGCATGATCTGATCTTGGCCCTCGCTTTCTGTTCATTCGCAATAAATTCGCTCTCCTCGGATATACCGAAGACATAGCAATGGAACACCGCTGTCCACCTTTGCTTGCGAAAAGGTAGAAACAAGTTCTGCTCCATCATGACCAGTAAGCCTATGTGCATACTGGCCAGTTGTCGAGAATTTCCAAAGATTTCGATCATGTCGTTCCGAGACAGCGTGCCATCGACCTCTACAGAGGTTTGAATCTCTACAAGCTCTTGCAGCTGACGGACGAAAACATTCTGATCGGCTAGGAATTCTTCGAGTAAGAGGCGCGCCTGCTCCTCAGTTGGATCGCCATTGAGTCTGATTGGGTTAAGATCCTCCAGCTGGGCATCAACAGGACTCAAAACACCACTGGCTGTAAGCTCTTCAATGATGAACGATACAATAGTGATGACCTTTTCCCAGTTAGCAACAAGGAGCAGCGCTGATAGGGAAAGAGCCTAACCTTTGAAAACCCGTAATTATCGGTTCTCGTCAGTTCGGACATTGCAAAGAGATTGTCCACACACATTTTCAAATCATTGCGGCAGTATTCGAGAAACTGGAAGATGGCGTCTTTGGCAGCACCGAGTCCATCAGGGGAACGCATTGTTGGATCCACGATAATATCGATCTGGGGATCTAAGGCTTGTACGAGCTTCAAGAGGGGCATTTCTTTGGAAAGCACGGCCCGGAGCTGATGAAACACGGTATCGGGACTGAGAATTTGTCCGAAATACTGGTTCATTTCGGGGAGCTGAAGCATTTTTAACTTGATTTCGATGCACTCGTGTAGGAGGCCTCGCTCTGTCTTCTTGGCTTGTGGCATGGCAGTTGGAACCTGGGCGCCAGCGCCAAAGTCGTAGTTCTCGGCGTTGGTGATATCTTCCTGATACACTGGAAGTGCAATGACGGACATAATGGAGATGTCGCCTAGGCTGAGACTAGAGAAGACGGACCAGATGTTGGATGGTGCGATTGAACTGCGAAACGAAAAGTCCATTGTGTCTCGTTGCGCTCGGCGATAGACGCGCGATGATTCGAGATCATCCTCAAAGTCAAACTTGGACAAGTCCAGATCAGATCCTTGGCTCGTGGGTTGTGTTGATGTGTCGGTGAGATTGCTCTGTGTTTCGACAGAGTTGCTAGACTGTGGTCCAGTGCCTGAGACAGACATGAGGCTCATCCGCTTTGAGACAATTGTCTGCACGTCTAGAGCATCTTCCAAGTTCATGAGTCGTCGGGAAAGTGCATGATTGCTTTCAAGGAGAGCATTGATGTTAACGGAGAGTTGCTCCTGATGCTGAGTCGCCATCCGATCGGAATCACTAGGAGCAAGTCAGCACGGCTCATACCTAAAGTCCAGAACTCGGGTACCTCTGCAAGATCATGAGTATCAATGATATGGAACTTTTGAAGCTTTGAACTCTGGTGAGAATCGGGGTGAATGTGCTCTCTTTGCGCGCCCATAGCAGCCGAGCCCGGAGCGGCAAACGCTGATCACTTCCCTCACGAGGTGGCAGCGTCCGAACAACAGCCTCGAGCTCTGAAAATAAAAGAACCCCATCTGTGAGTATGGTGACGACTTGGTGTACTGCGATAAAAGAAGCGTGACGCGCCTGAACAGCGCCGAGGTTCTGTGTCAGGTTCTGGAGCCCAGCTAGAATCACCTGAGTGCTCTGAACCTCTGAATACACATGGGCCGTGATCTGAGGCGTCTCCTTGGCGGCAGAGACATATGGGGCCAGAAACTTGGCGATTTGGCCCGTGGCAGACAGCAGCCCGGCTATTGAGGCCGCGATACTGAGAGGATCGGCCATTAGGGGAGATACGTGTTGAGGATGAAGAGCTGAAAATGAGAGGCAGCCTGATTGAGGCTGTGACTTAAAGCGCGCTTCAGTCGTTGGCCCAGCCAATCAGAATATTATGTAAGCGCAGCTCTCAGAACCATGACAATGCAGTAGGTATACGAAAAACACTGTTAGTTAATTAATTGGATTTTGACGAGTGTTTCTTAGGTAGGGAGTAAAGTTAATCCAATTTAATAAAATCACTGGTTTGAGCTTGGGGCATTGGAATGCCTGGCTAACTCTGAATCTACTACCCGCTGCGCTATTCATATGACTTGCAAGAGCCTACTCCGACTCAGATTCTGTATCTGACAGTAGTTGGTGGGCAGGCAAGCCATTCACCGATGATGCCATAGCCTCCGATGATGAATACACTAATTCGTCTCCGTCTCCGTAGGGTATCCCATCATAGATCAAGTCGAGCTCTTCATTTGCTGCAGCATCAAAATCATCTCGATTGACTTCAAGCGCAGCATCGAGCAAACCATGGAGCTCCTCAAGAATATCATGTTTGAGAGACCTCGAGGCAAGTCTCACAATCCTGATAGAGAGTTGTGCGGGCGTAAGCGAATAATCCACCACAAGAACGTTATCAGCTAGACTTGAGCTCTCCCCAAGAATTCCAGACAAGGCAAAGACTCTATCCCGCGAGTCCGAACATTTCATGAGCCTAAAGCGCCGGAACAGTTCATGCAAATCTGGGCGCATGCCTTGCTGCTCACGAAACCTGTGATGGCGCCTCTCATTGACGAGTGTGACTGCGGAACCAATCTCGCGGCTACCATGTGCGTACACCTCGGGGAACAGGTGATTTGCACGGTCCCAATGGATGAGAACAGAACCAGAGGCAAAGATGAGATCCCGAGCCAGCACGAACTCCTGAACGATCCACATTCTTGACCAATAGTCGGACTCGAGCAGGGGAATCAATTGCTCTGAAAATTCCGACTTCCGAAAGCGACCGGTGTATGGCCTGTGTACTGTCCGCAACTTGGCTAGGTCTGCGGTAGCGAGGAGATGAAGAGCTTTCTCACAGCTCGGACCTAACCAAACAAGTACGAATACGGCGCCTTTGTATATGCGGCTCATCATGCGAACTTGGTGATTTCGTTCCGAGACTTCGTTTTGGTTGATGCAAATGGCATCAATCCAGAAGTACTTCCAACATCCAGGTGATTGATGGAAACGTTTGGGTTCATCAGCGTTGAACTCGGAGGATATGGCTTCTAGGGAGTTTTTCGTAATAGCCTGCGCCCCAGTTGCGGTTTTCATGTGGTTTGAAATGCTCTTTAGTGCTGAGTAAAGGTTGTGACGTATGAAAAATGCGTGTCCATTCAAGGTGATCTCGTGCTGAATAGACGGCGATCCCCACACGTACGAGAGTGCGATGAATTGTGGGCAGCTTGAAAGATCAAAGACGGACAGATTGCATGCTATCTTGCCGTCTGAATCTTCGGAGATGGAGAGTAGCCTTATTTGCCGTTTTGAATGGTCGAGAGGAGGGTGTGATGAATTTACTTGTGAGGCTGTCATTTCAATGCTGGCCCATGGAAGACGGAATGGTCGTGATTTTTTGGGGGGCTTGATAGAGATGGAGCCAGAGTCAGTGGTCAAGTAAACATCGAGTTGTGTGATAAACGGGAGGCTGGTTATGCCATCGACTGTACATATATTGTGAGAATGAGGGAATTGACCGACGAGGTGCACTCGAGGTAGACACGTCAACGGTCCCGTGAGTGGCTTGCCAATGTGCATATGAGCTTCATTGGGCCGGAACATTCCACCCCTACGCAGCTCACCACGTACATGATCCAAATTCTTGGCGTTCGATATAGGTCCACTAGATACCGAACACCTCCTCCTTATGCGCCTTGATCCACGCAGAAAGCTTGATCGGATCTCTCCCCGTGTACTTTTTGATGTTTGCCGAAGCTTCCTTGTACCGATCCGCCGGATATCTTGCCTTGTCGTCCCCAAGGAAGTATTCAGCAAGAGCATGAGCAACAATACCAGGAAGGTTCTCCTTCTTTGTGGCGATAAACTCCTTTTCGCTTATCTCTGTGATGGTCAAGTCACGACCCGTTGCCTCTGCAACAATCTCCCAAGCTTCTTTCTGCGTGAGTAGGTCTGGACCGCACAAGGGTACAATCTCAGACTCTGCCTCATGCTCAACCAGCTTCACACCGCAAACAGATCCAATGTCCTCTGGTGCGATATAATCACTGACTGCCCCTAGATTCAGTAGTTTGACTTCTCCTTTCTTGAATCCATCGGCCTCTCCCTTCAAGTTGCTGTTGAAATACATAGGTCGAATAAGGGTGTGTGCTAGTCCGCTTTCAGCCAGAGCAACTTCAACCTTGGCGTGGGCCGCGGGAATAAAATCGGAGCTGTTCAAGGCAGCTTTCGCGTTCGGGTGTCGGTACAACGTGTATGAAGATAGCAGAACGACATGGGATATGCCAGCCTTCTTCATAGCGTCGAGAGTCGCACGCAGGCCATCTTGCACCCCATGGACGATATACGTAAACGCAGCGGTTGCGCCTGATTCAGAAACGGCGTCTTGGACAGACTTTGGATCCGACAAGTCTGCCTTGACTCGCTTGAAGCCGCGCTCTTGTTCGATCTCGGGCGTGAGGCCGGGGATGGCCTTGTTGGTGTCTCGCATAGCGAGAAATACAGTGGCCCCTCTTTTCTGGGCTTCAAATGCTGCAGCCCGGGCGACAGCGCCAGATGCGCCAAAGATGATGACTCGTGGAGACATGATTGCTGATGTTGAGATAGATAGCAAAGTCTTAGCGGATGCTTCTGAGTATAAGAAATCTGCGACATATATATACGATAGGCACCTTGCTACATACATATCTTGTCTGGTTTGAATGATAGTCGGCTTTGTTGAGCTCGCTATTGGAAATCCGTTATATCCGTAAAGTCCGCAAAGTCCAGTGCGTAGATAGGCGGAGTGGTGACGTTGTGGATGCGAGTTGCTGCAGTCTCGGATGGCACAATGAAAAGAAAATTAGGCGAGATGTATTTTGGTTAGCGCGCCTTTGACATTTCTCTCCAAACTATATCAGCTTATACCCAGAGGTGGCCGAGCTTCCTCCCGGAGTTGCGTAGGTAGGTAGGATTGTAGGACGCATTACTTGTACGGTCTTTTTGAATAGAAGACTTAGTATTTGACTTGTGATTGGCCATGTTGTATAGAGGCTATGGCATTGGAGATGGAGTTGACGGAAATGTCGAGACTAGGATAGAGAGAAATCAGATGCTTGAGGCTGGCTTCGGATACGATAGGTCCCTACTGTACATATTTAGGGAGGAGGGGCGGGTACTGTCCGCCGAAGACCTAAGCCAGCTGGAGGGATAGCCGGAATTTATGGTGGCCTGGCCTGAGCTGCGAAGCCAGATTCACGAGAGACGTCGCTTAACCCAGACAGAGAGAGAAGCTGCCCTTCTGCTGTTGCAGAAGTTTAAGCAGGCCACTGTGTTAACATCGGGTCATGATGTTATAATGTGTTGAAGATCTGCTCTTTATTATAGCTGCAGCCCAGCCCTTGATGGGTTAACTGAGCCCGAAGATCGAGAGAAGCCTCCGGTCGGGGCATAGGTGTAACCCCGCCTACGGACCGATTATCACGATTCGACGACTCATAGTACGAACCTATACTTAAGGATCTCACCCTGAACGACCGAGAGAACTTCAACCAGACACAAATCTTCATACATGGCCTCTTACTACCACCAACACACCAACGACGGCTAGCACTAAGTCGCGGGGACCCAGTTGCTGATGGCAACTACACCTCTGGAGGACCCTATTCCCGGTAACCAAGTTAAGGATGAGGCATACAACCCCGTCCCGGAAGACCAGAGCTATTTGATGCACGGCTTAGAGACATCGGGAGAAGATGGTCGCGGCGTTATGCAGCACAAGGTTCCATCACCGTTATTATGTTGAAGACTCCACCGTGCCCAACATTTTTCCCCTATGTATAAGAACAGAGCGAAATCACCGATGAAACAAAAATCCAAGTCTCAATTCTTTTTTCTCCATCAACGTTAACCACCTCTTCCTTCTCTAACCATGGCAGACAGGTCCAGAAACCATCGAATGGCACTACGCACCTCGACAAGATGGAAAACTTTGTCCTTTGCGCGACTACCGACAGAAATTCGCTTCATGATTTTAGAGGCGATCATACAGCAGAGACATCCCGGATGGGCTTCTTTCGCATCAGTCTGCAAAGAGTGGCAGTTCTTCATCGAGAAGCGAAACTTTTGTCGGCTCAAGCTAAGCGTGTCATGCCTAGGTGATTTCCAACGTCTAGTCGTTCGGACAAGGGACCTCGTTCAGCATATTCTGCTCGATGTCGAGCTGCCAGCATATTTTTGCGTGCATTGCAGAAGTGAACGGCCTGGCGACAGAAGACGAAACGCCGGCTCCTTGATTACCGACGGAATCAAGAGGCTTTTCTGGATCCTCAACACCTGGAAGACGACCAAGGGCTTGACGTTGGAACTCGGCGCTCATTCCCCTAGCGACTCTAACCACTGGTTTAGGAATTATTGCGCCTCTGATGAGCAAGACTCTACTGCTGCGCAAAAGACCGACTACAGTTTTCACGATCCGTGTCACGGTTGGTCCCGTGGCCAGCAGGTCCGGTCTCCTCCCGAGTCAGATATATGGCGGTTCTTTAACAAGCCCGAGCTCTCGATACCCATCAGAAAAGGGCCTCCTGAAGTTGAGAGTGTCACATGTCTCTTAATACGTCGAGAAATGCGCCGTTCACTTCCCTCCTCATCACTTGGTCTCGTGCTATCCAAGCTTCCCTGTCTGGAACGCCTGATCATTGAACCATGGCGGGCATGGGATATTAGGTCGAGGATGATAAATGATAAGCGTGCGTTTCTACGCGAGCCCTTGTTTCATGCATTCAATGACTGACGTCTGGGTTATAGATATGATGCACGTGATAACGAAACGCTTCCCCCAAAGCCTCAAGACTATCTCGATTTTTGAAGATTTCAGCGACCATCTTACTACGGCAATGCTCAATCACTATGCCAGAAAGCCCTGGCTCCCCACAGTGGAAGCTTATCGCATCACAGATCCTCAACTTGCCGCCACCTTTTCTACCAAGAGCCGCGACCTTGGGCACATGTCTGTCGCATACATGATCGACGCCAAGGATTTCTTTCAAGGCGCCAATCCAATCTCGGTCTGGGGAAATCTGCAGTCTCTGGCTCTGACATCAAGACTCTTACGACCTTCAGTAAGCCGACAAGATATTGATTCCTTGCTGTATAAAGCCGGTACTGTTGCGTTGAGGATGCCCAAGCTGCATACGTTGGTGATTTGGTATGGCATGAAGGGAAGTGCCTGCGCATTCATATTCCGTGTGAACGGAGAGGGTGCACACCTCACATGGCGCAGTACGTGGGAGATGGAGCTGAGCTCACGTGTGGTAGAGGTGTGGCAGCGCGTCACCTCACAGAGACACTCACGTGCACTCCGGGTTGATAACCAGGAGATTCATGGGCTCATACAGTCCCATGGTGATGCCATCCACCATTTGGATCTGCCCTGCCAAGTGGTTTCTCCTGCATCCCTCCCACAAATCCGAAGGGAGGGAAAGTTTGGTGTTGTAGCTTCATCTGCTAGATAGGTGCTTGTAGCACCACAATTGACAAACAATTATGAAAAATTGAACAAGAAATTCCTCAGCCTTAGGCCTCTTTCTACATTCTTAGACTGTAATTTAATAAAATTGTACAGAGATAGTGATGAGGATCTACTGAGGATGACGAGTGTTTCGACGGAGTAGTGGCATGCTAGATATCCACCCTCTTGTCGTCTGTTTTGTCTTGCATCATAGATACGTGGGTCTCGCCGACGTCAATACGCGTGAAATGCGTTTCTCGGTTTTTAATCGATAGTGGGGATGATTACGCGGTTATTGACCCGGAAACAAAGACCAAATTCCCGGGGCTGAATAATAAGCCCCATTTCTCATTCCTGTGCGTCCCAAGTCGGTGAGTGAGCATAACAGAATCGTCATGGTCCATACAAAGTCAGCCTCAGATTGAAACCAGCAAGTTAGCGGATGAAACGTCCCCCGTCGGTTAACAACTTCTTTAATTGCGATTTGCTTTTATGCATGGTTCGTCTTTGCAAGGGCATGGTTTGTGGGGCGTCACACGTCAAGGAGATTGAGGGTGAGTGAGCCCTTGAACCGTGGGGGAAGAAGCGAAGCGAACGATACGTGGAGGAACTTTATTAGTTAGATAAAGAGATAATGATAGGGGGAATGGGAGAAAATGGCGGCGTCTGCCAGCCAAAACGATCTGGGCGGCGCGGCTTCTGCGGAGGGAGAACAAGGCTAAATCCCTCACACATCCACTAAGGACCCAATGTTTCCAATTAAGGGCCCCCGGGTTGAATTCAGGGGTAATAATTTAGCGGCCGCCTCCATCGTGACATGACCCTTTAAATTGCCCCTCCTGTTTTTTTGCCAGCTTCCCCTGCTGAGGAAAAAAAAACTGTTCATTCTCCTACCAACATTTCTCTCTCCTAATGGGTTCTCTCGTCGCCGAGGCTCCCAGGTATAACGACTGCTCTACTTTGAGTGCGAGCCAAGATGAAGACGACTCGCCCGACGAACGCTCGCCGCGTCTCCTCGACCAGGAGGCCTCCGGCGGTCACCATCAAGTCTCAGGGGTAGGCTTTAGCCTGCGAGGTGCGAGACCCCCGGGTTTGCCGAAGTGAAGGAGATCGCGTGTACTGATGAAGCAGCTGGTGAAAAGACACGATAAAGCGAGCACTGCGTGCATCGTCGCGATTTGGAGATGGATTTCGCTATCAGCAGCTTTCAAGCTCGAATCTCACCGACTTGGAGACTCAACCCTTGGAATGGAATGGATTCGACCACGGTAGCAGTAACGACGCCAATCTGGGCTTTTTTGGTCAGATTCGAGCGACTCTGGTCGCATCAAAGCTCAACTGGCTTCTCATTTTCGTGCCCATCGGCCTAGCGGCTCATTCTTATGAAGTCTCACCGCTGGTTACCTTCATCACCAACGCCATCGCCATTATTCCGTTATCTGTCATGTTGACGGACGCTACTGAACGGATAGCGATCGAGGCGGGAGACACTATCGGAGCGCTTTTGAACATTACCCTCGGCAATCTTGTCGAGTTGATTATTTTGTGAGTTTTTCTGATGTGGTTTTCACTGGAATGTTTTTGCTGACTCGTTACCAGAGTGTAAGGAATGCCGAGAACCGCTTTGAAGTCGAGTATTGACTCTTTTAGGGTTGCACTGGTGAATGACCATATTCGCATCGTTCAAGCATCCATTCTAGGCAGTGTGCTCGTGAATCTCCTCTTGATTCTCGGCTCTGCTCTTTTGGCTAGTAGCATGTCCAGCCATGACCCTCAATGCAGCGTGGAAGAATCAGAGCTCCTGGCGTGCCTGCTCTTCATTTCGGTTTTTGTTATTTTGGTGCCTGTGAGTTCTTCACTCATTTCGAGGTGTACATGCTGACTTTGATAGACGGCTTTTGACTACACGTTTCATATGAAGGGCAAAAGGAGTGAGGCCGCTCTCAGCATGAGCCGTGCTACTTCGCTAGTCGTGCTCGTTATTTACGTCATATACTTTGCATACGAGATGAGGCCCAAGGTAGTGGAAACACTGCCTATTCCGCTGCAGAATCTTCAACCAGGCAACACCCGACATCGTCGTGGGCAAGCGTCACAGTCCCAGACCAACGCTGGATCTCGAAGTATCCGCTTCGCAGATCAAAACGCTCAAAGCCGTGCGAGAAGCACGACTCTTGATAGGAGTGGGAGAGTGAATCCGGAGATTGTCGAGGAGGAACCTGGGAATAGAGATCCCGCACGACCTGATTCTCGACTCGGCTCTTCCTATCAGCAAGGGTTCCGGGCGAGGGGACATTCACGCACGCGCTCACTAAGCGCCAGCCAAGGATATCACAGCCGAGAGTCTTCGTTAAACGACGGAACCATCGCAAGTCAGTTCTTGCCGGAACATCCCCACGAAGTTTCTGCTCTTCAACCCTCTCGACCAACAAACTCAAGCGGAACATTCGCATCGGTAACGGTGCTGGTCCTCACATCAGCCCTCATGTCGATGAACGCCGAATTCCTCGTCAAAGAGATCGACGACGTAACCCACGAAGGCGGTCTCTCAGAGGGAATGATCGGCCTCATCATCCTCCCGGTAGTTGGAAACATTGCCGAGTACGTGACGGTCGTGACGGTGGCGACCAAGAACAAGCTGGACCTAGCCATCTCAGTTGCTGTGGGCTCAGCAATCCAAATCGCCCTGTGTGTGGCACCCCTGACGGTCCTGATAGCCTGGATGCTGCACCGGGACCTCGAGATGGCCTTCAACGTGTTTGAGACGACGACGTTGGTGGGCACGGGGTTGTTGATCAACCTGCTTATTCTAAGTCGTACTAGTACGAGTGTTAGGGCCGTTGGGCTGAAAGGAGCCCTGATGTATGCCTGTTATGTGATTATTGGGTAAGTCTGCTCTTGATTATAGACAGCAAGTTGCTAACGTGGGATAGATTGGGCGCCTATTATGAGCCGTCATCTGAGAAATAACGAGTCAAGCCTGGATGCAACATAGAATACTTATTACTATCAACATAGAATAGACCTAATAATTCAACGAAACCTTTAGATTGTTCTTATGAGTTGCTCGATCCTGATGATATTCCGCGAGGCACGTGACTCGACATTCTTGGGTGCATATTGGGCGTCTTTCTCAGCTTGGGCTCAGTTCTTGATCATCTTACACTTGGCCAAGAGCAACTTCCTTTAAAGTTTGCATATTCAATCGATATACATTTCAAAATGGATTGGTCTTGGGTCCACTCATGCAAGTTCTGCCAGGCAATGTAAATACAAGTTCCTGAGCACTATGAACCGGACGGCGACCAATCCATCTCCCTCGACCTGACGTTCGACGATATCGTCCACGGCGCAGAAAACGGCAGCACATTCTACGCCATTCTGAAAGACCCCATGGAGCGGTATCCGGAGCCCTTTGACCACTCGGCGCCTATCGAGGTCTCATTGTGCTCTGGCCCAGGAGATACGCTCGATGTGTAGTTCAAGAGGATAGTGCGCCCATTCTTTGTGTTCACGCGTGAAGGTAATTCTTCCTAAACATATATCTCTTAAGTTAACTTACCCGATATAGAGGATCCCGTCCATAATGCCGTGAATCGCGTCCTACCCAACTTGGAGCCTGGATCTGCTGCGAGTTTATCCAAGGCTAGTTTTTGGCTCTTCAACTGTCTAACAAACCACCCCAAGTGTTCTTCAAAAGGCATTTGCGAGTCTCCAGTTAGGCTCCTGAAACTAGGGCAAGACGAATCCACTGTGTGCCTCGTCCCTAATCATCAGAATTTCAGATATGCGGCCCTGAGTTACTGTTGGGGAGCTGATCAGGAGTACAAACTCATCCAGGCAAGACTCACTGCGTATCACGCGTCTATAGATGTTGCAAGCCTGCCTAAGTCCGTCCAGGATGCTATCAAAGTTGCCCGAAGTCTCGATGGAATATCATATATCTGGATTGACTCGCTCTGTATCATTCAGGATGACGATGATGACAAAGGCAGTCAGTTGGCCAAGATGGGTGACATATATCGTGGTGGCACAGTCACAATCTCTGCTGCCAGTGCTGGGAGCTGCTATGAAGGGTTCCTCAAGTCCCGGGAATGCCCCGAGGAAGCAAAGCCTATTACCAAGATAACATTCACATCTAAGACCGGGGAAAAGGGAGAAGTATATCTTGTCCCACACGCCGGCCGAGAAACAGATCCAGATCCAATCAACTACCGCGCCTGGACACTTCAGGAGCATGTTCTCTCGTCACGAATTCTGTACTATTCCTCGCTTCAACCACACTGGCTCTGCCGATCCGAAAAAAAAGTCGGATGGTGGCATGCGATTCCCACAGATTCTAGATTCGAGGAGATATGGCGATGAAATGGGCATGTTTGCGTTCAGCGGTGATGGGGCGCATAGGACATGGGTTGAGCTCCTTGCGACATACACCAGACGGAAGATGACAAACCTGGGGATCGATACGTCGCTATCGAAGATATCGGACAGGATGTGGCTAAAGAAATGGGGACTGATTACGTGGCGGGTCTGTTCGCTAACTCCTGGGCCATCGACCTTAGTTGGATGGCTGAAAAGCCTCAGCCCTGTCCGTCTCAACGCGCAGGGCCAAGCTGGTCATGGGCCTCGATCTCAGGCCCAATCAGCAGCGTAGAACGAGAAAGGGACACAAGGGACACAATCGAGGTGTTATCCTTCGATGTCAAATGGAAGATACCAGGGGCCAGCAGCGGCGAGATCCAATCCGCCACTCTCAAAGTCCGAGCATGGATGAAACCCCAGAAGCTGCGTTTCGGCCCCGCCAGACGAAGAGCACAGCTCGCCGATTGTACCGAGGCGCATATCCCCTATTACCCTGATACGATGGATTCATCCTACGAAGACGGCAAAGTTGTAGACCTCTGGTTGATGGAAGTCTCCCAGCTCTTCCAGGGACACCATTTCAACTGTGAGGTTTGGGGGCTAGTCCTGTGTAGAGAAGGATCTGGGGCGTTTAAGCGTCTGGCAGGATATGTTCTCCGTCTACCTTCGCTGTCAAAGCTTGCAGGGGTTGACGAGGTGTCCGCAAAGGACCTTATTGAAGGGCCGGACCTGTATTAACCGCCTTGGATTTGAGCAGATGGAGGTAAATCTGGTATAACCTGTTCATATTTCATCGCTTCCAGTGGTAATTAACATGACGATTGTGTCTCATGTGTTTAAGGTTGAGCTTGGTGTATGTTGGCATCGCCAGCTAACACAAGGCGTGAATCCCAAGCGCAACAGCTACACTCGGCACAAACGGCCCACGGTTTAAGACGGCATTTAAACTCATCAATTTAATTGCTCTTGAAGAAGTTGAAAGAACACTTTGTAGGACCCTTCATTCCGATGAGTTCAACACCCAAGACGGATTAGGCCAGACATCGGGATCTCCTACCTCTTTCGCGGCCCTACCCCACGCCAACTATCAGTAGCGCTCAACCCTCAAGTTCGCCTTTTGCGGGGTAGAATCTTCCCCTTATCTCGTCAGCGAGAATAACCGGGCAGCCATCGATGCTCTATCTCGGGATCACTGTCTCGGTTGGTATGGTTGCCACGAGGGGGGCCGCCCGTCGGCAAGCCCGGGACTTGTTCTGGCGCAGTTCTAGGCTGGGCGGAGCGGCTCTTGACGGCTTCGGTAGATAGGGATCGCACTAATTTGCAACGTGATGTTGTTGTTCCTGATTGAGATGTCTTGTCTGGATCACGATTCGGACCAAAATGGAAGGCTGTGAGGTTGGGAAAGGAGCAACTGATTCCGAGGTTGACAAGTATATAAGAATAGATGAGACGGCTTCTTGGTCAACCCATTCATCAAGCTCAGATCAATAAACACTACTTCCTCACACTTCTACTCTAATCAACTCTACTACTCTTCCTCACAGCCACCTTTGCACTCACAACCGCAACAATGGCCGCCGTCAACGCTGATACCCTCGACATGTCCCTGTTCTTCGGAACAGAGGCCCAGAAGAAGGACTTCTGCGAGAGCCTCCTCTCCCTTCTCAAGAAGCGAGGATGTGTCAAGCTCCAGAACCATGGCATCCCCGCTGAGGATATCAAGCAGCTGTTTGAACAGGTAAGACACTGAACCTCAACTTGTGCGGCTTATCTAACCCCTGCAGACCAAGAAGTTCTTCAACCTTTCCCACGAGACAAAGATGATCGCCAAGCACCCTCCCCAGGCAAACCCCAACCGAGGATATAGCTACGTCGGCCAGGAGAACGTTGCCAACATTAGTGGCTACGAGAAGGGTCTTGGTCCTCTCAAGACCCGTGATATCAAGGAGACTCTCGACATGGGCTCCGCTACGGATGAGCTTGTCGATAACCTCTGGGTTCCTGAAGAGAGCCTCCCTGGCTTCCGCAAGTTCATGGAGACCTTTTACGAAAAGGCCTTCAAGACCGAACTCCAGATCCTCACCGCTCTTGCCATTGCCCTTGGTGTTTCTGAGGATCACCTCAAGTCTCTCCACAACCGTGCCGAGAACGAGTTCCGTCTTCTTCACTACCCAGCCATCCCCGCCTCCGAGCTCGCCGATGGCACAGCTACCCGCATCGCCGAGCACACTGACTTTGGAACCATCACCATGCTTTTCCAGGACTCCACAGGCGGTCTCCAGGTCGAGGATCAGGAGAACCTCGGAACCTTCCGAAACGTCGAATCCTCAGCACCCACCGACATCATCCTCAACATCGGCGACTCCCTCCAGCGCCTGACGAACGACACCTTCAAGGCAGCCTGCCACCGCGTCACATACCCTCCCACCATCAAGGCCGGCGACGAGCGTGTTATTCCCGAGCGATACTCAATCGCTTACTTTGCCAAGCCTAACCGCAGCGCTTCTCTGCTGCCCCTGAAGGAGTTCATTACCGATGCTACACCTTGCAAGTATGAGGATGTCACTGCTTGGGAGTGGAACAACCGCCGAATTGAGGCCCTGTTTACTGCTACTGCTTAGATGATTGTGTGACTGGGTGAAAAATGGACTCCTGGGCAAAAGCACTGGGAGGAATGAGTGGATGATTTGGATTGAGATCCTCATGTATGCTATAGCTAGCGAAGTCTGCATTTTAGAGAACAAGATTGTTTAACATTATTTACGGGTTTACTCCTGTGACATTCTGTGTGGTCTTGTAGTTTGCTATATGTGATTGGGTGTTGAGACGCGTGTTCTGTTTTGGGTCCCTCCTAGCCGACTCTGTTTTCCCCATGCAGAAGGTAATTGCCATCACCAGTGAATATGACGGGTCCTACACCACAAAAGTGCTGCTCTGAGCTTCCTAAGCTTAAGAGAGGAATATGAATAGGATGAATCTAACGATCCAAAGGTGTTGTTTGTGAGGACAAATGGCCTTACCTGGGCTCATGTGTGTGTAAGATACCCTACACCTTTACCATTCGTACTCTGGTCCGGGAAGCCGAGATTGGGGCTTGAGCGACCGCATGATCAACCAGATTAGAAAGAAGTAAGCTCGAATCCTTCAACCAACCGGCAGGATGATAATCCACATGATCAAGCCAAAGAACGGTAGACCCGGCGGTTCCCCGAGATGCCGGGGCTCCACTTCTCCGGCTTCGCCCAAGTGGAGCCTTGTTATCAATGACACGGCAAAGGGCGTCGTCGGTCGCGCCATTGAAAGCACCACAACAGCCAAAACATGCGTGACGCAGAAATTTCAAGGGGATATGTCCTTAGTCATGGACAAGAGTCGATTCCATCTTTTACATTCCCTGCCTCTTTCATTTTCATTGAGAAACTTTACTCTGACCGTTTGACAAGTTCATCTCCAAACGTGGGGAACCTTGTGACTGAGCCTGGGCCAAGCTAGTTCAATCTTGAACAACCAATTAGAAGCTGATATTTCTTACTTCCACCTCCAATTGGCCACTCATCGTCAACACGTCAAGCGGCCTCCTTCGGCACAAGATAAGCCCCAGTCGAATCTGGAAGGAGATCCCGACCCCCTTCCCTTTTCAAAATCCATTAACTAACGACTCTATCTCTCATGATAAATCCAACAACAATCAACAATTTCCCTTCCTCAACATGAGCAACTCGAAATCTAAACGAACCCATTCTTTTGGCGGGTGCAAGACTTGTCGAAAACGTCATCTCAAATGTGACCAGTCTGTACCGAAATGCAACCGATGTCGGCTTGCTGGACTTGCCTGCGAGGGCTTCACGCCTGCGTTGAGGTGGTTGATATCTACTGGGAAAGAGGTTTATGATAGACAGCCTCCTCAACTGGCTGAAGCTGGAGGAGAGCAGTTTTCGAGACGGCATTTATACACTGGTTAGTGCACGTTTATTCTTGGTGTAAATCTGAAGCTAATTGTGGTCTAGAGAAGGGGAGAGAATCTATGAGTAGTGCACTGGTCAATGATGTCCCCTCCACCATAGCAGCAGCCCTCAGTGAAATCGACGAAGAGTCCAAATCTATCGAAATTGAGGATCATGCATCAAGCACCTACGAAGTAGGCCCCTTCCGGGTCTTCAAGTTCGAATCAGAACCCTGCCATTCTGTCGGAACCGCCATTTCCGACCCCGTGTCATTCGGCGGCATGGACATTGATGACATCAGTGAAGGATATTCGGAATCTGTCATCTTTGACCCCACGAGACCGGAAATCTCAACAGATTTTTCTTCGACCTCGCATGATTTTTTGCAGTGGGGAGACTTGTTCACTTGGGACGTGAGCATTCTCGATAACCCCCCTTTTCCGATGGATCCGCAAGATGGCTTGGGTGCTCTGCCAATGAACCTCAACTGGCCGACTGAACCTACTGTCAACTTTTCAGAAACGCTTGATCCGATGCTTTCAGTTGACACGACTCCCGACGATGTGGCATGGCCCCAGATTGATCTCGTTGGAGATGCAGCACTCCTATTACGACATTTTAACGACGACGTCATTAGCCAAATGGGATCCCTCCCCATCAACGAAAAGTCCGCCTGGAGGACACTTCACTATCCCGCCGCAATCATGACACTGAGTCAACTCACGGTACTCGACGCAGACAAGGACCAGATAAAGCACGCCAGCCTAGCCATCTTTTATGCGCTGGTCGCCGTCTCATCATTTCACCTCTCACTGAACTCTGCAACGTTTCCGGCTCTCGCAAGACCTGGAGATCATTGGAAGTCTGTTTCGAGTCGGACGTATGAGGCTGCAAAGCATCATCTTAGACTTAGTCTCGAGAAGGAGTGTCAGCCGCCGAACAAGGCCAAGTACAAGGAGCAGTTGATGGGCATCAGCGCCGTCTTGGCAACCTCTGTGAGTAAACATTCTCCTCTATCAGTTTCATCGCTAATTATTCTGCCGCAGCTTCTTTCTGGTAACCAAGACGACACGAGATGGTGCCTCACAGAAATGGAGCGTCTAATAAGCTGGCGAGGACTCACCAAACCATCCATATCCCGTCGCGCACGTATTCTACACAACATCTATGCCTGGATGCGCATCGTCTCAGAAAGCACATACGTATTTCGCGATGAGAACCACGCCATAGAAGCCCCCTTTTCACGCTCAAACACGGCAAAACGACAGACCGTGCAATCCATTAACCCCGACATCACCCCTGACAACTTTCTTCACCTTGAGCCGCGAAAGCTACACTCTAGTCATGGACAGAAAGAGTCAAGACGAGACATCAAGGCTATTCATCTAGCGGATACATCGCAAGACCATGAAAACATGTATATGCAGATATACGGTGTTCCAGAGACATGGCTAAGCCTTGTGTCACAAATAACGCGTCTCGCAAACGTCATGGACCGCCTCTCGACTAGAAAAAAGTCGGACGCCGAAGTACTAGTCTCGTTACAACCCAGAGCATCATATCTGGAAAATGCTGTCTGTCTGTTCAAGTCTCGTCACGAAGCAGAGACGGATTCAACTGCGAGCTTGAGTCCTGTTCCTGGTGGCACACCACACATGCACATGGTCCGCGCCTTGGGTTCTGCACTCGTCATTTTCTTCTACCGAAGGATACGAAATGTGAACCCTCTGGTTCTTCAAGATAGTGTCAACGATGTGATAGAATTTCTGCACTCCTTCGATGACGCGCTGGAACAGCACGGTCTTCTCGGACCTGGGACAGCATGGCCTGCGTTCATCGCAGGGGCAGAGGCCATGTCTGTTCGACAGCGACATCACATCTCAGCCTGGCTAGACAGGGGCTTCTCAAAGTCTGGGTTTGAGAGCTATCGAGTTACAAAGGAGGTTCTGGTCGAAGTTTGGAGGAGGAGGGATGAGGCAGAGGGCAGTGGTGATTGTTCTACGTGGATGGATGTGTGTAGAGATATGCGATGTTGGCCATTAGTGAGTTGAACAACAGAGTTACTTGCGTGCAAGATGCCCCTCAACCGGGATGATGGAGGAACATGTAACGGACATGGATGGAATTGAGGTTGTGATGCTGTCAGCTTATCCTCGGACGTCCTCGGACTCTCGCTGGCAAGCCTGATCGGCACACCAGCCCTGCTAAAGAGTACTTGAAGCGACGTGACGTCTGCACACTGACTGGAGTATTTCTTATTAGCTACAGGGATGCTGGTGCATGACGCTGCGACGCATTAGTCGCGCTGGGTGTGACCACAGCAGGTTAGGCTTACACAAAGGCTTGAACGACACCAAGGCATATAACTCGATCAATTCACGGCGTCTTTCATCTCCCTAACCTCTCTTCTTCATAATGGGCCAGCAATATTCCCATCCAAAGCCAGGCGCTCAACTCCAAGTAATTGGCGCCGGCCTCTCTCGCACCGGAACAGCCTCATTCAGCAGAGCCCTCGAAATCTTACTCGACGGCCCTGTGTATCACGGCGGCACACAATCCACCCTCGGTCCAGAAGCCGAGATCACGACTTGGATCAAGGTTTTGAATCAGTGGCCGCCAAAAGATGAAGCCACGAGACGCGCCAACCTGGACCTCATCAAGAGTCGCACCGATGGCTTTGTTGGCATCACAGATTCACCAGGATGCGGCCTCGTGTCGGAATTGATGACTCTCTACCCCGACGCCAAAGTAATCTGTACCGTTCGCGATGCAGACGCATGGCAGCGAAGCATGGAGGCCGTGGGCAACGCAGCGACGCAATGGTTCCTTCGCTTCGTCCTGTTCCCACTACCAACGATGCGCTTCTTCGTCGACTATATCGATGCGCTGCGTCGACAGTGGCTGATTATGTATGGTGAAAGGGAGCCGGTGACAAGCAAGGTCTACCACCAACAGATTGCCTGGCTCAAGGAGAACGTACCACAAGACCGTCTTTTCTTTGTGGACGTCAAAGACGGCTGGGAGCCGCTGTGTAGAGCTTTGGACCTTCCTGTCCCCAAAGATGTTCCCTTCCCTAGGATCAACGACAGCAAGGCCATAGAAGACATCGCAAAGAAGCAGGTGAACAGAGGGTTGATGCGGTGGCTGGGAATCTTTGGTGTTGTTGGCGCGAGTGCTTGGGTTGTTTTGAGGTGATCGCTCAATCCTCAGGTGGAGAGCTTTCGTGGCCTCCATGTACGTATGTCGCAGTAGAATTGTTCCAGTATTCATCGGGCGCCTTTCATCCCTCCTCAACTCGAAATCCAGATAGAACGTTCTTCCGAAACCAGGGTACATAGACATCCCTAGCCCATCGTGAAAGCTCACGGATGCCAGCAACGACAGAGTATGTGTCCAGGATGCTTTGTGTTGTTCCAAACTGTCGCTCCGTCCATAAAACAGTCTTTTTGCCCTCGCGCGTCGAAAAGACAAAGTGCCAGCGATGTCCCTGTATGATGATTCCCGGAATAAGCCCCAGCTCTGAGAGTGCTGCGTCCGCCTTTTGTCTTCGCAGTATCTCCTCTTCAACCGATAGAGGCCGTGTCGTCAAGCCAATGACGGATTCGAGGAATGCCCATTGGGCTGTATGCCAAACTCCCATTTGCAACTGAGCCGCGTCGAGTTCCTTTCCCGGGCGCTTAGTCTCGATACTCAGGACAATGGGCGTCAGTTGCACGGGCGCAAAGTCGGTGTGGTTAACAGTCAATGTTGGGGTTCGGCGACCGAGGGCTTGGAGTGCTGCAGTGTCGGTTTCATCGTCGAGGTAGAGGCAAAAGTCGACCATTTTGGCTGTCGAGGAGTATGGGACGTATTTGCGATGGGGTCGGGCGGTGGTGCTACAAACAGTCATTAGCCGAGTTACAGTGGGAGCGGACATGATGTGATGCATACCAGGTTGAATAGTTGAATGGTCTGCCCTTACAAGTCCCCGGCTCCCTCAAGATGGCCTGTAAAAGACGGTGGTGTACCTCCACGTTCCAAGAGAACTCCTCATGACTCTTGTCGTGGCATTGCCGGGCGTGATCGCAGATAAGAGAGATCTCGTCTGGAGGAGGAACACGTCCAGGTAGAGTATCCAACTCGCCCGCCTCTTTAAAGGCAAACCTCCATAGTCGTGTGTTTTGGCCCTGGACATGAGGGCTGCTGAGAATCGTCTCCTTCTGGGCCTCGGGAAGTATTTCGATGCCGCTCCCAATCTCTCGAATCACATTGAGCAAGTCTACTGCAGCGGGAGGCGCAGTGTCGATGTTAAGTTGACGACATTCCAGTCCTTTCTCTTCCAGTCGCAGACCTAGCATCTGCTTCTTTGGAGAGCTCGATCGCGAGGCGCCTTCGCTAGATTCGGACCATGATACGGAGCTTGCGCTCGAGGCAGGTGCGGGAAAGTCGGCCGCTCGTGGTGTCCGGTTCGGGTCAGCGAGTTTGCGTCTCTTTGGTGTCTGTCGTTCCATTGTATCTGAAGTCTTGTTGGAGGCTGGGGGACTGGGCTCCTGTTGCCCAGCTTTTCGTTTGTTGGTGGGAGGGGCAAGCGTTCGCAAGTCGTATACGTCGGGGATGCTGTCAAGCCAGAACATCAGGCGCCGGGTGTCGAACATGACTTGAGAGAAGTTTCAATAGGACGACTGCCCTCGATCGTGAGTAGTGGTAGTCATGCAGGGCGTTTGGTATCGCTAATTGAGGATGATTGGGGTTAGAATTGGGGTTAGGATTGGGAATGGTGGTTGATGCAGCAACGCACTGTCACGTGATGTCTGATGCGCCACAATGCACCGCCACGCACCGGACGGCGACAGACGCCAGAGGATTAAGAATTCACTCCGTATAAGATTGATATACTATTGTAAGTATTTTTTCTTAACATCTATTATGCTTTCTTACTTCAAGGCAAAAGATCTCAATTAGCTTATTATAATATTTGTCTTTTTATTAATACTTAGAATAAGAATGCGATCTATAATATCTTTATAGCTACTAGAAGAATAATCACGAAACACAACGAGAGATGGTCCCGAACTAGAGTTCCTAGGGAGTGTTCACGTCGGCATTAAAAGCAGATAGGTAGCAAAGGCCTGCTAGCCGGATGGGCAATATGAGCGGGAAAAGACTTCACCTTTTGTTCATTTAATAATAACAATAAGATGACAATGAGAAGAAACATGGTGGATGACTAGAAACCTCTATTACGTGCTATGAACGCTAATATCCACTGTGAACCCTTGAACCCCTGGGTTATGATGTGCACCTCTTGCCACCAAAACCTCCCTGCAACTCGCCTTGTACTTCTGGGCAGATGCTGACGTTTGACTGGTCTCCAGGCCACCACAGTCACACTCTGATGAGATTGTCTCAGCATCAAGGAACCATGGCTCCCCTGGAGCAGCTGTCTCGCCCTCAGAACTCGTCGAATGATTGAGGCGTGGATATTTCTGGGGATAGATGAACCCATCTGCTGGAACAATGCCGTCCGTAAAGCCCATCCGCTTGATCTGGCACAGTCTTCGAGCATAGTCGAATGTTGACTCTTCACCATGCCTTGCTGTCCAGCCCACGAGCTTGAATTTGGCTTGCACGATCCCACTCCAGCAGCTCACTTGGGTGTTGGATTGGGAAGTTGCAGCCTCATCAGCCCCGTAGAGCCTCAATCTGTCGTTGAACCGGCCCACCAGTAGCCAGGACTTGACTTTCCTGGATCGAGCCACTGAGAACACGTTGATGGGCCCTATCCTCCCATTGTAGCTGACCGCTGCACCTCTTCGGACAAGCAACTGGACTGCCTCGAGCCTACCACACGCGCTGGCGATCATCAAAGCCGAGCCCAGGGGACATCCCTCAAAATCAAGGTCAGCACCCATCTCCAAGCAGTTCTCCACGATCTCGATGGAGCCCCGCGAGGCAGCTCTGCAGAGCGGGCTCCATCCTCGGTCGGGCTGAAGGTTAAGCCACTTCCTTAGAACGCTGTCTCCAAAACGACGGCGAAACTGTTTGAATGTTGCATCAAGAAAGTCCATTGTGGAAAATAGATGCAGCCAGTGCCATGGGAATGGTTGCAAGGTTTCCAGAGCCAGCTCAGAACTCAGGAGAGATGGCGATAGCAGTGGAAGTGCCCAGAGTAGATAATTGAACACATAACCATGTCCCTGGCTTGTGATTGCCAAGAAGGTTTCGTGACCGGCTACAAATTCCAGATCACCTGGTGATTCTGTAATGAAAGAGGGCGCCGAAAAGTCGAGGGCGCCTCGCAGTTCTGTTCCCGGGAGTCGCATATAGTCCTGATATGTCCTCATCAGTGCAGAGTAGTTGCTCCCCCAGTCTTTGAGGATGTTGTCGAAGGAATCTGTTAGAACGGCGATCGGTGATGCGCTGTGTTGAAGAAGAAGCGCCGCCATCTCTGGGTTAGTCGTGAGGCCAAGTGGACATTCTCCCTTTGCCGTAAGCTGGTCGGGATCTGCCCCGTTTTCAAGGAGTAGCTGAGCACAAGCAAAATTTCCGTACCAGACCGCAAGGTGCAATGCTGTCATGTCCTGGAATTCCGGGTGCAGCTTCCTAAGCCCCAACTTGCGGTTCACAACCGAATGAACCACATCCTCGGGCCGGATATGACTTTGGTGACTGTAGGTGCTGGCTGTTAACGACTTGCACGATTTCAGTGCCAATTCCGACTTACCAAATCGCGGGAGCATGCTTGGCCAAAAAGTCTAGCATAATTCTCAGGCCCTCCACATGGCCTTTCCATGCGGCATGGTGTATGGGAAAATCGAAACCATGAAGCCAGCACTCGCCCTCTTCGTGATATTTGGCAAGGATCGTGGGAAGAAGTTGAACAAGTTCCGGACTCCGCCCTGCTTCCTCAAGTACGCTCCTACTTTCATCCATCGGCCTAGTGCGTTCATCAGTGGCCATGATGCTTGCCCCGTTGTCAAGGAGCCACTGAACAATCTCGATTTTCTCATCATACAAGGCGTAGAGTAAAGGGTAGGTCGGAACCCGCCTTGGCATGGGTTTATCGATGGGACACCCATTGGCAAAAAGCCTTTGGCACTCGTCCAAGTTGCCTTGCTCGATTGCTATTCCCAGCTGCTGAACCAAAGGCGCTACTGATTCCGGAGACAGTCTGTGAAGTGATTCAAAATGCCTGTCGACAATTTCGATAATGTGGTCATGACCCTCCGCGCTGGCCAACATGCTCGCCGTTCGTCCTTTCATGTCAGCCAGGTTCAAAGCACCCAGTTGCAGTAGCACGCGGGTCGTATCGGTGTGTCCAAAATATGAGGCAAGATGCAAAGCAGTCAGGCCTCCGTCAGACTGAAGATTAACCGACGCCTTGTGAGAGACGAGGATTTCGATGATCTTCATCTGGTTGAATATAGCAGCAAAATGAAGAGCCGTGAGCCCACCCTCACAGGCAGAGTCTATATTCTGGACCAGTTGCCGTTGAAGGAGAAACTCGACGACGTCACTTTTCCTTTCGGCGCATGCCCAATGACAGAGAGTGCCGTTTCTGAAATAGGAATGACCCTGGACTTTCTCCATTTCAGTCCCCAAGGCACCATCGACGGGTCTTGTCCACCCTATGGCAGCGGGTTTGTTTACCGAAAGACTGTGCAGTTTCTCAAGAAAACTCAGGGATCCTGCTCCAACCGCGGCCGTGAAGGCAGAGGCGGGACCGAATACACCATCCCCAGTCAGTAGAGGGTCTGCTCCCAGTTCCAGGAGAACCTCTGCACAAAGGATAGATTTCTGCTTGAGATGACATGTGAGTGGAGACATGCGAGTTGGGGGAGATGCCGTCGGGCTGATGGCGTCTAGGGCAGCACCCTTTTCGATAAGTGTCCGCAATAGCCACTCAATGCGTTTGGGAGGTGACTCCATGGCGATTCTGTGTAGGATTGAGCAAGAATCATCGTCAGCAGAGAAATCTCTGATTCTCTCAGGCTGAGAATGGTCAAGGAGACATTGGAGAATGGCGATTCCCTCGTCTTTTGAACAAAGTTTGCGCGCAACTTCTGCTGTGCAGGCAAACTCGATTGAACTTGTCCCATTTTCTCGCTGATGAATGTCTACACCGTACTTGGTAAGGATTTGGACCGTGGCGGTATCCATACGCCGTATCACCGACTTTAAGTAGCCGACAACGACGTCTTGGGTCGGGTCCCACAGACTTGACGATTGTATAGCTTTTTCCAGAGTCGGTGGGACAACAGTCCAATAGCCATCGCCTACCCAGGAACAAGCCAGTAGTAGATAGACACCACATTGGCCAGTTTCATCTTCATGGGCTTTCATTGCTTCAAGGTCCAATAGGTCGGCCAAGGTACGGTCAAGATGTGCCCACCCAGATGATAGGAAGTGCTTTTTGTTCTCCCAGTGCTGCGCTTGGTCTTTGAAATTACACACAGCTTCCCATGGTGTGGCGCCCTTGTCGTTCTTTAGTCTCAAGATCTCTGAAGGAGAGAGCACTTTTACCACATCACTCCTCAGTGCCTCTGAGGCCTTCAAGGCTCTCTCAATATAGCTCTCGACTGGTAGCTGGTCCTCAAATCGAGACTGCAGAGTTTCAGGGTATGTTGTTTTGAGGAAGTCCAGCCACTCTTTTGTTGGATTGACTCCCAAGATATGAAGCGGTGTGGCATCGCCAGGCTTGATCACGCCAGACTCAGGGTTCAACTTTAGTAAGAGTTGAAAGACTTTCTTGGAGCTAGCTTGGCTAGCTAACATGAACAAAGGCTCATGATTGTCCCAGAAATCCGGCGTTTTCTGGCAGTAATGCAAGAATAAGAGGGCTTTGCTTTCCAGTTGCTCGATATCGTCTTGAGAGTCTTCCTCAAAAGCCATCAAGGCTAGCATGGGGGGTGTAAACCCCTCTTCCGTCCGTAATAATAGAGCTTTCTGATAGCATTCTGGGTCAATGCTGAACAGAGCCTCTAAAAATGGCACCTCGCATACATTTGAACTTGCGCAAAGATGCCAGAGCGTGCCCGAATCCGAACTCTGAACGAGGAGCGACAACCCATGCTCGACGAGAAGCTTCAGAACACCCCCATCACCCTCCATATCACAACAATGAAGGGTGGGAGTCCCCGTGTTTGTACTGACTTCAGGGTCACCTCCAAGCTTCAAAAGGAGACGAGTGCACTCCAAAGCATCGGCCGCGACAGCATGGTGTAACAATGTCCCATCAATGTAGCCTCGCTGGAGAGTCTCATTGACGTCAACGCGACCGTCTTTCAGACAGAGTTGGAGCGTGGCAGTGTCGTCATTGTCGATTGCGGCTAATGTCTTGTCAACCAAGGCCGCAACTGAAAGGGATATCCGGCTGTCCGTCAAGCTTGTATCGTTTGTGAAGTTGAGCCCAAGGGTGACGGCGGCCAGCCAAATCTTGTTGCCAAGGTCAAACCCCCAGTCCAAGTCGTATGATGATGATTTCATCAAGTAGCTGAGTAGCCTAAGGAGGGCTTCTTCCAAGTCTGAGCGATCATCCCTCTTGGGCCATGACTTGAGGTAATCTCCAAAAGCAATTATGTCGTCGTCGGTAGGGATGTGTCCGTGGTCCAGCAGTGTAATAAGCGGGTCAAAATCCCGGAAATGACATCCAATGGTGGCGACGGACAATAGCACGGAATGGTCGCCAACCGGGCCATCAAGATGATTGAAAGATGCACCTGATGAAATGAGGCAATCGATTGTGTTGTTTCGCCGAGATGATATAGGCAGAATGTCATCAAAGTAGAACCAATCACGGTCAGGATATTCGCCCGACAGATCTTCTATGAAACCGAGAAACGAAACCTCGGCAAGTAGAAGAGGCGTCCCCAGGGGAGAATTTGCATTGGCTCGAGCCCCGGCCCGAATGAGGAATGAACATATTTCGGGAATGTTGAGCGCCGAAGCAACGTGCAAAGGGGGCAGAAAGTCGCTGAAAGACAGATCTCTAATCCTTGGTTCTACATCATTCCAAGGATCCTCTTCCAAGTAGAACCAGATAATTTCTTTAAATAGAACGTAGATCCAAAAACGAAAGTTGAGCGTTGCGCTGTGATGAAATAGGGATTTGGCAGCATCCAATAGTGAGGGGTCGTCAAGTCCATTCCGAGTAAGATCCAGCCAGCGGCGAGAAGCTCTGGAGAAGAAGGATGAAAACCCCAAACCCTCGGCCAGGTCGTGGCCAGAGAGGAAAGATTCCACGTACTTTTCATCTATGTTGCCAACTTGCAAGAACCGTAGGCATTGAAGAGCGATCAGCTCCCGGCCTTCCGACTCGACAAGTCTGTACGCGCCTAGTTCCGCAGTCTGCAAGACCGTCTCGTCTTGCAAGAACTCCTTGACCGAGAAATGGGCGAATTCAAAGTACTCATCTTGGGCGGATTTCCGTACAAGGCTGCTACAACACAGAGCAACCTCTCTCTCTGTAACTGTGTTTGTCTGATCCATGCGTGCGCCAATAGTCTCGGGTACGGAGACGGCCACGCAGAGCTCCTCGATGGGCATTGTTGGGGCCTCGGCGATGAAACTGAGACACTTCTGGACTAGCTTGCGGACTCGGAGTGGGCGTTTGTTGATCCTCTGGAGTAGTCTCAGATATGTCTCAGATAGGGTTGGTGGCAACTCGTAAAGAGCTTGGCGGCGATCTGCGTCGGTGAGCAGCTGGCCCAGATAGTCCAACTGGCAAACGACCCAGCGAAACCTGGTTTGTTAGTAGTCCGGCGAGATCATGATGGAATAACAGGTACTGACATTCCGTTTGCCCTACTGACCAGCTCAGTCTGGATCTCATCCTTGATTGTCTTGTTTTGGATATCCAGTTGCTTTGTTCGGATCCTCCGTTCCATCTCGGCCCGGACATAGATTTTGAGGTCCTCTTCACGTGCTTCGATGATAAACTCCTTGAACCCACCCTCGAGAGCTTGTCTGATTTCGACCTCGTTCCGGCTCAGCAGCGCCATCGAAGTCGTGCTTGCGAAGTCGGCCAAGTCACAAAGCGTTTCCAGGGCCTGGAACACAGCATCACCGCACTCATCAAGCCCATCGACAACTATGATAACTTGCGAGAATAGGTTACACATGCTGGCCGTGACTCTCGCAAGCTCGTCCACATCTGCTGGCTTGTTGAGGCCGCGGGCTGGATGAAGTTCCTGATAATGCTCTTGCAGGAGCTCAAATGAATCATCTCTTTGAATGGCAAGCTGCGAAGCCAAAGCCCCGATGATGTTGACTGACTTCAAAGTCGCATCTTGCTTGTAATCGCAGAAGAAGAAGGCCACAGCGACATCAGACTCGACACCGCTCCTGACGATGGCTTCCTGAATCATAGCACCAGCCAAGACGGTCTTACCACCGCCAGCAGTTCCATTAAGCCAAAGTCTTGAGCCGGGTGACTGAAGCCATTCTGTAAAGGCAAAGGATTGAGTGAACCACTCCCCAGTGGCTGGTTGTCGTAGCTTGAGACTTTGGTCCAAGTTGGCTTGGGGGTTGAGCTTTGGTGGCATGAAAAAGTCCAAGACAAGTTGCTTTCTCGGGTCCATAATGATAGCCGTCCGAACTTCAATCTTCTCAAGACTTGCTGCCATCTTGGAGAGTGTTTCGCCCTGCTCTCTCTGTTTCATGAGGCATAGCTGTAAGTTGCGCATGGTGTCGGCCGAAGTTGCGAGGGTGATGCTGTCCTTGCAGCGAGAGAGCTGCTGCAACAAGTCCCGCGTGTCCGAGGCTGAGAAAGGCCATTTGAGTTGTCTGGAGACGCCTTCCCATCGAGAGCGGCTGTTGAAGCTGTTTAGAGCCTTGATGACTTGGCGTTCAATTTTGTCGAATATTTTCCGGCACTCGATGAGATGGTCAACCTGAAAGGCGGGCTCAAAAGTCTGTCCCTCGGCTTCCAGTTCATCAGCGAGTGCCTCGAGGTTGCGAAGGATACCCGAGAAGCTGTTGATCTCTGTGGCAAGAGCTTGGATTTCTTTCTTGGCGCCGGTTGCGGTGCGTCCAAACTTGTATGTGTGGCGGAAGAGGGTGTCGGCAAGACTGATGAGGCCAGCGATGCTCGCTGCCATAGACAGCGGATCAGCCATTTTTATGTACACCGACCATATAGGCTAGGCGAGGTTTTATGGTATGGTAAGTTTTGTCTAAGAAAGCAACCTGGACGAAGCGGGGTGCGCTTATGTACCGGCTCAGGATTTGGCTGTCAGCCTGTCGTTTAGCCAGTCTGAGGCTCTTAGAGGCGAAGCCAGGCTGTGCTGGGCCGCCTGGGTGCGCCTTTTTATCATGGGCGGTTAGCACAGCCAGTGACAGACTGCATGAACCCCTCATGCACAGGGCAATGAAAAAAAGACTGGCTCAACGAGGAAATAAGTATACCTTGCTCTAAGGATAGTATTAAAGACGTAGAGAGAATATGAAGAGGCGGTTAGAACATTTTGTCATCTTGTAATGTATTTTAGGACTTGGTAGTGTATTTTGTATAAATCTACCCATTAACACAGTCATAGGCTTTAAGAAGTGGGCTATGTTCTATCGTTTCTCTTAAAGCGGTTGCCCCCAAATGGACGTCGAATTGTTTGAGGCAATGTGGCTTGGTTACGGTTGCATTAGTGGCTGTGTCCCCTGCTTCTTTTGCCTTGCTGAAGAGATTGGATGAGATGGGTTGAAAAGTAATCGGGCATTGGCAACTGATTGGGACTTTGGTTGAATTACGAGTATATGTCGGGCAATATAAAGAACACTAATGGCCCTTTAAACCTTGTTAAAATATTACTCAAGTTCCTTAACACTTGAGAGGGTACACGGTCATGTGACTGCCAATCACTCCTCCAGGTGGTGTAATGTATTTCAACCTCGATCAATGACACGACGCCATTAGTGTTAGTAAGCATGGAAGTCAGACACCTCACACCGACCAACCTTCAGCAACTTCGCTTGTCTACTACTTGCCTATACCTGCCATGTTGTTCGCATTCCCTATATGGTGCTACTTATTAGCACTAGGCCCTCTCTTTGTTGCAGGAGACTCTAGCTTAGACAACTCCTTTCGCAAGCACTGTCTCTCCTATAAACCCCACAGACTGATATTCAACTCCACCTTGACGCGCCTGGAGTACATCACCAATGGCACCAAGCTTGTCCTCGATGACACTGTAGAGTCTTGCAACCGGCCTTCTCAGCAAGTCTCGGCTGATATCTGCCGCATTGCTCTCCAGATCCCGACTTCAGAGCGGTCCAGCATAAGCTTTGAGCTATGGCTTCCGCAGAAGTGGGAAGGTGCTAGATATCTCGCAACTGGGAATGGGGGTGTTGATGGATGTGAGTGTTCCAGCAAAATTGAGAGATGTTGCTGATGGAATTGCCAGGTATCAAGTACGAGGACCTGGCCTATGGAACAGCTCACGGGTTTGCTACTATGGGCACGAACAACGGCCATAACGGCACTACGGGTGAAACCTTTTTCAATAACCCCGATATTATCGAGGACTTTTCGTATCGAGCGTAGGTTTGCTTAACTGTATCTATAGATATTAGACACTGACCCTCGGCCAGCCTTCACACAGGCACCACAACGGCGAAGAAGATCATCAAGAACTTTTACAGCAAAGAGGCCAGTCGTTCATATTACATCGGATGCTCGCTAGGTGGTCGCATGGGTATCAAAGCAGCTGAAGCCTTCCCAAATGACTACGACGGCATTGTTGCTGGGGCCCCAGCTGTCGATTTCAACAATCTTCAGGGTCAGAGAGCCATGTTCTATCCCATCACTGGTCCTATAGGTTCACCTGGTTTCATCGATGCGGAGACCTGGAAAGGATTAATACACGACGAAATTCTCAGACAATGCGATCATCTCGATGATGTTGAAGACGGCATCATTGAGATCCCTAACAAATGCTTCTTCAACCCTTGGGCTATCTTATGTCGGCGAGACGAATCAACTAATTGCCTCACCTTCGCACAGGTCAAACAAGTTCAAGAGATCTACGCACCGTACACTTACCCCGATGGACAGCTCATCTTTCCTCGGATGAACCCAGGGAACGAACAGCAAGCTGTTTCGAAACTTCTCGCTGGCAAACCGTTCAGTTATTCCGAAGACTGGTTTCGATATGTCGTTCTCAACGACCCAGACTGGGATGCCATCACTTACGACAGAGACCTCGTGCGTCGAGCCGACGAACTGAATCCCTTTGGCATCCGGACATATCCGAAAACTCTTCCTGCTTTCAAAGAGCGTGGCGGAAAGATCCTCAGCTACCACGGTGGTCAAGATAACCAAATCACCCAATTCAACACGGAGCGCTTCTGGGATCACATGGAAAGCGCCGACCCAGACCTACACGATCACTTCCGGTTCTTCCGTGTCTCTGGCATGTTTCACTGTAACACTGGCCCCGGAGCTTGGGCTATTGGTCAAGGTGGTGGTACCCCAGCTGCTGGCATTCCATTTGATCCACAACACAACGTCTTGGCTGCGATAGTTGCTTGGGTTGAAGAGGGACGAGCACCTGAGACACTGACAGGGACAAAGTTTGTTGATGACAATTACACGAGGGGCATTGACTTTCAGCGAGATCATTGTTCATACCCTAGGGAACAAACTTACATCGGGGGCGATCACAGGCAACCATCCAGCTGGAAATGCAAGTCATGAGAGCTTGTGGATAAATATTTGATAGTATCTTTGCGGTTCGCCTAGAACTATGTCTCCTTTCGTAATTGACTACTTGTTCAGCCGAGGAGCCCTTTCGGGATCTCTCCAGAACAAGCACGCCTCCTTTCGAATCGAATCCTCCTCAACCTTTGTGTTCTGAGGCTGCACAACCAGTTGCTTCGGCGACTCATCTTCGCCCTGATACGAGGGCCACTTCGGGCTACCGGGGTATCTATGACGGTTTGGATCTCCTGATGCAACAAAGCTGGCCAGGTAGGCGTGGTAAATGTGACTGATTTCAGGGAACTCTGCAGTGGGCTCGTTCCAGGTATACGCCGTGTCAGACGTATGCGGGATTCCTTGCCAATCAGGGACCTTGTTCCTGGTGTTGAAGCGAACCTTCCAGGTAGGCACGCCAGCTGTGGATGTTCGATACGTGGTTTCTTGGCCAGGGCAGATGTAGGCGTAGTCACTCCAAGCAGCGGAAATACGGTTGTATTGGGTGCTGTTTGGTGAGTTTGCGAATGGTGAGGTTGAGTCTGTTGCCGGATCGGGGTATAGAGAAGCGATGCTGGCCAAGTCCTCCTCTGTGAGAGCTGGCGAGATATTGTGTAGATAATCCAAAAACTCGTCGTTGGTCTCCAAGTCTCCAGGTGTGTAAAACTTTCCCTCGTCAGTGGTAGTCGACGAAATAGTTGGGACATGGAAGAAGGTGCCGTCATAACCCGATTGTGAACCAGGTTTCTCGAACAACGGCCCTCCGTGGACAGGCTGCCATGGCCAAGTCAAAACTGGATCATAGTCGTTGTAGATCTTTGTGCTGATGTTTCGAATGTCGTTGATGTCTGCCTTTCGAAGACATCGAAGAGTGGCCTTGTTCGTCCTGGCCTTGTCGCATCCGAGGAAAGACAGATACTCAGCGTATTGACGCTTGTAGAGGGGATAGCTCGCGTTGGGGAACGCCCTCGAAGTGACAGATCCCGATTGGTGAATTGCCCGTGCAAACAGAGGCTTCGAGTCTTTTCCATAGTTATGAAAGTAGTGGATTCCGACAGAGTGACCACCGGCAGATCGACCACCAATAGTGACAGCCTTGCGATCACCACCAAAAGAACCAATGTGCTTCTGCACAAACTGTAGGAAGTAATTTTGATCTCGGATTCCAAGGTTCAGCAGACCTTCATCCTCGAAAAGCTCAGAGGGCAGGAATCCGAGAGAGTTGAGACGGTAGTGAAAGTTGACGACCACAATGGGTTCTTTGGATGAAGCGACAAATGCCGCGGCATCGAAACTTGCCCAACTGCCGACGCAGAATGAACCTCCGTGGATCCAGACCAAAACAGGGAGTTTCTTGCTCAAGGGCACGCCCTTTGTTCGAAAGACGTTAAAGCTGAGGCAGTCTTCATCTTGAGTGTCAAGGGGAGTCCGGGAAGAGGCATCTTGAATACACGCCTTGCCGTATGTATCGGCGGTCTTGATTCCCCTAAACTTGGCGGGTGCGTCTACCGGCGAGAATCGTTTGTTGCCAGTGGGCGGTGACGCATAATTAATTCCGAGCCAGGCGTCGACGGGTGCTGGGAGGTCTTGTTTGGAGTAGGTGCTGTTGATGACCGTGCCTGAGAAAGTGCCGTATCCATCAAGCTTGACAGGATTATAGTGCTTCGCAGTAGCCTGCGAAGGCCCAAGCCCAAAAGCCAGCAACGCGCTAATATTCGTCAAAACCTTCATCTTGCCTGTCCCAACCGTCACGAACGAGTCAGCCAAGCAGCTTAATAAGAAGATAGTCCCAACTATATACCTCAGTCCTCATTTAAGTATCCAATTGCGCCAGCACAGCCAGTCAAGGCAGACCCCCGCTACTAGCGATCGGCAAACCGCCGACTCGCTTCTCTTTGAGGGAATTCCTCGGGGCCGACGTCCAAACTTGGTCCGAAGGCAAGGATCTGCATATTATTTGCACGAACTTGTGGGGAATTGTATCATCGCCAAGACCGCTACATTGATAGAAGAGTTACCATGCCTCGGCGTCGGAACTAGATGTATGTCCGGTGGTGAAGTGCCGATTGTCGGATGCTTTTTTACCTTCCTTTTTCGTGCTAATCTTGAGTGATAAAGGTGTTATAGTTTATGCATATCAGGTGTATCGATGCATGGGTTGCGTAATCAGTCGAATGATGGTATGATAAACTATCAATAAATAACTCCTATCGCAGCACAACGCTTAACCCTAACCTATCATCCTATGCTTTATAGGCAGGATAGTCCGTATATCCAATGGTAGAATCTTCAAACGGCCCATAGAAACGCGACCGGTCATAAGGCGCAAGAGGCCAGCCGTTTCGCAACCTCTCCACCAGATCAGGATTACTGATGAAATAGCGGCCGTACAGCAGGCCGTCATATTTGCCACTCTCAAGCACGCCCCAGGAGTTTTCATCATCAAATCCACCAGCAGAGAAGAAAGGCGTGTCACCAAATATGGACCTGAAGAGAGACAGGTCAACGGTTGGCAGACCCCAAGAGTTCAAGAACTCCTGCTTCTCTGCCTCGGAGAAGATTTGTTCATATCGAGGCTCGACAAAGCTGACGTAGGACAAGTTGGGAAGTCGTGCCTTCAGCTCTCGACAGAGGTGACCCCAGGTCTCGACTCGTTGTTCACTGCGGGCCTGGTTAAACAGACCGAATGGAGTCAATCGGATAGCCAAGTTCTCTTGGCCAACCGTCTTAGCCAACTCTTCCATAAGCTCCAGGGGAAACTTGCATCGCTTCTCAGCTGTGCCTCCGTAGTCGTCGGTTCGTTTGTTAATGTTTGTGCTCAAGAACTGTTCTGGCAGATATCCGTTTCCAGCGTGGAGTTCAACACCATCAAAGCCAATATCCATAGCTGTCTTGGCAGCCTTACGGTAGTCATCGATGGTTTTCTTGATATGATCGACAGTAAGTTCAATCGGCGGGTGGTCTGCCAACTTGACAGGTGTCGTACTGTGAGGGGCAGGGTAGGAGAAGGTCTCGTTGGGATCATCCCAAGTGACGGCAGACGGGGCAACGATAGGGGTACCCGTCAGTTGAGGGATGTTGGCACGCCCTGAGTGCCAGAGTTGGGCGTAGATAAATCCTCCCTTGGCATGGACAGCATCGACGATCTTCTTCCAGCCCTCGGCTTGTTCGGAGAGAAAGATGCCAGGTACACCCGGCATGCCATTGCCCTGTTGTTGTCAGCCTCTTGTCTTCCCAACGTCAGAGCTCAATGTTACCTCTAGCGAAGGTGGCAAGCCTTCTGAGATAATAAGACCGCGGTCTGTTGTCCTCTGAGTATAGTATTCCAGCATCAAGTCATTGGGTACCCAGACTCGGTTGGGGTTTTCCGGTGTCGAATTGGCGTTCAATGGAGTACCCCGATTCCTTGTAAGAGGCGCGAGGATAACTCGATGCTTAAGTCGGATCTTGCCATTGGCAATGTCCAGAGGCTGGAACAGCTTAGAAGCTGGGCCAACGTCGAGAGCGTCTCCCATGGTGAACAAGCTGTTTATGAGTGGGGGAAATGGTCGGTCGCTGACAAGGGGTTCAAGGTAACAGATCCAAGCAGTTAAAGAACTTCTAAAAAGGAAAATGCCTATGGGAATCAGTTCATATTTCTTAAAACTGGGAACAGTAAGAGCTTATCGCATACCAAGAAGCCACCCCTGATATCACATGCAGTACGTGCCAAATCTCATCTCACCACCCTTGAACAACGACGACCAAGACCACCTTTAAGTAGCATTTCCCATCACATGAAACTCCATCCTGCGGTCATTGTTTCGTTTCCCACCCGGCTCCACCGGACCAAAACGTCGATCCCTTCTCAGGGTGGTATGGAATCCGCACTTAAAGAGACCCTCACCAAACGCTAGTCTAGGATCCAGATGTAACCCCAGCGACCACCAATTTTCTCCTGTTGATCCTGTGGTTCCTAAAGGCTGCAAGTGAATGCTTTTGGAAGTTCCCAAGTCTTCGGATCCAGGGACATTGCATCAGGGGTAGAGTCCGATGAAGCGTGCCAATGCGGATGGACCTTGGCGAGTTTCTACGCCATTCGGCTATTCGTCCCGATAAACTGGGGATACTACCAACAGGCTAACTCCCTGTAGATAGAGAGTCTAACAAGATGATGGAGCTTTTGATCTGCAAATCAAATCCACATTTATGCCGAGGACTTGTGAAACTACGTCTGCACCCCGAGGCTGCATGAAATTAGCCTGCGAGCTGAAGAAAGTCTTTACGGATGATCAGGAAGGCGGCTGAACAAAAAAACTGGGCTCTTCCTCGGTATCAAGACCCAGCATTTCCCGCTCTCAAATTCTCTGTGGTTCATCTTTATATCCTTCCTTCACTCTTTGAAAGCGGTCTTTTAGGGCCTGCTATTGTTCAATATGAGTTTCCCAGGTGCAGGGCCTCCGCCTGAGGGAGTGGTGCCGAATCTCGAGCACCCCCAGGATGTGCTCAAGTCGTGCAATTACGTCACTCAGGCTCTGACCCTCGTATTTGTTTCTGCTTTTGTTGCAACTCGATTCTACGCAAAATCCAAGGTGATGGGAGGAGGCACGACTCGTGATGATTGTGAGTGATCAAAGTGTCATTGTCACAGCTGAGGGCTGACAGCATGTAGGGTTCACGTATTCTTCTTATGTATGACCCCGAAACTGTTTATTGGCTTGGCTGTCTCGGACTTACCGGATGTTAGGTACTGATGGTCGGGTATTGTATCACAGCTTGTGTTGGTGAGTACACGTTGTCCCGATGCTTTGGTGAGATGCTTACACTACACCAGCTGGAACATACGGCGGAGGGCTGAATCAATGGGAAGTACGAAAGGAACATGCGCCAATATTCTTTCGGGTGAGTCGGTATTCCTGTGTTCCATTATTCTTCTAACAATCATCATGACAGTCCGGATACGCCGCCACCATCTTCTACGCCCCCATGGCTTTGACGGTCAAACTCGCTCTCCTCTCCATCATCATCCGAGTCTTTGGATCAGTCCATAAGAAAACAATGATCGGCATCTACGTCTTCATCGGTATGCTAGTAGCATACTACGTGTCGGGCCTTTTCATCAAGATATTCATCTGCTGGCCGATCAGCGCATACTGGAAAGGAGAGACGGACAAATGTCTAAACCAGAGTGCCATCATCACGGCTGATGCCATCATTAGCTTCATCAGTGACTTGGCCATTTTGCTGTTGCCTACACCTCTTACTTGGTCTCTGCATTTGTCGAGACGAAAGAGGCTTCGAGTCATTGGCATTCTTTGTGCTGGTGGTGTGGCAACCGCGTTTAGCATCTACCGTCTGGCAATGATCCTTCACGAGGGCAAGTCACCAAACCAGACCATTGTCTTTACAAAAGTCATCTTATCTGGGTAAGTGCCGCCGTCATCAACTCCAAGTCACGAAGTTGACATGTACAGAAATGCGGAAGCCGGGATTGGACTTATTTGCGCATGCCTCCCCTCCATCAGTGCTCTCCTAGTTCGGCGTCAAGGTTATCCGTACTACGGCAACCAAAGCCACTCAACCCATAACGAGTTTTCACGAGGAGAGATTATGATGACCCGATCTTTCCACGTCGAGACGGGCAAGATTGCCAAGGGGCCGCAACCTGATGTGTACGACCTTGGTCACGATGAGGCAGGATTGGTTGCCGCAGGGCAGGCCAATCCAAAGAGTAATCTTTCTAGCCGGAGGAGGTCTGGGTCTACAAGTTGATCGCTTGTTGGGTGCATTAGCTTTAGCGGTATGATGGTCATGTATGGTATGAAAACTTGGGTATGGTACATTGGTATGGTTGAGGCTGGCTTTCACATCCTCGTCTCTTATTAATCAGTTCTACACATTTAAGGGTGGGGTTTTACGGCTATTAATAATCTTTTAATCGAATTGGTGTGCTTACAATGCCCCTTTGAACATAAAATCCGGGCAGACTCGTCACAAACCCATGGGTCTGAACGAGATTCCAACACCAAGAACATTGTCAGCAAAGTGTCTAAACGATGCGGCTGCAGAGAAACACCCAGTGCTACCTTTGCTACTCCCATTTTTGGGCCCCTGTTGCGCCTGTCTGTTGTCTTCTTTTTAAGATTTTCCGTGCCGTTCTCCCTCAAAGCCTCATTCTATTTTTATCACCACTTTTCAGCTTCTCAAGCACTGTCAGGTCTTGGCAACATCCTTCTTAGCCACATGACCGCTAAGCCAGTCTCATTGGCTGCCCGCGTTTATTATATTACACAGGTGGCAGAGTGACATTCCGTGGCTGGCTTAGAAGCCCAGAAGGAATAAGCGTTGTGTGACAAGTAATGCATGGATTATCGGGTGCATCCTCCTGCAGGGCAAAAGAACGATTCCATTCAAGCAACCAACAGAATGCCCAATTTAATCAGGTGCAGATGGAGTGAGCAGAGGCTATATTATGAACCAACACCCTCATCTGGCATCTTCGCTCTGTTAACACCTGGATCCACGACCCAGATAAACCTTAGTAAAGATGGCCGGCCAACAGCAAAGTCCAGGCTCAGGGCCCGGAGAATACCGGATGTTCAATTTGCAATATGCCCAGACCCTCTCTTTGGGGCCTCAACGTGAGTCTTGATCTTGCCTCCTCTGCCACACCGCTCATGTCTTTAGCCTCTCAACCCAGTGCAATCTTCCAGACTGAGGTCTAACCACTGATTCATAGAAAACATCTTTTCTATATCCATGACAGGACCCCTAATCTCGAATCAAAACATGGGAGAGCTCATAGCTCGCAACCATAAGTTTAAAAAAGGCTTCGAACCCAAGGTTGCGCATAATCATACGCCGTCAGATGAAAAAGAGTCAATTAAGCACTTTGTTGCCGCTCCAGACGGCCTCAGTACTACTGGATCAATATATTCAAGTCTGTATCAAGAGGGCGAATTCCGTCTCCTTGCCATTCTCCCCGGCACCGACGATACCCCAATCCGATGCCGGTTGCACGTTTGCTCCTTGGGCGACAATCACGACACCTATGAAGCGCTCTCTTACTGCTGGAGGGCAGAATCAGAAAGTGATTGGAGTGTTGAGTACCCCACGATCGAATGTAACGGGGTTGAGATGCCTATAGGCGTCAACTTGCATCTCGCTCTGCGTCGAATACGTCGCCCAGGCTCTACGCGCGTGGTATGGGCTGATGCTATTTGCATTGACCAGAGCAATCTCGTCGAGCGAAGTCAACAGGTTGCTGCTATGGGTGACATATTTCGAAACGCCTTTAGGGTTCTCGTTTGGCTTGGTCCAGATGGGGATGACGATCCCCTCAAGTCCACAGCCTCACAGGCACTCGTCAGCGTTTGTTCGATTGTTTCCACATGGGCGACACCAACCGACCGCCCGGTCAATGTTGAAAATGCCCGGTATCGAATCCAGGGACTGGCTCAAGATTTTCACGGCGAGGGACCCTTGTCGCAAGACAGTCCAGTCTGGCTCCAGGCTTTAGCCCTCTACAAGACGCGATGGTTCCAACGTCTGTGGGTAGTCCAAGAAATCGCCTTGGCACAACGAGCTACTGTGATTTGGGGAAAATGCGAAATGTCGTGGCAATGGATCGGTCTCGCTGCCGCAGTAATTCGAACCAACTGGCACCGTATTGTACCCAACCACTCCAACAGAAGCGGCGTGTCAGACAGACAAGTACCCATTGGTGTGATGAACGCGTACTTTATGTACAGGATCTCCCGCTCCCAAGACTATCTCAAGCCTCTTTTGTTTTCTTTCTGCGAGCTACTTACATTGACTCGACAGTTTGGGTGTCAGGAGAAGCGGGACAAGATCTTCGGACTGCTCGGTCTAGCTACTACGGATGGTGTCAACTCACTAATTGCTCCCGACTACACGAACTCTCTAGGGGAAGTTTACCGAAATTTGGCGCGTCTTATGATCAGCTCCAAGAATCCTCTGGCTATCTTATCTCACATTCATCACACCGAGATCTTTGACCACCCTGGACATGATGTTTACGCGTACGATCACGACTATTCACCGCAGGCCGGGTCGGCCAGAGTCACGCCTTTCAAAGATTCATGGATCCCGAGATGGGATGTCAAGGGACCACAGACACTGACGCCTCTGGACGCACATCCGGATTTTGCAGCCGGTTTATCTCAACCAGCTCAGATCCGAGACGGCGTTCAAGGCGACCGACTCACAGTCCGAGGGATTATCATTGATGGTGTGAAACATAAGCTCTGGATGAACACTCAATACTTCAAACAGCAACAATCATTCGCTTGGGAGCAAACGCCAGGTCTTAGGGAAATCCTAGAGCGAGGCGGCCACACACGACACAGTTTGGAGAGGCTGGCTCTGACCCTGACGGCGGGCAAGAGTTGGTACGGTACGCCAATCAAAGATCGTGCTAGCATGCTTTCGGACTTTGCAAACTGTCTCGTCACTGGATAGCTCTAGTCGGCGTTGAAGCCAGACGCTTTTGGATCCAAAGATGACAAGGAAACCAGAAGTGGGAACAACTCTGGAAACCAGGACGATACTGCAGGTCTTTCTCCAGCGGGAGAATTCATCACAATGTCCGAATTAGAAGAGCTGGCTACAGAAGGAAATGGTCCTCTCTTCCTGGATGCAGTAACCACGGCCTGTGTCGGGAGATGTCTCTTCTCGACTGGATCTCACATGGGAGGTGTCGGACCGCTTGACACGCGACCTGGGGATATGGTCTGTATCATCTACGGTGCAGCTGTGCCGTTTGTTATTCGACCATATGAGGATAAACAATGGTATACGCTCGTGGGCGAATGCTATGTTCAGCATCTCATGCATGGGGGAGTAATAGGTGACGAGAGGTACAAGGGGACTTGGATCGAGTTAGTCTAGATTTATGTGGGATCCTATCAAGATTAGAACCAGCGTATCATTAGCGGGATCTTGCATTGGGAAGGGAGTTTAAAATTGAGTTTACCGTTTGTTTGTTGTCCGGGCCTCGTGGATGCGTGGGTCAACAGGCACAAAAAACAGGCGACCATTCAACTCCTTTCAGATGTTTTCCGCAGGTTTCCGACGACGACTAGTACAAAATAGCACATTCTACTTCGTCCTTCAAGTTCCAATCAAAGGGTTTTCATCCCTAGTCTTTCAGCTCGCGAGTTTGAGCGTCATTCCCAGCCCTCTAGGGTATGCGGCAGACGCACTCTCCCGAAGGGACGGCATCACATGGATGTCAGCTTGTTTGATCGCACTTGTCATAGATCATGGGGTCAACTAGGTTAAGGACAAGGATGTTTGAGAAATGGGGTCACAATGCTGGGGTAAATATGTCTCCGCCTGACAGCCGAAGTTGTCAAAGGTCCGACGCGAGAGTGCTTGATGACTCCTCCTGCGGCTTTTTACGCTGGAGAGGCTTACCGAGTTAACTGCCGACCTTCCAATGCCCAGAGTTCGTGGAACAGCCACATTACCACCGTGAGGGGAAATAGAGACATTGTCGGACAACGGCCAAGTAAGATGGGAGAGACAGCGAGAGAGACAGCGGTGACGATGGCTGCAATAAACTTGAAGCCTTTGGCTCCCATGCATACCCCTAGCCTTGATAGCATAAAGATTCAAAAGTGATTCGTAAAACCGAAATTGGCCTGAGACCTGTCACATTGACAATTGTGGGAATAATCGGGAGTGGCTACAACTTTAATAAGCGGTGTTTGGCCTCCGTGATCGCAATTATTCCACAAGTTATGCAACTGGCATAAAACATTAGCCTTGCCCTAATGACTGACCGAAAATGCACGCGCAAAATCTGGGCAATGGACAAAAGGACCGCAATTTCTACAGCGTCCAAACAGAGTTTGGACACACTCACGGACCTGACCCTCCTTGGTGGATTTGTTAGGCCGTGCCTTTGCTATAACGTAATACGGGGACAAGGGCACGAGCTGCCAGATCAACAAGAGAACGGGGGCGCAAGATATCAAGATCTGGGGATGTACTACTTGTCTCTTGGATCTTCAAGATTACGCACTTGTTTATCAGATCTCAGAGGTAATTCAGGGTAACGCTGTTCTCCAGGTTTGACCGGTTCTTTGGGAGCGAAAAGGTGGGGAGTAAAAATGGCGCCGTTGAGGGACCGTTGAAGACACCAAAATGGAACCCCCTGCGAAGTGGCGGCGATCAAGTGGCCACCCGCACAGACTCTCATGCATGTCTTGTTCTGGGCCGAAGCGAGGAGCTTAAGACGGTCAGAGTTTGCAGGTTAACCTGCGAGATGGGAATGATGTGCTCGTGGAAGCATCAATGGAACTCTTGAACTGTTCGAACCCTTCTGCACTTCCAACCGATGTGGCTGCTGCCCATTGACCTGGACGACTTCCCCTTGGAAGGATCTGCTAATTTGCTCCTCTCGCAGGGATTTCCCCAGCCCCCGGTACATCCGGAGCACACCCTTGGTGACACTCGCAAGCCCTGATTGGCTCCCCCGGCCTTTCGACCGAGTCATGATGCCATCTGGGGGACCCACGAAAACCCTCGCCCTTCGCTTCCCCAGCTCGCCAAGACAATAGCATGTCCCCCAGTCTTTTGGCCTCTTACCCGAGGGGAATCAAGCCCTTTTCTCTCTTTTTTTTCTTGCTCTTTCTCTTTCCCCGCCGCGGCATATAATGTTTGGGCCGAACCGAGCAAGGAGCAGCATCTGCCCGTCGTCATCTCGTCGACACTCAACTCCTCTCACACAATGACCTTATCCCGACTCGACGAGGCATGGCATTGTCCTCCGACGTCGCCCTCGACATCACGACGGCAAGCGTGTGCGCCGCCCTCATCATCGCGCGCCTCGCCTACCGCGTGTTGTTCCGCTGCAAGCTACACCCGACCTGCCACCGAACCTGGCGCATCGACGACTTTTACATGACCATCGCCATCCTCCCTCTGATCGGTCGATCCGCCTGCATCTCGTTCTCCTTCATACTAAATCACGACCACACATACGAGCCCGCCACCGAGGCAGAGGCCCTTGCTCAGGGCGTCAGCGTCGACCAGCTCAACCACGACAGAATACTGTCGCACAAACTCTTGATACCCGGTCGGATATGTTATGCGTTGTTGTATGTTGGATGGTCTGCATGAACTACGAGGCTGTGCTGACTTGCAGTAGTTTGTGGTGTCTTAAGCTTGGCCTGCTTGCATTTTATACGCGCTTTGTTGGAGTCTTTCGATGGGGAAAGGCTGTCGCGAATACCCTCTGGGCGTTTATTGCCCTGACGTTTATTGCTGTGTTGATCACCACTTTGACGGAATGTCACCCACTATCATTGTATGCCATTCCATGACTCTTGTTGCTGAGACTCAACTGACAAGCATAGAATGTGGAAGCTTCACTCTGAAGATACCAGTATGACCATCGAACCACCATATCTTAACTTCAACTGACCTCGCAGAAATAAAATGCCAACGCGCCCTCGTAAATCTCATCCTCATGGCCGTCTGCAACATCATATCCGACGTCGCATTAATCATCCTCCCCTTTCCGATCCTCCAACACCTCCGTCTCGATCTCAAAGCCAAACTCCAACTGGGCTTCCTATTCAGCGTGGGCGCCGTTGTCGTCGCCATCACCATCCTCCGCCTCCCTCTTATCCTAAACGAATCCGTATCTCAACAATCACGCTCCAAGGTTAGACATTCTACCCTCCGCTATCGGACCTCCTTCTGACCGTAACAGTGGGCTTCCATCGAGATATTATGCGCGTGTGTCGTGGCAAACACGCCATTCTTCTACGCTCTCCTAAAAGACCTTCAACGACAACACGACGACCGAACAGCGGGAACAGCGAGCATCGCGAATAGGGGAGATTTCTATCTACAGAGTCTACCGTCGTCTTCATTACCTCGGAATCCATCACAGTCTTCAAAGCCGTCTATGAGGATGTGGGAACAAGTCTAGGGGGAAAAAAATAGCTATATGAAAATCTAATTCAACGCGTTAATGACACCATATGCACAGCTGTCCCACTTGTCCATCTTGCGGTCTCGAAATGTCAGGTCATTTTTGTAACGCCACAGGGTGAACCGAGCTCGTACGACAGCGGAGGAGTTGGATGATCGACATGCAGGATCTGGGATGGACATGATGCGGTGGAGATGATGTCCGTCCGGCCGAGAAGACATGGGCAGTTTGAAGCCCGTGACGCATCTGATAAACAACCGAGTTACATGTTATTCGCCGAGTTGCTAGCCCAAGCAGCTCCCACAGAAACTAACCCCGGATTAACAGTCAAGACCCCCAAAGCCGCCGTCCCAACACCGGCGACGACGCCAAACAATCCCATGGCCTGCTTCTGCGATTGCTTCCTCACTCTCTGGCTCTCCATCTGAGCCTCTGCCGCCCGCTGTCTTCTAAGTGCCGCTTCTTGCTCCTCCTGCTGCTGTCGCTTCATCTCTTCTTGTTCTTGGAGGAGTGCTCTCATCCTTGATTCGAGTTGTCTTTGTTTCTCTTCTGCTTCTTTGGCTTTCTGCTGTTCTTCCCAGACTCGTTTCTTTTCCTCCAAGATCCGCGTCTTTTCCTCTAGAATTCGTTTCTTCTCCGCTATTTCGCGCTTCTTCTCTTCTATTTCTTTGTCTCTGCGCTCTTGCTCTGCCCGTTGCTTCTTCTGCTCATCTTCTTCCTTTCTCTTGCGTTCCTCCTCCATTCGTCGCTGTTCCTCTTGGGCGCGCTTAAGCATTTCTTCGTACTCGGCCGTCTTTTCTTCGAGAAGGGTCTCGAGCGATATCTTGAGTGACGCCTGGGCTTCATTGGCGTCTTTAAGTTGCTTCTCCATCGCCTGCCTCTGTGTCGCAAATTCATGAGCTAGCCTTTCGTTGGACTGCTTGGTCATGTCCTCTTGCATTTCGCGCAGCTCCTTTATCTCCTCTTGTAATTGTGCTTTCGCAACTGCGATTTCTCGCTGCACCTCTTGACCAGCTGCCGTCTGATCGAGATCCTTGTCTTCGTTGACCATCTCTTGTTGGATCTTGAGCACCGCTTCACCCGCCTTGTCGTGTACCTCGATGATCTTGCTGACGATGTTCTGGGCAGACTGTTCATTGCCCAACCACCGAGCCACTTGACTGCCGCTCTTGTACATGGTGCCCCAGAACTCAGCTCTGCTAACGAGCTCCTGTTCCCGCTGATCTGCCACATCTTTCGAGCCTTCGTCAAGTGTGTCCCACATGGAAGTCGCCAAGATGACATGCCCAAAAGCCTCGTCACCACAGAGCTGCTGAAACATCTTGAGATTCTTCATTGACGATCCACGAACCCGATTATCGGTGATGCGATGGAGATAGACGATTCCAGCAAGTTTAACATCTTTTCTGTAGATCTGCGACAGGAAAAAGGCCACGTCCTTGAGCACCTCGGTGTCGGTACGAGTGGTGTCGTCAAAGCCAGGCGTGTCGACGAGATAGACGCAGCGATTGGGGCTCTGCTGATAAGGAAAAACGCCGACAGCTGTTGTGTGCGAGATGAGGCTGTGGCCAACCTTGACGTCTTGGCCAGTGACTTTGCCGATGAACGTGCTCTTCCCAGCGCCCGTCACGCCCATTACTGCAATGACCACGTCGTTGGGGCTGAATTGCCAGTAAGCACCTTGAAGTCATTATTTCTTTGTTCACGTACCTCAACGAGAATGACTCTGGCGGTGTCAACTCCATCATGTCAAAAACGATGGTTACAACAATATCCTAGACTCAACATGCCGTCTCTTTAAGCTCTGGACCCACGGACATAAATACATTTCCCGGGCGTTCCACGCTGGTCACAAGCCGTGGCTGATGCAACGTCCAAATAGTCTATCGATTGCCACCCAGCTCGCGATATCTCGAACGAATCATGTCCAGCCACTAATGCAACCCCTGTATCTGTGCTCGCTACCGCGTCCCCATGATTGGCGATTTATCCGTTGTCTCTCTTTCAGCTGGTGGTCGAGACCTTGAGTGAGTCTGCCTTGGCAGACACATAAATGCGCCCAGAACCCGGCTGTGGATTGATGGGTTGAGGAAGAGGGGAGTGTCAAAGATAGCGACCATGGCGGGAGAAACAAAGGACGTTTGGGTTGCTCTTATGGGTGTTACTGGCTCTGGGAAAAGCACATTTATTTCCCATTGCACTGGCCAGAAAGTCACTGTCGGAAATGGCCTCCAATCCTGTGAGTATTGCCCCTGTTGCGGCGATCATCTTCTCATACGCAACTAGGTACACGCAATGTAGAGGTCTTCAGCTTCACCTACCGAACCGGACTCACGGTTCATTTGGTCGACACTCCAGGCTTTGACGACACAAACAGGCAAGATGGTGCTGTCCTTGGAGAGATCTCAGGATGGCTCAGCAAGACCTACACGGAACAGATCTACCTCAGCGGCATCCTTTACTTTCACCGTATCAGCGACATCCGGATGCAGGGCACGGGTAAAATGAACATGTGGCTACTCCGAAAGCTCTGTGGCCGTGGGGCGGTGAATAAAGTCGTTCTTACTACCACCATGTGGGAGCTGGTCGAGAAGAGCACGGCTGAGCAGAGGCTGAAAGAGTTGGAGGAGACGGAGGAGTTTTGGGGATATATGAAGAAGAACGGGGCAGGAGTTCACCGACACTACAACAACAAAGAGTCGGCACTAAATGTCCTCAGTCGGTTCGTGCCTCAGGAGCTGAATGTCGAGCCCGAGGTTATAAAGCTAGCTATACAGACTGAGCTGGCTGACGATCACAAAACCCTTGACCAAACCGGCGCAGGAAAGATGCTCAACGCGGAATGGGCTCAGGAGAAGGAGTCTCTCGAGAATGAGCTTGTCCAAGTCCACGAAGCCATCAAGACGGCGGCTCAGGAACGTGACATGAACACAGCCAAGCTTCTACAAGAACAACAAGAGGAAATGAAGAAATCTGTCGAAAGGATGCGAGTCGAGCAGGAGAAGCTCAGGGTCACGATGGAGCAGTTGCATGCTGAGCGACTAGCCAAGATGAAGGAGATGTTGGAGCAACAGAGAGACGCCACTGACTCTCTGAATGCAGACTTGTGGGAGAAGGAGAGGCAACGACAACAAGAGCAGAAACGCCACGAGGAGGAGAGGCTCCGAAACAAGAAACTGGCAGCCGAACAGCAGAAGGCTATCCGTGATCTGACAGCGAAGCTAAGCCCTGCCCAATCTCCCAGTGCTGCTGAGCCACCACCTTGGACTCCACCGGCACCTGAAGCACATAAGCCAGCAGGAACAAGGTATGCATGACTTACTCTGGACCTGTTTCACAGTCACTAACAAAATGATAGTTGGCATCTTCAGCACACCCAAAGCCAGGATACCGTCTTCAGCCCTCACTGGACGCTCGACTTTACTCCTGACGGGAAGAAGCTGATCGCCGGTCACAATCAAAAAATGATTTCGGTTTTCAGTCGCAACGACCAAGGGCAATACCACATCACACAAGAGTTCAAATGCTGGAGCACGAGCAAGTGGAAACGAAAGAAGTATAGCCGAATCGCCATCACCATGAGACCAGACGGCCGTACAATTGCCGTATCCGCCGACAACCGACGCATCCAAATTTACGAGTTGGATGGTTTAGGAATGTTTCGTGAGATACAAAAACTTGATCAGAAGGCCATGATGATGACCTCGACGGTAGACGGCGAGTACCTGGTGTCTGTCACGAATATGTTTGACGGCAAGGTCCAGGTTTGGAAGGGGTTCAATGCCCCTTTGACCATGAGGTGCGTTGAAGAGAAGATCGTCGAGGACCTCGGGGGTAGCGTCGCCAAACATATGGCCTTGAGTTCAGATGGGCGCCTAGCCTTGGTGTTGAGTGACAAGGTCATCTTGTGTGCCCTCGACAGGTCCACGGGAACTCTCACCAAAACACAGGAACTACCTTCAGACTTGAGCACGATCGAGAGACTGGCATGGGCTCCAGATGGCCGCACCCTGGCGTTCTCGGGGTCTAGAAAAGAGCACGTCGAGATCTGGACCGCAGGACACGACGGGCAAATGCGGCAGGCGGCAAAACTCGACACGCCGTTTGACTGGTGCAGACGCATGTGTTTCTCGCCTGATGGCAATTTATTGGCCATTGCGTATGAATTTCAGGGCTGGTGTATGTGGAAGAGGGATGAGAGGAGCAAAGATGGATGGACCATGGTGTTGAATCGTCTAGCTGACGAGACGGATCCGAAAGCGATGGCTTTTCACCCTGATGGACAGTCGATCGTGCTTGCATATATGAAGCATCAGCTTGTCTGGAGTATTGTGAGAAAATGAGAGGGTTTACCTGGGCAGTTATACAGTACTTCTCCTTAGTTGATCTCGTGTGCTATGGCGTTTGGTCGTTATCTTTCATTAACATCTAATATCTATGTATGCCTCTTGTGTACGGGAAGAATTGAGCCTGTCCAAGTCTCCAAGAGCATTGAGAATACCTCACATCATGTACTCCCAACGATACAGACAGCCCCTAGCCCTCGACAACTTCCACCTTAACCTCTCTTTTCAGCATAGGCAATCCTGACTCCTTTCTCAGAATTGGAGGCTTTAGTTGCTTCTTCTCTGGTAAGCCATCTCCGAATGCCAATTCTGCAAACTCGGGTCCAGAAACATCCGTCACCCACTGACGGTTCGGGATCATCATCAGCTGCGTCACGCCGTCTCTGCCCTTGACCATAACCTGGATGTCAGGGCCACCATTCACGACTGTGAGGTTGACGCCGTCGCTCCGGTACGCGATCAACAGGGTCTAAAGCGCCGTGCGTATGCCTGTGTACCCTAGTTTGCCCACTTCTGCCGCTAGTGCAACCTGCGGCTGATTATCCATCGTCCATGCCGACACGGAGCTCAGGCCCGCGCCGAGAAGCTCAAAGACCTCATGCTGGATACCGACGTACATACGGTCAGCTCGCCCGTGACGTGTTATGAGCCAGTCTTCGACAAAAACCTCGTTGCTAAAGATGACGAGACCCACGGCGACCTTCCATGTAGTTGTAAATCAACGGGCCATGGCGGGTGTCATCACCTTTTTCCACTTGAGTACCTTGAATATCAAATCTACCACGGTGGTGGAGCCATTCAGATATGAAATCTTGAAAACTCAGGAGCTGCATCTTGTATGCCGTGGTAGAGAATGTCAACTTACAATGTTGTGAGGGATTCCAGGGACGCCGCTGCGATCAGATGGCAGAGGAAGGTTAACAATGATGTTGACGGCCGCTAATGCTCCGTTGATGATACCAATATCTGTCGAGTAGGCGCCCAGGCCAACACCATCAAAGGTAGAGTCCCAGAAGCCGGTGGTTGCATCCAGAATCGATGTGGTAAGTTGTAGACTCTCAGAAGGGCTTGACGATACGGGCAGCGCCAGCCCAGGGAACCCTATTGCTAATCAAGTCCTCAAAGTTGCCTTTGTTGAGGTGATCTTCCCACTTAGGTGCTATAGCCCTGTCACACAGGCTAGCTCTGTGGAGGGCAGCCGCTGACCAGCCGAGGAGCAGAGAGACCAGAGTGAGAAGGGTGAGGTTCCTTCCGGTAAGCTTCTCCCATAGGTAAAAAAGGGATTGGAAGATAAAGCTTTCGGTTCAGTAGGTTCTGGAGGCTCCGCGCGGCGCGGCTGACCTTGTCGATGATGTGGGCTGCTATCTTTCGCAGTGCCTCGAGGACAAAGTCGGCGATGTCCTTGCCTACTCGCTTCATAAAGGTCCCAAAGCTGCACTTTCTTTCTGATTAGGTCCCAAATATCGTTTCCAAGAGTCTTGGCCAGATCTCCCAACGCATTGATGACCGTCTTGATCTCGTCGATGGCTTCGGTCAATAATATGGCGCTATCTGGACCGGAAATACCTCCCATGTCAGAATTCCAAAGCACCGGATTGATTGACGACACGGGAGCTCGCTTTGCTATTCTCTGCATCTCACACATGTAGTTCTGGGACGATTGGTTCATGAAAATTGTAGCCAGTCTCCCCCTTGATCTTGTGTTCCGATTTGGTGAACCTTTCAGTGTAGGTCATGAGTTGGCAAAGGTCGTAGACGCGGAGCCTTGGTGGTCGTCTAGAAGAGATATAACGATACCACTCGAGTATCAGTGGTGGGCCAGGCATTGCGACCCTGATTCTTTGGATTTCAACTGGGAGTGGGATCAAAAAAGGGGAGCCGGACAAGACCGTGATGAAGGCAAGTTTTTCTCCTTTTTCCCCACTTCACACGCTTATGCCTATCGCAGTGCACAATCAATTACACATGACCTACCCCAAGGGCCAAGTATTTAATATACAGGGGGAGCAAAGCGTAGTCACTTTTGGTTCACATTTTACACGTCATGGGGCATGGCCCTACATCGATTATAAGTAAGTGTGCGACATAACCTCAACCGTAGCGACCAGAGAACAGTTAATAACAATACCAACGTATAGGTGGAACTTTATTTTCAACTGAGAGATAAACTTCACTCTCAGAGCTGTCAACGACGGGGGACTGGAGATCATCTCTGAAATTAAAGTCAACACACAACAAACGGACTATTATGGGCCAAGTCCATCCAAAAGATGGAAGCAATGTATTGACAGTATGACTGAGCATGTCAAAGGTGTTCCTGAAAATCTTAAGAAGGCCATCTTCAACGATCTCGATGAGGGCCTTAAGAACCAGCAAATGATGCATCTCCCTGGTGAGGGTTTATTCCTCTTGAGCGATCCCACTTTCAATCAACGAGGAGATCTGCTGGCAAATCTGACGTGGAATGGGTAAGCCCGAGCACGTCTCTTATAGTGGTGTCCTTGATGCTGACAAGCTGTAGAAAAGTAGCTGCTGCAGCCGAGAACGGCGAAAGTCTGGCCAACCTCTCTGACGAAGAAGACATCTGGGAGCCCGACCTTAGCATTGTGGCGCATCTGCCTGCACGTCAGCGGCGATATGCCCTTGACGATTCAGTACTTAGCGTCTTCCATGCTGTTGCGCTTGGGGGTCTACACCCGAACCTCCCAGAGGTTGATGAGCATGCGGCTGAAACGCAGTACAGGGTCGTCGTAGATTTTGCCTTCTTCCAGATTCTGCAGGCATTTGACTCTCTTGACAATTTCTGCGAGGTTCAATTTCCAGGCGGCCATATATGACCACTCCATGGGATTATGGCTTTGGGCTTTCAGAGCTTGCATCCATGGCTCGCTAGCGAGTCGCCGATCAGCGGCAGCTTTCAGATCGGAACCTCTGTCTCCAAAGATGGTCTTGTGCGTCGCTTTGCCAGTGGCGGGCTGCCAAAGAACTCGGAGGAGTAGCCAGTCTTCGTACTTTAGCTTAGAGGCTGAGCAAAAAGCATTTGGGCCGATGTTGGAAATGTCAAGACCGTACGGGTCGGCCGTTGCATGTCTCTGACCAACGATGTCTGCCCAGTCCCGAGGTGTGGAGGGAATAGGATATGGATCCATACTTGCAGAGAATGAAATCTTGGTCAATCAGATGGAAGATGGCTGGCTAGTGCGACGAGGTCAAATGAAGGATTGAATGATGAATGGTTGTGATTCAGAGTCTTTGAGGAGAGATCCAGTCGTCTTATTCAATCTGGGCTGTCCTTCGCGACGGTGTTGGTCGTTGGTTGATCTTCAGGGCAGGCCACCCGGTCGGCGCGTAGGTAACCAAAATAGACCGCAAAAATGCCGCGCGGCTAGATGCCCCCCACGCCGGGCCTTGTAGAGAAAATGCAAGCGCCGTAGAAAAAGTGATACCAGCAATTCTATTTCGAGATGTGCCTTGAATCTCATGGGTGTTGTTGTGGTGCGTGCTTCTGTGTCGTGAGTGGGGATTCCCCAGGCAACAGGGATGGTTGGATTTCTTGCCTTAGGCGACAAGGCCTGTGGGAACAGGCACCCCAACCATGAGCAAATGAAGCTCGCAATAGACAGTAGAGAACATTAATCGAAGCAGATGATGGCTAAAAGAAGCGTAGGTCATGCGCCTATAGAAGCCTCTGTACGAGAAAAGCCACCGCCAACAATGAAGATACAGTCTCGTTCAGGCGGATGCGAGATGTAGCAACATCCATATTCCAAGACTGCACCACAGAGGGTTCACAAAATCGTTGAAAGTTCATTCCCTTCACCATATCCCATATGAAACTCGACCATCGTATCTACATCACATTGGAGGAGAGTGATTCTAGATAAGAATGATTGTATGCTGCCCTGCTGCATCGCGATGCACTGAGGGTATGTCCACGCCATCTCTCCGCCAGTAGTTCAAACACCGAGTGACATTCCCACCTTGTTCGGCGTCTTCAGTTCCACGTGCCGGAAGCCCGGTCCCGTCAGAACCTTGTAACTCGTCTGCGACAAAGTCGTTTTCTTCAAAAAGCCTCGATGGCGGAGCATCGGCCTCTGCTAGCGGTGCTACCTCTGGTAATAAAGTAGGAGGAGAATCGATACCGTAGTTTGACAAATGCCCCATGCCCACTCTTCGGTAGACTCCTCGTGAAGGTGTCACTGGGGTCAGAACGAGGCAATGAATCTCAAACTTGTCCGACAACCTGTCAACCCGAGATCTTAGGATGAAGACGTAAAACGGAAACGTCACTTCATACCCATCGACATCCCAGTAACAGTACAACGGCTGCTGAGTTGGGGGGTTAAGAAAGATTAGGGCCTTGCGCGAGTTGTTTGCTCGCGCGTCCTCTTCCCTTACAACAAACATGGTTCCTCTAAGGCCAAGTCTGCCGTCGGCCAGCTGTGCAAACTTGTCACCTTTCAATGGGGTAGTGTAGGCTTCGAGAATGTCGAAAGACCAAGTGGAACTGGATGTGCCGCGGTAGTCAATTTCCACCTCGCCGTCAACAGATGCCCAGGACCAAGTGGGTGCGCGATACCCAACCGGGTGATCGTTCGCCCTCGATGGCTTTCGAGAACGCTTGGTGTGAGCCCTCGCCCAGCAAATCTCGGATCGCAAATTGGCAGACCATAGGCCTGCATAGTATGGTGTCTGGAGCCGAGAATGAAACCTCCGTGCAAGACCAGACAGGGCAGCGAGTTTGTCGTTTGGATCGGAAAGGGCCAAAGGACTATACATCTGCACCATTTTGTGCCAGAGATCTAGACACTGCGCCTTTGTCAATTGGTCAAGGCGGTTGATGGAGAACAATTCGGAATCTTGCTGAGCATCGGAGTCCTGGAAAATTGACAGAGGGAGATATCTTAGAGGGTAGTCAAAGGTATTGTTGAGCGAAGGGTTGGAAATGTCGGTCGCCTCGCAGCTGAGCTCTTCGGAACATTCGAAGAAGAGTTGGGATCGGGTAAAACTGACGTTTCTTGTCGCCAAGCATCGCTCTTGAAAGACCCAACCTCGACTGTATAGAATTTGCTCATCGAGATGGGTAAAGACGCGCGCGTCGCCTTCGAACCACCATAACTTTGGTGCTGTGTTTGTGGGCGAGCCTGAAGGCGTGGGTGCCTTGTGTGACAAGAAGGACAAAGGACTTTGGTCGGGAAACAAAGGGCGCGAGCTATCGGAGGCAAATGTGGCAGCGATGTTGGCGTATGCATTGTGGTACACCTTGTCCATTACTGCGAGTTCTCGGGCGAGGTCATCTTCAGAGTCCTGTATGATGCACTGCCATCGCTGTTGGCGCTTTGCGTCGTATCGAGATTGAGGGACTCACCAGGGAATCGATCCATAAGTAGGGAACACTGAGTTGATGAGCTACTTGCGCAGTCTCGGAAAACAGTCTTGGGAGTGTCTCGGCAGGAATGCCCTCTGAGAACGTGACTAGTGTGTCACTCGTCAATGTGAGCTGCTCCGACTCACCCCATCTGTGACTGAGAGTGATGTACTCGCTCCCCGAAGGGACATGCTCGCGATTGACAACTTTGACGCTGATGGCATTGTTGGGTTTCTGTACATGCAACGCTCTCGACGGAAACCATTGACTCTCCTTGCGACACTTTGCATGCTCCTGTTTGCAGTTGTTGACGCGATCGGCGAGGTAGGACAGTGCGCGTTGGGAGGCTGCATATTCGGTCTCATCAGAAAAGCTGCGACATGGAGGATTATCGCTCAGGATAGCCTTTGTCTCTAAGCGTGAGATTTTGTTATCAGGGAGCCATATTCTTAACCACAGCCCCTCGTAGTTGAGCGTCGCTGCAGTCTTGACCCTGGGGCAGAGGATGTGAAAGTCTTGAACCGCGACAGCCTCAGCATCAAGGGCAGATGTGATCAAGTGAAATATCCTAGTACACCACCAACAGCCTGCTTGAACACCAGCCACAAGCTCCGAGGGCTGCCGATGGATCGTGACGTCTTGGTGTCGGCGCAGTAAACTGCCGAGGCTGAGGAATGAGACGAACTTGCGATGGGCTGGCTCATTCACGACGCGACTACAGCGGGAGCATTCTGAATCAGAAACAAGAGTTGGCCGAGACAAAGGCATCGGCGATACGAGAATTAATTGCGACTGTCAAACCATGGGCAAAGGAGATTGTTCAGCTGCGTCTTGCTTTGTTCTGGTGCTCATGCACGTAATCACCGCATCCTGGCCGCTAAATCACTGGCATGTTCTTGGTAAGCAACAGCGCCAATGTGCGCTGAATGTTCCAAAACCTCGTTCCGCAATTAACTAAGAAGCAAGTCTCAATTCAAGGAGCAGTAAAAACGTCTCCTACAGAGCCGTTTTCTCAAATGCGTTATTCTAATTGCTCATGACCGCCCGTGTTGACCATAGGCGCGTAAAGTGGCTGGTCACGCGTCACTGTGGAGACCGCATCTTCACCGCTTTTGCCACTAACAACAAACAAGCAACCAAAAGTGGCAGAAACATTGACATCACCATAAACATCCACGGATCACAGAGGAGAGATATCTAAGAACGACGAGCCCGCTACCGTCTCTTCTCAAAACCACATCTCGGCCGCCATCTCTGTGCGATCCTCCTCCCCCATCATGTCCACGACCCCAACGAGCAAGGAGTACCGCGGCTCCAAGCACCCTCGATATGCGCTCCGCAAACAAGAATTCCATCAGCTCTCCGACATTCAGCACAAGCTCGACAAATTATACAAGATCACCGAGTTCGATAATGATGCGCTGGAGAAGATCTCCATTGTACGAGGTTCCTCTTTCAATATCGACGACGACGACCCGATCGACCTTGATCCGAGATTCTTTCTTCCTGGCCCCATCGAGAACATGGAATATGGGGTGGATGTCCTCGACAAGACTGAAGGACTATGTCGGCGCAGGTGGCCCCAACTAGAACCGATCAAGAACCATCAGATCCGAAAAGAAACACAGAGGCTCGCTGATCCAGAGGTGCATCCCAACCAGCGGTACAATTACTTGCGCGCGACATACGAAGCAAATATGAGGGAGGCTGCGCTGCTGGCTGTGTTCTGCCAGGAAGCAGCCAAGGTAGAATCGAGTTGGGCGACTCATGGGTAAGAATTTGCCCTTCTTTCTTGGGCACACCCTGTTTCTGACGCCTAGTAAAGATACATCCATGGCCGTAAAGCCCCATGTTCTGAACGAATCTGGTTCTCGACCGACAACGACCAACCATTCCGAGATTTCTGGACGAGCGGCGAATACTACAGGTGGAAGCGTGGCGCTGGTACATTCGATTGCCACAATCCCAATGTCCCGCATGCAGTTGCTACGGTGTACGACTCATCGCGTCCGCTTCACCAAGGGATGCTTCGTAGCGAACTACGGGTAGCAGTTGGCCTTCTCAGGGAGCAGATCCGTCGTACCCGCGTCTATGTTGACCATTACATCTATCCTGTAAGTTCATCGTCTGACAAACCCATTCAATGACCCGCCACACGTTCTGACACCATCCAGGTTCTAGTTGTTAGCTTCCATGGTCGATTTTCTGCTCGTATAACCCAGGCATATTTCCAGAATGCCAAAGTTGTCGTTCGACCATCACGTCTCATCGATCTCCACACTCCAGTCATGTCCACAGATGTTGGACTCGTTATCAGATGGCTCAATAGCAGAGCTGTCGGAGAGACACGCTTGCCCATACCCGAGGCCGAGCAATTTGATGACCCTGTACCTACTGAGGTGGAGGTGTCTGATGTGAAGGGCATGTCTAACAAGACGATTGATGTTCGGTAGGGAATAGAGTTTAGCTCCCCATAAGACCTGGGGCACGTTTTAGCGACGCGTTGTTTTTACTGGCGGTTTGGAAGAGTTTGGAGTTTGGAGTTTCACCTTGACCGAGTCATGAATTGTATTTGGAACATGAACCTTTCGAGATCAGTCAGGTTTAATGATGAATGATGGATGAATTGAGTTATTCTCGCCTTCAATCCCTACAATAGGTACATAATGCCACTGCCCAACCCACACTACGCCTTCGCGACCTCTACACCCCAACCCTAACCTGAATAGGCAATCAGTGGTTTTGTCTGGCTGTCAGTGTTCGGTTTTGCGACAGTCGAGTTCCGGAACTTATCACAGGCCCCCTCCACCAGAATGAGCATGTATTTTAGTTGTTAGCTCAATTGCTTTTCCCACTACTGAACATCACGGAGATGAGGTTAGACAATCTCAGATGTCTTTCCAATAAAGCAAAAGAAAATTCCCCCTTGTCAACCATGTTTAGACATCTTCATTGCTCTCATCGTCAAATGCTTAGGGCTAGATACTCTTCTATTTTTTCAATGACATAGATGTCAGCCACATACTCAAATAATACACTCAAAGACACACGGCAACATCAAACCCCAATGCTGCAAAACACCGTAAACCTAAATAAAGTGAAGCTTCTATAGCCATAGAAACCTAGTGGCAAGAAGATGAGCCCCGCAGTGCAAAATGCCACCTTTCCTTTTCCCATAAAAGGTTATATTTCCTGGCTTGTTTCTTTGGCTTTCCATCTACACTTCCATCGAGCTGGGGGGGCTTGAAAGGATGATCATTCGGACTGGGATGGGTGGTGGAGGCCTCTCGATGGGACGATTGTTCGGTTTGGTGACGGTAATAGAAATAAGGTTATTAGGAAAAGCTTGATCTGTTGTTAATGGGGTTATTCACGGGGAGGTTGGAAAAGTTAAACACGGTGGCAGGAAGAGACCTGACTCTGATATATAATAAATCCGAACACACGGAGGGCTAGATACACAATGCCACTGCCCAACCCACACTACGCCTTCGCGACCTCTACCTTGGCCGAGTGAATAAACTCATCGCTAAAGGCGTAGTCGTTATACCCCTCGTTACTCTTGAAAGCATAAAACAGCTCCCTCTTGTAAGGCGTGAACGGCACTCCATTCTTGACCCGAAACACCAAATCCGGGTTCGAAACGAACCATCGACCAAAGGCAACCACAACGTCCCACTTCTTATAGTGCCCGTCCACCGCTTGGTATACGTTGTGAGGCAGATAACCACCAGCCACCATGACAGGAGATTGGTTGTCCCACGCCTCGAGAATAAAGTCGAGGCTCTGCTTCTTCTCCCCAAAAGGATTCACGACATCTGAGGCCAGACCGATATCACGGTCGGTAACAGTAGGATTGGCCCGTGGCTCAACAAAGGATAGGTATGCGAGCTTGTAGCCGGCCTTCTTGAGCTCCCCGATGATGTAGCTTGATTGCTCCCACGTGTTAATCGTGTAGGCGCCTTGAAAGGTTGCAAAGGGGCTGAGGCGAATGGCAGTTCTTTCGGCACCAATCTCCTCAACAACAGCCTTGACAACCTCAAGTAGGAAGCGAGCTCGGTTCTCAATGGAGCCACCCCATTTATCAGTTCGATCATTGATGCTGCTGGACAGGAACTGGTCGATGAGAAACCCGTGAGCGCCATGGATCTCAACGCCATCGCCGCCAGCATCAATAACCTTGCGGGCAGCAGATCGAAAGTCTTGCACTTTTTCCCAGATTTCTTCCTCAGTCAGGGGAGTAGGGGGAATCGAGCGACCCTCCAACTGTTTGTTGGTGCTGGAATAGTACTTCAGCCCCTGGCTTTGGAGGAGCTCGGGGGAGGCCGCACGGCCCAAATCCCAGAGCTGCTGAAAGATGAAGCATCCCTTGGCGTGGACAGCGTCGTAGATGCGACCCCAGGCTGCGACTTGCTCGGGCGAAGAGATTCCAGGAGTGTGGGGAGCGGCCTCGGCGGACTTGGAGATGCCGGTGGCTTCACTGACAAGGAGGGTACCAGGTGTCGATGCTCGGTCGGCGTAGTACTGGGTCATGATTTCCATGGGATGGTGCTCTTCATCGTTGCGAAGACGTGTGAGAGGGGCCAGAGCAATTCGATGGGAGAGGGTGGCGTTTCCCAACTTGAGGGGCTTCCAGAGGTTTGACTGAGGGGCAGACATGATGAGTGGTGTATGTGGAAGTTGTTGTTAAGAGGAAGCGATGCTGTAAGGCAGAGGATTGCTTGATAGTGAAGAGAGAAGACACTAGACTAAGGAGAGATCTATCAGCCTTTATAGAAACTCAACCACACACAATCGAGCTCAGGGTCAAGATGTGCTTGGTGTAGCACCCCTGCTTCGGCATCGCATGATGAAAGACTCATCGGAGGAATAGTCTTCCCACTTCTTAGTGGTATAATGAAAGGATTGAAACATAATAGCCAGTAGTTGGCTTGCTGCTTGCTAATCATGCTCATCCATGGCCAGGTGGACCTCGTATGGACAGTAGCCTTGTGGGTTCAACAACGTCTGCGTCCGAAAACCTATGATGCTTAGAAATCGACCCCTGTTTTTGCGTACGGAGATAAGGCTACTTCCAACGGATTTGAACCGGGGTTTACTTGCCGAATGACTCAATCGAAGACGTGAATCTCAAGATGGTATTCTCTTGTCAGAACGCACGATGGGCTGGGGGTCAGATGAACCCTGTAAATCTCATCGAGAACTACCGTACGAACTGACCAACCGGATATTACAGACAAGCGGAGACGACCCACATGTCAACGGGAGCTTATTTGACCAGGCGCTAGAGCAATTGTGTCAAGGATGTGACCTGCGTACCCTACGTCGACAGGATGATACGCAGTTGAGGCTTTTCCAGTGGAGTTACTGTTTGTTTTGGATGTCATCTAGGTGGCGGTGCGCTTAGCACGACATCTTTGGAAGTCTCAGCAATCTAGAGTAATCTTTGATGCAAAGCGCAACAGTCAGCAAGGGATATCGTAGGAGCATCGTTCTAAAGTTGCGTCTTGGAAATACGTACAAATACTGTAACGCGGGCAGAATCGATTAATTTCCTCTCATCAGCCTGCCTAGAAGTATTAAGTCGAACCTTTTTACCAGTAAGTTCAAGAATAACATAAACCTGGGCGCTGTAAACGTCAACTAAGCAGTCTGCACATTGCTGTAGGGTAGGCATGCTCAAGGCGGTTGCATAAATCCGAGGCTTTATGTTGAGACATGGGCGAATACTACATTACCTAGAGTGTTAGTGCGCCAAGCTGTTACCTCGCTGAGTGTTGTCTGTCAGGGGGCAGGGTGGCGGTTAGGCGAATTGGTACTTTACTAATGAATGCTGTGCATAGCTCTGGCGTTATGAATTTCTCCCAATGCTCTACATAATTACCACGGCCAAACTGTACACAAAAAGCGCCAGCAACGCGCGAAACCATTTTTCGCCTGTTGCTCAGAGTCGTCCAATGCACCTCGACCAACCCGCCCAACACTCAACCAGAAGCGACCATCTAGCTCATCTGCAAGCCTACAGGAAACAGCTCGCTGTATGAGCTTTGCTTATCCGACTCGGCCGTTCGCTCTCGACTCTGCTGTCGCCAAAACTCGTTGATCGTTGGGAATCGGATGTTGGGAATATCGCTTGCGTTGCTTGCAGGCGTGTTGGATGTATCCCGGGAACGATTAGCCAACGGTCGCCCGAGAGTGTCGTCCCCGTAGATGTCCTCATCTTCCTCATCCCCTCTTATCCCATCATCCTCCTCCTCTTCCGACTCTGTCGCCTCCTCCTCAGTCTCTCTATCATTAAATCTCCGCCTCCGCCTCCGATCGCGAAAGTGGTACGTGCTATTTCCCACGCCCTCCTCTTCCTCGTCGTCTGCGTCAGCAGTGCGTGGATCGTGAGGGTAGTCGTCATGTTCATCAGTCTCATGCTGCTCAACAACAGCATGCTCCCCAAAGTCGGCACTCGACCACTCCAGAAGACGTTGAATCTCTGGGTGTGGAGAGAGGCGCTGTCTCGGTGTCGCATTCTCTCGAATTGCATCATCACTGCTGGGGGTACTCGAACTGGCTGCTGCAGCCATAGTTAGTGATGGCTCCAAATCTGATCTCAACTGTGGACAACTCACTGGGGCTGGTACTTCGACTCGCCGCCTCAGGCGGTGGAGTAGGGTTGTGACGCCTGGTTAGAAAGTCCTCAACCTGGTCTCTGTATCGAATAGTGGGATCGTTCTTGTCGTAGGGCTTCATGTGACTACCAGGAACAAAAGAAATCTCGTTTCCTTGTGGGAACCTCGAACTTCTGAAGAACATGACTGGGTATAGTCTTTGGTGTACTTTGTTACCACCATCTTCGAACCCTGGAGCCCATCGAGGTATCTCGTCCGTCTCTGGGTCGAATTCAAAACATGAGGGCAATTGGTTGACCAGGTCGGTCTCCAAGATAGCGCTCTGCATGAACCTCATTCGCAGAGATTTCCCGAGTGGAAGTATGTAGATGGGATAAAGTCCTCTGTGGTTCTGCCAACGAGTGACGCATACGTCTCCTGGGTTTATTTCTTTCATGATTTTGTCAATATTTCGGGGCTGGGGTATTCTGAAGTGACTTTTGCGGGCTCCACTGCTTGGTAGTCTCCTTCCATCAGGGTTCCGAGCATCTTTGACCGAGGCTCGGTCGAACACGGCGTTGTTTCTGGCAGCTAGTACTTCATTGCAGCCCAGCACGCGTATCCCGAGTTCCCGGACTGCTTGCTCATGGCCTCTCCCCATATGCTGATGGGCGGGAGAGTCCAAGTGCTTTGCAGCACCGTGGACAGGGTCCTTGGGGAAATGTTTGTCGTGTTGTCTGCATTCCAAGATATACCAAGCGCCGTTTCGTGGTGGGTATCGGGCAATTCTGTACTTGGTTCGAGTCTTGCCGTCCTGAAACACTTGGTCAAACTCGATGGTTCGGTCACCGGCCAGGGAGCCCCGGGTGCTGTTGTGACGGGGTCGTTTCTGTTGTCCGGGTCTTTCGGCTGACTTGGTGATCCTCCTCTTGCGAGCGGCGGCACGTTTATCCAAGTGAGTTCTCGGGTGTGGAGTGAGAGGCGTTGGATCCTCTCTGTCGTCTGGAACATCCCACTCGTCACCGGCTTCATCGTTCCCAGGAGAAGGAGTGGACGCCATAGATCGTGGTGTCGCCATGTCTGTCGCGGTGATGCGGTCGTTCAGGCCGTAAAACTCCATCGTCCACGCTCGGCCGCGGTCCCCAAAAAGTTTCAACAGGGCAAAGAAGTATAATCTCTCTTCCGATCGACAATGTGCCTGGTATTCGGCCTCCTCATTTTCGACACTCTCTCGATCGGGACCCATCTCTATTCGCTTCTTGAGTTGCTGTATCGCAAGAACCTGGTCCATTAGCCAATCTGGCTTGGCGTCCTCTGTTATGCCGTCTGGTAGTTTGTGGTCCGAGGCGACTTCCCTAAACTCCAGGTTCAGGTCGTTGAGTTTGGCCTGATCACGCTTGAAATTTTCATCTTGCCTTTTCAAAGGCGACTCCACCGAGCGAAGGTTACGATAGTGTCGTTCTGAGTATTTACAGATCTTTTCCAACCTCATCATGGCCTTGACGTAGTCGCTGCTATCAGCAGTTTCGACAGAACTCTCACGAGAATCCATTGTAAAACCTTCAAAAGATATTTGAAAAAGCGTTTTGAGGGAATGAGAGGGTGAGTTCAAAGGCAAGCCGTCGATGAGTATGTTGAAAGGTGAGAGTTGCAGAAAGTCAGGAGGCGGGAGGGCCCTCTCCTCCCTGGCAAAGCTTTTCTTGCACATTTACCGCCCAGTAATCTTAAAGCGGCCCATAGCGTCACTGAGAATCAGGTTTGAAGAATTAGTAGCTGCCGTGTAACAGAAGAATTGAGAAGTGATATTGACGAGCCAATGAGGAGGCGGAACCGAGAGCAAACAAAACTAGGGCATGCATCGTGGCTTGAGATAGAGCACGCGGACCCCTTCTTTCCTTGGTCGGGCTTGCCTGTTTTCTCGCCGTTTGACAGGTAGCACTGCTGATCCTTGTTGGGGGCCAGCCCTGAATGTTGAGGGCGAACTGAGCTGTGCGCTCTACGTTGTTTGACTCTCCCATCAGGCTGTGTCAAACAGGCTGCTTCGCCTGCCCCTGGCCGAGGCTCAGAGTGACACATACTTCTAGAGGCTTGGGACAATCCGCTTTTCTGGTGCCAGATGAGAGGAAGCGACATTACTGCCTTGATAGTGGAGGAGGGACACCACTGTTAACTTGCCAAGACTTTCTTGCCGTCACACTGTTTCTTCCCGCCACGTCCAGCCTGCGCATATCCAGCCCTGCACGAATCCATGCCCGGTCCCGTCACACACACATGCCAGCCCCTCAACAAAGCGCTCTCCCGTCTGCATCCAATGGTATCCTCCCTGATGTCTGGACAACGAGGCTTTGACTGAAAATGCATTGAAGGCTCGATCTATAACGCGGGAGTTGCCAAGTGACAACTACTCTATCTCAAAGTCAAACACTATATAACAAAGTTGTAACCGTGCGCCACCCGTCTGACAGTCTTCATTGCGGGATGGCATATTGCCACCCGACGTTGCCGAGCGGCAATTCCGTTGCCCTAACAAAATCCAACACCCTTGCTTTCCTGATATGAGGTGACGTGACAAAGCGCGCAACAAATCTAGCAACAAAGTTGTTTGACAGAACAAACCGACTGAGGAAATAGTACAGCCCACTCGCCCACGTCTGCAACCTTGTAACCAACGCCGACTGTTTGTAATCCTTCTCCACAGCCTCCGCCCTATCACTCTGATACTTTCCAAACACCTTTACAAGATTGGCGGTGTCGGTCTTCCCGTCTGCAATGGCTTGGTGCAGCCCATTGCACAACACAACGATATCCTGGATCCCGTTGTTGAGGCCCAAGCCAGCGTTAGGCGTAAACTTGTGACAGGCATCTCCCGCGAGGACGATGCGTCCGTGGCTCCAGTGTTTCAAGATACCTTCACCAAGATCTGACATGCCCCATGTGAATCGCTCTTTGACGACGTCTTTGACTTTTAGGGTCTCATTGACTGGAAACTCGGCTAGCTTGGCTGCTACCTCCTCGACTTCCTTCTCCGAATATGATCGTAGGGCAGTTGTCGGCTCAGACTTGTCGTACAGTAAAATCCAGCCGCGGTCACGGCCCGTGAGGTACATTGCCGATTGGTCCTTGCTTGTTGTCTCAAAGTTGGCTCCCGGCTCGGAAGGACGCGGGAAGCTGGCCCACAGACACTTGTACACGGATGTGAACGGCTCCTCTGGGTCCCAGTCACGATGGGGCTTTTCAGAAAGAGCAATATCTCTCATCCAATTGCGAGTGACGCTGTGCACGCCGTCGGCGCCCAGGACGATGGAGCCCTCGTAGACGCTGCGATCGTAGCAAAGTACGCGCACACCCTCACCGCTTGAGTCACCGCTTGCGTCGATGGCAGTGACTTTCTTGTTGAGGAAATACTTTGACTTGGCGTCCTCTGGCAGATTGTCGTATAGAACTTGGACGAGTTGGGCACGGTGAAATGCGACAAGCCCAACACCATGACTGTGAAAGTTAGTGCGGTTTGCCGAGATGGACACCTGAGTGACATACTTTTGTTTTAGAAGCTGTAGCTCGGTACCCGTTTTGAACTGATGCCCATTCAAGAGAAAGCCCTTGGTATTGAGCAATTCTTGGCCAATTTCCATGAGTTTATCATAAAGCCCAAGTTGGTGCATGACCCTCATGTTATGCGGTGCAAGAACCAGGGCTGCCCCAAGATCGAGGATGACATTCTCGCGACGCTCCAAGACAACAAAGTCGATACCAGCCTTGTAGAGAACATGAGCTGCCACCAAACCAACTGGACCACCCCCAACGATGATGACTTTGAAGTTTGAGACAGCCATCAGGAAAGTTGACGTTTCGTGAATGTGGGATCCCGACGGATGACAAATTTGTTAGAGACGCGATGATGTGATCGAGGGCCAAGATAGCGTCACACACGAATTGTTTTGACATTTTTACTGAACGTGCTCCATCGTCCTTTTATCTCCGAATCTTGTCCGGGAAAAGTCGCTATCTCCAAGAAAGAATCATTCGATTTGCACGATAATTATCGTGTTGTACAGATGTCGTCAGAAGGGTATTACAGGGAACCCGGTGCATCACCACCTGGCGGGACACACCTTGTCACTGACACTATTGCCAGAGAGATGGCCATCCAACTACTGGCTTTGGATGATCCAAAGCCCTCAAGAAATTACACTCATCAGGCTATGCCTTCTCTGTCCCGATGCGGCCGTTTCTTATCGACTCTCCGCAAAGCCGGTCAACTAACCACCCACACTTGACGTGCACCACGGCAAATGCGATGGATGCCGATCTTCACTCGGCAATTGAACCCCACTCAACGCTTTTGTCCCAGAGACGCGGTGCAGCTCGGGATGGATGCGGCAAAGGCTTGCCTGCCTACGTGCATTGCTCGAGAGGCCATGTGGCCCGTGGAGTTCCCAACGGGGACCGAACTTGGACAAGAGTAGGTACTGGCTTGAAAGTTCACGGCAAGCTCCATGTTGCACATTTCTTAGATTTGGGCGAGACGGAGGATAGTCTCCTGAACGGTGACAGGCCCTGTTTGTGGATCCGGGCCGGATCCGGTCTGGTCAACGCCACGGCCGGGACAGGAACGCAGAAACCATTTAGACCAACGCCTGGATTAACCTTGATACCGACCGGTTGGCTGACTTAAATGAGGGGCTTGGTATGAAGATCTAAGCCACTGAGACTTTGTCTGGGACTAATCAACAGTAGGGGTTCTCTTGCCAAGGTTGGAGACTCTTCCGTCCAGAACTGCGCCTTAAGAGCCGATAGAACCTGCTTAGAGCCTTTTTGTGTTTAGGCCATTGATTCTTCGCCTTGATAGATAAAAGGTTGTTTCAGACAAAAGAATCACACAAAAGATGCACATGACACCAGACGTTGAACTAGAGGTGGCTGCTTGCAGCTGCAAGCTATCATGTTAGTCCTAGCAAGTGTAGATTTAAGCATCTTTAGGAGGAAATAGACTTCCTCCATCATTCTATCCATTTTGGCAAGTTGCCACGAGCTAGGAGCTGCACTAATCCCCACGGTATTTCCCTTGGAACGCCAAGTGGGAGCAAGCTTAGTTCCAGAAAGACATCGAATGATCCAGCACTGGATGAATGGGGAGATGGGAGGTGACATGACTATCACAACGAACTGTTGGGAGAGCTCAGAATGCCCACTAATAGAATCCCAAGAAAGTGATGTGGAAGACCAATCTGAGAGCCAAGTCAAGCAAATCCTTGGATGGGACGCTGCTGTGTTATTCCTCCCAGTCTTGTTCTTGGAACGTGCGCCTTGGAGAGCCACGGAACATGCCGAAACTGTTGGGCTCCGGGGTAATATCGAAAACTGTGGCACAGAATAGCGCCAAGAGCATGCCTTACAGTGACAGACCCCGGACTGTGAAAGTCGGATGTGATCGTACGATTCAGGCGGCAGTGAAGCCTTAAGACAGATGCAGAGGGCTGCGGGATCACCCGTCTGTTTTTGGGTCGGGTGCTAGAAGCCTCAAGCGAATAACATTGAGGGAGGATGAGTTTTCGCATTGCAGGGCCGGAAATTCTGGTTTGACAAGTCACATTTCGATAGTCTAGCACTAACATTGAGTCCAAGGCGCGAGTCTAGGGCGAAGGATGTGCCGGGCGCCTGGACCATGGACGAACGTGCCATGGCGGACAAGGCGGTTGAGTTCTCGATGCGCCTAAGCCGTGCTGTTTTCGAACAACTGGGCAACTTGTATATATTCAACGTCAATTTCCTATCATTTGAGTCGATCTGATCAACTCAAGCAATCAATACATCTCTACAAACCAACCAATCTTCACAACAACTGCTCCAATTCCAAACAACTCCTGCAATGACACTTAGTCTTGTCACCATCTTTCTGTTTGCCGTCCACGTTGCCCAAGCTGGCCTCGTCAAACGAGACCCGGTAGTCAACTGGGCCACTGTCGCCAGCTCTCGCGGCGACAAATTGCCCGACTTCAGCTACTGCGGCTATCGCAACTCGGACTCGGCCCTTCCGACTATCGGTAACGGGAACATTGTCCTTGCCCTTCCGACGAAGGCGACCGATGATATTGGCCCATCTCTTCAGCAAGCCATCAACCAAGCATGGTCAAACGGTGGAGGCACTGTCCGCATCCCCGCAGGCAAGTTCTACATGATGGCCGGCATCCAGTTGTACAGCAATGTCATCGTCAGGGGCACAGGCGAGAAAGACACAACCATTGTTCTCAAGAGGAAGCCTACCAAGCCCGTGTTCACGCTTGGCAGGTTCGGCATCGCCCCCAAGGCCGATTTTGGATACAGGTCTAGAATCACCAACACCTACGTGCCAGTCAAGGCTTCCTCGGTTACGGTTAGGGATGCGTCTGGGTTCGTGGTAGGCCAGACTGTCTACATCGCTCGAGCTGTGACCGATTCTTGGGTCAGGACAAATGGCATGAGTGACTTGGTGAAGAACGGCAACCACCAAGACTGGATCCCGGTAAGATCCCCCTACTCCAAGACAAGGCAATGCTAATCAGATGATAGGTAGGAACACAACTCATGGCGCCGAACGTCATCAAGACCATCAGCGGCAACACAATCACGTTCAAGATCCCCCTCACAGACAACCTCAACTCGGTTTACATGAGAGCCGAAGTCCGAGCTTACACCGCGCCCGAGGCAACTACAGAGATGGGGGTTGCGAACCTCCAGATAGAAGCTGGCTCCGATACCTGCTCCGGGACTCGCCTCGACTTCACAACTTGCAACTACGCTGCGGTTAGGTTTGCATCTTGGACGGTTGACAGTTGGGCTACCGGACTGAACCTGACCGGCTTCAACAAGTTCTTTGAGATTCAGAGAGACGCGGCTAGGATCACTATCCAGGACACCATCATGAATCGTAACAAGGATATCGAGGGTACTTCGTTGCCTTCTGACATCATTCTCAGAGGCAGCCAGGTTCTCATTCAAGACCTTACACAAGTTGGGCTCGACACGGCCAGATCTTACACGGTCTCTACTGACGCTTTCACCCCGGGACCAAATGCTGTCACCCGCTACGAGACTGATTCTGGTGATCAAATGTTCCAGCCCTTTGAGCGATGGGCTAATGGTCTGCTGGCCGAGGACTCCTCGGCACCCACCAGCTTTGGGAACAGAGGAACCACAGGCCGTGGCTGGGCCGTGAATGCCGGTGTCGGTTGGAACTTGCGAAACGATGTGACCTTTGACTCTCCTCCGCTGGGGATCAACTGGTGTGTTGGCTGTGGAAGCCCTGGTGACTCGATGGGTAATGCAACCCTGATTCAGTCCGGCTATCAGGTGAAGCCGCGCAGTCTTTTTGCGGCTCAGCTTCAAGCCCGGGGCGTGAGCTGGTATACTAGGGGAGGTGACTGAGGAGGAGGATAGAATGCTACATTTACTCGTAGTAACTATATCCTTGTAATATCTACGGTGTCTGACTGACATTGCACTTGTGACTGCACTTTGGCACCTCCCTGCTTCATCGAGGCATCTAGGCCTTCTCTGGCTGTGTCGCCTCCAGGTCACTTCCATCGCCCTTAGCTTTGACGACTCTAACCCGCGCAACTTCCCCACCTGGAGATGCTCTAATGACCCTTCTGTGGTTAGGATTCAGCCCCATCATAATCCGTGGCTCGTCAAAGAACATCTGGTCAACCTCCTCTAGAGTACGCCCCGAGGTTTCCACACCAAAAACGTAGGCTACCGGCACAAATAGAGCACAGATGATGGCCCAGATCCAGAAGAAGTTGCCTCCGATATTGTTGATTCCGATAGGCGTGACCATCACAACGACAAAATTACTAATCTGCAAATTGTTAGTCTCTTCGCCATGTGGCCGGGTTGGTGAGGCGCTTACCCAGTGACTAAAGACTCCGATCGCGGTCGCCTTGTTACGAACACGGAGAGGTTGAATCTCGGCAGAATATGACCACGAAACGGGGAGGAAGCCAAGAACATAGCAGTCCAGGTACAAGAAGATGAATGCGACCGCAGCTGCAGCGTCGGCGGAGCGTTGGTGTTGTAAGGAACCCGAGATGATGAACAAGCAGACGGCGCAAGCGGCTGATGAGAGCATGATGGTATTTCGTCGGCCGATCTTGTCGATGAAGAAGTAGGGCGGTGTTGAGAAGATGGCGCATTGGGTAAAGGCTACGCCGGCGAGGACGAGGGACACGACTTGGCTGAATCCGAGGAATGTCTGCAGGATATAACCTAGGTAGCTGCGATTGTCAGAAAGTTTGTTCGAAATGCATAGTGATATCTTCACTTACTAGCTCAGCGAGTTGATTCCGCTCCACTGATTCATCAAGTATGGTCCCATGCCCAACAACACGCGCTGAAGGTTTCGCGACTTGGTGTTGTTGCGAAATATCTCATGCCAAGCAGCCTCTCCCGCTTCTTCCTCAAGCGCAAGGAACTTGAGAATCTCTGATAGCTGGCTTTCGACTTCTTCGCTGTCTAGCGGCTTGTCCAGGACTCGGGAGATGAGATTACGAGCTTCCTCGACATTGCCGGTCTTGGCCATCCACCGAGGGCTCTCGGGGAGCCATAGACAGAGCACGAGTACAACGAAGGAGAAGAGAATCTGACAGGCGATCTGTAGGCATGTTAGAAGAGGCACTGCCCAACATGGCATAATTACCGTACCGGAAATCGCCATTGCATTGAACTTTCGGCGTACAGGGTGCCTAGACAGACCCAGCTGGCGACCGAGATGCCGACAACAATCAGTGCAGATTGAACTACAAGCAATGATCCTCGATTGTGTGCTGGAAGAGTTTCTGACTGCAAGATCGGTACTGCGACAGTGCTGAGGCCTATGCCAATGCCAGCAATAATTCGGGCGACGAACCTAGCAAAGTAAGCACTGGGTTTCTTATCCAAGCGTTTGACTCACATCTGAGCATATGAATATGAGGCAGCTTGAATTATTGCTCCGATGATGACTGGCGTATATGAGCCTCGCCTCTCTCTGCCTGACGGTTTCACATCTTACCGATGATGTTGGCATATATGATGGATCGCTTTCGACCGATTCGTTCACCAAACAAAAAGGCACTGACGGCCCCAAACGCACATCCGACATCGTAGATGGCAGTCACCAGGCCGCTCATTGTCGAGTTTGCTGTGCTTGATCAGTATGAACTTGAGCAAGCGATGCAAGCTTACTCACGATTCCCAAGCATGTTCTGGAACCGAGTTCCGGCCAGGATGCCACCAAACAAACCTTTGCACTGTCAATAAAAGTTCATCAGAGATTAGAGTATACTACCTTGATCATACTACGAAACGGTTAGTGTAAGTTTACCTCGCAAGTTTCCAAGGCCTCTTACTCCAAAAAGCAAAAAGTCAACACCCGACGTCAATAAGATGACGGTCACAAGGGCGCGACCCCTCAGTTCAGCAACCATGATGATATCGATAATCGTCTAATTGCGTTTGATTCTGTCAAAAATCAGAAATATCTATCCAAACAATCTCAAGAAGATTGTCGTCTTTAATACAGCTCGTTCATGCAACCCCACCACATCTGCAGCAACCTTGCTATGAAGGATTCAGCCTTTGTTTGCGTCATCCGTGCGACAAAGCACGATGTCATGGAACATGTCCGTAGCCGAGATAATGCGTAAAACAAGCCAGACGTCGTCATAGGCCGTTTGCAAGACCGGTGGAGCTTATCGCGGTTCGCGAATCTAAAGCTTGACAGCACGCCATGTCAACGGTTGGGCTTCCACGTGGGTTTAACCGCGTACTCGGGACAGACAGGTCTTAGAATGGTTAGGTGGCTGGCGGATGTGGTGTTGTAATCGACTGATATTGGTTGGGTTTGCGGAGCCGCAGTGAGCCAAGGGTTGAGAAACGGTTGGGTTGCATGACTCTTGGGAGGGAGTATATCAGGAGAGCTGATCAGTCGAAGGATTCATCGTTGGACACTATTTGCTTGGCTTCCAGGTTGGGTTATTCGCGTATGGACAAGTGGGTATAAGCATTAAGAAGCTCTCTGTATAACAACGAACTCATATAAGTCGCGTATTGTCATACCACAGGCCATCAAAATCACGGCAGCATGAGGACTCGTCAAGTGGCTGCTGGTCAAAAATTAAATGATAACTTTAAACAATGCAGTTCTGCGGAAGCCGAGGTAAAAAGTAAATGCCAAGATTGGGGTTCGAACCCAAGAATCTCTCGATACTGTGGACCCATGTTACTGGGAGTAAGCTTAGCTTTCTTAAGCACAGCGCCTTAGACCACTCGGCCACCTTGGCTATTTTGGTCGCGATCAACCTCGTATCCTCTTCCAATACCCGCCGCCCTGGAGATCGTTTGTGGCTGAGTTGCACGGCTAGTGCGCAGATTTGCCGTTGCCATTGAGGTTGTTCTCCCAGTTACTATGGGTCACCGCCGCAAACGGGCAGTCAGACGAGTCCAGGAACACGGATCTCCATGTCGATGATATCTGAGAGCATGTCGTCGGCGTTGATGTCGGTCTCGCCTGCTGGTCGATTTCCTCGGCAGTCAGGAGATCTAATCTCTATAACTCTTAAAACTTTTCTAAAGGATGAATAAATAGACATACCATAGCCTTATACACCGTACTAGTCTACTATTAGGACTAACTTGGGTGTCGATGTTGCCGTGTGTCTCTCGGTGTGTTTTTTTATCATGCGTCTGGCAGGTATGTTATTAAAAAATAAGAAGTAATACTAACTTAGATAAAGCTACCTAACTCTTATCCCTATCCAACGTGAGGGAAATAAACAGACCAGTTGGGTAGTCGAAACGTATCCGTTGGCGCAAAGGCTAAACTAATAAAACATTCCACGACGATAAAAAGCCGCGAGAGACCATAGAGTAACAAAGCCGCCAAGTAGACCAGCACTGTGACTGCGACAATCACCTTTTTAAGCCAGCTGTCTGTTTGAAGTTTCGACCAGGCTGCAGTCTTGGTTATGTCGCCGAGTTCTAAAAAGCTTTCAATTCTCCACTGGGCGAGTATCCCTGCTGCTCCCCTGAAGCATAGGAAAGTGATAAGGCAAGTTAGAATATAAGCGAGCATGAAAGGGAATAAGACAAGAAACAAGCCCACTCCGATGCCTAACAGTGCCAGGGGACCTGTAATGGTGACTGCCGCAATCCTCCAAAGCAAGACCTCCGTGTGTGTGCGAAATGGACCGTTCCAGGCGATTAGGTGTAGGCCGCCGTATATACAGCCCGCATAAAGGAAAGTCATGAAGGTGTTTTTTCCCTTCTCTGAGCCCCAAAAATCAGACCAATCGAGGTCCTTTGATCGCAGATTGACGAATCCTTGGGATTGTGCAGTCTTCTGTTGACGTTCTATGGCACTGGGGTTTTGGTATCCACTTGCAAGGCTAAACAGGGCCTGCGTTCCCTCGTCCACGGTTATCACCGGTGGGGACAAATCAATTGCACGCCTGCTCAGACGCTGCCTGACAGTAAGAGTAAAGTACCCTTGCGGGATGTGTTCAGGTGCCATCATGCCCAACGTTCGGTCAAAGCTGATCCCCTTTTTGGTCTCCCCGAGCGCAATCTGGAACGGGCCGGTTGAATCTTGGGGACGGCACTGAGCATCCCTTGGCGGAGCGTCTATATCGAGTCGACAGTCCTGGCCAGTGGATTGCGGAGAAGACTCATTGTTTAAGGTCGTAGCCATAGAAGTCCCCCTGTTAACCGGCACACGAAGATCTTGCATCTCCCCATCGTTCGGCAACGAGGCGACGGGCATCTCCGCATCTGAGGCCATTATGATTGTGTCGTTGAGCGTCTGATCGGTATACGGTTTGAGGAATCCGGACCTACGATGGCCATCGCACCGCTTTCTCGAGAAGAGGCTGCTCCTCACGCACATGGCGGCACATAGCTGCTTGACCTCGAGGTCTGATACTCTGATCTCTGTAGGCTCGGATATGTCTAAGGGCTTGTCCCACCAGATGAAGTAGGTGAAGAACGCGTACAGGACATGAGCGATGGTGTTCAGCTCAAGCAGGGTGACTGGCAGCCCTTGCACCAAGCGGCTGATGCATTGGCAGCAAAACCAGAGGGCCTGACCGAGAATAATCGACTTTGTTAGGCAGGTGGTTTTTCCTTTATCGAGGATGAATGCCTCTGAAACATCGGGCAGTAGCTTGTGATGGTTTTCCGCTAGAAAGATGACAGCGCTTGGAGTCAGAGTCAAATGTTGACGACCATCTGGAAGACGTATTGTGGTCGAACAGGAGCTTCGCTGAGACAAGTCAAAGACAAACCCACCCATGAGGGCGTAGTGAGTATGTTTGATCGTCCATTGATGCCGTCGCTGTGCCGAGGCTGATCCCGAGGTTTGTGGCAGGGAACCGAGTTCAGTGTCATCCTGCCCGTCCATTTAGCCATTAACCTTGACAATTACATAGAAAGTAGATATGGTGACAGACCTGAGCAATCTGGCTCCCTTTTCTGACCCGAAGAAACTCTAGCACTCTTCGCCATAAGCTCCTCTCCACTCCTGGGGAAGGCGACGAGTCCTCAAGACTGGCTGCTAGTTGCCTATGTAAATCTTTTACATGTAAATGCTGACGAAATGCAACCCATGCAAGCTGTTCGATGATCCTGATTAGCCACTACGCGCAGACATTGAGGACAGCAAGTAGAGAGAGACTTAAGTACCAGTTCTGGCAAGAAGACGCCAGATAAGAACCATTTGATCTTCCGCCGGAACTTTTGCATTTCACTATCACGTTCATCTGGGATATTGAGATGCAGCGTGGACCAAGCACAGAATGAAAGAGTGAGGAGGCATGTCGAGAGGATATTGAAGGTTCCCCGCTCGTAAGGCTCTGGGCGCCAGGCTGGCGTATTGTTGAGCGCTGCTTGGCCAAGCGGATTCCACATTGTCAATAGGTTATGCGAAGGAGTAAACAAATGGTACGGGTGAATATAAATGAGTCAGTACCTCTGGTGGAGGCTTGCTTGGAAGATGATGTGAGGTTGGAGGAAAAGAAATTCCAACTTTCCAGGTGTGATGAAAGTGCGGCTGAACTGAGCCGTTGGGCAGCAAGATGATGCTGAGATGGGAATATCCCGGTTCAAGGAACGTAGTCACTGGGCTCTTATCCAACAAGTACTCGGCTGCCCAGTTACGCACAAACAACCGGATGCGAATCACTCGTCGCCATCACGGGCGTCGTCACGCTGCAGGGCCAAGCCGTGCATTGTTGTCTCCTGCGCATATCAACAAATCAAGCACGACGCGGGAAAGGATTACGCGAATTGCGAGAAAGAATCGAATTGCCGACAGAATGGCGCCAGCCACATTGAACAAATCATCAAAAGTTCGGGGCGAGGAGCCCTCACAAGAGGGTGTTGACAAGTGAGGGGAGCAATCATGGACGGCGGGCTTCCCACTGGCCATCTCTGGGAAGTAAGATGGAATCACGACGGGCGGATGCAACAGTGGCTTGGAGAGGGGTTTTTGGTTACAGTCCTCAACGTGAGGAATCTGAACTTGGCGAAGATGCAGAGGCGGGGCTATCTGCACGGTGATGGGCTTACATGTTGATGCGGCTGACGGTTGGCACAGCCGTCCCGTCCAACCACCAACAAAGTTGATGTGCAGCCTGTTGTTCCACAAGCGAATTCGCAACGCAAACGTGGTGGGTGACTATTTGCTAATCCCTCCCAACGGCTGCGTCTTCCTCGGGCGGCCACCGCCGACTTGGCCAACCGCATGGGGGATATGCCCGAGTTTGTCTCCCTTGTTAGTTCGCCTTAAGGCAGCCTGAGTGCTATCTAACATTAGCTTAGAGTCGCAGCTGCATCTTTGTCCCCGGCCACCCTGGGCCCGAGCCCAGGGTACGCAGCCTTCTTTTAAGCTAATACTAAATATTCGCGGAGCTTCGATCCTCGGATCCAGTAAACGCTGTACACGTTGAACAACGGCCCCGCCACCGCACTTCAGCTCTAGGCTTGGCTGGCTGCAGGCTGCGATGCATCTGCCTAGTTGCGTTCCTCAAACCCAGTAATGGCCACCCAGCAGGCGATAAGGTAACGGCGTCAATAAAGACATCACCGCTTGTAGTGATGTACCAGAGCCTTGCCTTTACTCGCGCTCACGGTCCGCTATAACCGATTTTTCGACTGAGATTCCTAATAAACTCGAAGGCTGAGCGTGAAGCTGTTATATGATAAATAGGTATATTAAGGTAAAATTATAAAGATCTTAAAAGTAATTAATATTTATTAACGATTAAAGTAATTAAGAGTATATCTGAGATATAATCCATAGAATATATATAAGAGGCTTTATATTTAAAGGAGTAAGGTTTAAGTAAGAGCTGTATTTAGGGGTCAGCTTACGCTCTCGTTGCATCCTCGCTGATGGTCACACCCTGGCCGACGAGATGCTTAGTCAGACTCTCAACAGCAGCAAAGTTATCGCCATCCTTGATCACGTTCATCTTCTTGAAAACTGATTCAAAAATTAGCCGCCAACCTCTCAAAACATCAAAGTGATCGTTACCAGTCTTCCACATCTTCCATCAGAGCAAGGTCCATCTAGACACATAGGGCCCAAGACATTGCGGGCTACTCCCGTGCTGGGAAGGACGGTGAGACGAAAAACGAGTGTGTTCTGGAAAGGAGACATTGTTCGTAGCTGAATGACACCGGCTTGGTTTGAACCCCTCTTAAGTCATCGGTAATCTAGGAGCGTACTGATCGTTTATATATCCGGTGATCTCGGACTCCGTAGGAAAGTCCTGGGACTTATGGTTATACCCCTTCAAAAGATTGCCGGCTTGTCGCCCTTTCCATGTGTAGAAGATTGAATTCATCGCTCGGTACTCGCCCTTTCTCGCCAGACACACTCAGGAGCGAGAATTGCCATTCTTTTCTACGTGATACAGTCGCTATAAAGATCCTTTAACTTGTTGTTGATAAAGCAACTGCCCACGATGAAACACGGAATGGAATCGCAGCCCACCATATGCCGCTGTGTCAATGTCTTTCAGGGATTTATGCCTATCCTAGCCAACAGTGCCGGAAACAAATCTGGGGCCGAGACAGCTGAGCTGATAGAATGCTCCATTTCATACAAACTCTCTCCTATTACAGGGTCTACAATTTCTGTTGTGGGCTACCGAGCGGTCTAAGCCGCTTGGACGAACTCATGCGAACCACAAGTGAAGCCTGAATTATAAAAGGGTCGTCGAGATTCACTCCTAAGGCGAGATTTCCACACAAGGATGTGAAACCATGCGAGAAGAAAGGATGCCGCGCTTGTTATGATGGAAGCAAAGCCAAGGGTGTCAGCCTTTCCGTTTTGCTGGGTCAGCCTGGGCTGATGAGGACTCAACTCTTCATGTGAGATTACTTGCATGAGCGTTGTGATTCTAATATACTTGTGACAGAAATCCGAGATGAAGTGTAATCATGTCCATCTCTGAATTACAAAGATCGTTGAAATCTGTCGGGAAATAAACAATGTCCGAAAATGCCGAGTTTAGGCCACCGATATGTCATAGACTGAGGATGAGGGCTGGGTACAATGCAGCCCATGAAGTAACACGGCCATTTTCACATCAAAATGCTTCTGTTGTTCCTGTCTAAGATCCGGTGATTCCGGTCGGTTAATTCAGGGCAAGATCGGCCTTGGTCTCTTTCTTCACGGTTCATCTCGGAAAGCAGGTCGTTATACCTCGATAGCACGAGTCTCATCACGGATGAGGATTTTGCGTTTAACTTTTCGGGTTGAGCAACGAATACGAAAAATGGCAGTGTAAACTCATCAACATGTTAAAATGCATTAGGCTTTGCTTCGCCTTCATGTGAAAGCGGCCATGAAAAGTTTAACACGACCTGCTTGTCTATAAGATGCCAGCTTCCCTCTTCCTCAAAACATTCAACAACTCCTTAACTTTTTGGCCCGTGCCATTAAAAATATCCTCCTCCTCCCTTGCTTTATTTCCATGACTGTCGCCGCGTCCACAACCACAACCAATCTACTGGGACCTGATTCGTCTAACCCATCGAAAAGATGGGGGCTTGCCATCTATCGATGCGATTACTCCGATGATGTCCTGTGGAAGAGCTACATGTATCATTTTAAGCATGCGGTAAAGGCTGAGCTGAAAGACATTGGTGCTCACTGGAGTATCTGGGGTCGACTGCACTGGACGATTATCGAGGACCACAAATGCCTGCACAGCGCTTCCAAGCAGGATGTACAGGAGCTGTTTGCGTCCTTGAACAAACAGGATCTAACCATCCAGATGCCGGCTCCTCCTAACGATGCATGGCGGTGCAAACAAGAATACGATTCTTGCATTTATGTCGATAAGTGGTGTCTCGACACACTCGATTTGCACGAAGCGTGGCTCGATAGAGGGGCACCCGGTCCATTTCTACCCGTTGTCTGCGCTGTCCTCAACAATAGACACACCCCGGATAATGAAGTGGGACTCGAAGGACAACCGATGGATGCCAGCCATATGCCTTATACGGGGTGGGTTTGGACGCATGTCGGCTGCATTTCCAAGTTGTGTCCCAGTATGATTCAACACCATACCTCACCGGTCAAACCACCTCCCACGATAGCCATTATGCCTTGTCAACATGATCTTTAACTACTACGGAGTCAGTGCGTCACTTCATTTCTGGATATTAGGTAAAGTCCCCCTTCTTCCAGACATGTTCGGGTGATGGAGCCATACGAAGTCGGGTTTCATGAGCATGAGGTTGCTAAGCATCGTGTTTGCCCATAATTTCAGACTCCCGGGGATATTTACTATCCTACGAGTTTATTACGTACGAATGCCAAGGAGCATTGCAAAAAAAGAAGATGATGGAAAGAAAGAAAGAAACAACATATGATTTGTTTTTTCTTGTACGAATACACCTACGGACTTTCTCTTATCTACAACGTCGACGGCGGCTATGATTTGGGATCCATGGACTAAATGAGTGGTATCGATATATTTCTTATATCAAAAACCATAGTAATGAACCATGTTTCTATCTTCGATCTTCTGGCTCAGTTAGCCCGTCAAGAGCCGGGTTTCAACTATAATAAAGAACGCATTGTGAACACATAATAACATTATACCCTAATGCTAACGCGGTGGTCGTTTTCGCCTCACTTACAGCATCGTCATGGATGGCACGAAGTACCAAGTTCATTCGGCCCTACTGGATTGGTGATCATTAGACTTTATATTCCATAGTCGCACACACTATCAAGCACAGGAGCAAATCTTTCAAGAATTGAGGATATCGAAGCCTTTTTCTGATCCACATGCTAGGGTGTACTTACTTTGATAATGTTCCATTCATACTCTTGAAAATGATAGTCACATGTCTACAAATATAGACATCGGCCATGATAGCGAAGCCAGGCATTTCATTAATGCTCATATCTTATCTAACACCCTCGCACCTTTATATCCGTTCAAAGTGAAAGAGAGTGGTGTTAACGTCGACGTTGGTGTTTGGTGACTTCCAACCAAAGACTTGTTCCTCCAGAGCCAGCTTCCAACCTCGCGGAACTCCAAAATCTCTCACTTCTTGAACATGGTTGATGCTCGTCATCACATTGTTCGGAGGCGGGAGCTTCTTAATGGCTTCATTGTACGCCTCGGGGATCTCGTCAACACCAATCGTCACCGACTTCTTTGCCAACTGGAAGCACCGAGACAGCACCAGGGAAACTTCGAAGGTGCTCACAAAGTGAATGGCCTGGTAGCACATGATATGATCGAAAGACTCCGTGATGGTAGGGAGGACCTCCTGAACTGGGCCGACGAACACATGATCGTAGCCTGACTCCTTTGCCAGGCGAGCCATCTCTGATGAGATGTCAAGTCCAACGTGACGAGACTTTTGACAAGTTGATGATGTTCCATTGGAGTGTGTCTGTTGCTGGGCTCGGATCAACCGACCAAAGAGACCAGTGCCACAGGCAATGTCCAAGAGACTACCGTCAAAGTTGAACTTGGAAAAGAGGCGGCCCAGGACCTCTTGCACAGTACCGTGGGGGGTGTACTGGGTGTCATATTGTGGTGCAACTCGATCGTACACTTTGCCAATCAGATCCTGACGACCATTGTCATAGGTCTCTGATCGCATCATGTACGATGCCATCATGATGTTCAACAAGGCGCGATGTTCTCCAGGAAGGCTCTTCGAGATCACAGCCTCTTCTCCACAGTCTGGAGGGAGAAAGACTGCAGGCATGGGGTTGACCTCGATGACGACGGGCTTGCCATCGGGCTTGATGCGGATGTCGACGTTTCCCCAAGAACCACCGGCCATGTCGTTGACTTGAAACGCCTCTACAGCTAGTTTCTGGAGCGTGTCGAAGAGCTGCGGGTCATCGTCACGATTGACGAGACTCTCGGACAGCTCAGGGTGAAACTTGAGGTCAAAGGTGAGGAAGCGGTACTTGTTGCTGGCATCCTCGCTAGAGGGATAGTTGTAGATGGTAGGGTTCAACGCAATAGGTGTTTTTCCAAACTCAATGACCACGACCGAGTAATCAATCCCTGGGATGAACTCTTGAACTATGATATCGTCAGGAAGATCATAGACCGTGGCCGGTTTCATCTCCAGAGGTGGGGTTGGGGGTTTGCTTCGGTCCGTTGCAGGATAGCTCAAAGCTCTCAACCGACCGGGTTGAAGCTGCCAATCAATATTGGCGACAGCTCCGTCACGTTCCTCTGCTATGAAGCAGATGGACTTGTCAGACAAGAACTAGCTAGCACAGCTCCGGGCAGCCTTGACAATGACAGGAAATACATCGGGGTCTGCCGAGGGTACTGGAGGGCTCCCCTTCTTACGAGCCGCGTCGTAAAGATCGGTCTTTGACTTGCGTAGAATGCGACTTCGAAGGCCAATGAAAGGCACGTTGAGGCTTTCAAAATACTCTGTAGCTTCAACGCCTGCGACCTCATCCTCAGGCTGTCCCCACATGAAGTTGATGTAAAAGTCAAACTTTTCGGCCACGGCAGCATCGATCTGCTGACGGTAGTTGGCCTTGTCGATGAAGCGGTGATGAAAGGTGTGCTGCTTCACGTAGCGGCCTGGGTCGGCGTATTCATCGTGCTCACGAAGGATATGACCATCCGGGTAGGTGGCTTGAAGCACGCAGATGTGCATGTTGAAAGTAGAGTATAAAGTAATCGGACTTCTCTGTGATGAAGGGAAGGAGATACGAAGGCGTAGGGATAGGGGTTGTCGATGGGAACTGTATAATTGTCCAGCAACAGGGGGTTTAAATAGTTCAAGAAACACTTTGAGTCACTAGGTTTCTATGGCTATAGAAGCTTAATCTAGGTTTACGGTGTTTTGCAGTATTGGGTTTTGATACTGCCGTGTGTCTTTAAGTGTGTTTTTTGCTCATGTGGCTGACAGCGATGTCATCAAAAAAAAAAAAAAACTAGAACACTTTGAGTCTACTCAGTCACTCGGAACCCGACTGATTCCGCTGGTTATAGATCCCGAGCCCATTGAGCAATTTCCGGCAGCCGAACTGAGACATGCGTGATACTATTGATGCTGTCCAGCCCGGTTTTGTGACATGCAACTCCATCCAGGCCCATATTCACAGAGCCGCTATGTACCTGTGGCATTGTGGTATCCGCTCTGGCAGTTGATGTGCAAATGCAGACCGCCTCGCTGTGTCAGCTGCCCTGTGTCCCCATCGTTATCTCAATAAATGACGTTCTTGATAAGGTCTGATTCCTCTAAGCTTAGATTAATGAGACCCGAGACCTTGGTCTCTCATTCTCGGATCACAGCAGATCGTCCTGATTTAAGTCATGTCGGGGCTCATCCTACCTACTGTGATAGGTGCTGGAAGGTGCCATAATGCTTCCGGCTCCCTGTCTCATTCTTGCTGGCACTTTTTAAGGTGCAGGCCAAAGCCACACTGAGCTCAAGACCACTCATAGAAGCGGGGACTGAAGCTGTGACATGCTCTGCCCTATCATTATCCCTGATTGGTCGCACGACTTCCGGTGTCACGGAGTGATTGGCTATTTCCACTTAGCTTCCCTTTCTCGTTCTTTCTTCAGGGGAGTATAGGTAAACTCGAGGCGAAAATTGCCTCAACCGGCAGGGTGGGTTGGGGTGGGATGCGCGAAAACCCTGCTTAACGCGCCCTTGACCTTTGCGATACGCCTGGAGAGCCACTGAAGGTGATTGGGTTTCATCCGAAGACGATTTGGATACTTTTATCTCCAAGCCATCTAGGGTTAGACTCTGCAACTGGACTCTTTCCGGTCCATGGAGACACCTGCGTCGATTGCGTTACCCCGAGTGATTGACGGAAAGATGGCCAAGGCATAAATGTTTCTATAAATACTGAATTCGGAGATAAGACTGTGGAGTCCATGTAAGATCCAGGTAAGCTGCAGCGCAGTAGAATCACTCTTGTCCTGGTGAATACCTAATACAAGGAAAGATTAGCCCAGATAGTTGCACAACGAGAAAACCTCCATGTTGCTGAAAGAGTCGTCACAGGAATTAGAACAGGGCAAACCTATTACGAAAAATTAGATTGAAACTAAAATGAAATTTCTATCACCCCTAATTCTCATTTCGCTACCAGATGCCTCAAGATTACTTCTCTAAAACCGTGTGACCTTGATGGTGTAGGTTAGGCATTGTCAGCGTGAAGGCCTCACCAAGTGCGAGGGTCGCGAACATCCGGCCAATTCGTCTTGCAAATCTCTTAGACATCAATAAAACCACTAAAATTAGCTTCGAGCGGAACCGCCTGTGTGGATTCAATCGAGCCCAAAACCATTCATGAAACCACAAAGATGCTATTCCCACCAGTCCCAACCTCTCAGAGAACACTGACGGAGAAGCACGCTAGAGGCTCTGACGTCTGAGTATCGGCCAAGCAGAAACTCAAAGAAACCAGCCTAGAACCAACTGAGACAAAGATCCGCCAATAACCATGTGGCATTAACCGTCCGACGTTGCAACCCATTGTTTACCTTGACTCGCGCAACCGGACATGTGGCTGTTTATCGATTCAAAACCACCCTTTTACGGCTTAGCCGTAAAACTCGCCGAAGAAATGCGATAGGCGCCAGGCGAGCCCCTTGAAACGACCGCGTTTCTCGTCAGCTGGTCTCAAACGCGAGCTGCCACTAAGCGACGCGAGATTCTCCACCACGATTGAAACCCAGGGGTTATGGGCTTTAAAACGCGTTCGGGAGGTGTTTTTGGTTTCGTAGCTTGGGAGTGTAGGAGATCTCGGGTTAATCATTGTAGCATCGTTCGATTCATGGCCGGGAATAGCAGCGGGTGGATGGAGATGGATGCACGTCGACATCACAGCCCATTTTTTGTAGATAATTTAACGATCTATGGGCCATAGCGGACTTGGAGATTGCAATTGACATGCAGTACCTAGTCTGTCAAAGAATCCTAGTCCATTTTTCCGGTGATATACCTCCTCACCTACTTACAAATTACAATCTTCCCATCCCCTGCCCTCGGCGCCTACCGAAGCATCTTGGCACTTGTGTCATCTCTCAGACGCTAGAACCCACTTGCAAGTCTCTGGCAAACGGATCCGCTCATTGGCCCCGTCGCATCGTGACCGTCAAGGACCCCTTCACACAATGCCTCCCTCGACGGTGAGACAGACGCTGTAGCAGGTACTCTACCAGATTAGTAGCACTGGTAAGTGGTGTGATTTCTATATAGCCTCATCCTCTTCCCTCTGTTTGTGTCGCTCATCACCTTCAGTGTCAGCTCAACTCTTTAATTCTCTTCTTTCGAGGTCCTGGTGATCTTTTCTTTCTAACCGTCTTTACTTTCTAACTTTGCTTCTTTGTGCTGGCACACTCCTCTTATATACCTCTCTCACTTTAGTCAAGATGCATTCTCTTCTTTCTTTCTTTGTCTCTTCTTCTCTATTGGCACTGGCCCACGGTCATGCTGTCATTCTCAACGCTCAGGGTGAGGATGGTTCTCCTGCCAGTGTGGGCTTTCAAGGTCAGACCCAGCAACTATAACCATTGGTTTTTAATACTCATTAGACTCTAGTGGACCCCGAGATTGCCCGCAACTGCACAACCATCAACCCTTGCCAGCAAGATGCTACCCTGATTCGCGACGCCGAGATTCAAGCCAACGTTGTCAACCAATGCGGCCGAACTGAGCTGTCCGGTAACATCGACGTTGGTGAGAACACAGAGAATGCTCTCTCTGCTGGCGCTGTTACTCAGGTCCGAGCTGGTGGCGAGATTACCGTCACCATCCACCAAGTCAACGCGGATGGTGCTGGCCCTTATGTCTGTGATCTCGATGAGAGCAGCAATGCCAACCAGATCTCTCAAGTAAGTCAACCCTCGCATCACCGCAAAGATAATGTCGACTAACACCAAATCTAGAACCTGACCGTTTTGAACAATGTCCCCGGTTCCAATGGTCTGTCGCAAGCCAAGGAACAGCAATTCAACATCACTGTCGTGATGCCTGATGACCTGAACTGCTTCGGAGGTATGTTTCCCATGAGATCCGCTACACCTTCAACCATCTAACTTGAGACAGCTTCAACTGGCAACATTTGCACTGTCCGCTGCCGCAATAACGCCCTCGCCGGTCCCTTTGGTGGTTGCTTTGCCGTCCAACAAGTCGACACTGAGGAAAAGACCAACAGCCCGCAACAGATCACAACTGCAAAGACTCTGAAGGAGGTCACGGACCAGGTTGCACAGAACCAGGCCGACTTCCCTGACGCTGTCCAGGCGAACCAGAACGCAGGTTCCGATGATGCGGAGCAGAACCGTGCGGCTGTCGATGCTATCCTGGGTAACACAATCGTGACCTCGGCTTTCTCTCAGGAGACGCCTACTGTTTCTCTTGGACGTCAGCCTGATGCTACGCAAACTCCTGACGCTGGCAATGGTGGTAACAACAACGGAAACAATGGCAATGGAAATGACAACAACAACAACAACAACAACGGCAATGATAACGGAACTGGTAACAACGGCAACAACAATGGTAACAACAACGGGAACGGGAACAACAACAACGGTGACAACGCCACCGGAAACGATGGAACTGCCAACAACGGCAACACTGGCAACGACGCCGCCAACGGGGGAAACAACGACGGTACCGACAACACCAACGGTGGCGGTAACAACGGCGGCAACGCAAACCGCGGAGGCAACCGAGGTGGCAGATTCGGCGGCGGTGGTTTTGGCGGCTTTGGAAAGCGAGCCTTTTCTCAGATGCGATGGGCCAAGCGTAACTACCTTTCCGGAGATGAACATTAGAAGGTTCATAGAAGAATATGTGAATGTGGATGATGGGAGAGGGAAAACAGGAGTGATGGGGGTGAGCGGAAGCGGGTTAGATAAAAAAAATATTATAAAAAGCCCTCATCACTGGGTTATCGTTCTGAATAAACTTTAGCGTGATTTGGGAAATCGTGAGACTCTTGTGAGAGTTGTGAATTAATCGAGATGAATGTCACAAAGCCTTTACTGGATACAGCGCTTCTGATCTGTGGGTAGATAAGCCATGGCATAAAGCGTTTAAGGGGCTCCGCACATCAAGTTCAAACCTGATATCTCTGAACGCGCTGGTTCATCTCTAATAAGCATTGTCAATACTCTCATGTAAACACACTGAACGATTGATCTTATTTTTTTTGTATTTTCTTTTCAGTGAAATAAGCTTATAGCAAACCAAACACACAGCTCGGTTTGCCCTTTGAGACAATATCTTCAAACTCATTAATCCAGCACTCGCCGATGAGCTCACACCCCATGTACATCTCCTGGTCATTCAAAAACGGGAGGGCCCCAGACGGAATCAAATTCCTCATCTCGGCTACCCGAAGCGGGGAATACATATTGGGGCGAACGAGAAAGGGAACCTTGGCTCCGGGGAAGTATGCAATCAAGTCGCCGAATCTGGCGGAGGCTGGAAGAAGTACGGGACATGAATTTGGGCCTTCTGGTGTATCTAATACATCCCGGGACTGGTAGACCCCGATGGCTCGTTGGTCGATGATGGACTCTGGGTCGTTGACTCTTTTAAAGGTTGGCTGTGATGTATCTGACCATTCGGCTGTTTTGCGAGCTCGAGCGACGAGGTGGGCTTCGATTGATCCGACTTTGGGTGGGCAGGTCTTCAAGTCCAGAAATTCCAAGAAGGAGGATGTACTTGATGACTTGCCCAGGCTTCCTGGTGAATGCCTGAGTATGTTGTCCACATCATAGTCTTCCCTTCTCCGTAGCTCCGGCGATTGATGTACCATGTTGATCCGAACACCATGAGGGACGTGGAGCCCTTTTACAGCCGTCAGATCAAGCATATGAGCCCACAAAGTCAGTATTTGAGCCTCTAGAGGATGCTTTTGGTAGACTGAGCTTCGTCGCCATTTTCGCTTGAGCTCCTCAAAGGCCAGCTCATCATTGCCCAATACCGAAGCCGGCGATATAGCTTCATGTAACTCTCCTATAACACGACCGTGGACCGCGAAAGCGCCCGTTGATAGTAAGACGCGGTAATCATTAGCCCTAACTGAGGAAGACGGCTGCTTCTCAACAACTTCGATGATGGCTCGGGGCTCAAATGTTGACATGTGGATGCAATGCCAAGTCGGGACCCAGGATGGCAGATAAACTGGCTTGTGGTCCCTGTATTTGTAGCATTCAGGCGCCAAGCGCCTCCCGTGGATTCGGCATTCGTCAAGTGCTGTCATTTCCAGGACAGGGTCTCTTTTGAGCAGCCCCCCATCTTGCACGCTAAACGGCTTCTGGCCGGATATAACCTTGTGCCAGTAGTCTTGTTCGGCAAGCCAGAGACGTTGCAGTTCCATGAGGTAATCGACCGTAGATGACCTGTTTAGATAACTTAGGGGTCGATAATCGTTTCTGGTGGTCATGACGTCCATGGCAAATTGCGCGTAGACGCTGCTCGTAGGGCGTGCGTAGTTGATAGTATCAAGCTGTCTCCAATTGAATCCCGTACTGATACCTAGGAGGGCAAAGATCTTGTCCCTTGGATCTGAAGCCATGAGGTGGCGAGCTCGGACGAGCATGTCGAGGATATCGGTCGTGGCGTCATTCGAGCTGAGCGTTTGTATGTACCAATCCGGTAGGTAGTGCTCTTGGCCCTTGGCGAGATGAAAGGCCACACGAGCTTGCCAGATACGGCGTAAATTGTCCGATAAGTCCTGCTGTTGAAGACTCAGCCCATAGCGATCGTGTGCTCGCTTTTCCAGAACCACCAGCTTGCAAAAGTCATCCCACGCAACCCCACGATGGCCGCATTGCATTATGACCTCCTTGGAGACGACAACTTCTTGGAAAACCCACACTCTGCTGAACCAGTCGCGACTCAACACGTCGAGGTACACGTCGTGAAGTTCACCGCGGAAGTCAACCAGATCCTCTATTTCTGCTGGGAGGGTGTAGTCCTTCGCGCCACACTCATTGAGTGCCCAAGTGCTGTTGCGTTCCAGAAAGTTCCAGGCCGAGTAACCAGTATTGCCACCTGTTTGGCCACCGAGATAGACGATTGTCTGCGTCGCAGATTCATAAATCTGGCGCATCTGTTGTACTTGATGGTTCCGCTCCTCGGTATGTACTTGATCAATACATAATGCATCAACCCAGAGCCATACCGACTCATCTTGCCGTCTTAAATGACGAAGCGCGTCCTCGAGATTGGCGGTGATGGGTAAATAGTTATCACCGATATAAATCGCGCAAGGGCTGCTTTCATCGCCCCAAACGTAAGACAGAGCGGTATAATCAACAGCTTCCGAGAGCTCAAAGTGTATGAGCGCGCATTCCAGGTCATCGTCGTCTCCATCACCTTCAATGAGGAGGAGGAGACGAATCGACCCTGTCTCAAGAGGCTCATACTCGTAAAGCTTGGCAGTTGATCGGGCTTCCTCGGGCGGTGACGTCCCTGGAGCCGCTGCAGGAGCCTCAGCTTCCCCCAATGAAGAACTGTTGTTTATGTTGAGGTCAGCTAAGTTTGCCTCCATTATGGCATCGTCAAGAGCACGAGGGAGATGTTCTGTTTTGTGGTGATCTGACAGAATGTGGGGAAGACGGTAGCCTACCTACTCTAGGTTGTCGTTTTACAGAGGTAGGATTGATAAGCAGACATGGTAATTGCATAGCTTGTTATTACTACTTGCATAACGGATATGTGAAATGCGAATTAAAGCTTTGTTATTCTTTTCATTTGTAATTTTCTACCTTTTATATAAACTACTATGAGCGTTAGAAGATCAAGTATATTACCTCTCATCTATCGAGCAATAATGTCTGTTTTAGGTGACCGCACTCTCTACCCAACTGTGTCGACACTCGTTTAAGACCAGGAATGCCAAGAAATAAATGATGCAAACAGCCTGGAAAAGTTCCGTCGACGACTCTGGCCACTCTCGAAGCCCAGGCAGCCAAGCCACCTGTCAGTGAGCGCTGCGCCTCATCTCATGTGGTGGAGCTGACTAGCCACTCCCCACTCTTTATTAATTTCAGTCTCTCGTCATGACAATATGCTAACCCGTGCCGGTTGATCAGGGCGCAGAGTCATCTCCAGGATCAAAGTTCAAGGAGCTACAAGCCCAATGCGGGCAGCTCTTCCCTTAGTAATGAGACCCCCTCTGAGCATTAGTGAATGTCCCTTATAAAGTGAAACTGCCGGTGAGAGTGCCTAGGGAGGGAGTTAAGTGGGTTCTTGGCAATGAAACGTTATTCTGCAGCTGCGTGTTGGGAACGAGATGGGCAAGTTTGGAATCTTCTTTATCTACTTATGATGTAATAAAAGGGTATTGCAGACAAGAAACGGCATCCAAAACAGCCCTTCCATCTTTCTAAGCCAAAGCAACCTTGGCACCTCCAGACACCAAGTCAGTGAAGACTCGCTTAGGGTCGTACTTGTCCCTGACAGCCTTGAGCTTTCGCAAGTTGCTTGCTCCATAAGCTGGGAAGGTCTCAGGAATCTGAGTCTTCTGGATATCACTAAGGTACATAAACGGGAGAGGTCCAAGTCCCAACTCGGAAAGCTTCTCTCTGATCTTGGCGTTCGCTTCGGCGTGCACGCCAAGCACGCGCTCGTCGTCTTCGGGATTCGACCAGAGAGGAGCCTCAACGTACCAGATTGACGGGCTGTCGTCGCTTCCTAGACCCATTGCGTTTTTGGCTGGTGCCGAGGTCACGATGGGCGTGATTGGGAGCATGTTGAAAGCGGTTGAGAAACCTTCGACGTCGGCCAAAGATGCGACGGTCTCGTAGTATGTGTCGAAAGCGACTCTTGCGGCTGTAGCGTTGGCGGCACTGGTCAACCAGTGGAAGGTAGCTCGCGTGCCAAGAGGAGGGGCATAGTTGAACTCGTTTGACCATTGGCCCATACTCGTGCGTGTGATGTTTCCTCTGGTGATGGGTAGGATGGGTGCGGTAAAGTTCTCCAGACCAATAGGCACGTCACCCTCGCCGCTGTACCAAAGATATCCATCAAATGAAATATCAGGGCTGCGGGACGGAACCCAGCGGGTTTGCCCCTCGAAAGAAGCCTTGGGGTGTTCTGCGCCATGAAGTGCAAACTGCTCGACACCCTTGATATACTTCTCTGACACGCCTGGACCCCAAGAGACTGTTCCAATAAGGGCCGAAGAAATAGGAATGGTATGCAGAGTGGCCTCCGTGACAAGACAGTAGTTGTTACCACCTCCAACAAGCGCCCAGAATAGGTCTGGATGCTCATCAGCGCTGGCAGTCACCAATCTTCCATCACCGAGTACGCACTAAATGGTGGCAAGACCTTGTTAGCCAGCTGAATCTCTCCCACAGAAGGCTGCGCGATATGACTTACATCCAAAGAGGCAGCAATATTAGACATTCCGTATTCATAAGCCATGAAGCCAAAAGGTCCGCCTCCCAGAATGGCACCAACGACTCCACCATTACCAGAACGAATGCCGTTAGCCGTGACGCCGAATTGATCAAGGTAAGCATACAGCGGAGGCCAGGTCACACCGGCCCCGATTTTAACGGTCTTGCGGTCATCTGAGATAGCCATAGAGCTTAGGTTCGTCGTGGCCACCATGATACCCTCTGGACCGATGTTGCCAGCATTGTCGATGGGCATGGCACCTCCACCACGAATGGCAAATTGGACTTGGTGCTTCTGAAAGGTGCGAATCGCAAACTGCACATCTTTCGCAGACTGCGGAGCGAAGATGCAGGATGGCCCTAGGTGAGTGATTGAGGTCCAGGAGTCTATAACTTCTATCAGCGATGCTGGATCGTTCTTGAGAGGTGTTGATCTTACATTCATTCTCATACTTGTATCGTTCCGATCCAGGGAAAAAGGTCTTGTCGGGATACTTGGATGACAGGGCACTGCAACCGGCATCGACGGCAGCGGATGACACGACCGACAGAAGTGCGGTGAGTCCGAGGAGAGAGGCTTGCAGAGACATGATGCTGAATGAGAGAAGTCACAAAGATATCTCAAAGCGCAGTGTCTTCCGAGTGTACCGGAAAACGAATTTATTGGGCAGATACCTTGACCTTTATAGGTTTCATGAGTACAAGATCGCACAGTAGACGCACCAGGTAGTTAGGATGTCGGATCTTAGGCCCCTTCCTGAGTCTAACCCCACGGGGCTGGCTCAGAAATAGAGCATAACAGCAATTAGAATTACGTTAAGCCAGGATTTGTTTAAACTTTGTCTTAGCGGGCTTGATAATATTTCCGTGATCTGTATAAGGTTCTTACCTGTTGCAGAGGATCGGCCACTGACAGCGGGATCCGCATCGTCCGTAGTCCGTACTCACATATGCAAGGACTGCCAAGGGGGCAAACATTGAAACTATGGTCGGAGTTTACGGAAAAAGGAGGGGTTTTGCCGCTCTTGAATGTCCGCCCTTACGGCTTAACCTACCGGACAAGATTCCGGGCAACTTTGACCACGCTGCCAAGTCTTTGCAAGTCCCTGCGAGTGTTACACTCGGAGATAAGGACATTATTCTCCTAAGAGAGAGAGCGGAGGATATTGATGAGTAGGAACCTACCATCGCAATTTGCCAAGTCCCGGATCGTTTCGAAAATATCGACTATGCAGGATGTGGCATGGGTTTGCGGGGCGAGCAACCCCAAAGACGGTGACAGGGAATGAGGCAGTTGAGAGAGCCACCATGCAAGCGATCGATTGGTTCGTTCAAGAGGTGCCTTCGTTTACCATCCTCTTTCGGAAACTTTCCCAGAGCTTCATTTGCTACAACTTATACTATAGATGTGATTATTCTGTACACTTCCACCGTCATCCCTCGTCTCTATACTAGAGTTGAAGCCCGGCCCCTGCTGGGTGAGATGAGCCAAAAGATCGTTCTCCCTCGTCAAGAGAAGGTTGGGCCACGTTGAAGATCAAAATCTGGGAATGGCACTAGGCAAAGCAATAAAGCCGCTGCAATAACAAAGGGACCTCGACACAATCCGATCCAGTCAAGTCTCCTGCATCTTATTCGGGAAAGTGGTAGAAGGCCGAAGTTAGCATGCCGTTATGGATCGCCGTTTATTGTTATGCATAACGTCCAACCCCCCACAACCGACCACCCCCCACAACCGACCACCTGTTTCCACAACAACACCAAGGTCATGCGATCGCGATGATCAATTAATAACCAACAACGGGAAGTCGTATTGATCTGATTTTTTGACTAGTGAAGGTTTAGATGGAATGTATGCTCTAGATCAGCTTGTTTTATCTTAGAAACCCTCATGGCGGTCCTGCGCGGCTGTACGATCTTAAGCATTGCCTCACGAGCTTTCTTAATCGCAGGAACCTTTGCAAACTCAGCGTTGCCGTCAAAGACGACTTTTTTCCTCTTCTTTGGTCTCAATTCTTCATTCTGATGCTTCAATATCGATATTTCCTTCGCCTGCATCTCCAATGTGACGCTATTATCCTCACAATGATGCCCCATTTTCCTCATAAGCAGCGACACGACCGGAGGGATCTCGTAGGTCAAGGAGATCACATCAAGTGCCCGTTTCACCTGTGCCGTTGAGCGAGGAGTCTTTAGAGGACATTCAGAAGGACTTTCTGCAGGCGCAGGCGGCGTTTTGGGCCTCTCAGGTGTCTCTGTGACCATCGGGTTCATCAGGACCCGGGCCACGCTGACTGGCCACAATCCTGAAGCCTTCCAGCCTGCTATGATGTTGTCTTTGGTGATTGCTTCGATCCGGGCCTTATGATAGTTAACGAGGAAGGTTATCTTGCCAATTGGCGTTGAGTCTGCGATAGAGGAGAGGTCGGAAAGAAGGCGACGGTACGCGGTCTTCAGAGGACCAAAGACGGCAACGTCAAGGGGCTGGAGGACGTGAGAAGAGTGAGGGATGAGGAATAGAAGATAGATATTATTGTCGTAGCACTCGAAGAGGAATTCCTCAGTCATATGACTGCCGTGACCGTCAAGAATAAGGAGTCGTGGTTCCCGGGGGTCCTTGGGCGCCGTCTCCGGGATAAACACATTACGCAGCCATTGGAGCGCGATCTGGTTATTCGTCCACCCTTTCTCAGAGCATGTGAAGTTCCAATCTTCAAGGAAGTCGATGTTATAAGGGAACCATTGTTGTTGAACTGATCTGCCTTTAAAGATCACCAGGGGCTTCAAGACTCTCCCCGTCGCCGAGATACACTCGAGAATTGAAATCCAGGACCTCGAACCAGGCTGCTTCAAAAGTGCTGACTTCTTCTCTGCTCGACCGAGAATAAGACCGTTGAGTCCGATCCCTTCCATCATACCGACTTCGTCCACATTGTAACGATGCTTCTGCTTGATCTTCTTGACGGGCGGCATCATCAGAAGCATAAAGAAGGCCTTAATTAGTTCAGTAGAAGCGCCGTGATAGCGGTCAGAGTCAATCTTCTTGCCTTTGAGTGTCTTCACGTCTGAAAAACGCGTCAGAAAACCCTCAAGCCAGTGTTTTCCGACACCATCTTTGAAGCCGTTGCGTACAGCCACCTTGCCGGCGAAGTCTCTGACTTGCGAGTGAGAAACAGGGCAGCCTAGGTCGTGCTGGATAAGAATCCAGTCTCGTAGCTTCCTTTCCTGCCGTGGCGTAAGCTTTTGCCGGGCCTCGTTATGCTCTTTTCGCGGATTACAGCCGTGAATTCGTCCCTTGAAGGTAGAACGCGGTATCCCATACGCGTCGGCGGCCTTATTCATTGAAATGCCGTCTGCGTACATCTGTAACGCATCTTGCATATTCTGTTCGGTCCATTCGGGCATGGCGAAAACGATGCAAAAGTCGGCTTGGCGATAGCTTCAATATTGGTTAAGAAATCGCGGTCTGAAGATGTGGCCTAATGGTGTTGCAAGGTGGAAAATGGGTGGTCGGTTGTGGGGGGTGGTCGGTTGTGGGGGGTTGGACGTTAAGAGGCACTTTAAGCTTAAAACACGCCACAGTGACGTGCGTATCTGCGCTTGGCTCGTGCTTAAACCGAAACCGAAACCGTGACCGAGATCCGGATCGGCAATTGGGGAAAGATCGGCTGCAACCTTACGCCGCGCATTGTTCATGTGTCAATCATGGTAATATCTGTGTCTTAAGATAGAAATAGTTTCTCATGACCACGTAATCGACATCAACGTTATGTCGATGCTATATTAGTACCCTGGCTGTGATGTGGTATGAACAATCTGTTGTATTCACTCGCCTGAATGACCTGGAGCTACCCTTGACTTGTCTCTGTCTTCACCTGTCATGGAAGACACTGTGCGATTCACTTCGAAACGAAATTATTCCATCATCCGAAAAAATCCTTTTCCTTCATTGCCTTTGTGTTTTATTTCTAGGCCGACCTTTGTAGCAGATGTTGTGGAGTTGAATATTGGCCACATCACAAGGGATGTAGCCAAGTCTGTTGAAGTGCGGGTTCCCGCAAGTCGAATCTTGCAATTTTCTATCCAATGGCTGTGGACACCAGCCCTTGATGGGTCATCCTGTGTTTTAGCCTATTGCAGGCCAAGGACTACAAGATTGAGATCTTCAACCTCGGCTCCCTCCGTTTACTAAGGTCTTTTCTATCAGCGGGCCCGCGAGCGTCACCGCAAGCCATGCCAATCTATTCTTTACCTCGGCACGTTTCATGAGTCCGGAAGCCGAGCCAATACTGTATCAGTACCGCAAAAAGTTTGGCAGGCATGTGGCATTGTTTCAGGCAATTAGTTGGTTGAAAGTCTGGTAGCAGCTGAGAATAGGAAGGGTGGGCGAACTCATAACCGGCACCTGTGGCGGGGAACTGCAGATGTCTAATTTTTCGTTCACGCATTCTTTTCGTCCTTCAAAGATGTAAGTAAAGGTAAACTGGTTGATTATTGCACTGAAAGTTGAACCAAATCTTGAAACCTATTGTCTCGTCCAAGTCGTCGTGTCTGGCGTCCCCTGTTTGAAGTAGATCTACTAATGGGCGAAGGGTCTAAAATTGCGTGCTAGTAGCAATAAGCCTCTGCGCCAACTTGAATTCATACTTCTTATCCCCCACTATAGCGACACCCTTGATTCAAACCCTCTAGCAGCTCGCATCTCCTTGATCACAGTTGGGTTAAACCCCTGACACTATGCTCGGCAGTGCGGGTACGGGGGCGGTTTCGACTATAACTCCGTTGCCCGAAGATCTAAACGCTACGGAACTGTACTAGACACCCCTTGCTCAAGACCCTGCCAATCAAGGCCCAAGTATGTCCCACCATAGTGTCTCACTTAATAACATGGGATGGGGGCGCAAAGTTCATCTCCGTAATGCAACTGCCGAGCCTACTATTTACGTACAGTAGCTGCTAAGTTCCAAAATAAAGAAACGAAACGTTACATTTGCTCTCCCTCTCGCGCCCGGCATCGGTTCTGTACATCCAGGTTGGATTTGTAAGATCGCCTTGACCACGGAATGGCTGGTGCGGATGGTTCACTTCGGATCGGAGCAGTGAAAGAGGGTCCATGATTTTGTTTTGTTCAAGTAAAAAGGCGTTCTTGCAACGAGTGTATGGCCAGCAGCAATCATCAGACATTCTCGGGAACCAAACTAACCTTCCATCTTTATCTTCGTTATAATGAAGCTATACACGTTCCTGGAATGTGTTGCCATTTCGGCTTGGGCTATCTCGCCAGGCAATGCCGCCGCCAAGACGTACAAAACTTGTCGCAAACTTCCAAAAGACCCCGATTGGCCGAATCCTGAAATATGGGAGGCAGCATTACCGGGTGTAATCCCGATACAGCAAAATTCTACGACCGGTCCTCTCCCAAATTATCGATTCCGCGCACACTCTATTGAAGATGTGCAGGCTGCCGTAAGGTTTGCCACGGAGCAAAACGTCCGCCTTTCTGTCATCACCACAGGGCATGACCAGCTTGGTCGAAGCGACGCTGGATCAGGTCTTCTGCTTGATCTGTCTTTTCTAAGAGGCATCAAAGTTCATGAATCTTTTGTTACAACTGAGGGTGGCACAGACAGGCTCGATCACACAGCGAAAACCAATGTCATCACCCCAGTCCCTGGTGTTCAAGCTGCTGTTACGTTTGGGCCAGCGGCAGCTGGGCTCTATCTCAACTACGGACTTGACCTCTCTGGCTTGTTTACCGTGAGCGGAGCTGCAGGTAAGTTCAAGGACAAGACGCGACATGCAAAAAGGTATCTTGTCTTGGTTCTAGCAGAGTCAACGGCTAACTTGGCGAAGCAACCGTGGCTGTGGCCGGAGGATGGGGTCAGAATGGCGGCTATGGGCCGCTCACCGCCCAGTACGGGCTCGGAGTCGATCAGTGGCTAGAAGCCAAAGTGGTGACACCCGACGGGCAGCTTCGCATCGCAAACGACAAAGCCAACAGGGATCTCTTCTGGGCCATTCGTGGCGGAGGCGGCAGCACGTTTGGTGTCGTCGTCGAAGCCACCTGGAAAGTGTATCCTACAGTTCCTATGACAGGGTTCAATTGGTGGATCAACTCAACCCTTATAGGTCCAAATGCGACTGACTATGAAGTTGGTCGGACACCAATGAGCGAGGCCATGGAATACCTCTTGTCAGAGTTGCCAACCCTTCAAGAGAAGGGCATCACGGCGTACATTTATGCCTCGCCGACCAGCGTTCGATGCTATGCCATTCATCCTGCAGATCGTTCTAGCATCGCGAATGCAAACGCCGTATGGGGTCCCATTTTGTCCAAGATGCAGTCATTCCCCGGCATGACGCCTTTCCAATCGCGTCCTTATGACTTTGTCGATTACAAAGACTTCTTCGACACAACCTATGGCCCGCTTCCGAATCCAGGAGGTGAACCCACCCAGCCTTACAACCGCGGCATCGTCCCCTTTGACACTCGACTACTGGGCGCCGAGCACTTCCGCAGTCCCAACATAACCTTTGCGCTACGTGAAACGAGAGGCAACTATGGTATCCTGGTTTGCTCGCCGGGTGGGAGACTTGGTGATGGATCTGAGACCTCAAACAACCCAGGTTGGCGGAAGGCTGTCGCACTCCTCGTTGGATTCAAGTCGAATACAACCAACGTAGACGGGCTACGGCGTCTTGCTCCCGACATGGGGACATATATCAACGAGGTTTGTTTGGTCCCTAGGGCAACATCTTCCCTATACTTCTCTCAAGAGAGTCGGAATGAGATACTAACGTCTCACTTTCCAGGCGAGCACAGAACAGGAACACTGGACTTCAGCCTTTTGGGGCACAAACTACCCACGCCTTTCTAAAATCAAATCCGAGATTGACCCAAACATGACGTTCTGGACGAGCCCTGGAATCAATGCCGACCACATGGAAACGGTCGATGGGCGTGCTTGTGTTATCGAAAACCCGTCCGATGAGCCCCCTCTGATCCCTCCACCAACCGACAGACATGTTATCGCGGACCTAGCCAAGGATGGGCATTTTCTCTTTGGGAGCAGGGAACTTATAGGCGTCGCGTACCCGGCTCCTGGAACGTGGGAGGGCTTACAGTCCCCTAAGAAGGAATCAGTGTAGTTTTTACGTGATGCCATCCCTGACTGTCTCACATGGCCAGGTTTTGTTGAATTGGGCCTTGTACAATAGCTTCAGGGGTGGTCACGTGCGCTTGACCGCCAGATGATCTCGGGCGAGTTGCTCAGACTAGTCCCGATTTGGAAGGCCACGTCGCCGCCCGGAAGGGATAAGCCTAAATTCCAACAGCTCCAGATCTTCCTCCTTAGTCTACCTGTACCAATATCTCAAAGGAACTCGAAATCCCCTCCTCACTACCTAGGTACTCACCAATGAATCTACCTCCAGCCGGTGATACTCCATGGCATACCACGCTATGGCTCGGCCCACGCCAACAGACACCTTTTCAGCAGGGTGAAACATTCACCGCTGGACCTTCATGCTACAGGCGAAGCTCTGCTCACCCAGAATGGCCCACATGGCGGTGGAGTAAGGGCCATCGCCTGCACGATATTTCGTCTCTTTGCGACGTATGTGATAAGATTGATATCACAGAACTTGCTGAGCGAGGGGGTCCAATGTGCCTCAATAGTTCCCTCAGCGCCGTAACTCTCGCATCGAGAACTTGCAGGTTTTGCGCCTTAATATGCCAAAGCGCCAAAGGCTGGGCACAGTCTCGGGATTTTGACAATGCGGAGGGGGCTATGGACACCATCAGTAGCATACTCCTAGAGTGGCGGGCCGGAGAGTTGTTCATTTTTATCCCGTATGCGATAGGATTGGCAAACTTTCGGCCTTCGATTGCTAATGGCTTGGTCTTGGGAAGATTTCAAATCCACCATAAGGAAGGTATGCACTGTCTCTTGAATTCCTCGGAAGCTTATAGTTACACAGCTGTGCTTTCCACCTCATTGCAGCAATAGCTGATCTGGCGGGACACGTACAGACAAGACATCGGCACCTCAGACCGATGTTATTGACGCCTCCAACCAAGCTACGGGCCCCCTACAGTCTACCACTCTGCACCGCCTGACAGCAGAACTGCGCGAGTTCATCAACTCTCCTTGCTGTGAGATTTGCACACCCCAACAAACACGCGCAAACCACGCTAGAGGGTTGCAGACCACCCCGGATACGACTCCTTTCCTCCCAGATCGAGTTATTGAGATTTTAGACTCGTCTACCGCAGATCCCGTGAAACTTCGTCTTCGGACGACGCAAGGGATGACAAGGGGCCAATATATCACCTTGAGCCATCGATGGGGGGGCGAAACACCGCTCAAGACCACAAAAGACACACTAAATTCGCGCATCAAGGGCTTCACCTTGACCGACATGCCACGAACCTTTCAGGACGCTATTCTCGTAGCCATAGCTTTAGAGATCAAGTACGTCTGGATCGATTCTCTGTGTATCGTTCAGGATGATCAACAGGAATGGCTTGAGCAATCGGTGAAAATGGGGTCTGTTTACGCTAATTCTACCTACACGGTCGCCGCCCATTCCGCGAAACAATGTCACGAAGGCTTTCTGTGGAGATGTCAGGTGCCTTCAGATCTTTGCATCAGTCCTCAGCGCGGCGGCCCCGAGTTCTTTGTGCCAATCCCTGAACTGCACGACGCGCACGTCCGTCGACTCTTCTTCGATGGCGAGCTATCTCAACGGGCATGGGTTCTTCAGGAGCTTACCCTGTCTCCTAGAATCTTGCATTTCGTCGAGAACGTTCTCATCTGGGAATGTGAGCATCGTTCCCCGGATTTTCGAGGCCTAGTCGCAAGAACGTCTCAACGAGAGTGGGCTATGCTCTACCCGAACACTCCGTACCTCCAAGTCTCGCTAGATACCTCAGCAACACTATTCAGGAAGGCAGGTCTTGACCTAGGACATCACTCTGCGTGGCGAGAGCTAGTTCAGCAGTACTCCAGCTGCCAGATGTCCCGAAAGAGTGATAAGTTGGTCGCCGTCGCTGGTATCCTTGATTTGTTACGCAGCAGCATTTCCGACCCTGAAGAGAGACATTACCACTGCGGAGTGTTCCAGTCAGACATTGACAGGTCTCTCATGTGGTACAGGAAAGTACGAAAGGGCAAGCGCCAGCTGGAGAGAGCCCCTTCATGGTCCTGGGCTAGTGTCGATGCTAAGGTTCACTTTGATGCCCTTGAAGCGGACGACAATCTAAAATGTTTGCTTCGCGTCAAAAGCGTTCAACATCAGGATTATACTGTTGAACCAACAACTCATGAGCCCCCAAGCTGCCGCCTTGCGATCAACGCCCCACTCATTCGGGCAACCGTCTTCGTGCAAGAATCTTCCGGCTATAGTCTAAAGCCAGAAGACTACAGACCCCCAAATACTCAAGACGGACAAGTTTGGGTAGTTAGAATCTATGACCACGACGATGGCGCGCCCTTCGGGTGGTATATTGAAGATATGAACGAACTATTCGCAACCCCTCCACCCCGATGGCCTCCATTCCCACGAGGCGATGTGGCAAGCACGATATTTTTCCTAGCAGTTTGGTGTCGAGAGGAAGACGGTAAGCCTATCAGAGCATGGGGGCTAATGCTGAGCCCCGTGGAGGAGAAAGCTGGCGTTTATAGAAGGGTAGGACTAGGGTTTGTGAGGAATGTGGAAGCTTTGAAGGATGCATTTATATCACCTGAGGATATTATTTTAGTTTAGTGGTTTTATAATAACAAGATTTTACTTATACCTTAATTATAAGTTGGTAATTAACAAGAAAACATAATATATAATAGCCTTAAAACCTAAAACACTATAATTTTACCTTCTTTTAACTCCTACAATAATAGCTATAGAAATTGGATAGAAACTTGAGTCTTATGTATAAGATGATACCTTTCCTTATCCTCAGAAGGATAAACATTAGTGGCGCACTTCTGGGAAGAAGTAATCGGACCGGTGTCAGTGGCGGAGGTCGTTGACGAAGTCAAGCTGGCTGGGAACCATTGGGCATGATGGCTTGATTGTGTGTAAAACTGTATCTATCTGACTGGTTTGCCTTGATCTGTCCTGTAGGTATGCTATGAAGTTGAACTATTTTTCAAGCTGGCTGGGAAAAGTTAATCGGTTGGGAAAAAAGGCGCCGTATGGTTCACAATGAATCCGAACACAGGGATACTTTTGCCTGTATATACCTAGGCCGACCGGTCTATATCTTAGGGACATTCTACAATTATTATCTTTCCTATTCATGGATGATATCAAGGTCATGCTTCCTCTCCCCCCTTTTGACTTTCCAGGCTGCACTATGACTAAGTCGGACGAGCTCCATGACGAACTCGCTTATCTCTCGGATATGCTCAATCTCCTCTATCGAGAGCCTCTCTGCTGGAATCTTGCGCGTGATGCTGCTTATCGATGACAAGATGTGCAAGTCGCTATCCGCCGTATTGCCAAGAGGGTGTATAAGGATGTTCATAAAGAGTGGCATGGCAGCCATCGGCGCATAGTGCGACACGACCCATGCTGAATCCTCTTTCCAGAAGTCGACGACAGTGTCCAGGATGCGGAAAATGGAGCGGCTGGCCTCTATCGATAGATCGGCGCTCGAGTGCACGACGCTGTGTAGGTCATCGGGTAGATTCTCTTCCAGGTCTCCACACTTTCGGACCAAGGTGTGGATATTGATGATGGTGAAGAGGTAGTCGAGCTGAAGATTGATGAAGTACGTGCGGTTCTCTAGGCTCATGGCTGAGGGCAATGAGAAGGACGAATCTGATAGGATGGATAATCTAGGACGATAAGGTGGTTCGACTGACAGCCGCCATTCCTCAAGCTCGTCGTCGAGTTGTCGAACGTGGGCAAGAAGCTCACTCTCGGTGTATTTGAAGGCTCGGGGCGAGCAGAGTAGTCGAATTGCGTTTTCTTTAATCTTTGCGAGGTTTGTATCCCGTGATTGGCTGCTGAATTCCTCCGACTCGGTCACATCGCAGTGATCCGAAGTAAGTAGTGGCGGCTGGTCGGTACGCAACGAGATATCCTTGTCATAGCAGTAGCACATCCAGAACAACCTTCGGATGTGCAGCTTTGTTTGATCGTCGAATGTGGGGATATGTTGCGGGAGGATAGCCAGTCGTGACAGCGGGAAGTTACCGCCAAGGTCACATACCATGCGACATGCCCTTCTAAAGGTGATGGAAGCCTCTCGGCATTGTCCTCTCATTTTTTGACATGCCCACTATTTGCAAGTCAGCCGTGAGCCTCAGTGACAATACTTGGTGGTTCCTTACCAGAAGAAGGGTGCCCTGCAAGCTGTCCAAGTTCGTGTTGCCATTAATGATGGTTAACAAGCGGCTGGCCTCATGAACGCAATCGTTTGGTTCGACGGTTAGACCCAATTGCCGAGTGTCTGTGGTACGTACAACGATTGCAATCATGGCCCACAGACAGGCCTCAGCTGATGTTCGACGTCCCAGATCAGCCCCTTGGTCACCGAACGCCCTGGCAATGGTTCCTTCAAAGAGGTTTCTCTCCAGGATAGCGAAGACGATAGAGGTCTTGGATTTGAAGAAGCACTCAGCGAGATGCCTGCAGATAACCTTTGAGGGCAGAATTCTCGGCATATCGGGAAATGCGGTAGGGCAAAGCGGTGGTGCAGTTCCCAAGGGGTTGGAGAACAAGTCAAACTTTTCCATAAACACACGCTCTCCTGCACCATCTGAGATCCATTGCCGACCACGCTCAGACAAAATCCCTATCCCTTTGAAGTACCAGTTGTTGCCGATTTGACATCGCGACAATTTGGAGGTAGGCTTGGGCGAAGTTGTCTGGGCCAGTGTGGTATTCGCAGCAAGGTCGGAAGGGCTTATGGGGGACGGTTGGCCGAGGATCGTAGCGACGGGAGATGCTCTCAGGCGGCTGTTCGATGGTTCGGCAAATGGCCTCTCGGGGAATGGCCTTTCTGGCCAGGGCGAAGCGTCTCCAACGGGTCTATTCGTACATAGTGCAGACTGGAGGGCCTCTTCGAGCGTTTCTACTCGTCGGGACAGTTCTTGGACAACATCGGATGTGGTTCTGCGGTCTTGTGTCAGGCTCCCAAACTGTACGATCTTGGCAATAAGCCAAGTCATTCGAAGAAAGCTTACCTCTTGTTTGGGTCTTTTTGAATGACTCTGTCAAAGGTACAGGCCACGTCCTGACTCCCGCACCAGTCGCAGGGATCGCCCTGAGTCTTGATGACGCATTGAATCTGAAAAGTCGGTGTTATTCGAAAAAATCTCTGCCATTATCACTTGGACAATGAAACATGTGATTAATTACCTTTCGCTTGTAGCAGACATCGCAGGCGGCGCGCCGGGGAGGCATTGCATTGCATCGCCCCGCATAAAAGAAGTTGAGGTAATCGGAAAGACGGATTGCCGAAGGAAACGAAAGGGATGGAGAAATTTGACTGGAGAGACAGATGTATCGGAGACCCGGAAGTCCGATGGCACTAGTGCATATGCATGAGCCAGGGTATGTATGGATGGAACAGCTTGCGCGTGGGGTTACGGGCCGGGACTGACGGACTCGATTTAATATGATGGATAGATATGTTGACTTTATTCGTGCAAAAAAAGGGAGCAACAAATACTGTATCGTCATCAAATGACGGGTACAGCCGAGAGATTATCATGGTGCATGGCAACTCAGTATCCACCGCCCATTTTCAACAGTGTAAACAACACAGTACTCACCACCCTCTTATTACCCTTGAAAACGTCGAGGCTGCTGAACATGGAACGGCGTTTCACCTTTTCATAAGTCTCGACACGAAAAAGAGATGATTGAGCTTGTAGCAGAGATGTAAATGCATTTTGAGGAATGGCTTGGTTCATATCAGCAGCAGAAGTAGAGGACAGACAAGTGTAATATAGAGAATACAAGGCGTCTCAGGGTATGGGTATTCTTTAGAAAACCTTGTATGTGACAAGTCAGTCTTAGGCTGATGGATGGGAAGAAAGATGCGGGGAGCCTTCTTTGTAGCCCTTGCCTGTCGCGCCATTGGATCTGGTTCTTTCTTTTTTCACATCTCGATTGCCATCTGTGCCTTGCCTTGACGTAGATTCACGCCGACACAACCCCGTTTTGATGCCCTAATAATATTGTAAGCGAGGTCATGGGTAGGGATATGACAGTACAACCACTCCTCGGTTCTTATTAGGCTCGGTTGACGGCGTCACATCATTGACGAGAGGCGGCGGTGCATGCAAGACAAACAAGATGTGTCCCAAGCTCTTCATTTCCGTCACCGATTACCAATATCAAACTTGCCTCTTCATTGGATGTGTTAGCGAAATGGATGCTCTGGTCCGTGCCATGACCGCTGATCTTCCCTCGATCAAGAAGAGACGGATTTCCGTGTCCGATTATGTAAGACAGGTTTTCCCCAGCTTTGTCCAACGTGGCGCTTATCAGATCCCCCCAAGTGCAGTCATTGGTTGGGAAGAGAAGCCCCGTGGCCCCCCTTTGTTGATCTTGACAACAGCTACCCCTGCTGAGACTTGAGCTAAGCTTTCGAAAGTGGTCGCGATGCAGCTTTACCCCGATCTTGGATTGTAGAGCCTGGCAGGTGGACATAGGTACATAATGTCAACCGCCTCACGTATTGAGCAAGATGCCTTCTCCACCATAGCTCACTGGTTCTTGAGCCGACTCCTTTCACAACAATTCTCTTTATCCAGGGCCTCAAATTAAGGTCTGAAGGCCTGCCTTGTACGTTTGCAACATGGCAAGCAATCTACTCGATCCAAAGGCATTGGTGGATCCACGCCAGCGGTCGACGAGCAATGCAGACACCGTCTCCTTCACTGACGGGACAACTCTTGCACCTAGCAGCTACCTGTCAGATGTACCGCAGCATTACGACCCGGGCCAGTCTAAAAGTGTCGACCTCGAAGACCCCAACAGGCCATTCCCTCATAGCCCCGATCAACTCGGCCAATTACTCGACCCCAAATCACTGGATGTCCTCAAGAGTTTTGGTGGCCTCGAGGGCCTCGCTCGCAGTCTCCGTGTAGACCTCAAAGCTGGTCTTAGCGTGGACGAGCTCGAACCGCATACTTCTTCACACAGTCCATCCACTGAAAGAGTGCGCACGTATGGGCGCAACCAGCTTCCAGCGAAAAAACCAAAGTCAATCTGGAGGTTGGCATGGATCACTCTTCAAGAAGCAGTTCTGATCATGTTGTTGGTTGCTGGCGTCATATCCCTTGCACTCGGTCTCTACGAGACCTTTGGAGTAGCCCACAAGCCTGGCGACCCTACGCCCGTTGATTGGGTTGAAGGTGTTGCTATCTTGTCCGCTGTTGTCATTGTCGTGGTGGTCGCCTCGCACAATGACTGGCAAAAAGAAAAGGCTTTCGTTAAGCTAAACACCAAGAAAGATGACAGAGAAGTCAAGGTGCTTCGGTCCGGCAAGTCCATGCTTGTCAACGTTGTCGATGTGGTCGTCGGAGATGTTCTTTACCTTGAGCCGGGTGACTTGATTCCTGTTGATGGCATCTTTATCGATGGGCATAATGTCAAATGCGATGAATCAACTGCCACCGGCGAGTCAGACGCCTTGAAAAAGACGCCCGGCGCAAAGGTCTTTGCGCCAGATTGGAACGGCAGCAAAGATCCTGACCCATTCATCATTTCCGGTGCAAGGGTTCTTGAAGGTAGAACACACGCACGCCAGGGACCATGAAGTCTTACTGATTTGTTGTAGGCATGGGGACGTTCCTCTGTACTTCGGTCGGCACCAACAGCAGCTTTGGCAAAATCATGATGTCAGTTCGGACGGATATCGAGTCGACGCCCCTACAAAAGAAACTCGAAGGATTAGCAGTGGCTATTGCTAAGCTCGGTGGTGGTGCTTCGGTGCTCATGTTCTTTATTCTTCTTTTCCGCTTCTGTGCACATCTCCCTGGGGATGACAGGCCGGCTGAGGAGAAAGCATCAACCTTTGTTGACCTTTTGGTCGTGGCCATTGCTATCATTGCTGTGGCCGTGCCTGAAGGTCTACCTCTTGCTGTCACCCTTGCGCTAGCCTTTGCTACGACGCGCCTTTTGAAGGAGAACAATCTCGTTAGAGTACTGAGGGCATGCGAGACTATGGGCAATGCTACTTGCATCTGTTCAGACAAGACAGGAACTTTAGTAAGTCACCTTAGACAAGAGGAACGAACCTTGCTAATTTTCAGACTACCAACAGAATGACCGTCACCGCGGGCCGCTTTGGTGATTCCAGCTTCACCGATGATACTTCTTCGTGGGCCTCGAGCTTGTCTCAGGACAGCAGAAAGCTCATCACTCAGTCTGTAGCCATCAACTCGACAGCTTTTGAAGGAACAAACGACGGCGAGACAGCATTCATCGGCTCCAAGACGGAAACTGCGCTACTGCAGCTAGCCAGGGACCATCTTGGCATGCAGTCCCTTTCGGAAACCAGGGCAAACGAACAAATCGTTGTCATCGAGCCCTTTGACTCCGTCAAGAAGTACATGACCGCCGTCATCAAGGTTCCATCTGGCTACAGGTTACTCATCAAGGGAGCTTCCGAAATCATCGTTGGGTTTTGCACACAGCAGGTGAACCCAATTACCAACGACGTTGAACCCCTAGACCGCAAATCCGCCGAGGATGCCATCCTTGCATTCGCAAGCAAGTCTCTCCGTACCATTGGAATGGCGTACAAGGACTTTGAGGAGGAGCCTGATCTTGAAAGCCTGAGTGACTTGACTCTTCTTGGTGTCGTTGGCATCCAGGATCCGGTCCGCCCTGGCGTTCCTGAGGCTGTACAGAGTGCCAAGCGTGCTGGCGTTGTGACTCGGATGGTTACAGGAGATAACTTGGTCACTGCCCGAGCTATCGCCACGGAATGCGGCATCTTTACTGAGGGTGGCATTATCTTGGAAGGTCCTGAATTCCGCAAACTATCCGAGGACGAACTCGACAAGATCATCCCCCGTCTACAGGTTCTTGCCCGCTCATCGCCTGAGGATAAACGCATCTTGGTTACACGCCTCAAGGCCTTGGGAGAAACCGTGGCTGTGACAGGTGATGGCACCAATGACGCACCAGCTCTCAAGGCTGCTGACATTGGCTTCTCTATGGGCATTTCAGGTATGTTGAGTCGACTCTATTGGCCCTACGGATTAGCTAACCACGCGATATTTCAGGTACTGAAGTAGCGAAAGAGGCTTCCGAGATTATCCTGATGGATGATAACTTTGCCTCGATCATCACTGCCCTCAAATGGGGTCGGGCTGTGAATGATGCTGTGCAGAAGTTTTTGCAGGTATGTTACTCTCATCTGAAAAGCCACATACATGGCTGACATGTCAACAGTTTCAAATCACTGTCAACATCACTGCGGTCATCCTGTCGTTTGTTACTTCCATGTACAATGATGACTACGAGCCGGTTCTCAAGGCCGTGCAGCTGCTATGGGTAAGTCGACAATCAAGATCAGTGCATTCTCAGGTTGCATATTGACTTTCAACAGATCAACTTGATCATGGACACAATGGCTGCCCTGGCTCTGGCCACAGACCCCCCCACAGATGCCATCCTCGATAGGCCTCCTCAACCCAAGTCTGCACCGCTCATCACCATGAACGTAAGTCCATCATCACCTCCACCTCATGTACAACAATGCTAACAGGTAAAGATGTGGAAAATGATCATTGGTCAATCTATTTTCCAGATCATCGTTGTCCTCGTCCTTTATTTCGCTGGCGATACCATTCTCAACTACGATACCAGCGTTGAAAGTGAGAAGCTTCAGCTTGATACCATCATCTTCAACATGTTCGTTTGGATGCAAATCTTTAACGAACTCAACTGCCGTCGACTCGACAACAAGTTCAACATTTTCGTTGGAGTCCACCGAAACTGGTTTTTCATCGTCATCAACCTCATCATGATCGGCCTACAAGTTGCCATTGTCTTTGTGGGTAACCGTGTCTTTGACATCGATCCTGACGGTCTTGACGGTCCTCAGTGGGCTATTTCAATCGTCATCGCAGCATTCAGTCTACCATGGGGTGTGGCCATTCGCATTTTCCCTGATGAGTGGTTTGCAAAGGTTGTCCACTTTGTGGCACCACCCTTTGTCATCTCGTATAGGTTTCTTGCGAGAGGTTGCTCCAAATTTGCTAGGCTTTTCAAACGATCCAAGAAATTGGATGGTGGTGAAGACAGCGATTCCACGGAGGAAAAAACACAAGACAAGGAGAAGCCATCTGCATCTGGGCCAATCATCGTTGAACAGGCTTAGTACACCTGTCTTGAGAACATATCAACAAACTAAAAGGCCTTATCGTAATTGGATGGAAGAGAACCGATTGATACAGATCAGGGGTAGGGGCAACGACAAAACGTGGGGCTAAGGGGGGAGGGGGTGACTTGGCAGAGTCTGGAAAGGCAAGCGTGAAAAAGGACGAGAAGGGGGAACCATGTATAATCCCATCAGTAATTGGAGTTATCTTGTATTTATTGTATAAAAATCGGGTTTGGATTTCCATGAACGTTGAGTTGAGGGTTGTCCAAAGGCAGGTAACTGCCATATACACAAAATTCGATGCAACTTGACCAACAGTGACTTGAATCACATGAACCCCTTTTTCTTAAATGCAAGGCTTTGGGTGCGTCCTGCTTCCGCTTTAGTACCCCGTCGTACTACAGCTTCCGATTGAGCCTCCTCCACCTTCGCGCCTCTTGCTCGTGGGCGGAGACGCGTTGAACCAGCCATTCAACATTGTCCTCGGATGACTTGACGCCTTTGGAAACTTTCTCACCAATGGCCAACATTCTGCGATCGAGATTTGGCATCAACCGAATACAGAGGCAAACATACATACCCAACTCACGGCAATAACAACTTTGACGACGAGCATGCCTATGGAAACGATATCAAGTACAACAACGACAATCATGATTCCCTCGACCATAGCAAGTCTAATAAAGCCACTAGGAAGGACTCCCGCCCCAATCAGTACAGCTTTGACTATTAAAGCACTAGCTCTGGCCAAATGCCTTGATTGAATGCCGAATAAGGTAGCTAGAATAAACCCAAAGAATCTCTCACTAATATCACATATCGCTCTCCGGTCCCACAATCTGACAACAGCAATAGTCGCGACGAGCTTGGTCTGACCACTCTGTGGGCGTCTCACTGCAACACGTTCCTTTACTTTCTGCTTGAAGGCGGAGTAGATGTAGCCATCGCCAAGGGACCCAAATGAAGCAAATGTCTGTCATAGCCACAATCCAGTTTGGGCCCTTGAACTCTGTGCTATTGATGACAATATCACCACCTGTCTGAGTTCAAGCCCATATTTTCGATTTCCTTGATCCGATTGGCATCGTCAAGCCTCTCGAGCTCCGTGATGGAGTGAGCATTCACCGCCACTCTGACACTGTTGCTTTCGGAGAAGCCTCTAACATCATCTTCCTCGTCGATTCCCTGGCTAAGAAACTGACTGGCACGTTCTTCAGATGAGAAGTCTGATTCTTTGTGCAGCCTCACGTTGACCCTGATGGAGCTCTCCCCGTCCTCTTGTCTAGCGACATCTCTGAGGTGCGCCGAGGTCTTCGGGCTTCGCTCATAGGCATTTGCCGATCTGACAAACGGAATTGCGCGGATTCTGTCAAGATCGTGGCCGGCGTATTGAAACAGATAAGTTTTTTCGGCCATACGCTCCTGGTACTTGACATCCAGCGAGTCCAGTTCTAATTTCTGGTGATTGGTAAGGTTGTCTAAGAGTTGTAGGATGATGTACTTGGTCGAGCTAGCGTCGTCGCTCTGTTGCTGACGCTCAAAGTCATCTACAGACAGCTTAAGAGCACGTCCATTCACGAAGATGTCGGACATGATGATGAATTGGGAAGATTTTCGATGCTGCAGGTAGAAAGGAGAGAATGTTGGAAAGAATCGTGTTGCTTGAGACGCTGGGCTCGAGGGACTCGGATCCTTTTCTAGTTCTACGAGGCCAGCACGACACATAACAGTGGGCGCCTAAATTCTTCGTAGATAGACTGAGCAGTTGCCAAGACCCTTCCTCGCGAGCCCCTCGTTTTGTCTAGACCATTCACATTTCGTTTAATGGTGTTCACTAATATGATCGTGATCACAAGGCTTGTCACTAAACCAGCCACTAGCCGCACAGTCAATACTACTCAGAGATTAAGTTAAATGGCTTTCCCAAGGTCTGGGTCTTGGGCCGAAAGAGTGTAAGTCTGAACACTAGCAGGAGCCTGTCGCCTCACCGCTCCCCATGGTGATACAGCAAGCTGCTAAGTCCAGCCAGCCACGACGGAGTGAACTTTAGGACTATTGGCGCTAAGATACCCGGCTATGCACAAACAGAAAGAAAAAGAAGCGATTCGATACGGAAAGGTTCCCCGGCATAAGATTGACGACTGGACGGCCACCACTTTATTTTGTGTTTCTCACTCATCACTCAATGAACCGTCTAGCTTTTGCAACCTATCGTACCCGGTACTTTCCATGTTGCACCTAGCTCCCAGGGAATAATAACCTGGATGACCGATAGAACGCTACAGCTACCATACCATGTATATCTCGATCTTTATTTTAGATACATTGCTTTAATTCTATCCCGCTAAACTAAGCTCACCCACCGAACCTCATGCTTCGAGGGACGTTTGTGATGAGCGTCCACAAAGGACTGGCGGTACTCCTCGAGAGCATCCTCCCTGATATCTGTGCCCGGATACTTCCAAAAGGCAGCTTGGCTTATAACACGAAAACTCCCATTCTCCTGCTGTCGAAGTACAAATGGTGTTGAAAGACCAGGGAAAACACAAACAGCATCTCCTATGGCAGCCGAAACATCTTTCCTGGCCAAGTCTCCCGTGATACCATTATGCAGAACAAAAAGACCATGCCCGAGCATGAAGGTCTGCAAGTCCCTGTCTCTTGCTAGCCCATCTGCCCCTTGTAGCTGTCGTTGAGAATTGAAGTAGTTGCTGTACTCTTCAATTGGTTGGCTCTGGACCATGCACGAGTAAGCCATCAAGAAACTCTGCTCGATGGTAGGGTCTTTCTCAAGCCTCTGGACAGTAAAGATATCAGCAAGATGGTATCTGAACCACTGGCGCATTACATGTACTCTCGTGGCCTGTATAATCGCCGCAGCGGGTTGGATAATTGCCTTGTCACAGTCCAAAAAGACAGATGACGCAATCGTTCCGGTTGTCGGGTCAGGTAGTATCGGACCAAACACAGAGACACATCTCCCGACAAGGATAGCGGGCATTGTGAGAACCTTTCTGTCCTCGGACAATGAAATGCAGGCTCCTGTTCTTTGACTGTTGTTGATCCTTGCGTTGAGCGTTTGTCTGAGATCGGGAGTCCAGGAGGCACACCCTCAAGTCCGCCCACACCGCCAAGATTCAAGACCCGAGGGTCTCTTGTCTCGGCAAGTATAAAGGCCGTAAATCGATGATACAAGTCTTCGAAAGGTTTCGTATAGTCAGGAAATAATGCCTCGGGTAACGGATTGCAGTCAAGCAGCCCAAGAAGTCCGTATATGTAGTCATGAGGAACTGTCGCCTTCAACTCGGTAGATTCGCCAATTAGTTGGAGAATATCCAGCGCGCACTGCCTCTCATTCTCTTTTTGGTCGCCTTTTTCTCGATTGGGCCTTGTGTTAAGGATCTTCTGGTAGATTCCCTCAACAGCTTTAAATCGGACAGGGCTTCGGGCCAAGAATGTGATGAGTAGTTGTCCATCTATGGATGGGTCCAGGAGCCTAACCCAAGTCCTAAAGAAGATGTCGTAGCCAAAGACGTGTGGTCCGCATAGGAGTATCGGTGGTTTCTGAGAGAGGACTGCTTCTTGAAGAATCCACACACGTCGGAACCAAGTTCGTGAGCCAATATCGATCAGTGTCTGCCGCAGACGTTGGACTTCTTCTGCAGCTTCAGTACTTGTATAGGAACTTTCTCGAAAAGAGCTGATTTGACTGTCTGCGAAGTTGCCGTCACTCGGAGAGTCGGCACGACCCCCAAATTGCTCAAGCCTCTGTGCCAACTCACAGACAGTGTCCTGCTTAGCATCATCCACAGGGCCGAGCCAAGCCAGTACATGTTCGCATCTACCATAGATCTCAGACATGCGTGGAACCTGAATAGCCTTCTCCCTGTGATTAGTCTGGTCAATGCAGATGGCATCGATCCAGATGAATGCGCCATTTGTGTCGCCATCGCACCCCACGAACTGCCGGCGGTATTCATGCAATGCGTGGTACAGATTTCTCGTAACCACGAAGGAGCACCCGTTGACCTCAATCAGCGGGGGATTTTCTGGTGCGCCCCAAACATACGACAACGCCCAGAACTTGAGCTTGCTGTCTAGTCTGACATGGATGAGTTCGCAAGTAATGAGCTCTGAGTCCCCCGGCGCGACGGACAAAAGGCGAATCTCGTCGGATAGTAGTGGCTCATATTTAAAGCATTTTTCTTTATTTGATGAAGTCATTGGAGTAGGCAAAGGACGCGAGAGTTGATATCGCTGGAGGTGTTGGAAGGACCATGCAAACCCTCAAGGGCAGGATTCGAACCCTCGGTCACGTGATTTTCTTCTCCAACACATCTTCAAGTTCAACAATTCTATCATTGCGAATCACTCTGGCTCTATTTTTTCGACTTTGACTATGAGCTTAGAGTGGAATTGCGTTCTACCCTTGAGCTACCTACCTATGCTATTGATTGTCTGTCCAACAGTGGACTTCGGCTGCAACTTCACGTTCGGTACGAGCGGCAGGTTGTTTCGAGATTTGCACGCGATAAAAAGCCGAGTAAACCTACGGCAACATTTTGCGGTCACGAAATAGTTGCGTGTGTATGCCGATCGGGTGAAACATAAAACAGTACAAAGCCGCGGGAGGAGTAGACAAGTGACCATCTTGCGCACCAGATCCAAGTAACCTTGCAATAGTTTTTATTCCGAACTAGAGACGCCGAGAAATTGTACGACTGGTTATAACCATGGCACAACATTTTTGTGCGCAAATTGTTGTGACTTGCACAGATCAATGGGTTTGCTATCACGGTATGATTGCCGAAGGGTAGCATATCTCGTCGTACCTCCCTTCGACCAACCCGAGATATCTTTGAGTCACCTAACCGATACAGAGAAGGATGCACACCTCGCGGAGATTAATCATTATACAGCTATTGTTTTTCCCACTATTTATTCCCTCCACCTCACTTCACCTCAGGGCCGAAGCAGGCAGTGTCTCTTTGAGCTCCTCAGCCCAAAATCATCAGAAGAGTTGACAACATAACCAACTCTATACTCACCATGCAACTCTCATCTCTCCTCCTGGCAGTCTTCGCAGCGACGGCTAAGAGCAGCTCATTCGTCCTCGGAGACTTCATCATGTTGAACCCTATCACCTTAAACATTGAGGCGCAACCTCGAGTCTGGTTCAACTTTGGAGAAGGCGTCACGCCTAACAGCAACATTCTGGAACTCGGAAAAATAACCGGCAACAGGGGTAGCGGCTTACTCTGTGTCGAACAAGACTGCCCTCTCGGGTTCTCGGTTGGAGGTTGCACTGGATGGTTGAAGAGTGCTGATGGAGAGTCTGCACTCATCCACGCCATCGGACCGGGGTTTGATGTGGAGAATATGGTTTGTTTCAAGGACCATGGGTATAGTGTAGGGGGTATGGTGAAGTCGGGGCGTATCAAGAGTTTGTATCGTTGCAGTCTTGGATCTGAAGTGCAGTGCACTTGAGCTGGTTCAATGAGTCGAGAATGTGTCTGCTTGCTTTGATGACAGGAGCTACTTGAGCGAAATTGGATTGTCCTGAGCTGCTTGAATCCAAACTTGAATGAGAAGCGATCAAACATTGTCACAAACAGACCTCCATGTTTTCTTACACCTGCCACACCGCTGATCTCCCTGTCAAGTCTTGTCAGACACAATCTTTACTTTGTGGGCTTGAGTCACAATTCCCCTGAAGCTTACCCTAGCGCCCGTCTTTTAGCTCCGACTCGCCTCGGAGACAAAGGCCCGTCCCCACAATCCTGTTGACATTTTCTCCACCATGGAAGGGCGCAGTTTAGACATTGTTGAGCGCGAAGGAACGGGTAGGGCGCGATGAGTCAAGCGAGAGTCAGTGGCTTTCATCTATAATTACTGCCATTGACTGACATGGCCATCTCATTGCTCATCACTCCTTTCAAGGCTAATTGACGAATCATCATGGCGACTCAAACGGAAACGCTGGTGCTACCGCCAATCCCACACCCCGGCCTCGAGTCTGGAAGCGACACTCAATTGCCCAGCAGCGAAAGTGTCTCTGGATGTTCCGATATCGAGCAAGTCCGACCAGCCTCGCGCTTTCGAAAGGCTGCCGTGACTTTTCAGCTTTCTGGTGTCAACTTTGCTTCCAGCGCTGCCAATGGACTCATCGTCGTTGGTCTCCCTCGAATGACGCAAGACCTTGATTTGCCCCAATCGCTTGCTTTTTGGCCATCTTCTGTTCCTGGTTTGGCGACAGCGTCCACTCTGCTTATTGCTGGTGCTATTGCTGATGTCATTGGTCCACGATCAATTGACTTGCTTGGATGCATTGCCAACGGCGCTCTCATGCTTGCATGTGCATTCATCCAAAAGGGTGAGGAATTGGTTGTCCTGAGAGCACTACAAGGTGTCGCCCTAGCTCTGCACTTGTCCAGCTCGGTATCCCTCGTCACTAAGATCCTACCTCGCGGCCGGGGACGCAACTTCGCTTTTGCTTGTCTCGGCCTGAGTCAACCTCTTGGTTTCTCATTCGGTCTCGTCATTGGCGGTATTTTGGTTGATACGATCGGATGGCGATCAGGATGGTATATCTACGGAGGCATCACTTTGGTACTGTCGGCTGTTGGCTTCTGGTCCTTGCCCAAGTCCGCTCCACTTGGGACTCTTCAGGATGTTGTGCATAGCCTGAAGACAAAGGTTGATTGGGTTGGTGCCTTGCTCGCCTCAGCTTTCATGGCCCTGCTTTCGTATTTCCTCGCGTAAGTTGACATCCCTCAAGTCCTGGCCATCGCTAACGAGCCTTGCAGCATCATCAGCACAGACGTTTACCGCATCAAGGAGCCTGCTAGCATCGTTATTCTCTGTCTCGGCGTTGTTGCTCTGCCTTTGTTCATCGGCTGGATGCATCGTCAGCACAACTCAGGCCAACCAGCTCTCATCCCCAACTCGTTCTGGGAAAATTCTGCCTTTGCTAGCATCTGCGCGACAATTGCCTTGTCCTTTGGAGTCTTGACCTCGCTGGAACTCTTTGCCAGTCTTTTGTAAGTTGGCGATTGGTGCAACAATTGGCATGGGTGACTGACCACAAACATAGCTTCCAAGAGATCCAGCATCTCTCTGCCCTTCAAGCTGCTATCCGCATTCTTCCAAGCATCGTCGTTGGAGTCACTCTCAACTTCTCCACTGGCCTCTTTGTGCACAAGGTGCCAGCGCTCTGGCTCGTTGTAATCACTTGCATCCTTTCGGCAGGCTCTCCTTTGCTTATGGCAACCATTCAGCCAAGCTGGTCTTACTGGACAAGCGCATTCTTCGCCCAACTCCTGATGCCCTTCTCTGCCGATGTGCTATTTACCGTCGGACTAATTATTGTCACTGAGATGTTTCCCGACGATAAGCAGTCCATCGCCGGTGCTGTCTTCAACACTGCGTCGCAGTTTGGGAACGCTTTCGGGTTGGCTGTCATGCAGGTCGTCTCTACGCTGGTAGCCAAGGACCATGATGGAATGAAGCCCTCTGAGGCTTTGTTGGAGGGATATAGGGCAAGCTTCTGGACCATGTTTGCGTTCATGATGGCATGTGTTGTCATTGCGGGAGCTGGACTGCGAAAGACCGGCAAGATTGGGCTGAAGCAGGACTAAAAGTGGGTGTGCACTTTGGAGTAAAACCCTTGGAGCGAGCAGACATGAGTTGATAGATAGACATACCAAAAGGAGAGCAATATTATAGAACAGAAAGGGGATAGATGGAGATCGAATACAAAAGCCAATGCTTCAAAGATCCTTGCGCAGACTTGCACCCCCCATCATTTTCATGTACCTCTTCCGCTCCTCCTCGTTCGGCTCATGCCACCATTCATCCGCATTAATCTTTTCAAACCCCTTCTCCTCCCACTCCTTGACGCGCTTAGAATCAATCTGATGCCAGGGGACCCCCAGGTCCTTCGACACATGGTCCTTCAGAAAATGCATATACTCGTCACCCTTGTATTTTCCTGGGTGTTTGCCGTCGACGAAGAAGCTGTTGATCATAGCTTCATCCTCTTTTGCTTGCTCCTCGAGGTGTCTTTCCATGCCATTGACCATCCTCTTCTTGTTGTAGGCCACGGGTTTCATCCACTTGACAACCTTGTCGTAGTCGAGCTGGAAACCTGCCGAGTCGTAGGTGGGCGAGCCTTTGGGTCCCTTCTTGTGACAGACGTAGAGGTCGTGGAATGTAGCGCTGGGGTCTGCCAGTGCTTCATGTTCAAAGTCTCTTGGTCGTGGCTTGGGAATATGGAACTGCTGCTTGAATTCTTCAGTGATTTCAAGATCGCTATATCGCGGTCGCTTAACACGGCCCGGAGTGGGCCGCGGGTCTCGGAGTTGGTCCCGGTCGAAATCAAATTCGAGATCCGGGGTTGTCAGACGCGGTTTCTGAGTTTGTTCCGATGAAGTTGATGCTTCGGCTTGAGAGGCGCTGGCTCTTCTGCCCTTCTTGGCCTGCTTGGGTTTGGGCTCTGCAGCTTTTGCTTCCGTCTGATCCGACGATCTCTTGCGACCGTGAGACGTGGAAGAGCTGGCCTGGTCGGCATCAGCTTTGGCGTCTGAGCTTCTGGTTCTCATATTTGCTTATGGTGATGAGAGGATGTATGCGACAAACCTGAGTGTTGTTGACGCGTCGTGAGGTCATAACTTGACGCGACGGGCGATCTGATCGTCACATGACCACTACGTCACCTTAGGTATGTAGTTTGAGACAATATCGACGTCATTGGCTTCAAATTTATTTCCTCGTGGAATGCACTGGTCTAAACAATTCATCTCTAACATAAGGTAGTGTACGCGAGTCGTTCTGTCTTGATGGTGTATCGAGCAATCTCCCTATCGCCATAGGTTGTCGGTTAAATGGATTGAAGGATTATGGTGCATTTCCCAGCTGAAAATGACCCATCGGTAAATGACCCATCGGTTCACGCTTGGAGCGATGAGAGGATCGGAAAAATACCTGGCGGAAAAGCTGTTGCCGAGGTCATCCGCGTCGAGCTTTTCCGATATCACAACACCATGACAAGGCGGCCGCCGGAAAACGGCACTGATGCGAGAATAATCCGAAGTGACGTAGGACGTTGTTAAGTCCGATAAGATCGATCGAATTACTTGTCTCCACATGGAGCATCAAAACCAATCTTGGCATGCAATCAAGAGCTCGAGAGCATGAGTTTTGATAGGGGAGCCTCCAAAGAACTGGAGAGCTTCAGGTATCCAGTTGCTCACCCATCCCCAAATTCCATCCTCCCATGTGCCCATCAAGGAATGCCTCGATACCGCCAACACCGCCTGTGACCTGCAAGCAAATACGTCAGTAAGCTGTTGACCAAAAACCATAGAATGGCTTGAATAGCCTTACCAGTGATTCAAACTGTCCCCATCCCGTCATCTGCACGATAGAGCTCCCTGGGCTATGTTCGGAAAACCCAAGACCATCCTGTCCAGCTAAACCCAGCTGGCCGGTGAGGTCCTCAGCGCCGGGTGCAAATCCGATGCCTTGGGGCCCAAGGTCAAGTATGTCTTGGTTCGTGTATGATCCAAGCAGCCCCTCTTCTCCATTGCGCATGCTTGCGGAACCACCAGCAGCGCTCCCGCCGTTCGTCGAGCCCAGGTCCAGCAAATTGGTATTGTGTCTCAGAAGCTCGACTCGCAGCTCTTGGAGAACAACACCATATCGCTGACCTAAGGAGCCAGGAATGGCGATTGAAGTTATCTGTGCTTGGCATTTGGTTGCTGCGTGGAATGCTGGGAGGTAGGTTTCTGGAGGTGCATGTCGCTGTTGGATTGCGTAGACATATAGCATGACGACGGCGGAAAAGGCAAAGTAGTGCGAGAACTTGAAGCAGGTCAGCATTGAAACATTTGATCGGATTCGACATTGACGTACCCAGAATGTGTTATACAGTAGTCCATTTGAGTGAAGGTCGTCGATCTTAGCCACAATATTCATGGCAGCCTCCAAACAACGTTGAACATGTTCATGCGTAAGCTCAGAATTTTGACGACTTCGAGAATTTCTCGTGGTCCCTAGATTAGCAAGGCTGGCGAAATTGTTGAGCAAGAATGGGCGGTGGACCAAGATCTGCGCATGCCAGCACGCCAAGTTCAAGACATTTCGCTGCCGAAGAAAGATGGGCTGGAATAGAGATGGATCGATGCCATCAGTGTCAACGAGGTAAGAGATGCCGCTGTGCCAGTTGTCAATCTCCTTTGCGTACTTAGCGGCGAGCTTGTATTGGCTTTCGGTTGATGGTTGGCGGATGCCGTAGAGATCCCTTAGGATCTTGGCCACGATGCGGGATAGCCTGAATATGTCAGTCAGAAAGAAGAATCAAGTAAAGACATAGGGTCCTCACTTGATATGCGCAATGGAACCCGACATGATGGATTGGGTTGTGCCCAGTGGTGAAGGTGCTGGTCGACCACGAGCAAGTCGATTGTCATCAACACAAAGAGGCAGTTCCTGGTCAATATCGTCATCGTGGAATGTCCGTGGCCGTCCAAGTGCTGCACTTAGATAAGTGTCCAAGTTGTAAGCGCACCAGAACGTCCGCTTGCGACACTCCAGGTCGACATAATCTGGGTGGCTGCTTGCATCGACGCGCGACTTTCTATGGATACCGAGCGCAAGCATCAAGTGAGCGGTAGTGCCAAAAAGACTCCAGCAGTGGTTCAAACGCGAGTGCGATAGGAGATAAAGGCATTGTGCTAGACGTGCTTGGATACTGGTGAGTCGTATCGCACCCTTCTCGGCCGAGAGTTGGTCCTCGGCGGCGGAAAAGAAACGGGCACTACAAACGGTCAGCTACGATGATGGAGTTTCAGTCGGACTTCTCTACCTTGAGGACGGATCGACTGTCCCGGCTTTGGACTTGGGATAATTCTCTGCATGTGCAAAAACCATGAACAGTAAAGCAGTCCTGCTTCTCGCATCGGTCTGATTGCGCATACTCCCATGGGTCTCGTAGAGTTCTTGCAGCCATGATTCAATCGTGGGACGATGCAAGAATCGATGAGTAGCCGACGAGAACTCAAAGTATCTGCAAAGAAGAGCATCTGCCTCTGATCTTGGAGGAAGGATCAAGAATCGGGTGTCAAACTCTGGGAGTGGAAGATCGCCAAACGTGAAGATTGAGCCGTCGGATGAGGATGCTGAGCGGTGCTGTTGAAGCTTCCTCTGAACCCTGAGTAAAAATGACGCCCCGGAAGCAGGGCCAACCTATAAATGTCAGTAATAAAGCATCAGTGGGTGCATGAGACATACGTAGTGGCCTTGTCGATCAATAGGCGCTGGCTCTGGAGAATTGCGAGATGACTGTGTAGAAGCTCCACGCTCTGGCTTAGTCGGTTCGAATGTCCTAGCCTCTATAGATACCGGACTCGGTATATGCTCCTCCATCTGTGGTGTCTCATTGGGCGGATCAGACCCTCTCAGCTGCTCCTCCGTGGCTCGAGGTGCATCACCCACGTGCTCTCCATATGCGTCTGTATCCATCTCGATAGAAGGGAGACGACCACGACGGTAAGATGCCGTGTACTTACAGTCAAGACGAAGACGAAAGCAAAGAGCACATGGATACTTTCCCGAACACCGAGTCTTGCGTCTATGAGCGGTCAGCCAGTATCCATCAAGCGGCACGTATAACGACGGGTCGAGACTGGAGATCGGATCTGGCCGATATAAGTCGATCTCGGCTATCAAAGATCCATAGCCAAGTATAAAAGACCCATTCTCAACATCTTAAGGAATAATAAAGGGAATGCTCACGCCTTGCACCGATCGCAAGCCCTGCTGGCTCTACTCCTCACATGCGGATGTTTACGCCTCTTGTTAGGAGACTGACCGCTTCCATGACCATCTCCGTCATCTTGCTGGCTCAAGCCAGTCATGCTTGAGCTGCTGCGTCTGGGGGCGGCGTCCATTGTTCGAGCAGGTTGTGAGGCGTGGTTGGATTCTCTCTCACGCGTTAGACGGAAAAGGGAGCCGTCGGAAAATGAGACACACACGGATGGCGGAGTTCTTATCTTTGTATCCGGGGGCGGGGAAATGGTTTTTGGAGCGGGGGTTGGCGTCTGGGGTTAGCGGCGATCATATCCTTGGCTCGTGGAGGGGGTGTTGGGGGCATGAGCTGGGGATGTCGTTGTTCCTCGGTATTCGCTTTTCGGAAGAATGGCTGTTTGTTGGATATGGGTGGTCTAATGGCATGTGTCTATCTATAATCGGCTCTATGTAATGGGCGACATTTTGCGAACCTCGAGGTGTCTGTGTAACCAGGTAGGCATGAGAACTCTAGCAAGCTCCCAGGTTCGATCTCCCCCAATTACCGCAGCGACGGAGTAACTGAGTCGTACGGCCTGTGCTCAAATCTACCACTCCCTCCATTCACCTCCCGGACCAACAAATCCCGGGCTGACCCATGGCACTGCGTTCTTGCTCAGTTCTCGGATCTTTTCCTCATCAACTTCAATTCCCAAGCCAGGTCCCTTCATCAAGTCGATGTATCCATTCTCAATATTCCAGATCTCAGGATTCTTGATGTAAGAGAGCAAATCATGTCCTCCAGTGTTGTAGTGAATCCCAAGGCTCATCTCCTGAATCGCAAAGTTGGGCGTCGTAGCATCGACTTGGATGTTGGCCGCCAGAGCGATCGGTCCAAGAGGACAGTGAGGCGCAATCGCAACATCATAAGTCTCAGCCATGGCCGCAATTCGTCGCAATTCCGAGATGCCCCCTACGTGACAGATATCCGGCTGCAGAATATCCACACATGCAGCCTCGAGGAAGGGCTTTACATCCCAGCGACTATGCAGTCGTTCTCCGAGCGCGATAGGACAGGTGACGGTTTGCGAAAATGCCTTTATACCTTCAATGTGCTCGGATAGAAGAGGCTCCTCGATAAACATTGGTCGATGGGGTTCCAAAAGTGCTGCCAGTTGTCGCGCCATGGGCTTGTGCACCCGGCCGTGAAAGTCGACTCCGGCGTCCATTCCGAGGGCCTTGACCGTCTTGACCCTTTCGACACAGGCGTCAAGGGCTGAAGGAGAGTCTAGCCAACCGAGGTCTTCTGTGCCGTTCATCTTGACAGCAGTGAAACCTTGCGCACGACGGGATAATCTGTCTGGGGTCAGTGCCTTTCTACTAATACGAGAAGTAGCCGAACGAACGCTTCAGCTTCCACGTCTGATGGCCGATCTCCTCCAATCCAGGCATAGACCTTAATCTTGTCTCTCACCTTGCCACCCAGGAGCTGGTAGATTGGAAGATTGAGCTTGCGGGCTACGAGATGTCAGTATTCATTATGTCTCTGAAAATATTAATGTCACTTACCTTTAAGATCCCATAGCGCAATGTCTATGCCCGCGAGTGCGCTCATGAAAACCGGTCCACCGCGGTAGAAGCCCAAGCGCCAGGATTTCTGCCAGATCTGTTCAATCTCGCTACATTTGTCAGTTCTGCGACTCAACAAGACGGCACGATGAACTCACTCGGCCTCCATGCCCGTATACTGCGAGATCCAAGCATCCAAACACCCCTCGACAGCCTGCGTGTGCCCCTCAAGTGATGCCTCACCCCACCCCACATTGCCGGCATCGTCGGTGATCTTGACAAAGAGCCAGCGAGGAGGGACGCGGAAATACTCAATTGAAGCAATCTTCCCCATAGTGAATAATATTCAGGGCGCGTATGCAAGTAGAATTGAACGTCTTGAGTGATATTGGCAGTTTGAAATGGAGGGTAGGATCGACAAGGAGCTCGGAGTTCCAACCGAGTTGTTGCCGGCTCGGGTCAATTGCCTCCGGTCCGGTTCGGAGCTGGATATGCACCTGTCTCCGCATGATGACGTGCCATTTGCAGACACTCGGGCCGATCCAAGATAACAAATGAAGCGAATGAGATAGGTTGATGCGTTATCAACTTATCCCGCAGGAAAATGATAGTGGAAGATGGGTAACATTGCTCTGCGGGTCAAGACTCGCATGGATGGTCCGTTTATCTTGATTAACGCCACCAATTGCTTCTTTTCCTATGTAACTTGATGACTACTTCAAAAGCTCGACTCTGGGGACAATAAGCATCCTCTGATCTTACACAGCATGCAAACCCTGTCTTGATAACGGGCAGAGACTGAATTTGCGCTGGTACAGGGTAGTCTCAAGCGGGAGCAACAGGATGTCTTTGCCACCCATGTCTCGCCAGATAGCTAAGGCGCATGTTTCCTTTAGCTACAAGTGTCTTTGATAAAAGCGAAAGGCTTATGCTTGTAGAAGGCTATTCTTGACATCCTGGAAACACAAAGGATTTAAAATGCTTAGATCACCAAGGTAGACAGAACTATCTTCATCTCAGACCTAACGAGTATACCTTGTCACTATCTAACATATTTCGATTTGATTACGAGTCGTAGCTCTCACTTGCTTCTCCCACCAGTGAATTAACCCTTGTTAAGAGTTTTCGGATTTGGGACATTTTCGTATCTAGTCCCTGTCGAGCAAAAAGACGACTAAGCTCGACCATGCCGGGTCGACCCATGTGGTATCCCCAACCAGCCAATCGATAGCTTTACGCTTCAAGATTGCAACAACTAAAGCTATGGCCTTCCACGGTTTAGGAGCCTACCCCGAGAATGGATTCAATTCGTCGTGGCCTGTGCTTCCCATTCGGTATATGAAGGCAGCGACAAGATGCCTTTTTTTGTGCTTTTCATCAGCAACTTTAATCATGTCTCACGCCCTTTTCAACAAGACCAGCCCTCCATTCGGCCCCATCGTCAACGGCACAAATCCTCTTTTTTCTAACATCAACCCAATGAAGGCGCTGCTTGGACCTTTGTCGTTTTGTTCGGCCTCTCTGCCGTCGTGCATCTTGGCCTGCTGGGATGGCTTCGAGCTTGGGATTTCCTGCCCCTGACGCTTGGGGTTGTCGGTACGCCCCCCTCCCAATCCTTCTTTCACCCTTCTTTTCTGCTTCTAATGTCTTCCAGGCGAGGCCTTTGGCTATTACGGTCGCGTTCAGGCGCACAGTGAGCCCAACATTGCAGGCCCTTTCATCATGCAGAACATCTTAATTCTGGGAACGACGCGACTCATCGTTGCGACCGTGTACATGACCCTTGGACGATCTATCCGGGTCTTCCAAATCCGAGATCGGATAGTAATCCCGCCCCGTCCGATGACGGTTTTCTTTGTCACGGTGGATTTAGGATGCTTTGTTACCCAGGTCTTCGGTTCAGCAGCACCAGCATCGGGTGATCTGAAGGGGATTGCCCTGGGTAGAGCCCTCATCATTTCGGGATTGATCGTGCAACTTGCGGCTCTGGGCCTATTTCTCATCATTACCTCGGTCTCTCGCCGGTTGGTTAGAACGAGTATAGCAGACTACAAGATGACGGGAATGCCCAGCTCCTCAAGGTACTTTCAAGCCACCTACTTGGTTGGTGGTGCAATGATGGTACGTAGTCTGGTTAGGGGCGTCGAGTAACTACAAGGCGAGGGAGGATACATGACTTCGCACGAGGCGTTCATCTATGCACTCGACGCGACGCCAATGGTGTTTGTTGCAGTCGTTTATGCTTTCATACACGCTGGAAAGTTATTTCGCGACGCTTAGTACCTGAAGGGTGAAAGCGAGCGACTAGAAATATCAGATTATGAGCGGTCGACTCACCAAGGCTAGCTATTATTCGTAATGGTCGAAGCTAAAGAGAATTCTAATCGGGCCATTTCATCATTGAAGAATTGGGATGTTAGGCGGATCTGTCTCTTCTCATCAAGGGGCATAGGAGCAAGATTGCGGTTATTCAGTTATTAGCCTGACCTAACGTTTTCTATAAAGCTGAATAAATCTAGTCATAAATCCATGATGGCAGTGGGTTATCTTTGTACTGAGTCACCGTGAGTTGCACTAGACGAGTTAATTGGAAGTGACAAGTTTTGATCTGAAACCTCTTCTCTAACTGAGGATCGGATTATAGGAGAAGTTCGCCCCAAAGATGAACACACATATTTCAGGCACGCCAAGGAACTTTAAACTACTTTCTGAACCCATCCATGAACATTGCTCATTATCGGAAACCTCGGAAGAGGTCCACCACTGGTTGTAGCACATGTAGGAAGCGAAAGTTCAAGGTAAGACGGTCCCCTGGCGGCCCTGAAGTCTTGTTTAGAAATGCTTTATGCAACAGTGCGATGAAGGTCTGCCAGCCTGTGCAAACTGCCTGCAATTCTACAACAAGGGGATCAAGTCAGTTTGCTAATACTGGCATATTATGCTGTTCTTCTGAGTACAATGCGGGACAAGGGGTATATGGAGCCATGGGCAGAGCACATAATTGCATCCATCAAGGATGAAATCAAGCAAGACTTGCAGTGCTACCTCGAGTGGACTTTGGAGGCTTTGGATCTTGGCGCGTCGGATGGGGAATAGGATCATCTTGAAGGTGTGCACGTAGTTTATGTTTCTACTTGCATTAGGTAGAGCCGGTTTCCTTTATCAACTTGTCCATGACTGTCCCAGCGCCAAAGCGCTCGAACAAAGGCTTCAGCACACCAAGACTCTGAATTATTGCAGCTCTTTGGGCCGGAGGGAAGGTCTTCAGCTGCCGAGTTATCGACACGGCTGTGATCTCCGGGTAATTGATGGCCACTAGGTATCCATTGGCATGGTAACTCCGGAGCCCTTCCCGGAGATGTACTCCGTACACACTGGTAACATCGCTTCGAGACATGTTGATAGAATTGATCACCTTCCGGTCGTACCCCTTCTCTGCGTTCAAGCGAAGTAGCACATGTCCAGGCTTGAGCTGGCCAACTTCCAACCAGGGATTCTCCTTGCGGGCAGTCTCGGGATCGATAGAACGAAGGCCGGTTGCGGTGAAGAACGGGTGTCCCGCTGTGAAGAAAGGTGCTTCCCCGTTGAATCCGTACAAGGTGGCAGGAGACGGGTTCTCGACAACCTCGTCACTGCGGGTGCCCCATTGCTGTGCCCCGCCGGCGCGGGTCAAGATTTGATCGCCCTCTCTCAAGTACTCAATCGCAATTGCCCCGTTCGATGTTTCGACCTTTGTGCCGGCCACGAAGCAGCCCATAATAGCTTTACCCTCGGCTTGAGCCCCTGACTCTGTTGTTTCCGTCGTATTGTTCAGATTGATGTCGGAGTTCATGTAGGGTTCATCCTGATGGTTCTTGTACCAATCTGCAAGGTCCTTTCCATGTGTGACAAAATGAAACAGGGTAATGACCGGTGGCTCGCCTCCACCTGAAGGAATGGTGTCACTTTTGTTCGTCTCCAAGGTCTGGGCTGCCGCTGCCATGATGCCAGCACGCCAGAAATTGCCTGGGCTTTGGTCGTCAAGTGTGCCCATCCACTTCTTCCAGAGCCTGTAGCTGACCGGACTGAACTGGGAAACGTCTACGCCGGCAAAGATCGAGCCGTCAGTAAAGTTTGTCGGCACTGGTTCAGGTCCTGTTGAGGCGTCTGCCGTTGGGATTGTCATCAAACCCTCGTTTTGTACCGCCTGGGCAAAGTCCAGTAGCGTTGCATCGGCATTGCGAGTGGGAGAATATATGCCACTAGGCGTATATGCGTTGAAAACAACATCAAACTGTAGTGCAGTAAGGTAGTTGAGGTTCGGAGTAGTTGGTGCAGTCAGGTTGCTCTGCCATGCTCGAATGATGGTAAGGGCTGGAGACATCTCCAATGTGGTGTCGAGTGCGAAGCCAGGACCTTTGATCAGATAGACGTAGACGAACAAGCACATCATTGCGTAGTAGTAGTCACCTTGACCGCGAAACGGGTCAAACTGTGGACTGACGAGAACGCTCTCGAAGGTTGTCACAAAGGTGGGATCCTGTCTCAGCACCTGTAGTGGAAGCAGGCCATCTGCGTGGAGTTGACCGTTGATATGGTTACCGAAAACGCACGGCATGATGGTGTTGAACAATTCACCAGGGAGCTTTACTGCCACGTCCTGTCTGTTGTCAGATGGATTCCACCAAAGAAGTTTGAAGCGCATCTTACGCGATTGGCAATGGAACTGAAGCCGTATTCCAGCGAGCAGTCTGCGATCTGTGCAGCGATAGCCGCATTTCCCAGTGATTCGATGGTGTCCGTCAGGTCCACACCATCGATTGTACAAGACCCCGACGCTGGAGGGGCCTGAAAGTACGTCTTGAGAGCTGACATTGATGATGTTGTGAGAAAAGCCGTCTGTAGCGACAAAACAACCTCGGTCTCGTCCAGCATTGTCACGCGGCCGAGAACGGTGAGGAGGTTCTGGACCTTGGTTGTGTATGAATCTGCCATGGTTGTGCGGATGTTGTCAAGGGCTCAGTGGTACGGTTCACGGGATGGAGAGGCGAGCGAAGACCAGATGACGCTGAGTCTGGCTTTGGGTTTTATAAGCCTTGACGCGTGGCAAGAGCCATTCATGTGTGTTTCTTCGAGTGGTCTAGATGGAAGGCGGGGTGGCTGGCTGAATCGGCCATTTAATCCTGAACATTGATGTCGCTGGCTAGGTCAAGACATGGCGTTGAATAGTTGCTCATTAGGTCGGTCCACATGCATCACCAAAGTCCAACCACGTTCTCGCTCGGAGCATTCAAATGCAATAGTCGATGGGCAGTGACAAGCTTGGCAAGCGCGACGGGCCGAGACTCGATAGCGTGGCCCAAACTGGAAGCTAGCTGGTAGATCGAACGGTCGAGGCCTTTTCGCCTGAGTTCCTCTACCTCCGCTCACAGTCGCACTCATGCTCAACTACGCTATTATCAGAGGTGAAATCACCTAGGATAATGGTCAAACTTCCACCAAGACTCCGTTACAGGCTTAAATAACTAATCAATGTGCTAGAAACTTCAAAGGGGACTCAGAGTACTATCAAGATGGTTGCCCTCCTCCAGCCTTGCAGGGTCCCACCTATGCTTCCCTATACACCACTGCTGATCGCCGTTCAAGATCTCGCCGTACTCACAAACAGAAACCTTGTGATCCCAAAACGTCCTTCTCAGCTCCTCAATCCTTGCCTGGTCCCTCTCCCTCCAGATCCAGACGCGCTGTAGAATCTCCACGTACAGCTTCGGACGCCTTGTCTTTTTGACTGAAACAAGAAGAGCTATCACTTTATCCTCTCTAACTTCCTCCTTTGAGGATATTATGGCTAGGCTATCCATGTTGGGCAGCGTTTCCGTCTTGTCGTCGCATGGTTGGACGCAGTACCATTCAAGCAAGAGGATATCGCAGGGAAACGCGAACTTTTGCTCCACGGGATCGTATATACGATTCTCAGATGAGCGAAGGAGGAAACCTGGGTATCGAACAAGCAAACCGTTCAGGGTCAACTCGGCTGCAGTTGTATGGGTAAAGATGGGGTCATCGTGACCCACGTTCTGCCCAACCATCCAAGTGCAGGGAGCCCATCCAAAGCCCTCGACAGCAAGTCTTCTTCCAGGCACAAAGATGATTCCTGGCGGGATAGAGTTTGGGTAAGCATCGTAAAGCGACTCGAGGAAACATGTCATCCTCTTATCGAGATTCTCTCGACACGGACCTGTCGATGCCTCGCCGCATTGCGGACCGCATGAAGTGTGATCAAAGTCATCAGGGAAGTCGACTTCAATCTCAAATAGAGTAGCCAAAGCCTGCGTCTCGTGAACGACTAGGCTCGTCGTGCGCCACTGAACAGCCTCCCACACAGACGCAAGTAGTACGCTGTCATATATGGGGACGCCGTAGATCCTCTTCTGCCTCTGCCAACCAAGCAGCCTGTCAAAGTACTTGCGAGCTTTCCCGGCCACCATCGAGTCTGCGAGTGTGTGGCTGGTAAAGAAGTTACTCTCAAGCTGATCCATATCCACAAGTTCATTTTTGTCGAATCGAAAGATCAGCTTCTTGCTTAAATACGCCTCCTGCAGAGTCCACAGCCTTCCTATCCAGCGGCTTGTAAAGATCTTCATGGCGGTTTCTGAGTACGACTTGCCCACTTCCATCTTTGCCAGAGCCGAGTCAATAATCACCATAAAGTCTGCGTTTGTGTAGGCGTGGTGCATGGTCATGATTGCCCGTTTTCGTTGAACAGGGTTATTGACGGGGATTGTCAAGGTGTCAATCCAGAAGGGGAGCTCTGGATCTGGATCCTTTCGACGTAGGAGATTTTGCGTGTCAAGAAATAAATCGTTAAAGAATTCGAGGACGCATCTGTGAATCTTGTTCTCCTTGGGGTTGCCGTATCCATCTGCCCAGACGTGAGAGATGATGGCGTACCTCGTTCCCGGCTCAAACTCTAGAATCTCCATTTTCCCCGATGAAGAAGAGTACTTGACCAAGGGGATCTTGCCTCGTTCGATAACCTCGGCCAGTTTATTCTGGTCAGGTCCAATTAGGTCTTCATTGTCGTTGAGGTCGCAGGTGTCGCTGTGTGCCTGGTTATACCCCTTGCCATTAACATCCCAGCCCTGAGGGGAGGTTTGTGGGGAATTTGAGCCGGCCGTCAGATGTAGAGCATATAATTGCGCTGTTGCATGGCCCCCGAGTGAGCCATTGAGCATTCGGACCGTGTCTCGGTTCCACCGCTCCTTCATGGTCTTCAAAACCGCAGATGTCTGACCCCAGCCTCTGTTGCCGTCGATATGCCATCCTCGGATCCGAACCTCTTTCAGTTCCAACAGTAATCTGGTCGTGTACCCTGTGAGCATTTCTCCCAAGACCATCAGTGATAGAGGAATATCCTTGTTTCCCGGATCGATATGTGTATCGGCAACTTCGTCAACGGAGCATATCTCTGTTACTAGAGATCGAGCTTCAGTCAAGACGAGCTGGACTCGGGCTAGGCGGCTCGTTCGGCCAGCCGGAGTTTCAACTTCTCGTCTTCTCCATTCCTCAATCTGTCTCACTACCTTGCCTTTGTCGATGCGCCCCTTGGTCTTCAGATGCTGGACAGAACCGAGATCTTCTCCAAGAACCTCCTTCAGAAGCCCAAAGAAGAGCCATGTGCGCAAGAACGACGCAATATCGCTTATTCGCCCTGCTTGGCCCGTACTGTCACGGAAGCTGTACCATGGTAGGATCCTGTCTTTCCACTCCTTTGCAAAGTCGTGAAAGCCAAACTCGGCGTACTCGGGATCGGGATGGCCGATGTCGCCAATCTCGTCCCAGTCAAGAGGATTATCGACTGTGGACATTAGGAGGAGAGTGTGGGAGGACTAATATCGTTCAGGAAGATAATATGGTCTGCTCGAAGCCTATCGAAGGTCGTCGTCGTAGTTATCAAACCCGGCTTGGACGTTTGACGAGTGTTTGCGGCCTAACTGGGGCCCAGCTTTCGTCAAGCGGGGTCAAGCTTACGGCGAGGGTGATGATGTTCTATTGGCTCCAGCTCCTGGGTGGGTTTGTGCATGGGTTCTGCCCAGTCATTCAGCCTCACCATTGTGGTTGAGATTGTCAGATCATCACTCGTTTTCGAGAAGTCAACTAGCTCTCACTGTTCATAAATCATCAATATGGGCACCTATGCTCTATCCTGGGGCAATAGCTCATCCGAAAAGAAGTATCATACGCATTGTGGGTAGAGTTGAGCATTCGTCTGTCTCACGGTTGAGCTCAGGTAGAGATAGGGCTTGAGGTAGAAGTCCAATCAATTACCCCCTTGGTTCCTCTTCTGTCATCAAGTTTCAATCTCGTCCTTGATATCCAAGGCAGAGTCACCAATCTTAACCTTCTCGAGCTGTTCCGATATATAGTTGGCCAACAGAGCATCGGCCTCAGCCTTCTTAGAACTATCCGCCTCCACAGCTTTTTCCTCATCTTGTCCCTCTTCAGCGAAATACCGATCACTTTGAAAAGCTCGTGTAGATGAAAGCCGTGGGTGGCGATATTTTGGCTTCCCAAACACCTCGTCAAAGTAATGCTGCATGCCAACGCTTGCTGTGCGAGGAGTTTGAGGCAAGCGACAAAGAAGTCTGTTATCGACAGTTAGCTGAGACTTTCTATCGGGAGGAACTACTCACCCTGTGTCGTGGATTACCCTGGCGATGAGACTAGATGATCCGCAGTGATGATTGGCTCCCAGTCCCCGGCCCGTGTCACCGTCGAAGAACTCATAAAAAGATACATAGTCTTTCCAGAAGGGGTCATAGTCTCGTGTATCATTTCCAGCGTTGATGTGGCGCCTGCCATCGTCTGTTCCCGCAAACGAATGCTGCAGACGATGTTGAAGCTCCTCGGTGATTCTTCCGAGATGCATGTAATCCCCCGATCCTGTTGGGCATTCGACTCGTAACGAGTCGCCGTAGAAGAGATAGAACCGCTGCAGAGACTCAATCAGTAAAAAGTTGACGGTCATCCAGATCGGGCCTCTCCAGTTGGTGTTGCCATCAGACTGGCCAGGCTGGTAACCGACCTCGAACTTCTTTCCATTCGAGGTGACGCAGTAGGGGTTATCCCTGTGATACTTCGACAGAGAGCGGATGCCGTGGTCCGAGAAGAACTCATCTTCGTCCAAAAGTCTCTTGAGGATGAGCTCCAGCCGGTCTTTGCTCGCCAGGGCTAGCAGTAGTCTATTGCCTTTTCCACGTTTTCTTATACTAGCAGTGTTTCGCTCGGCGAGATCTGGGTGGTTCTCTATAAACCAGTCCAGTCTCTTCTTGAACCAAGGAACTTTGTTGGTCATCTCTGGCTCCAGAGTCAATGTAGCCAAGAGAGGGATAAGGCCAACAAGCGACCTGACACGCAGCTGGCGGGTTCTTCCACCACCCCAGGAAATTGCGTCGTAGTAAAAGAAGTCTTCCTCATTCCAGAGGTCGCCCATCGCGTCACTGATGAGGATAAAGTGCTCAAAAAACTTGGCGGCAAGCCTCTCGTAGTTTCGACGGTATTTGGCAAGCTCCAGAGCGATGTTGAGCATTGACAGGCAGTAGAAGGCCATCCACGCGGTGCTATCCGCTTGCTGAAGAACAGCAGTCCCCCCCGTCGGTAAAGGAGCAGATCGATCAAAGGGCCCGATGTTATCTAGGCCGAGGAAGCCGCCTTCAAAGATGTTTTTCCCTTCGGTATCCTTCCTATTCACCCACCAGGTGAAGTTGAGAAGGAGCTTTTGGAACACATTTTCCAAGAACTCCAAGTCCTGGCGGCCGTACATCTTCCGTTCTATCTTGAAGACACGAAACGCGGCCCAAGCGAGCACGGGAGGGTCGACTTCGTCAAAGTTGCAGTCATTCGAAGGAATTTGTCCGCTGGGCTGCATGTAATTCTCCCTGGTCAGTAGATCCAGCTGGTATCTGGCAAAGTCTGGATCCAACATCGCCATGACAACACAGTCAAACGCAGAGTCCCAGGGGCTTGTGAAGGGATATTCCCATGAGTCTCTCACTGACAAGACATGGTCCCAGTGAATCCGCTTACCCTGCTTGTTGTCGACGTTCTTTCGTGTGAAAGGAGGCGATGTTGGATCCCCTTTCGCCCACTGCTCCCAGTTGAAATGATAGTATTGTTTGGACCACAGAAGGCCAGCAAAGGCCTGACGCTGGATGTTTCGCAGATCATCAGACATTGGGAGTGGGCTGAGGCGAGAATAAAATTCGTCAGCCTCTTCCCTTCGCCTTTCCATCACGTCGTCAAACAGTTCTTCATCCAGATATGTCAGAGACTCGCGCATTAGTTTGAAGCGAACAACGGCACACTCGCCGGGGTTAACACCCCCGTCCTCATCAAAAGCATACCAAGAACCAAACTTGGTTCCTGTTTGATCCGGGTTGATAGCATCGGTAGCTTTGTTGACAATATGCTTATGGAAGCCGTCTTTCACGTAGGGTGTTTTGTTGGTGCCGAGTCCAAGGGCATCCAAGTTGGTCTCGTTCTCGGTGAACAGCATCTTTGGGAAGACATCATCTCCACTAACCCCAGTGCCAGGGGACGGAGAATGCAACAAAAAGAGTTCTCCAAGTGATTTATGACGGACACAGACTGAATCTTGCCCGATCAGTTTGAGAGACGGTTTGTCTTCCGGTCTGTCAGGCTCATGCCCCCAGGCCCGTGTGTTGCGGAACCAAGCCTGGGGGATGATATGAATAGGTGCACGCTCGTTACCACGGTTCCAAGCGCAGACGCGGAAGTGAAGGTCCTCGGGGTCTTCGTCGCCTTTCGCAACCTCGATGAAGATGTCCCAGTAGGCATCGTTCTCGAAGACGCCGGTGTCCAGTAAGGAATACTCCCGCTGATCCTTTGGACGTCGGCTATTTTCAAGGATTTTGCGATAGGGGAACTCCTTCTGAGGATACTTGTACAGGTATTTCATGTAAGAATGCTAGTCTAGCTGTTAGAAAATGCCTCTGCAAGAAGTAGCGTCGACAGACAGTAGGGACGTTGTCTACGTGGAAATGAGCTTCCTTGATAGACTGGCCATGGTTTCCCTCCTCGCTCGATACTCCGAAAAGTCTCTCTTTCAGGATTTCGCTGATACTTATTAGCCCGGAGCACAACAATATTACTGAGGGTCTTACTCTTTGCCATTCCAAAAACTGAATGCGATGTTGAGCCAACCGTGCGAGTCGCAAACGCCAGCAATGCCGTCTTCTCCCCATCGATAGGCGCGTTTGCGAGCATCTTCGTGAGTGAAGTCTTGCGAAACATTAGTTTTAGTCAGAGAATAATGGTGATGTTACCTACAAGTCCAGGGCTTGCCGTCGGTGCTTGTCACAGATCAGCACCTATTCTCCTGTCACTTGGGAGAGACGTACGAGTAATCTTCTCTAGCTTTCTTTCGTGTCAGTGATTATTTGTGTCTTTAGCTAGTATTCCCGAAACCCACCTGTAGCCCATTGTCTCTCAGAAACGTAGGGCCCCCATTTCTTCCAGTATTTAGTACGATCGCGATCCTCCTTCAACCTCTTTTCTTCTACCGTTAGAAATTCATGACCATCGAGGACAACCATTCTGTTAAATCAAGCCCTGAAAGACTTTCGACCGATAGTAGAATGGTGAGCTGGGCAAGCGATTTAAGCAGGATGATGCCCAACCCCTCAACTGCTGCAGCCTTACAGGAGGGGCTAGATCAAGACGGGGACGAGTTTCTCCGATGGTAAGTAACGCTAGTCCGTATGGGTCTCAGTTTTATCTCGCAGTTATCTAGTATCGATATTCCAGCCGATTATCCACCATTCTCAGAAAATATCCGTCACTGCTCCTCTAGAAGCATCTTTCACCAGATGCGCGTACTTGGCAAGAGCGCCTCTTGTAACAGGCATATCGAACGGCTTCAGGCACCCTAGGCGCCTCTTGACTTGCTCCTCTGTAATGTGTGGCATGTCAATGCGATGAGATACTGCGTCAATACAGATCACATCGTCATCCTCGACGATGGCGATAGGTCCCCTTTCAGCTGCTTCCGGAACAATATGTCCAACGATAAACCCGTGGCTGGCACCAGAGTATCTCCCGTCAGTGATGAGGGCAACGTTCTTGAAGTTGCCTCCAATCAATGACCCTGAGGCCCTCAGCTGCTCTGGCATCCCGGGACCACCTTTGGGGCCTTCATACCGCACGACCAAGACGATGTTCTCATCGCGAGGCACCTGTCCTTTGTCCAGTGCGGTACACAAAGCCTGCTCGCCATCAAATACTCGGGCCTTGCCAGTGAACTGAAGGCCTTGTTTCCCTGTGATCTTGGCCACGGCTCCTCCAGGGGCAATGTTCCCGCGTAAGATCTCGATGTGGCCAGTGGGTTTGATCGGAGCATCAAGAGATCGTATAATCTCCTGTCCCTGGGGGAGAGAAGGCCAAGATTCCACATTCTCGGCCAACGTCTGGCCTGTCACGGTTAATGTATCGCCACGGAGAAGCCCTCCTGCGATCAAGAGCTTGACAACTGACGGGATCCCTCCGATGTTGTATAGATCCTCCATGTTGTAGCGCCCGCTCGGCTGCATATTCGCGATGTAGGGTGTTTTGTTGGAGGCACGCTGAAAGTCGTCCAGCGTGAGGTCGACATTAGCTGTCTTAGCCATAGCAATTGTGTGTAGGACTGAATTGGTTGATCCTCCAAGACACATCATGATTGTGAGAGCATTCTCAAAAGCCTTCCTAGTCAAGAGGTCGCTGGGTCTGATGTTCTTCTCGAGACAGTTTCGGATAACCTTGCCCATGGAACTGCATTCTCTCATCTTGGTCGGAGATTTGGCCGGTGACGAGGAAGACCCTGGGATGGAAAGACCAAGAACTTCGATGACAACCGCAAGACTGTTGGCAGTGTACATTCCACCGCAGGCTCCCGGTCCTGGCACCGCATTCTTCTCGACATCACACATGAGCTCCTCGGGCGTGTAGTCGGATCTCTTAGCCCACTCGTTCATCCTACCCAGTATGTATGCGCCTCGGACTTCGGATGAAGTGTTAATGTCGATCGGCCGCTGTAGAAGCTTACTGAAGCCTCCACGTTGAGTGCCGCCGTATATTATCACCGAGGGACGATTGTGCCTCGCGATGCCCATGACACAGCCAGGCATATTTTTGTCACAGCCTGGGATTGCAATGCAAGCGTCGTGACTCTGAGCACAGGTGACTGTTTCGATGCTGTCGGCAATGATTTCGCGGGACTGTAGTGAGAAACGCATGCCTGAAGCTATCAGCCATGTGTCTTTTTGTGTCTCCAGTACTCACCGTTATGTCCCATTGTAATGCCGTCTGAGACACCAATCGTGTTGTACTGCCAGGCAAGAAATCCTTCCTTCATGACGGCTTCCTTGGCCACCTTTCCGATCTCGAGCACTTTGCAGGCCATATTAGTACTACACACGAGGAAGATGAACAGAACAGAACTTACAATGCATGCTAACAGAGGGCTCAAACTCAGCTAGGTTTCTTAGGCAGTAAATGGGCGGATTTGCTTACTTGCACGGATTCCCCTCCCACCACACCGAAGCAATTCCAACTTGCGGGCTGTTTTGCATGGTGTGTTCGTCCGGCACTCCGGCAGCGTATAGCATAGTCTTGTGATCTGTCAGCCATGGCGGAGACAAGGAATTGAGATAACACCAACCTTAGCAGCTGGAAAGTCATGGTCATTGGTGATGTAGCTGGAATGTCGGTTCAATCGCAGTTTTCCGTCCTTCTCCGCATTGTCCGGGAGACTGGGGAAGTTGAGGTACTGTCTTGACATGGCGGTGAATTGCAACGAGGAGGTTTGGGTGATTTCGAGATGGACTGTAGGAATTGATCACGATCCTTGTACCGGAGAATTGGCTCAGATCAGAAAGAATGAATTGAAGTCCAGAATCTAAGAGAAAATCCTCCGTCGAGAAGGCCGCTCCGAAGGAAGTGTCCGGACCTCGGCGTGGTGCGCCCCGAGAAACTCTCCATGCGCGTGATCTTGCTTTATTCGGCATATGATGTGTCGTGAGGATGCACATGAGCTAAGTCGGCATATAACAGCATTTCATTCGTTTAACCGCCTTGAAAGTAGTGGTGTGATTGCATTGAATACCTCCTTACTGGCTAATATGGGTGTTGTTTCTCCAACTGCATGCAGCTCGCGCTTTGTTGTACCGAGCCCTTCCCCGCGTCGACCTCCGTTCGGTTCGGAAATCAATACCCGAGAAGGATCAAGCTCATCAGCAAAGGTTTGAAGGTGTCTGTGGGCCGTGTAAGCCCCGATAGCACAACATGACACCCGGGGGGTCGTAGAGGATATCCCTTGGACACATAACATTGAGCCTTAAACCATCCTTCTCTCTCATCTTTCCAGGCATCCTTCCAGCTTCTTATTAAGAAAATGGGAAAACGGGTCATCGTCACTGGAGGCTCCGGCGTCGTCGGGCGCTGGGTGATACAATCTCTTCTCACTCACGGCCACCAGGTTCTCAACCTTGACCAGAAGCCACTCGACAACGAAGCCGTCCATACCATCAAATGCGATGTGTCCGACGCTGGACAGGTGTTCAGCTCAATGAGCAGCAACTTCGAGCTCAAGGAACCCCTTGATGCTGGACCGCTCTCTCCCCCGGATGCAGTTATTCACCTGGCTGGCTACCCCAGACCACTCTTGGCTCCTGACAACGAGATCTTTCGAGCCAATGTCCTCGGGTTTCACAACGTTATCGAAGCAGCTTGCAAGCTCGGTGTCCGCAAAATCATCTTAGCCAGCAGCGTCACCGTCTACGGCGTCACGTATGCTCAAGGCGTCCAGCACTTTCCATCGTTCCCCATCGATGAATCCTTGAATCCGACTCCTACCGATCCGTATGCGCTGTCAAAACTAGTGGGGGAAACAGTCGCAAAGTCTCTTGCACTTCGATTTGGAGTGGACATTTACTGTCTGAGGATCGGGGCTGTCATTCAACCTCATGAATACGACGATCTATTCGAAGACTACATCTACAACGCAGCTGCATGGGCTGTGCACGGTTGGTCTTATACGGATACCAGAGACTTGGGACAGATGGTGAATCGTGGTTTGGAGGTGGATGGCCTCGGATGGCAGGTCTTCAATGCCACCAATGACTCCATCACAAACATGACTCCTACGACAGAGTTTCTGCGCCACCTTTACCCTAAAACACCCATCACGAGAACATTGGATATCAGTGAAGCCCCGATGAGTAATAAGAAGATACGGGAGATGCTAGGTTTTGTCGAGGAGCATCCTTGGAGAAAATACTTTACCAGGTGGAGGGAAGTGATGGACAAGCAAGGGCAACGTAGCTAAGAAAACCGGTAATGCTGATTGTATCAACTTTAACCCCAATCGTTGTGATTTAATAAAAGACGGCTTCTGGATACGATTCCTCAACTTTGGTAGAATGCCTCAGAACTTCACCTTGAAATTCAATGACCATGACCGAGTCCGATGCCAAGACGGGTCCTGGTCATCCTCCTCAACCCCATGATGAAGCGCTCCCTTGATCCGTGAACCCCCGCGACGTAAAAGGTTAGGAGTGCGGGGATATCCATAAGCACGTCTGACCTGACCACTGCCAAGGGTGCGGTAAAATGCGAATATCCCACTTTTCAGTAAGCGTAAAATAGATGGTTGGGAATGCGCACACGGTGGCTTCGCTGAAGAATACCCCGACGTGGAATCAACGGAGGACCAACACCGCACTCGCTGTCGAGTACACTATGTTAGTAACCTCCTTGAGTCTTGGACCTGTATTGGGAACTTCGAGGCGTTCCTTACCTCGGTTCACGCCGAGGACTCCATAACATGGAGGTACAACCCTTGTACTAAACATCGTCCGCTTAGCCTTACCGGAAAGGGGTCATGGTTGGGATACATGCCAACTGCCCAAGCTGGTCTTCTCGCGTCAGCTCAGCCCGGGACCCACCCACTTGTCCAGGCTGTCTCCGACTGTCATCGACGTTGGCTCAGTAGATTGCCATAGGGCAGGAGATATTGCGTATGCATATAGGCTCTACGAGGGTGGGATGGAGGCTGAGACATGTTTACATAAACGCCAGGAGGGCATCGCCCTCAGCCTGCCTTAGGCATAGCCGCCCGCAGTCAGCTTCCCGCGGAAGGCCTCACGAGGGCCAAGAGCCAAGTTTAGTGCCTGATGCCTGCTGCATCAAAATGGATCGCAACGATCATAAACCGCTTGTCTCTTGTGCTTGTCAAATCGGGGTTTGAATGTAAGGGCGGATATGCCGTTGCCGTCACAGAGCAGTCGAGGAAACCATGATTTGCCACTCCTCTAGGGATGTGGTCAACCCTTCGCGTGCGACTCGCCGCTGCTTGAGCTGTAGCAACGTGAAGAGGCCCTGCCCGGCGGCGGCGGCCATGAAGCTTTTGCATGAGGCGCAGCTTGCTCGGGGCCTGGGCCAGGGTGTTGAAAAAGCCTTTCTGAACGTCCTGCATGGCTTGTTTGCTATATTGGTACACTCGCAGGTCTTAGTGCTGGCATCCAGGCACACACAATGCCTTGACGCCCAGCCAATAGCACAGCCACGCAGCGTTGTTCGGGCGCAACACTTCAGACAAAGTCGCGGAAATTTGCTATAAAATAAGATGTCTCTAGCAGTATGCTTATGTCGATTGCATTCCACACCACCTAATTTCCTTCTTGCCCTATTAGCCATGTCATCCGCGACAAATATCCACCTGTCAGGTGTGGCACTAAATACCATCGTCCTTACCTATGTGTTCCTTTTTCTTGCTCTCATAGTAGCTGTCGACCACGTGTACTTCCGCAGGATAATAAAAAACTCCTTCAGATGGGACGACATGATCACCTTGTGTGCATTCATTCTATCGCTTGCATTAGTTGGCCAGATCACTTGGGCTGTCATCGACGGAGGCCAAGGCCAGCATGTCTCGAACGTCACAAAGGGCCATTTCGGCATTATGGCTAAGGTATGTTGGTCTTTCGCGATGATTAGAAATTGCAAGACAGATTTCTGGCTTACATATAGGGTGAGAGCTCAGTCGTTGCTTGCTAATGAGGTCTTGTGGTCCCTGGAGAACACTCTAATGCGGATATCCGCTTTGCTTTTCCTTCTCCGCCTCTTTCGATTTTCGGCAGCATATGTAATCTTGCAAGGCACGATTTTGCTTACTACTATGCATGGAATTGCAGCGATATTTGTGGCAGTATTCATATGTCGTCCTATTCAGGCGTCGTACTTGGACGTACCCGGATCTTGTGGCAACCAGATGGTGGCATTTGTCAGTCTCGAAATTGGCGGTCTACTTTTGGATATCGCGATCACAGGAATTCCTTGCCAACAAATATTGAACTTCTCGGGGCGAAAACGAGACCATGTCAATAATCTGGTTGTTTTCTCTGCAGGTGGGCTGTAAGTAGTGAAAGAGGAAAAGAAATCCCATGCACCTACTGCCTAGCCATTGAGTAAGTGGTAACTAACCAGTGTTGCAGGGTCACTATTATCACGGCACTGCGTATTGCAGCTTTGCACCGGGTGAACACCTCTGACTTTAGCTATGATCAAGGCTATATGGGTCTTCTTTCGACTATCGGCGGCATTCTCGGTCTTATTGTTTGTTGCGCCGTTTCCATCTCCTGGCGTATACGGCATAGCAATCTCTTCCACTACATCATTAGTCGGATGAGGCTATTTGACAGTAACAGGAGCGCTCAGTTCAGCAATGACAAAGAACCGAGTTCACCCTCGGAGAAGGTGAAATTAGGTATCTGGCTGATGCCACCTCACAAAAATTCGATTCTTGAAAAGATACTTGAGAATGCACATCACCTCGCATTGTCCCAAAGGTACCCGCTTGTCTCGACGTTTTCTTACCGGCTGGGTTTATTACTAGCATCGCTCTACCGCAGACCGACAAGTAGCTTGTCGAGAATCCAGATATGGGCGCAGATCATTTGGAATTCTCACGGCCGTGGGATCCTTACGGGACTCAACACCTGGAGAGGAGTACAGTCAACAATGAACCCGTCGTTTGACTGGGCGTCGGAAACAGAACACGGGCACGTGGAACACGCGATATGCTCACAACCAGAGCGAGGAAAGTACGCGTTCCTTAAAAAAGTTCAGTTAGTATGTACCTCTCCTCGCATTATTAGAAAAAAAACGATAGAAAAGTGACATGGCCGTGGGTATATGGCACTTATATTTATGGGCCGTAAACCATCAGTGCTAGTAATCTTAGTATATATTCGATGTAAATGTTACCAAGGGCTACGACGTTTTCATCAAATTTGAGTTCCCAGATATTCTCACCATACAGAAAAGACAAAACCCGAAGAGTGCCATTGTTAGAGCTCAGCTGTACGTCAACGGCTTTCAGTTGGGAAATACGGTAAGCCCACTCAATTCCCTTCTCATCCTTATGTAGCTTCCAAAGCATTTGTTGAGTTAACATCATCTGTGTAGTAAACAAGATTGGCCTCTAGACTTCCTCCCCTGTCCCCGAGGGCACTACGAAGGAGACAGCCAGCGAGAGGCGATGAGTCTGATTCCCGTACCTTGATAGTGAATGAAATCTGTATGACAGAAAGCTATGGTGATCGTGTAAGCAAATAATCAGACTCCCAAGGCATCCTCAGCTACTACGTATCTAGCTGTATCGGGAATTCCCTCGCATAAGAGATAACTAGACATCTACGTGGCATGATTCATCAACACAGGAGACCAAGATGCTTCCAACAGCGGTTAGTCAACCCGGTGGCGGAGCGTTTCTCCCGCAGCGTATAGCGTTGCTGGAAATGAATGCGTCTTCATGCAATGAGCAAACGAGGAGCTGCACTTTCGCTTCAGCTCTGCACTTGTTCCGCTTCTCATTCATCAGATTATTTCGTGACGTCCCCCCATGATGTGCCAGCCGTGCTTGGCAGTCTTGGTGAGCTTGTCTCAACTGCGGGGAAACATTGCTGATCAGGCATTATGAGGACGCCCTCTCTTGGCTGCGGGCTGAATTGTTCAAATATTTATCCCTCAGTCAGCCTTATACGCTGCTGTTGGTCGTCCTTAACAGATCTATATATGTAGATCGTTGATCGGACAGGACCATGGCATCCGTACGCTCGAGTAACCGTCCTCCATAATGTGGCGACAGCTGGGAACCGGTTGGCGCCGAACCGCCCTCATCAATACCTTGGCCGTCTTCACATTCACCCTGATCGGCATCATTCTGCTGATATGCACTGTATCAAAATCCGGCGGCCTAGGCATCAATTACATCGTGTTCCAGGGCACTTGTGCGAAAAGCAGGTCAATTAACACTTGGCTACATCTCTTCCTCAACGCTTACTCCACAGCCATCCTAGCCTCGTCCAATTTCTTCATGCAAGTGTTGACGTCGCCCACGAGGAGCGAGGTGGACAGGGCGCACAGCGATAATGTGTCTTTGAAGATTGGCGTGCAGTCAATGAGAAATCTATATCGAGCTCCCAAGATCAGATTTGTCTGCTGGGCGCTGTTCTTCGTTACCTCTTTCCCGCTTCATCTCTTCCTCAACAGTGCCATCTTTCCGACTGAATACATGAGCTCCAACTGGAACCTGACAATCGCCTCAGAAGGGTTCGTCAATGGGGCTCAGTATTATTCTCCAGGAGTAGCTGTATGGCCACCTACAAGCAGTCAAAGCCAATCTTTACTGAGTGTCGAGGGATATGGACAGAATCTATCCCTGGCAGACCACTTCGACCCCAACAGCGATATTTCCAAGAGAATCGAATTCACGGCCAACAATGCTCGAGATTGGAAAAGGCTAGAAGTCCCGGATTGTCTTTCGCAGTATCAGTATTGCAACGGGCGTGTCAACTTTCGCGACCTTGTCATGATTGTCAAGTCGAAAGACACCTCTCTCATGGCATCAGGCAACTCTACTTTAGGCTGGAAACAGAGCGATATCTTCCAGCTGACCAGATCATCCGACAAATCTAAAAGTCAAAGATACGAGAACTTTACTCTCGATGACGCCAACTCCCTCTGGTTCACCACAAGTTGCAATACACAGTCGCTGGCCGAGACATCTCGAAACCGATCAACGTGCGTGCAGAGCTGCGGCAGGGCTTTTGGCAGACAAGGAGATCTTTCCAATCCTCTACAGATGAAGGCAAAACGCCCCGCGTCGATTCCATCCACTTATGTCTTTGAGTTTCTCGACCTGGACGACACAACCCAATATTGGCCAGATGTTTCTAGAGATGCCATAACCCTCGACTTGGAGTACTGTTTGGTACAGGAATTCTCGCCCACCTGCAAAGTTTGCGTATCGAATGGTCTTCTCTTGATCGTCGTCATATCAGTTTCTCTGAAAGCCGCTCTCTGCGTTATGGTGTTGCGCTATCTCCCCAAAGAAGATCCCTTTGTGGTCCCAGGGGATGCCATCGCATCCTTCATCCGATACCCTGACAGATTCACAACTGGAAGATGTCTTTTGGATAAAGAGGTTGAGGGTGCTCTTGATGGCAGAAGCTACCCGTATGTGGGTGCCCCCATGTACTGGCAACCAGAGCGCCGGAGATGGTCAAGATCGATCGAGGGCATGGTCTGGCTAAGGACATATTCCCTTCTCATTACCAACTTCATGTTTCTCTTCGCCATGTTCTTCCTCTCTCAGTCTGAGAACTCGCTCGGCAAACAGACTCTCACTCAGAATGCGACAAACGGGGTCTTTGAAGTCTCCGGGGCGAGTGCTCGTCAGTTTATCCCGGCCGTCCTCAAAGGCAACTTGCCGCAGCTCCTTCTTTCCATATTCTACTTTGACTATAACTCATTTTACACACGTCTGTGTGCGGAGAAGGAGTGGAGTTCGTACGGCACAGATTATCGCCCATTGCGGGTGACTGAGCCACAAGGACTTCAGCAGTCGACCTACAGGCTGCAATTACCATATCAATACAGTATTCCCTTAATCTTAGCTAGCATCTCTCTACACTGGTTGGTGTCAAAATCTCTATACGTTTTTGTTTTTGAAGGCGGTATGTTTCCCTTTCTTATCCATAGGCTATTCGTGATTCTCACCTTCTGCTCAGGATACTTCGAACCTCCAACAATTGACAATAACTCGACACTACGGACAGGACTTAGTGATGATGCTTTTGTTGGGATTGGATGGTCGGCTCCGGCATTGCTTGCGCTCTTGGTCGCTGTTTCCATCATGACTGCCCTGCCCTTGATCCTTACATGGCCAACTATCAAGAGCCCAATGCCGCTTACCGGGAACAGCTCATTGGTATTGTCGGCGGCTTGTCACGTTCCTGTACCTGAGGATTTTACTACAAGTGCATCCGATAGGTCAGTGTCGAGGCTCAAAGTTGGACATAAGTCAGCATCCCTGGAGACAGTCCACGATTATCTTTCTGACCCAGAAGCCGCTCAAAGGTTTAGTACATCAACGATTTCAGAGATGCAGCACCTAATAGCACCTTCAAGTGCATCTCTAAAACCTCAAGACACATGCGACTCCGATATCAAGTCTTGCACGCCAAGGGTTGATGTCGCAGCTATGGAGGAATATCTACTAGATGTCTCACAAAACCATCTCCGTTGGGGCGAAGCCAGGGCGCAGGAGTTTAGAAGTAAACGAGGCATCAATGTGAAGGATACGATAGGGCACTTGAGCTTTGTTACAAGACAGTATGTTGTTCGTGGGCCAATAAGGGGACGACTGTACACGTAGGAGTGGTTTCCAAAATAGATGAGTAAATAGTAGTACTGCCTGTACTATACGAACAGCACATCGAACTATCAAACATGGCCCAAATGACATCATATAATGGATTTAGTAGTAACGCTTTACTATCTGATCGTGAAGGTATCTGGTCTCTCAACAATGCACCGTGCCCTTCTCTCAGCCTCCCGTAACCATCGCTTGAAGACGCTTCATCCACTGCTTCTCACCCCCCTTAGTACACGTAAAAGTTGGTCTCCTCAGGGTTCTGCTCTCGGGTCTTCTTGTTCTGTCGCTGCAAAGCAAGCCTCAAGACCCACGCGCAAATGCACACGCCTGCCGAGAAAGCAATGCAAGCCACCATTGGCTGGAGATAGCGAGGAGCGGAGGACTTAGGCCACAGGTAAGGGGTATAAACACTGGCAAGGTTTCCAAAAGTGTTGCACATGGCGATCGCGACTGCCTTCTTCTCATCGGTCTGGCCGACGACAGAGGCTGTCCAGCCGAGAATGATGTTGTTGACGCCGTATGTTGCACCGACGAAGAGCATGATTCCCACGAAGCGGACGGGCACGTTGAGGGTTGCGCAGCACATGGCAAAACCAACGATGGCAACAGCCTTGCTGAGAGTTACGTGCCAGGTGCGCTCGTTGAAGCGGCCTGATGACCAGGAGACAGCGATGGAAACGAAGCCAGAGAAGAGGTAGGGAGGGCAAGTCAGGACCAGGGTGATGGTGGTGTTGTAACCGAGAGTCTCGATGACGGTGGGAAGGAAGTTCTTGAATCCGTTGGCCTAGAATACTGGTGAGAAAGCAGTTTATAGAGTTTCTCGCTGAGAAATCACGTACAGAAAGATGGAGGTTGTCCATCAGGCAGAAGACCCAAGTGCGCCAGTCAGAAGCAGCCTCGCGGAGACCAGTCCAAACAGAGGTACCCTCACGGCGACCGGTGGTATCGCGGCAGATACGATCATGAGCCAGTTGGCGTTCCTCGGGAGTAAGCCATCGCGTCTTGAGAGGGCTGTCGGGGAGGGTGAAGAAACCGAGGATGGCGACGCCGATGGAGATGGCACCCTGGATGATGAAGAGCCTATATTCCCGATATCAGTTAAGTTCAAATTTGGAGATGGATCACCTTACCATTGCCAGCCAGCCAGACCGTGGACCTTATCAAGCTTCGCAAAGATAGGAGCTGCAATGAGACCAGAGAAGGAGCTGGCCATCATATTGCCAGTGTAGAAGATGGACATGCGCGTCGCAATCTCCTTGCGGTTGTAGAACATGGAGATCATGTACAAAGCACCAGGGTAAAATGGCGCCTCTGTAATTCCGAGCAGGAATCGGCACACCAGCATGGTCTCGTAGCTGTTCGCCTTGTACGTCAGGAGAGACAGGACGGACCAAGCCATGCAGAAACCGGCCATATACCACGAGGGTCGCACGCGGTTGAGGATCATGTTGGAGGGGATCTGGCCGCAGAGGTAGCCGACGAAGAGAATCGACACGCAGGTGTTGTATTGACTGCCCTTGAGGCCCAGGTCATCTTCGAGGCCGTTCAGCCGCCCGTTAATCATGGCATTGCGATCGAGGAAGTTGAAAAAGTACATGAGCCAGAGAATGGGCTGAGGATGAGAGTCAGATAAGCTTCAATCGAGTGAGGACGCGGACACCTACCATCATGTACCAGTCCAGCTTCTTGACGAGGGCAATCTCCTTGGGATCTGTCTTTGTGCTTGCGCCGAACGCGTCGACTTTGACATTCTGATCCGTCTTCTGAATCTGGTCTTCTTCATCTCGTGTCTCGACATGCGAGATGTTGTTCTTGCCGTCCGTCGCCATGATTGCTGAGATGGATGGACAATGGGGACAGTCCTGCTCGGGGTGATACAGTCGAGAGAAGGTCTGATGTCTTTCAAATGTCGAAGAAGGTTCCCCAACACTTTATACCACAAAAGTCACAACCGGGGAATCCTTGGTTGGGGCGTTTCTAAACCTGGCATCTGACCGAACGGCTTCATCTCAATGCCCCCGTTCGCTTTGCGGGGATGCGGGGAAAGCCAGTCTGGGGAAGAGGATTACAGCGCTAACGAGGCGAGGACAAGGGCGAGCCTCGGGTTCCACCAATCTCGAGAACGGGTAGGGTGACCTCCGGGTCGGAAAAGTGTCAAGAGTCACTTTTCCGAGGCGGCCTGCTTTGCCGATCCCTCCACCAACCTCTCGAGACGTAGCCGAACCTTGCTTCCTTATCCTAGCCAATGACACTCACAGGGTGATGATTGGGGGTGGAATGGCCAGGATTACGGAAGGTTGCCGAGATCGACGGTAGATGGTCGGTCGGGTGAAAGGTCGTTCGTCCGGTAGGACAACCGACTGGAGGCTAAATTGGCAGATGGGCGCTGATTGTACCCGAAATCATCTTGACAGACAGTATTCCATGTCTTTTTGGGTGACATTGAAGGATTAGCTCTGTCACGTTTGAGCTTATTGTGAGTTCATGTTGTGACGAAGAGTGGGTTATTGATATGAGGTGTCACTCTCTAGTTATCTCATCTCTCTTTCGGAGTTCGGCCCGTGTGAGCACGTCCCTTTTCTTTTCCGTGGGGACGAAAGGGTTGTGGTCTTCATCAATGAAGACTTGTTGATTACAGGGCGTTGTCATGTCTACCTACCTAGATACTTTACATAAAGATTAATATCACCAATGGTAGAGAGGCAAGCTCGGCCCAATCTGTGAGAGAGAAGGCATGATGAAATTTTATTCCACTTCTATGTGCAGATGGAAATGGGCTGATGACTTTTGTTTTGTGGCCCATTGGTTTTGTTGACAAGGTAGGCTGTTTTTTTCTTCTCGTGTAAAGAGAAGACCACCAGTGGGCCATAACGGCACCAGTAGTTGTCGACGCATCACTCGCATCAAGTTTCAATATGTAAAACACTCAGCAGCCGATTGTGGTGTTTCCATCAACTTTCAAGGGGTATCAAAGCCCATCTGTCGCTGGTGACATTGTCCTTTGTTCGGGCTATCGGGTAGGATAGTGTCCGCGAGTTTGCGGCGGGGAAGCGGGACGAACCTTGCCGCGTATAATGTCTCACAAGGATTGGTCAAGATATGCAAGGGATATGATTAGAAGGCTGGCTATTTCGTCTGAGATTCTGTTTTTTGGCCTCAATGATTTCCCTGCCAGTCGTAGACATGCCTGCAGAAGGTTGGAAACCCGTAAAAGTACTGACTTCAGTGTCGAGCTGAAAGCCCATGTTACTCCTCCAGCTACTCTCTGAAAGGCCACACCTCAGTATGTTATAGAGAGTTGAGCCGGTCAAGTGCCTGCAGAAAATTATCGATATTTATCAAGCATGTGCAACCAGGAATTCCCGCAGTTTCCATTTGAAACGTGCATGACGATTTTAGTCGCTTTACAGCTCAGCATCGATATTTCAAGCCACGATCGAGATGGCTGGAAATGTCGATGATGAGACTTTCCAATTGGCTAGCCAAGAGTATCCCAAACAGAGGTGTTTCAGCCCTCACAAAGGGCAGGCATCAAACGTGCATATAGGGAGCAAGAGACGCAAGCCACGTTAGCTCAAAGGCATGTGAAGACGCAGGGAAGTACGTGCTATACTACACTAGAGTGCGTGTTAATGTCTCGAGATTTTATCCTCGTTCTTTTTGGGGGACTGGAAGTCTTATTGTGCCCCTCCTGGTTGCGCCACTTCGCAATGAAGGAGCTGCAACAGCTGCTAAGGACCTCACCAAACTAATTGTTCTTCATCAACTTCAAACTTGCATCCCAGAGAAGTCGCCTGCTTCTCAAAAGTCGGTGGAGAATCTCGATTCTCCGGTTGCCAAGCGAAGGTCACAGGGCTGACCTAGCCAAAGAAACAATTGAAACTATTGCAAGTCCAGGCCTACTAGTCCCGCCACGTCCAGCGCCCTTTTCCACATTTAGCCTAGACCAAGGCCGATCGACCAGTTGTTCCTGAAGGGCTTCGCCACGGCGTCGAATCACAGCCCAGAGACCGAGTCTAGATCGATGCACGTCCTCAGCTGGCTCTGAAAGGGTCCTCCACTTGGAGGAGCTGATGCTTGAAATCGTTGATGCGCCTCAACGCCAGTGGTAAGCCACTCGTGTTCAGCTCAGAGATGGCTGAATTCCTTAAAGAGGTGGTGGCAGCTGGTTGCCCCTTTCCCCCATTCCTCTGGGAAATTGGGTCTTTCTGCTGTGAAAACAACCACCTCGAGGGCATCCCGTCGACGATATTCCCTGGAGTCGACATCTCGAGCTGCACCCAGCAAGATCGGAGCCATGAACAAGTGGCTGCTGGTTGCGTCGCTCGTCGCTTCGGCGTCGGCGACATGCTACTACCCCGATGGCAGCAACGCGGCCAAGGACTACAAGTATGAGCCTTGCGGTAATTCGACAACGACATATTCGACTTGTTGCTACTTTGGCGAAGGCGACAAGTGCTTGGCGAATGGACTGTGCAACCAGCCAGATCGATTCGACTACCGTGCGGCTTGCCAGAACAAGGACTGGTCGAATTGTCCCGAGGTTTGCATGGACAGTGAGTGATGCTCTTCATTTGGCACGGACAACTCTAACATGAACTCTCTGCAGCCGATTCTGGTACCTGGTTCGCTCTCCAAGAATGCAGCAAGAATAAATACTGCTGCCCCCCGGCCGACGGAAGCGATTGTTGCAAGAGCGGCGCTGTTATCTACACCCTCGCAGCCCCGAGCCCAGACGGCGACAGCGACTCCAGTAGCGATACCAACAGCGGGAGCGAGAGTGGAACTGCCGCTGCTGGAGCTGCCGACGCGACTCGAACAGGAAGCTCTACAGCAGAGACAAGCTCGAGCTCGAGTGACGACAAGGGAGGAGCTCCTATTGGTGCCATCGTTGGAGGTGTTGTTGGAGGTATCGCCGTGATTGCAATCTTGGCTGTTGGAGGCTTCTGCTTCTTCAGACGCCGAGGAAAGAAGCCCACCACTTCGCCAGAGGGAACCGTCGTCGTGGAAGGTGGTGCAGGCTCGAGCGGATCCAACAGCAGCGACATCAGCAAGGAAAAGGCAGCTGCGTATAAGCAGCCTCAATCTGGCGTGGCCGAAGTCGAAGGCACCGCTGGCAATGTCTACACGGAGGCCGACTCTACTGCTATCAGCAAGGCCCGTTTCAATGTCCGACAAGAAGCCGGTGAGGAGGCTCGCATTGCGGCCGAGGGAATGAAGACTGAGACGTATCAGTCCACAGCGCCTCAGAAGCAGCAGCAGCATTTCACAGAGATCGAGGGATCCCGGGGCAACGTCTACTCCGAGGCCGATTCGCAGGCCATCAGCAAGGCCCGGTTCGACGCCTGGCGACAAGCTGAAGAGGCCTCACAGTTCTCACATCAGCAAGAAAAGCCAACTATCAAGCCTGTCATGAAGAGCCCAACTGCCTCACCCAACTTGGCCGAGATTGCGGGAAGCCCAGGCAATGTCTACACCGAAGCTGATTCGCAACCCGTCACCCATACCCACTCTACAATCGTGTCGCACCCTTCTGCTGGACTGTCTTCTACAACTTCGTCCCCCAGTATTGACCAGTCAAGCATCAATCATTCGGCGTTTCACACCGCTTACGGGAGTCCAGTCAACAGCCACGGACATATGACTAGCTTTCCCCACGATGCCACTTTACATCAGCTTGATCAACATACCCACGCCTCGGAGGCGAAGCCGACAGCCAGCCAGCCCAACATCAACTTGCCAGGCATTCAAAACTTCACGGAGACCGAAAACGCTGGCACCACCTTTACCGAGAGTGTCTCGCAAGCCATCAATCACCCCCACGATACCACTGCGCACCATACTTCGAGCACCGAACTGTCTTCTTCTGAGACCAAGCCAGCCCTTGACTTGCCGAACATCCAAGCCTCTGGAGGAAGCCTATGGGATGTCTATTCCAGCAGTGCACACGCTGCAGCCTCTCAGCCAGCGACCAAGATCAACCACCCGAGCTTTGCTGAGGCCGAGGGCAGCGCAGGAACCGTGTTCACTGAAGCCGACTCACAGCCTATTAGCAAGCCTCATCCTACTTCCTTCCAGCTGCTTGGTGACAACACTTTGACTTCAACAAGTCATCACGCCGGACACCAGGCCAGCTTTACAGAGACCATTGAATCCCCGGGTATCGTGTCTACGGAATCTCATTCTCATACTGTTAGCATCCCCCAACCAACAACTGTGATTACGACGACCACAACTCACGCTTCATCTTCATCTGAGAAGCCATCTTCTAGACCCGGACAACAAAATTTTGCAGAAGTTCATGGCAGCCCAGGCAATGTTTATACCGAAGTTGATTCTCAGCCAATTGGAAAGCCTCGCCCCGGAAACCAAGCTGAGGAGCATGTGTCAGGAGTATCTGAAGAAGTGAACGGGTCGTCGACGCATCAGACACACCAGCACTATACCTCTGCCATCAATGAGACAGCTACTAGCTTTTACACTGAAGTCGTCTCTCATTCCACGAACCAAGAGAAGCCCACAACACAAAAGCCCATGGAGTCGAGTGTGGTGGAAGTCGAGGGAAGTGCCGGCAACAGATACACTGAGGCCGACTCACAACCGATCAACTTCACCCGTATCGAGAACCAGCACTCTCACCAGCAGACACAAGCTACCTCCGGAGGCAGTTCTCTTACGATGCAACAGCAACTGGACTTGGCTGAGATTGAGGGAAGTGCCGGCAAGCTTTTCCTAGAAGCCGACTCGACGGCTATCAGCCCAGCTCCAGAAGACACAACACCTGCTGGAAAGGAGTCGACAATGAATATTACTCAACTGAGTCTTCCCGAGATTGAGGGCAGCCAAGGAACTATCTTCGTGGAAGCCGATTCTCAGATTCTTGAGTGGACCAGGGAGGAGCCCAAGACGGTCACACAGCAAACTTCAACCTTGACCGAAGTTGAAGGGACGCCTGGAAACGTGTACTCTGAGGCTGATTCAAAGGCCATCGGTCAAAGCCAGACCAAGGACAGCACTGTAGAGCTTGACGCACCACTACGGAAGTTTGTCGAGATTGAGGGAAGCGTGGGAAACGTTTACAGTGAAGCTGATTCAAAGACTGTCAACGTGGACCGGCGCCAGGAGACTAAGACAACGACTGAGACGAAGGGAACACACGAGCTGTCGTAATACACTAGAGGATATCCCAGTTTACTATCATGCAATTTAACACCCTAATTTACACTTCACATCAAGAGGTACTATTGCATAGATGGTGTAGTTGTTAGCTTCACACTTCTATCGTGTCTTCATCAAATCGCCTGAACATTAACTATGTACATTAAAAAAACTCAACCTTCATAGTCGCCCGACTTCCCTCAGCAATTGTTATATACGCATCATGCCTTACTGAACGAAACGTTAACAGATCCAGAGCCCAGAGGAACAATCTGCCCTCCACGCCCCGAGGTAGCTCCCGAAGCCTTAACCTGCCACTTTTCGCTGCCCGTCGACTCCACCCAGACAGCAGCCTTTGAAGCCTTGGGTGCTCCCTTTGTCTGGGACAAGGCTACCTCAACAGTACCCTTGGCAGCGTTGTAAGTGAACTCGTCGATAGACCCAACATCGACAGTGATCAAGACCTTCAGGGGTCCGATGAAGATTCGCTGACGAACAGCATCCTTAGGCCTGACAGTGACGTTGTCGCCACTCTTGGATAGGATACCGCCAAAGGCAACGACACCAAGATCCTTGTCATCAACAACGTAGGTCCCCGAGTTCAAGGCAGTACCAATGAATCCACCGCCGTAATCACCAGTGATGCCGTCCCACTTGAGGGTGTCGGGCCAAGAATGGAACGCAGCACTTGGGAAACCGTCTTGGTTGATGTTGGAAATAGGGGCACTTGATCCAGCGTATCCAACTCGAAGGAGATAGGTATCAGATGGGTCGTCGCGGAATGCGGAGAGGAGGACTTGGGAGTTGAGTCCAGAGCCATAGTGGTGGATCTGACGCTCGATTCTCCTAAGCTTGCCTCCGTAGCTGCGATGATGTCAGTGCTATTTATCGAGTAGATCGAGAGTGGTGGCTTACATAAAGTCCCAATATCGTCGAGCGTTACCGTTCCATCCCCAGTGAGGTACGCTGGGCATATATCCCAAGACACTGTTGATGGTCTTGTGCTCCGAGTCGGTCATACCAAAGTGGCTAACAAGTCAGTATTAACCCGTCATTCGTATAGTCCTCAAGCACATACCGAGTCCAGTAATACACTCCTTCCTGACCAGTCGAATCCCAAGCCATCTCACTTCCATACGGAATCTCTTGCGAGTCCCAGAGCTTAGCTCGTGTGTGCATGGCATCTTCCAAAGATTTTGCAAGTGCGTCTTTGGCTTCGCGCTTGAGGTCAACCAGGAGTTCTCCAAAGACGGTCTCACCCATCAGACCGACATCTCCGTACCAAATATCGCTCTTGGTCATACGGATGACGGTCTTCTGCGCCTGGGTCAAGTACCAATCCCAGTCCTTGGATACAAGGTCGGGATAGGCTCGGGCAACGCGGTACAGCGACCAGTAAGCTGCGGTGACGTGCACGTAGTTGTATGCACGGTCGACGGCAGAGGCTGTTTCCTTGTTCCAAGATGTCCATGAGGTCCAGTCAATGTCTTTGCTGTAGCTGAATCCAGGAACTGAGGATGGCTCGTAGAAAAAGATGGACTTCTTAACACCGTATTCCTTGTTTTGGATTTGGCCCCAGATGACAGTTTGCACAAAGTCATCCAGCTTAGCGATTTCCTCGGCGTTGGGCTGAACGACTTGCTTCATCAGAGCCGCGACGTAGGCGCCAGTACCGCCCTCATCGCTAAGTCCAGCAACCCAAGCTCGGGCATCCTGGTCGACTATGGCACCCTTCTCATAGTCATAAGTCATGACAGAGGGAGATCTCTTAAAGGGATCGGAAGAATCGTTGAACCAAGCCTTGGTGGTGAGGAAGCCTCCCATGTCACTCAGTGCCTCGGTTGTGGGCTTGGTGACAAAGTAGTGGACTGTTTGGGTCTTTCCGTCTTTGTACTTAATCGTCACTCGCACACGACCCCAAGTCGAAGAAGCTGCGGTAAGAGTGTATCGACCTTTGCCGTCCTCCTTGACTTGAAGGGCACCATTAGGTGAGACAGTCACAGACGACACAGCACTGTCACTCTGAAGTACGAGCTGGGCTGGGAGATCCTGGGCAATGATGAATCCGGGAACGCCAACAGCAACAGGGGTTCCCGTCTTTCGAACAGCCTTGTCAAAGTCGCGGATCGAGTCCGAAACAGTGAATCGGACGCCGAATTTGAGCGACTGACCAGCCTTCAAGACCTTGGATGAAGGAGGGTTCCAAGGTTCTTGAGACTTCCACTTTGTCTCTGCCCAAGCCTTGGTAAGAACCTGCCACTCATAGAAGCCCTCAAAGGTCTGACTTCCGTAGTGGGTAGGCTCGATGTTGGCCTCAACCAGGTTTCGATAAGCCTCCAGCGGTGACGATGTCCCAGTCAAAGGTGTGACCACAAGGCCCTTACCGGTGCCCTTGACAGGGGCGACACGGATTTGGCCAGCATCCATACCGATGTATGGGTCAGAAAGGGAGCAGTGGGCTTGCATTTCTGTGGCCTTTCGGTTGCTGAAGATGCTGTTGAATTCGGCAGGGAATCCAAGACTGCCAATCTCGATCGAGTCCTTGCCCGTGTTCTTGATGGTAAACTGAAGACCCAAATCTCCAGATACGTCGAGCCATTCTCGAACAATGCTCAGCGGGCCGGTAGGCAAGGTAGGGCTCATATCCGAAGCGGCGAGAACACCTTTCCCAGCTGTGGTCTTCTTGACTGGCTGACGCTTTTGCGAAGAGTCACCGTCAATCCATTCAGTATCTTTCTCCTTGCGGTAACGGAAGGTAATGTCACCCCAATGATATTGGCCATTCCGAGCGCGAACATCAAGAAGGTCTGAGGGCAAAAAGTCAAAAGAGTCACCCGCTGGCGACAGCGAGGTCAGGACTTGGGCATCTCGCGCAATGCGAGCCTTGAAGTTGCCAATATCAACGTCGATAAAGCCATTTCCGAGACCCAGGGTATCATTCTGCGCAAGCACAGTGCCTCCAAAGGAGACAAGCAGGGCGGTGATCTTGCCGAGCTGAAGGAGGGATCTCATGGCGGGCGTTGGTTGTCACTGCCTCAATGATGCTACTCCAGAACACTAGCCATCTTTTATACGCATATAACTGACTTTACAAAAGTTCCCAACTCTTGCAAGGATCATGTATCTTACGTATATCACTCAGATACGAGAAGCAACCATCATCAACCCATATGCACGTTAATCCCGTTGATCAATCAACCGCCATTGGCACGCATATATCAATCACACTCACAAGTCGCCGTGCACGGCTGGATAAGGAAAACTCGGAGAACCCTTCCGACTAGAAAAGGACGTCGGGGAACCCGTCCGACGAGGCAGACGGCCCCGACCTGCCGCATTCATAAAGACGTCAGGTGTTAAACTCCGCTCCTTTATCAAACTCTGACGATCTTTTTCCGCATTGAAACGCGAGGGCTTGTAAGCGGTTTATACCCATTGGAGCGTTTTTAAAGTGACTGCCCGTTTCGGCTTCAGGTACACAGGGTTACTCTACATCCTTGGCCATGGCGTGTCTCGTATTGGTGGAAAGAGGATGATCGCCGGGTAATAACGTTAAACTCCAAACAAAACTCTCGTATAGTTAAACTCCACTGTTTCAGAACAATTGGGCTCGGTATTTAATGATGTGGTAGCGGGCGTGTTTATGGGTTTGGTCTTCAAGCCGGTCTTCGAGAAACTACAGACTTGTAGAGCAAGGGAAACGAAACAATCATGCGTCAGACTCTGCCTTTCAGTCTCGCAGCTGCGTTGCTGCCAACACTAGGCGCAGCACAAGCCAAGGATACCATCACTTTTGATTCTCCCGGAAACCCCATTCTCGGCGATGGCTCACTCTACTCGGCTGATCCGGCACCATTGGTTGTCAACGATACCGTTTACATCCTTTCGGGCAGGGATGAAGCCGACGAGAGGACAAACGACTTTGTCATGAACCAGTGGCAACTCTTCGAGGCCAAGAACCCCAAGCCCTCTGGCGGTACATGGACTCTTCACAAGGATATCGCTGAGCCACAAGATATCTTCTCTTGGGCCCAACCTGGAGGAGCATACGCGAGTCAGATCGTCCAAGGAAAGGATGGTAAGTTCTACATCTACGTCTCCATCCGTCAGCAGAACGGAGCTTCAGATCCCTTCTCGATTGGAGTGGGTGTTGCCGATGACCCCGTGGGACCTTATAAGGACACACATCCTTCTGGCCCCATCATTTCCCAGAATGTCCCGACCAAGAACGACATCCACAACATTGACCCAACTGTTTTGGTCGATGATAATGGAAAGGTCTACATCTACTGGGGTTCTTTCAACCAGCTTCGAGGTTATGAGCTCGACTCCGACATGGTTACCATCAAGGGTAGCGAAGTCCGTGTCAACAACCTAGACGGCTACTTTGAGGCGCCTTGGCTTGCGAAGCGCAAAGACACTTACTACCTCTTCTATGCCGCCAACAACGCCGGTCCAGACTCTCCCTGCACGCCTACTTCTTACCACGCCTGTATTGCCTACGGTACCGCCTCCAGCCCTCTTGGCCCTTGGACATTCCGTGGTGTCGTTCTGGGCATCGTCTCCTCGACTACATCTCACCCCGGCTTCTACGAACTCGGAGGTGAATGGTTCATGGTCTATCACACTGCCGATGCCAAGGACGGAGGTCACTTCCGACGGAGCGTTGCCTTTGACTCTCTCGAGTGGGATGACTCTTCATCACCACCTCTGCCTGTCAAGGTCAAGCAGACCAAGAGACCAGCTGCCGCACCCAAGCCAACCCGCAACATTGCGCCCAAAGCCGAAGTATCATCCGAGAACGAAACTCCCATTCAGTACTGGATCGCTGCTCTCAACGATGGCCGCATCAAGGAGACTCCTCTTCCTCCTGACTACTGGTCCTCCTACGCAGGAGAGCAATCCCCAGAGACCAACGTCTTGACATACACTTGGGATAAGGCAGTCAAGCTCAACGGCGTCGCCGTATCCTTCTTCACAGACCAACCCGCCGGATCCAACGTCGGCGTCCCACCCCCAGCATCCTGGTACGTTGAATACGCCACCGGAAGTGGAAGCTGGGCCAAGGTGTCCGCCAAGGGCAGCTATCCCACTGAACCTGCTTTCGATCCCCCAGAGGTCAGATTCGACACTATCTCTACCACTAGCCTGAGGCTTACGGTCAAGGCTTCGGGAGGATCTGGTCAGTTTGGTGGAGTGGGTATTCATGAGTGGTTCGCTTATGCTCCCACGGCGGAGTAAGTGTTGAATCTGGGTTTCAACTTCTGTGTACATATAAACTTGATGTAAATGAACTTGCAAGACATACTGAGTACATATTCAACTTGAACTGGTCGACCTGTCGTAGACTCCACGATCTCATTTGCCAGTCAACCACATGAAAAAGCCACCTGCCATCACCATGCGCCTGAACAAGGAGAACTTGATGCCCTCGAGGTTCGCAATGCTGATCCGCCAATGTGAGGACTTGAGTGTCTTCTCAGCTCGCGGCAACGAGATATTGTCGTATGCTGCAACGGCACTCTCTAGCGAATTTGAAGATAGCAGAAACTCAGCCAGGTCGCAGCCATCTTGCATCGCCGTGTTGGCGCCATTGCCGGCAAAGGGGCTCACGGCATGGTTGCTGTCTCCAATAAAGATAACACCTGGCAAGACTCCCTGGTGGTGGAATGGCTGCTTGTCCTTTGCCGGAATGACAAAGGCAGTGGATGGATCTGTCGCGTTCAAAAGACTCTTAAATGGCTCACTTATCTCCTCTCCGAGCTTTCTCGCCTCCTCGAGTAGGGCATGGCCATCTCCGCCAGCAGGTTGTGCTGGCATTTCTTCGGCTTTGCTCAAGGCCCAGACAACAGTCTTGTCCTTGATGGGTGCAGCAAAGCAGCTGTTTCCATGTCCTGAGATGAGAATACCCCATGCTTCGCTCAGTGGCTTTGGTATATCATCCTGAAAGACAGCCAATCCGCCGATTTGAGTTGCTCCAGCATGTTGCAACAAATCGTCAGGTCGGATGGAGGCACGGATCTTGCTGTGGGCGCCATCGGCAGCAACTAGAATGTCGCATTTGTGCTGCACGGTGCTTGACCCACTGCTTGAGGAGACAGTGATTTCGATACCAGCGTCCTTCGAAGTGGCGCTCAAACATTGCGCCTCCCAGTTGATATCAATGCCCAGAGCCTCAGCTTCTTGGATGAGGATTTCACGCAGGTCTGCCCTGGCAATCCGCAATCCGCCAACTGGAAGATCTCCATATGGCTTTGCGGAAATGGAAAGCAGCTCGGACCAATTGCTATCCCACATCTTGAAAGACATGCTCGTGGTTCCTGGAGTTGCAGCCTTGATGACAGGGTCCAGGAGACCAAGGGTTTTCAGCGCCACAAGACCACCGTCCTTGTCCACGCCGTTGATAGACAATGAATAGCCTTGTCGTTTTGGGTCGCCATTTCGGCTGTCGCGGTCAAAGATAGTGAGTCGAAGTGGCTGTGAGTTGTTCCCTCTTTTCTTCAACGAGATGGCGAAAGCTAGACCGGCCATGCCAGCCCCGGCCACCACAATGGTTTTGTTTTCGAGGAAGTGTGCGTTGGGTAGTGACATTATGAGTTGAAATACTTGAAATTGAGACAAAATGATTCAGTCAGACTCACCTTAAGAAAGCGGTCATGGTTGTGTTCTTAAAGTCGAGTCCATTGTTGGCGTGGTTGACGATTCCAAGCTCGGGACCGTAAGTGGAGACTCGGCACCGAGCCAAGATGTCGATGATACCGGTCGACGCCAATAAGCAAGACCGCAAGGACAGGCAAGATAATGAGCCAACACGCAGTAATTTTAGCAAGACGCGTCACCAAAATTAGAGTACATCTTCTCTAGGCAGTTGCGGCATGACGTGGATAGTAATTAGATACCTTGAAGGTTCTCTGAAAGTGTGTAGCTAGCCTATCAATCGGCAGGGGTTGAGCCACAGAAGCCATCCTGGATCACGTGAACGCTTCAGGGCTGAACAGGTGGACATGGGTCGAGAGCTAGTGCTGCGTCGCTGCGTCGCATCGGCGGTCTTACGTGGATTTTCGCACTCCGTAATGTCCTCCTGCAAGCCGTTTTTACGATAAACGCGTACTTCGCATCTGGGGGTGTTCCGAAATCCGAAGCCTTCGAACTTGGCTGAGTTCTGGGAGTGTGGACACGCGTAGGCCGGAAGAATACAATTGCCGCGGACCCGACTGGCGGGGGCAGTGGTTGACCTACCCTACATCTTCAAGTGACAGCACCATTTTTCGACATTTGAGTCCGATTGAAGATCTTGGGGATGAGGTGAGGCTGATAATTACTACAAAGATGCTGAATTTGTCTTTATTGAAGCAGTTTTGTGCTGTTCCAAAGAGTTTCTACTGTGCCGATGTTTTACGAGGTGTTTTGTCGTATACTCGTCCATGTGTGTGTGTGAATCTTTGACAAACCCAACACCAGAAAGGAAGATCAAACATGTCATCGCAAAATTGCCTCGGGGACGGTTATCATTAGAAAGCCAGGAGTTTAAGCAAAAAAAAAAAGTACCGTGTTATGAACTTGCGGGGACGAAATATGTCAAAGCATCAAAAAGGAAGCCTTTGAAGGCTGATCAGATGGGGTGAACCGGGATCGAACCGGTGACCTTCAGATATTATGATTGAAGTTGAGCTTCAGTCTGACGCGCTCCCAACTACGCCACCGCCCCATTGGTTGTTGGGTTTCAAGGCCTGCGAATCACGGCTCAACCATGCCGGGAGTGGCAAGACCCGGAGAGCGGCAAGATCTTGAGATCAAAGAGAAAATGTGTTGTGGTTTGTTCTTTGCGATGGTGCAAGGGTCGGGAGACCTGCGGTTAGACTGAGCGTGGGGGGGCGGAATATCCATAGAGTGGTTTTGGCTGCGAAGTTAGTAAGCAATTGGGCGGATGGTTTAGGGGTATAATGCTCGCTTCGCATCTCCGAACCAACTGGTTCTGAAGACGATCTGCGAGAGGTCCGGGGTTCGATTCCCCGTTCGTCCAGCACAGGCCTTCGGGGTCTCCTTTTTGACTTTCATATTTTTTTTTTTTGGCTTATCTTCAGCATCACTATCAGCCTGTCACCTTCAGCTGGTCTCACTGTAGTTCTAATATACTGCTTATCAGCTCACTTTGTTATCTTCTCACCCCTTCTTAGCTATTCCCTGATACCCGTACCTATGCATCGCGAACAACATGGGCACGGTTAGTATATATCGGGCCCTTTCTCGGCTCCTGTATATTCTATATCTTGTAGTTCTTCTAGTTATTGTATAGATACTTGCCAAAATTGGAAGCTCTAATATTGCATCAGAATGTTTTCATAAGGTTAATAAAAGTTGTTGTTCTCTCCTGTGATCCCGCGACAGCATCTCGTTTGACAGGCACGAACCAAATCTCTGGTCTTATGAATCATGGAATTGGATAAACTTTTTTCAGTCTGTAACGAAAAGCCAGGCACAGCCCATGTGATTGTTGGGGAGGATAAAGGCTGTCTTGACGTCGGAATAAGATCCTACTGGTGCGTTCTACCTACGTAATGAGGCTTACTGTTTAAAAATCCCATAGTCATATTGCGTGCCTATATCGGTATAACTGCCGAGGAGAACGGGCATCAACCGACTAGGATACAACCCTGTCTCGTCAACGAGTCCGCCTTAAACTCCTAATTCAGCAGCCTACATATCAAAACCACGTGGCTTATCAGAAACTTTCGGTGGCGGTATCAAGACAAAGCAAACTTTCGCCTCTCACCGAGCCCTAATCATGCAGCAAGGAGGTGTGGAACACTTTGCGAGGCTCCATATGCTCCATCCAGACCTTATCAAGGGTCCGGAAATGGAAAGGGGAAGCGCTAGCGGGACCTCGCGAAGAGTGTTTCCACATTAAATATTTGATCACACATGATTAAAGAGATTGCGAGTGACATTGAAATAGTCGTTGTGGAAGAAACATTGTTGCTTTGGTGCAAGTTTCTGGCAGTATCGTGTTCATGATGAAGGTGCCTTTGTATGCCACTGCTGGTGTAGCGACATCATGTGTTGCCTTTCTCTTTGGGTATGTTCTCTCTTTAATTCGCAAGTATTTCAGAATCTGACGTGATAGAATGGACACTGGGAGTATCGGTCCCATCACGACCATGTCCTCATTCAAAGAAACCTTTGGTGACTTTTCAGCAACCGTCCACGGAGTCATTGTTTCAACCATCCTTATCCCCGGAGCCTTGACGGCTTTGATCGCTGGCACTCTGGCCCATCGATTCGGTCATGTGAAGCTCATTGCGATTGGTTCCATTATCTTTGGTATCGGAGCGGCGCTTGAGTGCGGCGCTCCATACCTCGGCGTCTTCATCCTTGGAAGACTTATCAAAGGAATCGGCGAGGGACTCTTCCTCAGCAATGTCTACGTGCAGGTTTCCGAAATGTCACCTTCGAGTGTGAGAGGCATCATGACAGCGCTGCCGCAGTTTCTCATCACATCTGGAATTGTGACAGGTTACTTTACGTGCTACGGAACTTCGCGGCTCGGTAATACGTCGCTGACGTGGCGACTGCCCCCTGCTATCGTTGCATTCCTCGGATTTTTTCTGTCAATCATCTACTTTATCGTGCCCCCTTCTCCCCGCTGGCTGCTGTCCAAAGGAAGGGTGGAAGAAGCCCAGGCAATTTGTCGACGACTCGGTATCGATGAAGTTGAAGAAAAGGAACTCTTGGGACAAGCTGAATCGTTTGGTGAATCGGAAGCCACAATGACGCTCTGGGAAAGTCTGCGACAGACTTTCAGGGAGTTCAGAACTGCTTTTTCTGCACCGTACTGGAAGAGGACTGCATTCGCTTGCTTCATCATGGGAATACAGCAGTTCTCTGGCATCGACGGTGTCTTGTACTATGCCCCGATTCTCTTCACACAGGCAGGCCTGAGTGGTGAAAAGGCATCTTTCCTGGCATCCGGAGTGTCGGCCATTGTAATTCTCGTGGCTACGATTCCTGCAACGATTTTTGCGGATAAATGGGGTCGACGCACCTCGGGCATCGTTGGTGGCGTCTTGATTACGTCTCTGATGCTTATAATGGGATCTGTCTACGCTGCAGGACAGGTTAATCCGACATCGGGAAGCGGAAGATGGGTTGTTATTGTTTGCATCTACCTGTTTGCCATCTCGTTTAGCTTCACGTGGGCTATCGGGTTCCGAACATGGGTGGTGGAGAGCATGCCCCGGAAGACACGGAGCAGTGCATCAAGTCTTGCACAGAGCTCAAACTGGGTAAGGGACCTTGACTTGACATTTAAATCTAGTCTTCTAACGTGTTAATAGCTTTCCAATTACATCGTGGCGCTTATCACTCCTGTGCTCATCTCAAGGTCGACATTTGGTGCTTATTATCTCTTTGCCTTCTGCAGCATGTTCTGCACTATCATGGTATTTTTGTTTATGGGTGAGACAAAGGGTTACAGTCTGGAGGAGATCGAGAAGAGGCACGGTCAGCACCGATCGAAGAGCATTCCCTGGAACCTCTAGACCGTTCTTCTTACTGGTTAGATCTTGTGTATTGGGGACAGTGCACCCATTCCACTAGTTCTGTGGTGTATTGATTTACAAAATGGACCGAAACACACCATAATACAATACTAAGTACCTGCTCTCTAACAAGCGCCCAGAAATTTGGGTTTCGTCTCCAAATGCCCTCTTTCATCTTCCCAGTTCTTAAACTCCCTTACTCCCGATCGTCCAAAGTGAAACTGGCATTGACCATTCCAAAACTCCAATTGCAGCATAGACTTCGACAAACCACCAACCAGTCCAAATAAACCAGCAGAGCACCCAGACGTATCCCAGCAGGCGAACCAACAATTGAGGCATACCATCAAGAACCGACTTCTCGCTATCTGTCCTCGTGATAAGATGTTCAGACCATCTTGTGCCCTGACATAGCTGAATAACAGCGTATTCGACCATGGTGCCGAATGGTTGAATCATGAAGAACGATCCCATGTTGAGAGCTAAGGTTATTGACTCAACATAGCCCTCGCAGATGACGGAGAGGCTGAGGAAGTGGAAGAAGCCGCTAATGGAAAAGGCTGTGATGAGGTGAATGAAGTAGGCATGTGGTGACCTCGGTGGGATGCAGAGGTTCTTGACAATGACGCGGCTGATGCCGAGAGCAGGCTTGAGGACGTTAGAAATCAGTTGAATATGGAAGATGCGTAGTAGATGGGCTTACCTGGCGGATATAACCATGCCAATACTTCCCCCAGACATTGCCAACTGTGTAACAGTCGCAGATACTTCCGAAAAGTGGTGGCCAGTCCTTTAATATTTAGCACAAGCCGAGGAAGATAGATACACGTTAAACTTACCTCTGGTTGACCTCTAGCCACGCCAACGGCCATCATCGCTGCGACTTCGTACTGCAGCGTCATGGTCGTATATAGCGATAGACCCATGAGGAGCTCGACAAAGACAATTTGCTTCAGGTTGCCCATTTCCCACGACCAGGAATGTGGAATGGCGGTGCTCTGGGCAGTGTGAATGACCGTATCCAAAACCACGTACGACAAGATCGCCCTTGGCATCCTGGCCAACACAAATTTTTGATTGTCAAGCTTCTGCGCCTTCATGGCAGCCCGCGCATCGTTGACCTTGCGATGGGCGAAATTCCATCCGACGCCTCGAGAAGAAGTAACCAGCTTCGTAGCCCATCGGACCTTGTCCCACGTCCACTCCTTCGGGCGTCCGTTGTTCATCTCACCCTGCTGATCAACCAGCCAAAAGTCCCGCTCCGGCACATGTAAAAGCAACCTCTCGACAGCCGGAAGGACAAGAAGCCACGATCCCGCCATGCCATAGCGCATCGCGCGCGTTGCGCCGGCGTTCGGTGGCCATGGAGAAATGGTACACGCGACATCGTTTAGGACGATGAGAATCGCGAAAAAGACGCCGCGACAATGAAAAGGAGGAGAACAAAATGCAACAAGCACTAAAATAGGAAGAGTAAAATGTGGAAGTTGGGGCAGGAGTGATAATAGGTTGCCAGGCGACAACCAAGATATGTAGTCCATCGTGATGACTGTGACGATAATGATGACATTATTTAGAAAGATGCAAGCAAAGGGGGGAATCGAAAAGAGGACGCCAAATATGGGCTTCAAAACGTGGTCAGACCACCCGTATTAGATTGCATTTCTCGTTGGCCAAAGCATCCCAGAGGCGCTGTTGTGGGCTGACATTGGGGCGTGTGCTCAGCGCCATGTTCAGCCAGCAGCGATGGTCCAGGTGATCACAATATTGAGGATGGGGAAAATCAGGAATTGGGATAGTTGAGTCTTGGCGGCTTGGCACACTGGTGGGCTGTTGGTTTATGGTTGAATAGAGGTGAAGTCGTATCGCATTTCTGTCATATTCTGATACTCACAAGTGAGGACGGAAGCATCGGAACGGGATGGACAATGTGGCTCGGATTGGTCAATGCGAATTGCGAATTCCCGAGTTTGGTATCCGAACACGAAACTTGGGTGACTTCTTAGCATCAACGGGCTATCATCTATACCAGTGTAATTCGCGTGCCTTGACCGGACCATCCACTGATCCATTTACCAATTTCTCCCGCTTGGAAAACTCCAATACGTTTGAATCTGTTCTCAGAATCGTTCTCCAGCATCAGATACACGTTGGTTCCCCCTCCATATCCCTGGTACGCTCCGCACAGGGGCACGCACACGCCTTCCGTCACGTCCTCCTCTGCAAACTTTCGCACCAGATCTGTCGTATCGAGGCGAAGGTCTTGAGCTTTCTTCTCCTTTTCGAAATAACACTGCATCATCGCTTCATCTGTGTACACTGTAAGCTTGCTCGACGCTGTTGTCCATTGGTAATAATACAGTATACACTCGATGTCGAGCTCGGCTGATTGGAGGAGCCCTGTGGGATTACCTCCCGGAGGCTCTGTCACAATCCGTTCCTCCACGAGCTTGATAAGGGGCTCGGGGAGGCGACTGTACTTCTCATGCAACATGGACAGTCTCTTGTGTCCTCCGACAACCGAAGCCCAACTCCAGCTCGGAGCGTACGAGTCACTGCGGTGGACCTCGGCGCCATCGCTTGCATTTGTAGTCCAGGTGAGATCGGTGTGGATCATTTTCTTCCACAGGCCGGCCAAGTACTTGTCGCCGTTGGCCTCTTGGAAGGTCTTGGCAATGCCAGACATGGCGATGAGTCTATCAGACTCCTTGGTGAGAGCGCAGTTTGCGTAGAGGGAGACGACGTCACCCCACTGGGCGTGGAAATGTGATTCCGGACTTTCCATAAACGGGGCATGTTGTCTCCCTGACAGTGCCGCTCCCTTCTTGGCGAGCTCTAGCCTTGCTTTCTTGTACACTGTCGGAACAACCTCGCGTGAACCTCTCGCCTGGGTGAGGACGAGGAGCTCCCCAGTTGGATCCGCCTCGCAGTACTTGCTCTCTAGACACTCCCAGTAGATCTGATTCTCGGTGAAATGAAGAATGCGAGGGGCTAAGAATCGCTCCTGCACAACCCAGCCGCGTGTGCTCAGAGGAGCACTTTCGATCTCGTCAGCCCAGAGGGAATCATTCCAGAAAATCCACGGTCCGTCATTCACTTCTCCGCTGTGCCCCCTAAGCTTCTCGTTCAACTTGAAGGGAAACAAGAGCCTTGGTTGGAGTCTTCTCTTGACAAAAAGCCTGCTTCTACCGGGATCGGATGACGCAGCGATAGCCGAGATGTTGCACAGTGAATGCCGATACACGTCGACCATTGCCTTGGCCTCTTGCTGCCATTCGCTGAGAGAGTCTTGAAATATACATAAAGAATCGATCCATATGTATCTGTAACCTAGACGGTGGACGAGTAGGGCTGCGTCACGGAAAGTCGGTGACAAATTGTCCATGGGTATGCCGTCCCGGAACTGATGCTCCGTGGTTTGCAAGAGCTGTGGAATCAGTTTTGGATTGCCCCAGCGGTGAGATAGGGTCCAATAGGAGAGACAGGTTCCACGATTCTGAGATCTCTCGCCATCTTGGTCATCATGCTGGGCTTTGGCCTCGTCCCTGTCACGAAGATGGACGAAACCGACCTCAGCCTGACCGACGTCAATAATCCTAGTAGGGAAATAATCTCCTTCGAGTGGGAGGCAGTATCTGTGGTTCATGGCGCAGGAGGAAACCCAATCCTTGATTTTCCGTAAAGACTGGTTGGACCCTATGTTGTTGTCAAGAACGGACCAGGGTTGAGCATCGAGTTCCGTCCAAGCAGGCGGAGGAGGGGAGCCCGGGCGATGATATGCATAGGGGGACGGAAAATCTCTTTTCTCATTCATGGCCACTAGATGAATGAAATTGTAAGTGGGTATTCGTCTGGGGGGTAGTCTAGAGATGGCAGAGACACACCTTCGAGTTCAACGTCGGCAGCCCAAGGGCACACGACATGAAACCTCACATTTGGCTTAGAAATTCGACAGTATATCTGAAAGCCACACAGAGTTGCAGATCGCCCATCTTTAGTCTTGGGCGGAAGTGGCAGTTTGTTCCACAACCAATTGCAGATGAAGCATTCGTCGTCTTTGCTCGCCACAAAGTCACGATAAGTCCTGTGATGATAATTGTCGAAAGGAAAGTTGCCAAGTTCGCCAAAGTAATCTTTCCATTCCCGGATCTTGGTTTCGCCGTTCAAGGCGGCGATGCATGTATCGCACAATCTACCTTCAGCAAGGTCCATGAGGAATACCGATTCGCGGATACGAGTTGGAAGACTCTGAATGCCCGATTAGGTCGTATAATGCAGTCCTGACAGGTAGTAACTAAATAGAGATAAGAAGAGAATACCGTTTTGCAACGCTGACACGTCTTGTCAAGAAATTTTAGGCATCTACGCAATTTGCTGCCCAACTACTCCAATGCCGGGGTTAGTATTATACCGACAACCGGAATTCAATAAAAGCAATAACCCAAAATCAGACTCTGGACAAACCATGCTGGCTCACCAGGATCAAAATGCATTGTCATTATAGATGTCATTTGCTATACTAATTTAATAGTACTAAACATAGGTGCTCAGATATCACCGAGCCACCAGCGTCTTACACTGACCAAGGGATTGCGATCTAGAATGCAAAGACTTGGTCCTCCAACTTACTGGCCGGTCGAGCCGCGTCGTATCCCAAGCTCTGTGTGATTTTCTTCATAGCGCTGATCATGGGAGGCGGTCCACAAAGCAGGATCTTGATATCGTTCTTGGGCTTGGGAAGCCATTTCTATAGATGTTTGTTAGTCACAAGAGAGGCAGCACATCTTAGAGAAGAAACTTGTACTCACAGATACCATGTCGGCTCCAACAAATCCAACGCCGCCGGTCCAGCCAGCGGGTGGGTTGTTCAAGACATAGTGGATGCGGACGCCAGCATCGACTTTAGCCAATGCGTCCAGTCTCTCTTTCAGCAAGATATCCTCAGAGTTCACATTGGCGAAAATAAGATCCACCTGAGTTACATCGCCACTCGCACGACCACGGACAATCGCGTTGATAATCTGCAGCATGGGTGTAATTCCTGTGCCACCAGCGATCATGCCAAAATGGCGGACCATATTGGGGGTATAAACAAAACTCCCCTTGGGTCCACGGACGTGAATGTTTTGGCCAGGAACAAGCGTGTCTATATATCGGGAGATGTTTCCCTGAGGGTAGGACTTGATAAGTAGGTCGAAGCAACCAGGCTGATCATCACCAGAGATGGGTGTATAAGAGCGTGTAACCTCTTTACTGGTACCATCAGGCTGTGGAATCTGGGCAGAGATGGAAATGTGCTGGCCGATTGGTAGACCCAGTATTGACTCGGGACTGGGGAGGTTGAAGCGATATCTGGAAAGATTAGTTAGCCGGGAGCGAGTAGATGGGGACCAGAGTTCGAACTTACATGGCCACATTGTGTGAGATGATGGTCTTTTCCACGAGTTTGAACTCCTGGAAGTGATCCGGTTGCAGAGTCTTCGTCGCGACTTGTGCTGCAGGTTCTTGGGTGACGGGCTGATTGGCCCCTTGTGGCGCCGAGTTGGAGTCTGAGCTCAGAATGCCTACTAGAAGATCTTCCAAGACCTCGTCGGCCTCTTCAGAATGCTCGGTATCATCGTAGGCTTCAGTGGCATCTTTCCCGGCAACCTCGAGCAAGATATCTGAGCCGCCGCTGTTGCGTATACGTCAGTCACAGCTTGATAAAACCGGTGATAAGAACAAAGAAAGACGTACGGATGGTCGTTGATAAATGACGAAGCGTTGTAAACCTTGCCGCGAATAATCAGATAGAGATCATCCTTGGTGTTGTGAGATTGCACATCTGCGTAGGTAAAAACCGGTGCCATGATGGAACGCGAAGCCGACAGTGACAATCACACCGGGACAAAGGTGTTGAGACCAACGATTTGAAATGGCTGCGTGTTTATTGAGGAAGGGGACGGGAAGCAGAAGCGAGAGCCATGCTAAATTTGACAACGCACTCATTGATACCCAAAGCAATGCTCGGGATATCCGAGGGCGGCTTGTCCACATGACCAAACAATATCTGCATATCTCGTAACGAATGCCTTGTTTGGGTCAAGCTTGACGAAGCTCAACTTATCATTACGCATAGAGATAGGCATCGTCGGCAGATGACTGCCGCCACCGCGGGGTATCACTTAGAGGCGTCGCCTCAAAGACAAGGTTCGGGAATGGAAACCGATGCGGCTCCTAATCAGCCCTCCAATCATCAGCCACATAATGTCAGGACCCGCGCCCCCTCGGTATGGAACCCGAGATTCGGGTTGAGAGGGTGTCATCTCCCCGCTCCTGATTGGCTTGATTACAAGAGACCCCTCGGCTGTCACAAACGCATCGCCAAATGATTAAACGCTATCGTTCCATTCGCTCTTGGTGCAGGGAGGCGCATGATACTGTAGATCGGGTGCTCGGGATCATGATTAGATACTGTTGCATCGGCTCCTCGGGAGCATGATTAGAGTGGTGTTGGGTACCTTCATGACGTATAAAAGAGCGCTAGATATCTCAAGCTAAGCAATCCAGGACATCTTCCAAGCCATCATCTACTTCTCAACAGCTTCTTTAGGTTCTTCTCTTCAAAACCTAAGTGCCTCTCACCACAGCCATGGCATCTTCTTCCCTGCACTACTTCAACTTTGGCAACGGCGCCTCCAAGGACGCAACCCCCCAGGAATCCGTGCGTGCCTTGCCCGCATCATGGTATACCTCGCGGGATATGTACGAGTTGGAGCGCCGAGCCATCTTTTCTAAGCGATGGCTCTTCATCACCCACAGCTCTCGGTTGAAGGAGCCCGGTGACTGGCTCCGTTACGAGCTGGCAGGATTCGACTTTATCATCACTCGCGACCGGAAGAACAACATCCACGCCTTCCATAACGTGTGCAGACACCGCGCGTACCCTGTGATCGAGAAGGAAGGCTCGGGAAACGCCAAAATCCTGGCCTGTCGCTATCACGGCTGGTCGTATGGACTTAATGGCAAGCTAGCCAAAGCTCCCGGATATCAAGGGATGGCTGGGTTTGACAAGGAGCAGAACGGCCTTTTCCGTATTCATACCAAGGTCGACGTCAACGGCTTTATCTGGGTGAATATGGATGCAAGCGAAGTCCCAGAAGAGCCATGGGAGGGGCATTTTGCGGACGTCGACAAGCAAGAACGGTACAAAGCTTACAACTTTGATGACTATGACCTTGATCATACCTACGAGTTGGACGGCGAGTACAACTGGAAGATTCTAGCCGACAACTTTAACGAATGTTATCACTGCCCTACGACACACGCGGATATCCCCGAATTCCTCAACCTTGAGTCCTTCGACAGCGACACCAAAGACGGCCACATCCAGCATCACTGTGAGTCCACGCCAGAGCAGATAGAAAAGGGACTCTATACTGCCAGCACCTACTACTTTCCCATGTCTGCCATGGTTGTCTCGTAAGTTTATCCCACCAGTGAGCTCAAACAGTGCGTTCTCTAACATAAACTAGCCCGCACTTCATCATGATCCAAAAGTTCCTCCCTTCAGGGCCGAGAAGCTCCAAGATGGCATATGAGGTCTACAAAAACAGAAACTCGTCCGACACGGATTTCCATCTCATTAGTGACATGTACGCACGCGTCATGTCAGAGGATAAAGTCCTTTGCAACAACGCGCAGAAGAACCTAGACCGCGGCGTCTTTGTCAATGGCCAGCTGCATCCCAAGTACGAAAAGGCGCCACTGTTTTTCCAAAGCACGGTTCGAAACGTCATCACGGAGCATTATGAGCGGGAAAAGTCCGAGGGTAAGGAGATCTGGCCGGCGAAGCAAAAGTTGCCTGGTGACGCGCAAGTGAGTGAGCAGGATGAGATGATTTGTGCGGGTATTAGTTGCGGGACGCAGAAGGAGGTTTTGACTTGGTAATGGCGGTTGGATTTCCCAAAAATGGACTCTTTTGTAGGCAGATCTGTAAGAATGCGAGCTGGCCATGCATCTTTTATCACTCTGCTACCAGTGGGACTTTAATACGATTTCGGCTTGCCTGTGCTTTACATTGATTGAGTCTCCTACGCAATGCCGCCCTTTTATGACTACTCACTACGTAGTATGCTCAACATATTCCCACTGCATGATGTAGCTTTTCAAAGATAATCATATAATAAAGCATGGATCTGACTTTTACGAGCTAAAAAGAGCTGCAGCGCTATCAAGACAAAACATACATAGACCCCAACACATCACATAGGTCCTCTATTTACGGCTCCCTTCAACCCAGTGCAGTCACGACAGCAAATCTTGTGGTTACGCCTTCCTGCGCAAGGTACAGCAAGTTAATGCGATGCTGACAATTGTTAGGACTCCACTAAGTACACCAAATCCGATAGCAACCTTGGTTTCCTGAGTCATTCCTATACAGTCTGTCAGCTACCAGCCTATCTTTCTAAGGGATTGATACATACCTGTATCCTTCTTTGTCCCAAACAGCGAAATAATCCACTTCCCCAGAACAAACCCCTCCGTTGAACAGTAATCAGCTAGCATCCCCAGGGTGAGCTGAAACGCCTCGTTAGTGTCACTGCCTTCGTAGGGAAATCCAATACTGCAGTAAAGGTCTGCGCGCTCGTACAGCTTCTGTGACGAGTAGAAGAACCGCGAGCCACCGCAGACGCACTCGGCCGTCGAGCACTGGAGGTACGCACCGAGACCTGTCCAGATGTCGCCGTGATTGCCTGGGCGTGCTGGCTTGCAGTTGTCCTTGTTGTCTTTGGGACTGTCGCAGCCGTTGAGAACCCATCTGACGCAAGAGTCGAGAGCCTTGTAGGAATCATCGGGTTTGTCAATCATGACAACCTTACTCGCTGGTCAGGTTAGCGTCTTCCGATGTATGGCAGAAGATTAGGTAAACATACCATCAAACGTGGGTGTCGCAGTCGGGGCTATGGTAGCAGTGACAGTCGCAGTGGTCGAGTCACTAAACTCAAAGTACTCGACTTCACAGATTGACTGAAACACATTCAGGGCATTATTGACGTCAGACTCGCTTCCTTTGGGACAATCATCCCGGACGCATTTCTGAACATAGTTGGCACCGTCAATAAAGTTCTTGCCAACAGTGTTTTCAGAGCAGACGCAGCCATAGCTCCAACAGCTCAAGCTGTTATCGACTTGGGCAATGCAGGTTCTGGCGCATTCGGGAAGGCTCTTGTAGGCAGATGAGGTTTGGGCCTTGGACCAGGTTTCACCAGAGTTGACGGCCACTGCGGGGAAGACCAAGGTGAAGAAAAAGAGAGCCTCAAGGTGTCTTGAAGGCCCATGTTGTGATGCAGAAGAAGGGAAGCCAAGCATAGTGCTCATGTTGTGGTACAGGAAAAGTAAAGATGATCCTTGAAGAGGAGTAACACCAGGTGGTTAAGGGATCCCTTTTCTCTCTGGACTGCTCCCCTCCAGATTTCTCCAGATTCCCTCGTGATCTGCCTCACTGAGGCTGAAAACCTCCCCAAGTTGCCTCACGGTTCGCAATTTCATCAATTGAGCCCCAGCTGAAAACCTCGTATTCTGCCATGCCAGTCGGTTAATACGGGCGACGACTATTCCCAAGGGGATGAACGCCCGACATTAGCGTCTGAGCGTCGGTAGTTGCCTTGCATGAGGGCTGTTAAACTATTGTTTTTTGTGGTGGTGGCTATGGCAGCCTCATGGGAGAGCCTCGCGACCACCTTTAGATGCGGCATGAGATAAGGGTACTTAATTGTCTTGGAGCTTCAAGAAATCTCTTCAATAACAAGATTATTTCATAGGATTCTCTCCTTTCAAAATTAAGCAGCCATGTATTTGACAAAGAACCTCTTTCTGTTGATCTTCGCCACGCTCTTCGCCTCCAGCGTGTACGCCGCGGGGGAGTCGACGACTGCAGTTTTCTCTGGAACCATCACAACGGCAACCAGTACCTTTCCAGCGTCAAGTGGTACTATCGCAACAGCAACACCAACAGACAAAAAAGTTCTCTTCTCTCTCCCATCGCCGCTGCCCAAGAAAAAAGGTATGTCGGGATTCACGCCCTGAGTCTTGACCCCTCTAACACTACTGCGCAGATCTCCCTCAGCCGCCAAACGTGCCGAGTAAGTAGCCCTTACACCTCTGTAAAAACGCCCACTAACAGTCACAGGGAAAAAGGATATCGAGTACAGGTTCTTGGCCCTGATTGCGCTCCCTGCAGTCATCGGCCTCCTCGTGCTAGCATGGACTCGCTTCCGACTGCCAACCTTTAGTCGTTGCCCATGCTGGCAGTGCAGATTGGCCATTCCGCATTTCTGCTGGGCGCCAGGTAATGCGACCATTCACTGCTGTGTGCTCTGTAGAAGGTGTGAAAGCCACACAGTGAGGCGTGCTGGAATTTAGTTAGCCCAGGCAGAGTTGGGTCGGTGTGATGGGGCTAGAGGTCGCGATAAGAGTTGATGGAGGGGTTGGCTAGCCAGCCACCAAAACGCCAAACCGTTAGCATCGTGGCGATTGACGTGGGCACGTCCCATTGGGTAGAAGAAGGAATAAAAAGCCTAGAAATTGATTGGTTGCTTCAATTAAGCATAAGTCCTTGCTTCGAGTGCCTTGACTGTGCCCTCCCAATCTTCCAACTGTAAAGCGTTGCCCCCTCTTCAGCGGAACTACGGAGGATTACACGGTCACGTCTCCGGATGCCAAGCGTAGCTCGGGCGTGGGTCAAGGACCGGTCCGGGGATCGTGACGCAAAGGGTAGCAGCTCTTGACGATCTCTCCTGACCTGCTGATCCTTTAATTTGCGAGTGCTACGCTGTTGGAAATTATCCCCTTGATCTTCTCCGACAGTTTTGCCGATGCATTCCATTTTACGGAGTGAAACGCCGTCTAATTAGTATACCTGAATCAAACAACCATGAATGCTGGAGGGTAGACTCGTTATTAAAGTAGGCGGAGGCTGCCACGCTTTCCCATGAACATTCTTTTGATACAAGCCAGTCAAACTTTGTACACCTTTCTTTCATGATCGTGCCAGAACCATGAAGATTTCTTTGTTGACCGCTGTTGGCATTGTCACATCTGCCGCGTCAGCGCTGCACCGACACCATGGACCTGCCATCAGAGCTGTGGACAAAGCCTCCAGCACATTTGTCCACCCAGGACTTCTCCATTCTGAAGCAGATTTCAGTCGCATCAAGAAGTTTGTTGATTCTGGTAAAGCACCCTGGTCAGTTGGCTGGGAAAAGCTAGTCGCACGTGCAAACCCAGACTACCAGCCAAGGCCTCAGGAGATTCTCGTCAGAGGCAGCACGCCAGAGCTTCCGGAGAATTACGTCCTGCTGTATCGAGACCTTGCTTCAGCATACGCTCTTGCTATTCGTTGGAAGATCACCCAAGACACAGACTTTGCCGAAGCAGCTGTTTGCATCGTCGATGCCTGGGCTGCAAGTCTCACAGATATCTGGGGCAACTCCGACAAGTTCTTGGCTGCTGGCATTTACGGCTACCAGTTTGCAAACGTGGTAGAAATTCTCCGCACCTATCCCAGCTGGAAGGGTCTCGAAGCAGCAACCGAAATGCTTCTTCGCGTCTTCTATCCCATGAACCGACGCTTCTTGATCGAACACAATGACGCTCATATCGAAAACTATTGGGCAAACTGGGACCAATGCAACATTGCAAGCATGATGAGCATCGGTGTCCTAGCCGACAATCATACCATCTGGGACGAAGCGGTCGAATACTTCAAGCATGGTGCAGGAAACGGTGCTATTGAGAAAGCTATCTGGGCTATTCATACAGAAGAAGGCACTGGCAAGAAGTTGGGGCAGAACCAGGAAGCAGGCAGGGACCAAGGCCACGCCACCCTCGACTTCGCCTTGCTGGGCGTGATTGCTCAGCAGGCCCATAACCAAGGTGAAGACCTGTTTGGATACTTGGAGAACAGAATTCTTGCTGGGTAAGCCTCCGTTCTTTATCGGTTACTACACAGACCACCAACTAACTGTGCAATCCTAGAATGGAGTATATGTCCAAGTACAACGTTGGCGAAGATGTTCCATTTACCACCTATGTCAATGCAGTCCATGGCACGCAAACTGGGATTAGCAGTGCCGGCCGTGGAACCATTAGGCCGATGGCGGAACTCTTTGTCGCCCATTATGGCTCTCTCAAGGGTCGTGATGTCAAATGGACCAAGGCTTACCGAGATCTTGTCATTGAGAAAAGCGGCGGAGCTGAGGGTGGAGGAGGTGACTATGGAACCACGAGCGGTGGTTATGATCAGCTTGGTTTTGGAACCCTGTTGTATCGCCTCGAGGCGTAAGAGTACGACGCAGTCATAGCTTGGTGGACCGATGGCATGAGGCCGTGGCCGTGGGTCTTCAGATTGTTTATTTTTCTCGTTTATCTTGACTTGACAATGTGTTATTTATTATAGTTGCAGCCCGGCCCTTGATGAGAACTGACACAGAAGATCATTTATCTTGACGAATCATAAGAACCTTGCCAGAATCTTTCATCTCACAAACTATGTGGCCATGGTCGATGATTCGTATGGAAGCCTACAGGTGCGGCCAAGGAGTGCCCGCGAGATTTATGGGGTTCTCATCCGATGGCTGTGTTTCTAACGCATGAGGCGGGCCGCAATGGGGCTTATATTGGTATGATCCTACAGTGTAGTTTCTGATCAAAACGGATGATGGTATTTCTTCTAATGAATAATGGTTTTACCAGCCTGTTGAGGTGTTTCTCGGTCCATGAAGGTTTCGAAGAACGATGGCTGTAGATATGGTTCATTTTCTGATAGCTGTTTAAGAAGAGTAGGTCAGGTTGACCACATGGCTACCCACGTAGAGCGGGACAAAATCAGACGTGGAATACCACCCAGGCTTTCGCATACCGTCCCATACATGCTGGCCATTGATTTCCAATCCTTGAAAGTCCACAAACTCAACCCTGCGATCTTTATCATATCCGGCTATCGCAGGAATGTTACCACCTTTCCCATTGTACGACAAATTCTTGACAGTGATATTGTGAAGACCGCGGCCAGGTCCTGAGCTGTACTTTGAGTTGTAGAGCACTTTGAAGCTGAGAAGCGAGCCCAGCCGGAAGTCTTCGACGCGAATGTCTTGGAATTGAATGTTCTTGAGAAGATTCTCGTCGGCGACGTTGATTGCCAGGCATCCTTGATAGTCAACCTGTGGCTCCCGGTGATCAAGGATATCGATGTTGGAGATGGTGACATCCTCCATGGTTTCAGGAGTAACAGTGTTTCCGTGTAGGCCAAGATGAATTGGATGAGCGAGGTCAGCCCAAAGAGATGAATCCCGGAGAGTAAGGTTTTTGGAGTCGCCATAGTAGTCCCAGCGGTGTTGATACATTGCCACGCAATCGTCCGAGTTGCGCATAAAGAGTTTTTCAAGCACCACATTCTGACAACAGAATACATCGATTCCATCTCCCCATTTCACCGCACTGATCGACCTCAAGCCAGAGACGGTGACGCCATCACTCGAGCCCATCATGGCGGAATAATGGCCAGGGTTGATAACCGTCACACCTTGAACACGAATATTCTTGGAATAGTTGATAGTGATTGCATCATAAGGGCTCTTGTAAAGCACACCTCGCCCAAGAATGGCTGCGTTCGATGCGTTCTGAAAGTTGAAGCCTCCCTTGACGAAAGAACCAGGGGCGAGATAGACTGTCTGACCCGAAGTGATGTTGACTTGGTCCTTTAGTTCGTGATATCCCGCGCCATAGTAGAGAATCGAAGAGTCTTTTTTGGCCTCGTCCCGGCTAATGGTGTCTTTTTGGATCTCATCTGAAAATAGATGGAGTACCCTAAAAACATCGCCGTTGACCTCGACTACCAAGTTGGCCGGTTTGGTAAGAGCCAACTTGATAGTGCGGCCGTGAACATCCGCCTTGAGGTTGTATGAAAGTGGGCGAACTCTGACCGTCTCAATAGATGGATACACCTTCTCGGATGGTTGAATAGAGAGTTCGATGGGGCCATTAAAGTCAAAAAGGCCCACAGACGTGTCATAAGACAGAGTCTGTCCAGTCGTCTGGTTTACTTCGTTGACCTTGGCGCTGATGAGATCAAGCGATTTCCACTCTTTTCGAGCAGATTTAGCCAGGGATCGAACTTTGACCTGGAAGAGGTCCGATTTGGCGACTTCTGTAGGTAAGGAGAAAAGTTGGAGGTTATTCTGACTTGGTTGAACAGCAGCGTTGATAGGGGGGATAGTAGTGGACAGCGCGAATAGCAGGCCAACCGTGGCGTGCCCAAGGCGCGTAGCCGAAAGAAGCATTGTGAAGAATGATGATGAATAAGCCTCGGGGTAATGGTGACTTGTAGCTTATTCGTGACATGGAAAATATAGATTGCTCTTGGTAAGAGATATATTCTAGTCTTTAAACGGAGCTATGCCGTCAATTATTCCGGTCCCAATCTAGAATAGGAAACTCGAGAACGTAGTTGCTCCATGGAGTTGGGATGGATACGCCCCCATCTCCCCCTTCCCGGTAGTTACCCCGAGAGCCCGAGCGGGATCGGCACTGCAATTGGGCGAGGCCCGAGAGATATGCCACCGCAGCCCCTGGTCAAATATTGATCGGCGCGATCACATCTACTCGGGGAGTTACCGGTGCCTAGAATTCGTAAAAAGAGTTTATATGCCTTAAGGAGCCCCCTGCTGTGTTATGATGACAGATATGTTATTATGTTCTCTGACCCAAGTGTGAAGTTCTACTCTTGACAATGAGGAAAGGGATAGAAAAGACAATAATAATATGAACGCTGCGCAACAGATCGATGCGTCAGTACCCAGCCTCTCACGGCTATCCATCCATTAAAGCGGTCAGCCGCTCCCAATAAACGAAATGAAGAAATACGATAGGATGAAGCCTAGAAATCCTATTTCTTCCGAATTAGCGCTATGTGTCTCCTCAGTAAAGGGCAATAAGCGGCTGACCGATGACGACGGAGAGAACTTGCATCCACCATGTCCTAAGGAAATGTCTGTATTGTTCAATACTTGGGTGAAACTTTTCCGTTTGCAAATTCGTTCTCGTGGGTTCTTCCGGCTTGGGCTGCGCTAGCCCTAGGCTCTTGTCAATCATGTCCAAAATATCCGATCGGTCCTTGGGTCCAAAACGCAGGTATAGGTCCCGAAGCGAAGCCCCATCCTCCATGTGTGATCCCAATTCGCTCTCTCTGGGATAATGCCCTGTATACTCTGGAAGTAGGACTGATCGGTGCACGAGCGAATACGTCAAGCTCCCTACGGCGAGAGATAAATCATTTCGTCGGATAGGACCTCCCCGCCCATTCCGCCCATTCCACCAGAAACGGACGTCGGCATTGGCGCCATGCTGGAGAAAGACAGAAATGGCGTGCCAGGATGAGCCTCGTGCTCGGAAAATATCGCCCGTCATGATTGATAAGGTGAGGCAGGTTCCCCATGGCGATTGGTGTTCATCGAGAACGTTGGCGTAAGGCCCATCCTGGAGCAGGCGTTGTATCAAGGGTATCAGTGCTCCATCACGACGGAATCGTTGCTCAACCCAGCACAGAGACTCTAACAGTGGGATCCTGATGGTTTCCTTCCATACCCACGACCCCGGCCATTGTATCACCCATTTCGGGTACTCGTGAAGTCCCATCCAACACGCAACGTTGAATACCGAGACGACTAACTTGTTAGACTTCAACGGAAGCGGATATCGAATCTCGTAATCTAGAATGTTGACGGCAAACTGTAAACGGCCTGTCGAGTCTGGGTCAAGTTGCTTTTGGACGAGTATGTTGTCCATCTCGGCTAAAGATCTAAAGTAGGAGATGCGGTCTTGTGGGCAAGTAGTGTCCTCAATCCAAGGGAGAATCGCAATCAGTGAAGAGACCATCTGGCAGACAGAAGGTTTCCAGCCAGTAAGACCCCAGCCGTAACGTACTCGGGCCATGAGGCAATGAAGAACTAAAGCCTTCACATCAACGCCCGGGCAATGGTCCTTCCCTTGCCGCCGACGGAGAAAGTCATAGGCAGACCGATGAGCGAACGACAGTGACTCCTCTAATCGATAATCGTCAACACGCGCTTGTGAAAGCGTGTTCGTGACTTCGACCATTCCTCGAAAGAGGGACGGAGCTCGATCTTTGAAAGCTTGTTTCTGGGCTCTTATCTGTCGAATTTGCGCTTTCCGACCTCCGCTGGGTGTGTTGTGGGAACCTCCGATAGCAGCGATCTTCGCAAGGTTCGGGTCGATGAAGTCCCGGATAAAAGAGTAATCAAGAATCAAAAGACAAGCAGGGTCCGTCCATTCCGCTCTTGCGGTGATCAAGATGTCGAAGATTGCCGAAGACTCGGCAGCATCTGAGTTTCGGATCGATCGCAGAATTCTCTCGTAAAACTCATCAAGATCCTTCGGCACAACGTCGAGAACATTGTGAAGATCCTCCAGTGGCTGTTTGTCATCCAGCTTGCTCCACAGCTCATCCAGAACCAGCTTCGTCCAGATGAAAACGCCCTCGGAATCACCCACAAACCTTTCGATGAAATGTCCGCGTTTGTCTAAAGGGAACTTTAAGAAGTTTTCGTGTTTGCCAAGAACCCCTTGTATCGCTTTGCGAATGTCGCCGGCAGTGACTAGATGGAGCCGGATTCTCTGACCTAGGGGAAAGAGGTCAATGAAGACTGGCTCCTCACGACTCGACACACAAATCTTGACGTTTTCCGGGTTGCTTGAAGTCCACCGTAGCAGAGTCGACGCTAGCTCACGTTTGCGGATCTCGGCGTCCTCGAATTCGTCAACACCATCGAGAAAGAAACAGTACCTATAGCCCGAAGACTGGTCACTGATGATGGCCTCGAGAGCAGATTGAATTTCGTCGCTGTCGAGTGGAATCTCCATGTCCTCTGCTGGCGTCCACGGCGACCAGCTATTAGGGGACCAATGTTGTGGGAATGTTTTCGGAATGAGGTCCTCACGGTTCTTATCCAGGATGGCGTAGAGAAGAGATCGGACAATTCCACCCATGGACCTTTGCTTCTTCGCCCCAGCCTTCCACAGAAAGGCAGTAGCCAATACTAGCTTTTTATCGCCCTGCCACCGCTTCAGTTGACTGGCCGTTTCAGAATGTTGAGCCAAGAACTTCATGAGTGTTGACTTGCCACTTCCTGGCCTCCCCGAGAAGTGGAATACCCCTGTGCCTGTCGCTAGCCAGTCTCTGAACGAGATTTTCAGATTGTAGTGACTCGGGACGCTATCCCCCTCAACCAACCATCCAAACGTGTCCTCTTCGGCTCTTGAAACCTGATCATATCTGACCGATATCTCTTTGAAGCGAATGGCATTGAGAATTCGCCGATGGTTGATGGCATGCAGCGTCAGATCCGAGACTTCAAGGGCTTTTCGGACTCTTTCCAACTGTAATAGAAATTTCTCAGATGTCCCGTCGAACTTCTTGTCAAAGGCCATGAGTGTGCGTGAAAAAGGTGCCTGGTCTCTCGAGATGTGACCCAATTTGGTTTGCATAAGGCCCATGTCCTTAGATAATCGCGGAAGTTGTTCCGTCAGTAAACTATCAAGCTTTTCGGTAATATCGGAGCTGAGGGAGCAATTAGCCTGCTTCGGAAAGGTATTCGGGCGCTTGGGATTCTTTCTGGCTTCTACTTACCTCGCCATTCTTATCAAGTGTGCATTCAGCTGGATTGTGCAGGAGTCGAATTGCCTCCGCAGATCGTCAGCTTCTTGCTTATTCCAAAGCACAACCAAGGCGACTCTTCCAGTCTTTGCCGCTCGGGTGACCTTGTCCAGTAGCTTGTCCGCCATGGAAGTTTGTTGTTTTGACGTCGGCTCGGGGGTCCTCATCTTTCCCAGAAGATGCTGGATTGAGTCGCCAATCTGTTTGCATTGCTCGGCGACTCGCAGAGCGCTCTTCTCTTCGTCAGACAGTTCCTCATCGCCCGCTTCTCCTCGCTTTCGCAGGCTGGCGATGCCCGACTCGAGGGTGGTCGTCAGCTTGCCCAGCCTCTCATACTCATCGATGCTTCCGGCGTCAGATAGCTGGCGGGCCGTATTCACCGCTTTCCCGATGAAATCGACAAAGGAAATGACGGCCGACGTAGTCCCAATGATACTCGCGGGATCCATGATAGTCGTCTCCAGGCTATCGCCTCAGCGGCGACGGATAGAGGATGATAGCGCGGGCGTCCTAGATCTCCCTCACAGGTGAGACCCCCGCCCAAAGCTTAGTCAGGCTCAGCCGTTCAGCCCAAACTCCGCCTGGCTCGGCTCAGAGCAGGAGGAGCTCAGCTCTAGAAGCAGAAATGGCGTTTGGTGCGCTCGAGTTTCGTCTCTGAATATGGGGGAATTCTCGCTTTATAGTTATGATGTTTTGCAGCATGGGGGTTTGATGCTGTTATGTACTGATACTTGTCTATTTGCTATTGTAGCCGATAGTCCGTCAGGGCTTGTTCGTTCAGGTACCAATGTTGCGCTGGCCCCCAGAGCCACGTGAACAACAGTAGCCAGTCACATCTTGGAATCCCTCGGATGATGCTTAACTCATATTCTGCAGTAGCACCGAGTGATAATTATAGAAACTAGGTATATACCAAGATTGTTACTTTCCTTGTAGGGTAGGAGCGCCATATTCACCTTGCAAGGCAATCTTCACCCGGCGATTCTACCTCCCCTGTTCTACCAGCCAATCAGGGTCGAAGCGGCGATCCTGTCAAAAACGTAAATACACCTTGACAACTATTAGAATTTTTGGGGGTCTAGGATGTTCCATTGGCTTAAAAACAAATTCTATTAAAATGAGGTTGCCTCCCATACTCTTACTTGTGAAGATACGAGTGTTCTCTTACCTATTAACTTCGCCAGCTTTCCCGTTCTCATCAAGTATGATCTAAGTTGTAAGTACTTAAATCTAAGCTATTTTCTTAACATGAGTCCTGAAAGATCAAACTAATAACTCTTTATAGGCCTTCAGAGCATAGAATCTCCGTTCTTAGGTATAAAGGACCAGTCATGCGCCGGATCTTGCTCCACAACGTGAGGATCTACGATGTAGAGGGGAGTTCGGAAATAGAATCCATCCTTCTGATTACATAACTTGTGGAACTCCATTATTCGCTCTTAGTTCGCTGGTTCTTCTGCTCCCTTGCCCAGTCCTCGATCGACAACAAATCAGGGATCAACTCCCTTGTTTCCTCTACACTTCCCGGTTGGCAGTTGTCATAGTACAGCCACTGTCCAGAATTAGCATCCAAACACAGACCCTTTGACCCATGCAAACTCACATCAAACATTTGCCGGTAATGATGTGGCGTCAGTCGAATAATCACCCACCGAGGCAACCAGATCCTCCCCCACCCCTTCGTGCCCTCGCCCTTCTCCAAAGCAGTCTGAAGCTCGTCCACATCAGCGACCTGACCGGCAATTGTCACGACCTTGCCATTGAATCTTTCTGGGTCCAGGAGAGCGACAGCATTCGCCTTGCCAATGTCCTTGCAGGCTACGTATCTCTGCTTGGTGTTGCCCATGAGGGAGGCCATGGCACTGAGAAAGAAGAACCGACCGACACCTGGAGGAGGGACTACATCCATGAAGCCCACCGGTCGGATAACAGCCCAGCTAAGGCCTGATTCTCTAATGTACTCTTCGATCTTGTATTTGCTGTAGAAATGTTCTACAGGCTGGGAGATGTCGGCGCCTGCCACGGACGAGAAGACTAGATGTTTGACGCCTATTCTGTATGTAAGCATACCACTCAGAGCTTGTAGGAGTCCTTACCAGCCTCTTTCGCGACGTCCACAAATTGCCTCCCCTGTTTGAGCTCTCCCTCCACATCCTCCGGGCCCCGAAAGTCAGTCACAAGATACGCAGCGTCGACGCCCTCAAGCGCCTTCGAGATGCTTTGTCGATCAAGAAGGTCACCCTTGACTGGCTGCACGCCGCGACGCGCCAAGGCCTGGGCGGCTGATGACGATGGGTTTCGTGTCAGCGCTCGGATGGTTAGATCGGGACGGTCCGATGCGAGGAGGGCTTCCACAACACCGCCGCCTTGTTGTCCTGTTGCGCCTACGACAAGAAATGTCGGCATACTGAGATCTTTTGAGTGTGTTTCTCAAAAATGTTGTTGAAGAGGGTGGAGAAAGGCCTAGATGGTGCTGCAGACCTGAGGAAGATCAGTGGAAAACAACGTAGATATAACAGGGAAACGAAGGAAAGTTCATTTAAGCTTTTAACACGTCACTACGAGGGGAAATTATACGCAGGCTAGTACGGAGTAAGAAGATTCGTAATTTGAAGTGCGGCCATATGCTCGGAACTCGCACATCCTCGGGGTCCGAAAAGTGTGGCACCGGCACCTCAAGTCGTGTCCAGAACGTCTTGGCATTGTATATAGATGAGCGTACAGCTGAAATAGCTGACTATCAACTAGATAATAGAGAGGACGTAATTGTAATCAAAATAGTTGATTGTCTGAAGGGAGTGGTATACCTATACCTCGGATGAATTAACGTGTCGACATCAACTCGACTCTACTCTGCTAGCGAGCCAACCATGGGCAACACTGACTTGTGGGCTTCTGATGGCACGAGATAGATAGAGAGCTTGTCTTTGGAGTTGGAGAACTGAGACTTTGCGGTCTCGATAATGTCGCTGCCTGCTGCTTCGGGGGTGACGTCTACTTCGAAGTATTTGTGACCGGCTCTGCCTTCCTTTGAGCGATAGGACCTATAGGATAGATAGTGCACGTACTTGATTACAACTGACTAATAGTAGATAATATATTCTCGGTTTGGAAATTTGACTTTGATTATAAAAAGACCCCTTAAAGGTTTCTATTCTCTAATCTCTATTCTAGTACATCAATTCACATGTTCTAAGTTCAACACGTCTATTTCGCAATCTCTACACCTCCAGTCTAATAAAACGTCAGCTCCAGGTCTTCACTTTGTACTCAGGCTATGACTTACAGCTCCCATGGCCTTCTTGAGGTCGCCTAAAAGAGTCATGTTAGCAAACATCAATAGCAATCTCCCCGACAGAGCGATACTCACCGTAAATGGCAAACTGGCCGGCCGACATGGCGCCAACCATGAAGAGACGGGCACCAATTCCGCTAAAGGAACCACGCAGGCCCAGTTCCCTGCCGATCTTGATCAACCTGCTAGTGTTGCTCTCACCTGGAAGACCCTTAGTCTTGTTAATCTTGGAGAGCATGGTGTCGGCTGGCTGCGAGACGATGGCGGCCGCGAAACCAGCAATCAGACCAGAACCAAGGTTGATGGCAGTTTGCATGCCGTCGCTTGTCTTGGCCTTGTCGAAGAAGTTGCTGTATGCGAACTCGGAAACTTTCTCGTAAAAGACGAACTTGGTCATCGTATACGGGACCCTAAACTCTATGAGTCAAGGCCAGAGGGGAAAGGTTGGCGGTACGTACTGCTTAAAGAGAATGGGACCAAAGCCAGAGTAGAAAGCAGCGAGGCCTTCCTGGCGAGCAATCTTTGTGAAGCCCGGCACAAGACCATTAGCAAACCCGGGGTCTGACACCAGCCGGATACGCGTGGCCTCTAGAGGGCAGAGGGCAATATCGGCAAAGAACTCAGCGGCTGCGCCAGAGACGCAATACACGGCGATACGGTTGTTCCTAGCGTTGTCGTAGCCGATCACGTTGATGGATTGTTGCTTAAAGAACTCATAGCCTCCGAACTTCAAGCCGCCCTGCAAGAAGTAGCCGGCCAATGTGGGGCCAATGCCAGTTAATAGAGCACCAGCACCTTCAGTCTGGATGACCTGACGGAAGCCGCCAATCATGCCGCGGTTATAGGTGGCTGGGTCAAGCTGGATGCGTGTCTTGACGCTGTGTCATGTTAGTTGTCAGTCTAGTATGGTTCTTTGTTGTCTCGAAGCTGATGGCTGAGGTCTTAAACGTCATCTTCTCGAGTATGTGAAATGTTGGTCTTCAACTTACACATCAACAGGCGTGAGGCCTCCATGAGTAACGGAGCAGCAAACGGCACCAGCAAAGGCGAAACGCGAGTAGAGGCCCAGGCCCGACAGTTTCTTGGGCTCTGTGCTGACGTCAGAGCGCTGTCTGAGCACGTCAAGATTGACGGTTGTCGCCGTTGCACTCATCTTGCCGGTGATAGGAATTGTTTAATTCAATGAAGAGAAGTGCTTCCTAAAACGAGGCTATTACACGCACTAGAGTTTCCCAGTTGAACAGACTTTGGGCCATGTCTTGAAAAAAGCAAGTTCAGGATGCGACCAACAGGGTCGATCCGAAAGTAGGTATTTATTAGGATCCCGGAAATTCTCGCGATTAGAACTCCCCGGAGCCCAATCAGGCCGAAAGCATTGCAAAATGATCAATCACCCTCGGTTGCCGAACCTCCAGCGCGATGTTACAGTTCCCGTTGCTGAGTTGGTCTTCAAACGGTACACGAGTCAAGCGAGCAGGGGCAAACGCGTCGCGTGAGTGGTGGATGGTTTAGTATGTGATGGATCAGGGTTGTCAACAATGATGAAATGAGTTAGCAATGGATCCTTTGGTGGGGACTGGGCGGTGATGTATGGCCGTAAGCGAGGATGGTCTCGATCTGAGGGATGGAACTTCGTGATAAAAACCGGCGGTCAGGCATTTTTCATTCTTGCTGGAAAGACTGCTGATTTTGCGTGTCAAAATACTTCAAGATTATCATCCATATACAATTAATTGGTTGCATGAACTATGCATGCAGCAGTCCGGGGCAGTGGGCCTAGTGGCGCTGTCAACGAAGGAACCCGGCTTCTGCTCTCGGAGCTCGTTGCAGGAGCCGCTCCCCGGACACCTATTCCCGACAAAGTTTGCATTATTAATTTCACATGCTCATGCCACGATTTAACCTCGGAGTTGGCGGGAATGGTTGTAGATGAGTTGCTAACCTTGTCGTCACTCCCCTCGTTGTGTGGTAACAACAGTTCTTCATAGCCTTCGTTGCGTTCTAAACCACCCTGCAGTTAAGTATGACGAACAAGAAGAAATCGCCTGCACCAGCACTCTCTTTAGTCGTGGTTACCAAAGCACAAGCTGACTCTCGTCCAAACCCTTCATAGAATTTTCCGCCCATGGGTGGCTAAACACACTGTTCTTCCGA